TTTTAACCGTATACGACTCCGGTATTTACGACTATAATACTATTCTTAATTAACTTCGACGCGTTTACGATAATCTAAATAAGACTTAAGAAGCTAAAGATCGACTTCTTTCAATTAAGTAGGATTCCGATACCTTTACCACTTATATTACTAAATTTAAAAGAGTTCTTTATAAAGCTCGAGGATAAGAGTAGCCCGACGTTATAAAAATCTCTACTTTCCGTAAAGGTCTTAATACTTCCCTACGTAATAGACTTTCTTAATAGCTTAATTTACCTCGTACCTATCCCGAATTCCTTAAGATCGTATAGTAGCTCGCTAGTTATAATTTCTAGTTAACTTCTTTAAATACCTATACTAATAAAATAGATATTTCCGGTATTAACGTTAGTATACTATAAAGGGATAAGGACGAAATAGATACCGCTATTAAAGAGCTTAAGGTTAAGGGTACTTTCGACTACGATACTTTTATTTCTAGTCTTTAAATATCTAGGGACTAGATATATTCTTTCGTGGGGAATATATAACGATCTACGTTATATATCTTATTTATACCTTCCGATCTCCTAGATTATTTACTTATTTCCTTTATCTAGATTATTTACTAGTTTTCCTTTATTCTTCTAAATATTACTAAACCTATTTAGGATATATAGGTTTAATTAGTTTATATAAGATAGGGTATAAAGCCTTATCTCCTACTAGATCTCTCTCTCTTCTTTCCCTATCTTTAGTTTTCTTATTATTATACTCGATTCTCTTATAGGTTAACTAGTAGGTAATATCTAGTTCCTAATAGATTCTACTCTTTAGGGGTCTATAGAGACGCCTTTTAAACCTACTATAAATCCTAGGAACTCTACCTCTTCCTAATAGAATATATACTTTAAGGCCTTTATATATAGGTTAGCCTTTTTAAGGTTTCTAAGGACTTTTCGGAGGTATTTCGTATAAGATTCCTTTATTAGAGAAAACACTAATATATCGTTAAGGTATATTATATAGATTATATTAAAGTAATCTCTTAGTATATTATAAATATAACTTTAGAATATAGTAGGGATATTAGTTAATCTAAACGGTATAACTATATACTTATAGTACCTATATTAAATATAAAATGTAGTCTTCTACTTATCTCTTTTCTTAATATAAATTTAGTAATATATATCTTTAATATTAACTTTACTAAACTATTTAGCTCCCGCTAATTAATCTAGAATTTCTAAGATAAGTAGTAATAAGTACCGGTTTTTAACTAAGATTTTATTTAGTCTTTAGTAATCTATATAGAGATATAATCCGCTATCTTTTTTTAGAATAAAGAAAATTAGTACTTTTATAGGACTTTTAGATAGTTAGATTTATTTATTTTCTAAATTCTTATTAATATATTCCTAAAGTTCTTTAAATTCCTTTTAGGATAAGAAATAGATTAGTCTATAAAAAGGATTTTCTTCTAGTAATATATTAATAATATAGTCTATAGTCTTATTTAAGAGAAGGGTTTATATATTTTTTATAGAAAAGATATTATAGAATCTTTATAATTCTAAAGATAAATTAAGAGATTCTTTTATATTCCTATCCTCTTTATATAAAAGCTATATTTCTTTAAGTATTTTTATTATAATATAAATATATATATAATTCTTATATTCTTTTATAAACTAATATAAGATTATAGTTTTATAATTTAAGATATTAAACTATTATTTTTAGTTTAGTAAAGAGAGATTAATTTTTTAGTCGACTAAAATTATTATTAATAATAATATTAGACTACCTAAAATCCTTAGATTTTTATTAATAATAATATAAGATTATATAAATATCCTAATAATTCCTTTACTATCTATAATAGTTATAAGAATATTCTATACCCTATATATAGCTACTTCTTTATATCTTATTACTTTAATAATAAGAGATATAAGTTTCGTTTTTTAAAGTTTTTAAATTTTTATAAACTTATAACTAATAAGATCGACTTCTATATAACTATCTAGATTTATATAGATTTTAATTTTTCCTACTAAGATTAGGGTATAAAAATATATTATTATTCTAATCTAAGAGATTAGAGTAAGAGAATCTACTCTAACCTACTTTTATTTCCCTATTATTTTATTAAGGATCCTTTTACTTTTACTAGTTATACTTTTATTTTCTTTATTAGGGAGTTATTTAGATATTTATTTAAAAGATAATCTTTATTTTAATAGATATAATAGATAAGTTTCTTTCTTATCTTTTTATTAATAGGGTTTCTATTATAGTATTTCTTTATTATATTATTTTTATCTTAGGCCCCTTTCTCTTAGATAGAGGAGACTCTTCTAAATACCCTATAATAATAGGATAGAACTAAGATAATCCGGTTCTAAGAAGTAGGGAAACTAAATTATAAAAGGAAGATACCTATATAGATAGAGAAGATAAGATTTAGTCTTATAATTAATATAGAATCGAATACCCTTTATTCTAACTATATATCCCTCTTATATTATTATTTACCTAGTTAATAAGTACTACCTTAATAAATAGTTACTTTAATAGTTTTCTTACCTTTTTAATCTTAAGTCTTTTAGATTTCTTTTTTTAGAGGAGTTTTCGTTTTTATTATATTTTTTAAATTTCTTTATTTTCTTCTTTATATCTAGATCTTCGTACCCTAATTCGGTCGCTTTTTATTTAGATTTTATCTTTTAGTTTTAAAGCTCCTAGAATTTTAATATAATAAAAACTATCTCCTCTTAAGTTTTTAGAAGAGTTAGATTATATTTATAGATATAGGCTTAGAGTCTATAATTAAGTTTTAAGAAGAAGATAAAGGCTCTTTATTTCTTATTTTTTTTAAAAAATATTTTTCTAAGAGATTTAATTTATAGTAAAAGTCTTTAAGATCTTAATTATTTCGCTAGATTATTCTTTATATTTAATTAGTAATAGTAGTTTATATATTTATAGAATTCTTTATTAAGAATAAAGTCTATTCTTTAAAGTAAACTTATAAATCTTATATAATTTAGCTTAAAGTTAAAGATATTTTATCTAAGTAGTTATACTAAAGTTATTAATAGTTCTTATTTATATAGAATAGAGTATTAAGAATCTTTTATTTTTTAGTATTATATTTTTTATTTACTTCTTTAAATTCTAGATATAATCTAAGTAATTAGTCTTCTTTTTTTAGATTAAGAATTCTTTTATAAAATTAAAGTTTTTAAAATAGATTTCTTAATTATATAAATTTAATAAATTATTATAAATCTAGCTATAATATATAAATATTTTAGCTATTCTTTTAAGCTATTTAACCTTTATTATAAAGACTTAGAAGGTTTCTTTTTTAAAGATTACTAAAGAATTATCCTTATTTCGCTAAAGATTTAAGATAGTTTTAAAGAGTTATTAGTTATCTCTACTAATAGTAATAGGTACTTCTAAGAGTCCTAATAAAGATTAAGTCTTTTCCTTCTTTATCTTATAAATAGTAGGGTTTTCTTATAAAAATATCTTTTTATTACCCTATTAGGATTATAAACTCTATTTTATTATTATTTCTTTAGATAGTTAAAGAAGAAGATTTAGAATTATTAAAGTAACTATTTATTAAGATAGTATTTATTAATTATATAAATAATAATATAAGAGGGATATATAGTTAGAACGAAGGGTATTCGATTCTATATTAGTTATAAGACTAAATCTTACCTTCCCTATCCCTATAGGTGTCTTCCTTTATAATTTAGTTTCCCCGCTTCTCGGAACCGGATCATCTTAGTTCTATCCCGTTATCGTGGGGTATTCGGAAGAGTCTCCTCCGTCTAAGAGAAAGGGAGCCTAAGGTAAAATGATATAATAAAGAAATACCGTAATAGATATTTTATTAAGTTTAACTTACTATGCTACTAAAAATCAAATTCTTTCTTAATATAACTAAAATAAGGAAAAATTATTGCGGAGCGAAGCGAAGCAATTAAATCATAGGCTTCGTATATCACGTGACTAGGCCCATCCACCTGCGGGTCCGAAATCCATAGTTCTAATGTTATCGGTGAGAATCGGCAGAATAATTATTAGCTATTACTATAGTAGGGGATAGAGAGGGCTAGGGTATATCGGGTCACGTGATCTACCTAGAGTAAGAGCTAGGGCGGGCTAAGTAGTAAGGCGTACTATAGCGCGGAACTACCCTAGAAACCCCCTACCCCTCCCCCCCCCCCCCGGGTAGGGGGGTATAATTTAAATGCCCTGACTAGGAAATACTAAGCTTATAAGAGAGGAAGAGAGGGAAATATATAAAGGAGAGCAGTTTGATTTACATTTCGTCTATATGACCTCGGACTTAGTCGCTTCGCTCCGCAACTATTATCCGACGGCCGTAGGCCGTCGGGATCGCTAGTAGTGGTTAATTTAGATGAGTAAGGCACTTTATATAGAGAATTATGCAAAAGTTGGGTCTAATTGGGTTTTTATTAGGTTATCCGGTGAACCTAACGTTGGGTCCGGTGTGGGCCCGGGTCGGGGGTTTGGCACCGGACCCAGGTTGGGTCCGGTGCCGGGAGGTTGGGTCCGGTGCCGGGTCGGGATATTCGACCCAATTCCGGTGCGTGCGGAAGTCTACTAGTATCTCTCTTAACTAAATTATCATGATTTAAACCTAAATCAAAAACATATATATGATATTAAATTGAATTTACTATTTAATACTACTAAAATTAAGAGTTTTTGATATTATTTATAAGTAGAATCAATAATACTATCGATAGTGCGGGTTCTAGGAATGGCTTCATAAAATAGAGAGGCAGGGGTATGACGCGATCCTTTTTTAGGGGGGGAGGGCGGTAATAGGTATTTCATCATATGACTATTGATTATCATACTAGGCGGAAACCAGACCTACTGATATAGTGACTTTGGTAATAGTGTCCACGACAGAATTAATTACTAAAGGTGTGCCCATAGTATTTCTCTTTAATGAGCCATTCCGCCTATTCCCTAATCCAAGGCACCTCCTCAGGACGGTACTTATAAGCCCGAAAAACCGCATTACTTGGGTGACTAGACTCAGCCTTCTTCAACTCCTCCAACTCCTCCGCAGGCATGACTCCCTTGAATTCTCCCAATTGCGGTACAACATACTCCCAAACTACCTCACCTCCCTCGGTAACTTCCACAATCCGCCCAGTCAGAGCCTCACAAACCAACATATTCCCATTCCCCAACTTCTGCGCAGACCCCATGATCGGGGTAAAAAATCCCAACCCCCCGTCGATCGATCTTTATACTCCCACTTGACAACCTTTTCCCGCGAAATGACAATTGCCCGTGAAAACGGCACAGAATGCCCTGGTCTGAAAGTACCATCATCAAAAACCAATATATCCCCAGCGGAATTAAGCTCCTCGACACAGTGCTGCTGGCTCACTATCGGAGCAGACACATACCACAGCACCGCCCCCGTATCACGACTGATAATGAACACAGTCGATGCATTGCGCGACGACGCGATGATGTTTCCCTCTGAGTTGAGCGCAACACTGTTGATAAGCGGCCAGTGTTGCCGTGAATAGTTCAGATAATTAGCAAAGAGCTTTGGATCCAGATGGTCTATTGCGCGCCACGACCACAGGAGCTTGGCGCCAGATTGACCATTGCCACTGAAGTCCGCCGAGGAGGAGACACTGTTGGTTGACCATGGCTGCACGAGCTTGATGCAGTCACCGTAGATGATACCATTTGGGGCCTCGCTACCTGGAATCCCGCCCTGCACGCGTGATGCTTCCTCTGTGCTGAGCGGTTCTAGCGTCGTGTATAGGATCGTGTCGTCATCCAGGTGGTTTTGGTCATGGTGGGCCAATGGATCAGAGTATTGACGCATGATTGTTCCGTCTGGGCTGACTTGCAACATCATGCCGCCATGATACTTTGCCCATAGCGGGAATAGGCTGGGAGCTTCCGGGTGGGCGCCGTTGAAGGCGAGGTTGCCGCCGGGAAGGATTCGGGCGTGTCTTCCTGCACGATACGGAAGATTCCATCGATGTACCTCTTTACCTGTCGTAGAGACTAGATGAGCTGTCTTCGATGTTAAAGGTGCATATAAAACGTATCCCGGTGAGACACGCCGGACGTCAACTCCACGGAGACCGAGACCATGGCGTCGCAATGTGTGCTGCTCCATTGAAGATGGGTGGGTTGAAAATGTTGTTCCAACGAGGAGAGGAGACGCCAACGATAGTCAAGAGGATTTGATCTCCAGCAACAATAGAGGCAATGGATAGAGGTCATTCTTCTTACGGGATGTCGGTCCGGTATGCCGAGGGAATATCTTCTACAATTGTTTTCACCATGAGGCAAGAGGCGATCACTATGACGTGAGAAAGATCCTAAAGGTATCTCAATGTGGGCATAGATATCTCTGCAGTGCAATAAGACAGTGTCACTGGTACGGGCGACCTTATATGCGGTATACGTCAACGAAGTGTATTTATTAGATAGGCATGAGGGAAATTAGGTCCGTATCCGTTACTAACCCAGTTGACCTAATCGACTTATTGAATCAGAGTGACCTTGAAATCCTTAGGAATATACGAAATGACCGACGAAGATGTGAACACGGAAGACCCCACCTAGGCGTATGCATGGAAGAGGAGTATCATGACGGAGGCTAGATTTAGGGGTTATGTATACAGACTCGACAAAGAAAGCACACACATATAGATGTGATGTTGTTCATAAACCCATGTTCATAATGCAATCAGATGCAATAAAATGCAATAAAATGCAATAAAATGCAATAAAATGCAATAAAATGCAATAAAATGCAATAAAATGCAATAAAATGCAATAAAATGCAATAAATTAGAATGGAATTGGAATTAGAATGTCGGAATAGGATACAAGGTCTCAACTTGGCTACCCTTTGGCGGTGCTTGGCGAAAAACACATGGATGGTCTCGCAGACTTCAACGATGACGTGGGACTCCACGGATTTCTAGCATTCCCACCACATGGGACATCCATTTGAACGCGATGCGAACCGAGGGTCCGAGGTATCCATCTCGGCGAAAAGCTAAAAACCTGGGGGACTGACATCTGGGTCATGTCTAGCTAGACCTCCGCACCAGCCCGCAAAGCCCAAAGCCTAACCCGCCCTAACCCGTAAATGGGCTGGGCTTTGGGCCCGGTCTCTGGGCCTATCGGTGGCTATGGGCCTAGGGTAGAAGCCTACTGGGCTTTTATGGGGGCCTAATGGGCTTTAGATAATATAAACATACTAATCGTGCCAGGCGCCCAACACTACTCCCGTGGGTTGGGCGCCTGGCACGATTAATGCTTAGCGGATATATAAGTAATGTAGATTTTTCTAGTATTTCTAGGTATTCAGATTACCCCCTATATAAATTGACTATAGGTGTCTAAATTAACCAAATTGACTGAATTGACTAAAGAGAGATACTATTTGCACACCCCCAAAATCCACCTTTTCGCTATTTGCACACCTGTTTAAACCCTTTTAGGTAAGGTGCCTCTTGGCAACTGATTTCCCTCTGATTTTGTATTTTACACTGTATCCGCGTAGTACTCTCTGCGCCCTATATACGATATCGACGCCCCCTAGCCACATTATATTTCATACCATATCATGATATCGCTGTTGTAAAAAATGAAGCTATTCCTAGTTGCTGATCCCATACAAAAAGGGCTGATTTGATCGAGTTTTTAGGGCAGAAATGGGGGTTTTCAGTACAGAAATGAGGCTATTTCTAGTTACTAATCCCATACAAAAAGGGCTGATTTGATCGAGCTTTCAGGGTAGAGATGAGGCTATTCCTAGTTACTGATCCCGTACAAAAAGGGCTAATTTAATCGAGTTTTCAGGGTAGAAATGGGGGTTTTTAGTGTAGAAATGAGGCTATTCCTAGTTACTAATCCCATATAAAAAGGGCTGATTTGATCGAGTTTTTAGGGTAGAAATAGGGGTTTTTAGTGCAGAAATAAGGCTATTCCTAGTTACTGATCCTATATAAAAAGGGCTGATTTAATCGAGTTTTTAGGGCAGAAATAGGGATATATAGAGTTTTTATAGGGTGGTTATATAACTCTAAAATAGGTGTTGATTTTTAAAAATGGTGCTAATCGACGATTTAGCCCTACTTCGTGCTCTATACTCCGTATCTTATCTCGATATCCTTATATCTTTATATCTTTATATCTTTATATACTATTACTAGTATAGAGTATACCGATGTATCTTTGTACCCTCGCTACTAAACTATACCCCCTTTCTAGTCTTTCGAGTGCCCTCTCTAAGGAATAAGTATACTTAATAAGTGGGCTAAACTAAAAAGATTCGAAGTTATAAGGTTAAGATCTAATATAAAAGTAGTATATTTCTACTATAGTATTAGTCGTAAATATAGAGATAATCTTACCCCTACTAATCGGTAGCGGAAGCGATATATTAAAGTACTTAGGTATATATTCTATAGTACTCTCCGCCGTCGACTACTTCTTAGAGGTTTATAGGAGCTTGTGATTAAGGACTCTTAGTATTAATATCCCCCTACCGACCTATCTACGCTAAAGATATACTAATATACGGAAATCTAGCGGATACTCCCTTCTATAACTAGCTAAGTCTAGTAAGAGGTACTAACTTAGTATATCGTCGGCGCTTTACGTTAAATAGCGGAGGATAGTAATACTATATTATATATACGGAGTAGGGATATTAAGAACCTATAAGTAGGAATATAGCTACGATATCTTAAGAGTCGTACGCCTATCTAAGCTCTCCTTAAGGATCTCCCCTATAATAGAAATTAGTATATCCGCTACTAAGTATATATAGTTAATAACTCGCTAAATATCTTTTTTATTATCTATAAAATTAGTATTACTCTTCTATATACCTATCTATATATCCTATAGATAGACTATATATATAAGATTAATAAATAAAAGATACCCCTCCTAAATATTATTAGTATATCTACTATTAATAGGACTTTTTACGCTATATAGGTATTCTTTAGTAGTGAAAAAGAGATTTTATACCGCTTAGTGCTTAGTTAGCTAAAGGATATTTATTTATCCTTTTAAACTAGTACTAAGCTCCTAAGACTAATTTATACTAATACTAATAGACTATTAGTCTTATAAGATCTAATTACTACTAATTAGATTAATCGCTCTTAAAGTAGTATAGTAAATACTACTAAGCTTACTAATACCTAGCTTACTAGTACCTAGTTTACTAGTACCTAGCTTATTAGTACCTAGCTTACTAGTACCTAGCTTATTAGTACTTAGCTTACTAATACTAAACTTACTAGTACTAAACTTATTAATTTATAGACTATCCTTATAGATAAAGAATAAGTTTTATAAAATATAATTAACTATATATAGTTCCTATATATCCTATTTCCTAGAAAAAAAGCTAATAATTAATAGACTTTCCTAAATATAGATACTATACTTTATATCTAATATATTACCTATAATATAGAGAGTTATACTAGGCCTTATATTTATTATTATATCCTCTGTTAGCCTTCCGAAACCCGCCTTACTAACGATATAGTATATATTAAGATTAATATATAGTAGATAGAGATAAAGGATAACTAGTATAGTATTATCTATACCTAGGATACTAATAGTAAAACTAGAATAGAGGGTTAGTAGCTCCGGTTCTAGGATAAATATACTTACTTTCCCGAACTACTATAGTATATAGATATTAAATAGATTCGAGGGTATAGTAGGGCTTTCTTACGGTATTATACTAAGTATTTCCTATACTTTAATTAGATCTCTATATCTCGTATTAAGTCTACGTATTACTATCTAAAGATCGACTTTAACGCCTTAACTAAGGATCTACTAGCTTTTACTAAAATATTTAAATCTACGATTAAGTAATAGGCTATAGAGATCTCCTAAGAACTTACTAAGTAGTAAGGTTAAAGACTTATTAGTAGCCTCTTTCTCTTTATACTTATTAAAATAGTAGTCTTAAAAGACGCTATTATAAAGGTATAGTATATTTTTAATTACTATCTACTATATAGTACTAATAAAAAGCCTATTCTATTAATATACTCTTAGTAGTTAATATTAATAAAAAGAATACTATATATTTACTATATTAACTAGGCCTAAGAGAGTAGTAAGAGTCTCTCCTAGGCTAATTTCTACCCTTAGTAGTAGATTTAACTAGTAGAGGCTTTACTAGCCGGGACCTAGGGGGTATATATATACTCTCTAGAGCGGATAGTATAAAACCCCTATATTATACGCCCCTATAGTCGACTATCTACGAGCTCTTAGCCCTAGCTTCTATTATCCTAGGTATCTTAAGCCTTTAAGCGGTTAACTTACCGAGAGCTATTACGATTTAAGTCTATACGTACTAAGGAAACTACGATAATCCGGCGGTTAGGAAAGACGAGGTAGCTAGCATAGAGGTACGAGGATTAGACTATATAAGGGGAGACTATAGAGTTATTAGATAATAAGATCGCTATTAGCTAGGTAATATCTAGGAGGGGGTGATTAGATCTTAGTCTTATATATATTATATTAAATAGCATCTTATTTCTATACCGTATAGTAAAAATATAATATTTTTAGTGTAAAACTCCGTATTAAACTAGCGGCTAAATCGTCGATTGGCACTATTTTTTAAAAATTAACACCTATTTTAGAGTTATATAACCACCCTATAAAAACTCTATATATCCCTATTTCTGCCCTAAAAACTCGATTAAATTAGCCCTTTTTATATAGGATTAGTAACTAGGAATAGCCTTATTTCTACACTGAAAACCCCTGTTTCTACCCTAAAAACTCGATTAAATCAGCCCTTTTTGTACGGGATTAGTAACTAGGAACAGCTTTATCTCTACCCTAAAAACTCGATTAAATTAGCCCTTTTTGTACGGGATTAGTAACTAGGAATAGCCTCATTTCTGCACTAAAAACCCCTATTTCTACCCTGAAACCTCGATCAAATCAGCCCTTTTTGTATAGGATCAGCAACTGGGAATAGCTTCATTTTTTATAACAGCGATATCATGATATAGTATGAAATATGATGTGGCTAGGGGGCGTCGATATCGTATATGGGGCGCAGAGAGTACTACGCGGATATAGCGTAAAATACAAAATCAGAGGGAAATCAGTTGCTAAGAGGCACCTTACCTAGAAAGGTTTAAATAGGTGTGCAAATAGCGAAAAGGTGGGTTTTGGGGGTGTGCAAATAGTATCTCTCTTGACTAAATTAACCGTACGGAGTATATAAGATCAATAAAATTAAGATTTATAAAATTTGAGAAAAATGTAAATTAATAGAAAGATACACTAACTTCTCTCGATGTGAGATATATATATTTATATATTGATTCTATATCACCTATTGAACCCCCGTATTGGGCTAGATTAGGGCCGGCGCCGAGATCTTCCGCGGTAAGTATACAGACTCAAACATATGTAAAGAACAGACATTAATCAGCAGGTTTATAAGCGCTAAGACTATATTTATACATACAAATAGGCTTTAATGGGGGCCTTATGGGCCCCTATAATGGGCCATGGGCTTGGTTGGGCTTCGAAGGTAGGGCCCAACTAGGCCCATTGCGGAGGTCTATGTCTAGCTGCTTCTATAACATAGCTTGCTGCGGGTGACAGCGATCGACAATGGGAAAATCAAAAACAAAAAGCCGTCGAGCATCACGCTTGTCCCATTTTCGATTGCTTTAGGGACCGAGGCAGAGTCCGGGTGATCCGCTGAGGGGTTTCATGTGGATTTGTGACGATCTGCGATATCAGAACCTTTGTAGCTCCATGCTTTGTCTCGGCTGTCCCTTTATATTCTTCATGGGCAACACCAAGTCTGAACTCCTTTGTGTCGCGATTGCATGACTTCACTCTCGATTCTTTTCAATAGCGTCTGATTGTCCGCGACCAATATGGCTGCCGACAGACCGAAGTCGGGCTTTCTGGGCAATATCACAAAGGCGCAGGAGGCAAAACTACAATCGCTGTGGTCTGTTTTGCTCAAAACAGGGGAGAACTCTTGGATCAATGGACCTGTCAGCGGCTGTGTAGAGGAACATGCCAGTCCACCGCCTCCTCAAATACGACTTTCGCTGCTTGGTCGCACCCAAAGCAACGTCTCGGAAAAGGCCATCCCTACATCCAACACACCGTACTAACGAAATATTATGACACAGCTTGAAGAACTCGGTACAGGGGTACAGGATTTGAACGTGATTAAGAAGGCTCTCGCTCAGATCGCACCGGCTGAGCTGCGTACGGGCATACTAGATACCCTGAAGCACGACCACCCCGATGCTGTACTTCTACGATTCCTCCGTGCTCGCAAATGGGATGTTCCTAAGGCATTCTCCATGCTGATGAATACAGTTGTTTGGCGAGTGAAGGAGATACATGTGGATGACGATATAATGGCAAAAGGAGAACTGCATGCCCTCAATCAGACTCAAGACATATCTAGCACAAGTGAACAAAAGGCTGGGAATGATTTCATGTCTCAAATGCGGATGGGAAAGAGTTACGTTCATGGTGTCGATCGGTCAGGTCGCCCAATTGTGGTGGTGAGGGTTCGCCTGCATCAGCCCGGCACTCAGAGCCAAGAATCCTTAGAGCGATACATCGTTCATGTGATTGAATCCGTACGATTGACATTGGCTCCTCCCGTTGAAACTGCAGTAAGATCACTTTCCAACGACCTTAGGAGAAGGTGTCACTGATTAAGACTAGGCTGTGCTGTTCGATATGACAGGGTTCGGATTGTCCAATATGGTTTGTCGCTATTTCCCTTCTTACAAACCCCTTGCCATTCTGTCGCTGACTCTTTTGGTTCTTTCTTTCCTTTCCTGTAGGACTATCCACCTGTGAAATTCATTCTAAGGTGTTTCGAGGCCAATTATCCCGAATCATTGGGAATTATCCTTATTCATAATTCTCCATGGGTGTTTTCAGGTTTGTTTACTCTTTCTCGTGACTTTTGTTCTTGATCAATGTCATTTTGTCCGTTGGATTACTGAAATTTCATGGTATAGGCATTTGGAGACTCATTCGAGGCTGGATGGATCCCGAAATTGCAGCCAAGGTTCAATTTACGAATAGTGTCGCCGATCTTGAGAAGTTCATTGCTCGAGATCAGATCGTGGAAGAATTAGGCGGCAACGAAAACTGGAGATATCAATACGCGGAGCCCAGTCCCAACGAGAACTCAAAGATGAATGACACTACAACACGGGACGCTCTGAAAGCCGAACGCCAGACTATTGGCGATGAGTTTTTGACTGCCACCTCTGGGTGGATCGATGCGAGTAGATCCAAAGACCCGAGCAAAATTCAATCCAGCGAAGGCGAACGAGCTTATCTGGCTGAGCGACTCCGAGTCAATCACTGGAGACTGGATCCTTATACCCGTGCCCGTACTCAGCTCGATCGAACCAAGGTCATTCAGGAAGGTGGCAAAATTGACTTTCACCCTAAGGATATATCCGTGGGCAGTCAGAATGAAAAGATCAAGACATCCCAGCATATGGAGCATTTAGAACGAGTCAACGGGACTGAAACTCGAACTGCTTCTTAGATGTTGATGACAGATATTTAGCTCCGAATAGGGTTGAATGTTGATATGGGATTATCTTTTTTCTTCCTCCTTCCTTTTCCTTTCTTTTCTTTTCTTTTCTTTTCTTCTCGCAATATATGGACAATTATGCTTGCCAGCGGCTTAATGCCCCTGATTTTCCAGGCAAACACGAAAATGGCACACGGATACCTATATACATAGGTATGTTTCTGGCAGTATAACAGAATCCTCGCACAGTTCTTGCTTCTAGTAACACCTTTGCAACCTGGATAGTAGAGCCACAGTGCATGTAACTCTGCCTTGAGTCCTTGGCAATTAGTTCAAGTAGCAATCTTGGAACGTGTAAGACCATCTCTCCATATATCAGCGTCCGATCGTACCATTTTCACTATCATAACACATATATATTTTATGAAATTCGACTTATTAATTCGAATCGAATAAGGACAAGTTACATATAAACAGTGAAGATCTGATGACTTCATACATTCAGACTCTAGCCCATTATTTCTTTTGCAGTAAAATCGCCAAACTACAAACAAATTGTTGATTATCCTGTAGTTTCGTTCGATTCTGTGCCCTTTCCGAAAAGAGAGAGAGAACAAAAGACCCATTTAAAGGAACAATCCCCTCACGAGAGTGATTCCATATCAAGTCCGGGGGTTCATGTAAGTCGCTGCTATCTTCCCATAAGTCACGAGCAAATTCTAGGGCTTCAGATAACGCACTCACAGTGTCGAGTCTGCATGATATCTAACTTGTGCAGATCTTTTTGACATACTCCAGTCCAACTATCATGCAGTCTCGGTTTGATCAAGAGATGTTTTGATCCATCCCCTACATCGCCGATTGTCTAATTTTTATTTAGTGCAAACGGGATGCCTAGTAGGGAAGGTATAACACACGCTGACCCATTTTAGCTTTATCCAAACATCTAGTTTGTTCAATGCTGAAGACTGGCCCTTGATTTGCAGCGTGTCGTTGATGCTGTCGGCAAGGTTTGGCCCCTAGGAACCATATGCTGAAAGTTCTGCTTTTGGGTTTTTTGGTGGCTCTCGGTGCCAGAGACAGCGGGGAGCGAAATCAGTGATCATCAGACCTCCGCACCAGCCCACGAAGCCCAACCCGCCCCAACCTACAAATGGGCTGGGCTTTGGACCCATTGATGGGCTGTGGGCCTAATGGGCCTTAAATAATATAGACATGCTAATTTCTGGTAGATATATAAGTAATGTGGATTTTTCTAGTATTTTTAGGTATTTAGATTATGATGAGGCTACTGAGAGAGGGAGAGAAGAAGGAAGAAGCTATGATTCTCTGAAGCTAGCATAAACTAGGGACCATACAGTCCATAAAGACTAAGAAACTAGCAAACTAGCAACTGAAAGAATCCATCTGTCAGAGCTCAGTGTGTCAAACTAAACTGCCTGAAAGGGCAGGCATCAAGATGTGATGCAGGAACAGATTACCCTCTAAGCCCTAAATTAACCGGTTTCTTCCGCGGTAAGCTTATAGACTCGAATATATGTAAAAATTAGACATTAATCAGTAGCTTTATGAGCGCTAAGACTATGTTTATATATATAAATCGGCTTTATTAGCGGCCTTGTAGGCCCCCACTACTGGGCTGTAGGCTTGGTTGGCTTCGAAGGTAGAGCCCCTAGCCTAGTGCTGGTTGGGCTATGGGCCTAAGATCCGGGCCCAACCAAGCCCATTGCGGAGGTCTAGTAATTATACTCGTAGGTCGTTGCGAAATCGATAATTGGAAGTTTAACCAGTACATGCATTTCTTTTCACGTTAATATGTACCTAAACTTGAGCTCCGAGATCCGATCTCTTGGTCGGCTTGACGCCGTACGGTTAGACATATCTCGAGCATTGAAGTCTCAGGTGTCTGTTGCGCTCTCCAGCCAGAAACCTCCGAGCTCCGAGCTCCGAGCTCCGAGTCCCGATAACCGCCATCCATCTCAATCCTTCCTTTGACCACCATCGTCTAGCGACTTACACCATGGCAACTCCTCGCCGTAATGGCCAACTATCCTCTTGCGAGCCATGTCGTACATCGAAATTGCGATGCGATCACATAAGTCCCGTTTGTGGGAGATGTGTACGCCGCAATCTTCGTTGCACTTATCATCCGGCTCCGTTGACGCAGTCAACTACCGAAATACGCAAAAGAAAACGCCGCTTGGTAGGTGAGGCAGAGATACCCGTCAATATTGGTCGACTAGACAGTGGATCCGATATCTGGACTCGGAAAAGGACATCTGTCTCGGCCCCAGGATTTTTGGGACAAACTAGCTACTCCGACGCCTTCGCGGATACCAGAAACGAGCCTCTCGTTGGGGCTCAATTCCTTGCAGGCGATGATGATCTCCCGGTTGACCAAAAGCGCATTCATCTCGGTGCTCGAGTCTTAGTACTTCTAGAAAACCTCCCATTATACCGAGACGTGGTCACTGCTCGATTCAAAATATGGACGGGCTGGAGCCTTGGCTGGCCAATCACGAACATGGTATTCACAGTCGTTGAGAATATGTGGAATTCCCTAGAGAATGACCGAAAAGACACAAATACACGTGCTCTCCTCATGTCTCAGAGACTATTTGAAACGCATAGTCGGGTGCTGGAAGTGCATCCCTCAATGACCTGGCAGGAGTTCCAGTCTGCGACTTCTGGAAGATGGGAGCTGGTTGGTCTACTTTTCACTCTGACTGGTCTGGCCACAGACTGGGTGCCTCATGACGACCCTGTCTTCAAGCGTCGGGATACCATGGATCCAAAAAGTCTGGCTATCACCGCGACCGCGGTCGGGGACATATGTCTGCAGTTTTGTGATATCAATGGAATTGTGAACGATCTTGTGAGCTGGCTGCTATTGCATCAGGTCATACTCCTCGGCATAGTCTATGGTGAAAGTGGTGTGTTGCTCCAGTCTTTGTTGCATAGCAAGATTATCTAACGGTTTGCTTAGACTTCCGGCCGTGGAGAAAGCTGGGAGATTTATCAACAACGGTATTTGCCCTCGGGCTTCATCAGGATTCCAGCACCAAGGCTCCGTTTTTTCTTTCTGAGATGCGAAAAAGAACCATGGTCGCGGCATATACGGTAGACAAAGGGCTCGCCACTTTCCTGGGTCGCCCGCCGCTCATCAGCTGGCGTTATTGTGATATTCAAATGCCACTTGACTTGAGCGTTGATGAGATCTTCGCTGATTTAGTGATTCGCGACACTGCAATCGCCCGGTTGGACGGAAAGAGCGGATGGAATCAAGAATCAAGCTTAAAGAAGGGGGCATGGCCTCGACTCGCTTTGATCAGTAGTGTCCTTCGCGAAAAAGTCTTGGAATTGTCACTGAGTTGGCAAACTGAGAACCTCAGCCAGAAGGTCCAGTAAGCTAACAATTCAATCTCCTGCCATATTGAGGGCATAGCTGACGTTCTTAGGGATCTCTCCCACGAATGCCGCCAACTCCGACAAGCCCTTCCAGAATTTCTTCATTGGACTCGTGATGATGGCAGTGCCACTTTTTCCAGATCTCGAGTTGAAGACGATATCCTTTTCGATATCTATATAGGCTTTCTTTATAACGACTTCTTGCTTTACCGAACTCTTGGGAAGCGGACCCAAGCTCAACCCGAAGCAATCATCGGCGTTTCACGGGAGATCCTCAACGCGTTGGTCATTATGATTGCTAGGAAAACTCGCTCCGGGCATCCCATCAAAGATCTTGGTTTTAATGTAGGTTTAGCAGACCTTCAATCATGGAACAAAGCAAGAATGCTAAGATTTCAAAACACAAATTAGGTATGCTTACCAGGTCTCCCTTCTGCCGGGGTCCTTTGTGCAGAACTACTGCGTCGATCTCGCTCAACAGTGTCAAATTCTGATCTGGGATTTCCTCGCTCGGAGATCATCCAGAATTTGACCCTTTTCGCGGCATATCTGGATATCATCATTAAGCCTCATGAAGGCAACTATCGTGTCGCACAGCACGGTCGGAAAGCTATCCGCCATGTCTTGGACCAAGTCCTCTCCATCGAAGATGACCACGGAACGAGTGACAAATCGGGTCGTGACGACAACTTGCTAGATGATGTGAATATTGATGATCATGAATTGTTTCTTGGTTGGTTTGATGAGAATATGCAACATGCGTCTGATTCCTGGCTTGCGTGGGTCAATTTTACCTAAAAACCCTAGAATCTAATTAGCATAGCCTGGCACTGCTGGGATATTGGTTTTGAAATCCTAACGGAAGGATATGATGGTTCTATACATGTATGTTATATGTATCCCTTGGGTACATAATGTAGGTATTTACATACAGCCTTTTTGAGTTTTGCTGCAGAGCGACAACCATGGTTCGGACCTGTGAGAAACGCTGGAACGTTGCAGGTGGAACCTTGGAACCTTGGAACTGTAACATGCTGACATAGGACAGTAGTGGTCACGTGATACCCTTTGTTTGGCACTTGAGGTCGCAATGGTCTCCTGTGGTCATTGGGCCTCCCGAGCCCGGATGGAATCCCGAGCTTTCCCATGCTCTTTGCCTATAACGCCCCATTATCGTTATGACTGACCATTCGCCGTCCGAGCTCCAGAACAGAACAAAACGTCGTAAAATTGCCATTGCATGTGATGATTGTCGTGCAAGAAAAGTTCGTTGTGATGGAATCCAACCGAGTATGTCCTCGTTATGTCATTCGGGATGCGACCCGTGCTAAAACAATGCAGCGTGTGGACCATGCAGGAAGAGGGCCGACCAGGGCCTGCACTGTGTCTACACCGGGGAGCTGGAGAAGAAGCGAGCGAGGCAAAAGTATGTTCCCTAAATTTAATGCCTAGATCAACTAATTCATGTTTTTGTAGTTATATATCTGAGCTAGAAACTCGAATTCAGCAACTCGAAAGCCCCCAACGTTTCGAAAGGACTCATGAATCAGAATGCACGCCGGTTGGTAGATCGCAATATTACGGTTTCTCTATCTAACAGGCTCGACGTGTGTAGCGAGCAAGTATGCTCTCTCCGATACCTGGTACTTTGCAGTCCGGAACGCCCCGAAAGTATACGCAAAGCATCCCCAGTCAGGGTGGAATGGCCACACCCAACGTTCACCATCAAGGAGATGGGGTCAATGCGATGATGGGTACTGTAGAGGAAGAGCGTGCCAGTCAAGGATTCTTTGGAAGCTCTAGTGCGGCAGGATTCATGCGCCAGATCCGGACAGCGGTTGATAGAAGAATCGCATCACCTCACCGACGTCCTTCTATTCCTCACCCCAATATCCCTTCGAGCCTAATGCCTTCGCGAAGTGACAGGCATCGGTCATCAGTGGCAAATTATGTGCTTCCCCCGCGAAAAATGGCGGATAGTCTCATGGAAGTTTACTGGGATTACGTTTTCCCTTTATATCCTTTTCTTGTCCCGGCTCATTTGAAGGCTGAGTATGCGAAAATTTGGTCTGGTGATAATCTTGAATATGACGAAAATATGCTGATGTGCACGTTGAATGTCATATTCGCCTTGGCTAGTCAGTTGGCTGATTTTGTCCCCCGAAAGAGCGAGAAACATCGGCAGATGCTTTTTTCTCCCGAGCGAAAGGTCTGTTCCAGTTCAATCTCTGGGATACTGGATCCGCTGGTTTGATTCAATGCCTACTTCTCATGGCTCAATATCTCCAAAGTACAGATTCCGCGCATCAATGTTGGATTGTCACTGGGCTTGCAATCCGCAATTCTCGGAGTTTGGGACTTCATCTGCCCCAAAATATTGCCCGTTTTCAAAGTTTCCAAGACCAACAGCTAGCTCGCAAAATATGGCACGGCTGTATATTGATGGATCGGTATGCTGACCTTAACTCCCGGCGCTGCTGGCAATTTATATGATTCTGATTTCAATCTTTTTCAAGGGTAATATCAATGACATTCGGTCGCCCTGCAATGATCTCAAAGGTCTCAAGTGGCGCAGTCCCTTTACCAGCCGCCGTTGACGATGAATATATTTCATCAGGTTCCAGTGCACAGGTCTCCCAGCCCTCGAATCGGCCCTCAATGATGGCATTCTACTCCAAGTCCTTGGAGCTTTACGAGATAATGCACGATGTGCTTCTTAGTCAATACAAACCGATTTCCGATGATAGTATGGAAGATATTCATGACTTCTGTTTTGACAACGTTGCAAGCGAGGGAGAACGGACTATCTTTGAGCTTGACCGCTCTCTCACTCGATGGACACGAAGCCTTCCTCTGCACTTGCGTGGAGACTCATCAGTTATACCTGCAACCCCTATATTCTACCGGCAAAGCATTGTCTTGCGTGCGAGGTCAGTTATTTGTATCGAGGATGGATAATCTTCATGCAGCTAATCGAGATATTCCTCAAGGTTTCTCCATGTTCGGATGCTTTTATTTCGGCCAACTCTTTCCAAATATTGCGCCGTGCGGGATAACGCGACAACAGACCCGTTAGTGTCCACGACTAATTCTTTTCCACATCTTGTTGCACTGCAGTGCTCTATCATTTGTGTCAAATCTGCCCAAGAGTCCATCGAACTTATTTACAACAATGTCCCCGCTGACGGCACTGGTGGCCCGCTACCGGCTTGGTGGTATAACATTCTTTGTGAGCACAGATCTTCCTCGCGCTTTTGCTTTCCGTTCTGATATATCTAGACGTTTATACATCTGCGACTGTGCTCATCGCTGGCCGTTTGTGCTCCACAATACTTGCTGAAGTTACAGAAAGTTCCCTCACGCAGTCCTGGAACCATGCCTTGGAGATTCTTCGGAAATACCAGACTTATAGCACATCCGCTCGTCGCTGTGTGGCGGCTCTTGAGATTCTTTACGAGCAGGTTGCTTCCGAAGGTCTGCTGCCGATCAATCATGCGCCCAGTCATGGAACAGGCACCATCGCAAGTGGATCAAATGAGCTGTCTTTTGGAGAAGAAATGAATGCTGCGATCCTGGATACATTTGAATTTCCAGATTTTCAGGACATGTCATGGCTAAATAGCGTTCCAAATAATCTTTTTTAGGGTTTTTTTAGCTTCAAGATCCCGGTTTAAACACACCTACCTAGGTATCTTTGGACGCCTATTTCAAAATATTCTCCGTTGGCTCTCATTTAAGCACAGTATGATACAATGTATATCTTGAATTGCTGTTTGTCCTGGCTGAGACACATAACTTGGAATCTCCTAGGTCTTATTTCAGGGAAAACTAGGTAGACGGAAAAGCCATGGCGGGTCAAAAGCAGGAGCAGTTGCCAATCAGCGCTTCTCTGTACGGGTTGAGACAACTTGGACTGCGATGATAGGAAGTAACGCACATCCTCCGACAAGCGCCGCCATCACCCCAGCAGCGCCACCGAGTCCTAAAGTAGTGAACATACCTGGGAAATAAAAGGGGCCGACCTAGGTAGAAAGAAGTATATTAGTTGAAGGAAAAGAACAACATTTTTGGAGGAATCTTACAAATCCATAGATCTGTCGGCATACGTTCACGAAGACACCAACTTGACTAGCCCGTGCTTGTTTACTCTCCACAGCAAACGTTGTCAAAATTGTCGTCTGCATCTGGTTACCGAAACTTGCAATGGCCGCACCAACACACGGAGAAACGTTCCATGTGGTCGCATTCTGTAGCTGAAACCCCCAGGTCAAAAGTCCGGCGATTACTGTGGCAAAAGCAATATAGGAGAGCCACAGACGATCCGCCGGGCAAGATGCTCCTCTTGATTTGCGAACATGCCCTAAGAACCAATCGCATATAGGGCCACTGATTTGTTCACCCAATACGCAGCCGATGATGATAGCAATGAACTGTAGCCCGATCTGCTGAGCATCAAAGTGGAACTTCTCGCCAAATGCGATAGGCATCTCAACAATCAAGACGATGTTACCATAACAAAAGGTAATAGCATGGGCGCATGCTACCACCAGGATCCGGGGATACTTTGCCAAAGAAAACGGCGCAATGAAGTCGAGAGGTCTGAGCGACTGAGAGCTGATCTTTCGTGGGATCAGCTTGCTCCAGAAGCCAGCTTTCTCGAGCTCGTTATCTGGATTGTAGATAGTTTCATCGCCAATGGCAAGATATACCACAAGTTGGCAGAAATTGATGATAGCAAAAATCCAAAAGATCCACTGAACACCAATGTGTTTGATCACGAATCCCATGCAGAATGGACCTGCGGGAGTGCCAATGGTAGTCATCAGAGTCCACCAGCCTAGCTTCTTCCCTCGATTTTCGGATTCAGAGAGCTCTATTACTACACCACTTCCATTGCCAATAGGGGGTGAGATCAGAAATGCGGTGAGGACTCGAGTAGCCATTTGTGCACCGTAGGAAGTACACCTTGCCCCACCAATATTGCATAACATACTCCCCAGGACCGATAGCAATGTGACATGGTATCGACCATAGACGGCGGTGATGGGATTCCATATCAGAGGGGATAACCCAAGAAGCAGGATCTAGATGAAGTTTTCGATCAGCAAGTCTGCCACAGCAAAGACGCGAAGGATTTCTGGAGCAACGAGACACACTTGAGCTGATGTTAAATAACTGGCCTCTGGTACAGTGACCTGGTATTCCTTCGCGAAGGCATCATACGCAGGTATGATACCAGCTGCCATGAAAGTTCCCATCATAGAATGAAACGCTACCATCAGGATCTGCGCATTCTTCTTCCAATGGGGCCAGTTGCGGGGATTATGCGGGGATTCGTTCTCCCAGATTCCGTGATGGGAGATTTTGCACTCTCGGAACCTGATCGGGACATTTTCCAGGTGAATTGGGTCCTCGGGGACGGTATTCTTGATGTCATTGCTTGTTCTAACTCCGTTTGGGCCAATATTATCGGCAAAGTCATTCGTCATTTTGAGGTAAATGAATTGAAAAAACGAAGAAAGTGCTCAGAGAGTAAGATATTGCACCTTCTGTAGGTCTGCACGGATTCGGCTTGAAGTCGAGGTCTATATCCAAAATGCGAGGATTTGATTCAATCAAAGCAAAACCCCGTCAAGAATGCCACAACCACAGTAGAGGATGGAGGAAAGGGGGGATCTTAAATTCCATCTATTCCCCCCAGGAATACTGGGACCCCATGGGGCGACGGGGTGCCGATGGGGTGTGGGGATTTACCGACGGAGTGAGACCGCACTCATTTTGATCCACCATGTCTCCTATAAAATAATCTTATTGGAGTATCAGCCGACCAGGAACCAGTACTGATGTATATCGACTCAATTCCGCATGGGAATTGCCGATCCAGTCCTCCCAGCAACCCGAGGTTAGAGAGACGTATGCGTCGGACCTTGACCCGGAAGGCAAGCGGGATGTGACCCGGAGGACCTCAGATCCCTGAACATCCGCAGTAAGTCGATTCCTCATCCCCGTGAAGTAGTTCATAGGTTGTATGAATCCCGAGGAAGTCTGGGTGGTCCACCCAGTGATGAAAGATCTGGGGCCATGAAAACTTCTGGGTTTCAGTGAGACGCTAATTTCCATGAGTGTTTGCCATCGGGAGATCTGTCGGCAGTTTTTCTGCTTTTACGCAATTGACGTCAAAGGATTAAAACAGCACCTTAATTCAACCCTTGTTAGTCGAATTCCAAGTCCAGTCCAAGAGAGCAGTAACAGCAGCAAGACTTTGGAAATGACTACGGCTTAGAAGAACCCTGGGAGTGGTGATCTGTGGCCTGAGGCCAAAGTCGGATGCCTGGCTGGTTGCCTAAGGTTACTGCGGACCTGAGGTCGGGCATGCATCGATGTCTAATATATCGGGCAATAAGCCCACTAGGTCCTATGGTATTCCTCTACCTTATATCTCCTACTTATGTATCGACCTTATGAACTTAAGAACTAAGCTAAGCTGTAGACTGAGAGAGAAGTCCAACACTTATATATGAAGAAACAGATACTGTATCAACGCCTATGCAGAAGGCATCTTTAGGGACTTTGTTCGCCGTGACGCTATCATTCGTGTAGGAAAGCAGACTATAATGTATGAGACTAGGCACCCGTAGTATCGGCCCTACAATTGACTAAGCCCTGCCCAAAGGTCTATCTTTAGCCTAGCTGCATAGATTTTTCACGTGGAGTATAACATAACGGATAACTAGAACATCCATTTCACGTTAAGTTCGAAATAGATGTACAGCTGTTACAACCGAACGTACGCGGAGTACGAATACGGTGTGCATATATCTTGTAGCACATATCGGGTATTTAGGTTGGTAACCTGACATGACGACCAGTTGGTCGTCATAGTGGCTCTTTTGGTAAACGCTCTACCTTACCATTACTTCCTAGTTTTGCAGTGGTGTCAGGCCCACTTGCCTTAACAACAGCAGGGAACTGCCACATTAACCCTACACTTAGAGGTTACAAAGACCGCAGCAGGCACTGCCGATATATGAAATCCTGCCAGGCTACTCCGTATATATCTATATATATACCTACGGACTTATAGATACGAACCCCACACTCGAAGGCCATTTCAACATTCGTGCTAGTCCCTCACCCTTTTCATGGGGTTTAATCAATGAAGCAGTAAAATCATACAGTCCGCCATAAGCTACTAATAGGTTAGGGTCAGAATAGAGTTCCTACATATTAGTTATATATTGGCTGTATCTATTGTACGCGATTATACTTACCTTTCATTATAACAGACACCTAGACCCCCGATAAAGTTTGTATACAATAAAATGCGATCTGGTCAGAGATACTATGATATTGTTTTGATATGAAGCTTATCGCTCTATAAATCGAATGTTTCATTTACTATCCCACTTCAGATTCTAACGTATACCGCATGTTCCTCCGGAATATCTACATAGTAGGAAAATCATAGGATGATAACATGAGAAGACAATCACCGGCTCTCTTCCTGTTGGGTTCTGCGAATTGCAAGTACCTATCAGGGAAATTACATACGTGGACTCGAACAAAACGAGGTGTGGAATCAGCATTCGCTAGACAAGATAGAGCTAAGACGCTCTCTTCGTATTAAATTAAAGCAAGGGCCTTCCATTTTCGATATAAATAAATACATATGGTTAAAAGTCCCAAAGACTAGTGACAAACAAAAGGCAAAGGAATGGCAAGATCCACTCTCGGAGACCCAAGTTCCACAATCAGGGAGATTCTGGCTTGGCGAGGGTGGAAAAGAGAGGCCCTTGATGATGTTGTAAGTGTACATTGAATGATGCTCATTCTGCTCCCTTCCCGCAGAGACCGCCATATTTGACAAGGTTGGTGGTCATTGATATGTCCATGGCGGAAAGGTTATCTATGATGTGCAATTTACAGCAAGCCGCCGAAGCTGACACAGGGGAGAGCAACACCGACAAGATTGCCGTTCTGTGTGAAGGTTAGTCTGGTGGTTGTTGTCTCAGAATAGGGAAGCACATACAGCCTGGGAGTTGGAGTTCTGGCAACAGGCAATGTTTTGTTGGCAGTTCTTCTTGAGGAAGTCGGTCAGACCGGCAGCACCGAGAACTAGGTGATGGTTAATTCTGTTCTTCGGTTCATGGAGATTTGTTACGCACCGGAGACGGGAATGTCAAGTTGAGTGCAACCCTGGCCAACACCAAGACCCTCGCTGCCAATGGCACCGAGGACGTTGGAGAGAACACCGATGTTGTTCTGGGTGACGCCCTCATTCTTGTTAATCTTGTTGCAGCAAGACATCTGAGCACCATCACCGCACTTGTTGACAGCGTTTTCGACCTCGTTCTCGGAAAGGGGAGCAACGCCAGCGGCAGAGCCGGAGCCAGGCAAAGCCATGGCGGTAGCAGCGAAAAGGAAAGCAGGGATGAAGAACTTCATTTTGTATTTTGGCAGGACCAAGGGTTGATTGAAAAAAAGAGAGTAAGTGTGATTAAAGGATTGAAATAGTTGGAATATGACCGAGTTGGATGGGGATGAACAGCCCTGGGATGCTCATGGCCTTTATAGGTTTTCTCAAGCTCACTATGTTGTATGAGCTCTACCTTCAACTCAGATTGCTCGTCAAACAGGCCTGAGTATTGGAGCATACCAGAGGCTCCCATTACTGCATGAGAGTGGGTGATGCCGAGGATGGTAAGTGACGGGCATGAATTATTGCTTCTGGGCGGCAAAGTAGGTCTTGGCCAACATGGATTATGCGCTCAGTGATCCATCTTCAGCTTCACGATGGATGTATCCAAGTGGTTCCCCCTGTCGATCCATGCACTCTGCCGTGATATCTCCCATAGGCAAATGGCAAAAGTTGACAGATGCATAAGGATACTCCGTACTCCGTACCCCGTGAAGATCACACAATCACATAATACAACTCTCCTAAAACCGGACGCCTTGCTACTAGAGTATGCTTTGCTAATGGCAGCACTACTCCGCACTCCGTATTTGGCTTTTGCTTTTGAATCTGAATCTGCGTGTGACGTCTGCGTTCCCCGGGTGGATGTCGATGTGATCTATCACTTCCCATCACACCGATCTTCGATTTGGTTGGGCCAATTTTTCTTCAGCCCCGAGAAGAATAAAATATCTACGGAGTACTCCGTACGGAGTACAATTTGCTTGTTCTTTAGTGGAAATCAATAGTCGCATGCACAGTGGTGTGGGAACCTCCTGCCTTGTGCATCACACAGCCCTGTCAGCCACATCTCCAGGCCGAATACGAACTACTCCGGAGAGAGTGATCTTCAAGTCCCCGAAGAATATTTGCAGGATAGACGAAACGCGTGAAAGTTCGGGTTGATCGTGCTTCATAGATCACTCCATATAATAAAATCGAATTCATTTGCTATTTGCCAAATGGTTCGAGGTCTTACCATAAATATCTTCAGATGTAATCTACATGCATGGTTGCCATATACCTATCATAAAGTCTCCTGCAGACTCCCTTGCCTACCATGTAAAACACTCTTCCACAAATTTAATAGAGCGGTAGCCTTGCCGCATTGCATCATGTGTCGCGGCGCGTGCCTCATTTGCCATTTCAGGTGGGCCACAGACGAGAATCGCAAGGTTCGAACCAGCTGAGCACGCATCGGAAGCCCGCGTCATGATCAAGGATTGAAGGTGAGGCCGGCCTGACTGGATCTCATATCCAACATCGCGAAGATCGTCGGAGCATACAATGGGATCACGAGTAGCGTAAAAGGACGCACGGAAGTCATCCCGTCCCAGCGCGGGCTTTAGTTCCCGGCTGGAAACATCTAGGATAAACGCTGCTTGTCTCGTGGTCCAAACAAGCTCCATTTCTCGGACTCTTGTTTTCTCATTTTCGGGGTTATCGTCCCATCCTTCGACAGACCGGCGTAGATGATCCTGAATATATGGCACCGCCGACGCAATTCCCGTCCCACCCACGACAATCAACACTGATTCATACCTCCATAGTGGGAATGTTTCTCCATATGGGCCTTCAAGGAGGATGGTTGTCTCAGTTATCTCGGCTGGTGAACTCAAACATTGTTGTCGCAACCTTTGGGTCCAACCGTCATAGGGGCGGATCCAGAAAGTCAATTTGAGCTTCATAAGTCCTTTCTGGCCCGAGGGGCCATCCTTTGGGAAGCCTTGGTAGTCTCTGTCGGAGGGTTCGGCTGCAAGCAGCGGCACATGCGAAATGTCAAGTTGTTTGACCAGCTTGGTCGAAGTTGATGTCAAAGATGTGCTATCCCCTAACTCGTAAGACCAAGCTCCAATGGTGAAAGGATGGCTCTCCCAGCCAGCGAGCCGAAAGGGCTGGTATAAAAAGTAGTACTGTCCTGGGGACGGTTGTAAGGAAGGCATGCCCTGCGTGACCTCCAACCGCACTACATCGCTTCCTACGTCGTAGGATATGCGACTCAGAGAGCCGCTCACCAGACTTTCGTTTGACTTCTTCACGTGAAGGTTGCAGTAACATAGCCGTACGATTCGAAGAAATCGATCGACGACCCATATAGCTACCGAAGGCCAGAGGTACTGCCAGTACGCGTTCCCTTCGAATATCACTGTGTGGCTATCAATAGTTAGAAGGAGGGGGTTGAAAGAGAAGAGAAAGATTTGTCGGACTGTAGCACTTACTAAAAGCACGCTACCAGGGTGATAATCGAAAGCACGACATGGGCGATCAGAAATAGCTCATATGTCGCAATTCGGATCCGATCCAATGAGGTGATCAACAACAAAACCATGATCAACGTGCCCTAAGACGTCGTTTAGTCACTCCCCTTGCAGTAAGACCGGGGGGGAATAGCAGCGTACTAAGATACCCCACAAAACATACGTTTTCGAAATACCCTTCCAGGCTTTGCCCGCTATGATTTGCAACATCTGTAAGTGTTTTAACCTGCATTGGTGGTGGATGAGCCCTCACTTACTTTGGATGAACATGAAGAAGTAGAGGATAGAATGCACGACTGCCTGTAAAGTCGCAATCCGCGCAACATGGCGATGGAATATATTAAACGACGCAAAGCTCCACCCGGTCGCCCACTGGAAGATATTATTCCGTCCGCCAAAAAGCCACAGAAGGGGAAAATTCGCGAACGACATGATTCCAGTGCGATCTGCTGAGTAACGCAAGATCTGACTTGGGATATCGGGCCAGCTTAATTATCTGTTAGCATGATTGATGTCTCATATTTAGTTTCGTCACGTACTAGATGTTTCCAGGGAAGATTTCGTAGCCCACAACACTCAGTACGATACTGATCATCCAAAATCCCATGACTATGAGTGCCTCGGCTCTCGTTGGGAATGTGCAGCCTAGCAGATATCGACGCTTTGTTGTTGCCAGAGGAGATGGAACTATCAGATGTGTGTCAATCCAGTGAAGCCCTGTCCCCACCCACGGGGTATTTTCTAACATCCTCGTCAAAGGATATATATTGGATTCTAGCGCGCGCTCTGTGTGACGTTGCCGGCGGTAGAACATCCAGTTACTCCATCGATACAGCATGCCCATAAACAGTATACCACCCCAATAGGCATAGCCAATATAGCTGAATGGTCAGTTTCTACGTTGTGCTTGACGGCTTGCACAGACTTACCCAAATGCATGATGCGACCAAACTTCAAACTCCCAAGATGTCTAGAATGTTCGTAAGTTTATCTCTTTGCAATTGAAGAGCGCCATAAGGACTCACAATTGTCTTGAACATCAGCTCAAAGTAAGATGCGGAGAGAAGGACTGGCATGATCACTGGTTCGGTTCCTGATAACTCCTGATAATCGATCGTTCTCATGTTCCGTATTGCATCCGCTGTCAAATGCTCGGCGACTGCTTCCCTGGATAGAAGCTCCTGGCTCACAAATTGCTCACATTGTTCAGCCAACTGAGCCAGGCCTATCGCCCGTTCTTGCTCATTGCAGTATATATCTGACGCGGCATATATTGATGCGACTTTCAATGGATTCCGACATCCAGCCTCCCAACCTTTCATGGGAAGGCCGGCAAATGAGATATAGTTGTATGCTGAGAAGACAGTCGTCACACACCGCTCCGTTGAACCGTTGGCCCAGGCACCCTGGAAAAGTGCGATAAACACCCAACGGGGTAGCATAATGAGCTCCTAACTCGCAGGGTAGTTCGAAAGTGAGAAAATGGTGGGAAAAGGGAAGGCGGAGCACCGGCAGTAAGCCGAAAATCGTACTGATCAGGTGGAGCCATGTGGATCAGAAGTCTCTTAATAGGTATTCTGGATACTTAGACCCTTGGGATCGTGTCGAAGAAGTTCCCAGATGATGCGAAGGGGAGAAAAGAGGGGATTCCTATCTCAGGATTACATCTAAAACAAATAAAGAAGAAAAGCAAGCGAAGGAAGAAAAAAAAGCTAGAGGTGAGTTTATTTCGAGGAGACTCGTCTCGCCAAAAAGACTGCAATGTCTTGACAGCAGAAAATCTGACCAATCCGATCCACCTCGGATTTCCCTGGTCCTTTCCGCGTACAATTAGGTCCTCGGGGACCCTCGTCGAGCGTTGTCCCTCTCGACGATGGAAATCTCAATGAAACTTGAAATAATAAGATGAAGTTCTTAGTGATGTATTTCTACCTGATGATTGTAAAGACTGAAAGGTTCTCTCCGAAGTTGAGTCCTCGAGACTTGGCGGTCTGACGAATTCGGCTAAAAGAAATACGTCGTCCCTCCCATGTCTTATCTGATCTGATTGATTAGGCAAGGGCCACGTGATACGCCGATTGGACAGCCACCGACGGACATAAGGGGCCTTAAACTTACAAGGTCACTCACTTTTTATAGCGTCGAATATGAAAATGGTCTCCTCTTGTTGTCTTGCACACGATTTTCGTTGTTAATAAACATATGACCGGTATGTTGCAAGTATCTGTAGTGGACGTGTACCCTACGGATTACATGTAGATACACCTACAACTGATCGTTGAAACGCCAGCTTGGCGTTTTAGAAGCCAAATCTCCTGTTATACCCGATCGCTTAATGTTACGACTAATCGTTGAACCATTCATCTATTGAGGCAATATAGGTATGTAGCCCTTTGGTCTTTTTAGGAAAAGTTGACCAAGAACACCGATCATGTGATTTTACCCCTCGTTTTGACACCTGAGGCACTAAGTAACAAATCTTCTCTTGCTGAAACATCCATGTGCTACTCCACTCATAATGGACAGCCATATACTCCCCACTGATATCTCTATCAATCCTTAAATCGTCAATATCAGACTATTGCTCTCCTTCCATTATGGTCTAGTCCACGGAGTAGACACAAGCGTATCTCTGGGAGATCCACCGGCAGAATACCGGGCGGTCGAGAATAATGATGTCATCCATTTCTTTTTCAGATCCATCGCGGGGGTGCAACAACTGTGCGACTGAACCCCAGATAATTGAACTAACAGCCACCATGGGGGGAGGGGACCGAATTCCAGCAATGAATAAACAAATGGCACCATCTGATCCGGGGCAAAATTTATATCTTCATGCCGTCGTCGATCTAGGCAGGTAGGTATACCGCATTCTCCGGGTATATTTGATGTGGGATTGTTTGCTGACATTCATACAACAGTAATGGCATTCGCTGTTCGATTTCCGATCTCTCACCTCCAAGCACTCGAGTCATCCCTACAGTACACTTTCATCGGGTCAATATCTCACTCTACGAGGCCCAAATTGACCCCGAGTCGGGCAGCCGAATTCCTATCCCACAGCAGGTTATCGACCGAATCGTCAGTGCCATAGTTCGATTCCAGATTGTTTGCACGGAACTCAGCGTGCCTGCACAAAATATTCGAATCATCGCTACGGAAGCAACTCGGACTGCCATTAATGCCTCTGCGTTCATCGATGCCATCTGCCACAAAACAGGGATTGTGGTGGAAGCCCTAAGAAAGGAGGAAGAAGGAGTTATTGGAGCTTGGGGAATCGCTAGTAGTTTCTCAGATGTGGAAGGACTTGCGCTGGATCTGGGGGGTGGGAGCATGCAGATGACCTGGATCACTTCTCACACAGGCAACGTGCGCATGAGTTCCCAAGGATCGGTCAGCTTTCCCTACGGGGCAGCTGCATTGACACAAAAGCTGGCAGAGCTAAAAAGACACAAAAATAAAGAGGAAGCGCGGAGAGCTCTTGAAAATTTCCGCAGGGAAATGGCTGACAATTTTTGCGCCGCGTTTGATACTCTTGGTGTCCCTGAGCAGCTCATTCGAAAGGCTCGCGAGCAGGGCGGCTTCCCTCTTTATCTCTCAGGTGGTGGGTTCCGGGGTTGGGGCTATCTTCTGTTATATCTCCACCAGACCAGAGGTCAAAGTTACCCCATCTCGATTATTAACGGATATTCCGCCCCCAAGAAGGATTTCGAGGACACCGAGACTCTCAAAGAGGTGGCTCGGACAGCACACGAGATCTTCCGGGTCTCTGACCGGCGACGCAAGCAGGTGCCCTCGGTCGCCTTCTTGGTCAACACGCTGGCCGACTCACTGCCCCATGGAATTAAAGAGGTCCATTTCTGCCAGGGAGGTGTACGAGAAGGAGTCTTGTTCCGTGAAATGCTCCCAGTTGTCCGCCAGCAGGATCCCTTGGAGGTTGCCACGGCTCGATATGCACCGCCCTCGGCCCAGGCGCTGGCCGCTTTATTGCTATCGGCCCTCCCGCGACCATCTGCCAGCCGATCGTTCCCATCTTCCATCAGTCTCCATCTTGTTCAGGCCTTTGCCAATTCACTCTACTATCACGCTACAATGTCCAAGGAACTCTCCTCTAGTGCAGCCTTATACAGCACTAGTACTGGTTTTTTGGCCTCTACGCATGGAATTCCACACGCCCATCGCGCTCTCCTGGCACTCATGCTCCAGGAGCGTTATGGTGGAGAATTACCACCCAGAGATATGGAGTTGAAAACACACCTCCAGGGGATATTAACCCAGGAGGAGGTTTGGTGGACTCGTTATTTGGGAAAGCTTGGCCTTGTCCTCAGTCAGCTGTACCCAACGGGCTCTATTGACACCTCTAAGCCTCGGATTCTTCCATCGGCGCAATGGAAAACCGATTTAGGGAAGAAAGGCAAGAAAGAGGGCATGGAATTGATAATTGCCATTCAAAAGGTTGCTTACGACCCGACCCACCTGAAGCAAGAGCTTGAGCATGATGTGCAGAAAATCCACAAGGTCGGAAAACGAAAGAATTGGATCGGCGGGCGAAATGGCTGGGGCATCAAATTAAGTGTCAGAGTGTTGGAAGAGGATTTATTAGCTCGGTGAGTCAAGAAACGCGCGCCACGGAATCTTCTTCCATTATAAGTGTCAGTAGGACCTGATTTCCATCATCTCTTGTCATTAGTCCTTGTAGTATAAGCTTGAAAGATCTACGGCAGATATTGAGGGAGATTCCAGCCAATGATTATACATAGTCCATCGTGATTCCCTTCTAAAATCCGTATCCATTCTTCTTGCACCCGTGGGTTTGTGAGCCTGACTAGGCTGACAACCTTTGGGTCTTTTCAAAGCTTCTTCGCGGGGGTTCCAGTACGAAGGCGAAGCGCAATGTGGGCGAATGACTCGCGGGATACTGGATCCTGGCATCTTTTTAAATCCTGGTAGGGGATAATCGACTTCACTCTGAACCAAAGGATCAAAGGCATCTGGTAAGTAGAAACATAACCGTTCAGATGAACTACGCAGTACTCGAGCCCAATGACCGTGGGAGACTCCCAAGGTTGCCCCTGCACTCTGTACCCGTGTAAAGCTGATGGCTTGTCCCACGGATTCAGTCCGATGTTGCATCCGAATGACACCTCGAGTTGTTGGTGGAATCTAATCTGATGGTGTCTTATTTATCTGATCCTTTCTCTCGCTTCCTTGCTTCCTCCTACTCCATCTCATCATGGCAGTCACCGCGAACAAAGATCTTGGTGCCCTGGCAGAAACTGTTCGGGAAACGGAGGTCCAAAAAGGGAATAATACGGATTCTGGTAATTCCTTTTTGCATGGACTTATCTTATGATTCTGACATCGCCGCAGATGCAGATTCACAGACCGATCTTTTGCGAGCTGCTGGCATAGGCCTTGCTGAAGATGATCCTGCGGAGCCCATTCTCACCTTGCGTATGTGGGTGCTAGGAATTGCTTTTTGCATAATTGTCAGCGGACTGAACACACTGTACACTCTCCGTACACCGTCCTTGACAATTTCGGGCGCCGTGGTTCTCTTGCTGGCCTATCCACTGGGAAAACTATGGGAGAAAGTCATCCCAACATGGACCCTCCCGCTAGGTCTGTGGTCGTTCGACCTCAACCCGGGACCTTTCAACACGAAGGTAAGTTCTCTCGACACAAGCTCCACATTCAATCTAAGATAACCCCTTCAGGAACATGTGTTGATCTACATCATGTCTAACCTCAGTATCTATGTTCGTCTGGGTGCCGATGTTCTGACAGAGCAGCAAATGTTTTACGGTTACAAGGCAGGATGGGGATTCCAAATTCTCATTACCCTCTCTACATTCCTTGTCGGATTCTGTCTGGCCGGGTTATTCCGAGCTGTGGTAGTTATTCCTAGGGAGTTGATCTGGCCTGGAGTTCTGGGAGTGACTGCCTTAACCACCACTCTTCATCATATCAATCAGAAACAAGTCCAACGGTAAAAGTAGCTCCTGAAATCGTGATTTTGTTCCACTAGGACTGATCAATGATAGGTACAATACCTGGAAAATCTCCCGTTATGCGTTCTTCGCCATGGCATGCTGCCTTTCGTTCTGTTGGTATTGGTTCCCAGACTTCCTCTTTCCGGCACTTAGTTATCTCAGCTTTCCGTGCTGGATCAAGCCAGAGAACAAGGTGGTCAATCAGATATTTGGAATGCGTTCAGGAATGGGCCTTTTGCCTCTGACTTTTGATTGTGAGGGCCCTCATGTTGCGAGCTAATCATTCCGCTGACGAGCTTGCAGGGAGTCAAATATCCTATGTTGGGTCTCCCTTGCTCATCCCCTGGTGGGCAATTCTCAACGTCTTCGTTTCTCTGGTGTTCTGGGTCTGGATTGTGGCGGTTGCTTGTTATTATGCCAATGTGTGGAACACGGGGTATCTTCCTTTCCAGAGCTCTCAAGGTACAGTTCATCCGTTTCAACTCTTGCGATCACCAGGCCTGACCGGCTTCCACAGTATTTGACAATACTGGCCAAATTTACAAGGTCAAAAAGATCGTCAATGCGGCTTCAGCCTATAAGCTCGATGTCAAGAAATACCTTTCATACTCACCGGTAGACTCCATATTCTCATAAGCCCCATATTGAACTTAGGCTGACTTGAGGGAATACATAGGTCTATATGCCAATCACCTACGCGCTGAACATGTTCGGGCTGTCATTTGCTACCCTAAGCGCTCTTCTTGTTTGGGTACTTCTCGAAAAGCGTCATATCATGGCCGACGCTGCCAGACGCGTCCCTCGACTGGTTATTGCGTCTCTTCCCGGCCGTTTCAAAGAGCATGCTGAGGACAAGAGGGAAGACTGCGATGTGCCCATGTGGTGGTACCTGATTTGCTGCGTTTTGGCCTTGTTCATGGCAATGTTTGCGATTGAATGGTGGAACGTGGAATTAAGATGGTACGGTGTTTTGCTGGCATGCGCTGTCGCGTTGGTATTCTACCCTCCGGTGAGTTGATCTAGAGTGAAGATTCACATCATTCATCTCCAACTCACGTGTCATAGTTGGCCCTAGTCTATGCAACATCTAATCTCAAGATCAATATCGACATTTTCTGTCGTATTGTGGCCGGTTTTGTCTTCGAAGGCAAGGTCCTAGCTAATATCTGGTTCTTTGACATCGGTTATATCACGACCATCAAGGGTCTTTACTTTGCACAGGATATGAAACTAGCATACTATTGCCATGCAAGTACCCACCCCTTCCGCTATGGGCGAGTTGTATTAATATGCTGAAGATTCCGCAACGAAAATTGTTTTTGGTCCAATGCGTTGGGATGATTGTGGGCACGCTCTCCTCACTCGGCGTCCTTAATTGGGCCATGAATCATATCGGTGGGATTTGCACCAGCGCTGCTGTCAATGGCTTCAGTTGTCCCTACTCGAGCACCCACTTTAACACTTCTCTGATCTGGGGTGCAGTGGGGCCTCGACGCTATTTCTCCAGCCAGGTTGGCTATTCCACTTTGCTTTATTTCTTCATCATTGGGGCCATATTGCCTCTACCCGTTTATTATCTGACTCGCCGCTACCCAAAATCGCTGTGGCGAAAGGTTCATGTCCCGCTGTTCCTCGGTGGGTTGAATTACCTGCCCCCTGCGACCGGGATGAATTACGGCAGTTGGGCAGTTATCGGGCTCATCTTTGGCTTGCTTATCCGGAAGCGTCTGCATAGCTGGTGGAGTAAGTACAACTTTGTCCTGAGCTCAGCCATGGACTCATCTGTGGGAATTGCTGGTGTGGTGATTTTCTTGACTATTTACTTCACTGGAGCTAGCAAACATTTCAACTGGTGGGGAACAGAGGTCCACAAGGTATGATAGGGCCTCCTCAGCTTGATCCCTCACACTAACTCGGATCAGAATACCTGCGACTGGAAAGGCTGTGCGCATCTCTCTCTGCCCAAAGGGGGAAGGTTTGACGCATAAACCTCACGTTTTGCTTCTCGGACGCCCCCCATCCGGCGTGCTCTGTGGTCGGTGCTTGAATTTTGGGGAGGTTCAAGAAAATGAGCATGTTTTGCACCGCACAAGGCATCTGGGTGGGATTATTGACCTGCAACCCTCGACCGGTCCACTTTCAACAGCTGGACAGCCCAATATGTCAATGAGATCGTAACTATACCTAGGTAATGATAATGATAATCACAGCGCAACGATCACTATTCTCCCTCCTCCTCGAGCTATGGGATCCACGAATGAACGGATTCATCAAATCCCACGGATACGGAGTAGAGTGGCTCAAATTTGTAATGCTGATGAGCCATAAGTAGGATACCTAAGATACCTGCATATCCATACATGTAGGCAAAGTGCAGCCGAGGATTGGATACATACATGTACTTCACATACCTATATATATGTACATGTACATGTACATAGGGTATGTATGTACCTGCATATAGGTATATCCTACCTCTACATACCTAATGCAAGGTAGCTCCAGTGCAGAGAACCAAAAATTACGAAACATCAAGAACCACGGGCAAGTCGTATTAGCACGTGTAATCCTATTGTTAGAATACGTGTATTTAACAGTGGGGCCACCGTATCCCGAGGTCGCCGATGACGCCGATGTCGGGATTGATTAGATCAGTCCGATTGATTAGATAGACAATTCTCGACATCATGTGGAGGTACATGTACATGTATATATGCTGTGCATGTACTCCCTACTTACCTGTAGGTTTAGATGCAGGTGACGATGTGCGCATATATAAAAACACCGGGTCTTTTAGGGCTGCAGTCTCTGACACAGACGATCCGGATTCACAACCCTTGCCCCGCTATCTATTTTTTTAAAAAAAAGAATTAAGACAAAAAAAAAGGAACGGCGTGTGGTACCAAGAACCATGTCAATCGGAACCAATGTCTCGACCAAAACCACCTGCCCTTTGCTCTTATAGACTCCACCTCAAGACACTGATTGATAACCGCAAATTCTGCAGGTTATCTGATCCTAAGTGGGGTCTGTGCCACGAGGTTTCTTCAGTGATCAAAAACATGGTGGGAACACCCTCGGACTCTGACAATCAGTTTAGGAATGTCTACTACCGTGACAGGAAACTACCTAGGTATATTGGTACAAGATGATCGGGGACAGAAACCCCCCTCTCCCACCCCCAATTTTGAAATAATAATAATTCAAAGGTTGTATCCCTTTCTTTTCACGGAGAATCGCCATATCCGTTGTCAGTCCACCCTCAAAAGCCAAAGTAGGAGATACCACCGGCGTCTGGAGCCAGCCTCTGACATCCTCCAACGATATGACCTTGGATCAACTTTGCCCCGACCTATCTGCATGTTTCCCCGGCGACATATTTGACCTGCCATGATGCAGGGACCAGACCACCTAACACCTCGGGGCTTGTGTATTGCCAAGATTCGCTTGAAGTCCAGAGTGGAGTGTAAAACGCCAAGATTCAGCATCAGAGCCCAAGCCCTGAAAGAACCGTGAAATTACCAAAACCTCCGAGATGTGGAGCCTTTTATCTGATGGAATTAATTTAGTGGATTTCGGGATTTTATGTGCGAAATTTGGCGGTATTGTCGGCTACATCTATAAACCCGGCCTTTCCCTGTTTTTCCCTCAATTTTCGTCAAACTCATCATGGCGGCCCCGAGAAGTGTACAGCGCTTGCAGCAGACGCTGTCGCATATTCAGCCTGCCAGTCCGCAGCTCTCTATTGTCGCCGGCCCAACGGAGCCAGCGTTGCTGGACATCACCTTGGGCGAACTGTTGACTCTCCAAGCATTGCAGTATGGAGGAATTGAGTGCTTGGTCTTCCCTTGGACTGGTGCGCGATGGACCTACGGCCAACTGAAAGATGAGACCGAACGTCTGGCTCGGGGAATGTTGGCCTCGGGAATTCAAAAGGGCGATCGCATCGGTATTATGGCCGGTAATTGTGAGCAGTACATCTCGGTATTCTTTGCGGCCGCCCGAGTTGGAGCTATCCTGGTGGTTTTAAACAACACGTACACCCCCTCCGAGCTATATTATGCTCTGAACCACAGTGGTGCGTGATACCCACTTTCCATATTACTGTCCCCATACTGATCTCTTGTGTTCTTTTCGGGCATTTCAGGATGCCGCATGCTTTTCATGACACCTCGCATTGGACGCCATAATCTTGAAGAAGTCCTGACTGAACTCGGCCCGAACCCCAAGCAAGCGGCAACTTCGGAATCACTGGAGGAGATTGTCATCCTCCGTGGAAGTCACAAAAACTTCGCTACCTACCAACATGTCGTCGAGCGCGGCTTGTCGCAAGCAGCACATGTGCTTCAGGATCGCGAGGCCGAATTACGGCCGAGTGATGTCTGCAATTTGCAGTTCACCAGTGGCTCAACGGGCAATCCTAAAGCTGCGATGTTGACACACCAGTATGTGGAACGAGTCAACCCAGTTCTTTTGGTTCAACAATCGCTAATCTCAGTGTAGTAACTTGGTTAACAATTCGCGATTTATCGGCGATCGTATGAACCTCTCGTCCTTCGATGTTTTATGCTGCCCGCCACCTCTGTTTCACTGCTTCGGGCTGGTCCTGGGCATGCTTGCGGTGGTCACGCATGGGTCCAAAATAGTCTTCCCCAGCGAAACATTCGATCCCAAAGCAGTTTTGCATGCTATCTCGGACGAAAAGTGCACCGCTCTCCACGGTGTGCCTACCATGTTTGAGGCGATTCTTGCAGTTCCCAAGCCCTCGAACTTTGATACCTCGAACCTCCGCACAGGTATCATTGCTGGAGCGCCAGTCCCGCGACCACTTATGAAGCGCCTCTTCGCAGAACTGAATATGACCGAATACACTAGTAGCTATGGTATTATCCCTTTCCATCCATCTGCCTCACAAGTGTGCTAACCCACCCTCCAGGTCTCACGGAGGCATCCCCTACTTGCTTTAATGCCTTCACCACCGACAGCATCCACACAAGATTGACCACGGTCGGAAAGGTTTTACCACATGCTCGCGCGAAGATCATTGATGCACAGGGTAATATTGTCCCCGTCGGCCAACGTGGTGAGCTCTGCATGGCTGGCTATCAGCTCACCAAGGGATACTGGCACAACCCAGAGAAGACAGCTGAGGCATTCATCACCGATGCCGAGGGTGTGAAATGGCTCAAGACCGGCGATGAAGCTTCCTTCAACGCGGAGGGATATTGCACTATCACTGGTCGCTTCAAGGATATCATCATTCGTGGTAAGTCAGAATTCCATGTGCATCTCGACCGGCACGTTTTCTGACTCTGAGATCTTATAGGCGGCGAGAACATCTATCCTCTCGAGATTGAAGAACGATTGGCCGCGCATCCCTCAATTGAGCTGGCATCTGTGATTGGTATCGCTGACCCAAAATACGGCGAGGTTGTTGGAGCGTTTATCGCACTCGCTTCGGGCGCCGGTCGCCCGACCGACGATGAGCTGCGCGCATGGACTCGCGAAACTTTGGGCCGACACAAAGCGCCGCAGTACGTGTTTGTATTTGGCGAAGAGGGGGCTTCCAGCACGGTTCCTGTAACGGGGAGCGGCAAAGTCCGCAAGGTGGAGCTACGTGATATGGCGATGGCAGTGCTGGCCGAGCGCGAGAAGGCATAAACGGGGGAACGAAAAAAAGAAGAAGAAAGAAAGAAGCACGTGTTGTACAGTCTTCGTGTTGATCTATAGGTAGAAACTCGATTTACATAAAGTTCGGAATAATACCCCAATCCCTTGAACAAGCCCTCGGCTGAAACGATTTAATTAAGTGGATATCTTATCAGATTTCATTTTGATTGGCTCAGTCCCTCGCTTGTACCCAAGTGAAAGCAAATAACGGTGACGAAAGGCGGGTCTTGCAGCGAACTTGCGCCATTTTCCTCGCCAATGATACTGTCAGGTCCGACCGCAGTCCATGTCCACCCGAGCACCTGCTGAAATCAGATTAGATGTCCATCTTGTCTGATCGATGATCGCTGCTCTTTTGGGCTGGTGGCTGTTTTGAACCATGGAAGCTGGAAAGTGTGGCTGTTATTTACCGTATCGGTATTACGTCCTTACGGCCCGAGGTCTTTTGTTATGTAGGTTAGGTAGGTACCAGATACATAGTCACCTAGGTACATGGTACGAAGTAGTATAGTCCATTATACATCATAGCACACTACCTACATGTAGTAGGTACTAGTATGTAGGCTGATGTAGGGCAGATAGGGAATGGCCGCGCAGACGAGAAAGCTTCTGACATGTATACCTAGCATCACGTCGGTGCATTCCTTGTGTTTGCCATCCGCACACACAGAGGTAACCTTCAAACACTCGGTTGTCGGCAATGAGAATGCAACAATCGAATACAAGGGATCTTTCATCCTAAGATCTGACAATACGAGCCAAGACGTGAACACGGGAACTGTATATCCGAGGTCGCCTTCCATCTGATAAGATCCGGACCCGCACCGCCCGACGATATGACGCGGTTCTTTTTCTTTCCTTTTCTTTGCTTGTTTTATATCACATTTTTTCGGTTCTCAGTTGCTTTCCTTGTGCTGGCGGTTGTACGGATACAAATCCTTGCTTCTTTTACTTGATCCCTATATTGTATCCTTCGATCGACACCATGCCTTCTAACGATTTTGTCCGAACTGTATCCCGCAACTTTAGGGTACTGGTGATCGGTGGCTCGTATGGCGGTCTAGCTGCTGCATTGGCCCTCATTGATCTTTCCCAGGCTCGCCTGCCCCGTTTCAACTGCAACTCCAATGCTAAAGCCCCGGCCCATCGCATGTCAATCCAGATAACCGTGGTTGATAAAAGAGATGGCTACTGTGAGCTCCCCAGAAGATTGGCATTTTCCCTATCATTCCCCCGCTCACATGTTCAGTTCATCTCATCGGATCTCCGAAAGCTCTGGCCTGTGAAGAATTTGCTTCTGAGGCATGGACTCGTTTCCAGGACATTCCCGGGCTCAAATATCCAAATCTCAAGTTCATCCAAGGAAGCGTCAGCTCGGTTGATTTCAACGCCAAAGTTGCCCATGTGGTCGATTCGAATACCAATAGCAATTGTGCTGAGTCCTATGACTACTTGATTGCAGGCTCTGGGCTGCGCCGAAACTTCCCCACCGTTCCACAATCCTTGCGCCGAAGTGAGTTCCTGAAGGAAGCCAAGAAACATATGTCAGATGTGAAGCATGCTCGGGGGGGCATCGTTGTTATTGGAGGAGGTACGTAGCTCGATGACTCTTTCTCTAGGATCATTATCCACATCCGCTGACTTTGTCCCTCCCCGTGAATAGGTGCCGTTGGCGTGGAAATGGCTGCCGAATTGAAGATCCTCAATCCAGAACAGAAGGTGACTTTAATCCATTCTCGAAACCGCTTGCTATCTTCGGAGCCGTTACCAGATGACTTTGCCCGGCGTGTGGAGTCTATACTGCGTGAAACCGGTGTTGATATCATCCTTGGACAACGTGTTATTGAGACTACGGCTGTGGACACAAAGAATGAGAGCCGAATCTGGAATCTTACTCTCAGTGACGGTCGACTCCTCAAGACAGGTCATGTTCTGAATGCTGTCTCACAAAGCATTCCAACATCAACATATCTCCCCAAGGAGGCATTGAACGACGACGGTTATATCAAAGTACACCGCTCGTAAGGCAGCTCCTCAACCCCCATCATTCAAAGACAAATCTAATGTATCTCTATAGGCTGCAATTCTCCGGCGCAGTGCCTAACGCAGAGCACCATTGGGCAGTAGGAGATCTGACGGCGTGGGAAGGTATCAAGCGCTGTGGTGGTGCAATGCATATGGGCCATTACGCCGCCGTAAACATCCATCGGCATATGATGGCAGAGTGCACTGGTGAAAAGCCAGATTATCACACTCTGCAGCCATTCCCCTCGGTGATGGGTCTGGCTATCGGCGAAAAGGCCGTCAGTTATACCCCGGACGAAGGCACTCGCGAGGGGGAAGACCTGATGAAGAGCTTATTTGGGAAGGATATGGGGCATACTAGTACGTCTAAGACATGCGGAATTTTGAATTGAAAAGCTGACAAGGGTTGCAGTTTGTTGGAATTATATGCGTCTCGGTGAGGTATACTAGGCTAGTTCTCGCTGGGATGTATAGATGTGGAGGGGAGGTGATAATTCCACATCGGAGTCGGGGCACTTTGGGGGTTTCCAAGGTGGACTTTCAAATTGTTTCATAGTTAAATACCTATACGTAATAGCATCTGTGCGGAATAATTCCTACATGAACTAATTGCTGAAAAAGCACGAATCTCAATGGAATCTGACGACTTTCCCCCCGGCGCTTAGAAATCCGGTTCCACTTGCTTCCGCTTTGTTCTCCCATCACCACCTGGGGATCTCCAGCCCCTCCGGCTCGCGCTGGAACAGGGATATTTAATCAACATACATTTCCACTTGGTATCTGCTTACTCTTCAGTTTCACCTCATTTTCAATCACAATGGCACCATTCGGTACAATCTACTCTTACACGCCCAGTCCTCGGGTCATGAAGGTATAGCCAACACCATTTTACGAGTCAAAGCTCTAGCTAACACCCCTCCTAGGCCCAGGCTGTGGCCAACCTGAACGGCCTGGAACTGACAGTTCCAGAGTTTGCCATGGGTAAAACCAACCGTACTCCGGATTTCTTGTCCAAGTTTCCTCTAGGCAAGGTGCCCGCCTTCGAGGGTGCCGATGGAACCACACTGTTTGAGTCGGACGCCATCACCCGGTACATTGCCGAAAGCGGGCCGGCCGCCGATCAGCTGCTCGGATCTACGCCTGCAACGCGCGCCACCGTCCAGCAGTGGATCAGCTATGCACAGGGTGAGATTCTAGACCCGGTGACGCACTTGATCAGATGGCGTTTTGGTTTGGTGCCCTACAATGAGCAGCTTGAGGAGGCCAACCTCGCACGTCTGGAACGCTCGCTAGATTGTCTGGAGACTCACCTCAAGGGTCGTACCTGGTTCCTTGATGGTGAGAAGCTCAGCTTGGCCGATATCACCGTTGCTTCTGCCCTGCTCTGGGGTTTCTCCGTGGCTATCGATGCGGAGATGCGCCAGAAATACCCCTCCGTCGTCACCTGGTATGAGCGGACTCTCGAGGCCGAAGGTATCAAGGGGGCCTTCGGTGAAAAGAAATTCATTGAGAAGCGCCAGGGTCCCCAGGCTTGAAATTTGGGGTGGAAAAAAAAAACTGAGTATTACGATATTAGCACCCTAGCAGAGCAAGTACAGAAGGTCGTGCCAGGCTGTCCTCAAACATCTGAATGATGACAACATGTAAATCAATGAATATAACGAGCTCGGGAAATAACCTGCATAGATGTAATGATATCATAAGTATCAATAGCTGGCTTTCGAGCGATCCAAGCCACACAGTATTGATAAGAAACAAGAACCAAAACCCATAGTCACCATATCACAGACGGGCCATCATGGTGCCCTCCCTCCGTGGATTGCCCATTGCCTGCGCAATGTTCTGGCTGGCCCAGTCGGCGATTGCCATGTTGGTAATCATGGGGTTCACGCCGCTAGCGCTAGGGAACACCGACGCATCCATAACATACAAGCCATCAGCGCCCCAGACGTGACAATCCGGGCTCACTACGCCTAGCTTGGGTGATTTGCTCATGCGGCAGGTACCCATCTGGTGGGCACTCGCAAACATGCCACGCTCTGGGTCCAAGGGGGACTTTCGACGAAGCTCTGCGATCCAACTCTGTAAGGCCGCATCATTGACGCCTTCGGGTGCCTCAGGGTCTGAGGTATCAGGCCGGATAAATGGAGGAAGGTCTCGATAGGTGGTACGGAACTCTTTCGCACCTGCGATATATGCAATCTTGGCGGTAGCAACCAGGGCCTCCACGAGATTTTTACTATCAAAAGCAGAAATCTTATAATCAACCCGGCAGCGTCCATCCACAGGATCGGGGTACACACGGCCAGGATCGCGATCTTTGAGCAGGGGGATGAAGCTTGTGCTATGCCTAAAGTTGGCCGCCCACAACTTGTAGTCCAATGCATCCCGCCAGGGGAACATGGGCATAACTACGGGGGGCAGCATTGAAACTGACTCGATCTTTGCGCCATGCCCATGTCCATCGAGATCCTCAAACTCGGTGACAGCCGTTGTCAGTGCAGAGCCTTCCCAGGGGTATGTCTCTTCGTCAAAGAGAGCCATACAACCCAGAACTATATAAGACAGTAAGTGTCTGCAGTTTGTGCGGTTGGAAGGAGTTTCTTACCAGGATGAAGATACAGATTTCGGCCAATATGTGAGTTCTTCAACCCACTCCGTAGGAGAAGAAGAGGACTTTGCAAAGTGCCAGCGGATACAATTACCTTCTTAGCCTTGATGATCACCTTCCGCTCCACAAGACCTGGACCATTGAGGCCCAAATATGAGTCTCGCGACTTCCAAATTCCCCGCACGCCACAAGCAACCTTTTTGCCATTGACTCTGGTGAAAAGCACTTTCTCGGCACAGAATCCCTCCATGAAAATGGCGCCGGCCCGAGCAGAATCGGCAAGATATGACTCTGTTGGACCCTTCTTCCCCCCGGAGCATCCCATCGTGCAATAACCACAATAGTGCTCGCCGTTGCCTGTGTTTTGAGGTACTGTTTTGACAGCATAGCCAAGTTTCCGTGCGCCTTCAAGGATGACTTGATTCTGGCGGTTATGCTCAACATGCTCCTCGTTGACACCCATATGATCACAGACGCGATCCAAACTCTTCTGGAAGGCAAGGGAGGTAAAGAAAGGCAGACCAGTATCGGCCCATTCCTGTCGGACGTAGGCCTGTGTCTGTAAAGAGGCTGACCAATTGACGGTGCCACCACCGCCCCATGTTGAGCCTGCTAGGACTGCCATCGAGCCATCATCGCTGACAATAGCACCGCCGTTCTCAAACATGTTGACAAAACCCCCATCCGGTTTCATAGGAAATGTGTTGGATGAATAGGAGTAGGACTTTTCCACAACCAGTACACGGTGGCCCGCTTCTGCTAGATTCTTCGCAGCCACGCTACCACCACAGCCACTACCTACAATAACGACGTCGGTTTCAATCGTCTCTGGCTGGTCCCCTGGAGGCAACTGCAAAAATTCATACTGGAAACTGTCGATCGGCTTGCCATGAACAGGGACACGTGGGAACCCCAGCACTGAGTTTATAGTCGGACTGCTCATGATCCAAGACTTCTTGACAATCGTCGTGAGTCCTCGGTAGATGGCGCGGAGAGGGGGCAATCGAGAGTTTTCCCATCCATGCAGAACCTTTTCCCGAAATTCCACCGGCTGGTCCTGAATCGGGGTGATCGAGCCCGTCATAAGCAGCGAGCCTGCGCGGGTGTTAAGTGCAGTCATGATCAATCCAAATCCATTCCTTCCTTCGCCATGCACATAGTTGCCCAGGACTCGTTCCACTATGGCCCGGAATTGCGGGTTTGCTGAAACATCCTCATGCAAGTACTGCGCGGCAATGTTTGCAGCGTCGGGTCCAGGAATGAGCCTAGACAAGCGCGACACTGCGGAATCCCATTCTGCATCTGTTATCACTCTCTCGTTCGATGACTTGGCAGAGCCCGCAGTATGGATGGAGGACACGACTGCGTCGGCCAATGCATATAGAGTCTTCCACTGCAATTCTGAGAAGAAACTAGATGAAGGTGCTGGCGGGAGAGGCACATCCTTTGGGATGTATGTAGACACAGCGAGGGTGGGCATGTTGCAAGAACCGGTGCAACTCGAGCTCTCATACAGCAAACTCCCGGGCAATGAGATTATGAAATCAGAAACAAGTGCGGAAAGAAAGGAGAAGAAGTTGGGTCACGGATGATTATAATATTAGTACAACATAGTACTAGCTCGACCAGGATCCCCACTGTAAAGAAAGAAGTCAAAGTGGTTCATCTTTAGCAGGAACAATCACAGCCTGGTGAGAAAGGTCCAATGAGCCTCGGAAGTCCCCGCCATCATGCAATGGTCATTTCCGAATGGGGTATCGGACCCTCGCAAGCCTCACTCGAAGAATACCATGCAGTCAGAATCTGGGGAGAAGAGAGGGGGCGGCCTCGGTTTAGGAGTAGATGTTAAGCATGGGCCTTGTGACGGTGGGGGTCATTGGGTCTCGAACCAGTGAAGAGCGAGTCTCTCCATCGACCATTGGCCTCTAAGAAGATCCTATTTCCCCAATGTGGGGGAAATGCCGAGCTTCAACGCCATGTGAAATCCCCCTGTTCGGCATTGGCTTCAACCTTCGAGTTTCGAGTTAATCCTAATTCTCTGCGTTCGAACACAGCTCACAACGGTACTCTGCAAATGAGGTAGTGTATCGAGTGTAATGTCTATGTCGGTACTCTGTAGTTGGTAGGTAGTTGGTAGTTGGTAGTTGGTAGTTGGCAGTTGGCAGTTGGCAGTTGGCAGAAGCCAAGTGACAGTCATTTCTCCGACCCGACCTTCTCTCCTCTCCTCTCAGCTTTCCAGCTTTTCGGTTCAAAATGGAGCGCACTCGCTCGAGCAAATGCGATCTGCCGACAGAAAAGGTGTTCTCAATACAAATTGGGTCTGAGGTCTTCCGTCTCTCGGGAGCTTCAATTGCCTCCGATGGTCAGTGAGCGAGTCTGCTTCCTAGGGCCTGAGCTGACCTCCTGACAGCTCCATCTTATTTTTCACGATTTTTTGAGGATCAATTACGGCAAAGTCAAGATGTCTCTAGTGTGAGGACCCTCTACATCGATCGCGATCCCACGACGTTCCGCGAAATCGCCAGGCATCTGCAGGGTACATGACCTCAGAAGAGTCCATGTACATAACAATGACCCAAACTGATGATCGCATCCAGGCTACCATATCCGGCCCCAGGATGGCGCGCAGTTCGTCAAATTATTTGCAGACGCGCAGTTCTATACATGTGAGCCTCCTGTCACCCGCCCGTCCAGGTCTAGGGGTGAGTTGCTGACCAGTACTCTGTAACAGTGCCCCGGCTGATGTCCCAATTATTCGAGGCGGAGTGCTTCGTCCAAATCGGCGACCGCCATTTTCAAATCCCTCGCGATATCTTTTCGAGTCCCGGCGATTCCCCTAATTTCTTTACCCTTGGGTTCGCGGCCTTCTTTGCTTCCCCATCCGAAGTCTTCCCCGGCCTAGACCGTCAAGGACTTTTGCGACCTCCAGCCATCATTCCCCCCAGCGTCCCGAACCGGTCCGCGGATGTCTTTGACGAGCTTTTACACATGCTGCGCGGGTATCCGCTACACATTAGAAATGAGGATCATCGAGCGTCGCTCCTGCGCGACTGTCGTTACTTCCACCTCCGCGGCTTAGAACAGAAGTTGATTCCGCATCAAATCGCGACAAACCCTTTCAGCCAATCTTTGGAAATTCTCATACGGCTGGAAGATGTACGGCCGTCTGGGATTCATTTCGCCTCTGGTACAGCCTCTGGATCGCCTGAAGCGGGCGGGATGGTCACATACGCGCGCCCCTTTGTAGACGAGAACGCCGCTGATTTGGTAGTCGAGATCGGCGACGAGTGCAGTCTAATACATAGAAACACCATGCAGATCGAGTTTTTGGGCCTTTCGAAGCAAAGAATTGCCAGTCTGTTACAAACGGTAGGCAAAAGGATGAACCTTTCTGATCTACAGCCGCCATTGGGCCAAGGCCCACTCGAGCTGCGCATCGATCGTGAAACTGATCTCACTGTCGATGGTGAGCAAGACCCTCTGCATTTGACGATACCTAAAGCCAATTCCGAAGCTGGAGCAAATAGTGCGCCTCCAGCTAAACGCCCACGATCCGAAGCTTGGGACGGCGGGCCCTGGGTTGTTCGGACAGGGCAATGGCGACTGCAGGTGCAGCCGGGGCCTACTGGGGCATATAAGGTTGTCTTTTTTGCTGTCAAACTGGATATTTATACCAGTTCGCAGGTCCGAAATCGATCACGGACATTTCTTTAGCCACATTTCAAAATAGACCGTCTTGGAACGAGAGGGAGAGAGGGAGGATTAATTATCTACGACGAGCTGGGCTAGCTGCGTTCAATAAGAAGCAGAGAGATGACTGGACATTGAGACGTCCATCTGAGTATTTCTGCATAATATGACAGAAGAAGCGAAGGCATGATATCGAACAAACATGCATACATTAATATGACCATGTCTAATCCGAAAATCCTCCCCATTCTTCGTCTTCATCTTCTTCGCCATCTTCACCTTTGTCACTCTTATTGTGTTTATCAGTTTCATTTTGGCTCTCGCGCTCCTTTGCTGGAAGGAGCGGAACAGCATGATCAGGATCGCGGATGAACCCAGCGACGAAAAATCCTCCCAGACCTTCTGCATCACCTTGCCAGGAGCGGATGCACGCTTCCAATGCCTCATCGGGGAGATCAACCGTGCCCGATGGCCCCGTGTCCCCCTCGGCCGGCCTTTCCTCCCGCACGCCACGTTTACTCCAGCGACGCAAGCCATCCGGCTGCTCGTCGCGCCGCATAAGGCGCCAGCCGTGCTCTTGAGCAACCCGAGAGCGCAAAATCCGGGCTACAACCCCCTCATTCTCGATCAGATGGATGGAACAGGTACTGTATGTTACATGGGTTGCATTTGGGAAACTCAACGCATGCTCAACGATCCGCGCTTGGATACTTGACAGCTTGGCGAGCCGCTCTGGGTCAATGGTCCCATCAGGGATGTCATTTTCATCCGTGGGGGCAGCCTGCGGAACTCCGGGGGTAGCTTTTGATTGTTCGCCGTCTGCTTCGTCCTCGTTATCCGGGCGCTTCCGTTTCTTTCCATGAGATTTGGGTGCTTTGGATGGTGCCGGAGTTGGGAGTGTGAATTGAGGGACATCGTCACGGCCGATGATTCCACTGCCAGAACAACTGGGATCCAACAATAATCCGGTCACATTCTCGAACCGCTCATCTTCTGGGTCGAGGGCAAGGAAATCCTGACCTTGCAGCACGGTGACCGAGTCGGCCCCAGCCAAGCCAACCATTTTCTGCAACGTTTTAGAGCGCATGGTTGATGCATCCATAGAAAAGATCCTTTGCTTTTTATTCGGGCTGTTCTTGTGCTGTTTAGCCATGAGCGAAGCCAAGTGTGTAGTCTTGTTCCCTGGAGCAGCACAGCCATCAACCAAATCGCCCTCCCATGGGTCGCTGGGTCCCCGATCACCTAGCAGGAGATATGCTGGGAAGCAGGACGCTTTGTCCTGGAGAATTATCTCCCCATTTTTGTAGGCAGAGGAGGCAGTGAAATCTGCGCCGAAAGGAACCGCTACCAAATCCGGGATGTTAGGATCAATGAACAATCGAGGCTCTGGCTTTTGGCTCTCTAGCTCGTCCTCTGGTGCCAATTCCGCGAGGCTGTCAACGCGACGGTAAGATTTGAACGTAGTGCTCAACTGCTCTTCCAAAGTAGTACGGATATTGTTGATGCGAACCCAGCGTGGGTAAACAAAATGGCTCGTTCCATCGGCCAGTCGTTTCTCGCGAATGACCACGGCCTTGAACTGCTCGACGGACGCGCAGCCACGACAGACACGAGCCTTGGTAAACTCAGCCCTGAGTCTAGCCTTGTGACGCTCCACAGTTTGACGAAGTGTGTGAGTGGCCGGTGCAGCAATTCCTTTCTTCGCGAGTAAATGATCGTGCACAAGCAGAAGGGCGAGGAGTGGAGAGAGCTAATTGAAATTCACTTTGTCAGTCAGTAGGTATCTCCAGCGGCCGCTGTTGTATTATCTCACCTTGCGCTCTAAGGCGAGGATGCCTGATTTGTCAATGACTTCTGCCAGGACTGTGTCCCATTTAGCAGCCTCGGTGGTCAACGCATAGATCTGCGCCGGGGATGCGCGCAGGTTGCGGGCGCTATAAATCCGGGACTTGAACGAGCCTCCCGTGGAAGGCGCGGTCAAAATCGCGACCGCATCAAAATAGAGAGACATTGGGAATTTGGGAAGGAAAATTCGATGTTTTTCGCGATCAAATCGACCTTTTGATGTTTGTTCTGTTTGCACTTGGTTGTATACACCCGGCTGCCGCAGGCTTGAATCGGGGGACCCGACACTGGCTTATATTGATTCTTTGTTGTAAATCAGACTAGCTATTCTTCATGAGTCTTTGCTATCTACTCAAATCAATAATGGCTGGGTTCAATGCCTTTCGTGGCTGATCTTGGCACGATCTATATATCTGAATCCACCTGCACCCCTCCATTGTGAATATGGAGTACTATCTTTTCCAATCTTCCAATCCCCCAATGTTCACGGTGTTGAAGATACAGAGGTATGATACAGCATGTAGGGTTTAACAATGGGTTCAAATGATACTAGGAATAGGATCTCTCATGGAAGTATTGAATTGTCTAAAGATCTAGATAATATCTGCCTTTTCCTACTATTTATACCCCTTTGTGTGCCGAGGATCGGAGTCCTCAATTTGGCCCCTAAAGGTGAGCTTTTCGGCAGAAAAGACAAAAAGGGCGTAGCGTTGATAATCTAGCGGATGAGAGAATCCTGCCTTAGGCATAGTTCTTAACACGCCCCCTTAACGTGCAGCCGTTATATATCGTAAGATCATGTTATTAGGGACTAAGATAAATGAGGTTTCTTAGTTAAAAGGTATAGCTTTTAGACTACGGGAAGGTGCAAAACTAGCAGTTTTACACTACGAAAGACGTAGTTTTGCACTACGAAAGACGTAGTTTTACACTAAAAAAGACGTAGGGGTTTATTCTACCGAAAGTCTATATGTTTTAGGGTCGAGGTTTAAACCTACGATAAACTCTATAAATTTAGGAGCCCCGAGGGGCTTTATTAGTCTATCTATAATATTTTTAGTCCCTTTTATATATATAAGCTTGATTTTTCCCCTTTTAACTTACTCGCGGATCTAGTGCTAGTGTATATCGATATATTTTAAACGTCCTAAAATAGTAGGGTTCTTCGTTATTATAATCGTAGACTAGCTATCGCTATATAAAGGGATAAGGGGGAGGTCTATACTTCCTTAGTAAAAATTAAGATCTTTTAGTAGTTTTCGTAGCTAAATTACCTCTCCGCTAGTAATTAAGAGGGCTATATATTTAGCTTCGGCGCTTAATTTTACTATACTAGTCTACTTTTAAGATTTCTATAATATTAGACCCCCTACGAGGAAGAAGATATACTTAGTCCTACTTTTACTTTCTAGGGCTAATCCGTATAAGACGTCGATATACCCCTAGAGGTCCTAATTAGGTCTAGATTAGTATATAATTACGTAATAGCTAGTATATCCTATATAAGTAATTACTCTTTATACTAGATCCTCGTATTTAGCGTTTAGGTTTATAGTAAACTACGAAAGTATACTTACTACGAGTAAGAGGTCTAGACGTATAACTATACTAGTATAGTTAATTAAGCCTATATTAGATTAGTACTATTTTACTACTTTACTTATAGCGGTAAAGGTCTCTTTCTTTATTAGGATAATAGATAAAGAGATTATAAGTCTTAAAGTTACGGTTTTTAAAAACCTTTTAACGTATATTTTTTACGAAATTATTATTTTTCCCGCCTCTCTATCGTATACTATTTTTATTAAAAGATAGTAGGATAGCTCGCTAAGGTCCGACGTAGACTATTTTATCGAAATAAGATCTTTTATAGTTTTAATAAGATCCGCTATAGAAGTTATAATTAAAAGATCGTCGACGTATATAAAAATATAGATAATCGTACCGGCGCCCCCTTAATTATATTACGTATAAAGATATAGGTCGGAAGTAGATCGTATAAAGCCTTTTATTAATAAGTAGTCCCCTAATATATTAAACTAGTTTACTACTAACTATTTTAGACTATAAAGACTCTTTTTTAGGAGGTAGACTTTACCTTAGATCTCTAAAAAATCGGTATTATCTTCGAAACCTTTAGAGTAGTATATTAAGAGTCTCTCCTTTAGCGTAGCGTTAAGATATATAACGTTTACGTTAATATAGGCGGTAAAAAGCTTCTTTTACGTGATTATAGCGAGAAGGATCTATAGCGTGACGTAGCTACCTATACTAGTAAAGGTCTCGGTATAGTCTAGATCTTCCTATTATTAGAAACCTCTCGCTACCTAGCGAGCCTTAAATTTTAGGGGGTTTCTATCCGTATCGAGTTTTAGTTTATATACCTACTTACCGGTAAGGATATATATATTCTTAGCGGGTACGGGGGTAGGGATTATCTCCTAAGCTTTAATTAAATTAAGCTATTTAAACTCGATTTTTATAACGCGGTACTACTAAGGCTAAAGGGGTAAGTTATATACTTATCGGACTAATTTAGGGTCTTCTATCTATTTAGGGTCTATATTTTTTAGGGTTATTAGTAGAGGTAAGATTAGGAGATCCTTAGATAATAAGGTTAGTCTAGCTTATATATATAGGATAGTAGTATATTATACTAGATCCTATATACGTTTTTTATCTACCCGAGATATAATAGTATAGAAAACCTTATTTTAGATCTTATAATTAAGGTTAGCGAGTTCTTCGGTAGATAGTCTTAGTAGGTTAGCTAATAGGACCGATTCGTTACTAGAACTCTCGTCGATAAGTCTAAGATCTCCCTCGGAGTCTAAAAAGAGGGTACTTTCTTCGGCGGAAGAAGTTATAGGGGTCTTTTCGGCGGAAGAAATTATAGGGGTCTTTTTAGCGGAAGAAATTATAAAGTTTATATTATTTATAGGGTTCTTAGGGTCTATAAGGTTCTTAGGGTCTATAAGGTCCCTAGAGTCTAGGAATAGGAACCTAGACTATTTTACCGACTATAGGGTTTCTAGTAGGACTAGGAGATTAGGATTATTATATAGGGTCTAGTTATCTCCTTCGTTAAAAATAACGTCTCTCCGAGTTATAATCTCTCCCCTATTTCTATCTACGTTTAGACGCTAGATATAGTATTATATACTATAGTAGCTACTATACCTAATAAGTCTACCTATCTAGGCGTAGGGCTATAAATATCTACTTATTAATATACTAACTATAGCCCTAATCTCTTCGGGGCTTCTTATAACGTAAGCCTTACTACTAGGTATCTATAGGAATAAGATATTAGGTTTTCTACTAAATCGTATTTTATATAGTATCTAGTTTAGGAAACTATCTCTTTTTCTACCGAAATAGATAGTAAGATTATAGGTTATTATTACTATTTTTATTAGTTCGGGCTATAGTATATCTAGGAGTCTAGTATCGTCGAGGATAGCTCTAGTACGTTCTTATACTATTCGTATTATTCTTTCGACTTTACTATTTTACCCGTATACGTATAGTGCTAAGAAATATAGACGGGTATTAGTATCCTTAGCCTATTTTTATAGGCGGAAGTTATTAAACTCTCCTCCGTAATCTAATTAGAAGGCTCCGATCTCTAGTCTATTAGGCGGTAGTATTTTACTTCCTACTACTAGTAGCGGGGGGAGATCGGGGGTTATAAAGATTTTAATTATTATTTCCCTTTCGGCGGAATATAGTTTTACTACTTTAATTATAAGGTCTAGGACGAAGTCTTTATACGAGGTAAACTATATTTCTCCCTATCCGTCGAAGTTATCGATACTAATTATCTAGTATTAGTAGCTATCTCCCTAACCTCTAGATATTTTGCCCCTACCCCCTAGATCGAGGTATATAAGATCTCCTATTTTACTAGATCTATATAAAACTAGGGTTCTACGGGGTACGAGCTAAGCCTTTCTAATTTAGTAGTAGCTATAAAGTCTTTTAGGGGTAGGTAGGCCTATAATATTAATACCTTCTATAATTTTTACCGTTTCCTATAGGGGTTTAATCCCTATATAGTATAGTCTATAGTACTAGGTATCGATATTAACCCTATCCTTTTTAAGCTTAGTAGGTAGCTCGCTAAGAGAAGTCGAGGTAATCTCTAAAGACTATTATTTTAAGCCACTAGACGAGTTTATCTTCTATATCTTTATTACTCTACGGGTAGCGAGTATTTCTACCTTTTCTACCTAAGAAAAGGGTCCCTTTTTCGGCGGAATAACGCCTTTCACTAGTTAGCTAGGTAAACTTATAGCGTTTTCTAATTTTTACGTGCTTAGGCCCCCTAGCTAGGGGTAGGGGTCTCTTAGGATAACCTCTATATTATTAACCTAAGAAATTAGGTATCCGTAGGTAGTTTTTTCGGCGGAAATAGGAGTATTAGCCTAAGTTTTTAGGTATCCGACGCCTCCTACTTCCTATACTATCGTTAAAACTAACGTTTCTAGATCTAGGGTCTAATATCGGTATACGTAGCGAATATTTAGTATCTAATTTTTACCCTTTTATAGTCCTTTTACGAGAATACTACTATCTAGTTTCCGGAAAATAACCTTATCTCCGTATATCGCTATAATCCTATAGTTAGCGAGCCTAGGCTACGAGATAAGGTTACTACGGAGTTTAGGGAGATATATAGTCCTAGTGAGAATAAGATCTCTCCCTTACTTAGTCCCGTTATCGACTATAATCTTAACGTCCCCGATTATACCTTAGACTAGCTAGTTTATTAGGGCTATTTTAATCGTAGTAGTTAATAGTTTTATAGTGCTTAGTATAAAATAGTCTAGCGAGCTAATTATATATTTATCGTAGGCTATATCGTAGATCTAGTTATTAATCGAGATACTAGTTAAGAAGTTTTATACCTTATAACTATATTCGATCTATATAATTAGGGTTTCTATAGTCTATTTAGGTGCTAAATTAGGGTTTTTTAGCTAGTATTTCTTAGCGGGGTACCTCTTTTTTTTATAGAAGGTATATACTAATCCTAGGGGTCCTTATTATATACGTAGTCCTTATAGTTTTATAGGTTTATTAGTTTCTATAGATAAGGTCCTTATAGCTACCTTTTTACTAGCGGTAAGGTTATCTTCTTCTCTTTATAGTTCGCTATATAGGCGATTAAAGAGGTATTAGTCTAGCTAGTTAGTTAATCTATTAACTATTTTATCGTAGTTAAGCTTCTACGGGTGCTATTCTAGGCTATCTAGGTATACTATAAGTTCTATATATTTTTCGAGTTCGTCTATTTCTTATAGCTTAATTAGTAGACTCTCGATCGGGGGATATATAATAGTCTTATTAGTCTATATAGTCTTAAATACCTTAATTAGGGTTCTAATATTATAGACGCGGGATACGTATAGTACTTTTATTATAATAGCGCCTTATTCGGCGGTAAAAATATCCTTTATATTGTATTAATTTTATAATTCCTACTAGATACGCTCGGGTTTTAGAGGGCTCGGCGGTATAATATTTTTCGCTAAGTCTAGATATATAGTATTTAGGATAGTAAGCTAGGCTACTCCCTTCTATATATTTAGTATATAGTACTTCTTATACGAAGGGGGTAATAATCCTATCTTACCGTCGATAACTTATTTAAGAAAGTTTTAGTTTAGCACTTACTATATATTAGCGGCCTAGGTACGGTAATTATTTAATCCTATAAGTTTTAGTCCTTTATATTCTTCTTTTCTTTTAAATATTTTTCTAAGGTCCTTAGTAAAACTAAGGTATCGAAGGGCGTTTTCTTCCTCTTCTCGGGTATTATTCTTTAGGGTAGCGTAGCGGTTACGTAGTAAGAATATAGAGCTATCTCGATTAAATCGGTTTAGGTTATTAATCTATATTAATAGGACTTATATATTAGTCTCGATAGACTCGGAGACTTTAGCGGGGGGTCTACCCGCTACGAGCTACCTAGTTAATCCTTAGGGCTACTAGGTATAGAGATACTCGGTCGACTCGAGTTCTCTAGCTAGTTAATCCGTAGGGTTTAGACGTTATAGGCCCTAGCCGGGGTCTATATTTCTAGTACTAGCGGGAGCTATAGAACTATTATTTCCTCCTTCGTTATCGCTACCCTCGCCTAAGGCGCTACTATAGTTATTATCGGACCCTAATTCGTCTAGTCGGTCGGCGTCGGAGTCGGAGGGTTCGTAGGGTATATAGGGTATACTAAGTGCACTAGATACCCCCCTATCTCGCTAGGACCGTCGGGTGATAGGGGTTATAATAAAATTAATAAAAAAATAGGTAGATCTACGAGAGATCGAGAGGTATAGGTATAAAAAGTAAGGTATAAAATAAGAGGTGAGATATATATAAGAAGGAGAGAGAGATCCTAGGGTAAGGACCTATATATATAGGTCTAGGCAAAGATTAGATAAAAAGGTATATAGGGGTAAGTAAATATTTGCTAGTAAATATAGTAAATGGACTATACTACGTAATTTAGGTATTCCGGCTATTAGAGATAGCCGGGCTTATAACCTATTGAAGATATAGAGGTATGATATAGCATGTAGGGTTCAATAATAGGTTCAAATGATACTAGGAATAGGATCTCTTATAGAAGTATTGAATTGTCTAAAGATCTGGATAATATCTGCCTTTTCCTACTATTTATACCCCTTTGTGTGCCGAGGATCGGAGTCCTCAATTTGGCCCCTAAAGGTGAGCTTTTCGGCAGAAAAGACAAAAAGGGCGTAGCGTTGATAATCCAGCGGATGAGAGAATCCTGCCTTAGGCATAGTTCTCAACACACGGGAATTACCTTCAAAGTCTCTTGGCCCTCAATATCCTTCGCTCAATTACAATGGCACCAGCCTATACATTCAGCACCTCAATACAAGCCCCCCCAGGACCCAGCGCAAAGTTGGTACTCCCATCCCAAGACGCCAACTCCGATACGAACCCCACTATCTTCAACGATGCAATGATAATCCGCAAGCACGTCTTCATCGACGAGCAACAATGCAATGCAGACGCTGAGATCGACAGCGACGATGCTCGCAGCTGGCACTGGGTGCTATACGAAACCTCCACCGCGAGTTCCACGCCCGTGGGGGTGATTCGCCTCGTTCCCCCACCGCAGGCGCCACATGCCCACCTCACGGAACCATCAATGGTAGACGCACAAGCACCTCCCCAATACGACTGGATGCATGAGCCCTGTATCAAACTGACTCGGGTGGCGATAATACCGGCCTTCCGCGGTCTCGGGCTTGGGCGACGATTAGTGGAGACAGCGCTAGAGTGGGCGGCTGTGCATGCATCGGAAATAGGCGAGGCCGCGGTACAGATCGCTACTAGGGGGCGTCACCTGTCACTCCGTTACCATGGCAGGGGTTGGTTCTTGTACATGCTCAGGTGGATGTGGAGGGGATGTATGCTGGCCTTGGGTTTGAAACCGATAAGTCGCTGGGTCGGTGGGACGAGGAGGGAATTGACCATGTGGGTATGTTCCGCCGCGTCGTTCTGGTTGAAGAGGAATCTGCAGTGACACGAGCAGCCCAAGATTGATACAAAAGCTACGACGGACGATGGAAATTCTACTGAACACCAAGATAGAAAATAAAAAGCGCAAGGTTCAATATCAATGGACTCAAACTAGATCGAATCAGATCGAACTAGATATCAGCTGGAAAAAAAGCTGCAAGACTATCGTATTCCCTCAAGGTGGATCAGGAACAAGATAAAGAATAAAAATCAAATGAGATCGCCGCTCAACGAAACGCGACGGGGTATCCTGATCAACGCAAAGCAAAAAGAAAAAAAAAGCAAGCAACCGGGTCTCTTAAGGACCAGAGAAAAACCGTCTAGACATAGTGCGAAGGCACCGCAGAAAACAAAGAAACAAAGCCCAGGGCACAGAGCCCGTGAAAACTCCAGAGCCATGATCGCCAGTAGAGGAAGGGAAAAAGAAAACCAGGTCACGCGTGGACATGACTCAAGAATCAAGAAGATTATGAAGGTAAGATCAAGTGAGACGCCAAGCTGCAGCAGTCCTGCTGGCCACAGGAACCCGAAGAAACAGGGCCATGCAATTAAAAGGTGCTCCAGTTCCAGTCGCGAGGAACAGAGGCAGCAACCTCACCAGTCTGGCCTTGAGACTCGGAATTTTCGTCGGCATTCATGCCCTCGGAATCGGGGACCGAGACTCCAACCTGCTGGGCGTCGATGGTGTTCTGGATCTTGTTCAGACGGTCGGAACGGTTCTCTTCCCAGCGCTGATGGGCGCTCCAGCACAAATCGCAGGCACGGGAAGGAAGACCATCGGGGTGGAAGCGAGCGTCCTGGTCAAGCGGAACGAGGTGAGGAGTGTGGGAGGCGCAGAAGACATGACCACAGTGACGGCAGTGGTGGCGACGCAGGAAGATACCGAAGGAGGAGCGACAAGTCGGGGAATCGCAGTTGGAGGAGGCAGAGTCGGCCTAAGGGGTTCAGGTTAGCCGCTGTGTCATGTATCAAGTGACCAATGCCGGTCAAGGGAAGTGTGGCTCGAATGCGGGAGGGTTGAGGCGGTGGATTGCAGCACGATAACGAGGAATGACGCGTTCACACGCGACAATTGCTTTTGCAACCACACGGGAACGGAATCCAATGCCGACAAAGGTGTCGATGGAAGAAGAGGATGGTTTATGTAGATACTCACTTTCCAGTGTTCACGGGTGGGAGGGCCCGTCACAGCACCCAGCTGCTCATTCTTCATCCACTCATGCTGGGCGACCTGGCTGATCTCGCTGGACTGACTCTCCATTGTCGAGCGACGACTGATGGGTTCGGAGGTATCCTCGTTCAAGCTGTCGAGCGAGCCATGCACGCTACGAGGCGGAGTAATGGGAGACGACTTCTGGGGTCGCTTAGTTGGTCGCAGAGCTGCTGGGACGTAAAGAGGGCCCTTGAGGGGACGCAGCTGGCGCGACTGCAAAGGCAGTTGGTGCAGTGTGGCGGTGGTCATGCGAGGGGAGGTAGGGGAATTGTTGGAAGGCGTGTTAGAGGCCGAGTTGGATGGGGACGGCTGACCATAAACCGAGATCTGGTTGGCAGCCGTAGTCGAGGTCATCACATGAGTCGCCATGATGACAAAAAGATAACTGAGAGGAGAGAGGAAAGAGAGGAGAGTAATGAAGGGAGATGGAAGAATAATAGGATAATAAAGTCGGGATCAAGTTGAGTTTCGGATTGAGCTCAGCGGCGAAATGGGCATCTCCCAAAACACCGAGGGGCAAAAAAGGAGCGGTAATTCAATTATCGGCGATCAGAGGCGTCAAGGCCGTTCAGCCGGGGAAGAGAAGGGAAAAAAAGGTCGGCTGTAAGTGGCCGAAAGCAGTGGAGACGGGAACGTTGGAGCTACCTGTAGGTGGATGGAGTGGAGGGAACGGGTGAACAGTGAGACAGGTTGGGGAGAAGGAGAAGAAGAGAGGAAGAGGTTGACAAAAGGAGCCAAGCAGCAAGAACGGAATTAGTGAAGATCTTGTCAACAGTAAAAGGAGGTGAAGACAGGATTGCACATCACATTGCGACAGTGATTCTGGTTACGGAGTCCAGGTCTGCGACCTGGAGTACGGAGTACTTTCGGGTACTTCGTGGCGAGTACTACCACGCCGCAGGGGCCAAGTAGCGCTAAGTACTCCTGGCCCGTGACCTGGAGTACATTTCCATACGAAGTACTTCATCGATCTGTACGTACTTTTGTTTTGTTTTTCCTTTTTGTTTTTTCGTAAATTGCGTTCTTCTCTCGCACAGACAATTCCTATGAAATCATAATCTGGACTATCTCGACTTTCTTTTGACCGCCGTTTGGAAACGTAACTAGGATTTAGACCGGATGCTATGAAGACATGAGGCGGATTTCCCTTTGCGGTCTCTCTCCTCTCTCCACTCTCCACCCGCTCCGCAACGGGTCTGCAGTGCAGTTCCGACTATAATTCTGTTTGCAATCGATACTTGGATGTACGACATAGAAATAACCTACCGTACATGTACGCGAAAATCGGATAGAATCATGTTGTCCCTCTCCGGAGTACGGAGTCGATAGATCTGATAGTTCTGATTACAAATGCGTAGAAGTGCCTTTGCCTCCAACACCTTGCATCGCGCACTCTGCAAAAAGGAAGGTGCAACGGACCTCAGGTCGCTCCCGAGGTCCTTCCTCGGGAAATCCTGCTAGCGCACGGTAGCAGCCAATCAGACGGCGTGTGGCGTCTCTCTCTTATCATCGAGCGCTGATTGGTGTGGTTGGATCTCCGATGTTCCTATTGGTCGGTTCTAGTCGCCCATGGCGGACGCGTCGGAGCCCCGCGGAAGCTCTTTATTTCCGAGATCCCATTTTTGAGGCCATTCGAAGAGTCTCAATTAGGAATGAGCAACAGAGTCTCCTCCGAACACCTATCATAAAAGCGACCTATTATTCTCTACGGAGTACGGAGTACATCTATGTATGGTGTGTAGGAGTACGGAGTACCGGAGTACTCCGGACTTATGGACCTACATGAATGTTGTACATCTCCTCTGTACTCTGGAGGACGGAGCACTCCCTACAACATAATATGTTGTACTCCGTACTCCGTACATGGATCTGTTCAAATCCCGATTCCAAGATCTCAGGATCGGTGGAAGATCTACGGAGTAACAATCCCTTGGAATGCGGGAGGTTACAGTCGATTGGACATCTGGGGATATGTACCACATCCCCCCGGACATGGCATGCTCTGTCCGGAGTACGGAGTGCTCCGTCCTCCATACGGTGTCTGGGTATTCGACGAAAATAGCTGCGTGCAGATGTCATACGAGGGGGGGAAACCACATGTCGTCATGACTTTGCAATAGACCCGAAATGCACCGTCATCTAGCTATCGAGAGGTGTACCGTAGTTCAAAAAAAAAGCAAAACGCAAACCTACAATCATGAAGCTGGCGGTTTTTAGCGCGAAATCCTACGATCGCACCTATTTGGATCAGGTACTGGAGCGGAAGTTTCCACAGCTATGCACCATCGACTACCATGCCTTTGCGCTGTCCGAGGAAACCGTGTCACTAGCCCAGAATTGTGATGCCGTATGCGTCTTCGTCAATGACACCCTGGACGAGCGCGTGCTGAGGGCTCTCCATACTTACGGGATTCGCGCCATCCTCCTCCGCTGTGCGGGATTCAACCATGTCCATCTGGCAACGGCCGAAGAGCTGGGCCTCTTTGTGGCGAATGTCCCCGCATACTCCCCCGAGGCCGTGGCGGAGTTCGCTGTCGCCCTGATACAAACCCTGAACCGCAAGACCCACCGCGCATATAATCGTGTACGGGAGGGCAATTTCAACATCGAGGGTCTCTTGGGGAATACTCTGCATGGCAAGACCGTAGGCATTGTCGGCGTGGGCCGTATCGGCCTGGCAGCCGCGCGCATCTTCCATGGCTTCGGATGCCGACTACTTGCGCACGACCCATTTGCCGGCGAGGAGATTCGTCAGTATGGGACGCTCGTCGACCTGGATACCTTGCTGCAGGAGAGCCATATTGTTAGTCTGCACTGCCCTCTCACGGAGAGCACGAAGCATCTTATCAATGAGGAGACGCTAGCGCGCATTCGACCGGGCTCAATGCTGGTCAATACCTCACGCGGTGGACTCATCGACAGTACGGCGGTCATCCAAGCGCTGAAGACAAAACAACTGGGGGGACTGGCGTTGGATGTCTATGAAGCTGAAGGCGAGCTTTTCTATAACGATCACTCGGGCGAGATCATTGAGGACGATGTCCTGATGCGCCTAATGTCTTTCCATAATGTCTTGATCTGTGGTCACCAGGGTTTCTTTACCCGCGAGGCACTTGAGGAAATTGCCGAGGTCACCCTCGGGAATTTATCTGACTTGGTGTCGGCACGTCCATGCAAGAACTCCCTGGTCACGGAGGGACATCAACTTGCCCGCCGTGACACGGAGCCAGTGAGGCTTTAAAGGAGGCCTGTGGAGCCCACTTGGACATGGGCCATTTGTCGATACTTGATTCAGATACATAATCGAACACTTTCCAACAAAGTTTCATCGATATTTAAGTAGTAGGTAAACTTTTATCAAGTTATATTTCAAGTACGCAACGAACGAGTGCCCTGGGATTGATACAGGCTCCCCGAATAGGCTGTCATGGAGAAAACTTACACTTACTTCTTGGTCTATCTTCTCCATGATATCGAAATAATCAGAGACAACTTAAGGGTTAGATGAGCTTTAAGTTCTTTGGAGGCTTACATACCACTCTCCTCTATAGCAGGATCAAATACCAGCACCCTCAAAAAGATCAGGCTGAGAGCGTCGCAGAAGCAGTCGTCCAGCATCATGATTTATATAACAAGGGTCAAATCATCTTTCTAGGCCAACTGCTTCAGCTAGCAACTATCCTTGATAAGTCCACAGTCATTGGAGTCGTGATTTTCGACAATTGCTTCAAGACTCACGAAGATATAAGATCGGCTAAATCGTTGGCAAAGCAGACAATACTGGCTCCCATGTGAGCTTGGTTCGTCCTTCCACTATTGCAGATGTTTCTACGCATTTTCCTCGTTTGAGATGGAGTGAATGCTTCGCTAGCGCCATTCATGAAGAGAATTGGCTTAAGCCTTGGGGCATACACAACTACACTGGATGAGGGAGAGTTTGCTACGAAGATCCTGGGTACAACTCTCATGGCACCCTATGAATGATTCCCTTGCCAAGATTAGTACAGGTGTTGCTGAAGCTGAATCGCAGGGAATACCGCGTTATTAGGGTCTCTGATATGTTGCAGAAGTCCAGTTAAATTGGTCACGAGATTTGGAATTGAATACCGCGGACTTTTTACTGAACACATCTTCCATTTTGAAACGCTATGGGTATATTTCGGGTCCTCAACACATTAGCCCATGATCTGCAATTGATCCTCCGGTGGCCAGCGAACCTGTGCAAAGCTCAAGCAGCGCTTGATGCTTTGCAGGTATTTGCGAGTAATCTCATCGCTCAGAATATGTGCTTGTTGGTCACTCTGGTGTAATTTCTCTCGTGCAGATCGCTCGTGAATACCAACCATGGTCACACCAATGGGCCACGCTCTAAAGAGACGTTAGTATCATTTTCAATATAATAGTGCAGTCCGATCAACCTACGCTTTACCAATGCTCACTCGTAGATAAGCATCATTGGCGTCAACATATCGCCGCTGTTGTGCTTTGTGGACGATCTCAACAATAGGTTCCAGCAGGCCATCCTCTAGCTCGGACTTTTCGAAGAGGCGGAACAGCGGTGTCATGTTTTCGCGTGACTGAGTCATGGCGCTGAAAGCCTGCCTTCCCTGGAAACTTTCTCGCACTGAGACATCACGCTTTGCCAGTGCCGTTTCCCATTCAGACAAAACCATGTTGAAGTAAGACCCCAACTGTCGGAAAAGGAACAGGCGATTCTCCTTATCTTTTGGAATCTTTGCTGGAATGATCATCTGTCCACCAGACACAGGCTCCAAGGTGGTGGGAATAGGCCCGTCAGTGATCTTTTGTTTGGGAACCGCAGCCCGTTGAACTAAACGACGGTATCGTCGAAGGCGTGCTCGATAGTCCTCCCCAAACAACTGTATTGGGGCATTCATTTCCCGTAGTTTTGTGATTAGCTCCTGCTCCTCGATGTCTTCCTCCTCATCCCCATCGGCGGAGGTATTTTCAGGCAGCTCAGGCAGTCCGAGCCTCTGTCGCCGTTCCCGTTCTTTGGCCTTTTCTTCCGCCTCTCTCTTCGCCTTGGACTCCTCCGCTAGCCGTCGCTTCTTTTCCTCGCGATCTCGGTTTCGCTCCGCTTCCTCGTCATCAAGTTTGCGTTTATTCGCCATGCGTTCGTCACGTTCGCGTGATAACTGCGCTTGTTCTTCATTATAAGCTTCAATGCGGGCAGCTTCGACATCGCCTCGTCGCATATATTTCTTTGTGGGCACTGTCGGGGAGCCTTTTGCAGTTTTTTTGGTTGGCTTGGAGGCTTCGCTACCCTTGGCTTTGGAAATCTCCTTGGACATCAATGCGGCGAAGTCCATGGTGGCAGGGAGACACAGCACGCTGTTGAAATGATGCGACTGTAGCTGAAATAAAAAGAGGCGAGGAAATGAACAGGTTAAAGGTGCGTCACGGGGAAGATAAGGTGTGGAGATGACGGAGGAAAATAATGTTCGGCTTTGCACGTCAGAACCCGCGACCTTCGACGCCGCGTTGGGGTTCATCTCTAGTCAACTCCCCTCAACCACCATACTCCGAGTATCTACCTCCAAGAACTTTTATCGGAGCTTTAACTTCTTGTTGGGACTCATCTCGTTTTTCATTTCCTTCTGTTTTCTGTCCATTCTTGCTCTGTGAGCTGTAACTGTCAGCCTCCCATCCAACATGGCCGCTCCGTCGCGAGAAGGCCCCAAGCCCTCGATCAACCGCCAAACCACTGCACCCTTTCACCTAAAACTCTTTTATCGTGTCAATACCTTCAATCCTTTATCCGACTACAGCCTCCCCGTGCCGCCTCGCCGTGGAGGACCAGTCAGCGGACCAAACTCCATCCGTCCAACATCGCCTGTCGCAAGTGCAGCACCGCTCCCACAACATCTGGAAATCTACACATGGCAATCATGTACACTACGCGAGCTCTCGCAGCTCCTTACTTCTGCGCTTCCGACATTACTTCCTGATCCGCCTGTTGGCACCCGCCTTTGCTTCCGACTAATTTATCCCGACGCGCGCGGTGCCGCAATGGGTGGTCTCGATGCGCGTGGCCGATACTTGAGTAGAGATCTAGGCAGTGTTGTTGTTGGACCGAGGGATAGTCCGTTGCGCACAGATGACGATGAAGATAAACAGGAGGCACGACCTCGCCCGGGCTCGCTCCGCTTCCAAGGCTCCGAGGCCGACAGACCCCTACAGGATGTCCGATTCATCGTCGGAGACTACATTGAATGCGCAATTCTGGCACCGCTCGAAGATGGTTCCGTTGCACCGCCACTGAACGGCGCTTCGGGTCCGATCATGGGACCCAGAGGTGGAGGTGGAGGCGGCATGCGCGCGTTCCGGGACAATGGTTATCCTCGTGGGCCTGGACGGGGTGGTCCTCGTGGAGCAGGTGGTGATCGTGGACCTCCCCATATGCCCCGAGGAGATTGGCACCGTGGAGAGCGATTGCCTGATGGTGGACGAGGCGGAAGTCGTCACGGATGGACACCGTATTGAAGAACCCAAGGATCATCCAAAGTCAAAAGCGAGTCTATCAAGGGGCAATTAATACCCATGTCAAGCCATTGTATCATTATCAGGTTTAGCACGAATGGAATCATCAGAATCTACATCCAGTACCTGGGACAAGGGGTTTGTCAAGCGATAAGCTGGCATAAGATGGCGGAATTTTTGGAATATTTCGTGCGAGACACTCCCGGGTTATACATTTAAGCTCTGCGGGTGTTCTTGGTGCATTTCCAAGTTCCCTCCCAGAGCGCAAGGTCGTGAACGAAAGCAACAAAATAAAAAAATCCATGCGGTATATGCTTGTAATAAAGTACACGGCCCAGGCGAGGGCATCGGCACAAAAAATCAAAAAAAAAAACAGTTATCGAGTCAAATCCCCTTGCCACATGATCATTTCCAACCTCCGTGTGTAATTCTTCATGTAGCGCCGTATCAGTCACCACTCGGCACAAACCTGATAAAAGGGCGGGGATTTGATTTTGAACCAGTCGCTGAGTGTTTACCACTCGGAGATTGTATCTCCTCTGCGCTTGCCACGGAGATCGAACTTGCCCTGCGTCATGTTAGCGCGTGTTCCGCCGCGAGATTAGACCTCGGTTGCAATCCGACCACAATCGGCAATTTCATACATCGTAATTGTAGGCAAAATAGCCCAGAACACCGGGGATCAGGCCCATGTAGACAAATGAGATCACGGCATGGCGCGGGGTCCAGCGCCAGTACTTGTAACGGTTGGCATTGAGTTCTATGGGAGAGCCGTTAGCAAATCTTCTCTCGAAGCAGATATGTCGTAGCACGAAGTAATGGTCTGAAGAAATTGCGACCAAAAGCTAGCTGCATTCTAGGCCAGGATAATGCGCGAGTTTCATCGGCAATCCTGTATCGGGGGAGACGAAGTTGAGGGCCATGTACCGTAATATTTCTGGAAGGCCGGATCAAGGATCAGGGCTGGACAATGAGTTAGCAATCTAATTTGCTGCAATTGTAGCACTCTCAAAACTTACACTTGCTAGGACCAGCCATTTTTGTGGAGAGCTTTGAAGCGTGGACACAGAATGGGCGATGCTCGCAAGCGTTCGGGACTGAAGTTGGAGGTCACATGATGACTCAGCTGACGTAATCAGGTTTGGGTTCCAAGTGGACTGGGCAGTTCTACGAAGCTGTATAGGTATGGTCTACAGAATTGCTCAATATTGTACTCCAAACAGACTATGATTTTCTTATGACTTTTTTCTTTTCCCTGTTTTCAAAGTAGTGACATTGTTGATCTCTGTTGTTGACCTGGGTACTCCGTACTGTACAGGGGACTCCGCAAGGCTACATGTATCCGAGATCATCCGCCAATCCAATGTCGTCCATATCTCAGCGACGCAATGGGGTATAAACCACCTTGAAGGACTTGATGACCATACTTTATTAGCCACAATCCATCTCTGGTTCACGGCACAGCCTTTACATAGAAGCTGAGAACTTCCCCTCAATCTCCTCAATCTTCTTCACGGCACGCTGGTACCCCTCACTGCTCTCGAGTCGGTTAGCGTACTCTACAAGAAGAGGGTACTTGTTTCTGTTCTCTTGATCTTTCAGCGTTCGCATGGTCACAGCAATTACTGGGAAACTGAGGAGAATATCGGCAACTGTCAGTTCCTTGCCGCAAATGTATTGACCACTGTCGGGAGATGTGCGAAGCTGTTCCTCAAGGAAGGCGAGGTTGCCCTCGACGTTGCGAGTGAGGAATTGGTTCTCAACTTGCGAGGCCACAAGGTTGGTAATAGGTCGAACAAAGAATGGGGGAGCATTCCGAATGGCTGTCGGCAATGTCAACGGTGCTGGGGCCATCGTCTCCATACGAGACTATACAGGGGGACGCTCGGGACCAAGAGTGACTTACAGTCATTTACTAAAGTCATCACCAGGAAGGGCATGAGACTGCCTTCCACGTAATGCATGAAGTAGCGATAACGCATCCACTCCTCGGTCTCTCCGCCCACTTTGCCCTCGGCGCCGGGCGTGTATCGTTGCGGTACCAGCGTCGGCCGCGCGCTGCTGAAGTGGTCGCAAAGATATTCCGCGATAGCACCAGACTCCGCCAGCACCAACGGTTTGGTGGCACCCGGTGCTTGAATGGTAATCACGGGCGACTTGCCCAGCGGGTGGATCTCCTTCAACTCGGCTGGAGCGAGCTTGTCAGGGCGACGCTTGAAGGTTTTGAGCTCATATTTCAGCTGCAGCTCTTCCAAAAGCCAGAGTATCCGATGACTTCGAGATTTCTCAAGCCTAGGTAGTAGGTTAGTACAATTCTGAAGAAACTAGCTGAGACTTACCAGAAGAGAGTAATCTTGCAACCTTGGTTGTTATCAGCCATGATAGGTGCAGGCAAATCGTGTGTCCGGGGGATTTATACGGAGTAGGAAAGACGGGTGTATATGTATATTTTGCCTAGGTAGAGTGGACGCCCGCACGTGGATGATGTCAACATGGCCCGGGGCTTCCCAAAGGGGAAAAGGGGCCGAGATTTGCAGATCTCGATCTCGTTCATGATCTGAGATTCTACCATTTTCTCGAGCCCCTCCACTGCAGCTGTTGCTTTGATGGCTCTTTGCTCTCCTGTCTTGCTCCTTGCAGCTATTTAAATCAAGAGGAGATATGTGTGTATCTCGGGCGATGCTTCTATTTCTTCCAGGGAAATTTATACTCTCACAAGGGTCTCGGTCTCAATTTGCTCTTCGTAGTCCATTTTATGGGACGAGGGCCACCTGCACATAGGTGCTTACATTATTTATGGATAGCAAGCGTATGTACCTCATATTTACATGTGTCCATAATTCACATCTCTGCATAGATTATCTTCACTCTCACAATGTCGCGCCATGACAGTTTTAAGGTAGGGATATCTTGAATACATATTTATACTAGTCAGCACGTCTCTCTGATTTTGTTATATTGGTATTACTTCTAGTCCAGGGTTGTGATATACATGTTATTATCAAATATGTCGAAAACTGAGGTTCTCACCTACTACTCCGTACACACTTACAGGACCTGTCCAAGTTGCGCGTAGTACAAACAACCTTAAATCCCCCATATATCTATCTATCACTAACGTCAGCATTCTATACGTTGCAGTCTACGAAAGGGCTGTTTTATATCGGAGATCGATCGTGTGTGTTACGGGGTATGATTCCGGGTGATGCTAGTCACCCTTGCAGCAGATGGAAACCCACGTTTGGTTTAAATCTGTTGACCGATAATATATCGGCGGTCGGAGGCGAGTAATGGAACAAATTAAGGGCCATTTTGTTAAGAGTGATGCAAAGTGATAGTGAAGTGACGGGAACAGGTGACCTCGAGTGTCAGCCATTATATATAATCCAGCGTATCAAGAGAGCAATTGTTGGATTTAAACGTGTATATCTTCCTGCCCGAAAAAAGAGTTAGCATTCGCTCTTGTGATTAGCCAATATGCAACATTCCTAGAGCTGCCAAGCTAGCCCTCCTCTGTGCCTACACGAAGTTGAGGGATCAGTGATAATGAGGAAATGCAAGTATTAGATATCTATGCATGTGGTTTTCCCCTAAGTATCTATGACAGGGCTGTCCTCCCACCCAATTAGCCCCTGTGGCGCAATTGGATAGCGCATGCGACTTCTACCATCCTGGTTGTTCATCGCAAGGCTGCGGGTTCGACCCCCGCCAGGGGTTTTCTCTTTTTGTCCTTTTCATTTCCGTTTCATTTCCGTTTCATTTCCGTTTCATGTTTCTTTTTCTTTTTTCCTATTTTCTCTCCTTTCTAGTATCAAATTTATTTTCTTTTTGTCCACCACGCCAGCAGGGCCGTTAAAAAGCTTGTTAGATCTAGTAAACCCTACTCCACATAGGTACCTACATGTTTCCTATCATTATAAAATAATGCACGGATAGTGGTCGGTAATCATCAAAGAAGAGCATTCGAGAACATTTTCAATCCCTATTACCATTTAAGATGCCGATTCATACCGACAGGCGAAGGGGTATGGTATACTAGACAGGGTCCACGACCTAGAGTCCTAGACATGCCTATAGTGCAACTACCACCGATATCGTAAGACCGAGGGGGACTTAGTTTCCTTACACACGCAAATGTGAATGCGTAGGGAGTTATTCAAGGGCGCTACTAGACCTCTTATCTTTTTGGGACACGTTCCTACTCCAAGCAAAGCTCCAAGGTCCGATCCGCTCCTAATATTATTTACTATATTTGCGCATTTTCATATTGAACCTACATACATTGCAAGGAGCATATGTGTAACTGCAGAAGAGATTGAGTTGAGGGATCCATCTTAATAGGATTCTCTCGCTATATGCCAATCAATACCCAAATGCGATGAACTAATATATATCCCCGAGAACCAAAAGACACTTAGAACACCTCGCCAGCAGATCGACGAATTGCTGCAGTACCTAGTCCCACCAGGTTTGCCGAGGAATGGGATGTGAGATGCATCCACAAACTCTGTTCTCATACTAGTCCCCATCGTTGTTCTTTTAACCACACTCTTTTGGACGAACAAGAGAATAGCAGAATCTTGATTGCGACAAAGGTAAGTATTGAGTACATCTTTCCACGTTGCATAGGTGCAAGGACTGCGAAGAGTCTGATAACTGTGCGGCTTCAGGGCTGCAAGGGAACTCTCAATTTGAGCGGCATCACAATCGTGGTAAAAGGTTTCCTGGGGATTGGCAGGATTGATTTTCAATTTATCGTCGCTGACCATGAACCAAGGCAAATCATTGCCACCGAAGGCACCAATGAGCGAATCTCCTTGATAACGAAAGCGCACAAAAGAAGAGATGGGCGACACCCCCGGGCAGACCATTCTGTTGGCGTGTCTTGAGATCTAGCCTCTCGGTTGCCTCGTTTGCAGGTAAAAAGCCGTAAGAGTGGACAACCAAGACGGCATTCTGCCCGGAATCTGCCGTACCTTCGATTTGTATGAAGATGTACAAAGAGAAAAGGAGCCAAATTACTCTAATGACAGCGCCAAGGCACTTCCATCGGGAACTAAAGAAGGGGGCTAAGAGGGGAAGACCGTTCGACCGTTAAGACCAATCCAGTTTGCGTTACTCCGTAGTGAATATGGAGAAGACTCCATTAAGCAAGGGAGCCAAGAGGAAACAGTGGCAAATGGCGGAGAACGGGAGGATGATTTTAATTTGGTTCTTATCTGAGTATAATTAGAATGGAGTCAACCGTGAAATAGTTCGGTAGATCAGCGTGTCGGAGTATAAGGAGTATGTAACTATATAGCACGGAGGACATAGTCTACTTCATACGAACAAGGATATATGCGCTTGGGCTGCGAACTACTGTATTGTGTAAAAAGCGGTTTATGATTAGGCTTGTACTCTGTACTCTGTACTCCGTATTCCGAGTTCATTCCTTCCATCAATTGTTCATTGGATGTTGTCGGTGGCGGAGATTGCAATGATCGTACAGGTAGAGCACTCTGAATGTGTTTTTTTCATGAGCCAATCACCCAACATGTTGTACCTTTCTCCTACCCAAAGATACATCATATTATTTCCTTCCTCCATACGGAGTAGATAATTATGTGTTCTACTTAGATACCTACAACATAGGTAGAGCTCACAGAGCAAGCAATAGGAATCAGACGTTCCCCGTTCCGCGCACTTCAGAGGACCAAGGCCCAGGACATGTAACGACCAACAAAATACAAACCCACGAGGCAGCCCATTTGAATAACGAGATGAGAAGTTCACAGCCAGTTAAGCCCCACATTTCACCACATATTGCGCTTTCTCCGGATGAGACGATCCAAGTAACTTCTTTGCGAATACCGATCAGGTTATCCACTGAAGACCTGCAGTGGCCTCGGGAACGGAAAGAAGTCAATCTAAGGTTCGGGATCTTCCACCGAGTCCGCCTTTCCCCCTCGGGACTAGCATATATCTCTTCTCTCGAAATCCGATCCCGAGAAAGGAGGGCTACGGGTACAGAATGCATCAATATATGTCTCACATTATGTCTAGAATTTTACATTTAGGTTCGTGCTATACATGCATGTCGTCACCAAGAGCCTCATCGTGTCAGATCATTCCACATGCGAGAGAGCGCCTTCCACCAACCGCGTACAGCAGGTTGATCAGTGACTGTTGAAATTTTGCTGAAAGTGTCCTCGCGGGTCAAGTCTGAGACATCGCAGTTCGGGTATATAAGATGACCATCCATGCCGTTCATCACAGAAAGTGAAGAGCCATGCAGTTTGGCAGAAGACACAAAACTACCGCAGACACTGCGGCTGTCCCGTTCGCTGGTTATCAGATGTCCGGCGGTGTAGACACAACCGCCGAATGAAAACCTGACAAGAGAATCTCCAGTCAGGCTACCAATGATGAAAACTCCAGGGGCGACCTCGAGGTCTTCGATTGCTTTCGCACGGAGAGTCTGGCCGGTGACCGCCAGATTCTCTTGATTGCCGTGCCCCAACACTTCACAGCGGAGCTCGGGATCAAGGTAATCCAGCGTGCCTCGTCGGCCAGCAGCGTAAACGAGACCACCGACAGGCCTCGAGAAGATTGTTCCATCCTGGCGGCGGAATGTGACCGTGGCTAAATCGCCGTGGACTTCCACAGATTTTATTTCAACGTTAGAGTGGCCCTCGTAAAGGCCCTCCCAATCCCGACTTTCAAGGAATGGTGTTGAAGTTGCGCGTCGGTATTTTGGCCGCCGATCTTTACTTGCAGCTTCGGCTGCAAGTACGGCCCGTTTCATTAGACGATAGACACCGGCATACTCAGGATATGCTTGCTGATGGCAGGCCCGAAGAGGCGAAGGACGGTCGTTCGGGGACCACTTATATATGTGCAAAATCCGTTGGTCGGGGGAGGCAGAAATGATGGAATCGGCCGCGGAGAAGCCGGATCCAACGACTAGTAAGGGAACATTAGGCGTAGGTTTGGTCGAAAGTAACGGGCGTAACATTGGCTCTGGTGGAAGGGTTTCGGAAAAGATCCCGCTTGCCAAGACCAGGCGTTTGCAGTGAAGATCATGGGAACGAACATAAAAGCCGTTTGCGGTACGAGTGATGCCCTTCACTTCTTCCCCGCACCGAAAGGAATCATTGATACGAGCAGCCTCCGGATAAGCACAGAAGTAATTGGCAATCTCACGCCGCGTAGGCCTCGTGTATGATGGTAAATCTTTGCCCGTGGTCTTCTTGTGGTGGTTGGCAAAGGAATAACCTGGCAAGGACAACATTGCCGCATAGCTCAACGTCTGGATATCCCAGCTAGCACCCAGGGGGTCTTCTGTCCATTGACCTCCAGGGTTCGTGGGTTTTCCAAAAACAAGATGAGACACAGCCTTCTCAGGCTGAGAGCGCCACTCAATATTTGAGATACTACCCGGCTCGTCGACATCAACACTTGGCCGTACAAGTGTGTCTAACAAGACGTTCACCGGAAGGGCCTGAGTCGAATATGATAGACGTGAGGCGTTAAAGTGCGCCGTAAGAGACTCGACATCGGCATTCAAGATCTCCGGTACTGCTCTTAATTTGGCGTCCAATAAATGATCGGGATGCGGAGGATCGGATGAGTAGAAAGGAATATGGCCATGAAGGATGTATGAAAGAATCATGGCCGATGGCCCATTACCTGAAGAAGGTGATTCATCAGTTGCAAATTCCCAGGGAGTTCTGATGGCGCGGGGTAGCAGGTGGGACTTCATCAGAGCCCACAATTTCGGATAGGCCCAACATAGACTTCAAGTTAAACATACCGACGATGACGGTATCAATCTCCATTGAGGGCATATCTCAAACCAGTGATTTAGCGTGGAGCATATTGGTAGACATGCGACAAGATAGAAAAAAAAGATCGGGAGGTCCACCGATCAGAGCAGGACGAAGTCCTTGTCACACTGTCTTCTTGCCTGAAGTCGACAAGGCCATTGGGAAATACGACATCCGAGGAAGTTGAGAAGCAAGACGAGGGGAAACTTCGTATGGGCAAGGTTTCCGCCGATCAATAATCAGGCTGACAAACCTTGGGAATCGGATGTGGGGATAGTCGCCATTCTCCATTCGCCGAAAATGGACGATTACGGTGACTTGAGAGAGTGATTCCCAAAGGATATCTTGTCGGGGAAAGCATGCCATGAGGGCGAACTTCATCACTGCATCATATAGTACAGAAATGTCAGATGTTGCACAACCAAGACAGGAACACGACATGGACGACAGTTGACACGATCTCGCTGAGATCGAAACCCATGATCCCCCACAAACCCTAAGCCCTACTTCCCGGAAATGGATGAGGCTGGAACGCGGGTGATGAGGTTCAACCTGGGAACGTCACAAGAGGTCTTGGCTACGATGTCACGATTCCCATGTTTTGATACCATTTCCACCTAATTGCATTAATTGCATCAATTGCGCTTGGCCTTGAGCTCCCCTAGGGATCGCGATCATGTATCACCTGGCCAAGTCGCTGTACTTAGCCGCCACAAGCAAAGAAGGTATGGCTGCTTTAGTCGGTCGCATCCTGCTCAGTACTGATGATGCAGCCCCACAGAGTATTCCGTTATTCTGCTTGGATTAGATAATGCCGGCAAAACAACTCTCCTCTCCCAAATCAAGGCGCTCTACCAGCCTCGTCCTGAGGGTGCCCCAGCACCCAACCCCGGAAAAACCGTCCCCACTGTCGGCCAGAATGTCGCAACGATAGCCTTGCATGACATGAACTTGAAGATTTGGGATGTGGGGGGTCAGATCTCAATGCGCGGTCTTTGGCAGAGCTACTATACCAGCTGCCACGCCATCATATTTGTGGTTGACAGTGCCGACGTGGGTCAAGACCCTGACATCACACGACTTGTTCGGCGCACAAGCTCGGTGGCAGGCCCAGTACGCAACAGCACGCGAGGGAGTGCAAGCACAGAGGCATTCTCAGAACAAAATGTCGGAATCAACGCAGCCAGCAGTGAGTTCGGGCGATTAGACGAGTGCCGTCAAGTCCTTGAGTCGGTTCTACAAAATGCAGATGTGGCTGGTGTTCCTATCTTGGTCCTCGCAAACAAACAGGATCGCGAAGATTGCGTGGAAGTGGTTCGCATCAAGGAAGGGCTTGTCCGAAAGGTTTTTGAAGGAGAGACAGGAAGCGGCGTCCGCGATAGCCGCGTGCTGCCGGTCAGCGCGCTGCTTGGGTCTGGGGTTCAGGCGGCTGTTGAATGGGTACAAAGTCGTGTTAAATGGAACAAAGAAGGCCGACCTCCAGTGATGCGTTAATTTGGACCTAAGGCTGCCAAGCATTCTCGTACATGACGTTGAGCGCAGCATATATGCATCAAAATGCATAATGGCGTTTGTTAATGATAATTACATTTCTGGTAATATACCAACGAAGTACCTATATTGAATATCGTATCGGATTGAGCATCAGCTCCAGAATCAACACATAGTCAGAACAGTGTAAAGAACCTGTTCGATATACAGCTGTTGTCATGCTTGATGAATCAAATGATTGCAAGTACAAGTTTATGTCAAAATTTCGATTTCGCTTAATAGACATTAGCACAAGATATTATAGATTAATGGTAAGTACATGTATGTACAAGTTGAATAGGTATACAAGAAAGTGCTCAAGTGGGGTGATGGATCGAGGGTATGGGGCATCCACAGTAGATAAAAAGAAGAAGGAGGAGGAGGCAAGGTCTTGATCGGAAGACATTCAAAGACCCATCTTCTTCTCATCCAGAACTTCGGGTAGTGTCATGAAGTTTACTGGCGGGTTGTTTTTTTGGCCAACTTCGTGCGATATCAATGTTGGCTCGGGGGAACCACATCTCAAGGAAGACATAGATCAGGAAGTCAATCACGACACAGAGGCAAAACAGCTTGCCAGCCCAGACACCACAGCCGTAGTAACGTTTGAGACGGTCAATGAGTGCAAAGCTGCGAACGCGATCTCCGCTCGCTTCCCAGCCCTGGCCTGGGTAGTAACCATAGAATTCCTCCGGGCTGATATCACCAATGATGCCTTCGTAGACGCGCTCAGTGCGAGCGGCCACGTCCCGCCATGAATACATCATTTTAACCTGGTCATGAAATCGGTCCGTTCGGACCTTGTTCGACCGCAATGCTGCAATCGCCTTGCTGGTTGCAAGCACAATATCGTCCTCCTCTGGCTTGGCGAATGTAGTCATATGCTGGGGTAGCACTTCGGGTATGCCTCCGACTCGGGTACAGACCACGTACAGACCACAACTAGCAGCTTCAACAATAACCGTCCCAAATGCTTCTGTGAGACTTGGATGAAGGTAGATATCACCTCGCACCATGACATCTCGGACTTCCTCATGTCGGACCGAACCTAGAAGCTCAACCTTATCTTGAAGCACGTTGCGTTCCAGCATTTGCTCCAGGTCGATTGCTTTGGGTCCAGATCCTGCGATGATGAAACGAGTGTTGGGATTGGAGGCAAGGATCCGCGGGATAGATGCGATGAGGAGATCGGTCCCCTTATTGTAGAAAAGTCGAGATATCACCACAATTGTTATTGGATCATCGGGACCAATTTGCCTCGGAGACATTGGAGCATCGGTGGGTGAGCTTGGAGGTTGATCAGATGCACGGGTGTTATGTGACAAAGGACAGAAATTCTCCGCTACCACAGCGTTTGGGATAACCGAGACCATCAATGGGTCCAATGAAGCTCGAAGTACTGTATTTTCCTTGCTGCAAGCTGTTAGTTGGGCCAATGTACATGTGTGAGAGACCTACCAAGTGTGACTAACACAAATTGCATGGTCAACATCACTCAAAGTAAACTTGAGCAACTTGTTGGTGAGAATTGATGCTGCATCGGCGAATCCGAAGAGGGAATGATCCGTAAAGACGGTTCGCAGACCCATGGTGCGCGCGTGAAGGATAGCTTCTCCGCAGAAACTACTCAGACTAGCATGGCCATGGACAATGTCAATCTCCTCCCGGATGACAATATTGCGGAATATGGGGAAGAAGGAGAAGACGGTAGGGAATGTTGTTTCGCGGTAGATGACGAAGAAGGGAACGTGGAAGATCTTCAATCCATTCGTGAGGTAACGCACCCCAGTGCGCCCCTTATACGCATGGGTGATCACAATAACTTTGTGACCTCGATCGATGAGTTTCTGAGACGCAATTAGGACGAGCGAAGGTCGAGGGACAAAGCGATATGCTTACGGACGACAGTTGATATATGTGACTTTCAATTCCACCTAGACAATCAGCAACTGCAAGAGCAGCACAGAAGAGACAATAGCGTACCTGACTGAGGGAAAAAGAAGTCACTGACCATACTAGATCCGCAGAGTTGTTAGCAAGTAACTACAACTAGTAGATTGAGCAACACTAACGCGATGTTATACGGCATCGTGGCTGTGATTCTCGGTATGAGAACTCCGAGATGTCAGATTTGCCCTTCGTGTCAACCTCCTTTCCATGGCTAACAGATCTGCTGTTGAGAACACCAGTCCATTCGAGCCAACATACGCAGGAGATACTTGGACACCCGTGGGTCTCTGGAAGCTGTCCCGATAAGAAGGGGCGGTGACCTAGGCGGTGACGCTATTTTATGTTCTGTCGGCATAAAAGATTCAGAGAAAAGGAATTTGATTTCCGCGAGGCATCCAGCGCCAATCTCGTCATTCGCAGAAGTCCGCAAGAATGGCTGGCAAGAATACAGAGATCGAGTCTCCAAAGAAGGTGGATGTGACTCCTAAATCTGCTCAGTCTCACAAGCGCAAGAGAGATCACCATGGCTCTCAACCTGCAACTACTCCTACGCCAACGAAGAAGCACAAGAAACGCGAAAGCTTGCCGATTGCAGAAGTCGCAGACGATGGAAGCACCAAGAAGCGCAAACGCCTCAAAAATGCGCCTCAAGGATCGAATTCCCCGGAAACGTCCCGGAAGGAAAGTACTCTCTCGCCAAACCGCAGCCAAGCGGCTGTTGCAGACTCGCATAACGCAGTCCACGAGACGACAAGGAAATCGACAAAGGACAAACGAAAGAGCACTGGAAAGGATGACGAATCGGATGATTCGGCTACATCTGTAATTCAAGAACAAGTTGATGAAGATGTTGAAGCGCCAGAAGCCGAAAAAAGCAAATCGAAAAACAAGCATTCGGGGATCATGTCGAAATTCGAGCGCACTAAAACAGTTTCCAGTGCGAAAGCTAAGAAAACGGAACCTAAGACCGTCAAAGATGACACACCCGTCGTGGAAGCTGTCTACGCACAGGGTCTTGAACGGCTCCCTCAGCCCGAGAACCCACCCGAGCCAGAGCAACTCCCAACATATTCATCTCTACCCGCCTGGCTGGCTAACCCGTTGCGCAAATCCGCCCACGACACGCAGAAGTTTTCCGAGCTTGGAATTAAGCCCGATCTTCTCAAGGTATTGGAACAACAGAACTACAAAGAAGCTTTTGCTGTTCAGTCAACTGTGATTCCCCTCCTTTTGCAAGGAGAAAAGAACCACCCCGGAGATCTTTGTATCTCTGCAGCGACCGGGTCTGGAAAAACCCTTTCCTACGTTCTCCCACTTGTCACTGCTCTACCACCGAGACCTGCCTCCAGACTTAGAGGTTTGATTGTAGTTCCCACACGAGAGCTGGTGAAACAAGCTCGCGAATCTTGTGAACTTTGTGCTTCTGGATCCCGGCTTCATATTGGAAGTGCGGTCGGTAATGTGGCTATCAAAGACGAGCAAAAACTATTGATGCGTGGGGATCAGGTATACAATCCAGCTATTCAACAGCAACAGTGTGATGGGCTGGAGGGAAATGACTGGATGAATTTGAGCCTAGAGGATTGTGTTAGCGAGGCACTCGACTCTAATGGATCTCTTCCTGGTCACATCCAACGATGCGAGCCTAATGTCGACATCCTCATCTGCACTCCTGGTCGGCTGGTGGACCACATTCGCTACACCAAGGGGTTTACTCTCAAATATCTTGAGTGGTTGGTGATTGACGAAGCTGATCGTCTCCTGAACGAAAGTTTTCAAGAGTGGGTTGACGTGGTCATGAATTCTTTGAACAGTCGACAAGCTCCCGAGACCTTCGGACCTGGTGGCGAGCTTCTGTCCAAACTTGGACTTGCGATTGATGCCAAGCCTCCTAGAAAGGTGATATTGAGTGCAACAATGACTCGTGATATCTCTAAACTCAACTCCTTACGCCTTGCCAATCCCAAGATGGTTATCATCGGTTCTGAGGATGCGGCCATTGAAGAAGATCCCTCTGCTATTCATCCAGATGCTCACTTCGCACTGCCCCCAACTCTTTCCGAGCACATTGTTCAAGTCGGGGACGGATCTCTCAAGCCACTCTATCTATTGCGTCTTCTTCTGTCTCACATTGAAATCAGTGGAGATCGAGCTCCTGCCGTGTCTGATTCATCCGACTCCAGCAGCTCTAGCTCAGACGACGACTCGAGCAGCGACGACGACACTAGTTCCGATGATGATACTAGCTCTGATGACGACACTTCGTCTTCTGGTTCGGACTCGGACTCAGACTCAGACTCGGACTCAGACTCAGACTCGGACTCAGACTCTTCATCTGATAGTTCTGGTTCTTCAGACTCATCTGATTCTGACTCCGATACTACGGATCTTGTTCCCGAGCCATCGCGCAAGACCGTTCTGATTTTCACCAAGTCATCCGAGTCTGCATCCCGACTTTCACGCCTCATCTCGCTTCTGCACCCTCCATTGGCCAAGCGCATGGGAACCATCATCAAATCCAACAAATCCTCCGCATCTCGTAAAACATTGACAGCGTATCGACATGGTCGCATCTCAGTCATTGTGGCTACTGATCGTGCTTCTCGTGGTCTTGATTTGCAATCTTTGACTCATGTCATCAACTACGATATCCCAACGAGTATCACTACCTACGTTCACCGAGTTGGACGTACTGCCCGCGCCGGCCGTGAAGGCTCTGCTTGGAATCTAGTCGCTCATCGCGAGGGCCGCTGGTTTGCCAACGAGATCGCAGCCAGTGTGGATGGCCGAATTACACGTACATCTAACATCGATCGCATCCAGATCAAGGCTGATGCACTGGACTCACTTAAGCCCAGATACGCGAAGGCTCTGGATAAGCTTGAGCAAGAGGTCAAGCGTGGATAGCCTGGCATGATCTATGTATGCGATTCAGTGTATTTTATGAATCTTTATGTCTTGCTCTGCCTTCATAGCGGTCGTATCTTTGTATCATATGTTGACAAGCCTTGCAGTCTTCACGTTCACGTACTTGCATTTCCTACATAAGCTTAAACCTGTTCCACTTCAAGCGACAAGACTCTAAATGTTACCATGGCGATTCCATCACTCGTTCCTACGGGGTTAGATTCTATCACCAGAGGTACTTCGGTCTAAATTGGCGTGCAATCTCCCCGTTTCTCGACTTCAGCGGATGGCTTGGATATGCACGTCTAGCTTGCTCTGGACATGAATGCTAATATACCCCAAATCATCTAAGATTAGCTGCGACAGCGAAGTATTATACTGGCTATGACCCCAAGTATTGCGATGAACATTCAAGGCAAGGGAATGAATAATATGAGAATCAGTTCATTCGATCCTGCTGGCCATTACACCCCTATTATGTACCCCCTGTGATATAGCCGATTACTTGATGTTTTATGATGTTCGAGATTCTTCTTCCAACTAATGATAGGTAGCTCTCAGCACCTCAATGTCATGAAGCCACTCTCCCCCTCACGCATATGTTACAACGTAGTTGGGCGACTATCACTCGTGAAATACACTGTGGAAGCTAGTAACACCGAAGTGAGGGTGTTAGCCGCATTGTCTACCTTGTCTACTCCGGCAAGTGTGAACTGGCGATTAAAAATGAACGGTTGGCCGTGCTGTCATTCGGAGTGACAATGTTATCATTGCCCCTTGGTCCAAAGAGCAGGAGCCCGTTCTTCCTTTGTAGGGTCATGAATGGACTTTTAGTCTAGATATTGGAATCTATTTGCCTTCGATCATTGTCTATTTGTATTATGTATGGTAAATGAACAAATACACATGAAATCTAGGTATAAAAAACAATACAAGAGCAATTTAATCAAGAAATCATCATATATACAGCACCACCGATAAGAGAAACAAAACAAAAGGTCAGAATCGCCGCCCCAGCTTTATCACCGTTACCAATATGTTTAGTTGGCGTGTCGGCACTGGTATCTTCTTCATCAGTGCCTGCAGCACTGTTTCCTACGCTGCTTCCACCAGTGGAAGAAGTCAAAGGACCGCCGACGTCTGCGGCAAGGAGCCCTTGGAGCACTTCGAGTACACCCATTTGCTCTCCAACTCCAGTTCTGCCGTCATATTTGCCAGAGCTCCATCTGAAACCGCAAAATGTGCCGGTATCACCACCCTGACACTGTGCCACTGCAGCTTCCGCCGTCGGCCGAAGCTTGGTTGACATTATGGTGTCATACGTGTAGGGGGCATATTGGGTTACCTCCGCAAGCCACCTGCTTAGATATCCCTTGAAACTCAACTGATCAACGTTGCACTTGTTGATAAACTCGCAGAGTGGCTCATACATGATGTTCTTTTTGGAGAAGAAGTGATCAGTGGCCTTCAGAAGGCCATCCGTGCGAGCTTGCCAGACCGCGGATGTATTTGAAGTGTCCTCAGAGATCGACGATGTCCAATTATACATAACAGAGGCGCCGTGGAGCCAGACCCCTGCGTTGTATGTCCATCGATTGTGATCATGACTGGTGCAGTTGTCGGTTTCTGTTGTGCCATCGAAGATTTCGTAATTAGGTCCCACCAGACCAATATCTTGTGACCAGTTCCAAGCCTTGGTGGCCCATTCTGCGTATGTCTTGTTTCCAGTGTAGCGAGCTAGTCTCGACGAGATGTCGAAGAAGCAGCCATTTGAAATGCTATTTTTATAGAAATACCCTGAAGGACAGCACCAGAGCGATCAGCCATAGCCCTCTCAGGCGAGATAATCTTATTTGCAAACCTACCAGCATTCCAAGAATAGATTTGCCATTTTAAACCACCCCCGCAAGTTGCACTGTGCCATCGATGAGCCTGCCCATTGAAGACCGCCTGCACCATGGCGAGCCAATCCGGTGTGGTGTCGGGTGGACTAGGGAAGTTTCGCTCGGCGGCAATCATAGCACTGAGGGCCCAAAAACATTGATCATCGTTTCCCTCTGTGTATGTTTGATTCTTGGGCATGAAGTCGCCCTTGACTCCTGCCTGATGAACCATTGCCTGCAGGATGACATCGTTATATGATTCATCACCGGTATATGACCAGTAGTTGATCAACGCACCAAAGAAGGCGCCTGCCTCCCACCAGTAGTAAGGATCAGGCAGATTTCCTGGTGTGTCGCCGGTGTTGTTGCCTGAATAGAAGCTTAGAAGGTCATACGCAACCGTGCTAGCAGCTGATTTGATTGAATCTAGTTATTCATATCAGTAATTGCATGTCATACAAAGTTATTGTCATTCTCGGGAGAGTCGGCGAGTGCATACCAGGACTTCCAAAGTCGACCGCAATACCAGCTGCAGTGGTGTGTGATACGAGGAATGTGATACATGTTGAAAGCAGCCATAACTTGGAAAGTATCGATTGGGAGGAATTGGGCAACATAGGTAAAGGAGAAAATTTCATAGCCGAGTCAAGTCAGTGAACTCCTCGTAATGTTTGATGCATGTAGTCGTAGAAGTATGTCTAAAGAATGGAATCAAAGAGAGACAGAAGAGAAGAGAATCACAATGGGGAACTTCGAATAGCTCCCTGAGGAAATAACAGTAATAACCTTGGGGAACCATTTGCCATGAAAGAGAGATGGAGATCCATTGTTAGGATCTTGGCGGTTAGAGTGTGAATCATACACGAAGGCTCAAGAGCATCCAAGAGAGTCCAAGACAATCCAAGGGCGGCTGTGTTCGGATGCTGAGCCCAAACAACCTGCGCGGAAGTGCCTCTGACAGCATCAGGGGAAAGACGCTGCGTTTTCATTGCCTTTTAGCCCCTCCTTGCCGAGTGCCAAGGGTGCCAAAATTAGGCTGCCTGCGAATAGCTTCGATTTTGACCGCTTCAGGGGATGGCGGATGCTCTACGGAGTACAGTGTGTACTCTGTATACTCCGTAGTCAAGAAAGCCGATATCTCAGAGCACATTCCATCGAATGTGCTCCGTAGAGACATCGATATGACTCGGATGATCTAATCCGTACCGATGTTGCAGAACGATCGATCACTCCGATCTCAAAACAAATGAAATCGATTGTGTCTCCTTGGCGCCTAGACTAGCTCAGCCCACCTTGGCAAATTGGCTTCTTTGCTTTTGATCTGGATCCTCTTCACAGATTATGTAGAGAACAACCGTCGCGTGTAGCAGCCGATGTAGGCTTTGCTAAGGAGTACTCTGTACATACATCTGTGTCGATTATGATTTCGCGGCCCGATCGAGACAATGTCTTGTGGTCAATCTATAAGGCTGCTTGCTAGCGCTCTATAGATATGACGTCAGTGCTATATGTTATAGAAGATGAGTCGATTGGCGGCAAACTCGGTTCTCTGGGGATCTAGCCTGGCCATACAACACCAATATCATAAAAAACAACCATGAATGCCCCAAAAAGGGTTTGGGGCTGTACCTTGAAGCGACACACCTATACTGGATCAGACGACAGATGTAGTCTCACAACCCTATCTGCTCTTTCTGGCTTATGAGAAGCGACACAACCTCCTGGGGACCTCTATTGACGGCTGCTTGAAGTGCCGTTTTGGAAACACCCGCACGCACGGTGCTGTCGGCTCCTGTTTCGAGTAGCATCTGCACGATTTGTGTGCTGCCAAAGTGGGCAGCTGCATGCAAGGCAGTGCCATGAACTCTGCCCCGTCCGCGAATGTTAGTGCCATTGTCAAGTAGCAATTTTACAACATCAGCGTTACCTTTTATTGCAGCAACAGTTAATGCTGGGCCAAGATAGGATTCCACATGGATGTTGGCACCGCCCTCTAGGAGCATTTGCCCTATTCGCTGGCTTCCGCTGGCTTCCGTTGGCTGAAGCTGCTACAATCGCGGTGCTGTTCCCCTCATGATTGAAGTCCGCGTGACCGTTGAGCAATACTTGCACAATATCTTCATAGCCTTGGGATGCTACTGCGTCCAATGCGATTAAATTCTCATAATTTTCAGGATTGGGGTTGGCACCCTTGTCAAGCAAGAAAGTGACTAGGCTCCCATGGCCCGCTGATGCAGCGGCCGTCAAAGGGCTGCTATGTATCTCGCTCTCAGAATTTATATCGACACCATTGTTAAGAACGATCTCCACAGTGTCAAGATGACCTTTAACACATGCTGCGACCAAAGCATCTCCATACCATTCACACGAGGCATCCATATTGGCTCCCCACTCCAGGAGCAGTCTGCTCATTGCTTCATTTCTATACTCAGGAGCCATTGTAAGTGGGACCAAATCCTCCTGACTGTTTCCGTTTGAATTAGCTCCATGGGAAAAAAGTAATTGGGCGATATTCAAATGATTCTGTAAAACACCCCATTGCAATGCTGTCCAATGACTCCCATAACGCATATCCACAGGCCGGTGTTGCAAAAAGTAAGATACTGCCTTTTTGATGGCAAAGCGTGCAGCAAAACGCAATCCCTCCATGGTTTTTGAAAATTCCTGACTCCAATTTTTACCGAGTGAATTGCGTCCAACAGCGGATGCTGGTTCTGATGCTTTGGCTTTTGCTGGTCTTCCAAGGACCCTATTGCATTAGGATGTAAGTCCTCGGGCGCTCTTGCATGTATAACCCAATGGCGCACTGTATAGAGATAGAATGGATTGGCTTGCAATCGTTCTTCGAAGGCCTCGGCACTTTTTGCAATACCCAGATCCAAATGTGTCAAAGGAGATATATGGGGGCAAACAACACAATGACTTCGTTTTCAGCATTAGGAAAAAAGAATTGCTTCTTGCGCCGTAAACCGAACCAATCGGATGATCTTGCTCTCAATCTCAGTCGTAACGAGCCCAGCGCACACGGCGAGAATGTCTTCGACTTGTGACAAGTTCTCTTCGCCAAGGCTGGCTTGCCCTTCCTCTATTGCAAGTGCATGCTGGGGCTCCAATGCAGTGAGCGATTGGCGTGCGCATGTCAACCGCGAGAGGGTTTCCATTGCCAACCCAGTCTTTTCTCTCATCTGTCCTTGAATACGGAGTACGGTTCATTGTATTCGCATACGCATCGTCATATGCCGAGTTATGGGACCCTTTAGAGAGACGGCATCCGGAACACATGTCCGCGTCCAACTCATTTCAAAAGTAAGTCTTCAACTTTCTGCATGCACAGTGAAGCTCAGGTATGCAGCGAAGTACGCTGAAAAAGCTTATTGAAAATGGATTCTGTCAACATTGAGGAGTGGAGGGATACAAGTGAGCAGTAACTACGGAGTAGTTAACGAGTGATGCCTGTAAAGTTAGGCCAACTTAGGCATCTCTGCTGACTGCATCGAATGATCTGATTGGCCGCCCCTGCGATCGCCCGATAACGTCAAGGAACCCCCGCAGTCGGGGCGCCCTTTTTTTTTGTTGGGCATGACGCTTTCATGCTAATAGCTATTCTATTTGTCTCTCTTGCCAGGGACTATGAAGCAGGGCCCCCCCAATATCCAGCCCGGATCGGGTCCCTCTAACCCTAGCAGCTCGTGCCCTCCATCTTTGAAGGGACCGTTGGCTGGAGGTCGTCAGATCACCCGGAACCGCACAAGTTACAGCTGTCACACGTGTCGGCGTCGGAAAGTAAAATGCGACAAGGTAGCTTGATCTTATGCTCGCTCATAAGGCTCATGTCAGCTAACGTACATTTATTTCCCCGTTTTAGATACATCCGATCTGCGGGAACTGCGTGAAGAACAACACCGAATGCACGTACGATGTTCTGTCGCAAAAAGACGACAATGGGCGCGATGTGTCGTCAGAGCCGCAAGGCACTAAACGAAGGAGAGAGGCATCTCGGACTTTAGAGGCAGATGTGGATGAGCTCCAGTCAATTTATGGGCACTTGAGGCGAGGAGAGCCGATGGGGGAGAAATCTGACACCAATGCTATTGAATCCCGGCTTGACAAGCTCATGTCGATGATTGAGCGCCTTGGTGGGAGGGATCAAGCTCTCGGAGCTGTGGGGATGCAGGCAATCAACTCAGATCCGAAAGTGGAACCCCCGCAATTGGATGACCCACGGCCGAGCAATAGTCCGAATGGAAACAAAGCATCGTCACGGCCTTCCAGTCCACACCGTGGTACTGCAGAGTCGAGCGCCGATGAATTTCCAATCCCATCTGGCCAGGCCACCGACCTGGTAGATCCAGTTGGGAGCCTGAACTTGGGCCATTTGAGCCTGGAGGACGGTGGAAGGTCCACGTCAGTCACAACGGGCTCCAATGAAAGATGAATTTGCTGACCCTAGCTAGCTATGTTGGTACCACGTATTGGGCTTATATCTCTGACGAGGTGTGTTGTCCCCTGGACTTTCCCTCAAATAGACCCGTTTAACTAACTCGGGCCTAGATCAATGACCTCAATCAGTTGTTGAGAGATCAGAATCGCTCCCATAACCAATCTACCCTTCATAACCACGACGATGACACGATAGATTCATCCCCGAACGATCGAAAGTCATGGAGAGAATCAACAGGCAGCTTGACACCTTCAATAACGCCTAGGTCCCATTCTTTCCAACAATCCATAATATACCCGTCCGGTGACTCTCCTTCGGTGAATGAAAAGGCGGTAGAGCCAGACATGCTCGACCACATCCCAACTAAACGACAAAGCCATATTCTATACAAAGGATTTATCTCGGGTGTACACGCCATCAGCCCCGTGATTCACCCCCCAACTATCCTGAAACTCTACAATTCATTCTGGGACTGGTATGACTACAGCAGTTACTCCGGAGAGTCATGTCCGAACCCCTCATTCATCCCACTTTTGTACGCCATGTGGTATGCCGGCTCAGTGACGGTCTCGATTCGAACAATCAAGGCTGAATTTGATGCGTCATCACGGTCTACCCTTTCAACGATGTATAGTGAAGAAGTCATTAGGTGGCTTACAAAGATCAAATTCCCGCGTAGCCCTTCACTTCAAGGTCTCGCTGCTTATCTCATTGTGCAGACTATCGTCACGAAGGAGGAAGAGCCTTTAACCAGCAGCATATTCGTCAGTTTGGCAATGAGGGTCGCACAAACCATGGGTCTGCATCGGGATCCAGCGAAGTTTGGCATCGAACCTTGTGAGGCTGAGTACAGGCGCCGATTATGGTGGCATATCATGCACATGGATTGCGTGGTTGCGATGTCAAGCGGCCTGCCTCCACTTGTCAGTGACGAGAATTATTGGGACGTGTGTGAGACGAGCGAAATCAAAGATACCTTGCTTGGTAGTCCTGCTGCTGAATCGTATGCGAAACTGGTCACTTCGCAGAACCGGGCGCCCGACAATCCAGATGATCCAACTGTTTGTGGAGGACCATCGATGGTCAACGTCTATTACCTCAACGCTAGAGGGAAATATATCATGGCTTGTGAGTATATCCCTCACGTTTCAAGATTAATAAACTGATTTTATCAGGTGCTATCCGCCGAATATTAAAGATTCAGCTAGGAACAAAGCCCCTCACCAGGCAGGACATGGAAGAACTCCGATCAATACTCCTAGACTTACAGCTGAAATTGAATTCCATAATAAACAGAATTCCAGAGGCAAAGCATGTTGACAATTTGTCAACGGCAGGCCACGCTTTTTATATGTCGGAATCGTCGACGGATGGCCGCTCATCTGGCCCTGATCTACCAGGTGAAGGTTCCACTGGATGTTCAGAGCAGTATCACTCGCCAGTTCTGGTTTGCTTTCATAAATGGGCAAAGATCATCCTCTCTTTATATATTGATAAGGTGCGCTTTCTGAATCCTTGGTGATCCACAGCTCAACTGATCTTTCTATAGGCCTTCTGCGTAGCCTACCAGCCTTTTCTAAAGAACGCCCGTAGCCGGATATGGCCAGCGGCACGCCAGAGGTTAGCAAAAAACATCACGCATTGAGTTCCCCACGCTGATATTCACAGTGCTCTCCGACATTGCCATGGATTCATGAAGAAGTTCATACAACTTGCCACTGACCCTGATTTCCAGCCTTTCCACTGGAGCTGGCCTGGGTAAGCTTTTCGCCGGCGTGCTATTCAAGAGTCACAGCTAATATTTCTTCAGAAACCATCAGCCAATGCATGCTACCATGTATGGTCCTGTTCTCAAGTATTGGCGATGACGCTAATAAGGCATAGGATTATGCTCATCGATTTATACGAGCGACCTTATAGTCCCGAAGCATCCAAGTCCCGCGCGTTTATTGACAGCATACTCGCACTCTCTGGTCCAGATGGAGGTGTTGTAGGTGGTGAAGACGGTGTCTCGACACAACGGCCGTTAAAGGACGGTGGCCGTGAAGCCTGGGATATGATCCGCCGCCTTCGCCAGAAAGCTTGGCAAAAGGCTGGGCTCGATCCCCAGATGCTCTGGTCTGAAAAAGACCAGATCCAGGCCGGGATCGCTTCGCCGGCTGACTCTTACAAAGATGAGTACTCTTCGTACTCGGATCCATCCCAACCTAGATCCCCGGGTTCAGCCACGGCCGGTCATCTCTTACCGCATAACCCTCAACCTAGCAATTCCAGCAGATCATTCAACAACATCCCTCGCTCCCACATGTCTAGTGAAGATGTTACTTCGGGTACTAGAACCCCCTTGCAACACCAATGCGAATTTCAACATCACGATAAACCCTTGCCTGTGGCCCAAAATTCCCAGTTTCGCCCTAATCTCACAGGCTGTCCTATACCTCCCCTCACTAAGCCACCTTCATCCAATCTGGTACTGACCAGGGACACGCAACCGTCGGCGCAATATCTTGCATCCCTGGTCCCTGCTGTATCTGCTCCACAGCTAGAGTCTGATCTTACTCCTTCCGGTGGCACGTCCTTCATGGAGACTATTTCTCATGGATTGCCCATGAATGTGCCTACACCGCCATCGATGGTTGATCCCAACCTCAACTTCGACTGGGACCAATGGGACGCTGTGTTCGGACAACATCTCCCCGTTGCAGATGATCTCATGGAATTGGATCCTGTTTCCGGTCTTGATTTCACCAGTGGAAATGTCTCGACATATCACGGCAACAATCCTATTGACTTACCTACTTCGTATGGCAATGGTCCTCCGGGATCCACTTCGGATGTGAATACGCCATCATGGAACAGGAGCAATGATGGTGAATCCAAGTGGGCTTAGTATTCTTGTCACTCAGCCCAAAGAGATATATAGTGTATAGTTGTTATGTACAAATCTATCAAACAAACAGTAAATAAAAACATATGCATGATACATGATGTTGTAGCTGGTCTATGAGAGTTCGTAAGATTGACCCTGGGGGTTCGAATTGAAGTAATCTACTGTAATCAAGGAATACAAGACCAATGATGGCGGAGAAAATCTACAAAGTATAAGTAGAACAGGAAGCGTGGAAGATGAAATGATTTCATGAAGCGTAACTCTTGACGATCAAGGGATCACTAACGTGAGGAATGAGAAATGTGAGAGCGCCATTGGAACAGAAGGGCCCAAGGGATGGGGAATAAACAGCCGTTCCGTCCGAACTTCCCCACAATTCATCCACCAAGGCATGTTTGTGCATGCAGCTTATGTTTTGCTGCTGCCTGTTTTAGGATGGCATGAATTGCTGTTTAAACCTTCACGGCCTTGAGACCGTCAGCCCAAACGGTAGCGTAGGGTGTGACACCATCATCACGGAAGTCAATGAGGACGTGCCTAGGAATAGTTAGTTTGGGTACCCGAAAGATAGGAATATTTGAACATACATGGCGTCGCCGTCCATAGACTGACCCATGAGGACGTCGTAGTTGTCCCAGTTCTTGATAATCTTCTTGGTGGCGGCACCACACTTCTTCCTGAACTCCTTTTCGGCCTCCTCGGGATCTTCAGCGGCGGCGAACTTGGGCGCAGCGTTTTCGCAGAGCTTCTTGAAGTAAGCTAGATTAAGGAAGAATAATCAATGATTTGCGCACACCAAGATACAAGGGACAGAGGGCAATCTTACACTTCATGTGAGCCATGTAGGCTTTGGCGGAGGGCTTAGCACCGTCCTCGACCTTGAGCCAGTGCAGACGGAACTGATCCTCGATATCGTGGACCATGACGGCCTCGCCATCGCCACCGTCCTCATCATCGCCACCCTCAGCAGAGGGGTTGGCACCCTCAAGCTGGAAGTCCTCATTGGAGCGCTTCAGGTACTTGCGGCAATCACACTCCCAGAGGACATCAAAGTCCTTGTTGGGGACAAGGTTGAAGGTATCGGAGACGATCTCGTCGCCGGAAACGATATCCTGGGCAATTGTCAATTAAGATTCCAGAAAACTATATGAAATAGAGAAAATAGGGGGGAAAGGTCATGATCAAACGTACAGTGTAGATAATCATCTTGAACGGTATTATATGAGAAGGTAAGGAGAAAGAAAGTAAGCACAGAAAGGAAAAACACTCTCGAGGGTGGGGGGAAGAGGGTTTTAAAAAAAAAAAAAAAAAAAAATTGAAGAGCGGGGTGATGTTTGTTCGGTTTGTATTGTCTACTCCGTACCCGACTAGTATCGGGGAGTCTGGGCCACCGCCACTGGCAACGCATTAGCGCCGTAGTCGATACTTCAGGGTACCTCGGAAGCACAATGCACTTGGTAAGCAGCCTGAGGCCATTCGAGAGGGAAGGAGATACTGGGGATGGATGAGAACAGTATGAAATGATCGTAGTAACGTTGATTTTGGTCGACCGTTTGTACTGTTCGTCTTCGGCGATCTATAAGTCTGACTCAGCATCTCTGGTTTACCATACCATACCGTATAGGACCACTATCTCTTGGGTGATCTCCACAGATACCGTCTCCGGAAGTATTGGATTGCCTGTTCTTGGTCTCGCGCCACCCGAATCCGGGCATCTCCTGATCTGAACGTTGATCTTTTATCTCCCCATTCCCTCGTTCATTATTATCAACATCTCGTTTCCTTTTTTCCCCCTTTTTCCTCCTTCCTTTTGTTATGTATCAGGAGAGGTACTGATCGAAATCCATCCTGTATCGTGCCTACCCGTCAGCATCCGGTCTCCGACGTGGTTGCTGACGTTCTTTCTCTTTTCTTTCCATCTCTGGCCTCGGTCTCCAATTTTCCAATTGGGAGATCCTTTTGATTGACACAATCAATTTCCTTATATTCGAGCTTGGTGCATTGCCATTCTCACACCATGGCCGTGAACGCATCCGTCGCGTTCGATCTCCCTCCCCTACCAACCTACACCTTGACCACACGAGAGGATCTGCTCGCTCCTATCCCCGATAATATTCTCTCGCTCATATTACCCGTTGTGGCTTACTGGGCCCTGTCGATGATCTATCACTTCCTGGATATCAACAATTACTTCGTCCAATACCGGCTTCACACCCCCGCGGAAGTCCTGAAAAGAAACAAAGTCACCCGGTGGGAAGTTGTTCGGGATGTTATCTTACAGCAAGTGATTCAAACTGTGGCCGGTCTTGCTTTTATGTACTTTGATGCGGAGGAAACTGCTGGAAAAGAGGAGTATGATGTGGCCGTGTGGGCGCAGCGGTTGCGCATCGCCCAAAAGGCTGTTCCGTCATTATTGGCTCTTGTTGGGGTTGATGCCGTTAGCCTAGGGAAATCCGTGTCACAAGCTGGTTATACCATGTTGGCTGGAGCTCTGGCTGGTGGATCTTACCCCGGTGTGACCCAATACATGACTCTCGGCGGAGCCGAGGTCGTGGTGCCCGCCTTCACAAGCTGGGAGGTTACAGTTGCTAGTTTCATCTACTGGTATTTTGTACCGGCGCTTCAGTTCATGCTAGCGATTTGTATCGTGGATACTTGGCAGTACTTCCTCCACCGGGCTATGCATATGAACCGGTGGCTCTACGGTATGTGTAGTCCTTCGAGCTTGACTGATGGATCTTGTACTAACCATCACAGCGACTTTCCATTCCCGCCATCACCGTCTCTACGTTCCTTACGCCTTTGGTGCCCTCTACAATCACCCGTTTGAGGGCTTCCTCTTGGATACGGCCGGCACTGGTGTTGGATTCCTACTCTCCGGCATGACCACTCGCCAGGCCATGTGGTTCTTCACAATGTCAACTATCAAGACTGTCGATGACCACTGTGGTTACGCCTTCCCCTGGGATCCATTGCAGCATTTTACATCCAATAATGCCGCCTATCACGACATCCATCACCAAAGCTGGGGTATCAAAACCAACTTCTCCCAGCCTTTCTTCATCTTCTGGGATCGCCTTCTTGGCACTCAGTGGACTGGTGAAGTTAAGCTACGCTACGAGCGAGCTCGCGAAAATGCCCAGAAACAGGTGGATCTGGATGTTGCCCAGGCGCTTGAAACAGCCGCACCTGTGACTATGACAGTTACAGAGGAACATGAACATGAGCGGGTGGTGCTCTCGCCTGAGGGACCTGCGACCCGCACTCGGTTGCGCCGAAAGACCGTGGATAGTCTCAAGGGTCCGAGTCATGGCGTTCCTGGAAGTGTCCTGCACAATTAAAGCCGTGATGAAATGAATCCTCTGAGAATGTGTCTTTTTTTTTAATACTTCACCCAATCCCGTCCCTGGAGCTGCTGGTCGTCTCCGCCAGGCCGTGGGGGTTTTCGACATTTTTCTTTTTGTGTATGGGCTAGTGACCCAATGTATTAATACTTCAGAATGCGCCAGTCGATGCTTTGTACATGGTTTTCTCTATGACTTACTGTTAATAATGTCTATTCATTTTCTCTTTATGTCTTGCTCTCATGGATACTCGGCGTGGATTCGATTCGTTTGCAAATACCATGATCTCTTCCCCCCAAGTCCCTTCTTCCACCAGATCCATACAGCAAGAATAACTCAAGTCAGAATCAAAGTCGCAATCAATGACGAGCAAGCGAGGGAACGAAAGACAGGCACAAAGCGCCAAACAAAATGCCGAAATAAAGGAATAAAAGCCAGCGGCTCGGACCAAGCGATCACACCATATTTGACTGTTCACAAACCTGACTCCATGTTGTCCTCGCTGTAGAGCTTTCTGGCTTCCCGATGTGGCCTTGATCACTCTACTCACTGCTTGTGGAGTAGATCGATGAGGATGAACCCTCTAAAGGGACTTTGCCCTTTGCTCCCATCTATTGTTGAGCACTCTGTGCCCTGCAAATAGGGATTTCCTCCCATATTCTTCTACATCTCCAGCATTCCGTTGGCTTCGTCTAAAGTTCCATAGACAGCAATTGCTGCACTAGGTGAACGGGGTTTTCCAAGAGACCCGTAGATAGTAGTCGCACTCCACCCTGCCGCCCTTATTCCCAGGCCTTGGTAGTTGTCATCAGCAAAATCCATGAACCTGGTGACACGATCTGGATTTGGAGACCACTGGTGATCTTCACTCATGTGGCACGGTGACGTTGAAGCTTTCCGGGAAACTCTCGACGTTGGGCGATACAAGCCGAGTCCTTTTGTGTCACTGTCAGCACGCCGCGCTGCAAACGAAGAAGAAGATTCGGGGACATACCTTTCTGCCGGGTGAGGTGTTTTGATCGGTCGTGGTGGTTGCACATGGTTCTTCCGTGGATTATACTCATTGGCGGAGGTATGGCTGCGTGCATTCTTTCTGCTCTTCTTGCTTCCATCATTCACCTCATGCTTCTCGCCCTTCTCACGATTACTGTGCTTGTTTTGCGGATGTCTCGAGTTCACATGAGCCGGATCCTTTAACCAGGCTTTGCTGCAGGCTTTGCGGGTATCCTTGAGGATATATGCAAATTGGCTCGATGTACCATAGAGTTCATCCACATCATCAGGGAACAGGTCAATGCAGGCGTCGACAAATTTCATAAGCCTGCGTGGGACATGATTTACACGAGTCTGCGTGCGAGCGAGCAACGCAACGCGAAGATTGCGCAGTGCGTTTTTGTCACTCGCAATTCGAGCCACCATGCACCCCTGGCAGTCGCTGATTTCGTAGCGCCATGCATTTGGAGCATCCGGGTCGTTCAAGCTGGGCTTCTTCCACATACCCTGTATAGCCCGCAGTTGCTTCAGAATCAAATTGTCTAGAGGCTTCAACAGGTGCGGGTATGCGTCAAACTTGCGGAGGTGGTAACCGACCTCCCTTCTGATGAGATTGAACAAATCGTATATGAGATCAGCACTCAGATCCTGATGGGCATTGCACAAATCTTTGTTTGTTCTCGACCAGCGGTCACGGCGCATATTCTTTGGTAGAGCGTGGATCAGACATTTGACGATCTCATCGGCGTGTCTCGCTCTTGTGATATCTAGGTGCAAGATGTCCGTTAGCCGTTTCATTTCGTTCCTTCTCAGGTCAGTGACAAACCGAGCGTCTCCACGTCCCGAGAAGAGTCTTGCATGTTCACCAAATGTGTTTTGCCGAATGAGTCCGAATCGCCCTCCATCTTTGCCCATCGTTTGTGGCCGTTATGGAGCAGAGAACGGCGTTGGGGGTTATGGCAGAGTTCAGATGTTCTATGCTTGTCACAAACTCGACTAGAATGTTCCCACTGTATGTGTATGCCAAGTTGGGCAAATTTCGAGCAAGTGTTGAGCTTGTAGATGTAATCCCGGCTTCAGAGAGATATTTTTATACTCTCTGAAAAGGGATGAAGAAGACCGTGCTTGGCATGCTTTCATGCTGCTAATCCCCATTGAAAGTGCCATGATCAAAGAGAACAAAAGAATTGTTGGTGTTGGATTGACATTCTGTGAACATCAAAGAGAATCGGTATGGCTCCATGACAATGAGCAATGTCTCTCACAAAGAACAATCAAGCTATCTATAGCTATGTTCCTTCAAGTCTCAGTATATAGACTGAGTATTCTCTCTCTACGTCTCAGCTTTCCGTCTCGGGTTCTTTTCTTATTTTCTCTTCAGTCTCACCCATCTCTTGTAGTTCCAAATGGAAAACCAAGTTTCAGCCGTTGGCTCCTCTCAGGTTACAAAGAAAGCAAAGCAGTGCATCAAGCATCGTCGGGGGATGTTCAATTATCCCAATGGATGCAATATACGCGAGAACTACACTCCGGACGATGCCAACCAATGGGTAACCGTCTTCTTCAACTGGGCTGATCGTCTTTACAGCGACGAGGAGCTGATGGATCTTGTGATAGCTCGCATCAACGCCCGGGATGGCACCATTTCGTCTCAGCCCGTTCACCACGATATTCGATGGTGCTTGTCGTTATGTGTGCCAGGAAGTTGGCATGCCAGCGATTTCTCTATTGCCGGCACAGCGAAGGCTGTTGCGCAATGGTACCAGAGTGAGATGCGCCATGCAGGGATATGCATCAATCGAGGATATATGTTCCGTGATAATCATCGAAAGAAACATTGACTGTCGGACCTTTTTCGAGGCGCTCGTAGCATCGTTTCTGATTTACCACGAGAGAAACCTTGGAAGCCCTGCATATACATGTAATTTAGACAAGTTAGCCGCTAATCTCTCAGAGTTGTTATTGAACAGGAATCCGAGCTTTAGGCTCAGCTTTGTCGGTACTATGTTCTGGGCTCACCGGGGCTATAGCTGTGAAAGAGAGGCTTTGACCTTTCTTTCAGCTCGTATTGAAGTACAAGTAAATTTCACAGGGCTAGACACGGAGATCTCACCGCGGTCCTACATCTAGTAAATCCATTCTTAGTTTTATTTTGCCCCAGAAGAGAGATGCAGGGACTATATACCTAGGCAGAATAACCACCTGGTTAGTCTCTTAGGCGCACAGAGAAATATTAGCTGGGCATCTCAATAAATGAGATCATAGAAGAACCTTGGAACCGACAAATCAAATATCAACTTGATCACCTCGTATCGGCTCAGCTGTTCAGCTCCGAGGTAAGAAGTGTGTCGGCAAAAAAGGAAAATACACTATATCACATGACAGACCAGGCTTCCCTTTGGTGCTGCTTCGTCATCTTCATCTTCATCTTTATCTGTTCCACCTTACGTGTCTGCTCCAGCAGATACCTACGTTTCACGATGACCCAAGGCGAGCAGGGTACCCCGTTGCCCTACACTGCATCACCAATCAAGTTACTTTGGAGCGATGTGGGCCTGTTCTTCTCAAAGATATGGGCTCTTCCTGGAATACTGCTACCTCTAAATTTAGGTCGCGCCCGTTCGTTGGATGAGCTATATCCGTCGTTACGCAACGGAGCGATTGTCATGGTCCATATGTTTCTCGTGGTCTATCAAGTGGCTTTCCTGCTCTCGCTACCAATTATGGGGTTCTGTCTGGTTCCAGGCATGTTAATACTGGCTTACACTGGTATTGTTTTAGCCGTCAATTATGCGATTGTCATGTTGATGTTAAATGGCTTTCAGCGGGTCCTGGTATCCCAAGTGCCCGTGGTCGAGCGGGCAGGCCATGACCGGGAATGTTGGCTGTATATAAATGGAATTGCAGCTGGGTAAAAGACCTCCCTAGGTTGATGTGCTTTCAGTCACTGACCTGAGATACATATAGTCGTCGGTGGGTGCAGATGAATGTTGATCAACTGTCATGGACCTTTGGCCGCAAAGTAACCGGTGTGCACAATCGCACGTAAGTGATATCCTGATACCTAAACCTACAAATATTAATCTGAAGTAGTGCAGGTATTGTCTTTGATCTGTTAGAATGTCTGATCCAACGGGACTTTGCGTACGCCACGGACGACATACGAAGGTCTTATGCCTTGGTCAAGAAAGCTCTCCTTGACCCAGAATGTGACAAGGTGGTTCTGATTCTTCACAGCCAAGGTGGGATTGAGGGAGGTCTTATTTTGGACTGGCTTTTAGATGAATTACCACACAACCTCCTCCGTCGCTTGGAAGTGTACACATTTGGCAATGCTGCCAATCACTTCAATAACCCCCGGTGGACAAAGCCAGCAAGATCAGGGGCGGTCTCGACATCTGATCTTATGAATCAATTTGGCCAATCTATCGGCCACATCGAACATTATGCCAATGCAGGGGATATCGTGGCCCTGGGAGGCGTGCTCCATTTTGTGGACATCCCAAACCGATATATGGGCCGGCTCTTCGTCCGCCCGAGTTCGGGCCACCTGCTCAACATGCATTATCTAGACAATATGTTTACATTAGGGCCTGATAGGAAGGCCCTTAACTCCAATCCATTTATGGACATGGAAGTCGAACCATGGGCAATGGCAGGTATGAATGGATATGAAGGCCCTCCGCATCGAGTCAGGTATAGTCCAACCATAACCCGAGACGAGGCATTCCTTCCTGCCAAACTGAGCCTGCAGCCCTCACAACCAAATGGTATCAACAGAGTGCTGCGCGTCAAAGACTTCAGTCGTCTTTGGCAGTATAGAAATGGTGGGTGTCCAAAACACACGGAATATACTGATCAATAACGAAACCCATAAACATCTTCTTCAGTCAGAATCCACCCTTGCTCTTTGTTCTCTCCGATACTACAAATGATCATAGACGCATCTCGGCCTGCAGATACTATGTTCCCATTAGATAAAAGCCGCAACACAGAAACCAAGTGGTCATACAGATACAACGTTAGCATGGTCATTTCTGGCGTCCCATGTTTTGATTGATCAGGTTATTTGAACGAATGCCATGATCCTATACAGCCGTTTTCTTTGTGCAACGGTGAATCTTGAACATATTTAGGGATGGATGTACAATGAGATCAATTCAGAGGCAGTCCCGTGATATCAGGGAGGTATTCCTCATCTGAATTGCAGTAGAAATTAAGTAGAAAAAAGAGCAACGCCCATCGCCATACAATGCAATTGGAACACAGAACAAGGACACGCTAATTTCACGCCTTGCCCTTCTTCTTTTCCTTCTTTTTCTTTTCCACGGCACCCCCTGAGGGCTCGCCGCCCATTCCGCCCATTCCACCCAAGCCGCCCAAACTACCAAGCATATTGCTCAGTCCGCCCATCCCACCCATTTGGCTCATCATTTCTGACATGTTAGGCATTCCCTCCATACCCTGCATGCCCTGCATCTCGGCCATCGCGTCCTTGAGGGGGTTGTCACTGACACCGCCACCGCTATAGGCGGGCGAATGGATTGGCAAGACTTTCCCGATCTTCCAACCCCGCGGGGCAGGAGGAGCTGCTGGAAGTTTCTCGGGCATGGGCAGGCCACGGATTCGTAGCCGGTAGGGTGATTGTTCGGTAGTGGGGTTTGCTTTCAAGTACTGTGCGACAAGAATATAAAGGTGATGCTCTGCACAATATGGTCAGTCTATCTCCAGCAAAGATAATCACCCACTCCATCATAGATATCAGCTACGTACTGTTTTTGATCTTGGGGTTGGCCAATTGGCCGTTCTCGTTCTTGACCTGCACACGCACACGGCCGGGATTCGCCCAATCCTTAGGATGCAGCTTCTCAGGCTCTAGTCCTGCATTCAAGCCAAGCAGCTGGACAGCATCGACGATATCTCTGGCAAGAGGGTTTTCCACTGCCAGCTCCGCACCTACTTTGCGGCCCTCGGCGCGCGATCGAGTCTTATCGAAATACACAGGGTATAGGCATGAAAAGTGTCGAGGGATCTCGCGCTGAGGCTCAGGGACTGGCATTGATGGCATAGGGGTCTGTTGTTGTTGGGGTTGAGGTGCAGCCCTGGTCGGAACATTGACAGGTGCGATAATGGCATTGCGGGGGAGTTCCTCGTCAGAGTCATAGGATGGGGCGACCTCTTCAGGGTCAGAGTCAGAGACTTCTTCAATTTGAGCGCGACGCGACATTATGGTGGGTTGGATTTGGTGAATGGGGGAGATGTCTGGGGAATGCGGAATTGTGGCCAAGTCAGAGGGGCAGAATGCAGTGTCTGTGCGGGCGGTGGGAAGTGGGACACAGCCATGTGTATGTAGGTGTTGATGTGCAACCTCTAAGTGTTCAACCAGAGCAAAGTTTTCGTAGGTAAGTACATGGATAATTTGAGCTCATCTGATGTGGTTCTCTTCAAAGTCTGCTTTCTGTAATATCCCTTTCATGCTGTGTAATATGTTACCTACTTGTAAATAGCTATCCAACCTTAGTTTCAAGTATACCGTAGTATATGCACATAGCACACTCACAGAACCATTTAAGCAACCTTAGATATGCAGTATGAGTCATTTTCAAAGACCCAAGATTTGACTAAAAACTATATATTAATTGTACCAAATAGGCATATCGGAGGAGACATCGGAGTCCTTGGGCACCCCACGTTCGGAGCTCAAAGGTCCGTGCTCGGCTTTTCAACCAATTGGATTCTCGGCATCTCTTGTTCGGCATGCCGAACCCACTCCACCCCGCAAGACAGGCATTGCCTCGGGTAAAACCTAAGTCTATGGCTATATAAGAGGCTTTGCTTCCCGTGAAGTTCTTTCCTTCCACCTTGCATATATCTAATCTTCAATTATGACAGCTAGTATGTAAGATCCATGCAACATGTTGGCTTATCTCTCGTTCTAATATACATCCATTTCAGACAAGACCAGTGCCATCCTCCATCGGGATACAAGCTTTATTCCCAAGAAAGCCATCGGCGGGAAGGGGAGCTACATCTTTCTAGAAGATGGAACTAAGTTCCTCGATGCTACAGGGGGTGCAGCTGTGTCTTGTCTCGGACACGGTAACGAGCAAGTCACCCAGATCATCAAAGATCAGATGGCCCAACTGTCCTACTGCCACTCTGCCTTTTTTGGGACTCAGGTAGCCGAAGACCTTGCCCAATTCTTAGTGGAGTCTACTGGCGGAAAGCTATCCAAGCTTTTTGTTATCAGCTCGGGATCTGAGGCTATTGAGGCTGCACTCAAGCTAGCTCGTCAATACTACTTGGAGCTTCCAACTCCTCAAGTCCAGCGTACACGATTTATTGCGCGTCTTCCCTCCTACCATGGAACCACATTGGGTGCTCTAGGTCTAGGTGGCCATGTTCAACGCCGGCAGCCATTTGAACCCCTTCTCTCCAAGAATGTATCCCATGTTTCTCCGTGCTACGCGTACCGTGGTAAGCGGGACGGCGAGTCGGATGCAGACTATGTGGCACGTCTTGCAGATGAACTAGAGGCTGAGTTTCAACGTGTCGGTCCCGAAACTGTGTGCGCATTTGTCGCAGAGCCGGTCGTGGGTGCGGTAGGTTTCCTTCCATTTACTCCTCCGCCCACCTCCGCCCACCGAGACATCCCACTGACACTCTTTAGGCTCTCGGTTGCGTTCCTGCAGTACCTGGGTACTTCCGTGCAATGAAAGCTGTCTGCGAGAAGCACGGTGCTCTTTTCATCCTTGACGAAATCATGAGCGGCATGGGCCGCTGCGGAACCTTGCATGCCTGGGAGCAAGAGGATGTTGTTCCTGACATCCAGACTATTGGAAAGGGTCTAGGCGGTGGCTATGCCCCGGTATCAGGTGTCTTGATAGGTGATTCTATTGTCCAAACAATGGACAAAGGTAGTGGAATGTTCCGCCATGGCCAAACATATCAAGGTCATCCAATCTCGTGTGCTGCTGCGTTGGCCGTGCAAAAGACTATCCAGGAACAATCTTTGCTGGAAAATGTCCGGACAATGGGAGCCTACCTTGAGGCACAATTGAAACAGCGATTCGAGAGCCATCCTCATGTCGGAGATATTCGCGGAAAAGGACTGTTTTGGGGTGTAAGTTGCCTGTATTCTAGTAGCCGATATTGGTATGATGCTAAACATTTACAGATGGAATTTGTCAAAGACAAGGCTACAAAGGAGCCATTTGATCCTAAGAGCCGTCTGTCTTTCCGCATCCAGGAAAAGGGGTTACAACCAGAATACAGTGTCTCATTGTACGGTTGTTCTGGCACTGTTGATGGAATTCGTGGAGATCATCTCGTCCTCGCGCCACCATACATCGTGTCGAAAGAGGAGATTGATATTCTCGTTGACACTCTTGAGAAGATTCTCGAAGATGTATTTTCCTCGCTATAGATCCACTTTGATAGTCCTGCCTAGTCTGTGCAATACTTCAACCAATACATGTACCATTTTGATAATCTGAAGACTACGGGAAGACAGGTTTGACAAAACGATTAGATAGAAATAGATAGACACCTCGTTCAAGGCAAACCATGTGATTGATGGCATATTGCGTTATTATACAAGTACATAAGAGAGATCAACCCTGTGCCTGGATAGCAACCGATTTCTTCCTGGCAGCCAGTTCGATCCCCTTTGGTCCATGGACAGGGCCTCTCTGTGCTGCATCCCGAGAAATCGAGCTCTCTGCCCAGAGGCCAGCCACAGTCTCAATTGCCCGCTCAACGACAACACGGATACGGTCTCGCAGGACAGGGTTCGCACATTCGACTTCCAAATCTTCCAGCCACACGCGGGCAATGTGCTTGTCTACCCTAATCTCAATACCAGGGACCGGGATGCCCATGGTGATAAGACGATCCAACTCTGCAGCCTCGATATCGGCAATTCTTTCTTCGTTCATCTCTTCCCCCTCTTGTTGAGGACCGAGTGCGAGGTCAGCAGGGACTCGGGGGCGCTCAATTGGACCGATATTGTCGCCACCGAATTGGGCTTCGAGCATCATTAGCATGCGAGCGAGACGCTCCTCGGGTCCACATTGAGAATGAGGATTCGGAAGTGAGGGAATTTCCAATTCGTCATCGTCGTCATGGTGGTGGTGGTGGTGTTTGTTTTTGGCCGATTCTAAAATCCTAGCAGTTAGCACGAGTAAACACAAAAGAGAAGATACGGGTTCATACGCTTTACGGAGGCTGGACTGCTCTCGACCGTCAGGAGAACAGCCATCACCGCATCTGCCACTCCGTCGTTCATCATGTTTCCTTCCCATTCTAGCTCAACCTCACGGCTGCGTGAGTGGTGACGGAGATACACACATCCCATGACAAGGAACACCTGTGTTTCATCAGATGGAATCTCCTCATCGGCATCTTCTGGTTTTGTGGTATCGTTGGTGTCTGTGTTATTCTGGCTGTTGGTTTTAGTCTTCTCGCTGTTTTCAACCTCTTCAATAGCCCCAAAGGTTCCCTCGAGGGCCCATCTGATCAGGTCCATGCTCGCGGAGCTGAGCGTAATGTGTTGTTTGCAAGTAATAGTCGTAGTAGTCAAACCTGCATACTCCTGTAGATCGTCGGGCGCCATTAAAGACAGGTTGAACCCATTCTGAACCAAGACCCCAGCCATGAGTTGGGTGTCATCATTCTCCGATGGAGGCGCAAGCTCTGCTAGCTTGCCGACCACCTTGGCAATCTTGTCCTTCTTGAATGGGATGCGCACTTCGTCGCAGTTTGCTGGTGTGTACACTTTCACCTTGACGGCCTTGTCTGCGTTAAGGCTAAGCAGTTTCGACTTCAACCTCATCATCTGGTGTTTTTCGCCATGAACAAGAATCTTAGGCCAATTAGTAGGAAGTTCAACTAAAGGGTGGACGTCACACTTACCACGACTGGAGCAGCTACTTCCTCTATGAAAGTACGATTTTCAACGCCATCAACGTGAGCTGCAAAGCTGACCTCATCAACAGTACAGCGTCGGGGAATCATCACTTTCTGATCCTCGTCACTCGCTCCAGGGACACGCCCTCGACCGTGCCCGGCGGAAACCTTGGACATGACGGCGGGAATCTGATCTGGTTCATTGAGCAGGCCCTTGGCCATGGTCCCTTCAACGCTATACCCGGTCATGACAACCCCGTTGCGATCACTTGGCGCCCATCTTTCTAGAAGCTCACGGCTTGTTCCCGTTTGCAGCATACCGGGGGAAGCAAGCATGACACATCCTCCAACATCATCGAAGCGCTCCAAACTGCGGAGACTTCGAACGAAGCGGAAATCCCACGGTCCGACACTGACGCTTTTATTGCCGCTGGCCTCGGCTTCGGCCATGCGCTGCCGGAAGAGCCGCTTTATATTGTCGTTCATGGCCCCAATATATGTCTGGTAAACGACCATGCAACGCCGCGCCATATTTCCGATGTAATAAATTGGAAACTTCTGAAGTTCGGGGTGGGTTTCCCAATATTCATCAAGAATAAGAAGCAGTTCTTGGGCGCGACCGAGAGCAAACACGGGCATCAAAACTCGACCTCCACGGTTGAGAACGCTTGTGATTGACTTCATCAACGCGGCCTCACGTTCCAGTCGAGGGGGATTGGATGATATGCCGAATGTAGATTCTGTGATGAGAACATCAATCTTCGTGCCCTTTGGTACCTCGGCAGGAATCAAGTGCCTATCCTCCTCGCGAGAGTAGTCTAATGATGTCATTGGTCAGCACTTCGATTGTGATACTCCAACATATAGAAAAAGCAGCGAGGAAACAAACTCACCTCCGGTAAACAAAGTCACCAATCCTGCAATATCGATTTTGAACATGGCTGCGCCGAGAACATGCCCGGCGGGATATGGAGTGATACGGATGCCATTGATAGTATGTGTGGTGTAAAAGTCGATAGTTTCAATCATTGGAAGAGTAGACAAGTGGTCACGCTCGGTATATAGCGTCGTCCGTTGATCAGAGGAAGAGGACGTGTTGCTAACCCGGACATTGTCTTGGATGAGCCATTTGTAAATTGCTCGGGTTGCCGGAGTCATGAAGACTCTTCCCTTGAAGTTCGTCTTGCTGAGAACATATGGCAGGGCGGAAGAATGATCAACGTGGAAACTATACAGATCAGGCTGTTAGTCAACTGTGCTAGCCATGAGGCGTGCCGAGATAGAAAGCATTCGAATTGGAGACTTGAGAGGGTACAGTGATACAAGGAATATATGCATGGCATTGAATTGTATTGGGCTTGTATATATGCAGGGGGGTCGCTGTTTTCTCCCATCGGAGCAGGTCCAACAGAAGACTGCTAGGCAATCTAGGTGCCGCACATAGAACATCGTGGAGAAGTGTGGAGGGGGGTCCAGTTGCATTGGGCATGCTTGTGCATAGTATGTAGATAGAATAAATATCAACGTACTGGCTGATTAGGAGAACATCCACGGTACTTAGATCGAACTCATCAAAAAAGGGAAGTGCGGAGAAGCCTTCTTTCGCCGGGTGCATGCCTGCATCAAGCTATAGAACCCAACCGTCAGTATTTACAGCTTCCCCGTGTGATTTCAGCACTGGCTTACCATCACCGTCTTGCCCTTGTATTCCAGAATGTGGCAACTACGGCCAACTTCATTGCCACCGCCGAGACAGTAGAAAGCGAGTTCGTCTGATGGGTCGACGGGTTCATCATCGACAGCTGTACCCATCGCTGAAGCTTTGCGCTTGGCCGCCATAGTGTCGCAAATTTTATGGATACACCCAGATGGTGTCAGGAGAATGAAATATCTTCTTTGGATCTGAGCAACCTTGTTGAAGAGCACTTATTCCCGTGTTGTGAGGTAAAGTCCCAAGATATCAATAAGGGCTCAGCACAACGCCCATGGCTCGCATAACATAAACTAGAGTGGATTCAGTTACTAAGAAGCGTGTTAGAGATGTCAATGGCCTTGCGAGACCTGAATGTGATTCAATAGAGGAGTAATTTCATTCATCGCAGGCGCAGGCACTGGCACGCCTGGGCAGATTTGGAGAGCTTAGTCAAGCTTAGTCACGTGTGTCGCGATCCGCGATCCGCGGAGCAGAGTTCGACCACCTGGAAAGCTCCTTACCACATCACACATCACTGTCTTCCCGGTTGTTATTGTTTTCACTCTTAAACCAACATTCATACGATTCAAATGGTCGCATCTATGGTTTGATTTCAGTATTGAGATGCCCAAAGCTGGTGGAAGCTGGTGGTGTGAGCAATACGCTCAGTTTAACGGCCACGCGTGGACCTCGATTTATCTGAAAAGCGCCCACAGCTCGGCGCAATAGCGCTCATCTCGTATCCAAATCAAACTTGCTCTTACTTGACAGTCATCATGGCGCAAGCTCGGCATCCACAGCAGCAGCCACCCCCGCCGCAATTTTCCTCGCAACCTTTCTCCCCGCCCGTCTCATCTCCATCTCCAAATTCAGTAGCATCTCCTGTGAACGGAGGCGCTATACCTCCTCCATCCAAACGACCTCGCCTTTCCCCTCTGCCACCTTCTCAAACTCAGTCTCCATACGGTTCCCCAAGCTTCAATGCGGTACAACTGCCACAAAACCCGTCCCCAATGAACGGAGCACCGATGAATATGAGCATGAATATGAACATGTCTGCAACGCCTGCTCCAGCCCCTCCTGGAACTATGGGACCTCCTTCTCGTCCAGTGGACAAAACAACAGATGCTGCTGAGCTGACGGATGTCCTGGCATCATCTGGAATTGATGTGAGGGAAGAGGAAGCATTCCTCACACAGAGTTTTTCAGGGCAGACTGCGCAGGCGCAACCACCCCAGAGAGGACCACAGACTCAATATCCGCCACCTATCAACACCTCCTTTACATCTCAAGGCTCTACTCCGGGAACTCCGTCAGCTTCGACCAGCTTTGGTGATTTGCCTCAGATCAAACCCGCGATCACGCACGAATCATTCACCGATCAGTCCTCTCAGGCATATGTTCCCTTTAAAGACCCCAATGAGCCAACTCGCGAGGACACTATCGCAGCAAGGCGGGCACAGTATCATATTCAGGAACCATTTTTGATCACGAAACTCCTAGAGCAGAAGCTCCAAAAGCGAGGCTTTGACCTCGGTGTTCGAATTCCTTCCGAGGGCCTCTTTCATCCCGTGCCTGGCCGCCCACAGCCAATCGAAGTTACTGGTCCTGATGGTTCTTCCGTGGTGCGTACTGGTCAGACTATTCTCAACCAGGAAGGTGCTCCTCTCGTAGACATACTGAATCTTCTGTCGATATCCACCGAAGAAAGATTTAGGGGCATCATAGACTATGCCTCAACTCTTGCTCGAAGTCGCCGGGCCCATTCTCATGGAGTAGTACCCAGTGAGTGGAAAGATGTTGCAAAACCTCTTGGACAGGTTACGGGTAATACTCAAACCCCTGTGAAACGTATGGTTCTACTAAACCTTTCCACTTGGTTGACCTAACACTAATTCTTCTGACAGGCTCACATGCTGCCATTGAATCCCTTAGCACGAAATCAAATGGGGCAAGATATCGAACATTTATCCACCGAGAGAATACGCAAGAAGAAAAGCGTGCAGCCAAGCGTGCCAAACGTAACAGCAATGCTATTCTTGACGAAGCTGGTCGAGCTGAGTCCGTCGATCCCACTGGATCTGCGCCTTCGACCCCCATTGGTGATCGGGCACCTATTCTTGATAAAAAGTCAATGACCAAGAAAGAAGCGAAGAAAATGCAAGATTCCAAGGCAACCGAAGCCCAACAACATGCGCAGTCGGTGGAGACAGCCCGTATGGCTTTGTCTGGCGGTGGCCGCAGCATGTTTGGTGCCAAAAAGTCATACTCCTGGTTGAAGCCTGGAGGTAAGGCCAGTGGATTCTCGTCTCCTTCACGTCCGACTCCTTCCACCCCCACAGCCGGTCCCGAAAAGGCCAGTGCTGGCGAACCGACACCCAGGCAGAGTCAACGTCGCCTTGGAATATGGCGCGAAGACCAAGAGAAAGGGGCCGGTATCCAGGTTAGGGATATCTTGTTCATGCTAGAGGCCGATGGACGAGCGACCAGGCATGTGCAGCGGGGCTACCTGAAGGATCCCAAAGAGGATCGGGATCGTGGAAATTGACCAGGGCATAAATGTTTGTAATCTTATCTTCTTGTGTTGTTAATTTCTTTTATGACCCATAGGGAGCCTTCTGGCACTGCCTGGGCTTAAGGAGTTCTTGCATTCTCTGCGTGTATGATGGCGTCGGCAGGCTTCTGGGGGTTGTCAGGCCATGATCTTTAATTTCATTCAACTACAGGTTGAGCATCTTTCATGAACGCAGGATAGAGAAACTACAATCTTGCTTGTTCCTCAATAGCTTAGACGTCTCTCACCTGCCCAGGTGGGCATGGCCCTCCGATATGCCAGTTGCTGTAGCTGCGCATATTTCATCGACCTACCTACCTTGTAATGACTTTCAGTGCGATATGTATGGGTCAAAGGCCCACTTTGAACTTGAGACTTGATTGATAATATCAAAATCACTTTCGATGCATTTTCTTTACATCCATTCGCCCTATAACCTCATGCACCCGAGCCATTTCAACCTCGGACGGCATATTAACAATGGCCAAGTAAAGCATTTTCTGTTCTAGCAGCTTTGCCATCGGTGTCAGAAGATCTCAATTTTGATTGTCTTCCCCGGTTGTCCTCGACAAGCGCTGTGGCATACGCAGCCGAGTCAGAGGAACCATTCTGCCTGGAGCTGCAGGAATCTCGAATATCTCTAATCCCGCCGATTATACTTTGGATATCCAGAGGTTTCTTATATGGCGCATAGGGCGCGGGATGGTTATACTGTGATCCGCTTCTCGGGTCATAGCTGTTATGGTCAGCGTATAGATCATGGATATATAGACCGCGTGTAGGGGCAAGAGGGGAGCGAATGCTTCTTAGGGAATACTAAAGGTGCAACTCGGAAAACATATTCCCATGTGTTTGCCCATCGGACGATTTGAATTTATATGCCGCAGACGTGCTAACATGCCTGTGGAATCTTTATCAGCAGACTTAAAGATCATATAATTCAAATCCACTGTCGTCACCGGTGCATCCAGCAACTCTGTGTTCCAGGTCATGACCAAGCAGAAAAGTCCCCAAGGCCGGAAGAAGTCTTGGTTGATTTTGTCCATAAAGGTATTGACTCATGATGGATTGTGCCAGACTTAAGATGGGCTGACCCTCAACTCTTCAAAGTGATTGTGACGCTGAAACCGACTCTTAGAAAAATAAGCGCAAGCATAGACACCAACCAAGAGATGCTAAGCATTCTAGATTGTCCACGGGACGATGGGGAAATACTAGGGATATGGGGGCCTCACAGCCTCGTAGCCCCACGCTAAACCCACCTACATCCAGGTTGCTATATTGGGCTAGGGAGTGATATTTTCGGCATTCCTTTGTAAACAGACTCGTGGAACACATGATACATGGACCATCCACGGATGTATGGCCGATTAGGCCATAGAAGGCCTGAACCTTGGCAGTTTCTAGCTTATGTATGCATATCCGCTTATATATAGGCGTCGTCTCCGTTAAATTTCTTACGCGGGCTATGATGTGTATTTAGGGATTGAATGAAGTCATTTCATTTTCAATTGTCTGTTACTTGATCATTTGAATTCAATCGTACCCTAGGGTTGAATATGGATTCAGTAGAGCTAGAACCTCGAGTAAATTAACCACCGGGGCATATATGAAGTCGATCCACAATGGATATTGGTGACCTATATATGCGCATATCCATAGATGGACCACCAGTTACAGCCCCAGGACACGATTCGACCAGGCGTATCTGGTACGATGCGTAACTCCGTTTCCCCTTATATGCAATCCCAATCCCTTTCGCCCTTTCTTCTCAAACTTATGACCCATGAGATCGAACGTCTTCATCCGATACTCTCTCAGATATATCCTCCAGGGCTACAGGTGCTACCTTACATGTAGGTACATGTAGGTACATGTACCTAACCTGGATGCTGAGTCAGTTGGAATGTCAGGTGCCTCCTACGGCAGACCATAGTCGCCCACCACGGTGATATGGACTCAGTATTCAGTCGAGATTCGGTCGAGACTCAGTCGAGACTCAGTCTCCAGTCGAAAAGATCCCCTGATGGTCTTCTCTCCTTCTGTGGACTGAATTCGGCTAAGCCAGGGCTTGGACGCGATGCTCCATCGGTCCTCAAAACGCCCCTCAAGGCCTCTAGATCTCTTTGATTTCATTCCGAGACGGTGTGCGATTGGAATGAAGACATCATATCCCGCTTTTCTCTCCCTAGAAGCGCATGGACCTCCGGGGTTCCAGAGAGATTCACGGTTTCCACTCTGTATACCACATAGATCTCGTAGAAGGCCCCTTAATGGGTACATTGGGGGTTGGGAGGGAATTAGGAACTTGAAACCGATCCCACATAAAGATGAGCAATTTGTTCTCCCATAGAAAAGCCCTGGGCGTAAACGCAAGGAAATCCCCAAGAGAAAATCAGTGTTCAGTTGATCGGCAACGGGAACTCTCCGACTCTTCCATCATCACCCATCTTTGCCTCTAGGCCCTTTTCTCCCCACCTCGTTTACTCCCCAGATGTCGCCCAAGTTCTTACTCAATGGTCCTTGGTTTTCTTCCTTGTCTTGAGAGTGTCGAGGAAATGCAACTCGCTTGAAACACTGTCTTCACTTCCCCCCCCCGACCGCCTCAGCCCGTCATCTTCACGTCTCCAAGCCAATCTCCTTCCGGGCACTCTTGCCAACCTCAATCTCTGTCGGCCTGGTTCCTCTCTGGCTGGCTCGTCCTGCCTTGAGACCCTATCTTCACTGAAGGAGTGACGCGCGACAGGCATCGACGCCCGGTCACACATTAGACCAATCTTCTCTCCATAACAACTTTCTACCGTTCGTGTGACGAGATACCTTCGTGCACAATGTCCACCCCGTCCACAGCGACTGCAACGCATCCTTCTCATCATCAGGCTTACGGATACCCTCACCACCCCTCGTACCAACCGAATTCTTCCTACCCGACTTCGACCACTGCCGCAGGAACTCGTCTTGCGAATCCCTACGCCATTTCCGTCCCCTCTCCGACAACGACCACCCTTCCCTACACCCAACCCCCGAGAATTCCTCCCGCGACAACAACCCCGTCGGCTATGACGCAACAGAGTGGCTCCAGCGCGGCTCCCTCCCTGGGGGGCCGCAAGAAGAAACCGGACTGGACTGAGTTCTACAAGAATGGCCTTCCCAAGGAAGTCATTGTGATCGATGACAGTCCCGGACCAGAGGAATCTAATGGAGCCCCGGCTCCTCCTGCACATGCTTCTGCCATACCACCTTCTTCGGCTCCTCAGCCCGCTGGGAAGAGGCGACGCACGGGAATCGAAACCGCCTATGACCTGGGCCATTATGATCGCCCGTCCTTCTCAATAAACCCTCAACATTACGGCGAGGAATCATCGGCCACGTCACTGTCCACCGACCGAACCGCATCTTTGCACACAACAGCTCCGACATCGCTTGGCTCCCAGGGCAGTTCGGGGGCCAGCAATGGTGTATACTACGAGGATACCACCGTCGGTCAAAAACGAAAGCGCACCACTCGGAAATCCACGCGTGACGAGCAGAAACGGCGAGAGTTGGAGACCACAGGGGATGCTTTTCTGAGCTATATTCCGCCTCCCCAGCCGCCCATCAAGGCAAAGGATGTCCACGTGCCTGTCATTCGCGATGTGAGTTTCTAATTTCCCCACATCTTCCTACCATGCAATTCACTGACCACTTTCATTTTATCAGTACACAAGCTCTCAAAACAAGAAGTTTGACGACGATGATGGCCATTATATTGTCACACCCGATACGCCACTGACCGATCGATGTGAGTAGAGATTCCCCCCTAGTATCTGCTTAACCACGCTGACTGGTCTGAAGACTCTGTGATCAAACTTCTAGGCCAAGGCACATTCGGCAAAGTAGTCGAAGCCTATGATAAACAGCGCAAGGCTCGCTGTGCAGTCAAGATCATCCGCTCAATTCAAAAGTACCGTGATGCATCTCGGATTGAACTGCGCGTCTTGTCAACTCTAGCTTCAAACGACAAAAGCAATCGCAACAAATGCATTCACCTTCGGGACTGCTTTGACTTCCGAAATCATATTTGCATTGTCACTGATCTACTAGGACAAAGTGTCTTTGATTTCCTCAAGGGAAATGGGTTTGTGCCATTCCCGAGCAGTCAAATCCAGCAGTTTGCTCGCCAGCTGTTCACAAGTGTCGCCTGTAAGTTTTCTCGATCTACCTCTATTTCATCTTTCAGATTGACTGATTGGCCTGTTAGTCCTTCACGACCTGAATCTCATACACACCGACCTCAAGCCCGAAAACATCCTCCTCGTCAGCAACGCATACCAAACCTTCACTTATAACCGCACCATCCCATCCTCGTCACATGCCACAGCTCGCAACGCGCGGCAGCGCCGTGTCCTACTTGATGGAGAAATTCGACTCATCGACTTCGGGTCAGCGACCTTCGATGACGAATACCACTCCTCTGTCGTCTCCACGCGCCACTACCGGGCCCCTGAAATCATACTGAACTTGGGCTGGAGCTTCCCATGCGACATATGGAGTATTGGGTGTATCCTGGTGGAATTCTTCACCGGAGATGCCCTTTTCCAGACGCATGATAATCTTGAACACTTGGCGATGATGGAGTCCGTCATCGGTACTCGAATCGACACTGCTTTGGTGAAGAAGGTCATGTCAGGTGGCCGAGGTGGTAGTAGCAATTCTGCTTCAAAGTAAATATACTACTGCCCCGAGAACGTTTTTTCATGACAGGCGCTAATCTGACCAGATATTTCAATCGAAGCAAGCTCGACTACCCTAACAATGAGACCACCCGTGCCTCGCGGAAGTATGTGCGCGCGATGAAGTCTTTAACAGTAAGTGCTCCCCCCCTCTCCCCCAATATCTCAACCTGTTGAACCTTCTGGCTGATTGCGTCAACTATAGGAGTTCATTCCAACCAACACTCCATTCAACCGTTCTTTCCTGGATCTACTGCAACAAATCTTTGTCTACGACCCTAAGAGTCGGATCACCGCTAAGGAGGCATTGAAGCATCCTTGGTTCAAGGAGACACTTGTTGATGATGGCACGGAAGCTTACCGTATCGGTCAGGGCTTGCATCGCCAAGGACGCACATAGGCATCAGCACCCTCACAAAAGGCCAATCCTTGGCTTCTTCAACGGCATCAGAAGGGAATTCACCGGCGTGAATAGGATCCAGTCATGGATAGACGGCTTCATATCTTGAGGGTAATCTTTTTTTCTATCGCGAATGGGACGGAATGGTGTTTGCACTTGGGAAAATCATGATCACGATGTTTTTTTTTTTTTTAATTTCTTCTACCCGGGTTTGCTCTGCTACTGCAGGTGGTATCTCATACAGCCTTCGGTTGTCCGAGTCCATGGCACCACATGGCAAGGATATCCTTGACCTTGAGCAATCGGGAGTACCGCATGTATCCACGAGGACTTATCTCCTGGTACTATCCGGTTCGACCTTATTTGTTTGATCTATCCTTCTATCCTTCTATTCTTAAAGGTGTCTGTTATATGTTATTGTGCTTCTTTCCCTACGTTTGCGTCCTGTCTATTATTGGAATCCGGCTTGGGAGGGAGGGGCTTAGGTCAAAGCCGGAGGATTATACCATTTTCTTGTTTGTGGCGTCCAATTGTTAGCCGTATGGTGTGTATATAAGACATGGATGTCTTTTTTATTCGAACGCAGGGGGGTTTCCCATTCTCCTACATTTCCTCCCTTACCTTCTCTTTCGCTTCTCTTTTTATACATCGGGGCGGAATAACCCCAACCCGGGTGTTCTATATGGAGTTATACGAGGCCACTTGTTCGTTATGCGCCAATCGAGGAGAACGGGACAGAGTGTGGAATATACGCATAAGTAAGACCAAGCCAATTAAACCGCACATCTGTGTAAGAGGTGCATGAATTGCGCCGATCTCAAATCGGATCAACATCCGTGGACTCTGTTAGTCCCTTTATCCAGCCCAAAATCCAGGCTAACGCCATGATGCCCTCCCTCGCATGGCATGCGGAAGAGATGACAATCATCGAATTCCATAAGCTACTCCGCATAGATCCCTCTATCGGCCCAGAACTGGTCAAAAGATATCTGGAGGCAATCGCACAGCACGACGGGACCCTCAAAGCCCTCATCACAATAAACAGCGATGCCATAAAGATCGCCAGAGACAAGGCCATCGAAACAAGCGCTTTCAATAAGAGAGACAAGCCATTCCCTCTTTTGCACAGCGTCCCGATAATCCTTAAGGACAACCTCAGTACATCAGATTTACCAACAAGTGCAGGCGTGAAAGCCCTACAGAACCTTTACACGAAAGATGACAGCGAAGTTGTATCACGTCTACGCGCCGCAGGCGCCATCATCCTGGCCAAATCCAACCTCCACGAATTTGCTCTGCAGGGAATAAGCCTATCTTCGCTGGGCGGGCAAACTCTGAACCCATACGATCTAACCCGCACACCGGGGGATCCTCAGGCGGGACAGGCGCAGCGCTGGCCGCGAACTTCGGCCTTGCCGGATGTGGGACCGACACGATGAACTCGCTACGGTCACCCGCATCCGCCTGCGGTATCGTAGGGTTTCGACCGTCGACGGGAAGGGTGCCGTGTGCGGGGATTGTGCCTGTTTCCAAGACGCAGGATACGGCGGGGCCGATGGGGAGAAGCGTTGGGGATGTGAGGGCCTTGTATCGTGTAATGAAGGAGCCAGTTGGGGCGAGCGAGGGATTGGTGGAAGATGTATCTGCCACGAAACGTCAACCCGGTCGTCAAATCCGAATTGGAGTCTTGGAGGCATATTTCCAGCCCGAGATACATGGTGATATCGGTGCAAACACGGAGACCGAGTATCTCACCGAGAATCAGACAGTGCAGGACATTGTCCGGACGAGTCTGAGCTTGATACAACAACGGGAGGAGGATATCGTCTTGGTGTCCATCCCCCCATCCAGTCACCCAGACTGGAGTTCGGAAACTCTCCTCATCAAGGCAGACACGCAGGCTTTCGAGTTCAAAGACTGTCTCAACGAATTCTTACAGTTGCCTCTGATCTCATCCACACCACACCGGACACTTGGATCTATTGCTCAGAGCGGCGAGTTTGATCCAACAGCTATGACAGATGTCTTTTTTGCGTCGCTGAGAGACCCTGAAACTTTCTCGACGACAAGCGAGGCATATCGAAGTCGGCTGGAGCATATCACAATCCTCAAAGAGTCTGTAAGGCAATGTTTCGATGATTTCGATATTGATGCACTGGTGTATCCGCACCAGAGACAGCTTCCCGTCAAGATTGGTGCGAAGAAGCAGTCTGGACGCAATGGCATTCTGGCCGCGTTGACGGGGAGGCCTGCTATTTGTATTCCTGGTGAGGATTTGTAAATTTCGAGCTTTGCTTATTCTTGATTCGACATTCAACTAACGAACAGAATATAGCTGGATGGAGCCCTCGGACGGAATCTGCTGTGCTAGGCCTTCCTGTTGGGATGGAGCTGATGGGCCGTCGTTGGAAAGATGATGAACTGTTGGATCTTGCAGAGCGGATCGAGAGCGTTCTGAAAGGTAGGAGAGAACCTGCTTTAATCTGGGGGAGTCGATAGAGAAACCAGTATTGGCATTTAGAGACTAAAGACGGGTCTATTCATGTTGTGCCCTATGCAAAGATAATGTAATGTGCACGCTGCGAAACGCCAAAGATTTAAAGAAAATTACATTCCACGGTTGAATTCAACCATACCCTGATCGCCACCACGGCCCTGGAACTCCTCCTCAAGGCTGGACACGTTGATAGACTGGCGGGATGGGAAAGCCGCGAGCGCGAGGGGCAGTGCAAACAGAGAAGTACCCAGAACAAGGGCAAGGTTAACAGGCATGATCATATGAGGACGGGCTCGCAGCCAGTTCGTCTTCTCCAGACGAACAAGGATAAGCGGCGGCAAGACCATGATGGGTGTAGCATTCAGGACACGGGAGATAGCCGTCTCACCGACGGCAATGGTAGCAGCCTTCTTGCTCTTGCCGAGGCTCTGGATGGGTTCTGCGTCCTCGTTGAGTTCACGCTTGGCACGGTCAGCCTCGGACAGGACGGGGTAGACGTCGATACCCTGGCGGATTTCTTCGCCGCGCATGAGGAAAACGTTCAGGGCAGAAGCACTTGCGACGGCGGCGAAGGGGACGAGGCGGGAAAGGATAAGGCGAGTATTCGGGGAGATGCTCTTGAGGCGGGGGACGAGAGCATTCAGGCCAACTGCGACGGAGCAGGAGGCAGAAACGGCCATCAGATAGGACTTGCCGATCTGGGACATGGAAAGAGGGGTGGATTTGTTGGCATTGGCGTTGTTGATAGCGACATTGAGGGACTGGTTACCGATTTGCCAGAGGAGTGTGCCGGTGGTCTATATTGTCAATGCCTTTCTTTCAGATGTATGCCATTGGAAAGAGGTACTCACTTGCAATCCTGGGGTCAGCATGCCTGCAGTGACAACCAGGTTCGAGAGCACGTAGCATGACATGCGGAAGGGCAAGAAAACGGGGGTGCCAGTATCTGATAGACCCTAGGTTAGCCAATGGCCGATATGCAATGTTCACGGAGCCCATACCAGGGTGTAATGTCGCATCGACCACCTTCTTCGCCGACCACAACTCCGGGGTCATGGTTGGGATGCGGTTCTGCTTGTAGGAAGTGATGAGGCTCTTGGCGCTCTCGAGACCAGCAGATGAAACGAACAGAGTGCTAGCATAATGAACATAGTCAGTATGTACCCCAAGATTCCCTGAACTACCACCAACTTACCGAGGATCAGCAATGTCGGCGGCATGGCGCACACGACCCCAATAGGTCTTCAGGTCATATTGCGATGCGGGCAAGTCCCGACTGCCAGGGAGAGAGGCAGACATTGAATTGAGGGAATGACAAAGCACAAAAGACTGCGAAAGGACCAAAGAGAGTGTGGCGCGTAGAAGATAGGAGATCGCCTATGACTCCGCGGGGAGAAAAAGTAACTTTTTTTTCGATAAAAAGGGCGGTGAGCCGATAAGTGTGCTTTGACCAATCAGATCGCAGCCGATCTATATCGCGAAAGCTTAAACACAGCGCCTTCTCGGAACACAGCGATGGTCCAACTACTAGGTACGAGACCTACCTAGGTAATGATTGAAGTGAAAGCTCAACGAAGGAAAAATGAGAGAAGACCCGGTGAGGGTAAATAAGGTGGGTGTTTTTACAATCATGCAGGCACTATGATCGGGTTCTATTCCGAGACCGGGTCGCCACCCCGATATGCGGGGCATTGCCGTAGGCTACATAATGGAGATTTTGGGGGTATAGAGATATTTTGTCATTCTGGCTTTAACCAAGATTGTGAGGGAATAGTACATAGGTATCATAAGGGGGTCAATGGGGTAAGGGAGCCTCAGAACGGGGTCTGAGAAGGGCGATTATGGAATGGGGCAGGGTGGCCCAACTTATGCAGAGTATAAAAGAGCCCTGGCGGGAAAGAATCACACAAATGAAAAAAGAGGCACTGGTCATTCCAAGACATGCATGCATCCAAAACAATAGTCACTGCTTCAGGATTACCGGAAGCGGAATGACTTATGGGCCAAAGGAGAGGGAGGGGCTTGCGTCGTAGGGACATAGGAGGTTCGTGTGCGGTTCTGCCGTGATGGTGTTGGGGCACAGAAGACACAAACATAGACAGAGGGCAAATTTGCGCGCTCCAGCCCAACACATCTAGTGTGTAACCAATGCGTACAAGATTCGCTGATACGGTTAGAACAATAAATTTTTGTCATCTTGGAGATGGATATCGATGGCAATTGCGACTCACCATTGAATCATAAGATGGCCACCGTTATCCATTGAGCGGCAGACACATCGTGTACCATTGCTGGGATTGCTATGACGGTCCGTGCTGGGGGTTGCAAGATCGGGGTCAGTCAAAGTCGTCGGAGAAGCATTATGTCGGGCATGAAGGTCAAAATCACTGCCAAGGCGAGGTGGCGATGAGCGGAGATGAGCAAAGGTGTGGGACCGAGAGAGCCGGTTGCCGAATCCATTTGTGGAGGGTCGGGGACCCCGGCCACGTTCTTTGAGGACCTGTCGGAGAGCGGATTGAGCATCGCCACTGTCCTCCTCCTCTCCGGGCAAGAAATCCGATGCTACACTACTCTGGGTGTAGGTCGAGTCCGAATGCAACAGGGACGAATGTCGTTTAGGTGTCCGTTTGATATCCGGGGATCCTCGATACGTTGCTCGTCCGCTACCCTTAGAAGAGCCAGTCCAGGGTGACATCCGCTCGGAGTGGGACGAGCCGACGGTGGAAGTATATGAACCCTTCGAGGGAGGTCGAGAGCCCGAGTCACTCCGGGAAAGTGCAGGCCTTGGGCCATCATAGAAGGGAAAGGACGACTGAGCGCGATGTAGCACGGGATATTCAGAGAACTCAGCTGGATCTGCCTCGCTTTCGGTTGTAGAGCCATCTAGATCTAGACCGGTGAGGGGATCGGTCAATCCTGTGGGTGCCTCGTTGACTGGCTCCATTTCAGCTTTTGCACGGCCATCTCGACCAATTCGAAGCACTACAGATGATGACCGGGTCAAAGACCCGGTGGCAGTAGAGTTGGCCCGCGTCAGTGGAGCAGGACGCATGGGTTTCGCGGGAGACGAACGCCCTTTAGAGGGGCTTTTTCGGATCCCACTTGTTGATGCCATCATACCACCGGCTTGACTGAACGGCCGGGATGAGCTAGATAGACCATGATGTGTTAGACTACGGGTCAAACCTGGTCGTACGCCCCTCGGTGTGAAGTCGTCATCTTCCTCTTCGCTGTCGCTCGGGAAGGCAGCGAAAGGATCACGTCGTTGTCCATCTGATGCCTGTGCACGCAGAAGTTCTTCGCGCCTTGATTCCTCCGCCTGGTGGTGATAGGGCTGTCTCAGGCCACGAAGAGACCGTGTCTGTGGTGTAAGCTGAAGTCCACCAAATCGTCTCGCAGGGGAGCTAAGAAACAAGGCCGGATCCTCCGTTTTAGTGACTGGGAGCCGGGGAGATGTCGAGAATGGCGCAGGAAAGAAGGCAGCGTCAGTTGGCGGTGCTGCTGAGATCCCAAAGCCATTGCCAAAATCAGGAAGATCAATTGTACCATCAATGGTAGGTAATTGGGGGATATGGTGTGCAATTGTAGCGACGGAGGTCTGACGGGTATTGAAACTGCTCCTGTTGTTCGGTAAAGGGATTTCACTGGCTGTGTTTTCTAGATCATGATCCCAGAAGAGTCGTTGCTGTGGGAAGAAAGGTGAGCCCGTGGGGTCCAATGAAGCCAGCTGGAACAAATCGGGCGACGATTGAAAGTTGCCAAACATTCGGGGGGATTCTCCAAGAAGACGACTGGGGGTTTCCAAATGGCCCCCCATCCCCGGTGTTGCGTCCTGTGTATATCCATCGGTCTGGCCAAACTCGGGGATTTTCCGTCTCGATGCACTTGTCGGCGGCGGCGTTTGCATCGAGGCTGCTGACTTGGCCGAGCCCACTGTCCGGGGGTAATCCTCGCTCACACTCGGAAGAGGCTTCATTGGACGGATCCGTCTGGCCGTATCCGTCTCATCTGATACCCTCCCCCTGTAGTCGCCCGTCTCTCCATTTTGGCCTTTCGCCGCATTCGACGAGCCTAGACCAAATTTCTGCGGTGTGCGGAGGAGCTCCGGGCTCGAAGCATATGGATCGGAGGTGTCCCAGGTTACCCGGGGGTCGAAAAAGCTAGATTCGAGCTTGGGGGTCTGAAACGAGTCACCGAAGGTATTCGGGGTCCTCGTGGGAGTTTGAGGTTCGCCGTTGGGATAGCTGAAACTGAACATAAATGAATCCATGAGCACGGTATTCCCATAGCATAGCATACATGACAGGTTCACAAAGCACCGAACCAGACTAGATATGACATCCCCGCACGGAAGGGGGCTCTGAAGGGAGATTGGCATACCTGTGAACGGGGCGATCCCAACTCATGTCAGCAACACAGACCCAGCAACCATTGAAGGTCAAGCTGCCAGGCAACTTTGAGCGAAGAGAATGTGGAGGACAGGGGGTTTGGAGAGAAGTAAGATCATAGAGTTAGTCCATTTGACTTCCTAGTAGTTGTAGTTTGGGGTGTAGAGTGAGTGATGATCAAGAAGGGGTAAAGGAGGAATGCCTCGGAGTGGGAAAGACTTGTTTTTCTTTTGCTCTGTTTGTCGTTCTTTTTTTTTTAAAAAAAAAGGAATTTCTTAACGATTTGGTCTATTTTTGATTTGATTCCTTTACGTCTTTTTTTTTTCTTTCTCTTTTTTTTCGCGTGGGGACTCGGCTTTTTCTTTTTCTAGGCCTCCACTGTGAAGGTATCCACTGAGAGCTTCCAGGGTCTTCTAACGTGAGATGGAGGGCATTGATGTCGATGGACGATAAGGACCTATATGGAGTGGTGTAGGTACTATATGTACGAAGTAGCATGTTGTACGGAGTACGGAGTACTTGAATGCTTCATGCAGGAACGGGAGAAGTGGGTATGAAGCATGCGAATCCGATATCTCCAACGTAATAACATAATCTCCTCCGGTCCGAACTAGTAGAATCAGCCCTTGGGCAGCTCAGACCCTGTCGAGAGGCGCCGATCCAGGCCCAGACGAGATCGAGTTGGTCGGGGAAGCCGGTCCAGCTCTCTCACCAATGACGACATGTGACGCTCGGATATTGGTAGCAATTGACTGTGTTTCTGAATCTCTGAATCTCTGAATCTTCAAGTCCCTGGACAACCGACCAAGTATGAAGATACAAATCCGATCCTCGAACGATGGACTGCGGGCGAAAGGGGGAAACTCAACCTTTGTGTCGAAGGGATTCGGAGTGCTTAACCCCTGGCGGTCCTCTTGGCGTCCTCTGGGTGCCCAAAGTGGCCTACAATGTACGGAGTACGGAGTACGGAGTACCTGGTAGAGAGCTACTCCGTCCTTCGTAGGGATATTGTAGATCTACATTGGGAGTATATCGGTGTAAGACCTCCTTCAGACTCCGAGGCCTCCTTACTTGGATTCTTCACCTGAGGGATTCAGTGAACCTCTGTCTTGCATCTCAAACTTTGACCGATCTCACCTTGAGAGCGGATGATCCTAATCTTATTCCATTGGATCTGTCTCTAGGGCGATGCATCCGGCCAATGAGCCGTGGATATTCCGTACTCCAGCGCCAATCTCGCGCCCCGTCCGGAGTACGGAGTATGGAGCACAACGTAAACCCTTGCAATAGGATGGACCTGTGGATTCATATCTGGTCTGGAACCAGATCCTCCGTACGGAGTACAATCAATAAAGCGGGAACCTGCTTGGTACTACATACTTATGGAAGGCAGTTCAGGATGTATCAAGTCCGTCCGAAACAATCCTATGGGAGCAAGATTGGGACATGGGAACTCATCAGGAACCACTTCTGACGCACTTCTCAAATATGTTGTACTTAGAATGATCACATAGGTACGGAGGAAAGCGTAAGCGATGGATTGCATTTCTTCCGAATCCAACGAAGCCAGATTATGACCTGTTGGATGGAGTTAATTCAGGAGCCCGATTCTTCAGGCACCACTTAATGAGCCACAGCGCCACACCACAGCCACCGTTCCTGATCTGCTTTGATCGCCAACTGTCGAAGTATCAAAGAGCATGGGATGTTTCAGGTCCCAAAATAAACAGTATGTCACTTTGATCTCTATGTTGCCGGTGTTCCCCAGTGGATTTGATGTGCAAGTCACATTCCAACGCCGTGTCAACCATCCATCAACCTCCTTGCTCTATTGACATCCAACATGGCAACAACTAAACCCAAACCCCGCAAGCATAAGCCGCGTGCCAGAAAAAGAAAACGGTGTGTGCGCACTCGTGATGGTCATTCACGTCCAGGAGATGGAGGTAGCCCGGCCCAACCGCTCGCCGAAGTACCCAACGAGACGAAGAAGCGTCGCAAACCCAAAAGAGCATGGGTGGAACTCATTCCAGTTTCCAATGATCCACTTGAAAAGGTGAGCTGAGACTCCAGCAAAATTTGAGTGCATCTTACTCAACATCCAACCAGAACATTGTCGAATATGTACCTATGCCAGATGACTACGTGCTAGTTCCCAAGGGTGATGTCTATGTCACTCGACACTGTCGCAGCAAGACCAAAGAGTCCGAGCGGACTGTCTATGTTGTCTATGTAAGTTACAATCAAAATTATCAGATAGGACCCTGGAAGCCTGGAAAGAGATCACTAATAGTTCCTCCCAGAACCGCGCGGGCAAAAGGACTCTAGGGATTCGCGTGCCCACAGACATCCACAAAGAGGTTCTTGAATCAGCTGCCGCAACAAAGGAATCACGCGCAAACGCAGTACAAGTCCGGGATGCTAGGGATCTCTCTAAATCTCGAGATCTCCTCAAAAAGGAGTTCCCACTCATGCCCAAGGAGACCCTCAAAACCGTCCTGGGGCATGCGTTCCTCAAGGGATCGGGGCGTGTAGGGCGCACGGCGATGATCAGTGATGAGCAGAAAACGCTTTTGGCTGTAGAGGCGCATATTCGGCATGTCCACACACCCTACGAAAAGTTACTTGAGGACGGTGTGAGTCGAAAGGATGCTCGTGAGCAGGTCTGGTCTACCATCCAAGCGGTTGAGCGGGCTTGGCAAGGATGCGAGAAAGTTGAGACTAAACTGGCGTTGCGTCCGGCGAAAGATTAAAGGCTAGCGCTTTCTTTCTAGTGGGAAAAGGTGGATTCGCATTGCGGGATCAACGCGACGGAGCTATGGGTTCTCTTGTCCTTTTCTTTGCTTCTTTCTTTTTACTACTTGAACTTTTATTGGCGACTCTTCCAACACACCCAGATATCTCGTTCCTGGTGTTACTCTCTCTTCTATTTCAACGACAAGTCGAAACTATCAATGGCTGAGAGAAAATATGTCACAATAGCTTATGACCATCTATGTAGTCAATAATCTTATGTAGACATAATCAGCTAGACAGCAGTAAGGAAGGCAGTAAGCAAACGAGGAAAATAAACGCGAGAAACAGAAAACTGCATATGTAAATGAATAAACTATATAGCCCATCAAAGTAATCAGTTCCTATTGAGGCCCATAACTTGGGGATTTCAAAGCCCCTGTCAAAAGTATGCCTAGTGAGCAAGGCCGCGCAAGAAGATACCCCGAGGTCATGAGATTGTTGTATGTCATATGGTCCAATGTGTCCAATGGACTGCCCATGGAAGAAACAAGGGGTTTCGTTGACCAAAGAACATCTCGATCTTGTCACTATCAGCACTTTGTGGCTAGGGCTGGCCCGCCTAGTCGGAATTCATTATATGAGTTGCTGTGACTGCTTGAGAACCTTACTACCTTGTGAGGGCTTAACCATAGTGCTGATTTCTTTGTCTGAATTTTCTCCTTGATATGAGCACAAACTCATATATTTATTAATTGTAGTCTCCAACGATCTAGTAGGTGAGGAGGTAGGAGGTTGAAAAAGAATTAGTTGAAAATAGAGTTGAGCGAAAAATGGAAAGGGGAGAAACATGATCTGAATACGATAGAAAATTAAAGGTCCTGCCTACATGTAGCATGTGGAATTGAGTATTTTTTCGTCTCGTTTTAGGGGATGGTGAATGATCAGAGGAATTGAAGTCCCCGGGTCTTCGTCAGTACGAGATAGTAAACATCATGATGGTACCTCGGTATGGTTAGAGCTCGATCTTGGCTTAAAACATCTTGAATTCCTCAATTCCATCTTTCAATGCTATAAAAACATAGGTCAGCGTATATTATCATTTTGTACGGAGTATGTACTCCGTACTCCGTACTCCGTATACATAGTTCTAGATTAAGACTCTGCCAAGATATTGCCAAGGAATTCTAATGATTATCAGCCCCACGTTGATCTGGCCCTATTCGCTCAGGACGATGCTGGTCCTCACAGCCAATATCATGTTGTTCAAGGTAGTTGAACGGGTCACCTGTATACTGCCTCTCAAAGAGTACCTGGATACCTTACCTTCCCCATTAGGCAGCGGAGTAAGCCGACGATCCCAGGACCGTTTATGGGCACTAGTACAAAAGGAGGACTAGTATCGGGATCGTGACACCAATCAGAGGGACCCAATCGAATGAAGCCTTTCCCGAGTGTCATGCTGACAGCCCAAAAAGCAAAAACGTTGCAGCCTCTGCGCCTCAGGGCTAGAGACTAACCATCGTTCATACGCATTATGACTCTTGCACCTCACCGCCCACCATGAGGAATCGCTCGTTCCTGGGGTCCCCAAACCGGCACAAGTATGTCCTGGTGGCCATAATACTGATTCTCTTCGTTGTTTTCAGCTTTCAGCCCCCAAAATCCAGGCGAGACACTCGCACTACGAGAATTTACGGAGACGGCCGACCGCAATATCTTCACCACTCTATCTTTCGTGCGAACCCGGACTATGAATATGAAATCCAGCTCTCAAATGCGCTACGCACTGTTGAAATAGAGGGGCAACTGCACCACGATGAGGATGCGACAGATACGCTGTGGCAGATCATGCTACCAGGAGTCGATAAGCGAAGTGAAGATTCTATGCAGTTTGAGGGAAGAAACCCGGATTGGGGATATAAAGTAAGCCAAATATTGATCAAGTCATGTCTCAGTGATTGCTCATGAAGGCGAGCCACAACTTCTAACATTGCATCCTACAGCTCGTTGAAACCGAATGGGCTGACCAATTCATCACCGAGACACTCGCATCTATCCCAGACATCGCCCGGCTCTACAAATCATACCCGCACTCCGTCCATCGTGGCGACCTTCTTCGTTACTTGATCCTGTGGTACTATGGCGGTTATTATGCAGATCTGGACGTTTATCCCGCGCGAAGCATCAGATCCTGCCCTTCATTGCGTGACACCATCTTTGGAGGCAACACAGCCAACGCCAATGTCTCACTAGTCGTCGGGATTGAGATCGACGAGCCCTTCGCTTCGCCACAAAAGATGCGTGAGTGGCATTGGGCCCGGCGGTATGGCTTCGTTCAGTACACAATCTATGCGCCGCAACGGTTCAGTCCGCTTCTGCGGGAGATCATCGTCCGAGTGCTGTCCCATACGAAGCGGCGCGTTGATGAGAGCCGTTTCTGGAAGGGTGGATACAACGAAATGGATACGCTGGAGATTACCGGCCCAGGCGTGTTCACAGATACAATCCTCGATGTATTATCGGATACATTGCCATCTACACACCCATTAGTCCAGCAGTCAGTGGATGCGGATAGTGGACTCATACCGTCCTCGGCTTCGCCTGTACCTCGTGTAACATGGGCGCCATTCCATGGGATTCAAGAGCCTCTCTGTATCAAAGGCTCTGAAGCCAGGCCTGGTAAGCTGCTGGGAGGACTGTGTGTCTTACCAGTCAATGCATGGGGTAATGGGCAGCGGCATTCGGGGTCGAAAGACTTCAGTAATGAGCATGCCTGTATCAATCATCGGTTTGGGGGAACCTGGAAGCCCTGGAAACAAAGCTGGCACAAGTATCTCTTTGGATGACAGGATATGACTTTACGTATGGCGTTCTAGGATGTACAAGGATAGTGCTCTTGATTGTCTCTCCCACTGGAAACGATGGCGGAATTGAATTGTTTCAATGATCTTACTTTACTTCAAGATTCTCTCTCTGGATCATTCTGTATTGTAGCATTATGGAGCATTCTACACTATGAAATCGCCCACCCATACTAATCTGCTTCCAGCAACCATCTTGGAAGATGGCTACAACATGCCGAGCGACAATGTAGGGTAAACGATACAGGATAGCAAAAGCAAGCCAACATCAAGGTAAGATTGCTCGAATGTCTATCTGACAGCCAATATTTTCAAGTTGGATGGCTGGAATGAAGCCTGATACGCCAGGCACCCCTACTCCAGGCAGCCATGCACGTCGGCTGCTGCAATTTCTTATTTTGTTTCAAATGGTCTCTTTGAATCCCCTGTCATCTTCAGGGTCGTATAATTGTTCGACCAGCTGGAGGGAGTTCTCAGTATCCTCTCACATCATTCCCATCCGACTTATTATCTCCAAGGAGCAAAAAGGGTAAGCAAGCCCCCATGGCCTTGGAAGGCCCCTTCTAGAACAAGCATACTGAGTTTCATAGCTAGGATGTCTGCAAAGCTATTTGTTGTGTTCTACCGACCACGTTATGGAAACTACCTGCACTGGGCGCTGCATATAGAGCATAGGCAAGAGCATCAGATTCTCGAAGTCGACGGCGAACATCCACACTTTGAACACAATACGTTCATGGAGGATCCGAAGACATCAAAGACCTTCCTCCGACAATTCTTCGTCGCTGTCCTCAGAGAGAGCGATGTCGGGCGAGTAAGGAGTGCTGCACAGAGTGTCCCTGTGGACAACGAGACTGTTGAATGGGATTGTCATGATTATGTGCTGGAGGTTCTAGAAAAACTACAGGAGGATTCGATTTTGGATCAAGATGACGCAGACTATGTGGAGGTGAGGGAGATACTGATGGAAGAGAGGGGCGGTATTCTATAACCCTCATTTGAATATGCTCAACTTAATAGGGATTTACCCATCTATATATACCTGTACGGAGTAGGTGCATGTACTATGTGATCCTACAGCTGAAACTCAATGGGCCGGTGCCCTAAATGGTCTAGGAACCAACGTCATAAGCTTAAAACCTAATCCTCCTGTCAACCAGGGACTCTCCTCAGACGAAGGAAATGGACTAAGCCAAGTTGGGACTTCAAGCACTTTCCGACTATCTATACTCCTGGGAACATATTGTCTTTGGCGTCCTATCTTCACACTCTCTTTTCCCGGAATAAGTACACTGCACCATGGCTTCCAACGACACCTGGATAAATCCACGGATTCGGTATCGAATGAACGAACATGCACTCAAGGAAGATATGCAAGATTGTCCAGATATCGATTTGGGACATTTCGATGATGTGGACGTGGATTTTGGCGCAATCTTGAAGGATACTATTACCATTCTCAACAATGACAAACATCGCGGCCGCACAACAAAGACAGTGGTCGTGCTATCGGACAATCATCCTCTTCCTCGGCGCCCAAGATTCTTGCGGCTTCGAGTTTACTGGGCAAGATTGCGGGGTTGGCGGTTTTGAATGTACGGAATAGCTCAGGTCCGTGTCAAATGATATGGGGATATATATGTTTGGCAACTCTTGGTTCTTTTCTTTTTTTTTCCATTTCTTTCAACACACATGCGAGGTCTCCTATCTTGCTTACATATATGGATGTGTGACTCAATCTTGTTTGCTTTAAGAACATGCTCATTTGATTAAAGGGTTATTCTAGCTCAAGGCTGATGTCTGATATCATTGACAAATATTAATTTCAAATGTTTGCAAGCTACTTCCCAAGTAATGCCACACAAGACTAGATAGCCACAAGGAAAAAGTATAGCATATATCACATACATCCTTCGTGGATGAGGCCCTTATGTTGTATACAAGCCTACACATAGGGGTTCTCTTTAATTTTACTACATGCACTCCGTAGTACATAGTATATATAGAAATTAATCTCTGGCAAAGATATATCTCATTCACACTCACTGCACTGCAGCTGGGAAGAATAATAATACAAGACAATATGGTACAACATAGAACAATCGTGGGTATAATACAAGCCTGGAAAATGGAACCCGCTTGATTCCAGACCCAAAGACAAGCAAGAATGCGGGCTGAGTCGTAGAGTAAAGGAGAATAGAGAAGAATCAATGGTTCAAGCCCCATACATCCGCACATCCTCTGCCTCAACTTCTTCACGGCGACGGAGGAAAGTGGCTTCCTCAAAATCATCCAACTCCATGGTTGGCCGTTCAACCTTGCTGGGACGCACAGAAAGTATCCTGCGGCCCTGGCCGAGAGTTGGAGAGAGAATAGTTCGTCCATATGTGCTTTCACTCCAGGGGCCGCTCAGGCTTTTGGATAATTCCTCGGCATCGTCATTGATAAGCATATCACCATCTAATTCTAGAGGGCGCTTTTGACCCCCCAAAGCAAACGATGCAGTCGAGTCTTGGCTGCTCGATGGGATCGAGTATGCATCACCATCGTCAGTGACAAGGTACTCATCATGACTGAACGAGGATTTACCAGCACCAGAGAATGGCGACAATTCCGAGGGTCGACTGCCGTAGTAGGGTTGAATAGTGGGGGTCTGAGCGTCAGCTGCAGCGAGCGGGGCCTTCTCTTCTAGCTTGGCCATGTGGGTTTTGTATCCGTCTGCGACAGATTTCCGGACCCGCATTCCGACCGATAAAAGAGAAGACTGCACTGGGGCAGGAACGAGAGGGGTGGCAGAGAAGGTTGCTGCGGCGTAATGGTGGTGATGCGACAATGCAGGTGTATCAGAAGACACCGGTTCTGTGGCGGATGTAAAGAAGGATGTGATAGGAGGTTGGAAGCGTCGGCGCTTCGACAGGTCGCTGCTGCTGGGTGGCATGGGGCGGCTGATAGAGGGCATTGTGGAAAAGGAGGTTGTGAAGAAAGACTCGTGAATGAGAAGCAAAAAGATATGAGATTTCGAAAATTAGGTAGTGGTGTGTGCGCAAATTGACCACGGGGAAGTGACGTAGGGGGAAGCAAGGACTTGAGGAAGAAGAAAAGAAAAGAGGGTGAGGCTGCTCAGGCAACGGGGCGCCACTTAACGCGGTACGCGTCAATGGACGCCCTCGAATTGCGGACAATCACGTGAAATCGCGTCGGCCAACTACTCCGTACCTATATATACTCCATAGAAGCACGGAGTATAGAGCTGGATTATATAGTTCGTGCGTAGAACACTGTAAGCCGTGTTTTTGATTTACAACATGTTTTACCTGGAAGTCTCCGAGTAGCTATAGTAGCCAAGATACAGGACACATGTGTCTATTGTGCAGGCTTTCGATGTATGTGATGACAAGAATGATGTATATAACGAGCAATCATTATTTTTGTAAAAGGTGGCCCCCAATATGAGATCAGTTACCCACATTTCCTCTCCTTCCGCCTCTCTTACTGCGATCGTGATGCGCTTTAAGAACAGCACGGGTCTCCACCAAACTCCTCTTGTTCTTGCTGCGCGCCTTGCCCAGGGTCATGAGGAAGTTCTTACGGCGAGCCTTCTCCTTGTTGGTGGAACTCTTTCCTTGCTCCTCCTTGCGTTCCTTGCGACGAGCCTCCTTGCTCATGTGCTCAGAGCGATCAGTCTTGCCTTCCCGAGCGTGGGCAATGCGCTCCTCACGAGTGGCCTTGGCAGCAGACAGAGCAGCAAGACCTTCAATCTCCTCAGCGGTCAATGGGTCGTCGGTATGGCGGGAGGTCCATGGGGCAGCAACACGACCCTTGTTGCCTGGAAGAACTGCCTCGGCTGCTGCCTGGGCGCGAAGCTCAGCCAGTTTGGCGAGATCGGCAGGCGTGAGAATGCGGGTGGTAGCCAATTTCATGAAATCGATGGCTTTTTCGTCTTCTTCCTCTTTTTCACCGTCCTTCTTGGCTTCCTCTTCCTGCTTAGCCTTCTTTGAGGGTCCGGGCTTGCCCTCATCCTCGGAATCGCTCAGTACAATGTCAACATCGTCCTCCACATTGATCCATTCACCGTCGACATCACTGTCCTCGTCGTCTTCGACGTTCCAGGCTGCCCAAGCGGCTTCCTCGTCCTCCTCTTCATCATCTTCAGCATCTGATGGCAGACCCTTCTCGATGTTTTTCTTGCGACGTTCCTCGTCCTTCCACTTGGCCAAGAGTTCCAAGCCCTCAATTTCACCGACGGCCTGCTCACCATAACGCCTCTCTTGCCTCTCACCAGCGCGCAAGCTCATTGAAGCTTCCTTGCCGCGATCACGCTTCTTGAGCATCTGTGCACCAACATCACGGTATAGACTGAGAAGACCCTTGGAGGCCATCATGACACCCTTATCCTTACTCTTTTTGTACATGACAAGATCCTGCAACAGGGTCTCGTCAATAGCCAAAGGTTGACGGACACAGATTTCACGAATGGCATTGAGACCGGCCGTAGCAACTTCACCTGCTGATGCTTCGGACACGAACTCATTTGCAATCTTCTGAACCAGAGGCTCGAGAACATCAGGCGGCACCAAGTCGTGAGAAGCTTGGGCCAGGGACGCAAGGAACGAGGTCACAGATGGTTGGCGGGGTGTAAGGAACTTTTGGAAGTAAGAGTAGAGTGGCATGATGTGCAACTTGTGCAAGCCAACCAGACGGGACACCAGCTGCAGCACTAGGAGCTTTTGCTCCAACTTCAAGTGAGACTTGCTGTTTTGGAGATGCTTGAAGAACATGTTATCCGCGAATCCTTGAGGGTCGTGCAGCAAATGAAGCGCCGAGAAGTTGAGAGAAATGGGGTTGCCCTTCTTGCGCTCCTTGTTTCTGACTGCCTTGATGGCCTTTTCAGCAACGCGAGCCTTCTTTCTAGTCTTCTTGTTGATAGTAAGTTGGTGCTTCACCTGGCCAACGTTGACTTCTTCATCACTGTCTTCGTCCTCCAATTCCTCGCGCTCTTTATCGCCACCAAGGAAGAAACGAACTCCGCCAATGATGACCTTTTCATTCTGTGACAAGGCTGCCTCCTTCATGACCTCGACAGCTTTAGCCTCAGTCCAAATTTGACGCTTCCATAGCTCTCTAGTGATCTTGATTGCCCACAGGCCTTTAGCCGATGTGCGATCCGATGTGACCAAGTTGAACAGGACAGTCTGCATAGTGCGGTTCAGCTTGTGATTCGTGGTCTTTGCATTTGCAGTTCTGAGCTCAGAAAGAATCTTTTGGAACAGCAGAGCCCGCAGGGTCTTGCTAGGTGTAGCGACAAGGATGGGGAAGAGAGTGTGCAACAGGCTATAAGTAACGGTTAGAATTGACAGTTGGAAAGAAGGAGTGAGCCATCATACGTTGCCGAGTCCACAAGATCTTTCTTCTTCAACAGCACCAGACTTCCGACGAGCTTCTCCCGCAGCTCTGTCTCCAAAACCAGGTGGTGTTGCATAAGCATGTCAATGAGTTGTTGCGGGAAGTCCTTGCAGATTCCAGGGTAACAGTCGGCCACATGGGAAATGAAGTCAATAAGATCCCGAAGAGAGATTATACCGGTATCTGTAGCGGATGAGGGCGCCGCCATGAAAATCTCGCGATGAGATTCATATTGGTAGTGCTGGGCGCGGAAATCTTCAATGTAAGATCTGAATGGCGCAAGGCGACAATTAGTCCCGGTCGAATGCAATGGACGATAGAAAAAACTGTGCAGATGACTTACTTGGGATCTCTCTTAATCTTGTGCTGCAAATTAGGCCTGCGAAGCGCCAAAGATGTTAGTCGGACTGAAGCCTCTAATTGACGAGCGCATCGGCCAAGTCCAGAGACGGTGTACGTACAGGTCAGCCTCGACCTTTTCCAAGGCTCCAAGCTTTCTTTTCACCATTTTGAGGTGGGAAATATGAAATGTGGTGGTTGGGAAAGGTGTGTTTGAAGTCCGAAACTTTTTTCTCCGTATTCTGCGTATCGATAAGCGATGGAAAATCTCAACCTTGGCATATCAACTGGCTAGAACTTCACCGCGTTCCTATCAAAATACATATCTACCAGATAGCTCTTCGCCATTTCAATTTCCATATAAATACAATACAATTATCTCATTCCATTTTCAGTCTGTCGTTACTATGCTTGATCCATTGAAAAACTGAAACAAAAGAATTTTTTTTTTTTTAGGAAATGGGCCTTTACGGCCCAAGGTCTTCATGATCGCATCTCAACTACAAAGAAAGCCGTCCGAATGTGTTCCCTTTTAAGATCGTGCTTCCTTCTTGACTGTATCACATTATGTACAGCCTTGCAGATGCATGCGAATCCATTGAATCCCGGTTAAAACCCCGTCCACTCCAGTATACGTAAACAGAGGACCAAACGGAGAACAAAGCCAACACAACCACTTTACCGGTTGCTCTTGGCGACACGCTCGAGCTCGTCCTTCTTCTTGATGGCGTAGGAGTTGGAAGAACCCTTGGCGGCGTTGATCAGCTCCTCAGCAAGGCACTCAGCAATGCTCTTGATGTTGCGGAAAGAGGCCTCGCGGGCACCGATGGTGAGCAGAGAGATGGACTGGTTGACGCGGCGGAGGGGAGAGACATCGACGGCTAGAGGCGAGTTAGTCATTTGACACTAGACGGGCCGAGATAAGAGAGATAAGACTGTGCACATACCCTGGCGACGGACGGTACCCTGGGAACCGATACGGGTGGAGTCCTCACGGGGACCGCAGTTGACAATGGCGTCAACGGCGACCTGGAGAGGGTTCTGGTCGGTCATGATGTGGATCTATAAAATCGAATGTTAGTGCCCGAGTTGATAGTCGATCTGGTCGAAGTGGCACATACGATCTCGAAAGCGTGAGCGACAATGCGCACAGCCAGGAGCTTCTTTCCGTTGTTGCGGCCGTTCATCATGAGCGAGTTGGTGAGACGCTCGATGATGGGGCACTGAGCCTTGCGGAAACGCTTGGCAGCATAGCGACCGGCAGAGTGGGAGAGGTAGACGGGGGAGCGGATCTGGATGTAATCGCTGTGATGGCAGGTCAGCACCTCTGTAAAACTGATAGTCGCGTGATTGCCGGTCCTCGCATCTGCTGCCGATGTCCTGCTTTGTGCGCTGAAGAAAACCAAGTTCCAATCCCATAGGGTGTTGTGTTCCTTCGATAAGGAATTTCGATATCCCCCTTATGTTGCCGAAAAGTCTTCCCATTCCACCAATTCGACTCGGATCCTCGCACAAAGCAGGAATTCACTCGGCGCATAGAGGACCTGATAGAAAGACTCACGTCAAGGAAATATCCCGGATCTCGACATCATCGTAGCTCCACTTGTTGAACAGCTTGATGCTGCCCTGCTCGGCCAGAACCTCCTTGGGCAGGACGTTGAAAGAGGCGACCTCGACGTCCCCGTTGTCGGACATGTTGACTGTGCGGGAGGGGTTCGTGGGAAAATGACCGGGTTGTCGTTTGGTGGTTGAACGTCGATATGAGGTTGCGATTTTCGAGAGGCAGAACTAGTCGGGCTCATAAGCGAGCGGGCCCCGGGGGGTTTGTGTGTGCTTATGTAATATTCTTTCGAATTAGGGCAGGTGACCTAGTGACCTGCTATTAGTGCCTGAGGCCAACATTCAAAGTTCTGGCTTGGCGCTTTCTGGTTTCTTGTTACTCCTTATACCTTCCTTCCTTACCCACTTGATGCGAAATGACCATCGTATTGAAGGACGAGAAATTTCGTGTGCAATATGGCATTGTTAGCGTACAAGGTACTAACAGAATGTTAGAACCTGTATAACGATAGTATGCGGATATAGAAGTCCCCTATGCTGCTTCTCATTCTTAATATAGAATGAAAAGGACTATGTCTCATAAAGCGAAACCCCAATGGTGGTATCGGCCTAAAGATGATATACTGTGGCATTGGATGAAATATGGACTCCCAGGATGCAGGCACCGGCAACTTGTCGCTATATTCTCGAGATGAGGCGATAAATGGGATGCCATTACCACAGCTTCGAGTAAACATGGTATATGTATGAAGGAATAAGATAGCGCAATGGGATTCGAAAACTTGCCGAAACCTGCATGAGAATTATTTGGGAAAGTGACATCAAGACAGACAAAGATCGATGCAAACCAACGGAGAAGGCAGATCAACAAACGCATTCACTACAGACTAGGTAACCCATCACTTCGTCCTGATCAAACATGTTATCGCATTTGACGAGATACTCCTGCCTGGCATGAGTGGCGTTCGTATATATGCGAGAGGCTAGATGGGGATTTTGAAAGCTGATAGCTTCTTCGCAGTGTGAGTATTCTGGATGGAGAAAGCTTTCGGGCAAACTGCAAGCGTAGCATCTATGCAAGGCGCAGTTCAAATAATATGGTATTGTAGAAAGTATGGCCGGAACCAGAACCGGGAGCATGATATTGGTCTTTAATGGGATCCATAGATAGCTAAAAGAAGTCTGCGTATATTGTTCCAGGCAAGTATTCCGTATGGTCGCGTAGATAAGGTCGAGGTACAACCTTGTAAGTCTTACTCTGATAGATCTAAGCAATATCCCGCTTGGCCCCTCTTTGTCTCCATACTTGGGACTTATTTTGAGAAAACCTAAGATCCTGGGAAGTCCTCACCTCCCGATACACATTTTTGGTGCCCTTGAGGATTTCGAAGTATGCAAATCGCAGTCATTCTATCCCTAGCTTGTTGAGGAAGCAGTCCAGAGGGCACTCTGTACTCCGTATCCCTACCTAGGTAGGAATTGATGTAAATCATAGAATCTTGATGATCATGTGCATGGCTTCAAATTGAAATCGAACATCTACGAAGTCCGAGGGAGGATATTCTCGACATTAGATAGCAACTAACACTACATACACTACGATGCCTTTTTCTGCTAGCTTTTTTGGAACATCTTAGATGCTCATGGCTTTCTTGATGCTTTTCACATCTTGTATGACTGTTGTGATGAGTATGATCATTGTCCCAGTGCAGTCAAAATGCACAAGCTACTGACAGTGTGCATACACAATAATACACGGTGTACGGAGTAGTCGGTGGCTCATCTCAAGTCCGAGTCTGGACCGTAACACGCGATAGACGGTACCTGAACAGCCACAATCCTTAATTGAACTCGATCTGCGGATTAGTAGGCTTTGTGCTATCAATGCTGTAAAAAGTTCCCCGACCTATCTCCATGAAATAAACCTGAATATAACAACCCGAACGTCTGAATGTCTCAGTTGGGCCCGGCTCGCTTGACCGCCCTAGGCAGGTGACGTTGCGGCTGTCTTGCGCGGAGTCCATTAAGACACGACTATTGACTGCTTGGTCGACTACACCCCGGTTTATCCAACCTGCGGCTATCAGGGCTGCACTTGGCAAACCCGCTACCCCTCTCCTGCGCCCTTGAGACGCTCATTGCGATGAGGTGTTCCTGACTGCGTGCTCCCATCCCTCCCCCGCGCTTTCGACACGCTCCCCCGAATCAAGGCTTTTCTACATTCTGTCCAAATGGCGGAAGAGTCTCCCCAGTTTCAGGCCGCTCTGCGGAGTCTGGACCGGGAATTGGAGGTATGTTTATTCTGTGCACTTGCGGATTCATTTCGCTTATACATAAGCTACAATAGGAGGGCGATATTACCGAGAAAGGGTAAGCGATTTGAGATGATATGTTACCCCTCGCCGCGAAGGAAACGACAAGCCAATCGCTCGGCAATAGATATGCTTGACTCGACGGATTCTGGACCAGCAGATATATTCAAGTTCCGGAGAACTAACAACAACAAGATACCAGAAGCGCCGTACGGTCTTACTCTCTCAATACTTCGGCCCCAACAAGCCCCTTGAGATCAATCCTCAAGCCACCCCCGGCTATGAAGCATCATCGACCAGCCCCGGAGTGGCCCCGCCGGCGATTTTGAACGTTCGCCCACCAACTGCTGAATCTTCGATGCCACATATCGCTTCCCCCACTTATGCCGACGGTTACAATGGCCCACGGGGTAGCGGGGGCGCCGGATATAGCCAAGGTGCTGGCATCAATACACAGGATCAGCCACAGGCATCACTAGGGTCTCATGATAGAGATGGAATGCTCCAAACCCATGAACGAGTGCCGTCAGCGAGCTCCTACGACTCCTTATTCCTTCCTCGGCCCCCAGTCCCAGGGCCACAGGGCTTAGATGGTTCTAGAACGGCAACTTTGATGAGTCAAAACTACGCATTCAACCCAAACTCCCAACCTGAGTATGCCTCCACGCCCGAGTACACACAAGCCGAGTATGCGCAGGCCGAGTATGCTCCAGTCGAATATGCTCAACCTGAATATGCTCAACCTGAATATGCAGACGACGGCATGGGATACTACGATCCTGCTTCTGGAGCACCGACGCGACAGTCCACAATGCTTGATTCTCAACAGGGCTACTTCTCCGACTTTGCGGGTCAACAGCATGATGATTACAGAGATAGCTATGGAGGTGGCTTCCATCGCTATTCTCAGTCCGGAGAAGCTTTCTCGCCAACAGCAAACATAGCCCCCCCATTGATGCAGAATGCGGAATTTCAGCATGGGCCAGCCATTGAGCATCTACTGCCCCTCGAGCCTCGAGAGATTCCCTTCGCATTGAATGACCCTCATGACAAGAATATTCCGATGTCGAACTTCGACAACCTACCAACGGTCCTGCGCCACCGTGCTCGTGCTCATCCTAAGCAGGCAGCATATTGGGTACTGGATGCAAAAGGCAAAGAAGTTGCATCGATTACCTGGGAAAAGCTGTCCAGCCGTGCGGAGAAAGTTGCTCAAGTTATTCGCGATAAAAGTAATCTTTACCGCGGAGACCGTGTTGCTCTCATCTACCGTGAGGCTGAGATTATTGAGTTCGCCGTCGCACTTCTGGGCTGCTTTATCGCAGGAGTCGTTGCAGTGCCTATCAATAGTTTGGATGATTACACAAGCCTAAATCTTGTGCTGACCTCGACCCAGGCACATCTGGCTTTGACGACTGAAAACAACCTGAAGAACTTCCAACGCGATATTACAACGCAGAAGCTCAGTTGGCCACGGGGAGTCGAATGGTGGAAGACGAATGAGTTCGGTAGTTTCCATCCAAAGAAGAAGGACGACACGCCTCCGCTGCAGGTTCCTGATTTAGCTTATATTGAATTTGCACGGGCTCCGACCGGGGATCTGCGCGGTGTTGTGATGAGCCACCGGACTATTATGCACCAGATGGCATGTCTTAGCGCGATCATCTCCACTGTTCCCACGGATTCGAACGCTAAGCAATACGGGACCAAAGGAGAAACCATTATCAGCTACCTAGACCCAAGACAAGGAATTGGCATGATCATGGCCATTCTATTCACCGTTTATGGTGGGCACACAACAGTTTGGCATGAGGATCGAGCGGTAGAGACACCCGGTCTCTATGCCCATCTTATCACTAAGTACAAGGCATCAGTCATGGCAACCGATTACTCCGGCTTGAAGATCGCCACCTATAACTACCAGCAAGATCCAATGTCAACGAGACATTTTAAAAAGAATTCGGAGCCCAATTTTAGCAGCGTTAAGATTTGTTTGATCGATACGCTTACTCTCGACCCTGAGTTCCATGAAATCCTGGCAGATAGATGGCTACGTCCAATGAGAAACCCACGGGCTAGGGAAATCGTGGCCCCGATGCTTTGCTTACCAGAACATGGAGGCATGGTCATCAGTATGCGCGATTGGCTCGGTGGTGAGGAGCGAATGGGATGTGCTCTGACCCATGAGATGGATCCAGCCATCCGTGACGAGTCTAAGAAGGAAGACGAGAGCCTCACCAAATCTGAGACCAAAACTGGGTTCGGCAGCAGTCTGCTAGGTGGCGGATCACGAGTCTCTACTATCAAGCAGAGTCCCAAGAATGAATTGAGCGAAGTACTTTTGGACAAAGAGGCCCTGAAGACCAATGAAGTGGTTGTGCTGGCCATGGGCGAGGACGCACGAAAATACGCCAGCAGTATGCCGCATGCTGTACGCGTTGGCGCTTTTGGATACCCTATTCCTGACGCAACGCTCGCCGTTGTTGACCCTGAGACTAATCTTCTCTGTACGCCAAATGTTGTTGGAGAAATTTGGGTCGATTCGCCTTCTCTTTCTGGTGGATTCTGGGCCTTGCCGAAACATACAGAGGCTATATTCCACGCTCGCCCCTATAAATTTGAAGACGCCAATCCAACCCCGATACTCGTGGAACCCGAGTTCTTGCGCACTGGTCTACTCGGATGCGTGATTGAGGGCAGGCTATTTGTGCTAGGTCTCTACGAAGACCGCCTCCGCCAAAAGGTGGAGTGGGTTGAGCACGGTCAAGAGATTGTCGAACACCGCTACTTCTTCGTTCAGCATTTGACTGTAAGCATCCTGAAGAAGGTGCCGAAAATTCATGATTGTACTGCGTTTGATGTGTTTGTCAATGAGGAACATCTCCCGGTTATCGTTTTGGAGTCTTACTCGGCCTCAACAGCGCCAACAACCTCTGGTGGCCCGCCAAGGCAGCTCGACTCGGTTCTTCTTGATTCGCTCGCTGAGAGGTGTATGGAGGTTCTTTATCAAGAGCATCATCTACGAGTATATTGTGTTCTCCTCACAGCCCCGAACACTTTGCCGCGCGTTACCAAGAATGGCAGACAAGAGATTGGCAACATGCTCTGTCGCAAGGATTTCGAGTCTGGTATGCTGCAGGCTGTGCATGTCAAGTTTGGAGTTGAACGGTCAATAATGAATTTGCCCGTCGGTGTTGATCCTGAGGGTGGTATTTGGTCCCCCACCGCTCTAGCTTCGAGACAAGACATGCTTGCCTACCAAGAAAAGCAGTACTCGGGCGTGGATTATCGTGATGTTGTGATGGATGATCGAACTTCCACGCCATTGAACAATTTCAACACAATTGTCGATCTTCTTCAATGGCGAGTCTCCCGTCAAGCTGAAGAATTGGCTTACTGCTCCATAGACGGCCGCGGAAAGGAAGGAAAGGGCGTCACCTGGAAGAAATTCGACCTGAAAGTTTCTGCAGTCGCAACCTACCTGAAGAACAAGGTGAAGGTGCGACCGGGAGATCATCTCGTGCTCATGTACACCCACTCAGAGGATTACATCTATGCCGTACATGCTTGTTTGTGCTTGGGTGCTGTTGTCATTCCAATGGCTCCTATCGATCAAAACCGTCTTTCGGAGGATGCGCCTGCGTTCTTGCATATAATTAGCGACTTCAACGTCAAAGCCATCATCGTCAATACCGAAGTTGACCATGTTATGAGACAGAAGCTTGTGTCCCAACACATCAAGCAGTCCGCCCAAGTGCTTCGCATTGGTGTTCCCGCTATCTACAATACCACAAAGCCTTCTAGGCAGTCCCACGGATGCCGTGAGCTCGGCTACACTGTGAAGGATGCTTGGCTACAGGGCAACCAGCCCGCTCTGGTATGGACTTACTGGACCCCGGATCAACGAAGAATCTCGGTCAGTATCTCCCATGAAACCATCATGGGCATGTGCAAGGTTCAGAAAGAAACATGTCAAATGACAAGTTCGAGACCAGTGCTTGGAAGTGTACGAAGTACTTTAGGTCTTGGGTTCCTACACACCTGCTTTATGGGTATTTTCGTCGGTAAGCTTTCTGTTCTTTTTGGGGGTCTTCTGTTCTAATGTGATATCTAGGTGCCCCTACATATCTTGTTTCGCCAGTCGACTTCGCTCAGAACCCAATGACCCTCTTCGTAACTCTCGCTCGATATAAGATCAAGGACACGTATGCCACCTATCAAATGTTAGATCATGCAATGAGTGCTATGGCTGGAAAGGGGTTCCAGCTCCAAGAACTGAAGAACCTCATGATTTCCGCAGACGGTCGACCGAGAGTGGATATCTGTGCGTGCCATCCCCATTATAGCATGAAAAGAAGCTAATTCAACTGTACAGATGGGAAGGTACGCCTGCATTTTGCCAACGCCAGCTTGGACCGTACTTCGATCAACATAGTCTACTCTCATGTTCTCAACCCCATGATTACCACCCGATCATACATGTGCATTGAACCAATCGAGCTCTACCTCGATCTACGAAGCCTTCGTCAAGGCCTTGTCTACCCGGTGGATCCTGATGCCGACCCTACCGCGCTTTTGCTACAAGATTCGGGTATGGTACCAGTCAACACACAGATTGCGATCGTGAACCCAGAGACTTGCACTCTCGCGCATGTAGGAGAGTACGGTGAGATCTGGGTTCAGTCCGACGCTTGCGCGCAAGGATTCTACAAATCAAAACAAGATTTTGACGCCGAGCGGTTGAACGGCAGAGTTGCAGATGGAGATCCTAGTGTGCCTTATGTCCGTACTGGTGATCTTGGTTTCCTTCATACGGTTACTCGCCCAATCGGTCCTGGCGGCCAGCCGGTCGAGATGCAAGTACTGTTCCTCCTTGGCAGCATTGGTGAGACTTTCGAAGTCAACGGACTCAACCACTTCCCTATGGACATCGAAAACTCTGTAGAGAGATGCCATCGCAACATTGTGAATGGAGGATGGTAAGTAAATAAAGAGTGTTCTTCGCAGATTGTTCAATGGCTAACGTGAGGTTAACAGTGCTATTTTCCAAGCCGGTGGTTTGGTTGTCACCGTTGTCGAGGTTACCCGAAAGGCGTACCTGGCTGCCCTTGTTCCCGTCATTGTTGATGCTATTCTCATGGAGCACCAGGTTGTTACGGATATTGTCGCATTTGTTTCTTACGGCGACTTCCCTCGCTCCCGTCTCGGTGAGAAACAGCGTGGAAAGGTACTCGCTTCATGGGTAACCCGCAAGCTGCGAACTATTGCCCAGTTCAGCATTCGCGATCTGGAAGGTGACAACCCATTCGCGGAAATGCCGCAGCATCGTATGAGCCGAGCTTCCAAACCTGGTAGCACCATGGGTACCAGCTTCAGACAATCGACAATGAATCCCGAAATTGACACAGGCGTGCCTCGCTCCCCAGCTGGAGTGACACTGGAAGAGACCATTCAGCCCCCGACTGCTTATAATACCGACGGGGCTGCGTCGACGCCGCATGAAATCGAGACAGCCACGGACAATAGCGTGGTTGCCACTCCTGTTCCGGAGCCTAGTCCCGCTGTGCCTCACATCAAAGAGCCACAGTCTGCCACGATTGTAACCGAGTTTGACGATCGTCACTACAATACTTTGGAGTCAGCCGAGGGAACTTCTAACGCCGACCGTGATTTCCGCTTCAGCTTTGATATGGGCACGCCTAACCAACCTCAATCGTATGGATATCCTCCGGGCGATGAACGGCGAGAGTCGCTTCCCAGCCAGCAGGGATGGAACCCAAGTAGCGGCCCAGTTATTGGCACCGCTCATGCAGAGCCACCACGTCCACGCACACAGGACAGCGGGGTGATCGATGACTGGCCCCAAGAAGCTCTCATGTATCAGTCGGCACTAGGTGCAGAGAACGGCCAGGAGTTCCACCGCACGGACAGTAACCACGCTGCAGGGCAAAATCGTTACGATGGCCGCGGTTACGAACGTTGAGCTTTGATCGAGCACGTACATCGGTGTCTAGGACCCTGGCTGATCTTTTGTTCTAAAGCTGCCTGAAACGTGTTTGCTGTACGCCGATTTAATTCCTTCCCCCAACATTGCGATCTATTCACTTCTCCTCCCCCCCTCCCCCCCCCCGTCCCCCCCAGTTGTTCTTCCTCAATACCAATTTTTCCCTGTTTGCGATTTGTACATAGCCAGTATATCTTTGAATTGTGTGTGTAGATAATTATCCAGTTTTGATTTACATTCAAATCCTTTCCTTTACAGTCGATTATCTTGATGCCACCAACGCCTCAAAGCCGTGATGTCGACCCACCCCTAATGTGATCGTCCTTGGGCTCGCAATCAACTCATTTACACGTACGTCGATATATAGGATCTACAATGTATGGGACAGCTCTGCGATAACATCTAATTTTGCTGCGAATAGCTATTACGACCAACTCCACGGCTCAACAACATACGGCGGTTAATACAAGTCGTGAAGCTTCTGGGTTTGGAAGATAGATTCTACTAGTCAGTATCTTAACTGTCTTGCGGTCATACTACTATTCCAACTGGAAAATACAAAAGTTAGTGGAAAACAGAGATGACTACAACGAGATTCGGTCGAAAAACGAAAGTATAGATGCCTGTGAGAGGCTATCTTGACTCCATCCGTGCAGTGCAACCCTAACTATTTCTAATTGACAACTTAGATCCCTCCGAATATCTTGATTCCGCCTGAAATCCTGTAAGCATTGCCATGATATTCCCGAGAGTCTGCCATAGACCGTCTTCCCACTCATCGCCGACTTATCGACCATCATTATGCTCTGACCGAGCCAAATGATCGGCGACTATTGACGTGCAATTCTGTGGAGAAATCACACAAGAGCTCAGTTTTCTGGTCTTTTTCTTTCTCCTCGGTGACTTACGAGTTAGAAAGGAGCTAAACTGGGCTATAAAGCTGTCTTCGGCTCCCAAATTGAAGATGTAACAACTCCAGTTCAGTACCAGCAACCATGAACTTGCTAGGACTCGTGTTATTGGCAACCATGACAGTTGCCAAACGGCCTAATATTCTCTTTGTTCTGACAGACGACCAGGGCAAATATGTCGGTGGTTTAGAGCACATGCCCAAGCTGCAGGTGAGTCCATTCCCATCTCAACGAAAGCCCTACTTTTGGAATCGACCTCAATCTGACACCCACACAAGGAAACTCTCGTCCAACAAGGAACAAGCTACTCAAAACACTTCTGCTCAATAGCACTATGCTGTCCCTCACGAGCCAATCTCTGGACAGGCCGCATGCCACACAACACCAACGTAACGGACGTGGGTCTTCCCTACGGCGGCTATCCCAAGGTAGTCTCCGCAGGATGGAACGACAACTACCTGCCACTATGGATGCAAGAAGCCGGCTACAACACATACTACGTAGGTAAGATGTGGAACGCGCACACAGAGGACAACTACAACGATCCCTACGTGCGAGGCTTTAATGGCTCCGACTTCCTACTGGACCCCTACACCTACCGATACTGGTACGCGCGAATGACTCGTAATGGTGCACCGCCCGTCAAATATGATGGGAAGTACTCGACCGATGTGATCGCCGAAAAGGCCGAAGGCTTCATCGACGAAGCGGTTAAGCATGACCAGCCATGGATGCTGACCGTAGCACCAAATGCACCGCACTCGAACGGATCGCATGATTCAACGCGGAACGCGAACTGGTTTGGAGAGCCGGAGTTTGCGCCCCGACATGCAGATTTATTCAAGGATACCAAGGCGCCACGGGATGAGAGCTTTAACGCCCTGATTGAGAATGCGGTTAGCTGGGTGCAGAATGTGCCTGAGCTGAACCAGACGCATATTGACTATATCGATGAGTTCCAGCGGTGTCGACTGCGAGCCTTGCAGGCTGTTGATGAGATGATTGGGAATTTGATTGACAAGTTGGACAAGCTTGGGGAGCTGGATAATACCTACATCTTCTTCTCGACAGATAATGGGTATCATCTGGGTCAGCACCGGTTGCAGCCTGGTAAGAACTGTGGTTATGGTGAGTGATTCTCAATTCTTTGGAGTGTACACCTTTCGTTTGGAACATACTGACACTTACAGAAACCGATATCAATGTCCCTCTCATCGTCCGTGGCCCTGGTATCGGCAAGAATCAGACCTTGGACGCTATCACTTCTCATACGGATCTGGCTCCTACCTTTTTGAACTTAGCCGGAGCGAGTCGAGAGGGACTGGATGGCAAAAAGATCCCTACCACCATCGCTGCAAACACAGCAGATAATAGGACCGAGCATGTGGCCATTGAGTACTGGGGACTGGTGAGAAATTCACAAATCGAAAGGTTTCTTCGCACAACTAGCTAACTTCTATTCCAGGCCGTACCAGAAGGGATCTATGGATATGCCAGCGACAAGCTCGACCAGCCACACAGCAGCTACCAGCAAAACACATACAAGGGCATCCGACTAGTTGCCGACGACTATAGTCTCTACTACTCAGTATGGTGCACCAACGAGAAAGAGTTCTATGATCTAAAGGTATAGTCAGAAACCAATTTCGTTCAGCGCATCCAACAAGCCCTAACACAAGGACACAGAGCGACCCCCATCAGACCGTGAATCTGGGCGCCAATCCAGCTAAACATCCTAATTACAAGATCGGAAACTGCAAGTTACCGCAGATAATAAGCCGTCTAGACGCGTTAATGCTCGTGCTCAAATCCTGCGAAGGCGATGCATGTCGATACCCCTGGCAACAACTGCACCCGGCTGGGAACGTGAATAGTCTTGCAGATGCGCTAGATTCTGAGTTTGACACTTTCTACAAGAACCAGCCGAAAGTGTCGTTCTCTTCGTGTGAAAATGGGTATATCATTTTGGCGGAGGGGCCACAAAAGTTCAATTATTACGGGGCTAGTGAGAAGAGAGGATGGAGATTGTTTGGATGGTGAACTGCGCTTGCAATAGCCTCAGCGATGCAAAGAGAAACGCCCTTGATATTCATTATTTGTTATGGTGACCATGACTGTCACTGTGGTGTATACATTATGTCCGGAGTTCGAGTTTCCAAAGTAAAAAGTAGCAGTTGGAAATAGATTCATTCAAATTGATCATGGTATATGAATTATTGCTATCACTTTTGGTGCTTCATCTTTCTTGTTTTTTTGTTACATTTACATACTTTCAGCCTGTTTTGTGAGCTGCTCGATGTTGACCTTGCTGCTCAGACCGCCGATAGAAGCGGCGGCCTCAGGGGTACTGGCCAGCTGCTCGAGAGCCTGCAGGTCATCGCTGGTGAGGGTGTTGGAGCGGATGGGACGGAAAGGAGCCGGGGAACCAGCGCGGGAGGTGAGGAACTATGAACAATATGTTAGTAGTGATACACAAACAAATCAACGATCGAATCTTACCGAGCTAGCGGCGCTAAGCAGCGCAATAAGAGAGGCCTGGACCACATCCTGGTGGATGCCAACACCCCATACTTGCTCATTGCTGCCGGCTGCTGTGCACTGAATGTATGTAGCGGCCTTCACGTCACGACCGCGACCAATGGAGTGTTCCTTGTAATCGCGGACATCCAGATCGATACCGAGAGTGGAAAGTGCAGTAGCCAGGGACGAGATAGCACCTGGGCCGACACCGGTGATGGCATGCTGGACATTGTCGATCTCGACGATACCGGTGAAGCGACGCTTGAGGTTCTTGGTGTTGAGGGCCTTGCCGGGTTGGGGAGGAGCAGGGGACCGCGAGCGATCGGTGGTGATGCTGTAATCGACGAGAGTGAAGCGAGGGTTTGACTTGAGGTGGTAAGCCTCCTCGAAGAGGTTCACGATCTCGGTGGGCTTCAGCTCCCGGCTGACACTCTCGGTCTTCACTTGCACGATTTTGCTGAACTCGACCTGCAGCGCGCGAGGGAGATCCAGCTCCAAGCTGCGCAGAATAATCCAGGCGGCGCCACCCTTTCCACTCTGGGAGTTGACGCGGATGACTGCCTCGTATGTACGGCCAATATCTTGCGGGTCCAGAGGCAGATATGGGACTTCCCACTTGGTTTCCTCGTCGGCACCCTCGCCATCTTCGCGGAGCTTGAAGCCCTTCTTGATTGCGTCTTGGTGACTAAGTTTCAGAAATAAGTTAGTAAGATAGATAATCCACGTGGGAACAGGAAATCGAACCTTCCAGAGAAAGCGCACACCACGAGCTGGCCACCATAGGGTGCGCGCTCGTTAACGGGAATCTTGTTGCACTCCTCAACCACCTTGATAACTGAGTTGATGTCCGAGAAGTCGACGTTTGGTGAGACACCTTGTGTGTACATGTTCAGGGCGAGAGTGACGAGATCTACATTTCCAGTGCGCTCGCCGTTTCCGAACAGAGTGCCCTCTACACGATCGGCACCAGCCATTTGTGCCAGCTCAGCCGCAGCAACAGCGCAGCCCCGATCGTTATGGGGGTGTACTGAAACAACAAACTTCTCGCGTTCAGTCATGTTTGTGCAGAAGTACTCAACCTGATCGGCGAAGACGTTGGGGGTGGCCATCTCTACTGTGGCGGGAAGGTTGAAAATGATAGGCTTCTCGGCAGTGGGCTCCCACGCAGCCTTGACAGCCTGGCAGACCTCCACAGCGAACTCGGGCTCGGTATCCGAGAAAGTCTCGGGGGAGAACTCAAATTGCCAATCTGTGCCAGCCTGGGAGGGGTCATCCTTGGTGATAGAGCGGGCGTACTTTGTGCATTTAACAGCGAGTTCCAGACTCTGCTTTCGGTCCATATTGAAGATGATGCGTCGGAAACAGGGGCTAGTTGCGAGGTAGATGTGGAGGATGGCCTTCTTGGCGCCCTTCAGAGAGTCAACGGTGCGACGGATGAGGTCCTCGCGGCAAGGAGCCAGGACTTGGAGAGCGACATCATCGGGGGTGAGGCCGGGCTCTTCGACCAGACGGCGGGTGAAGTCGAAATCAATTTGGGATGCGGACGGGAATGACACTTCAATTTCTTTATAACCAATATCCACAAGCATCTTGAAGAAACGATATTTTTGCTCGCCATCCTATTAAGGCAATTCAGTCAATCGAGGAACATCAATTAGCAGTCAAATATGCCATACCATTGGGTCGGGGAGAGACTGGTTGCCATCGCGCAGATCGGTGGCCAGCCAGCGAGGTGGCTTGTTGATAACTTTGTCAGGCCATTGGCGATTAGGCAGGTTAAGTGGCTTGTATGGCGTATATTTTTTTGAAGGATCCTTGAGCCTTCACGGGATTAGTACAGACAAACTGCAGGTCAGGAATCACCACATACATCGGCATGACGGCGATGGCGGGGTACCGCGGGGGAGAAGTGGATAAGATATAGAAGGGGGTATCGCAGTTGGACCAAGGTAGTCTCGGGATTGATCTGAAAAAGAGCAAGAACTAGCTTTTAGAATTTGGACCAGCGAGTTCCTTTATAAAGAAAAGAAGACCAATGAAGAAAGGGGTGTATCCTCTGACTCAAAATCCCTGATCGTCAATGACGCCGATTTTTCGGCGCCGACAGCGGAGTCACGTGACACGGCCACTGGTCGAGTCAGCGCACGATGATCTCCAAATCTCACTTGGGATCTTGAGACAGACTGTCTGTCGTCGTATTGCCCACTGCTAACTTGTATTCTTTTCACTCCATTTAATATCACTCTACGGCTATTTGCGACGGATATCTGCTCCTACTGGCCCCATAGACGGCCCCGAACATCGGAGGTGTTTCTGGCCTGAGGCATCTACTCCGAGGATAGCCGCTACCATCGTACAACACAACACATCGGTGTGTGTCAGTTGGGAGTCGAATTCGGGAAACAATCGGTCTAATATACAATAGTAGAAGTGAATTGGGAATATGGTGTGTAGTCAGGCACGCTCAAAGTGACAACACACATGGTTATACAAAGTTCTTCTCGAATTCAACCAATAATGGATGAACGTCGTCCACGCTAAGCTTGACGGCACGGGGATCCTTCAGCGCGTCATCACCTAGTCTGGATTTCATCAACGCCCGCAATTTTTGGCCATCCTTGTCCGTCTTGCTCTGCATCTGACCAGTCACATCGACAGTGATTGCACCGTCAGCTAGATCCCGTGAGCCGAGGATGAAGATGAGGTTATACTTCATCTGTTTGGCACGTTGGATCTTCTTGCCTAGAGTTTGTGGGCTGCTGTCGACATCAACCAAGAATGTGGAGTCGACTGAAGAGAGTGGACGGGGCGACTCGGCGGTGCCATCATTGAGTAATGCGCGGAATCCAGCGAACTTGGCTAACGCTTCCCGAGCCTGGCGCACAACAGCTTCATCCTGGTTTACCGTCAGGATAATAGCTTGGCGAGGGGAGAGCCAGAATGGCCAGTTGCCACCATGTTCTTCGATGAGCAACGCCAAAAACCGCTCCAATGAACCAAAGATAGCGCGGTGAACCAACACAGGAGTTGCAACTCCAGGTGTAGCTGGGTTGTAGTCTGGCTCACCCTCGGCAACCTGGTACTCTAGCTCGAATCGTTGAGGCAGATTCATGTCTAATTGAATAGTAGAGAGCTGGTGGAATTTGCCAGCTTTATCTTGAAGCTGAATGTCGATCTTAGGGCCGTAAAAGGCACCATCGCCCTCATTTAGCGCCCAATCGCGTCCAGTACTATCCAGCGCTTCGCGCAACTGCGTCTCGGCATTATCCCACATCTCTAAAGTTCCGATATAATCCGTTTCCGGTCGAGTCGAAAGGACCAATCGATACGGACCGAGTCCGAAGGTCTTCATGGCCATATCCACGAATCCGAGCGCCGATGCGATCTCTGACTTGATCTGCTGCGGGCGACAAAAAATATGCCCATCGTCTTGATGGAAACGGCGGACACGTGTCAGACCAGTCAGGGATCCTGACACTTCGTTGCGGTGCAATGGACTGAAGTCTGCATAGCGCACCGGCATGTCGCGGTAGGAGTGATTTTGTGACTTGAAGAGCAGGCAATGCCCAGGACAGTTCATTGGCTTCAGTCCGTATGATTCGTCCTCGCCTATTTCACCATCTGCCTCGCCACTAGCCCCACGGCCAGTAACCTCATACATATCATCCTTGTAGTTCTGCCAGTGGCCTGATATTTCCCATAGCGACTTTTTGTAGATGGTCGGGGTTAAGACTTCACGGAAGCCGTATTGTAGGTATTGGGTGCGGAGGAAGGAGATCAGTTTATTGACGACATGTGTGCCATTCGGGAGGAACAAGGGAGATCCAGGGCTATAGACTGAGGATGTAAAAAGCTCCTGAGCGGTGCCGAGAGCTCGGTGGTCGGTGATCGGTATCGTTGGAGCTTCCGGTTTTGCCCTGTCAGAACAGGAGCAATGGCGAATTGCTGTGTATGACAACGGGCGCGACCGTGCAAACCGCCATGGCAGAGACTTCACGCCAGGCGTCAAGGATCGCGGTCTGAGGCGAAGCAGTGGGCGCATGGTTGCTGAAGAATCTCGATTCTCGGCCGCCGCGGTTTCTCCGATCTTTCTTTCCCCACCGCTTTGCGCAATGCTCTGGCGCTTGCGCCAGTCGCATTCACAGCGTACAAGAGAACGTGCAACATTCTTAAGTGATTTTTTCTAACTGATATATCTACTAGTCCATAAACCTCATAATGCCTTGGTGATATGTTCACGTCATGTCTACAGAACAACCTCGTATTTTGGATCGCCCGCTTGGCGAATCCTGGGTGATGGCATCGACTGCTTCTCTCAAGGAAAATGACACAGACTCCAAAGAAACAAAGGATTTCCACCACAGCAAAGTTATCACAGAGCCAGTTGATCCGGTATCAGAGTCACCGGTATCCTCAACGTCCTCGTCATGGACTATATCAGGCCCGGAGCTTATCATGCCCTCTATCTACGAAACGCCTAGTCCCGAAGGGTCATGGGTCGAATATGTGCGCACCCCGAAGAAACCAGGTTCAGAAGGCATGAAAAAGCGACGCAAAGTCTCCTCGGGTGGCGCAAAGCTACAACAGCAGGATCGAACCGTCGAAGCTAGTGATGGAGATGCTGGTTCTACAGAAAAGGCCGTTGCAAAATTCGAATCCAGATTTCATGGATATACAACCATCTTCCGCAAAGCAATCAACGCAGTCTTGATCGCTATTATCTTGCACCTGTTGGTACTCCCAGAAGTAGTCTATCAAGCCAAAGACCTCTGCCGGCTCCCAAGCATCAAGATTCTTTACCCTAACAGCTGCGTCACCCTCCCCACAATATACCCATCTCGCGGCGCCTTCCAATCGCCTCCCTCCGCAGACGAAACCCTTGCAACCTCTCAGCGGGAACTAGAGTCCATATTCGACACGGCTCTCGAAACTCTCACACCTCTGTCCGCAATCCTAAAACAAAGCGAAAGCATGCTCGCCGACCTAGAATCCCAACTGAAGTCAACCTTCCCAGACGCCCGAAATGCGCTGGACCTTGAATTCACCGGCGGCAACCAAGCCGTGCAAACAGCAGTATGGCAATTCGACTCTCTGCGAGCGGACCTACGCTCCGCAATTGACAGCCTGTTAGCCTCCCCACCAACTCCAGAAACCGGCGGTAGTGTAGCTCTTGACGCCCGACTCGCCAACCAAATGCGACGGCGGTCAGAATACCTCGAGCGACTGCGTACGCAAATCCGCAGCAAAGCGGACTCGCTCAACACGCGATTCATAACTTTGGACGATCACCTCGAAGCAGTTGACGGGATCATAGCACGGGAAGAACGGCGGAGCCCAACATTCTATAAGTACGGATCGTCTAGCTCTGACGATAGTAGCGACCGGTTGCACTCGATGCTTGACTCGCTCCCGCTCGGGTCGTTCGGGGCATATTTATTCCGGGCGCGATCGTCAGGAGATGCCGATGCCAATATCGCTGCTGTGACGGAGTCGTCATCGTCTGTCGCGGCCTCCAGTACATCCACAGAACCCAAGACCCGACCCGCGGCCACTTTTGCCCTGCTCCGGGTGGCGGCCACGCACCACCGTCCCGTTGCTGACTCGGTATTACGTCTATCACGACAACTAAGGGATGTGCGCCGTGCGACTGGAGCCGGGTCCACTTGGTGAATAAAGAGTGGGGGGAAGGTCCCATATCAACGGGGCTGAACGCTCGGAGTTTGATCAGGGTCCGTTCACGTTCATGAAGATTGAAATTACGATGTTCCAATCTTTCAGAGGTGTTACCATAGTTACAGTCTGTTTTTTTTCCAGTTTTTTTTGTTCTATTTTTCGGGGATTTTTTTGATTTTTTGGCAAGGTTTTTGGGCGTTTCAATTGCGCACATGAGACGAGTTGAATGCACAATCACGAGCCACGACTTACAGTATCGTTACCATGATCATTACTTCAATTATTGACGTTGCTTTCCACATAAAATCAATACCCAGGCATGTCGGTGTTTTCCTGCGTCTTGGCGTACATGCCCAGTGCATATCCACACCTTCTCTAGGGCTTCATATCCACGGTTCGTCTATACCAAGTGCCCTGATCAGCCAATCCAACTAAACAGATCTAATTGCCGAATCGAAAAGCATCCACAGGCAATTCAGACTGACATCAATCAAAACTACCAAATCAAGTTTTTTTCCGTTCGGGGTACGGAGTAAAATTTCTGATATTACTTTCGAAGGTTATGCCCAGCTGTGCCTAAATGGGTCTTCTCGGTCCTAAGGGCGGCATGAGAGTTTGCCCAATGCTCCTCCGTACTTCGTACATAGTGGGAGATGCACATGGACATTATAGCCCGAAGGCTATCGAGGTACAATGCATATGATTGATATCAACGCCATCCGAATATCCACATATAAAGTAAAGTTTGGGGTATAGAATGCATGTAGGAAGTATAGACTGCAACAGCTAGAGACAATAAGCGGTGAAGATATAGGATAGTCAATTCCATGCAAGATACTCCGTAGTTGAAAAGTCAATTGATTATTATTCCATATTTGCTCAATAGTAGAGGCATGGGGCTGATAGATACATGATGTCCGCCCAGAGAGTGCCCATGCTACCAGACTGCCCGGAAGCACATTCTAGGCAGCCCAAAAATAGGTTGCAGGCACTTTGGGCCGAAAGGACCAAGAGAAAAAGGGTACATCAGAAAAGGAAAAAGAGTTCAAACGTTGCATCCATCAAACCATTACCATATCCGGTCCAGCCAGTATCCTCGATTCGAGGCGCGTTTCCATTAATGATGCGTCAAAAAGCCAAAGCGCTCAAAAGGACATTTACAGCTGGAGCATGGCGGTCAACAGACCCAGAAGGGACACAGGTCCCAGGTAGGTAGCACCGATAGATGCACCTGCGTTGAAGACAGGGCTCGCGCTAGCGCTAGCGCTGGAGCTGGCACTGGAGGATGAGCTAGGGGAGCTGGGGCTGGAGGTGGAGCTGGAGCTGGAGCCAGAATCCGACCCAGAGGTGCTGGGGCTGCTGGGGCTGCTGGGGCGGCTAGAGCCGCTGGGGGAAGCAGCAGAGCTGGAAGTGTCGGCAGCACTGGAGGTGGAGGTGGAGCTGGACACGACGGTAGACTCAGCAGCCGAAGAGGTGGAGGTTCGAGTAGCCAGAGTGGTGGCGGCAGAGGAAGAGCTCTCGGTGGTAGAAGGAGACTCGGTGGTGGTGGAAGGAGACTCAGAGGTGGTGGACAAGGCATCCTCGGAGCTGGTGGTAGCGTCGATGGTGGTGCTGCGGGTCTTGACGGCGTCAGATCCGGTGAACTTGATGCTGTCGGAGGAGCCAGACTTGTCGGTCCAAGTGTAGGAATCAGCGGGGTTGTAGTTCACGATGTTGACACTCTTGATGTACATGGAGTAGGGGCCCTTGGAGTAATCGGTTGGGCCACCAGCCCAGTCAATGGTACCCTGGGGGTTGGTGGGAGCACCACCAGCCCAGATACCCAGACGAACGTTCATAGGAGTCTGGGGGTAGCGAGCGCCACCCTGGGCCTGGCCATAGGTGACAGTACGAAGAGGCTGACCATCAATCATCCAAACAATGGCTTCCTTGCTCCATTTGATGGTGTAGGTGTGGTAGACATCATGAGGGGTTGCCACAGCTTCCCAGCTCTCGCGGTCCCAAGTAGTGGTATCACCCTTTCCGAAGTAATTGGTTTCAATGCTGTCGGTCCTAGTACCCAACGCTTCCTGCATTTCAGTTAGCCATTATTCTATAATCATTCGGAGCCATAGGTTTGATTTTGCAAATTACATACCCAATCAATCTCATCCTTGTCATCCGATTGCAAGAATGCGGAGCTGACAATGCCTTGACCATGGGAAGTCTTCATCTCGATGGAGACTTCGCCGTAGAAGAGATAGAAGTTGCTTGTCAGGGTAGGGGCATCACCCTCCTTTTCGATAGTAAACACGGCACCATCAGCGCCGGTGGGAACTTTGCCGCCCGTGATCTTAAAGTGGTCGAGAGCACTGGGCTTAGTGAAGTCAAAATGCAGGTTGGACTCGGTAGAACCTGGGTTCGCCGGGCAAGTCTTCTCCATGGGGTTGCAATCGGAGTAAGTCTGAGCAGAGACCAGAGGGGCAGCCATGGCGAGCGCCGCAGCGGCGAGCTTCATGAAAGACGGCATGGTAGATACGATACGCGTCAAACGAATGTGAGTAAACGAAAGAAGCACCGACACCGAGAGAGGAATTAAATATGAAGAAAGAGAGAACTCAGGGAAGGTGGGAGGCTGCACTTTATCTACTCTTCCACTAGGCTACGGTCCATACAGAACCAGATACCCCGTACTCCATCCTCCGTCCTCCGTACTAAGTACAGAGTACAGAGTACGGAGTATCTGGTAAGACACTATACACTGCCACGCTACTAAAAAAAAAATCAGGAGGCGGGGACCGATATGCAAAGAAGAACGCAGCTGATTGGAGGACAGGGAGCTGAGACAACAGGGTACGACTGGGCAAGTGGACCTTTGACTCTCCTCTTTGGGCTCTTTGGCCTCATGGAGAACGATATGAACCTAAAGCTTACCTGATATGAGACTGTGAGGCTGGACATATATCTGAGCATCCATATGCAGATACGAAATGCACCGTCCATGTATGGCGTATGCAGCGACATCGTGACCGGCTCCCTCGTTCACCACGCACACAGGGCTGATCGGCAGATCCGGCCGATCAGTTACATCTATTACATCTGTTACATCTCTTACAGGGTAATCGTGATCACATCGTGGACTCCATAACAATGGCGATATGCATGTATGGCTGACACCGTATTCCAGGTGCTATCGTACGCCATGCTCACTAGACTCCAAAGCCGAGCCGAAATAGGTGGCCTTGTTAAGCGACCGCCAAGGAACTGGTCTTTCGAGTTTCGGATGTCTTACGGAGGACTCCGTACTGCAACCATTATTACCTGACTCTGAACAGGTTAAATTAATATTTACCCACTTGAGCACAGTGCTACTGCGGCCGCCGTAGTCTGGAGTACAAGGCCTCCATAGATCCGGATATGTCCTTGCTCCTCCCACGCGCATAAAATTGCCTCTCAACCCCAAGTCAGCCTCTGCAATAAGACTCACAAGACCAATAAGACTAATAATAACCGTTTGATACGAAGTCCGATCCACGGGGCTCCTATCAGATGACTCAGGAGCCTGTGCCTGGACTAGTGAGACCGTTACCTTCCGGAGACTTTGATTTGCTCTAAAGGGCGCTAATGCCTGTCTGTTATAGAATACGGAGTATGGAGTACGGAGTACGGAGTACTAGCCGATGAACTCGGAACATCCGAGTTATTCTTGTCTCTCTAAGACTCTGTCTAAAACCCGATGTCACAAATCGCGGCAGGTTGTCTTTCTTTCCCAGATCCCTCACATCCATGCGAGAGTGCCATGCAAGGGATGATTATATTGTTTCTATAGGGCACCTCTGCTTCAAAGAATGCTCTTTGTGCTTTGATACATATCATTTCAATCTTGACTACTCCGTACATACTCCGTTCTCGGTGGGGCTCAGATGCAGGAACAAGCGCTACTGAATGATCCAATCACCGCTGTCGACTTTACCCCGAAAAGGCTCGCATAAGGAGATTAAATTAAATTGTACTCCGTACGGAGTACGGAGTAGAGGAAGTGAAAGAGGGGAAATATTCACATGGACGTGGCCCCAGACAAACCTCAGCCATCAAGTTAAACCTCACCAGCCTTCCGACCCTAATTCAACCAATCCCTAAAACATAAGATACACAGAGTCACCTCACAGAGTCACCTCACAGAGTCACCTCGGTAGGTCCAGTCAGTTGAATCTGGACCTTCTTCGTAATGCTCTGTCTCTGAGCATTATAGTCACCATCCCGAGGTTGATTCTTCTGCCCAAGCAGCGTAACAGCCTCAATCACCACATTCGGACGATAGCCAAACCGGCCCAGGATCTTAAGCTTGCCGTTCCGGAACTCAAACTGAATCTGCGCTGCACTGTCCGGCCGAATCGATTCGCCATCATCGAGATAGAGCTCGCCCTCAGCAGATCCATCCGCTCCCGGCGCGATGAGAATCTCAAAGCCGCGTTTCCGCAGCTCCTTTGTCGTCATCGCACTCTCCGTCCGGAGCGGGAGGATACTGCCGCCACGGATATGAATCGGGATATCCGTGACCGCAAGATCGCTGATCGTCTTCACGGCTCCCTCGCCCTGCACAACAGCACCGGTGAACCAATCGTAGAAGAGATCCTTGGGGAAATACGCATCGACCGAGGTAGCGCCCTCTTCCGAGACGGGCGAGACAAGAATCGAATCACCATAGAAGAACTGCAGCTCATTGCCAAAGGTCTGGCTATCCTCCGGATAGACGTAGAACAGCGGCTGGAGGAAGGGGCTACCGGTCACAGTCTGGTGATGGAAGGAAGTATAAAGGTAATCAAGAAGACGATAACGGATATCGATGATCTTCTTCGCGGCTTCTGTCACGGTCGGCCAGCGATAGAATTCCTGTGGAATGGCGCTGAACTCGTTGTGGTTGCGGTAGAATGGGTAGAAGCCCCCGAGCATTGCCCAACGCGCGCACAGCTCTTCGGTCGTGTTTCCGGCGAAACCGCAGACGTCGCTGCCGACCATGGGGACTTGGAAGAATGAAGCGAAGGCGAGCATCTGCGCAATTGAGATGCGGTACTTCTCCCAGTCGCTGACATTGTCGCCGAGCCTAGGGTGGAATGCATCAGTATTCGTGTACGGAGTATCAGGCAGTCTACTAGCATTGGATCTTTGGGTTATCTTACCAGTGGCCGACTTGGGTGCCTGCTCCGGCAAAGGTGCTGCGCGTGATGACCAACGGCCGCACATGAGGTCGGCGCTTCAACATTGCCTCGCGGGAAGCCGAGCTCATCACTAACGTCAGGGTTAGAGAGGTCAAAATAAGCAATCAAGGCAAAGAACTTACTGGTGCCATAAAGATTATGTGTGTCATACTCGGCATAGCCTTCGCCGGCATGGATGAGGTCAGTGTCAATGGTCTTATTGCTAATTGAACCAGCCTCATTTGCAATCTGATAAGGCGGGTTGATCAGGTCTCGGCCAGGCAAGCCGATCTTCTTTCCCTTTCTTCCGTGTTTCGGTTTCCCGTTGACACTACGTTCCTCGATCGTAGCATCGCCTCTCTTGATCCGGTGTGAAGGTTTGCCGGATGAGGATCCAGGCTGGAAGTCAGCTGGGAAACCGGGGATTTTGCGGGGAGGTGATCGGACTGGTGGAGGCGCCGGGGGCAGATCATTCTGCTCAGCGTACTCTGCTGGGTTCGCGCAAGGGTATGGGCAGAAATTGGCAGCTTCGTTCATGTCGATCCAGAGACCATCGATGTCGACGCCGTCTCTTGCGCTGAAGAACCGCCTGAATTCTGAGTTCCAGTAACTTTGTGTATCCGGATTGAACCAGTCTGGGAAGACGGTTACACCGGGCCAGACGGCGCCTGCAGATGCCAGAATAGCGTGTTAGTCACAGTACATATGCAGGTACTAAGCTTCCTCTGGGAGTCTTGCCTTCATAGAGCTCGTTCTGTTCATTATCACGATACAGGAACACACCTTGGTCGGAACCTCGGTTGAAAGCACCGTTGTCTGGGAATAGGACATACTGTTAAAACGGAACTGCAAGAGCGTATGGTCATCGAACTTACCTGAGTGACTGACGGCCGGGTCAACCATCACAATGTATTTCTGGTGATGCTTGTGAAGATAGGAAACCAACCCTCGCATTTTTTGGAGAGGGAATCGCTCATCGTCGAGAGTGAAAACCTTTCGGGCATCCATGTAGTCAATGTCAGTCCACATAGTCTCGAGAGGGATGCCGGCACGGCTGTAGTTGTAGACCACTTCAGCGACGTCAAAGACATCCTGGTAACCATATCGGCAGTTGTGGTACTATAAGAATGTCAGTCACAATGCAACGCCAAGGTTTTGATTTTGAACTGGACGAAATGTACCCCAAAACTCCAGTAGCTCTGCATCACAGGCAGACCAACAACTTCAGAATACTGCTCGCTAACTTCCTTGGGCGTCGGACCAGCCATGAAGTAAAAGTCCAAAACACCTCCGAGAGTGTTATATTCGAGGTACTGCTTGCCATCCTCGGTCTTATCAATCTTGATGTCCATGCCATTTGAATTCAAGAAGAAGACGCCATGCGTGCCCTTCTCTCCACGGTGGTCAATGTAAAGAGGGTGATCACCATAGAGATTCGACTTCTCGGGAACGGCATAAGCATCGCGGTTCCAAATCGTGCGCGTATATTTCTCCGTGGGCAGACGGAGCGAGTCAGTGTGTTCGCCCAAACCATATAGATTTGGTTCATTGGGGAGCCAAGTGCGCAAATTCAAGTACTGGGACTGGAAGACGATATTGGTGTCAGAGGTGTCGAAGAGTACTTCTTCCCCACGTAGGACCCGGAATGAGAAGGGATTCTCCTCGAAGTCAAAGCTGAGGGCAGACTTCTTATGGTGAGCTCTTCCGCTTTCAGGTCTCGGCAGGACATATTCTGGGACTTGGTAGACCTCCTCCTTGGCATCGTAGATCATCACATGGAGGCGGTTATCTAGTAAATAGGTGCATGTAAGCATACATCTATACTTCGGGAGGATGTATGAGGGTCTTGCAGCATACCAGTTTGGGTCTCTACGAGAAGCTTCAAATTCGGTAGATCCGTGCCATAGGTGTTACAGGCATCTCCAGCAAGTTCAAGGTCCGCAGTCAAGGTCTGACCCAACTGCTTCACGTTAGAAGCCGTGTAGCCGGGACAACCCTCGAGTGGCGATGTCGGTTTCACGACAGCAGCAGCCACAAGGGGAGCCAGGAGGAACAACGTGCCTCTCATGATGGAAATCAGGCAAACGTTGAAGTACAACAGGATACACTAGAGCTCTGGGTGGATTTACAAGGGAACCAGTGCACCCTTTTAAAGCAGGATGCACCGGTCCAGATCCCAATTGAGGGGAAGGAGGTGCGGGGATTGTGATGTCGCATAGACCAAGGAGATCCCTACAGGCAGGGAGCAATTGTTGCATGATGAGTAGTATTGCATAACCTTGCATTGATCATGCTTCCACTGCACCGGCGATGTGCGGAGAAACGGGCAATTATCGGTTTCTCCCTCTTGGCTGTGATCGGACATCGCGAACTTCCCACGTTGTACTCCGTACATCGAATATACATCGACGGAAATCAACGTCGTACGGCGTGGCTCCAGATTCATACTAGGACCACCTAGCTTTTACTGCATTGGGTATGGGGACTGTTAATTCCCCGGAGTTTGCCCGGGTTTAAGCCTAAAGCAATGACGTTGTGAGAGATAGAGGGTTCCACATCAGGTCCTTGTCGGACAGGGTCTCCCGGCTGTACATCACCCGATTCCTTGAAGGCCTATATTTTAGTTAAATTGGTAATCTTATTGATGAAACAGCCATCGAATAGGCTTTCTATTCAGCCCAAGGGCTTTCTCTAGACATCATTCGTCATGGATAAAAAAAAGAAAATCGTCAACGCCATTGGGCCCATGTGATCCTGACCAGAAACCCTCTGATGTTCTCAATTACCGCCGTTCGTCTTTTTCGTTCTTTCGCTCAAACCTTCTGTCCAGCAGTGGCGGCCTTGACATCCTCCTCCGAGCTCATGATCTGTACCTTGATGGCACCAGTCTTGGGGTCAGAGGCGGTCTCAAAGGCCTTGAGGGCATCCTCAAGGGCGTAACGGTGTGTAACCAGCTTGCTCAGGTCAATTACACCGTTCTGGACGAGACGAATGGCCCGGGGCCAAGTGTTGCAGTAGCGGTACTGGTACTGCAGGTCGATCTCCTGGGTGCTGAGACGCATGAAGGGAATGGTCATCTCGTTCTTGCCGACACCGATGACAAAGACCTTGCCACCGAACTTGACACTCCAGATAGCAGAGTTGACACTGCTCTCAACACCGGTGCACTCCAGGGCCAGCTTGGGGCGTAGAGCATCAGGGCCAGAGCCCTTGCCATCATTGAAAGCATTGATGATACCTTCAGCACACTCCTCGGCTGACTTGCCAATCTCCACCTTATACGTGCGTACTTCAGGGGCCAGGCTCTTCGCGAAGGCCAGACGACCCTCGTCAATGTCGGTGATAACAATGGGGCAGGCACCAGCAGCACGTGCGCTGAGCAAACTAATCAGACCGATAGGACCGGCACCGGTGATGAGGAGCGGGTCACCGAGACGCAGACCACTGCGCTCAATAGCTGCCAAGCTCACACTGAGAGGCTCCAACATAGCACCAGCCTCATAGCTCATATTGTCGATCTTGTGGCACCAGATGGCAGGGTGGTTGACGTACCGCCGGAGCAGGCCATCGACGGGCGGGGTGGACAGGAAAGCGACACTCTCGCACCCGTTGTAGCGGCCGGTCAGGCAGGGCTCGCAGGCGTTACAGATAACGTTGGGCTCAACGGCGACGCGGTCGCCGACCTTGAGGTGAGTGACATCAGGAGCTACCGCAAGAATCTGGCCGGCCGATTCATGGCCGAGGATGTGGTCGCCCGTGACAATCATAGGACCAATGCAACCAGCGTGCCAGAAGTGGACATCGGAGCCGCAAATACCTGTGCTGCGCACCTCAACTGTGACCTCGCCGGGCTTCAGGCCCTTACCAGCATTGATGTCCTCTGCGGTTGGGGTGGACTCGGCAATCCAGAGGTCATGTTTGGGGTTGGTGTACACACCGATATTGGTCTTGGTAACAGTTGCAGATGCCATTATTGTATAGTCAGGGAGGGGAGCAAATAGATAGGGAATCTATGCATGAATGCAAGGCGGGAATAGCTACTTTAATACCTCCGAATACCCGGTGTCCAGGTGATCTCATATATGCGACCAGCTGTCCATCCAACCCCACGGTGATATGTACAGAGAGTAACAAAAAGTGGAGCGGAGGGGCATTCGATTTAACCGCGCGGGGGTCATTTGCTCTCTCCGGCTCAATCAGGAAACCCTTGCCCGCTCTCAGTCTCGGGCCGAGTCATAGAGTCGGCTATCGGTTAATTTTCTGAAGCTGTATTCTTCGATTTCCAGATGCCTCATGTCCTGCTCTTAAGGTATGGAAAACCAAAAGCATCATTGCAACTATCAGAGAGAACCTCTTCTCTGGCAAGATCATCGTGAAAGGCAATTCTCCGGTGGAGGTGGATTTCAAGTGGAGGAAATGCCTTTTTCCGAGCCAAACAGTGCAAACCCCGGCTTTCTTTTGACGGAGAACTGCTCTCCCATGTTGAGGATCTATATAAGTTCCAACGTTGCCCTACGAAGATATGTAGGGATCCTATACCCCTTCTTTTGCTCTTCTTTGAAGCCTCCCAGGATTGAGCAACCTCATCCAAATCCACTCTCTACATAGTAGTTGTTCTACCCTTTTTTCAGTATAAGGGAGAACTGTGTAACTTATCTTGTCATCTGACGATCGTGGATGGGTGTGAGACGAGAATGGTCCAGTCGTCTGGCCAAGTCCTGCACGATCATGACCTGTGCATGAGACTGGTAGCAACGGTTCTTTAGAAGTGCCATGGCTGTGTTTGTTACCCACAGATTTACATCACATGGATATAACATAAAGAGACAAATGTTGGTATTGGTATCGTATCGTTGATTATACTATTCCATATAAAAGCTAGCAGAGACTCAGTTATCAGCGTTGAGAACTGGCACATTAAGCTATATATAATAATAAAAAAAAGCACTCAAGCAAATAATCCTGGGTAGCTTCTTTGCCGGGTTCAATATCGTCCGTAATCTCTTCGGCATGTACTTCCTTGCGTAGATTGCCAGCCACGTGTTCCTATCATCGTATTGGATCTCTTGGTGAAGCACCTCTTTTCTTGTTCTTCCGAGTTTGGGCTTGGGAAACTCGAAAATCTGGCCCAATTTTTGGAGGTAATGGCGGACCGGAACGATGTTTATATATCTCATACATAAACCTTCGAAGCAACTGGTTTTCTTTTAGTTTAAAACCCAACCCTTACTATGAACAAGATATACCCTCCTCATTCCTATCTTATACTCAGACAGAAAAAAGATCCCCAATTCTTCTATCCGGGGTATTGTTCCAGCTACCACTCTGGTGAATGGGGATGGACGCACGTACAATGCTCTAGCATCTGGGCAGAGAGGCACCAAAGTTCCCGGCCACTTTCCAAATCTATACTTTTGAGGAAAAACATCTCTATTTATCTGACCTGAAAAAACGAATTCGCTCTAAACCTCTAACCTCTCTATGGAACCCCATGATAATGTTCACTGTAGCTGGTGTGAAAAGTGCCTCACGTGACCGGCACAATTCCTAACGTTCCCGAGTCAAATCTTCATCCGTTTCTGCCGTTGCGCGAGACTCCAGATCATTAGATCATACTGTTTTCTATCAGCGACTGCTTCGGGTGTCTTTCGCTTACTTCTTCTTTCTCACTCCTTTCCTCCGCAGTATTAAAAATGCCCGCCGCCACCCGTGCCGTCCTGCGGCAATCGCAGTTCCTGACCCGGAGAACTGCCGTCAGACACGCCTCGTCCACCTCGGAGGCTGCCTCCAAGGCCAGTGAGACTGCTGCCTCTGCTGCCTCCAAGGCTTCTGAGGGTCTGTCCAAGGTCTCTGCCTCCGCTGGTCCTGCTCTCTCGAACGCCGCTGGTGCTCTGCGCAAGATTGGTGGTCCCGCCGGCAAGGTCATCTCTTTCGTCGATTGTAAGGGACACCCTTGATTTTTCTCCCATTTGAATGATCGGCACGGAGTGTTGGATATGGGGTACCAATTGAGGGCGAAAGTCAACGATTGACCTATTGGCCCCGTCGGAGTTGCGGCCACTCAATTCCAACCTCCTTGTTGACTTCAATACGCGGATTTCATTTGTACCACGTGCCCAGCTAACCAACAATCAATCTAGCTATGATCCCCCCTACCGTCTACTACTCCAAGGTCGGCATTGAGCTCGGCAGACTGGTGTTCCGTGGCCAGAACATGGCTCCTCCGTAAGTCCGACTTCGTATTCGATGCTTTCGCCCCAATCTAACAAATCCTTCACAGCAACCTGGCTACCTTCCAGTCCTACTTCCAGCCCTTCATCACCAACCCTGCCGCTCTCAAGACCCTCCCCTCGCCCTCAACCATCCTTGCCCGTATCCGCAACGCCAGCCCCAAGCAGCTTGCCCTTGCCGGTGTCACCGCTGCTGAGGTCATTGGCTTCTTCACCGTTGGTGAGATGATCGGTCGCATGAACATTGTTGGTTACCGTGGCGAGGTTGCCCACGCGCACTAAATGGATGTGGATAGAAGAGAATCGTCCTTTCCTTTTTCCCTATGTTAATCTTCCTGCGCGCTGTGTATGATAGACGATGGAATTTAAACTGTTGTCTGAGATAGACCTTGTTTTTGCAATTCATTACCCGTGTTGTTTGTTCCATGAAAGCGTAAAAGCCATTGGTGTTGATGACGACTTGGCAATAGTACTCCGTACAAACCATAGTGTTCCAGGATGCTAGATCCCACCTACCTATTCTATTTTTTCCCCCTAGACTTCTTTGTAGTAATGTTCTGGCTTTCTAGGCTTCGATTCTAAGTCCAATTTCATACTCTATCTCTCTTATGCACGAACAATCCAGCCCTTGCAAATAGGTATCTTGTTATGTTTCTGGAGATCATGGCGTGCACAACGCTGATTGGCCCGGGAGCAAAGTCGGCGGACCACTTTTTTTTTCTTTGCGAAATATCAACGACGTTTTCGACTCAACCCCAAAAAGAATGGATGCCTTCAGATTGTTGACCCGGTCGTCTAAATTAAAGCCCGCCTCGGCTTCAGACTCTCGTCTGCCGTCAACTGGGAAGGCAGCCAATCCGCAGCTTTTCCGGACTGCGGAGACCGACCAGCTCGAGTCTGCCAAGCATGGCAAAAAAAGAAAGAGAGCCGTTGCCGCCCAACAGGATGAAGAAGATGTCCCTGATCTCGACTTTTTCAGTTCCAACAAGCGCTCTGCAGCAAGTGCGGCGGAAACCGCGGTTGTGACCGAAGGCGACGATGAGGAAGCCCCTGCAGATGCTGAATCAGATGATGATTCCATGGACGAAGTGCAGCGTCGCACAATCTTGAACTCACATATGATCAAGGTCACAGATATGCGCGACCTGGAAGAGATCCAGGCACAATCTACCACTACCAAGGAATCTAAAAAGAAGAAGTCAAAGACAGCAGAGGCGCCTGTTCTTAGTAAGAAAGAGCAAAAGCGTGCCAGACGCTTGTTCCCGCAGCCTCTGCTCAACTTCAAGGAGCTTCGGTCTAAATACAAGATCTCCTCGCGACTTGCAGAGAACGTTGCGGATCAAGGCTTTACAGTACCTACAGAGGTTCAACTTGGAACACTTCCCTTGCTCCTTGAAGAGACTTCTGAGCCAGATCTCTTGGTTGTTGCTCCCACCGGCAGTGGCAAGACTCTGTCTTTCTTGATTCCCGTGATCAACAAAATTGTTCGACACCACCACTCAAAGCCAGACGAGCACGGCATCTTATCTGTCGTTGTAGCCCCTACCAAGGAGCTTGCAAGCCAGATCGTCAATGAAGGCCGCAAGTTAGTGGCTGGAACTGGTGTTAAGATCACTTTGATGAGAAAGGGTATGCGCGTTGGAGATGATGGTGAAGCCAATGTCCTTGATGAGGACAGTGAAGCGTCATCTGGGTCGGAAGACGAAGATGCCAACAGCAAGCCAGCAAAGGAGCGAGCCAGCATTCCCGTCACTAAAAGTGATATTCTTGTCACTACACCCCTGATGTTGGTTAATGCTTTGTCTGCGAACCGCACAACTACTATGGCAACGTTACCTCTAGTGCGCAGTTTGGTTCTGGACGAAGCTGATGTCCTCCTGGATCCCTTGTTCCGGGAACAGACGCTTGACATTTGGAAATCATGCTCACACCCTGACTTGCGTGTTGGGCTCTGGTCAGCCACTATGGGGTCTAACATCGAGGACCTCACTAAGTCGACCATCAAAGAGCGACTGGAAGACCTTGGACAAAAGCCAAGCGAGCCACATGCACTGCTTCGTCTAGTTGTGGGGTTGAAAGACTCTGCAATTCCCAACATTGAGCACAAACTTGTGTACGCAGCAACAGAGCAGGGTAAGCTGCTTGGACTTCGCCAACTTCTTCGCCCCGCTGCAGCCTCAGCATCAGACATCCGCCTTCGCCCCCCCTTCCTCATTTTCACACAGACCATCCCCCGTGCGGTGGCCCTGCACTCCGAACTCAAATATGATATCCCCGCTGAAGCAGGCGGATCATCACGTATTGCCGTTCTCCACTCCGATCTCTCTGACGACCAGCGATCCGAAATCATGCGCGATTTCCGCAAAGGCGAGATCTGGATCCTGGTTACAACCGACCTGCTAGCTCGCGGTGTCGACTTCCGCGGCATCAACGGCGTCGTCAACTATGATATCCCCAACTCAGCAGCCGTGTACGTCCACCGCGTGGGACGAACCGGTCGTGCTGGTCGCGAGGGCGGTATCGCTGTTACCTACTACACCAAGGAAGACATTCCCTATGTCAAGAGCATTGCCAACATCATCGACGTCAGCGAGAAGCTGCGTGGAAAAGAAGGCGACAAGTCCATCCAGAAATGGCTGCTCGATGCTCTGCCAAATTTGAGCAAAAACAGCAAGAAAGACATGAAGAAGTACGGTGTCAAGGCGCGCCAGACCCCGAGACTGAATGATAAGGAAGAGGACGGCAAGGGTGCTCGTGGTATGAGGATTAGCACCAAGAGTGGCTTCGAGCGCCGCCTGGAAAATAACAAAAGGGGTGCTATTGCAGCCAGCCGCATCAGGAAGGCAGCTGCGGCAGCTGAAGGCAATACTAGCGATGCTGGTAGCTGGGCTGGATTGGATGATTAAATGCTCGAGTTTTCTGTACAGTATACTATTGGTACTATGTTATTCCCATAATCAATCATGATCATTTCATAAACACATCAAGTCATCCCACGGCTTAAATCCACATAAAAGATCTTTATATCGATCATGACTTCTGTCCCGCTCCCCCATCCGCTGTCGGCCTCTGGGCCTGACTCTGAGCCTGAGGAGCAGCTTGAGCAGGAGGCGGCGGTTTCTCTTGCACAACTCTCCTCACTAGCGTAACTGGCACAAAAGCACAATCCAACATATCTTGCTCTTCAAGGACGCGAGCAAGCTCATCACCATCACGATCAAAATAAAGCGCCCATTCACCCTCCTCTTCCTCAACCGCAATAAACGCCTTATTCCTCCCCTCAAGCGAAATGATTCTTTCCTGTTTACACCAGTCCCACGGCTCGACCACCTGCTCTACGCTCTGCGATCGATTGCCATATCGCAATTCATGCGTTTCTACATCCGCATAGATCCAATTTAGCAGAGGTGGGTCGTCTTGAACGTAGGTTGGGAGGCCGAGGCCGCGTTCCCGCTTGAGGTATTTCAATTCTTCTGGCTCTGGATATTCGATATAGAAAGCCAAGGCCGTGAAGGCTGGGGGATTGCGCTTAGAGGGATCTGAGTCGGCGAGGTAGACCTACGGAAGGAAATGTCAGTCTAATCTGCAATCTGGGCTCGAAGAGGAATGATAGTTCTTCTTCTCAATGCTAGATCCTTGGATTACTCTGACTTCGGTTTCCGTACCTTTTCATTCCTAACAACAACATTCATCCCATTTAACTCGCGGTCGTCATCTGTGTCCCCGTCGCATTCTGCTACGATATTGAACTTCACCATGCGGCGGGCATCTTCTTTGCGCTGGTTTGCTTTGCGCTGCTCGCTGGAAGCGAGGGATATACCTGTCACCGTCGGAATAGCGGTGATAGCTAGCATTCCAATCATTTTGTAGGTCTTTGGTGGGGTATGTGCTGGAAGGACTTTTGCAATGAACGGTCCGTGGGATCGAGGGCGAAGGAGTGAATAGTAGTCGGTAGAGGATGATGAAATATGCTATTAGATCGGAACCAATGCCATGGAATCTGTTTGGATATGATTTGGTCTCATATATCGGGCTGTAGGAATTTCAGGCTTGTATCCATGCGGCGTGTTGACTTGAATTCAGGTCTGTTGTCGCGTTAGGTCAACTTGCTTGGAGTGTTGGCAAAATTGGGGATTTGACTGACCCAACAGAACAGTATAATATCTGTTTCTTGTAAACTATGTAGAAAAGGCAGACAAGTCATTCTCCTAGACAGGATCTATAGACCCTGAAGAAGGCAGCATATGACAGAAGCAAGTAATCAAAATGGTGACACCGACGTCATCGCCACGTGATGGCCCTGTTGCTCCTCTTTTCAGTCGACCAACGATGTTGCTCCATCAAATTGATTTGATCGGAAAAAATGAAACCAATTAGTTTCTATCATTGAGAACTATCATGCGCTCGCGCCTTAAAAGGGATAGCGATCTACTGTATCCAACGATCTTTGATTTAGATGCATTGCTCAATAACCAAAATCTAGGAATCCCTCCTCTAATCTATCGTGTATCGTTCATTATTCGTCATTTCGTTTGGTCGCAATCCAATACGACCTGGGAATTCTGCCTTCACACCTTCTCGCTCCATCCCCAAATCGACCACCAGCACTTGACGGCCAGCGCGCCTCCGTCCGCGCTCTCCCAGTCATCATAGCCGATCTCCTCACCCTCCTCAATGATAGAAAGACCCAGCTCACCCATCCGCTGCCGGAACTCTTTCACCTGCGGCAGATATGCATCTCGCAGCGGCATCTCCGTTACGACTCGCGCATCAAGCCCATGGCTAAGCCAAGGCTTGATGGTATCCACCAACCATTTAGGGTGTTTGGGCGAGTACAAGGGATCCGCGGCGAGAATCACATCAAACCGCTCTTCCGCCGTTGGAAGGGGCGATGGCGAGACCGACCAGTCCAGTAGGCCGGTGGTCACGGTTGCCCCAGTCCTGGTCAGGAGTTCTACGTTCAGGGCAGCGTTGTGGGCGAGATTCGGGACGATCTCAGGCAAGTCGGTGAGGTGGATTGTGGCAGACTTGCCATGCAGAGCGGCAAAGGAGAGTCCAACCAAGCCTGTTCCGGCACCTAGTTCGAGTGCTCGCAGGGGTTTCTGGGGGTTGTATGTGGAGGGCCCGGTCGATGCCGAGGGAACGAGTGCTGGCGGTGATTCGAGGTTGTGGAGCCGGCGTGAGAGAAGGTACGAAGATACCCAAGTCTTCATACCAAGATTGTCGGCCGTGAGCGAGGGTTCGTGAAGAGTCAGTGTGTATTCTTCGCCGGACGAGGTGGGAATGTTGAAGATTCGTGACATTGCTGGCATCGCTGGTGGCAAATGAGTCATGATCAGCGTTGAGGAAAAACAATGCGAAATTGATGGAAGAGAGCTTACCGGTTCGACCAGACCGTTCACTGAGTCGTGCGGCGGCTGAATCCCAGATCGCCTCCCGGAGTTCGTCGGTATCGAGCCATGAGAGCGGGCTCGCAATGATAGATGTGAGATACCGAGTCACCCCTGCAGGCTGGACGGCGGGGCCTTTGACGACATCAGCGGTCGTGCCAAATGTGCGAGGCTTCAGACTTAGAAGAGCCAAGGCTTTCACGAGCTCTGTCCCGGAGGGCTTCTGGTAGAGCTGGGGGAGGTCAAGCACTGCGCTTATCAGTTCCAATTCGAGGTTATCTTTTGTGGACCGACTGGATCAGAGGGGTTATGAACTAACCATGGAGTGGTTCGTCTGTGGCACTGATCATGATGATAAATGTTAGGCTGTCTTCCAAGTGGTTTCTAAGAGATATGCAAAAACAGATTCGCCTTATAACTGGGAGAATCGGAGGAAATGTGGCGGAGAAAAAGAAAATATTCCCAAAGAGGAAAGGCTGGCGCTGTGGTTCCGCGGATCGACTATTGCCTAAATTCTAAGGCATCAACATCTTCTATACAACCCGAGAAGGATTCTGGTTTGCTTGGAGCTTTGTGGGAAAGGTGAGTATCGTAGATTAACCAAGACCAACTAGAGTGGGTATAATCTTTTAGGGAACATGATGTAGGAAAACAAATGGTATCTTTACTCCAATTGAACGCCTTGCAGATGCACAAGAAAGCCATTTCTCGAATCAATTCAATGTCGCTTTGAAGCCTTGATAAGCCTGTTCGATATCGAATGCAAGCTCACGCGCTTGATCCTCACTCAATTCTTCGGTGGCTCGCATCTGGTTCAATGCGATCAACCACTGAATGATCTTGCCGCGGTCTTCGAAATCGCTATCTGTCACTTTGTTCACAGACTGGATCACCTCCGACAATAGCGGATGTAATGCATCCTTTGATACCATGTTGAGTTTCAATGCATCGAGGAAGGTGATGAAGTTCTCCGTTGCCGCCAAAATCAGACTGCCCGAGGCACCGCCAACCGGCCCTGTCGCCGCTGTGCCTATACTAGGGGTTGGTGCACCGTGGGAAGCTTGCTCAACTGTTGCAGGAAGACCAATGCGCAATCTCTCTGTGGCTCGTGGGCATTCTAACTGTGTTGTTTCACTCGACGTTAGAGATGCCTAGGCATTTGCGGGGTAAAGTGGAAAGGAACACTTACCCCCCATGTCCGCTTGAAGGTTTCCAGGTCCACAAACTCTCGCGATACTGTTTCATCGCCAAGACTGGACTTATACTGCTTCAAAAGCCGTATGCAGGTCTCGGTATATTCCACCTCAGTAACCACGTCCTTAATGTATGCCTTCTCAAGTCCATCAAGAGTGACAATTATGCTATAAATTTCTGCTAGTGATTCGTATAGATCGCGTTCGACCGAGCTAGATGCCAGTTTGACTTCCTAAAATAAGTAACATCAGTTGATTTGACTATTAATGCGGAGACAAGCATCATACTTCATCAAGGTTGATGGACGCCGAGCGGGCGGGATTTGGTGTGTAGCTGTAGGGGGTTGGCGCATAAGAAAGTGGGCGTTGTGAGTACATGGTGGGCAATAGTCGCTATGTACAATAATCGTCAGTCGTTCATGAGTTCAATGGTGTCTTCTCCAGATGTAGTTGGAGCTTGTAGATTGGACGTTATCGCCCGAGGCCAAAGGCGGTCTGAAAGGCGGACCCGCCGATTTTCTCCCCAAATTTTTTTTTGAACAGCGATTTCCCGACCAAAGATACAACTTGCAGACTCTTTTCTGCAGAACTATCTCAAAATGGCCGGAGCCAAGAAGTCTACTAAGAAGTTCGAGAAGAACCATCTTCAAGATGTCATTGAGAGACGCAAGGCGAATGCCAAAATTAAGCAGAGACACCACCTGAACGACAAGCGCAAGGAAAAAAGTGCTGCTCGACGCGCCGAAGCCGAAGCCGAAGCCGAGAAGAACCCTGAAGAATTGAAGAAGCAAAATGCCTTCGCCGAAATGAACGTCGACGACTTCTTTGCCGGCGGCTTCGACATTCCCGAAGAGAAGGGAAAGAAAGCCAGCAAGAAGGATACTACCCCCAAGATCGGCAAGCGCAAGCGCTCAGAAGACAAGGCACAGGCTGAAGCTGAGGCCTCCGAAGGCGACAATGATGAAGATGATGCCGACAGCGTTGATGCCTACGACGAGCACAAGGATCAGTTGGAGTCATTGAAGGAAAAGGACCCCGAGTTCTACAAATATTTGAAGGAGAACGATGCAGAGCTGCTCGATTTCGGCGATCAAGGCGATCTGTCAGAGGTTGATGCTTTGAGCGAAAGCGAAGAACCCGAAGATGAGGAGCCCGCCAAGAAGAAGAAGAAGAAGTCCAAGAAGGAGGAAGAGGAGCCCGAGGATGAGACCTTGACCATTGCGATGGTTAAGAAGTGGCAGAAGTTGATGGAGGAACAAAACTCAATCCGAGCTATGCGCCAGGTTGTACTCGCTTTCCGCGCCGCCGCATATGTCAACGACCCCGATGCCCCCGAGCAGAAGTACACCATCTCCGATAAGAATGTGTACCACCAGGTTCTTGTCACGGCCCTCAACACTGTTCCCAAGGTTCTTGCCCACCATCTTCCCGTCAAGGAGAGCGCTTCCGGCAAGATCAGAGTGTCATTGGATTCGAAGAAGTTCAAGACCCTTACGCCTCTGATCAAATCGCACACTGCCTCCGTTCACCAGCTTCTGATCAACTTGTCCGATGCATCCACACTTAAGTTGACCCTTGCGTCAATTGAGCCCATGCTGCCATACCTGCTCCAGTTCCGCAAAGTGCTGAAGACACTCGTTAAGATCGTTGTCGGAATTTGGGCCGACGTTTCCACGGCCGATGCTACTCGTATCACAGGTTTCTTGATTCTGCGCCGCCTTATGGTTCTGGGAGATGCTGGTATCAAGGAGACTGTCCTCAAGGCCACCTATGAGGGCGTTGTCAAGGGCAGCCGCAACACAACAGTGCACACACTTGCAGGCGTGAACTTGATGAAGAACTCTGCGGCCGAGATTTGGGGCATTGACCAGAACGTCTCATACACAGCCGGATTCTCCTTCATCCGTCAGCTGGCCATGCACCTGCGCAAGAGCATCACCAACACCTCAAAGGAGTCCTACAAGACCATCTACAACTGGCAATACGTGCACTCGCTGGACTTCTGGTCCCGAGTGCTTTCACAGCACTGCGATGGCCTCGTCGAGGCTCAAGCCGGCAAGCAGTCCGCTCTGCGTCCCCTTATCTACCCCGTTGTACAAATCACCCTGGGTGCCATGCGCCTCATCCCAACCGCCACGTACTTCCCCCTGCGCTTCCAAATGACGCGCTCCCTGCTCCGCATCTCCCGCGCCACGGGCACCTATATCCCGCTCTCAGCTTCCCTCCTTGAGGTCCTTACCTCTGCTGAGATGCGCAAGCACCCCAAATCTAGCACCCTCAAGCCTCTGGACTTCAACACAGCAATCCGCGCCCCGAAATCCTACCTACGCTCGCGCACCTACCAGGACGGCATTGGTGAGCAGGTCGCCGAGCTCCTCTCCGAGTTCTTTGTCCTGTGGTCCAAGCACATTGCATTCCCGGAACTGTCCGTTCCCGTCATTGTCTCCCTGAAGCGCTGGTTGAAGCAGGTCTCTGCCCGCAGCGGTGGAAACAAGAATGCCAAGGTTAACCAGATGATCCTGCTGCTCGTGCAGAAGGTTGAGGCCAATGCCCGCTGGATCGAGGAGCGCCGTATGAATGTCTCTTATACCCCCCGAAACCGCTCTGAAGTCGAGACCTTCCTCAAGGATGTTGACTGGGAGACTACTCCCGTCGGTGCGTTCGTCAAGACACAGCGCAAGCTGCGTGAGGAGCGTGCTGCGGTCCTTGAAGAAGGCCGTCGCGAGGAGGAGAAGCGAAGATTGGAGGCGAAGAAGAACGGTGGTGATGATGAAGCTATGGGTGGCGTTTCTGGCAGTGAAGAGGGCAGCGAGGATGAAGATGAGGAGGAATTGGAGAGCGAGGAGGAGATTGAGAGTGAAGATGAGATGGAGATGGAGGACGAGTAAATTCCTCCTTTTTTTTAATTTGTATATCTCCTTGTCCATGTCCACGTCCCATCTACTCTACACGGTTATTGCATATGTCTACTTTCAATGTTGTTTACCAGGATACACTTTGGGTAGTTAGTCCTACAAAAGAATCATTTATCTCAACAAAGTTCATGATCATCATTGGTCTCGTAATTAAGCACTCTATAATCTAAACAATTTCCGAAATCAATCAACGAGCAAAAAGGGGGTATTTTAAAAAATGACCATCTAAACAGCCCCAACAGGGCCACGCTCCTGCGCCCAAGACCTAGCCCTATCCCTCCGCAAAGCAGCATCCTCCTCCTCAGCCCACGCCAAAGACTCACTAGGCAACATAATAGCCTTGTCGATAGCAACCGGCAAACCACGATGCCTACCACGTAAACAAACAGCAGCAAGAATCAACTTGCTAATAGTATGCCACGCACCACAGAACGAGTAGTTCTTCCCGGGGAACCCAAGACTGACACCGACACACCCGTAGGCAGAAACAACCTCAAAGATGATATTGAATGTCGAGAACGCCACAGGCTGAGATTCATAGTGGTCCGACTCAGCGATGGCGATGAAGAACACCGCCAGCGCTATCCACCACAGATCATGGCTAAGCTGGGAGCGGAGCTGCTGGTGGACGAAGTAACCGCGTGAAGTCTCTGAGGGGCCTGGACGGCCGAGGTGGTTGCGGATGAGATCCATTGCTACGTTAATGCGGCTGGTGTTTGCTGGAGAATCAGAGGTTTCATCGTGCGCGTAGATTCCTAGCGAACGCTCCTCGTAGACATTTGTGTTGCTATGCGATTGTTAGATTTGAGGCTTTCTTGGGTGTGAGTTCATGCTGTACTTGGTACTTACCGCATAGTGAGCGTTACTGGGTACGCAGAGACGTACTGGGTGAGTTGTTAGTTCGGGGTTCACTATACTTTCTCGGAGACTTGAACTTTCTTACCATCATGAGCACTAGACATTCTCTTAGCATGAGGATATTTCAGTTTGGGAAAGATACTAGAAGCGCTTACCATAAAGAACCAAAAGTCCTTGGCGAAGATCGGCGATTGTGACAACGTAGAAACCACCAGCGCGTACCGCTTTACTCGAGATGATTTGTTAGCTCAATTCAAGAGAATGATCCTGATATTCGTTGACAAACCTAAGGCTTGAAACAGTCCGTCCAATACGCGATATCCAGTTGGGAGGCTCTCGATATCCTCGTTTCCAATTGATAGAAGTTCGAATGCTGCCCAGTCGATGCCATTCAGAATGATGATGGTGCCGAGTAGGTACCACGTATGGCGAGCAGGGAAGAGATTGGTGTAGACCTATATCCATGATGAGCGTCTATATTCTGTAAGTTGTTATAGTATTGCAATTTGACTCACCCTTCGGGGATGCTGCAGGATGAAATCGAGGGTTATGCGCCATGACTGCCATTTCGGTCGGTCCGGAAGCATGATCCTCATAGTCCAGATGATGAACCGCAGGAAACATGGGAACAGAGTATTTCCAGCCAGAATGAGCAATCCCATTGTAATAAGTGGATAAGCGCTGCGGAAAGTCAGCATGATGGAGTATCAAATGTCAGGGTTTCGGCCACCTACTTCAATTGCAAAGCAGTCATGTTAGCATCGAGAAGCGACATGCCACTGTTCACAAAAGCCGAAACAGCGAAGAAAGCCCCTGTCCAGAAAGGCGAAAGGCCGTTCGTGCGGGTTACGGCGGGATCATTGACCTCCAGCCAGCCACCGACACCGATCATACCGAAGAGAATAAACAAGATAAAGTAAAGGAACACGATCACGGACAGGAACGAAACAGCCTTGTACTCTACACCACCCAGTTCCTCGCGCTCGGCCGCAGTGAGGTCGTGGAACTGGGAGTTGCGGGAGACCAGCCCCTTTGAGGCCATGTACTTCTGTGTGCCGCGGAGAATACTCTTGAAGCCAGACACCGAGTCTTCTTCAAACGGCGGCACATTCGGCGCTGCGTCACGAGGATGATTATTGAGATCCGGTCTCGCCCCAATGCCGGCCATTGGGAAGACTCGGTGCTGGTGAAGGCGGGGGGAAGTGCCGCCCACGGTTATTTGATCATCATCAACCCATGTATGTTCTGGACGGCATGATGGTTCTCCCGAGGCTTCCTTGACCAGTACGGATGTTTTTGGGCGTGGTTTACAGCCCTGTCCTTCCGGGATTTCTGTCAGAACATCAGTCCCCGTGCTTCCCTGGGCGGGTTCCTGGTCCGCAGGCTGTAGTTCAATCTCAACAGCCGAGGTGCGACGAGTAGAGCGCTCTCTTTCGCGCTCATCGGAGACACCCTTGAACTTTGCCTCAAAGGCCCTCTTGCGTACTAGGAGTACCGTGAGGGAGATGAGAATGGCATGACCCAGGATAAGCAGCGAGAATAACACTGCTTGCTGGAAGGTGTTCAAAGTCGACAGATCCACCTGATGATCGGATCATTAGCTCTGTTCAAATATAGCCATTGATGGGTTCCAAGTCCTACCGTATTCAGCCCAGCACCGGTCATAGCGCTGACGCACATGAAAATTGCATCCACATAAGCGACGCTGCGCCATGGCGTGGATGTTAAATAGAAAATGACACTGGTGATGATACACGTAGCGATGAAATAAAAATAGTGTAGCGTCAGGAAGTTCAACGGCGGGAGCACCGCTGATATGATGCTCCCGGTCTTCCGTTGCCACTTACGAGCTGTATAAGTAGCGAATTAGCGAGATTTGTGCGATTTGCAAGAAGTCCCCGCGCACATACAAGTTACTGAGGCTTGCATCGTCATTTGCTTGAGCAGTAGCAAACTGCCCGGATAAATCGCAGATAATGTATCCCCGTTCAGGCGTTGGCGATGTAATGATGAGGCTAATTTTGATGGCAGGGTTTTCACCAAAACACACACGCCCCAGAGAGGCCAATCCGACCTCCAATGGCAATTTGGTGGGGGGGGGGATTAGTTCATTTTAATTGTGTGTTTGAGGTAAAAACAAGAGAGGCGCAAATCTTCAATGGCTGAACGGCTAGGCCGGTTTGAGGTTCAGGAATTTTCTTGTCGCGAGTCACATACCAAGGGGGAATGTGGCTAGGTAGAGAGATCAATCTGCAAGGTCGATCATCGCTTATCAACAGAACAGTGAGAATCGAAAAAACAAAGCCTTGGTCTCAAGAGGAAAAGAAAAGAGAAAAGACAGGAAAACACGGTGAGCGGTCAAATTAACCCCGGCCATAGGGCTGAAGGTACTGTATACTAAACAAGAACTCCCTCGGCCCCTGTACCTGGCTAATTATCCGAGGTCTTCATATAAAAACATAGGATCTGAATCTGATCTATCTAATGTAGTAGTTCTAGCTGAATTCACCAGACTCGACCTTGGTCATTCTATACCAAGCTTTGTGAATCATCCCGCACCCAATGCCCACTCTTCCCGCCCTTTTTCTCCAACAGCCTCACCGAACCAATGACCATCCCTTTATCCACAGCCTTGAGCATGTCATAGATCGTCAATGCTGCTCCTATGGTAGCCGTCATGGCCTCCATTTCAACGCCCGTGCGGCCAAAACAGCTGACCGACGCCACGACATGCATGGCACCGTGATCGCTCTTCGAAATAGGCCCGATCAGATCCACACTGACCTCGACCCCAGTGATACCGATGCCCGGGTGACAAAGAGGTACGAGGTCCGGCGTCCGCTTTGCCGCCATGATACCTGCGATCCGGGCAACGCTGAATACGTCACCTTTGTGGGTGCCTTGGCCTTCGCGAAGGATTTCCCAGGGTCGTCCGTTCGAGAAGGAGACTGTGCAGGCGGCTGTGGCAAGTCGCTTGGTCTCCGGTTTTTCGGTGATCTGTGTCATGTGCACAGTCTTGGAAGGTGTAAGATGGGGGAGGTCGGCATCTGAAGTGGTAGGTAAAGAGGGAGATGGGCGAGGGTGAGAGTCCTCGGTCTCAGGCTGGGAACGCCCATTGTGGTAGAGGCGCACTGGGGAAGCAACAGGGAGATTTGAAAGCATGTGTACGGGTATCTTTGACCAAGGGCGAGTTCCCGGCCTCAGTGGATTGGGTATATTATCTAGTCCATCTATCAGCATGATGATTCAATGAATAATGTCCAATACATGATTTGTGTGTACATGTCATCAAGCAAAGCTCGCCAATCCCAAACAAATTTAACAAATGGCCATCCAAGATGAGTTATAAGTCATAAAACGTTTCCAATCATGAAAAAAAGGACATGGCTACCCACCAATCAAAATCATGGGCCGGTTCTTCATGTCCTTCAACTGTGCCATGCCAGCGTGTTTGGCCTTCTTCCGTTTCACGGCCATGCCGATGACATCGAGAAGCTCCCGCTCTCGCTCATTTACCAACCCGTCCTCGTCATGAAGACGGGCCGCCGTCTGTACTGTTTCCAACAGCTGCAAATTGTTCATTGCTTCCACATCGATTGGACTCCCACCATTTTCCTTGCGGATGATATCCCGTAAGGACACCTCGGAGTTACCGAACAAGCAGACTTTGAGATTCCCATCGCTAGTGATGCGGAGCCGGTTGCAGGTACCACAAAAGTTGTGTGTCATGCTTGTGATGAAACCCACACGACCTTCAAACCCAGGCACACAGTACGTCTTGCTCGTGTCGTTCTTGTGATCGGCGACTTTTTCGAAAGACGGATATCGCTCGCGAATGACAGCCAACATCTCTTGATACGAGAACATCTTTCCCTGATTCCATTTGTTTCCACCGAAAGGCATATACTCGATGAAGCGCACTTCAATCGGCTTCTCACGGCCTAATTCCACAAACGGGAGGATCTCCCGTTCGTTCATTCCCCTCATAACGACGCAATTGATCTTCAGCTTGATCCCCGCACCGACCTTGTTCATTTCCAGAATCCGGTCGATGCTCTTCATCACAGCCTCGAAACCTTTGCGTCTCGTCATGATCTGGAACTGGAACGGATCTAACGTGTCAAGACTCAGGTTGACTCCCGTCAGTCCGGCTTCCACCATCGGATCCAGTTTTCGATGTAACGAGATTCCATTGGTCGTGAGACATAGCTCTCGAAGCCCATTCGGTCGCAACTTGCCAATATCCTGCATCAACGGTACAATGTCTTTTCGGACCGTTGGTTCCCCGCCCGTTAACCGGATCTTAGTCACACCTTGGGAGACGAATAACGAGGACAGATAAAGGATCTCCGGGGATGTGAGCAGCTTTGCCGAGGGCGAGAGATCTATGCCCTCTTCAGGCATGCAATATAAGCACCGAAGATTGCATCGCTCGGTGACACTAATGCGGAGATAGTCATGTTGACGATGAAAGGTATCGGTGAGGAACTCGGAGAAGGGCTTCGCAGACTTGAGGGTTGATAACCTGGATGTTTCCGTCGAGCGATGAGAAGGAGGTAATTCAGGGGATGTGGTGACAGTGGCGTTCGGTGTTGATGCAGCGTGAGTGCTCTGGGGCCGAGTCTGTAGTGCTACTCGTCCCCAGGACTTGCGAGCGATCCTGGGGCAAGAAAAGATCCGCTTGCACAAAGCAGCCATCATAAAGGGTGTTTAGGGAACAAAGTACGGCATATTGGGGGGCGATTATATCCAAGGAGTCCTCCGCGGAGGAATGAGGGGAAATGTCTCTTATCGCGATGTCTCTCGGCGGGCTCCGTGCTGAGTCACGATATCTCAGGCCTCCCGAGGTCGGGACCCCGTTGGGGTTGCGGACTTGTCGCGAACTTGCATTTTCCTTTGGTGAAATACTTTGGTCAACTATATGACTACCTTCTCTATAACGCTGGTAACAACTTCTGCACTCGTTTCACAAGGCTCTTCTCGAACTGTTCCACCCCATTCTTCTGCTCGTTTATCTTGCCTTGTTTGACCACATAAACCGACCGACGCCTGGGCGTTTCTTCGGTTTCTTCCTCCTGTAATCCCTCGAAATTCTCATCAAGTTTGTGATCGGTGTCTCGTTTGCCCTCGATTACAGACCGAACAAGGAACCGGTCATGTGAAATCAGAAGCACAGCGCCATTGAACGATGAGAGAGCCGTAGCTAATGCAGTGACAGTGTGGAAGTCCAAATGCGTGGTGATTTCATCAAGAATGAGAAGCTGCGGTGCGCTCCAGACAATCCGAGCCAACGCAAGGCGGACCTATATATGACAATATTAGCCTGTTTCAAACATTTCATGTTGATCTTTGTTGTGCTCCTCACCAATTGTCCACCTGATAGTTTGGAGATGGGGACATCAGATACAGTGCGACCTGCTAGCCCCATTGAAGCAAGTAGACCTCTGATAGCACCCTCATTCAAGGATCCCTCGGTCTCAGCCGTCAACAAGCCCAGCGCGGTCAGACTAGGCTCGCCTCGGCCTTTTTCTTGCAGCTCTTCCACCGAATGCTGGCTATAGTAGCCCATTTTCAGCCGGGAATGAGTTGACACCTTACCCTTGGAAGGAGATACCTGCCCCGTCAGCACGCGGAGCAAAGTGGTTTTCCCCGATCCGTTGAGACCCATGATTCCGACACGATCACCCAGGTGAACTACCAAATTCACGTTGTCCAAGATGATGCGATCGGATTTCTTATACTGGAAGGCAATTCCTTCGAGCGAAACCAGCGGTCCAGGGAACCGTAACTCCGTTGCATCAGGCAAACTCATAGTCGCGCCCTTCTCATCCGTCGGAACATCGATCTCAGACCGATTATGGAGATGCCATCCGACCAGATCACGGTTCAGCTTGAATCGCCCCCCGGTCGCGCTGACTTGAAGACCCATCCGATCATCAACCTTCTTCTGTCGTGACTTGGCCTGTCGCATTTTATTTTCGTCGTTAGTCTTCTTTCCGATCTTCATGTTCTCCCGGATACTGGCTTCCATATGAGCAACCTGTCGCTCCTGGGCCTCCTTCATCCGTCCTAGGTAGAGCTTCTGTGCCTCGAAATCTTCCTCGTATGCAGATAGATTTCCCTTGAAATATGTCAGTTTCTGATCTCGAAGGATCACAATCTCTTCGCAGACAGCATTGATGAAATCTCTGTCATGTGAAACCAAAACGATGGTTGTCTCTGATGTTTCTCGAAGCTGTTTCAGATAGCTTTCTAGCCATACTACTCCTAGAAGATCCAGATAGTTGGTTGGCTCGTCAAGTATCATGATGTCAGGGTCTTGGACCAAAACGCTGGCTAGCATGCATCGCATACGCCAGCCACCCGAGAGCGTGGAGATTTTCTTCTCGAACCCATCTTCGTTGAAACCGAGACCAATGAGAATCTGACGGGCTTGCTGCTCCATGTCCACAAGTTTCATCTTGTTCCACGTTAGCAAAATGAATGGACGATCACTGTATAAGGACCTACATCTTCAAGTTGCGATTGAAGATTTTGTAACATCTCAACAGCAGCTTGGGTATCTGACTGGACTGCCTCCGGGTCGATTGCATCTACACCCTGGGCCAGCCTGGCGAAAGTTAGCTACGGTTCCTCATGCAAATGAATTCATTCTTACAGTTCTGATGCAGCTTCGAGTTTTCCTTCAGCAGCTTTCAAGTCCTTTCTCGCTTGTAGACCCCGGGCGCCACTCTTCAGACTTGCATTCTTATGTGCTAGGAACAGATGCTTTTCTGCTTTCTGATGTCGGATCTTTCGAATCGCTCGCACAGGCTGCATCGGATCCTCGGTGTCGAAACTTTTTGATAGAACTTGGAAAACGGTCAACCAAGTACATTGTCAATTAGACAGACATACTCACAGTCCGCCATGCGAACAGTTTCATTTCTAGTTTCATCACTGGTGAGAACGGTTTCCAAAACAGACTTGTCCTGGTTAAGATCGAGTCCATATATGTTGTCATCTTGGTCGTCTGTTTGCTGCAAAATTGCAATGCGAGTTGGGTGTGGGATGCCCGGGATGAGTTTCTGGGCCATTGCTCGAAGGAGTGCTGGAGAAATCAATACACAGGGCTTTCCGGAATGTGGCTTGTGAAGATCTCACTTGACTTCCCGGTCCCATTACGACCTAGTAGTCCATAGTGTACGCCTGCCTTAAGTCGAAGGTGGCCATCTGAGATGAGCTCTTTCCCTGCGGCCTTGGCCTTTGATTTGCCCTTGATCTTTGATTTCGCATTTTCCGTGGTATCAGGCGCAGATGATGTGACTATGATGTTGAGTCCATCTACATCAACCTATCAATAGATCGACTCTCAGTCTTCGTGTTCATAGAACCATTTCCAGATTGGTGCAGCTATCCATACCTCCTTCGAAGGATTATCATCTAGTAGGTGAAATCCTGTCTGCTTGCACGTTGCCAGAATTGACGGGGCGGATGTCATGACTTCTGCGAGTATGATGGAGTGTTTGAATATCAATTTCTTCTTTCTCCTTTCTTGAGCTCCAGGTGTTGTTAAAAGGCAACCCCCAAGCGACAGATCTGAAATAGTTCGGATCCGATCGTTTTAAATATCCAGCAGCTCTAGCACTCAAATCCAGTTTAATAACGTGATCCACACCGTTATAGGCCCATTGAACCTCTGAATCATCGAATCAACCGTACAAAGTGTATGAACTAGAAGTCGCTGGACGATCTTTCCCAGGTCGGGGTCCGAAACAGGAATAGCTCGGTGCCTGAGGCAGCTCCTGTCATCCTGCATTGAGCGCCCGCGAGACAGGCCACTCGATGAAGCATTTGCCCTCGAATGTCACTCGAGTTGTATGGTAGAAATTGTTAAGCCACGCATTGTGAGAAGTACGGTCCCACTTTGAGTCATAATTCTTGGCTTCTTGCATATTCCAATCAGATGAACCAACTAATATATACATCACATACACACGATATATAGTTAGTTACATCTCTGTCTACGTTGAATATCAGCACATCACACCACCATGATGTACTTCCTACAACCAGGCTTTATCGGAGGGCGGGAATGAAAGTTGATATGTAATCAACCAGGATCAGATGTAGAAGTTTTGATTTTAGAGAATTCTACAATGGAAGAAAACCGAATTCTCGTATCAATAATGAGATGTGGTGTTGAGCGCTGTTCATTGAATTTCTCCTCAATTGGACAGTAGGGTTGAGATTTATTTGCTAAAATCGAATTATATCGAATGGAACATAGCTCCGCCTAGGGGCTGAGTATAGTAAATTGTAGTCAAGGCGTTTGTTAATATATGTTGTACTCGCGAATATGCCTGTATGGATATCAAGGCAGCTATCTGTCTGCAATAACCAAAGAGTATTCAATGCCAGCCTTTGTCAATGTAGCAAAAAAGACGCATATGTATATATAATTTTCGCATACCTTTGCCAAATAACATATCAAGGATCCCAATATCGTGCCCTTAATTTGGTCACCGAGGCACCCGCCACCTGGGGTGATGTAATGCCGAGTCTAAGAGGCTGATAGGTCGAAAAGATTACGGAGTAGAGATTCCGTTTTCTCGACAACGGTTAGTAAGTATCATGCCCACGTGCATGTACCGAATCGACAGGGTGAGTTCTGGAGAGTCGATAGAGATCGAGCCGTGCCCTAGATCCACCGATCGAAACTCGGAACGGTTTGATGAAGGATCCCCACAAGAGCCGCACTCACAGAAAATTTGGAAACCCGGGTCCATTCGCCCCAAACCCAGCATATTATCGGTTATGTATGGGCATAATCCACATTGTTGAACTGCTGTAGACATTTTCGGTGTCTATTTAAAGCATGAGAATATCATTAAGATTTTGTGCCTAGGTGGCATTGAGACGGATAATTAACTCAGCCTCGTGTTTGGATGCAGAATACTGACACGAGTACGGAGTACGGAGTAGCAATGACCGTAGCCCGCATCGGCTGTACCATCGATGTAGTGGACCTTGGCAACAAAAAAAGGGCCGCCTCAAAGTCAAGAGACTTAGAGCAAAGTCCGTGGGTTGAAAAAGCGGGTATGACCTCTAAGATTGCTCCGCTATGTTTGTTATGTATGTTGAGTAAAGGTGTTCTAGGGCGACACGTCTAGACCAAATTGCGGAACAAACCATCACTAGGATCAGCCATTTGAAAAAGCGAAGATATTAGCGCTCTATAAGGTCGGACAAGCTAGCCCTTTACGGAATGGTTTCATCAAAGTCGGCCGACGATGCCTTTGTTGCCGACTCGCTTCGATTCCAGAAAACCTAATCGCAAGTTGGAAACCCTCGGACGCATGAGATAACAGTCCGCAAACTTACCGTTGCAATCGATTTGCCGCGATTTAGCCAATACAGGAGGCCAGTGTTAGCCGTGCATGGCCTGGCTAGACGCCGACGTACGTGCATCCTGGGAGTGATGAAATAAACTCTTCCCATGGTTAACCCGTACATGTAGAAGGCCAAGTTAGAAAAACTGCACCCTTGATCACAGTGTGTGTACAATGCACGGAGTATGGAGTATCTGTATCTACCTACCTACATGTATACATGTACATATGTTAAGGTGGTATGAGCAGATAGGAATTCTTAGCAGGGGTTCGACAATCTTGCGGTGCATATGTATTCATGCTGTATGTACTCCGTATTCGTATAATGCTAGGAGACAGGCGTCCAAAGAATTCTGCAGCCTATTCGATATCATGTCCGAGTCGCTCAAAATAGTTGGCTCAGCCCCAGAAGCCGCTAAGTGCAGTGATCGCCTTTAGTCTGTACCAGGCTGGTAGGTTATTTGCTCGGAGTCCTAACGGTGATATCTGAATATCCGGGGGTCTGTATGTTGTATATGATTATTCGCGCATATTTGTAGTTGGAATGTGGTGTCAAGGCAATCTGCGATAAACAGAGACATGGCACAGCCACCTGCGTCATGAAGGGAGATGTACCAAAAGGTACTTCCAGGCACAATCTCATGACAATACGTGTAACTCCGAGCCCTAACTTCCCGAGGTCGTTTTCCGAAGGCCAATGGAATCGGATAGTTCCTGCCCAGAGATCGGCCCACTTCCAAGGCTTGGAGTAGCGCTACCTAAAGTATCGGAGTACATACTGTACATACTGTACATGGAGTGAATGTCATGAATGTTAGTGACACTCCACCGCTTGGATAATTGAGACTCTCACAATGGTAGCACCCACATGACGATATGTATAGCGAAATATATGTAAGCGAAGGAGTCCGCACATCCATGAAACCTGGGAAGGCACTTGTAGCTGTTTGATCGGACATTGAAATTTGAAACATGGAGTGTATCAAGCGATACGGTATGGTAATCAAAGCCCCATCGAGTGGCGATGCAGCCAATGGCGGGATCGCATTCCTGGGGCCCCGCTGAGTCAGAAAGGACGCGCAAGCCCCGTTGCTATTCCGGAACACTCGTCTCCTTCCCCTGTTCCCTTGGTTCTCTTTTCCCTCTTGTCCATCTAGATCCGAATCCATATTCCATTAGACCTTCGTTTTTCACTTCATTATTATCATTACATTTCCCTCTTTTTGATCTCTCGTTCATCTATTATCATACTGCTTACACACCACGTATATTTAAAACATAAGCCTATCCCTAAACAGTCGGGGGGACAGGCTTCACATCAACATGGCGACTCTCGCAGAACATCCCATGCAAACGGCACCGGCCAATTACGATCAGGATCTCGACTCATTTATCAACTTCGACCAACTCACCTACACTACCGACCCCTCCAGATCAAAGATCACCATGACAAGTCAACCGTCGGTCGCAAGCACCGAGTTCAGTGCCAGCGATGCTCGCAGTGCTAGCTTCGCCTCAAGTGGCCAGTCCCCTCTCGCTTTCCAGGCCCCAAGCCACCAATACGATGAGCATAGACAGCAGACTGGTCTCCCACCCGGTGCTTTGTCCATGTCCTACAACCAGGTCCCGATGGGTTTCAACAACAGCCAGGGATTCCCCGTGAATGCTGAGGTGTATGCTGGTCATCACATGAAGCGAGAGGATGCACAATTCAACTTCAACACCGCACCGGTCCGGAACCCGTCGGAAATGGAGATCGAGCCCGAACAAATGAACGCCTCGCCTTATTTCTACCCAGCAAACCCAGGAAACAAGAGCCAATATGTCGACCCCAACGCTCTGGGAGGCCATGAGCTGTCCCAGGCTGGTCCGTCCACGCAAGTTGGTCGTATGTATCCTGGTATGCATCAGCAGCAGGCTGCTATGGCCAAAGCCCAACAACAGAAGCAGAATGAGATGGTCCGCCATCAGATACAGCAGCGTCCGGATCAAGTGTCCGGTGCTGTGCCCCAGACACGCGGTCCCCGCAACCCAGATCCCGTGGTAGAGGAGCGTATCTCTCGCCTACTCCAACAGATGCGACAAAATGCCATGGCCAATGGCGAGGGCTCCCCCAGCCCCTCAAACGGTATGCCACAAATGGCCAAGGCCCGCAAGGACGAGGCCGATATGGATGAAGATGAGCGTCTCCTCGCTAGCGAAGAGGGCAAGAAGCTCAGCAGCAAAGAGCGCCGCCAATTGCGAAACAAGGTCTCCGCCCGCGCTTTCCGATCTCGCCGCAAGGGTATGATTTTATTCACATTTGGATATGAAAAGCGTTTCTCTTATGCTAATGATATTATTAGAATACATCGGTCAGCTCGAAAGCGAGGTGGCTGCCAGAACCAACGAGGCTCACGAGGTCCGTCTCCAGAACCGCGCTCTTTACGAAGAAAATGCCCGTTTGAACGACTTGGCCCGCATGCTTCTGGGATCCCCTCATTTCTCCAACTTTCTGAATGACATGGGTGACATTATGCCCGCCCAATCCCAACAGCAACCTCAGCCTCAATCTCAGCAACAACAACCCCAGCAGGCCGTACCCCAGCCTAATATGCAGGCTATGCCCAAGGATCTCAACGCAAACCGTGGCCAGGAGTTCCAGATGCAGCAGAATCCCCAACCCAACATGGTTATGGTTCCAAACCAGGGCTTGGATCCCTCCAGCATGGGCATGAGCAACACGAGCTGGAACTCGGGAATTGACATGAACTATGGTAACACTTCGGTTTTTGCTGTCATGGAGGTCCCCGAGGGCCCGGCCCTCGATGTCGAAGTTCTGTCGGGAAAATCGGCTGTGTCTTTCATCCCCGAGAGCTCCAAGAACGAGCCTCCTATTATCAACAGTCCCGCCATTGATTCATCGGACTCGTCTGACATCGGTATTGCCAACCCTGATGTCGAGATTGATGAATCTGATCCTGCCTTTGCTCTCTTTGTTGATACCCCTACTCCTACTACTCCCCTCACCTTCGAAGGTGTCTCGACCGAGAAGACTGTCCAGTTCGAACTTGTCGTTGACAACTCCGACGTTAGCGCCTCGGCTAAGAGAACCTTCAACGCTCTCTGCCACAGTATTGATGCCGCCTTCGAGCGTGTGTCAGCTGTCACATCCCACCTTCAGTGATTCCCCATTAGCGTCCTGCCTTTGCGGCCTCAATTTCTTTGTATATGTGATCGCTCTTTTCTCCGGCATTCTTGTCTCATTTGTTTTTCCGTCGTCTTGTGACTATCCACACTGGAATTTCCTGCCATATTTTGCGAGTGATGGACCTTTATTTCTCACATGTTCTGGGGTGTTTCAAGGCGTCTCATTTACTATATCGTGCACCTCCCACGATGGAATTTCTTGGTGGAACTTTGGTGCTTAACCTACTGGCGTCTATGAGGGATGGAGTAAAAGTCCAAAGCCTGAGATATATGGCCATATGATTGTCTTTTATTTATTGCATAGCCTGTACTCGGGATGTAGTTTAGCTAAATAGAATGGACTTCGCTTTATCTCCTTGTTCTCATCAAGTGGCTCACTCACAGTGTTTGATAACTGTATTGTTCTACCCAGGTCAAGAAACCCGAGCAGTCTGAAGCATGGCAACACTTACACTGAATGTGAAAATGGCCCTTGTAATTGAGCGAAGTCCAGTAAGTCGACATACTCAGTACCCCGTCCTCTCTATACATGTACGTTGAGGTATGTCTCTGTCCTTGGCGGAACTGGATTGCCGCTCCGGCCATCGCGCAAAATTCGACTACTTTTTTTTGGGGGGCTCCACCAAATCGATGGTTTCTTTGCTACACCGGGACTTGGATCATTAATTCTTTATATTAATATCCCACTTGTCCTCCTCTACTCCTTCCAAGTTGGCTTCATCACGTTTGCGCGTTGCTCTGTCAACCGCAGCCACTCGCGCAGTCGTCTGGACCGCGTTTCCTCGAGCCTCAATCTCGCTTTCGACCCTCCGATCGTACGGCAGTGCTAGAAGCCGTGACCCCTCAAAACCCTGGAAACCGAGTAACTCACGACTGGGCTGGAGGAAGACATACAGCAATAGTTTATTGGCATACCAAAACAAACCATCGCCACTCCGAATCAGACAGCCTGCTATCAACCCAGACGCAGTTGTCATTCCAAATACGTGCCTGAACAAACGACGTGGAGAATCCGACGATTACTTGATTTGCGAGCCATCCAAACTCGAAATTATTTCAAACCCCCCATCTGCAGGAGCTCACCCGATGAAGTTCTTCTACCAGGTCATCACGACCCCAACGGCCGATACCCCCGGCACGGCCATCTGCCTCAACTTCCCGGATAAACGATATTTTTTCGGACAGCCGTCAGAAGGGTTACAACGCGCATGTATAGAGCGTGGCGTTAGGCTTTCTTTGCTGAGCGATGTGTTTATCACTGGACGAACAGAATGGGCCAACACGGGCGGACTGATGGGAATCATCTTGACTCTGGCGGACACACTGTCGGTTTCCAATGCGGCTATTGAGGAGGAAAAACGAAAGAAGGCCATTCGCAAGGCGGAAACAGAAGTCAAGGGCAAAGGAAAGGGGAATCACAGGGACCAATCACACGCACAACGACACGGGAAGACCTCCGTAGAGCGCGATGGTGAGGCTGCCGATCAGGAAGGCACTCTGACGATTCATGGTGCTACCAATCTTGCACACACACTGGCTACGGCTCGGCGATTTGTGTTCCGAAAGGGAATGCCGGTATACTTGAAAGAATACACCTCAGAGACACTCGCCAAGCAAGCATCTATCGGTGCGGAAGATCCGTTCGAGAAGCCTTCGTGGGCCGACTCTAACATAAAGGTCTGGGCTCTGCCTCTGAAGCCTTACTCACCAACTATGTCTCGAGTTACGCGGTCACAAAGTCCACGGAAGCGGAGCTTGGACGAGTTCCGGGAGTCTGCTCCATCCGTAGATAATCTAGACCAGCGTGCGAAGGACCAGTTGGTCAGGCATTCAATTGTTCAGGATATGTTCAATTCAACATGGAAGATGGATGCGCTCCATGAAACACCATTGGCTGAGGTCCAAATGCCAGCGGCCATGTTCATTCGCAACCCAGAGACGAAGGACCTTGAGCCATACAAAGGGCCATTGCCAGGCGGCGATGCGCCACTCCCAGATATCAAGGTGCTTGTTCGGAAGCCCTGGCCTGGTGCAACTGTTGAGAGCCTTCCGCCCACTACTCCCTCGAAAGAGGCAATCTGCTATATTGTGCGGAACCACGACATTCGCGGAAAATTTGACCCGAAAAAGGCTCAGGAATTGAATGTCGAGAAGGGCGTCAAGTATGCAGCTCTGACGAAGGGCGAGAGCGTGCAATCTTCGGATGGCAAGACTGTCACCCCAGATATGGTCTTGGGACCAACGCGAGTGGGAAAAGGCATTGCCATTATGGAAGTGCCTTCCTCAGAGTATCTCGAGGACCTGATCAGCCGTCCTGAATGGAAGTCGCCCGCTGTCATGACCGAACTAAAGGCCTTCATCTGGATTCTCGGACCGGGTGTTGCTGAACACCCCAAGTTCCAGGAATTTGTTGCCAGCATGCCTCATTGCAAGCACACTGTGTCGAGTACGGATCACTGCCCTAACTACCTGGCGTTGACCAGCTCGGCTGGCTCAACTCTCCGACTTGCTCGTTTGAGAGGTGACACCTACGCAGTTCCTGTTCATGATAATGTGACACTTCCTCAACCTGGTGCTTCTAATGCTGGCTCAGAATCTGCAATTGCTGCCCGCAAGAACAACTCTGTGCTTGAGCCAATTGAACCAGGTTTCATCATCGATATGGAGCCCGAATTTAGATTCAAGAAGGACGAAGCGATGTCCCGCTTCAATCCTGCAAATGAATTGAATAGTATCCCGCGATCTGTTCAGAAACGGATGGAAGTCATTGGTAAACGTGTGGCTAAGCCTGCTTTCCAAAAGAAACTGCAGGCGCAGCGGGAACAATGGCCTGGAGCCGATGCCGAGATTATCGCACTGGGCACTGGCTCCTCTGTCCCATCCAAATACCGAAATGTCTCCGCCACACTGGTGAAGGTTCCTGGGTATGGCAACTATCTGCTCGACTGTGGCGAGAATACTCTCGGTCAGTTGAAGCGAATCTTCGAGCCTGAAGAACTTCGCGAAGTGTTCCAGAACATGCGAATGATCTGGATCAGCCATTTGCATGCTGATCACCATTTAGGTTCAGCCACTGTGATCAAGGCCTGGTATGAGGAGAACTTCCAGAATGGATCTCGCTCGATCGCCAGACCTGAAAATGACATCGCCAAGATCCTCCAAGAGAAGCGGCTGACCGTTGTGTCTGATGATGGAATGATTCGCTGGCTTGAAGAATATTCCCAAGTCGAGGATTTCGGATATGACAAACTTCTTACTCTTTCGGCGCATCCTGATTCTCAACTCACCACCGTGTTTTCTCATCGCCTACCCGGTGGTCCTCGGGCTCAATTATCCTTCAACGACCAATCATCTCCCCTCACTCCTCTCCTCAAGTCTGCTACTGGCCTTGAAGACTTGCTCACTTGCCGCGTCAAACACTGCAGGGGTGCGCTGGCGGTGTCCCTCGTCTTCCCGAATGGATTCAAGGTCTCCTACTCCGGCGACTGCCGGCCATCGGATAATTTTGCCACCATTGGAAAGGGCTCAACTGTGCTCATTCACGAGGCCACTTTCCAGCACGACATGGTCGGATCGGCTATTGCCAAGCGACACTCGACCGCCACCGAGGCAATTGAAGTTGGCCGCCGTATGGAGGCGCGCGCTATTCTTCTCACCCATTTCAGCCAACGCTACCAGAAACAAACCTTTGTTGAAAGTCGTCTCACCGGAAAACCGCAGTCTGATCGGGACGTGGCCACCAAGGAGCCCGTGGATGCAGATATTCCCTTCGATGATCCTCAAGACCAGCCAGTGGCCCCCAGAGATGGCCCGCTGTCCGATGACATCCGTGTCTTCAGTTCTGATAAAGTGTCTTACACTGGGCCTGTTGCTGGAGCGATGGACTACATGCGGATTAAGGTCGGAGACTTCTCCCTTGCGCAAGCCTATGCCCCGGCATTGGAGAAGCTCGTCGAGCTCATCGAGCGGGCGACATTCGAGGATGGCGAGCGCGTCAAGAAAATACGCCAAGAAGAGGAAAATGCTCGCAAGGCGAAGAATAACAAAAAGTGGGCCAAGCAACTTGCTACTGCCAGCGCTGCGGCAGCGCTCGCTGCCACCGAGGTTAGTGAGGCCCCTACGGAGCCCACTCGGTCTGTTTGGAGTGCCAGTGAAAGCGAGGAAGGCTGGGAAACAAGTGACTACGAGGAGTGATCTTATCAAACATTGTATATAATATTAAGCTGTCAATATGCATTGCAGCAATTTAAAGACCTTTTTTTTTCCCCTTCATTTTCTCCAATGTCAAAGGAACAAGTCCGAGGTACGAAGTATGCATCGGCAAACATTCCGAGATGCGGAGACCAGATTTCTGTCATGTTGGTGCATTCCTAGGCCACCTTAGATCTTTGATAGATGATGATTACCTAGGTAAGGGAGAATTCTCCGTATAGGTTCATTTTGTCACCTAAATAGATTGAATTAGGTCGAATTGGGAGTTCAGGATGCATAGATGCCCTATGCAGCTGGTATAGCCGTTTTACCCCAACACATGCTTGTCCCCTCACCGCCCTGTTGGGGACCGTCTATCGCCCGAGTCAATTTCACTTTTTATAGATTCCTGGATACTTCTGTCTCCTTGACTGGTCTGCAAGATGACCACTCTTATTCCCCGCGAGCCTTATACTAAGGACGAGCTCGCTCAACTGTACCCGCGAGGCCTGAAGTTGCAACTGGTGCAAGTGGTAAGTGTTCCGAACCCCAACTATTGACGTATGGCTGACCAAAACAGTTCCTTCGCCATGGTGAGAAACATGTCTCAGTCCAATGCTGCTCTCGGAGGCATTTCTAATTGACTCTAGGTGAACGCACACCCGTCTCATCGCGATTCACAAATGTATGGTGCAATTGACTTCGTCATCTCCCAAGTCCGCTCTCCGACGGTCTCCGCTAACACCCCCTAAAGACAGGTCTAAGTCCATGTATGACTATGTTTCAATACCGATATTGGCTGAGTGTATACTGACAGATTCCACTGAGAAGACTGGCCGTATTGCGGTGTCGCAAAACGCATGGTGCAGATGGCTTCCAACAGCGATGACCTCTCATCATGGAACGGATTCCAATGGCACCGGAAAATGGAGTCATTTGGCAATAATGACCAAGCGATCATTACTACAGGAGCGGGAGGAAAAGCCGAAGCAATGTGGTAAGTTGCTGCGGAGTGCTTACCTGTATGCGAAAAACAAGCTAAATTGTCCTTTCTGAAGCTTGCATGGGGAGCTCACCGATAAGGGCCGTGAAACGACATATGCGCTCGGGCAACGGCTGCGCCATCTCTACGTTGACCAACTCGGATTCATGCCGCAGATCAAGCCCGATTCCGAAGATATGTACCTGCGCGCCACGCCTATCCCTCGTGCTCTGGAGTCCCTCCAGCAGGCATTTTGGGGCATGTACCCAGCGAGCGCGCGCACGCTGGACTTCCCGCCGCCAGTTATTGTTGCCCGTCAGGTCAATGAAGAGACTCTGTTCCCCAATGAGGGGAATTGTAGACGGTTCCGACAGCTGGCGCGACTTTTTGCCGACCGCGCGGCAAGCCGATGTATGAGCTTATCAGTCGGTTATCAGGAGAAAGGTTATCGCTAATGTTTGATATTTAGGGAACGACTCTGAACAGATGATGTACTTGAACAGCCTCTGGTCAAAATACATGCCCGAGGAATCGCCCAAGGTTGCTGTCGATGCTCACCCTCGTCTTTCTGGAATCATGGATACTATCAACGCAACTGACGCCCATGGCCCTGCCACTAAGCTCCCATCCGAGTTCTATGACAAGAAGGGTCGTGCTGTTTTGGACCGTATTGCGGTCGAGGAATGGTTTGCCGGTTACGGTGAGAGCAGCGAGTACCGCAAACTGGGCATTGGTGCTCTCATGGGTGATGTGGTTGACCGCATGGTCAGCACTGCCGTGGAGGGAGGCTGGCGTAGTGAGACCTCTGCGTCTGGATCAGGCAATGCGCAAACTGGCAAGGCTATCAAGTTCGCCATGAGCGGTTGCCACGACACCACTCTCGCAGCGATCCTGTCCAGTGTCGGTGGATTCCAGGATGAGTCATGGCCACCATTCACTTCCTCGGTTGCAGTCGAACTATTCTCCCAGACTCCTCGCTCGGATTCCAGCGCTGGCGCAATGCTCGAGGAGTTCTCCAACCCTTCCATCGCAGCCAAGAAGCCCGGTGTCCTCTCCAAGCTGTTCGGTAAGTCCACACCGAAGGAACCCATCACGTCCGAGACTGCGCGCACACCTCTTGGAGCCCTCCATGAGGGCGCTCGCGAGTCTCTTCAGAAGCACTATGTCCGCATTCGCTATAATGATCGACCTGTCCGTATCCCCGGCTGTGCCGCTAAGCCCGAGAACCACTTGCCCGGTGATGAAACTTTCTGCACCTTGGACGCCTTCAAGGAGATTGTTGACAAGTTCACTCCCAAGGACTGGCAAAGCGAGTGCACTGCAAACCTTGGCGCTGGGCTTCATGGCCCTGACGATCGGGAAAAGTCCCCGGCCGGCTTTTAGATTTCTTATAGACCGTAATGCTGTTATCTTTAATGAACGCAGATATGTATGCTTGATGTACGCCCGCCTTGTAAAATATATCAGCAATAGGTAAGAAGTAAATGAAATATCAAATCCCAAAATGCAGTAGATCCGCAGCCATCTCAACTGCTCTTCGCCTTGGCGTCCATATCAGCCCTGATCGCCTTCATCTTCATGGCGGCAAACTTGATCAACATCCAACGAGGCAGATAATCAAACGACAAGCCCTGCAGCCAATGCCAGAAATAAGCCCATACAATCTCCTGCCCACAGCCAACCCGATCCAACGCCGCACTAGCCAGTACTCTCGCCTCAGGGACAAACAAGGTACTCTTCACATCATACGCAGCAGTCCTCACCTCAGCAACTCGCAACCCCATGACCTCAACATCCTTCCCCTCGGAAACAAACTCCGCATACAGCGACTTTGTAAACGAATCCACAAATCCCTTCGTAGAGCTATAAATACTGATATATGGCAACCCGAACCCCGCGACCGAAGAGACATTCAGCACCAGCCCAGGCGCATTCTCTTCCAGCTGCGCCGCAAGAACACGCGTAATCTGAATAGCAAACGTCGCATTCCGCGCAATGGTATCCTGGACATTTTCAAAGCTATACTCCTTCAGAAGCGTAGACGGTCTGGTCTCACCACCGACGTTATTAATAAGCACGGTCAAGGCGCCAACACCAGCAGCGCGAATAATCTCGCGCACCTCGCCATCCACGGCATCGATATCAGCAGTCAAATTCTGTGCATCACGCATGATTACGGCGACATGCGTGGCGGGGAATAGCTCTTGGAGTTCGCGACGGCGGCGGTCGAGTTTCTCGGCACTACGACCGTGCAGGATGACATTGAATCCTCGCTTACAGAGCTCTTGGCTAAACCCAAATCCGATTCCGTCTGTTGCGCCGGTGACTAGGGCCCAGTTTGATTGAGTGGGGTTGTAGCGTTCGCGGAGGGTGCTGGGCAGGAGGTAGGTTGTTGCTTGGCGGGTGATGGATAGGGCGGTTTTTCCGAGGGTGAAGAGACCTAAGTAGGCTAATGGTTTTGTGTAGTTTCCTAGATCGACAGAGAAGGACATTTTGAGTGGTTGAGAAGGTGTTTGGGTGGTTGTTGCAGGGAATGTTTGGTTATTTGGGGCCTTGTTATCGGGGATTATGATATCATCGGCGTGTTAGCTCGATGGTCGCAGGTGAGCGATTGCAATGGCAACTCGATGAACAGACTGAAAATGGATGGTTTTCTCTGGGAGTCATTCACGGTCAAGGAACCCCCTTTTTATAGGGGTTGTTCAAGGCTGAATCGCTTCTCATTTCTTGACTTCGAATCGGTGATTTGGCTGTCTTCGGGCCGCCTTTCAGGCCGAGCGCCGATTCCGAGACTGCGATGGTACCTCATTATATCTCTAGTCATTTTCACGGGAGAGTTAGAGAGTATCAAATTTATTGATCTTGTCCAACGCCACACTTCCCTCGCTCAACCCAGAAATTTCCTACGCGTGACCAATACCACACCCATCTCTAGAGAATTGTTGAGGAAGGTGCCTCCAGGAAACAACCCTCTATGGCCTCTATACTTGCAGGCCTATGATCAGGACGACTATGGAAGAAACATTCGGTGGAATTCGGGAGGGATCAAGCCGCTGGACCCAACAAGGTCTTAGGAGTATGTTGAGACTAGCTAAAATAGGCAAAGGTGGTTGTGCATATATATACGTACTACAACAATATAGTAATGCTTCTCATTGTAACTGTTAGATCTCTCCCTCCTTCCATAGCTCAGCTAGTCTTCTACTTCAATAAACCATCTTCATGGTGCATCTCGACGTCTCTCTCAGTAGACTCTGACAGTAATCAAACTGCCCAGGTGGATAGAGCACTCGAGCCCTAAGGTTTCCAACTTCTAACTCAGTAAGTCTGGGACCTGTCCCGACTCCCGAGGCCGTGATTCGGGATCCCGAGGTGAGCTCCCGAGATGTTTGCAGGGTTCGCATCCACCTGGACAGTACTGCTAGGCTTCGCAAGCACACACAAAGAAGGGATAATATTTAAGCAAACCTTAGAATATCTGGCGCTCATGCGATAGATTCTCAGTTCTGCATAACTATACGGAGTAGCTAAGTGGTAGCTTGCACTATCCAACAAAAACCACGTGATCCCTACAGAATCTCAGAGGCGAGAGGATCACGTGGGCGGATGATTTTCCCCGGACCCACTTCCACGTCGATCTCCGCCTCTTGAAGCTCAGCCATTTACATAGATCAACAGCCCTGAACTCATCTCATCAGTACGCTTTCACACGTCCTAACGGCTATTCTACCACGATCATCATACCTCAGCTTGGTAGGCAGCATCACTCGATTACCTATGAGTTTTGTACACACCACTAATCCAAGCCACGCTACCTATGTTTCCTTAGCCTCCAACACCTCTCAAATCCACCTTACCTGCTCGTTCGCCTATTAAGGCTACCACAGAAGTTCCTATCGTAGCACTAATAAGAAAATTTTGAAATCCCCCTAGCTGAAGTCAAATCACTTACAAGTATCATTTCGGGAAGTTCATCGTTCCCCCAGGCTGGACGACACGTCCCGGGAGCCCTAGTTTTGAATACGAGTGGGATGGTGTCGATTCAGCGGGTCAAAAGATTGCTCGAGGCTATGATCTTACATCGGGTCGACTAATATTAGAAAATGACGATGCCTCCACAATGAGTTTCCAATCTTGTGATAAACTCTACATCTGGGATGTGCTTTGATATATTTCTGATATCATGACGTGTATGAAATAGCATCTCAGGATGTTAACGAAGTCACTCGTGTTCTGTCTAAGGAAGTAGGTCATAAAAAGTTACAAAAATGCCTTCTTGATCCAGTTGAAGACATTGCTGTCTGAGTATGATAGTTGTGCCAGCTTACGAGGGGTTTTGAGGAGGATTGGAAGAGGTCGCCTGGCCACACGAGCGATATGTATCGCTTTGTTTTGAGCGGAGTTTTATTTCTCTTTGCTTTTATTCTTGTTCCTTCTTTGGCTTTAGATCTCGGAATATAATAACCATATATCATTTTTGGCAAGCCTGAACCGTCTCTTGTTCCCGCTCCAAAGTCGATGAGCTCTTTGCCGCTAGGGGCCGTAGCCCCCTGTTCGTTGGCCCAAACATAACGTCTCTCTACGCCGATCAATATTATACTATAATTTAGTCCGAGTCTACACCCGGGGCTTCTTTCAGTTGGCATTCCTTTGTGCGGACCTCTGGTGTTACTATGTACCCATGAATCCAGCGCCGTTTTACTCTCTCTCTCTCTCTCTCTCTATATACAATCCCCCTAGGCATCTCACCAATATATCACCTACAAGCTGTATATTATTGCCTATACATATCTCAAGCATAGAACGACACAGGGTTCGAAAGACGAAAGAGTTCAAAGATGGATCCGCCACCGACGATATCGCCATCTTTCCCTTGAGCACGTACGCACCAAGGAGTCAAGTCCAAAGAAACATTGAAGTTTTAATGTGGATGAAAGAAAGGCATCTACGATGTAGGTTTGATGACTTTTATTCCTGTTCTCAGTGGAGCTAATCTCGGAACTTATTCATTGAAAGGCACACAATACCCAGTTCTTTCAGAAAAAGCCCCATCCTTCAACTGGGGGATTGCACCTGAATGACTTGTATTAGTGAGAAGTGCACGAAGGTCTAGGGAAAAGAAACCTCCATATAAATGTCTAGATTTGTTGCGCATCCTCTACGCCCTCGGACTTCGTCTTCAAAGGTACCCAAGTAGTTCAATTACTTGGTGCAGATAAAAACTACATACGCATTTCCCGACATTTTCCAGGGATTTTCAAACGCTAGAAATCACGGCACGTCGTTCACGATTCTCTGAGCAACTTGGACGGCTTGCTCAGGCAATTGTTACCTTTCCATCAGCCCTAGTGGATCGTGCCATATATCGTGATTACCATGGACTCGACTATATCTACGACGACGATGAATATGAAGATTTCATTGCAGTACTGGAGAGGCTGAAAGTGAGTCGTATCGGCCGACATGTGCAAGCGATCCGGGCAAAGACCCGGCCAAAACAAGAGAAGATTCCGGTCGTCGAAGTTGCGGAGCCTTCGCCTGGCGTCTTTCATGTTTCCTATCAGGTGAAGTTTGCCGATGGGGTCACCTGGCTTCTCCAGATACCAGCCGAGGGAACTCCAGATCAATTTAACGATGAGGAGGCCGAAGGCCTTCGCTCGGAAGCCGTGACCATGATAATGCTCCGGCGGGAGACAACCATCCCAATCCCAAAAGTCTTTGCCTTCGACAATACCTGTGCGAACGAGCTCAAAGTTCCTTACATTCTTATGGAGTTTATCGATGCCAACTCTCTGCTGGACGTTTGGCATGACCGGGAACGAAAGCGGAAAGCTGAGGTTTGACAACCAGGAGCGCCTGGTGGTTGAAACTGGCAAGGGGACGGGGTCATACACGGACCCCAAGAAAGCTTACACTAATTTCTTGGACAGGTGGGAAGAGCAGGATTATCCAACCGATAGTGGCATGAAAAAGCTCCTTCAGATGTTCATTAACTGGCTTCCTTCAAACCCCAGTGACGGAAGGCCATTCGTGTTGGCCCATACCAATTCTGCAATCACGAACTTCCTTGTCGCGGAGGATGGTTCTTTACGCGCAATCCTCGATTGGCGTGGCGCACAAATCTTTCCGCGGAATATAGGGAGCGAGTCCTATACAGGCTGGCTAACGCACGACTGGGCACCCATCTATTACTGGAACGAAGAGATGGAACAAGGAATAAAGGACGAGAATGTGGAATGGGAAGATTCACCAGTCACACTGGACTTTTATCGAAGGTTCTATGCGCGATGCTTTGCAGACCTACTGCCGGGAAGCGAGGGCGCCACAATTACTCGACAGTCTCTTGTTTATGGCAATCTAATTCTTGCAGCGAACAACCCGAGAATAGCGTCGGGCTATATTAAGCAGATCCTAAGGAATGCCGAGGAGCATTTCCAAGAAAAAGAGCCTCAAAACACTCTGCCTGCTCCATTGAATCCATCTGGGCAGAAACAAGATGTCAATGGCAGCAAAGAACACATTAATTCCGAAGGGGAGAATGCGACAGGGACTGTCGAATCACCCAATGCCGAAAATGACGATAGTGATGATGGGAGTGATGATAAAAGCGATGGTAGCGAACCAGACATTCAAGCAGACGCACGCTTTGATCATGACACGATTGCCACCGCTTTGGACAACAATAATCTATCCAAGAAGCATGAAGACCTTTTGAAGGCCGCCTTTCTCGATCTGATTGATTCGCTTTGAGACTGACTTCACAGGCTGGGGAGCAGGTGATGGAGCATTACTGTTGATGTTGAACAAGTAACGAGGAAAGGGATTAGGAAAAACACGCAAAACCAGATGAATTCAAAATAGATTTCCTTTGTCTTCGCGCTTGATTTCTAAACCGTCGATGTTAGTCCCCAATATCATAAGCTTGCTCTGAACTCCGAGGTAGTATAACAGTTGTAGAGACACCTGAGGCAGGATCTATGAACCTTGGGACAGGTAGATCCGAGGATAATGTCAGCCTCCTTATATAATCAGGATCAGCCAATCAAACCCCGTTGACTAACCGATCTAGGGCTTAGGGTTGAGGCTTAGTAATTGACCCACCGCTTCTCCCACAACTTGAACAGCTGCTGGACGTGGCCCTCTTCCTTTGAACATCCACCTCATCCGACAAAATGGTGAGTTCATCAGCGCCTCCTATACCACACCGAAAGACACCCAAACTAATCGATATGTGACGAATAGGCGCCCGCAGCAACCGGAGGCAAGAAGCAAAAGAAGAAGTGGTCCAAGGGCAAGGGTACGCAATTCCCATTCATGCGACCGTGACGATTTTCCGCCGAGTTTCCACAAAGACACGAGAGAAATCGTTGAACGAGCTGGCAATACACAGGAGAGAAGAGGAGAACATCGTTCGCTGACATATGCTTCGACTTATAGTCAAGGACAAGGCCCAGCACGCCGTCGTTCTCGACAAGGCCACTGCTGAGAAGCTCCAGAAGGATGTCCAGTCCTACCGCCTGATCACCGTCGCCACCCTTGTCGATCGTCTCAAGATCAACGGCTCCCTTGCCCGCAAGGCCCTGAACGACCTTGAGGCTTCCGGCCAGGTCAAGAAGGTTGTTGGTCACTCCAGCATGAGCATCTACAGTGCGTTCCCCTCCAACATCCCCCACCACCCCGAACTGCATCACTGATAACTTGTTTTAGCCCGTGCCGTCACCGCCGAGTAAACGTCTCGTCTCTCGTCTTTTCTCGCGGTTTTCTTTTCCTTGCTACGAATGATATCATTTACCATGGGAAGCCCGGCTGGGCATTGATGCGATGTGGATTAACGTCTGACACTTGGAAGAGTGTGGAACATTCGCACTCTTGGTTCACCTCAGGTAGTGCGAACTGAATCAAAAAATCTACAAAACTTCATGAAAAGGAATACGTCATATCTCGTAGATTTCTCTCGATCTCGACCATCGACACTATCAACCCATCCATCCGCCACGACAAGAAAACAAACAGAACAAAAGCAAAGTAGTCTTACGACTTTTCCACCATCGAACTCCTCTTCGGTCGCTGTTTCTCCGCCCCCTCACAAAGCGGCCACGCCTCTCCTGTCACGCCATCTTCAACCACCACCTTTCCAGCTTCGAAATACTTCTGATGATTCGCAAAGAACCCACCCCACCGTCTCACAGTCCCCTCGACCTTTGCTCGAGCCGCCCGTAACTCCTTCTCACGACGAATCTTCTTCTGCGACGATGTAATAGTCTCGTTCTCGACATCCTCAACAGGCATGAACATGGTCTCCACGCCGCGCATGTCCGACGTAAGATCCTCCTTAAAGCACCCCGTGACGAAAGCGCGCGTGGCGTCCCGCCCGGCGAAGAAGTTGTAGCTACCGCCCGGTCCGTAGATCATACGGTTTGCCGAGACGTCGTAGATGGTCCCGTTGACGGCGAGATAGACGGGGAGACTGGTGTCTGTGCCGTTATAAAGAGATAGTTGACTCGGTGTCAGGGCAACAGGGCCTTGCTGTATTCGTTCACAAATGTAGATGTTAGTCTTGGTTCTTTTTGGCCGTTTGAAACTGGCTGTTTTATTGTGGGAAACTTGTCCATTCTTGGAGATTCACGTACCACCCATTGCTTCACCACCGGCCACCGCGTATACCACGGTCTGTACCCCCATAGCACGGACTCGGATGAAGTCATATAATATGAGAGACCGCATGAAGCGACGATCAGGACGACAACCACGCGAATTATGTCCAAAATACCGATCCCGTGGTCTTCATCTTCGCTGGAGCTGGATTTCTCTCTGGCACTCGGCTGCTCGTTGGGTCCATTGGTGGATTTCGCTGTGCCTGTTGATCGCTGACGGAGTTCCGACATTTCGCTCTTCTGAATTCGATTGTGTTGTAAGATCAGAGAATGTCGATTTGGATTTTTCTAATCGGAGCTGTTCAGGGAGAACTGACAGAATCTGGGGAACACGGCCACGTTACCCAGCCGAGTGGATCGGACGACTATCCGTAAATATACGCTCTCACAAATACGCGTTTACAAGGGGGCTTGTTCTTTGATTTGAATTATTTTTTTGGTCTTGTTTCTCTCCATCAAGGTGTGATTCTCGCTAAGAATACATGATGTCTGAATTAATGAGAATCCTGCCCAGAGATTCGCCCTTTGTTTGCCATTTGCAGTTTGGACGCCTCAATTTAGTTCTCGTCACTTGCTTCCAGCGGCAGATCCCCTTTGTTGTACCGCTGACCCTTCTTCCCAGCTGCGCGAGAACACTTCATTCAGAGCATCTTGGAAAGTACGGCAGTTCATGTCAATCAGACCCCGTTTGTCCTTGGCTTCGGGATTGCGGATCACCGAAACTAAACATAAGTACCTGTCAAGTAAAGTCAATAAGCATATCAAAGTAAATACCTCACTAGAAGTACATACTTGTTCATCTCCATCAAGTGAATCATGGTTTGATCATGGAGCACCACGTGGCTTTCGGCTTCTTGGATCTGGTCGCCTAATCGCTTGCGGTCTGGGTGATCCCATGAGTACAACTCGGAAATATCGACTATGACATCGATATAATCAGAGCACATCTCATAGCAAGCCATATCAACAGGACGGGTATCAGAGGCGATATAAATTTTACTCAACACATCAAAGAGATATGTCTTTTCGAATCCACAGTTGTTGGCGAGTGTGTTGATGAGATTCTCAAGTGTGGATAAGTTGGGTATCAGCTTCTGGATCACTTTGCTGAAGGCCTCAAAGACCGAGTAATCATAGATGGATGTGAGATAATAGTGCACGGGCGCGTTCTCATAACCTGCATCACTGAGCTCATCGGAGATGCGTTGCACAATGTCCTGGAACGTGTCCGTGCGATACTCATCCGACAGCCCATCGACTTTGTGGATGAAGACCTCTATGTTGATTCCGGGGTAAAACTGCTGGACAGTCAGGATAGTACGATTGAGCCGTGCCACCGAGTCCAGATAGTCATCCTGTGCGTCGATCACCCAAACTAGGGCACCTAAGCTCCCGAATATATCCTCGAGGTCAAAGGCAGACTCAAAGTACTCGAGCTGACCCGGGAAATCCCAGACTTGAAAGTCCATGAAAGAGCTATAGATCTCAAGTCAACTTCAGGCGCATCAAGAACTCAGTCTTTGGAACTTACTGGATCGAGTCCTTTTGAATTCGAGTGGTAGACTCCAAGAAGAGAGTCTCATTAGGCGGCATCTTATGGAACACCACACTGGCAATAGAGGATTTCCCACTCCTAGACCACCAGTCAATATCTCCATGATTTGAGAGAGCCGAGGGAGAACACTTGCCGGCGGAGCCCCATGAGAAGAAGACGAGGTTTAACATCAGGACCCTTGGTGTTGGGCACAGAGGCTGATTTGGCCTGATTTGGTGCAACCGCTTGGTTGTTTCCCTGTAAATTATCCAGAAGGCTTAGCTCGGCTTCGGTCTTATGGAATGGATATTCATGCTGTTGCTTCCAAGACTTGAACTCAAGTCCCATGAAAGGACCATGAGGCCGGCTCACGCGGGCCACCGGCAAGTCGGACATTTTAATCAAACGAAAGGGGTATGCATTCTGGGCAAAGTGTCTGAACAAGAACAAAAGCAGGTTGCGATGAATCAGGATGCAAGATTCATGAAGCAGAGACAGGACATAATAAATCAAGGCATCACATGTCAGGGATGGAAGAGGGTATTGGGCAGTCAGCGAACCTAGCTAGACTGGGATCGATTGGGGAACAAGAAAGGCCTGGGGCTGAAGACAGAGACCCATAGATCCAAGGAAGCACAATCTCACGATGGCCCATTGTGACGGCGACCATAAGAAATGCCTCCAAATTGGAAAAAGGAAACATGCTCCTTGCTTATTCCAAAGCACATCTGGCTGTCCAAGCAGGTATCTTGCCCTTTTTAATCCACGAAGAAATGAAGAAGGCCCGGAACCAAGCAGCTGTCTCACAGGGGCCCGTGCATAGATGCAGCAGGATACAGTAACTAACCGAGCTTCGCCATACGGCCCAGCCATAAATCAAGGCATTATAGGGAGTGAAAGTTCGTGGGGGTGGAATTTGTAAAGCGAAGAGTTTCTTACCTCCATTGTGCGAGAGGACATCTAAATATAATATGTCAAAACCTGTGATACATACTGAAAATGGAGTGGGTGTACTTACTACGTAGTTTGGTGTGTAGGAGACAGGGATACCCATTTAAGACTCCGTGATCAAGGAGAATGACGAAAAGAACTAGTTGGGCTCAATTTAACAGCAAAGAGCGGCTTGTTGACATCTGCATGTGCTAATCTCGCCTAGGATGAAAGCCGCCAGGATTCTAGTTTGTCTAGGATGGTGATACAGGATCGGATACCTGCAGTCAGGCCTGTATCATCGCCTCAGGGTTGACCCAAGGAGAATAGAGCTGGTTGGCGCGACCACTCAGTAATTGTGCCGTTGTACTGTGTGAGGAGTGCGGGGGTTGGAGTAGTTCGGAGCTGCGAGGCGAGGCGAGGCGTAAAGAAACTGACGTGTGATATACACAAATAGCTCAGGAACTAACTTGAAAGAGATTGTTCAAAAGCTCTAATGGGGTTCTTTGGTATAACAGACTATTTGCCATGAAATTGTGGTAAAGAAGAAGATGGGGAAAGAGAGGAGACAGAACCAAGGCGGAGCCGTTATCGTGAGCTCCTATCTTATCGCCAATCGGACATAGACCGCCTTTGTATTCTGCCAGTATAGCCATAGCCATAGCCCTACACATCCATGGATAGACCTCCGCAAAGCTCATAAATGGGCCCCACAACCCTGTCCGCAAGTAAGTTACATAGTATGCGTTATCTGTAATAGGAAATAAATGGGCTTCAGCTACAGATTCTCTATTTAATTGGTTCAATGCTAATGATTGGACTATCTGGGACGTTTGTCTCCCGAATTCAGAGTCACTTGAGAATAACTTTCTCGGACATTTCAATGGAATCATCAGAGTTCTCAAGCAATGTTTCCTGATTCTATTGTATCCTAGCATTGACTGCTTCGGCCTAATTATAATTGTTGAGACCAGAGGTCTCGTGATGTTGAGACTAGAGGTCTCGTGATGTGCAGGCATCACCTTCTTAGTTAGATAGTCGGGAGCCGAGCTTCTTTCCCAATACAACTCTCTCCCTCCTCCCTTTCCGAGCCCCACTTCGTAGGTCTCATCAGATAGGAGTAAGATACTGTTACGCCTGTTCGCTCTGCCCCTCCCAGGTCTACACTAAAGCCCTCGGAACATGCTAGAACTACGATTTTTACGTATAGTGCCGGGGCGGCGAAGCTAAATAGTTTACCTATAATTCCGATAAATCCAAACGTGCTCCGCGGAAACGGGCATCTGGGTGTAGCAGGACCCACTATAGCGATTTTAGGCTGTTATCGTGAGATAGAGGGGGAGAGAGAGAAGGAATATTGATTATCTACTACCACGAAGTAGCTAATGAGGAGCTGGGGAATTGGAAGATAAGGCAAACACCTGGGTGTTGCAACATGTTACGTATACTCGAGCTTCGGTAACTAACTCCTGCAACGAGTTCCCCTTTGCTAGTACGAAGGAGGTTAGGTCAGGAGCACGTCGACGGTCTGTGGATTCGACTAATAATACCAATCTTTCCATATGAACACTCCTTTCGGGAATGGCCGTAAACTCTAACAATGCTCTCTACCAAGATTGCGGAACCTGATACTTCTGCCAATGCTCCAGAGTGTCAGCCTCTTTGAACTTTTCAATTCCCCCTGCAACCCCATCCTCATTCACGTCCCAATCACCCGATTCAACGCGGTCCACCCAGTTCAGCAATACCTTATGAAGCTGCACACACCGTACCGTTGTTGGCAAAAATCCACTGAACTGATATACCTGATATAGCTCGCAGGATACATCTGGAGCAGAAGTTGAAGAGAAATGGGACAAGGGAACACCATTACTGCTGCGTGCATATTGCTTAGCACCAATACCAAACGGTAGTAGCAATCGGCTCTCGTTCCCAAAGCTATTCGGTAGATAATAGAGTGTGGCCTCAATGTACAAGCCAGCGGGAATCACCCGCGTAACCCCATCTAGAAACCACGGCCGTGTCCAGGGTGAGTAATTTGTCCCATCTGCTCGAAATAGAAGGGCTGGCTTTTCAAGTTCACTGAGCATCTGAAAATCATCATGAGGCTTAGTGAATGGTTGCGATACAAACTCAGCTTGGGGTTGTATCCGTATCCCTGGAGCTATATAGTGAAACTTTATGCGGCGGGGAGGAACGGCCAAGAGAAAAGATCGGATAAACGAATGCTCTGTAGGCATCGAATCATCTATCATTAAGTCTGAGTATGGAAGTCTGATTTCTTCATTACTAGTGGTTGGGGGCAGTCGGGATTCAATTGCATCGAGAAGACGAGTGAAAGCAGCGACGGCCTTTTCAAGATCCCGCCGAGTGTAGTGATGGATCTTCCAGGGGTAGAACTGTTCTGGTAATGTATTTTCCAGCTCTGAAGATGTTGTCACTTTGCCTTCATCGATCATTTCAAGATAAGCCTGAAGAATGTGCTGTAAAGGCCTCCACGGCCATGGCTTTTCAGCATAACTCACATCTTCCCAGGTTGGAAAGAAGGCAGCGAGTTCAGTTTCCTGGTCGAACCTATTCCTATGTGAGTATTATCTCAATCCATAAGAACAGCTGATAGCGGATCTAAACTAACAAAATCCCGACTTCATCCTCATCCGTGGAGCATGTGGCTGGATAAAGCCACACAAACCGATCTCCCCATGTGTCCAGAATGGAGAATCGAAGAAGATCACGACTCTCCTGCAGCCCGCGAAGAAAGTAGAAGAAATGGAAATCAGGGTGTGAAAAAGGAACGGATTTGGCTAAGCGTAGAAACTGAATGAGTTTAGGACTTAGGCGGGAAGCGAGGTCGAATGACACCGGGGAAGAATTCTCCCACCATGTCTCTGACGAAAGGGAAGATAGATCTCGACCGGCACCAATCCATGCGTACTCCAAGATCTTGTTGTGACATTTGGCAGATAACTGAGGATCAAAAGAGGGCTGCATTTTGGTACGCAAGTACGGAGTAGGGCGGGTGCGAACGGTTGGAGGTCATGAGACATCATGTGGGATAATCATACCAGTTTACGAAGGGGCATAGCGGCCAGGGGTTGTCAACTGATGTGGTATTCAGTATAGTAGGGGTCCAATCAAGGGAGTTGAAATCTCTGTATTTCTGTATCCACTATTCTAGCAGGAAATATGACTTTCTGACTAATATCAAAAATACTGCATAGGCAGGATAAACTAAACTTCCGGTATGCCGATCTCTTGCTCCGACAGGGGTTAAATGCCTTAAAACTGAGGCTCAATGCCTGAAGTATGCCTGATCTTAGACTGGCAGAAATCTAAAATACCTGAATTACTACCTACCTCATAATGACTCGAAAATGATGGATTATGTAAACAAAATTTACGAGGCTATCCGAGCTGGAACCCGTAAGTTTTCGATCTTGATGTTTTCCACCGGCTTTAATTGAGGCACCGTAGGTAATATTCAGACACCAATACTACCTAATACAGCATCCGACCCCTGGCCACTACACACCTGCGTACATAACCCAACGTCCACCAGACACTCGCCCTTTAAGATGATTTAATAATGCCACTTTCGGTGTCCATGGCCGTGCAGGTGTGTTCGCCCATACACACTTCCAGTTTCCTGAGGAATTTCACTATCAAGTGGTTGGTGACTTATCGCTTCTGACTCCCAGTTTATGTAGTCTGAATATGTGGCAGGATCCGTTGGATTCGGCTCTGGCGGATCATTCTTTGCATTGAGAGTATTGGCTGCTTCCTCTGTTTCGGCAATGGCTGATAGGGGAAGATCTTGTTGGAGGACAGAGCGGGCTATCTCGCGCTTCAACCATAGCACGGACACAATATTTGTTGGAAGATTATTGGACGAGGGTGAAATTTTAAAATTGTTGAAGGTAGGCCAGTCGAAAGGGTGGGCATACATTCTGGACAGCTGAATGTGAGTCCAAGACTAACCAAGAGCGAAAGATAGCAGAGATGTGTGCACTCACGGGTCATCTGGTAATGCGCGGAATCCTTGGTCTGAAGCGGTTGTGCTTCTTCCATTCACCTTGTAGGTTGCTGTTCAGGTCAAACTCAGCAACCTATATACTCCATTGGATATTGGTAAGACCTGGGTTGACTTACCGAAGCATTCGCTGTTTGATGTTTGAGAATCAAACTATAGTATGGGTTAGTTTCCAACAAGGTAGTTTGACTTGAAATCAGACCCAATTGGAAGAAACAAGACATAGAAAAATAGGATCACATACCCCGTACCGCTCGATGAAATGATTGGCATTTACCATCGCACCTCCTCGCTTGTCGTCGCCGGGAAAGGGAGAGAATTTCCAAGTCACAGGCAGCTTACCCTTTCCTTCGCCGCGCAAACGCACACATGGGTCATAGTAAGCCTGCTTCCACCAACTCCAGTCTTGGCCTGATATAGTTAGTTCACGAGGTTACCTGTCAGTTGGGGTAATACACCGAGTAGTGCCAAGTGATTGGGAGGAACAAACCATGTAAAGCATTGGCTGGGCCATTGACCAAACGCACTATCTGATAAGCATAGTTGTTTGACTCTTCCATAGATGCAAGAGGAAACTCGTCACTGCCCTAAGCCCTTAGTAAATTATTCATGGGGGATAGTAGGTCATTGAGCGTGTGCTTACACTTCGCAAACGGACCGAGATCTGAATTTCCCACTCCCACCAACTAAAGACTTGTCCTTGTACCAGCGGGCTCCTCTCGCGTTGTTCCAAGTGTCCTTCATGGTCATTCCTGATCTGCCCAAGTGAAATACATTCTTCCCATCAAGACCTTTTTCAATGGCCCACCGCTGGTTGTCGCATATCTGCAATCATTAGAAGATACGTGTGGTGAGAAACAGTGAAGAGAACAGATGGTGAGAACCCGGAGACGTACCTCGTCAAAACCCCACCCATAGTTACAGGTGTAAGTGACGGCGCAATTTGCCCCCTCTTCACTATATTTCTGCACTGTGTAAGGCCCACGCATGCTATTCGCCTGCGTTGCTTGAGCCGTGGCAGTAAGCTTGGGGCTTTGCATCTCGGTAATACCAGGCCCAACAGCGCCCTGGCCAAATGATGACACTGCGGAAGCCATGACACCATTGACACCCGCAGCCTTTTCGTGAGCAACAACCTCATTTGGTTTGGCACACGGGTTCACTTTAGCTATATTCCAGTGGAGGTTTAGACCGATGGAGATCTTGACAATCTTACTAAATGCCCAAACAATTTGACCTCCTGTTCGGCGAGTCAGGAAGGGATTACGGATCAAACCGAAGAGCGAGATAACATACCGAGAACCATGGCGCCCAAAGTTGCTAATGACTTACACAATGCATCATCAGAAGACGACAAGCCACGTTTGGCGATTCCTTTGCGACCAACCTTGTCAGGAAAGTCAGGATTGGTATCGGGGGATGTGATCAAGTCACCGTCACGTTTTGTGATGCCGTTTTGCCCAATCAATTTCAATGAATCAGTGTTGGAATAGGAGGATGGCACAAATCCGGAGCAGCAATAGGACTGTGAACCACCTGGACGACATGAATGAGCAACTCGTATTACCCCTTTAGATCGAAATAACAAGACTTACCGTTGCAGGTCAAGTCATAGATAGCTCCCATCTCTGAATTGTCGACATATGAATTGGCTAGGTTTTCGAACCCTCTTGTTAGAATTAAATATTGGAAACTGAATATCTCTTGACACTCACAGTTCACCGCGACAAGATCACTTCCATCCGGACAGTAGCCGGTGGCGCAGGGCAAGCCCACGCCACGCCATCCATACCAGTCACAAGTGCCGGTATTCGTTCCAGGAGCGCAGCAGAGCGTTTTGACCTCATCACCATCACAATTCATATCGAGGTCAATTCCTGCCACCTGGCCCTTGGCATAGGTTTCAGAAATGAATCCAGCTACACACATATCGCCACAGAAGGACCAGTAGCATGAGTTCTGTCTGGTAGCTGCTGCTTCTGCAGTTTTTTGGAGCCCACGGAGCTTGGTGGCATCGCTAGCGGACACCCCATTAGCGGTTCCAATGCCCATCAAGTCATTACTGCTCTTGCTGTCTTGACTGTCGTGATCAACCGCCCAGATCATTGTTCCTCCGAGGCAGAGGTTATTCGCAGCACTAATCTTCATCTGCATAGTTTCACCGTCATCATAGGAGACCCATTGATCAGAATCCCAGGTAATCCACTTTACCGCAGCTTCACGATCCAACGTGGGTGTGAGATCATTGGTAGCAATGACACGCTGGATCTCCGCATTAGATAGTGTTCCTGCTGATTTTGTACACTCCCCTGCGGCTCCACCTTCACTGAAGATACAACCAGGAGTATTGCAAGATGAGTCCTTAAGAGTGAAGGAGCGTCCATACCAACCGAGACCCAGGTTGACCTTAGAGGGCGAGATGCTGCTACGCCAAAGCAAATCTAGACCAAGTTTGATCTCAGTCATGTTGGTGTGCGGGCGCACATAAGGACCGGTGAACTTGCTCGATGAGTCCCATACACCATGAATATCGTAGGACATGATGTTGAAGAAGTCTACTGAATTCTCCATTTCCGTGAGGTCAAACCAGCGAAGATACCAGTAAGAAGACGGCAGTGTAACACTGATCCCATACCTGTCTCCAAATGCCGTCTTGAGATCGCGGAGAAGCAACACGAAGTTGGCGGTGTCAGAATTGACTCCACCACGGTCCTGGGCTCCTGGATACTAATAAATTCAGATCAATAACAGGTTCAACCCATTTGAAAACAGCCAAAACATTTTCATGCTTACCTCCCAGTCAATATCAACTCCATCAAAGCCATAAGTATTCATGAATTGAATCAAAGATGTGATAAAGACCTGTCGACTTTTCGCTGATGATGACATGTCGCTGAAGGCTGTCTGGGTGTTAGGGGAATTTGTCGCATCCTATGATCTGTTACTAAAGCTTTGGGGGATGGCGCAGATGTTAGGAGCTCACATTGAAGGCCCATCCGCCGATAGAAACCCATGTTTCTAAGGATCTGATTGTATTTGCATTAGACCATGCAAAACAGTATTTTTGGGGAAAAGGAGCCGGGGTAAGTACTGCTTCTTCTGCTTGAGCGCAGTGAACTGTGAGTATAACGCAACATCACCCGCATCCATGGGGATAATCTCGAATGTTGTAGGGTGAAAATATACAAAGGCTATATCACAAGGTTAGGATTGTTTCTTGGAGCGTACACACGAGTCAATGTGTATGATATGTACCAAAATTCATATGTGTCATAGCAGTCACGTCAATATCGGAAGGAAACCGTGTGTCGCACGATCGTTGGGAGGCCCTACAACAAGTATGTCAGGAGAGTCACGATGATAAGGCCTTTCGCCCGTCTTTTTCGAAGGACATACTTACCATCCTTCGTAATACCCAATCGTCCTTTTTGTAGAGCTGGAACCGGAGCATGAGGGCTCCGGCACCGAGCCACATGTTCCGAACCCAGCCTGGCATCCATCGGCACAGAAGTCCTGTACAGTCAAGAAAGAGATTTAGCAATACCCTGCATTGACCCAACATAAAGACGAACAACTTACGTCTGTCGTTCCACAAAATCCATATTTCGAACAGCAAACCTCCAATGGGCAAGACACAGAGCCGCCCTCCGAGTATTCCCCACATTCAGCTTTTGCATTGCAGTTGGAGAGACAGACATCCGGTGCACACTGGTCAGGCGCATAGCCACATACACCTGTCTACAAAGGCCTTAGCGTTCACAAGTCGACAACTGTAAACAGATGATAGAATTATTCTCACCTTGCTGCAACAAGCACCATTAGCGCATGGTGTACCTGGAGCGCAAGTTCCTGTAGGAAGCTCATTGTCGGCTCGTCTTTGCAAACCGGAAGAAGAAAAATTCACTGATTGTAAGGCTTTTACCATAGGGTTTGCTGAGATTCCAGTCAAATTCTCGTAGAGAGGGGTAGATGGGTCATGTATCGCAACTCTAGCTTCATAGATGCTGCTTCCATTTTGTGCGTGCCATATTGTCGCATTCGTCAATGGCAAAGCTACGAGAGCTGTAATATACAGCACCAAACAGCGAGGGTAGCCCATCGTTTGCGCAAAACCAAAGTACTCTGACAGTGCCGTGGGAAGCCACGGCTACTACCTAGGTATATTATGTTCAGAAACATCGCTTGTAAAAACTAGTTTGGTTACATTCGAAATCGAAAACTGCTTTCTGTCAGTGGTGGACCTCAAGAATAATCTCTCATTTCCCTCGAAAAATCAAGTCAAATGAGAAGGTCTTAACTGAGACAAAAAAATCTAGGCTTAACCAAAAAAGGCGTTGCTGTTACATTATCAACAATCTGATTCTCTACTAAGGCTCTTAAGCGAAGAAAAACCTCTCTAGTGTGCAATCTAGCTCGTCTTAGTCCATCGTCGGCATATCCCGTACAGATGAGGATAGTGGATATCTAATTTCTCACTCCGTTGCCTTCCCGACTTGGCAACGCACTAGACATCCCGCCATACTCATTTTCGCCCAGCGGGAGCAGATTATTCGAAATCCGCAACCTAGACCCAGGGTGAGGGGTTTATTTACGAAAATGGGTGGCAAAGATAGCTTCAGTTCATTATTGCCAAGAGTGGAACCTAATTTCGCTGGGTTTTCGAATCCTTGCTAGTGGCATGGGTGTCTTCGGCTGAGAGAATATATGGTTGTCTATGTTGTAGACAGAAAATTCCAGCAAAGTTGACAGTACACCATTGAGTGTTTTCAGCAGAAAAAATGTTTTTGCAGATTCTAGCCTTGGGGCTAAGTCTCAGTGCCTCAGCTCAGGCATCTTTCCGAATCTATGATAACTATGACAGTCGTGTGATTCAGGCCGCCTTTGGTCTATCAGACCAGTGCCTACAAGCCTTGTGAGTGATGGTCTATTTCCAAGGTGTTCGGGTAGTTGACGGTATAGAAACATGACCATTCTCTGTGACAAGGCCACCGGAAGTAATGCAGCCGGAGGACCGGACAGTCTCTGTGAGTGGTTTTGTTTGTCGTTCTTTCATTCATTTCTTCTAAAGGCATACTCGTATAGCTTGGAGCGAGCAGAATGTGACTACTCTCTGTACGTCAGAATGCGGCAAGTCGCTGTCCTCTTGGAACTCAGCCGTCGAAACCAGTTGTGAGGGCGAGACAATTTACAGCAGTGGGACATTTATGCTCGCCCAGGCAATTCCCGCTCTCTGGGTGAGTGGCTATGAACTAGTTTGTTTGCAAGATAGGTAAGTTCAGCTGTGTTGATTGAGGTCTTCAGGATGCACCTGCTAACAAATTTGCGGAAGCCTATCAAACTGGTGCTTTCTAGATTCTCAAACATGGCAGGGCAGTGACTACGTAAGGTGAGTACATTCTTGTGTTTATATCTTACTTGAGTATAATCGAGCTGATGAGATCACGCCAATTAGATGGTCACCGGATGCATGCTATAACCAAGACGAGTCTGCCATTCCCGCGGAATGCTCTGATCCAGACTGGTCCATCACAGATATTTCAGACAGTATGAAGGATGTGACTAGATTATATGATCGAAGTTTGGTAAAGGGAAAATCACCACCCACTATCACGAGACGAATGTTAACAAATCACAGCTATGCAGTGAATGTTTCATCACAATATGGCGACAACGTCTGATGTCTCCGTTGCTGCCAGATGGCCAGCAAACTGACTATCTGATCCAACAATATGATGCCATCCAAAGCAAATGTTCCACTACGTTTCCCGTGACAGCATATGGTACCACGCTCTCAGTCGCTGCGCCAACACCTACATCGCTAAATGCAGACGCAATTGGAAGTACCTTAATAAGTGCCTCTCCTGCCTCGACTACCTGTCTCGGACAAATAGTACAGCCGTTCAGTGACCATCGTACGTGCTACAACATCTCTGATACGTATAATGTCAGCACAGGTGCTATAGTCGCGGCTACGGGAGATTATCTTTGTGATTTTGACTCCCCCATCTGTCTTCCTCTTCCATGCACTTTGGACACGGTTTGGGACAACCCTACATGGTATGCTCAAATATTCTGCCTTCTCATTGATAATGACGTCCTAGATCCCTTGCACAATGACTGACTGGCATGACATGACTTCAGCCAAGAACTTGCAGATAGATATTCCACTGAACGCAGCAATGTCACCCTGACACAGTTTCTTACCTGGAATCCCAACGTTCTGGGCTCGTGCGGTTTTCTCAATCACGCCCAGCGAGTGTGTAAAAGGTCGGTTTGCTCAGATTCTTCTTCCTTCCCATCTCCTTTCTTTCTCTAAGTGTGAATTGTGATTCATTGCGGTTCCTGTATGCTTATATTCACACATCTCTAGCCCACCTGGGGATCATTTCACGGCAACTGGTGTTATCTATGCGCCTACCGCGGCAGGTTCATACTATTCTACTGGTAATTCTTCACAGTTCAGGTGAACGTAGTTTCACCATTATATTTGGTCATACATCCGAGTGGGGTTCTGATAAATTTCAATGTGCAGCGAGTCCCGCCAAGCCTACCCAGTCGGGAACCACATCCGAATGTGGCATCTTCTATGATGTTGTATCGGGAGACACTGTGAGTGAATAATGATAACCTCATTGCCGGAGTAGATGGAAGGCTAATCTATTATATAAAGTGCAACTCGATTGCCTTGCGATTGTAAGCTGCGATCTTTAGATTTTTCTCGTTTTTCATTATTCTCCCTGTGACCGGAGCTGATCAACGACTACAGCGGTGTTACCTTTTCAGAGCTTCAAACTTTGAACACCTTTGTCAGTATCCTCATGCCAGCAGACGAATTCATATCAGCTAACGCATGGCTAGATATGGAATAATTGCACCAATCTCTGGCTTGGTAACTCAATTTGCGTTGCGCCTGTAACCAAATCAGCTACTTCCACTGATGGTACCTGCGGTCCTTCGAACGGAAATACAGTCTGCCCAGGAGTGGACAGGTAATCAGCCTCCGATCCGCTCTTTTATTCCCATATCAACATTCTACTGACTATTAACAGTTGCTGTTCAATCAATGGATACTGTGGTACAACATCCGCTTACTGCAGTGCAGGGAATTGCATCTCCGGTGCATGTGAGACGAGTCTTGCTACCACTGATGGCACCTGCGGCCCCTCTTGGGGGGACACAACATGTACTAACCCTAGTTTTGGTTCGTAAGTTTTCCAGATACTCGTCTTAGAACTTGAATTTGATTAACACTCGTCTGCAGATGTTGTTCGATCTATGGATATTGCGGTACCGGGTCCGACTACTGTGGACCGGGCCATTGTTACTCGGGAGAATGTGATGGCGCTAATGGGGGTCTGAGTATTAACGGGGAATGTGGACCGAGCTTTGTAGGTAACAAGTCTTGTGTTGGCACCCAGTTTGGTGATTGCTGTTCTACTTCAGGCTACTGCGGAAGCACAGTCGATTATTGCGGTTCTGGGAGTTGCTTCTCCGGGGCTTGTCTTTAACCATAGAGAAGGGTTGTTAGATCACCTGTGCCGCGGATCTCTTTTTCCAATGCTCGCATGCTGAGACCTCGTCCCCGGAGACGCGGTTATGATTATACATGAGAGCCTCAAAAGAACACGACATTCCGTCTGTGTGGATATAATAAAAAAAAGCGAAGAAGAAAAAGATAAAGGGGGGCACATCAAGATATCCTGTATCTACTTCACTAAATGTCATTCGGATTAGCACTATACCTTCATCTCACTCTGCCCTGTTAAATCAAATACATAAAGTTTTGGCATTGATAATGCGCCAGCGAATAAGCTTGTGCTTTTGTTGTTTATATATGAATAGACCTGGCAGTGACCCTCCGGGTGGTCCATGATCTTGGACCCTCCACCCGCCCCTCCGAGGGTCAGGGTCGCTCATAAGCGACCCTGACCCTGACCCTGGTTCTATGAGGGTCGCATGCGGGTGACCCTCCATGACCCGCAGCGACCCTCGGATGCATAAATATACAGAGCTAAGCCAAATTGGGATGTATAAATCTGCTTATATAATAGGATTTTCATAATTATTTTCATAAAATTTATTTTTATCATAAAACTTGCTTGTTTGTCCTGTTTGACGACCCTCAGGGTCACCCGCGGGTGACCCTCCGAGGGTCCAACCTCTAGGTGGACTACCCTCCGGGTCGGAAGGTTGGACCCTCGAACCGCCCCAGTGGCGGGGCGGTTCGAGGGTCGTGAGGGTCACCCGCGGGTCACTGCCAGGTCTATATGAGGTTTAGCTTGGAGGCTCACGATTGGTTGACGTAATTCGGTGACCTCGGGAGTGACCTTGCAGGGCTATCTACTAGGTAGGTATGTATGGATTTCACTCCATCCCACTCCACTCCACCCACTCCACTCCACCCCCACTCCACTCCACCCCACTGCGGCTCACCCGAGCCAATCAGCCTACGCTCTCACCGAAGAGCCTCATCTCTAGATTTCACCTGGCCATCCTTGTTAGACGGAGACTTGGTAGCATCTACTTCTCTGTGTCGTCCTTGGGCTGGTTAAAACCTCCAATTCGGAGACCTGCTTCTCCCCGTTAACCCTCAGCGGCCCGGACTAATCGTCGGCCCCACACCTCATTCCGCTGAGTCTCACGATTTCGCACCCGTAGCTAGACGGAAACCCCACGATTCTGCCCTGCAAAACCACGCACAGCCATGGTGTTTCCGCCGTCACCTCGACTTACACCATATCGTATGCAGCTCCCGATAGAGCGGTTCATACGATATACCATATAGACCTTGCCCAGGCCCGCCAAGAAGCCCGCTCCATGGATAGCCCGGCCTACTTTCTCCAAAATTTCATACAGCTTACTGTATAGCAGTGTACCTTGATCTCCAACCGATGAACTTAAGGAATACTGGTTGCCAATTATCTAACTGCACAGAAGAGAAAAATGAAGACCTAGATCTCCATTAATATTCAACGCTGTGATATAGCTCTATTGCCTGCTTTATCACCCGTAGGCAGGAAATCGCGCAGGATATTATTCTGCGGCATTGTGGCAGCAGAAAAGTCAGAGGTGAGCTCAGTGAGCTAACGAAGGCCAATTTCATCAAAAGTACAGTCATTTGGGCTTACTTCCAATTGCCAATTATCCGGGAGGTTATCGAACCAAGATTCGATAAAAACTTTACCTTTGAAAATAATGCATGGAGGTAGCACCCACCCCAAAGCATTCAGACATTCCAAGGTTCAATTGCAGTTACCAACTCGCGATAGGGAACTGTTAGTTAGGAGGGGAGAGGTCGAGGCTTATATACTACCACGCACAGGAGCGCAAAGCGACCGACTACGCTAATCTTGAATTATTATACACTAAACCTAAATAAGTTTAACGTACCAGTCCGATATGGTGTAGTGGCTAACATCGCCGTCTCTCACACGGCAGCCGGGGGTTCGATTCCCCCTATCGGAGTTTCTTTTTGATTTTCTTTTCTTTTTGCAGCCAGGCGTTGACCACTGTTTTTTGGCCGAAATGAATTCATGATATATTTGGCCTATCTACCGTGGCTAGTCATTCTTGTCTTCTATCAATTTTGATGCGAAGAATCACATCTATGCCACTTGCCCGAGAGGGTTGTGAGTCATAAAGCACCATAATAGCCCGCACTTAGACCACCCTTGGAAGCCACGGTCGCATTCTGAGTCATTGTAATTTCGATTTTGGCCTGTCACGCTCGGAATTAACAGTCAACCCGTCTTGCCTATGGGATTATGACTGGGTATGAATCATTTGGTCCATGGCGTCACGAAGCTGACGTTCGAAAAAGCAAAACAATGCACCTTGGACAGGAGACACCGTACTCCATAGCATCATCATCCAAGGTATATTGTATCAACACAAAATGTATATATCCAGCCCATATCTACCCAAGATGTAACACACTATTTCCATTCGAAACTCCTAGATCCCTTCGCTGGATGACAATATGTCTTCAAACGACCCCACACAGAAGATAGACGCTAATGACACGATGGAGAGGGATGTACCATCTCTGCCATTAGAGTCTATGGCCTCATCCTCGAAGCAGAGGCAACGAAGTTCTTTGCCCGACTATGACCCCAAGGCCGGCGAAAATAAGCTGCGTCCAGCTGGCAGTAAGTGATAGCTAGCCTGGACAACTCCCACGTATATATGTCGCGAAGGCTGACCGGACCGAGCAGATATTATAAATCGTATCAACTGGGATTCAGCATTTGAATGTAACGACTACATTATTGGATTCGTGGACCGGTTTGAAGGCCAACTGGAAGTCACCATGGGCAGTTGGAAGAAGGAGACCACCGATGAGGAATTTATTCCACAGCACCGGGTGCTATACATCAGACACACCAACGGGGATGTCGTGTGGGACCGAAAGAGACGAATCGATAAGATCTTTTGGAGTGGCAACTCGGCTTTTAAGGAGTTGGCGTTTCTGACTGGAACGGGATAGGGTTGCACCTTCCCTGCTGTTTACTTCGTACCTGGGCACCTGATAGGGGCCATTGTGTCATCTCGGTCATCTCGGTCATCTCTGTCATCTTAACACTCTCATCATCTCAGGCTTTATGCAATCAATGTCTGAAATGGACCCATCCAAGAAAAAACCATCATTGCCGCGCCTAACCACCAGTATACCTCTTCTCGAGCAATCCCCCAATGCATCCTGCAATGCTTTACCATCAAAGGTCCCTCCAGATGCCAGCGCCCCACCTATCATTATCCCAGAAAAGCCAGCGAGAACTCCATCAATGTTTAAGGAGGAGAAGCACGACGAGGAAAACATAGCGCCAGCCACACGTTTTTCGTCAGATGCAATGCCCATCTATGTCTCTCAGAAAAATGTGGACGATTCACCGTTGACCAAGGCAAAGAAATTGTACTATGACGACGCATTTACAGCCCGTGGATCCCACAATTCACCAAAGGACCGTGTCATGTATGAATCTGTTGTTGTCGTTGAGCTCAAGACCAATACCAAAGTATGTGATCGATCACTCTTGCTCGGTGATTCCTCACTGCTAACCTACTGGGTAGGCGAAGGAAGACACTTCCAAGCTATTATCGAATTTGATCCACTCCATGGCCCAGTTTTATCAGCGTCCAGAGACATCAATACTGGTGACTATCGACCAAAACGCCGACCTAATTTTCGGCACTAACCCCGGCTCGGCGTATCTTCTGAAGATTAGTGCTCTCTCAAGTTTGATTGGATCCCTCACCAATCTACGCAACACCAATCTCATTCAAGCAGCTATCCAAGAACTGATTGGCATCGCTCCAGACAAAGGAGTTGTCATATATACTCCAGTAAGCGAGGACAATCTTGCAACGAATGGGACAACTGCCAGAGCTGAGATCGATCGCCTGGAGCAAATTGACAGCAACAGCCCTTCATTCTTCAAGACCATTTCACGATCTATGAGTCGTCGCATCAAATCGAGTAGCGGTAACAGTGCTCCACTGTCGCTCACTTCAGTCATGAGTCCTGATAGCGCCACCACCACTTCAACTTCTTCCGCCGCAGTTGCTTCAGCACCGGCTCCCACACTGCGACCACATCAAGGAGATAATAAAAAGCCAATCAATCAACCAAAGTCACCAAAGGAGGAATTGGTCCAGCAGGTATCATCCAAGGATGAGAAAAGTGAACGAACCTTGAAGAAAAGAAACAGCTTCCGAGGGTTTGTCACTCGTCGCTTGGGTGAACTAGGCGAGTTAGCATCGAGGAAACCACCCAATGACTCCAAGGGAAAACAGGACTAATTTCCGTTTGACAATCACAGACGAAAAGCGAGCTCAATGCCTAGTGTATAGTATTTTTAACGTTAGTATGCATTTATCTCATCATGGCAGAGGCTCAGACACTACCTTTATTCAGATGACAATAAAACAAAATGTTTTAGAGATATACTGGGTCGATCAAGCTCGATTCTCCTAAGGACCACATTCTAGCCATTCCAAAGCATGCTACCGCACTAGGTCAGCTAATCCGGGGCCTAAATATAGACGTTGATTTCTCTCCTGGTAGTTACCTCCAAATGAATTTGCACTTTGCTCTCTTTATTGCTTTCTGCTTTCTGCTTGTGTATGTCTATGTAATACTTTATACACCGTTATGAGAGAAAAAGGCGTCAGGCGTCCTTGGTCACATGGTACAAGTGTGGTGAAACTTGTGTGTTATTTTGTTTCCAAAGTGAGAGAAGCGTCTGAACTTTCGCGTTTAGATAACACCCTTACTCTCTTGCAACCTCTTTTGATCTGCCTTCTCTCCCTTTTCCATGAAGTTCCCCTAAAGTCTTCATTGAGAGCATGGTCACATTGAAATCTCTTTGTTTGCTTGTTTTATTGAACCTATTCTAGGTATCATGGCTGGCACCCGTGACGACAAGGTCACTGCTATTGGCCGGACTGACAGCAATGATTCGATCATCCTGATGACCTCGTCTGAGTCGGCGACGATGGAGCTTATTCGGGAGAGTCCTGGCGATCTCTTTGACGCGCCTAATGGCGCTGCCTTAATCCGTACGGACCCTTGTATAGTGAACTGTTTATTTATGAATGAGCCCTTACTGACCATGCCTTGCTAGATGCGTGCAACTGCCAGGGTCTTTGGGGTGCAGGGCTTGCTCGTAAATTCCGTGACCGCGTTAGTCGACAGTCGAGTCACCTCACTTAATGCGAGTGGAATCTAGGACTAACAAAACAATGTTGAATAGTACCCTGCCGCCTACGAGATCTACCGCAAGCACTGTCTTCAGGGCCTTGAGAAGCCTGTCACCCATCTGATTCCCAAATTGAGTGACGAGGAATCACACCCCTCGCTGATTGTCCAGCAACCCCTCGGTACCGCACTTATTATCCCGCCTCAGCAGAGTGACTTTGCCCTCCACCGACGTCGTCATTGGATAATTTGCCTTTTTGCGTCGAATCATTATGGTAGCCGTGTTGATTCGGAGGAAATGATTCTTAACAGCACTTTTGCTGCCCTACGCCACATGAGGGAGCAACTGCAGGGTTCTTTCTATTCATCTTCCCAACCCGATAACGACCGGCCTATGGGCTTCTATTCCAGCCGTTTCTGCACTGGTTTGTTCAATATTCCCTGGGAATGCATTCGCGATTTGATCGTTAGGGTCGGTGTGCCAATCAATGTGTACCACCCGTTTGAGCCCAACACTCGCCGCGCACGCCCTCTGCCTCTACAGCGACCTGCCGAGGCTCGCCAGAACTAAGGCAACACATCAATTGCCTTCTTCGGGGACTGGAAATTCCGGGTTGATGTTTTCTACTGGAGATGTCTACGGCGGATTGAGGGGAAGTATCTCATGCCTGGTTCATTGCGGTTGTTTCGATAGTTTTGACATGCCTCGCTTTGTTCTCATTTCGAAATGAAATTTGAGGCTATGGATGCCACCAATGGTGTGCTTAACTACAGCACGGAAAAAAAAAAAAAAAAAAAGAATGAAATCCGTTAAGGCGTGACTGTTGTTGAAATTAAGTAGGGCGCCCCTCATCACCTGATAACGCGTAGAACGCGCCCGCGTTGGGGTATCCCCATTATCTCCGACTGTCATGACACTTTTCTTATTTGCGATGCCACTCTATAAACACCACACACCTTTCACATTTCACAAACATCTAGACCAGCACGATGGCCGGTGAGCCTAAGCCAGCTCAAAAGCGCCCACGCCTCCCTTTCAAACCTCCCAGTCGCACAACCAGTGCGGGACCATCCAAAGCAAAGCCAAAACAACCCAGCACAAAAGCATCAGCATCTACAACGGCACCCAAAATAACAAAAAACAAACCTACAACCCAAAGCAAATCCACAAGCCTTGGGAAACGCCCCCGAGCTGAATCTCCAGCTGATGCCAATGCCGTCTCTGAATCTGGATCAGAGTCGGACTCTGATGGATCGAGCCGCAGTCGCTCGCGTTCACTCTCTCAAGAGCCGGACTACATCCTCGCTGAAATAACAACTACACATCAAGAAGAGGACGTGACGTTCAGCGACCCCAAAATACCATCCAAATTGCTTACACGATTGCTGCACCAGCATTTTCAGAATGAAAAGACGAAGGTTGCGAAGGACGCCAATAACGTTGTGGCTAAGTATGTCGATGTCTTTGTGAGGGAAGCCATCGCCCGGGCTGCTTATGAGAGGGCCGAGTCCGAAGGAACTGCTGGGGGAAGGGGTGTTAGGGGTGGGTTCCTCGAGGTAAGTCTTCAATTCTCTTTACTGTGAAATTGGACGCGCGCATACTGATTGATCCCAAAGGTCGAAGATCTCGAGAAAATGGCGCCGCAGCTCACGATGGATTTCTAGCATTTCCCTTGATCCTACAAGGGGTTATGGTTACGGCGTTGGTTCGGTTTCATCATGTCATATTGGCTATTGTTTATTTATTGAGATACCACAGCAGAAAGCATGCAAGACATTTTCGTTTCTCTCTCTCCGATATTTTTCAAGCACAAGAAGCCCTCAAAAGCGAGATGTCGCGTGGGTTCACATACTCAGGCGGCTTTCCGACGGTGTGATCCTCCACAAAAGGTGGAACTGCTCCGAAGCCATTGGCATTGTGAAATAGAGCAATATCTCTGTTGACTCTCTTCGACAGCCATGCATTCGCCGCATAGGCCGTGTTCTTCTTGCTGAGATGGACAACAGCGACGGGGAGTTTGTTCTGCTCGGGCAGATGGCCTAGCTTGGCGTCGTATGTTGTATGGCAGATATCGAAGACGAAGAAAACTCGCGTCTGCCACTTTTGTGCAGCTATCAGCCTTGTTGTTGGGTGCACTTCTTGTGGGATATAGAGATGACTCGACTTGAGGAGGCGGATGGCTTTGGGTAGAAGAGCCTCTGGGTTGTTATGCGCTTTCGATATCTGAGAGCTCCGGTGCGAGACGATGACTAGAACCCGGAGAGGGTTTCCGTGGGACATTGTAGGCTATCGTTGTGAATAGTCCCCTTCTGTCTCTTTGGATAGTCCTTCACCAGAACAACGAGAAGAATATGTGAATTGTCTCTATCTCTCTATTTTGTCTTTGCTAGACAGCACGCTACTACATGAAAATAACTCAGGGTCTTTGACCGGTGTTTAAATATTTTTCCCCTGCTGATACACGGGGGGCAAAGTTCGGTGTCTTAGTTGGACTGAATGCTAACCTTCCAATGCCCGATAGTCTGGGTCGTTGGAACCGAAATGTTTACCAGGAAATGGTCGTCTGCCATTGCCTCAAATTCCATGTAATGCTGACAGCCACGTATAAAGGACTCGAGGTTCAGCTGGACATCAACGCTGCTGGGTACCTGGTGACTGGGTTGTAAGTCGGGATGGCACTCGTAGGCCAGTCTGACATGGAATTGTGTACCACGTAACAAAACCGTATACATCGGAGATGGTAAAACATTCCAGAATCAAAAAGCGCAGAGTCTCAGTACGATTTAAACCAAGGCCCGTCAGCAAGAATGTCTATCGCCGAGGTCGTGTGTAATTGCTCGAAGGCGGTGGCTCGTGGATTTTCTCCCCCGTGTTTTGCTTCTTCAACGCGTCAAGCCCGCCTCAGAAGACAAATCTTTTCGCGATGAATGATGAGACGACCTCCTTGCTCACTGAGCATTTCAGTTACACACCCCTAGTAAGTCAATCTAGCCCGATCCGCATTGAATGCTGTACGCGCGACCTGCAACTTAGGACCCACCCCTTGCGACTAGGCACATCGCTGACAGCTCCGTAGTCTCTTATAGACGACATTATCAATTCGATCAACAATTTGATTTACCAAGCCATCTCGAGCTTGGAAGCTGGACTGCTCAATACTCCCCCGGAACGGCTTGGCTTCTCCCATGACAGCAGCGGTCCCAGCATCGCGGAAACAGACGAGGACGGCAATGTGGTTTATCCCGAGGCGAAGCTAGAGATCGAGAATGGATTGCATCAGCTCGAGACGTTGCTTGAGGCCAATGTCGATAAGGCCTTCGACAAGTTCGAGATCTATGTGCTGCGCAATATTCTCACGGTGCCTGGCGATTTGCTCTCCTGGGTGCGGTTGAAGCATTACGAGGTATGTCGGGTTACTTCCGAATCTGTTCAAATAAATATGAACGGGAAAGTGTTAATGCACCTTGCTCTAGGGTCTCTCCTTCGAATCCTCACCGGACACGCCGACACCGGAAACCATCCACGCGCAACGCAAGAAATTGTTCGAGACGAAGAAACTGAACCGGTCGCTCAAAGAGGAACGCGCCCGAAACGATGCAGTCATCTCACAATTGCAATCTATCCTGTCAACAGTCAAGACGGCGAAGGTGAATGGCGTGCCCGTGGCGACCGAAAACAAGCCACTGGATTTGTCCTTCTTGACATCCAACCCAGCCGCACGCCAGCTTCGTGTCGGCGTCGATGCTGGGCCAAATGCCAAACCCACGCCTCTCACGACGAACACCACTTTCATTCTCTCGCAGCTACCCGCGCTGCAGACGACACTCGAACAGCTCCGGCCGAAATTGGCATCCCTGCCCAATGCAACGGTGCCAATGGAGACCAAGTCGAAGCGCGACGAGAGGAAGGAATACATTGAGAGCAGGATTCGACTACATCTCGAGCGAGCCGGTCAGCTTGCTATGGGTGACGACGGTAACCCAGTCGTCGCAGGCCGCAGAATCGACATTAGAGAGGCTCATGCCCTGGAGAGCGTGGCCAACATGCTTACGCAAGACAAGTCTGTGTAAGAGGACGTGCATGTGAGAAATGTTTGGATCTACAACTCTATTTTTGAATATGTACTGGTCGCTTTTTTTTAAGACCAAGAGATGCTCCATGTCTCCTGGGTCTTTCTGAAGGGAACAACGTCAATCTTGTCTGACTGAAGGATCTCCGAGATCTTCTCGCCCTTCTTATCGATGGTGATGAATTCCTTCTGCTCCTCAGGGAGACCATAGAAGGCCCGTCCGAACTTGCTCATAAAGCCCTCGACGATTTCTGGCGTGATATCTTCCTCCTTGAGGACACCGTTGTCGCAGGCCTGCTCGAAGGCATCGACGACAACCTGTGTGGTGTATGGCTGAGTGAAAACACCGGCAGCAATCTTCTCGCCACCACGCTTGGAGGCAGACGGGTGCGGGGCACTATCGGAGCCAAAGAAGAACTTGGGGTTACCTGAAACAGCGGCACGGAGAAGGGCGTCGCGATCGGCCGGGGTCTTGGCAACGGGCTTGCAGAAGCAGAATGGGTCACCAGCCCAGGAGTCGATGATGATGGATAGATGATGAGCTGTGATAGTACCGGAAACAGTGGGGCCGCACTTCTTCACAGCCTCCACAGCCGCGGCTGTGGTGCAGTGCTCCAAGATAATGCGCAGCTTGGGGAACTTGGAGTGCAGCTCGAAGAGCTTGGGAAGGAACCGCTCCTCCGCAGACAGGACCGTCACGTCGCCTCCGGAGGGGCTTTCTCCGTGCAGGTTCAGAATCATGTTTTGCCGCTCCATCTCCTCGAACACGGGATAGAACTGCGTGTAGTCAACCACACCGGAGGAGGAGTTGGTCGTCACACCAGCCGGGTAACTCTTGACACCGGTGATGCCGCGCTTCTTAGCTTCGATAATGGTCTCCGGGGTCACAGTCTCGTGGAGGTACAGCGACATCAGGAAGTTGACGTTTGGCTCGAGGGCTTGCAGGCGCTTCTGGTAGTCCAATGCACGGTCGACGGTCGTGATGGGTGGCACAAGGTTGGGCTATTGAGGTTGTTAGACATAGCTCAGAAAGACCCATTTTCCCGAGCAAAACAAAATATCCCCTTACCATAACGAAAACGGTGTTCACACCTCCCTGTCGGATAGTGGGAGTCACCAAATCCATCATTGGACCCTCACGAAGATGGACTATATTTGGTCAGCTTGCTGCATCTATCATGCATCAGTTCTCTCCCCGGAATTGTTTAGTACCATGGAAGTCGGCCGAGGCGGGGAGCTTGACTCCCTGTAGCTTAGAGAGAGGCATTCTGTGTATTTGATAACTCGTCAGTCCAGATATTTGAATTGAGTCTAATTGCAAAGCCTGGAGTATCCTTGCAGTTATGTTCAAAGGCGGGAGTCGATCTTCACTTTTGCCCCGCGGTTTTTCCCAGGTTCTGCCGGGGGGCGGTGGCAACCCCGGTTCCCCGCCATCGACTCCATTTTCCCTCAAAAGAGATCAACATGTTCATCAGCGAAATTGTCTTTGGGATTATGAGAAATAGATCCGGGAATAAGGATTTTCTCATCTCACCCGCAGCATTCCCTCTGCAGGGATGTTTTATCTCAAACTCCCTACAGAGTACGGGGTACTCTGTACTATGTGCAGTGGCACCTCTGGGGTAGTACTCGGAGAGGGACATGATATACAAGAGAACGAGGCCTAGATCTATTCATCAGATGCATGGGTTCCCCGAATAAGCACGACCAGGATGTGTGTTCCTGAATCCCCGTTGCCGCTGGTGGCCCCTGCTACATACAATGCTCGGCGCTTCGCCGCCGCCTATCAGAGGCCATAACCGTCACGCCCCCACACAAGATTTGGATATCTAGGAAACGAATCAGATCTATCTCTCCGTTGTTGGTCTGATGCAGATCCGGCTCAGATTCTATATTTGGGTCTGCTAGGCGCTTCGACGGTGTCCGTCCAACGATATCTCTGCCAAGTCTGCATGTTGGCGCCGAGACATTTTATGCTTCGATGTACTCCGTCCAACCCCAGTCCCAAGACCATCGTTTTACACTGCTGGGTGGTCCTGGAAATCTAAATTATGAGCCTAGGGCGAATCAGCACGGTCGCCTTCCCACCGAGGCGCCCTGCCTGTCTTTATCCAGTAATTTGGGCTGAATATCGTCTTCAGGGCACGCGCTCATTCGGCATTCTCAATTGTGATGGCAGGGCGCTCGCTAAGCCAGTAGCTAAAGCAAATTTAGGATCATCTTTTGACGAACATACATATCCCACCTGATCTCCGGTATCGATTATTCAAGATCAAGTTGGTTGAAAATAATACCTTCCCTTGTCTTTTTATCGCCCCTGAGGGGATTCTTCGTTCTTTCATATTCACTCCTGGGGGTATCCTTGCCGGGCAAGGTCGTTACACACAATTTCTCGACTATTGTTTCTCAGCTCACGCCCAACGACATTCTTTCTCTCATCATGACCTCAAACTCGTCCCTTGCCGGATCAGGCACCGCTTATTCTTCAGACATGGAAGAATCATCATTTCTGAAACGTAGTCGTGTCATTCACTTTGCACGGCTCGGTTTATCCTTCTTGACCTTCAGCATCGCTATTGCTGTCGTAGCATGCGAAGCCCCACCCTTGCGGCATTACAAAAATACCTCCCAATGGGCGAGTGCTGGTCTCGCACTGTGGCCTTTGAACTTCGATCTCCGCCCCACAGTTGCAGCCATTGCCTGTGGATGCATAATTGCCTTCTTGAACCTGGCTTACATTGCCGCTGCGCTCCTACCATCTGTGAGTTCCACCTCTCCTACTGGATATGTGACTACATTTGATATCATCTACTAACCCACATTCAAGCCGCACTCCCGCATCAAGTCTATCAACATCTACGCATCAGCCTCAGCCTTTGCTGGATTTGTAACCGCCCTAGTCGGCATCCTGTTTATCATCTACCTACCCTCTTCGGAATATCCCGCAGGTTTCAGCAAGAATGAAACTCTCCACAGCTGGACTTGCAGGTGGCAGAACGGGACAAGTAGTACCAAGAGTCCCCGTCACTTTAATCGTGACTGTATCAATACTCGTGCCGGGTTTGTCTTGCTGTGTGTACTTGTTGGAATGGAGGTCCTGATGGGCCTTGTTGCTGCTGCAGGAATGTGGTTGCAGCGGGATGTTTCTCGTCGTCGTGAAGCGCAGTTCCAACTTGAGAAATTGGAGGTTGCCACCAAGCATGTGTACCGGAATTGATGGGAGGCTGTGGTTGAAGATTGCCCGAGGATCTAGGGCCTTGTGAGCGTGGCGTTGGTGTCTTGATCTACCTGTATGAAATGATTTGTTACTACTATGTTGAATGGGAAGCATGTATTTGTGGATATCTATGCTGGGCATAGACTGATTGCGAATTGAATTTCCACCATTTTCATAATTGGAGGCTGGTCTCATTCTATGGTTATATCGCAAAAGCTTCAATGAAAATATGTAAAGAGCCGCTCTCAGCTTAAATATGACTTTGTTTTGGAGCCCGCATCTTCAAAATGCAATCCCTAATCCCAACCCCACGAGAGCCAACCAACTGCCAGCTGAATTCGCCGCCGCTGCCCCCTCCGATGGACTCGTCGACTTCTCGTGGGCACTTAAAGTTGGTGTCGGTGTAGCAGTAGTGGTAGCTATAGTATAATCTGTCTCGGTCGGTTGTGCGGCATTAGAGCCAGGACGAGTCCATGAGGGTGCAACGGTGGTCAATCCCACATCGTATGCATTCGCAGTGGCGCAATCATTCATGCTGAGGACTTGAGCGGCAGACCGTGCTGGGTCATCATCGGAGCAGTCTACATAACAACTATTTAGTTATGTCAGCACTCTGAGTTCAATCTTTGTATGGGATAACTCGTTGAAAGGTAGGGTCAGTCACTTACTTGGCGATATTTGCAGCGCCTGAACATTTGCAATCCCAGTCACTTTCGGAACATTGCGTGAATTTTACTTTCATGGCTGCGACGCATGAATCTACAAGTCTATTGCTGGTAAGTACCCACTCTTTAGGATCAAATATCATTGGGGGCTGAGAAGCTTACTTCTGAGAAGCACAATATGAGTTGCTGTTTGTGTTTGCAGATGTGGGCGTGCCATCTTGAGCGGCGACAAGGGTAGCTGATACAGCGAGGAGGAGAGAAATCTGAGTGGTAAGGAGATGCATCTTGAAGAAAGAAACGTATGTCTTAGTAGGTGGTGTAGGTCAAATCTGGGGATTTAGACTTCCAACAAGTATATTATACCCTCTAGGGGCGAAAGCCCAGGTTTTACACGTTACATCATCGAGTACAATGGAACCATTCGTCTTTCACGTTGTATCTATCTATTCCTGGCTGACAGGTGGAGTCTGAGGAAAGTCCCCACGTGGAAAAGTGCCTTGATTCAGGCTCTGTCCGCGCAGGCACTATACATGAGGTCAAGCCCAAGTGCTTGAACTCTACCTGTATAAACTTACATGAGATACACAGATCATACCGTTAGTTAGTTCATGTTGTAGAGACTTATATTCATAAAACGGAGTGTGTTGGGCTAATATGCTACCCCCACAGGCAATACGGTATCCTAAGGAGGATCTTCAACCCAGAGGATTCTAGCCCAAAACGGTGTCTCTGGGCCCAGTTAAACTTGCAAGTAACCATATAAATAGATGACAAGATGCTCTGTCGACATCATGACTTTTTTCGACGTCGCATTCCGGATCGGGATTACATTCCTTGATTCCCCTGGTTTTGTTGGCCAATGGCCGACTCCATAGAGCCGCATTAGGAATGTTCGAAGCGTGTACCTGAGAAGATCCAGGGCCATTGATTGGGCTACATAAAGATATGCATCAGATTGATTTCATAATAAATGACATATAAAGATGTTGAAATACGCATTATGGCTGATACTCGCCTTTACGGATATGATTAGCGAAGACCACCTCCCGAACTCACTAAGTGACCGTAAGTAGAGCACTTATATCCTCGTAGGGCAAATTTCATCGAGGCACCAGATGAATGGGTCTTACATGTTCATGCTCACAACGATTGTTATCAAAAATCTTCATCGTCTCCCACCAGGGTCACTGGCGATTTGTGATTATATCGAGCATAGCTCATGTGCTCGACGTACTGGCCCCACCAACCCCAATCATATCAACCTTGGAACGTAACCAACCCTCACTCAAAGTGTCATCCTCGACTGCCCGCGGTAATGAGAATGAAGAACAAATCCACTTGAAGATAAAGAATCACGAAGTACATTTAGGGTGTTGCCGGGTGATCTGCGGAAATCGGGTTTCCCTCGATGCCGAGCCGATTCGGGCTGCCTCCGGTGGAGCCGAACCAAAAAGATTCTGTTCCAGTGGAGTAGAACTGGCAAAAAATGATGACCGACGCAGGGATCGAACCTGCAATCTCTTGATTCGTAGTCAAGCGCCTTGCCATTGGGCCAGCCGGCCTTGTTGTATTCAGTTGCCATAATGTGTACTAAGTTCGGCAACCCAGTCTCTCCGAGTCTCAGGCATAATGGTATCATCGCCAGCCATCGCCAGCCACTTGAAGGCGGCGTGGAGGTCATGATATAACCCTGAATAGATATCGTTGAGGGGGACTCAAGATAAATGATCGGAAACTCATAGCCTGATATTTGTCGGGGGAAAGAAACCCTGGAACAGAAGTCGAAACAAAGTGTCGCCCAGACGGCGCTAAGACCTCTAGGGCTCATGCAAGGGACTTGAACACGACTATCACGTTGAGATACAGTACCATGGGGGACTTTTTGGAAGTAGTCATTGCAGCGAATGGGCTCGTTATTCCTCGGCCTTGAATCAGAGGTGTTGCTTAGTGCTAGTGAGGGAGGGAATTGAATGTAGGTATGTTAAGTAGACTTTGGCTATCTGCCGATGTGAGCATCATTGTAACTTGTGAAGCCGTGGATGCAAAGAGTTGGGTTGCGTTAAACAACAGCGATATGTCATCAGGCGGCTGTACAATATAGAAGTGAATACATGTAATAAATATATGTAGCATGTATGCAATGCAAAACTCAATCGAGTGTTGATAACAGAAGCTACAATGGCTGAGGGAATAGTCTCAATACAACCAATCACTAGCCAAGAAGTAGTCATAAGAAACAGGCACAGCAATTTCAAAATACCACCGACATAAGGCGGGGAAGATACCTACGTGTCTACATGTAGGAAAGTGATGTTCTGCACGTGATTGCATTTTCGTTATGTCGCAGCCAATGAACTCCCCTTCTCCGATAACGACCACACCGCCTCTGGCAGAACCTTATCGCCCTTCGAGACGCGCCGTCATTTGAGATCTTCTCTTGTCAAAACCATCCACAGCAAAACACATTGAAAATGGCAAAGGCTGCTGTGCCAATTACTGAGGATCCTGATGAGGAGGCCTATGATTCTGCTGAAGATGAGGATTTTGAGCTAGACGCCGCACAGGATGACTCCGATTTATCTTCCGACGCCGATGAGGCCGTGGAACCCGCAAAGAAGAAGCGCAAGACAGTCACTCAGCCACAAATCCCGGAAGCGGAGGAGCTTGACTCTGGAGATGAGGCCACTATCACGAAAGCGAGAGAGAAGAAAGACAAGAAGCGCAAGGGAAAGAAACCGAAGGGCAAACACGCCCGCGACAGCGACTCAGACGAGGACATCGACATTGACGATGAAGAAGGAGGGGCCGGGGGATTCGTGCGAACACGCGCAATGAGACAGCACATGTGAGTTTTCTTCATCGCAAAGCAGTTTTGCGATCAACACAATTCCCTTCTCCACATAATCTCTCATTTGCTTGCTATCTGATGCTAATATAGATTTCCCCCGCAGACAAGAAGAACGGCGCAAACCGCTAGCCAAAATTGATGGCGCAACCGTGGATGTCGACGCTTTATGGGAGCAGATGAATGCCCCTCAAAGCTACACCGGCCTGCAGACACCCCAAACCCAGCAGCCAACCGAACCCACTGCAGCTGAACCAACAGGCGAATTGAAAGCACAGGAACAGGTTGCCGGAGATGCCGAACACAAGACGGGACCCGCCGATGAGATGATCAAAATTAAGCGCACCTACAAGTTTGCCGGAGAGTGGACTACCGAAGAGAAGCTAGTGTCCAAACACTCGGCAGAGGCCAAGGTGTTTTTGGCAAGCGGGGAGAACGTCGAGTACACAAAGGAGGATGCTGCGGCTGCAACTCGTGCGCGTGGCCTGCAGCGACCGCTCCGCAAGTACTCCCGATTTGACCCCAACCCGCCCGGTTCAATTAAGAAAAGCTGGGAGAAGCAGCCTGTGTCGGATGACAAGGACGCGCGCGGACCCAAGATCAATACCGTGGAGAAATCTCGACTCGACTGGGCCGAGTATGTCGACCAAGCCGGTATCAAAGACGAGTTGCGCACGCACAGCAAAGCCAAGGAGGGCTACATCGGTCGTATGGACTTCCTGGGTCGCATGGAAGACAAGAGGGAAGAAGAGAGACGATCTGCACGACGCAAGGGAATCTGAAAAGCAGCTCTCGTATGGAGTGCACTTGCTATCCAAAACCCTTCTACCGTTTGAGATCCCTTTCCCTCACTGTGTGCTCAAAGGACCTGGTTCCTTCCGATATTGTGGTATGAGGGAACCCCCCTGTGTCATATGAACAACCCCAGCAGCGATATCTTTCTTCGGTCAACAGCTTGATCGATTCCGCTTGAAAGGATGGCATCTGCCTCACCGACCCTCAACGCATGATGTGTTCTACATCCACTACATGGAAATATCAATGGCCGAAATGCATTCATAAAGATCGCTGGCATCTTGCCATCAAGACTTCTTGCTTCCAAAGGAGCAGATAATCTACGGGCCTGCCGCAGAACCACCGGTCTACATCTATATCCATTGAAACATCTGCAATCAATGCCATCGGCAATTGTTTCAGATTAACGAGAATTCGAATTTGCACTACCCACATGTACTTTAGCAATAATCCAGAGATACCATTCCAGCCCAAATTGCATATGCAAATTAAGAAACATAATCATGACTGAAACAGCAACCCCATTGTATATTTACTTGGGCACATACTTGATGCCACTGCTAGAGCAACCGGAGTTGGCAACTAAAAGGGACCAACTGTCAGAAAAGCACAAATCAAATAATCCGATGGTAAACTTACGCGAAGCAGCAGCCTTGTACGTCCCATCAACAGCATTGCCCTGGACGTTATAGAAATACCAAACCTGGTTCAACTTGCCACTCGAGCAGCCGAGGTAAACCTCCGCGCCGTGCATCTTCGTAAGGGCAGCCTGAATCTCCTTGGAAGTGTAGGTAACGGAGTTACTGGGGGTAATGCCAGCATCGGCAAGAGCCTGAAAGAGCCGTCAGCATCCCGACAGAAACGGATATCAAAACCCCATCACACGAAGGGTAAAGCGGGAAGGGGGAGCCTACCTGGTATGTATCCAGTCCCTGGAACAAATCAACCACCTTCTCAAAGTAATCACCCACTTCTTCCTGCGCCGAGTAGCCGGAATAGCAGCTCGGCTCGATAGTGTTGATACAAGTACCGTGCTTGTTCCACTCGTGCGCCCAGAATGACTGGTTGTCCCCGTCGATATCCACCCAGTACTCGTCCATGTAGTCGACGAGCTGACTGCGGCCTTGCGCCTGCAGGATCGCTGTGATGTTGCTGTACGACCGCGACGAGTCGCAGCTTGACTCGTATGTGCCGTCGCAGTTGTCAGGCCTGGGGGTGGGTTTAGTTCCCTTGTATATTCTCTTGTGAGGGATGTGGGATATCACTATACGTACCACAGACCGTGGATGGTCCATGAGTCGTCGGGTCCAGTTGATGGGCTGGTGTCCCAGAATTGAGTCAATAGGAGGGCGCCGCCTGGATAGTTGAAGCAGCAGGTGGGGGTTGTCGAGGAGCTCACGCAGCTGTACGCGGTGTCGGTCCCGCAGGCTTCCAGGGAGGCGGTTGTGCCGCTGACCAGGGTCATTGCTGCCAGAGCGAGCATGCCCGCTGAGGGTTTGGGGGACATGTTGGGATATATATTGGAATAGTAAGAATTGATGAATTGGAGAGAAATGGAAGAGGACGATCCACGAGTTTATAGTTTTTTTTCCTCACCCTATGTTAAAAGCAGCCATGTTTCGACATCAAACATAGGTGTAGGAGACATAATGCACATGCACCAGATAGCATGCTGATTTGGTTTCGGACGTCGCCGCGTATGCCTATCGTCTGAAGATGAAGTGACGTGAAGTACAGTAGTGCCGCTAGAAACGGGAGACGATCATCGGGCGGGGCATGTCGAGTACGGACTCTTCGCCAATGATGAAACAGAGACGCACAACGGGCTCTAGCGCTGAATCAGAGGCCGACGGTCTTCGTCTGAAGAAGACCGATGGGATGTTGAGGTTGCATTGTCCGCGGGCTGCTCCTTCGGATCTCCGACTGTCGATTTCAACCCCGCAAGATTGAACCTGCAGATCGCTCCAATCCTGGCAAACCAGAACACTAAGCCCGGGATACCGCAAGGGGGATACTCGTTTTATCTGAACTCTGGCGTTGCTTCGCTTAAAGACATGGTGTGAGAATTTCCCGAAGGTGGGATGACACGCTACTGGGTAGATTCTACGGGGTTTCTCTTCTGCGCCACTTCTGCAGGACGACAGTGCGTTCTCCACATAAGAAAACCCGTGCCAAATCGCTTGGATGGGAATGAAATTGAGGGAAATCTAGAAGCTATTCAGATAACAGAGGTTCCTGCTCGTCATCGGCCGGGGGAGGTCCTAGGCGAACGTGCCAAACGCCGATGACAGCAACAACAAAGAAGAGAGCGGCTTGCAAGAATGGGAGGCCTGTCCACGCATACCCAAGATGCATGCCTAGCCGGAACAGGTTGGCAAACAACGGACCCGAAATGAGTGTCCCTACGCCCTGCGCAATAGCAATTGCCGAGTACAAGGTGCCAACGTGATTGGGTGGTACCAGCGAAGTGGCCAGACTGCGTGTGTTGACCGAAAATGCCGAGCCGATAGATAAAAACACCACACCACCGATCAGGATGGCCGGTGTTGGGGCCGCAAAGACAACAGTGAACCCGATGATGGATAATACACCGGTGCCTTTGCTCATGAACTTGTCGCTATATTTCCCGTGGATATTCAGATGTTTAGCAGCTAGAACGGTTAGAGAGGGCATGATAAGCAAGTATGTCGCGAGCGCAATGATCCCACGCAGTGAGATCAAGAGACTGGCCTGTGCAATTGTTAGTATCTGGGGATGAAGTGAGAGAAAGGGCACATACACGACCAATGCTCCAGTCGAACTTCTTCGATACATATTGTAGAAGCAGGTTTGTGCACAGTCGGCTCATGATTGTGACAAACAGCACGAGGACCATTATACAGACGTTGGAATCACCCCAAATACAGCGTGTTGACTCGATGAAATCACGAACTTGTTGGGTAAGCTCTTGCAAGATCGGTTTCTTACTCGGGGACTGTGACTGCCCGTTTTCATCATTTTGCTCTGAGCTGTCTAGGTTGACCCGCGGCGATTTTCTGGTTGGGAGGGTTTCCGGGAGGAACAAGATTGGAATACTTCCCACCAAGATCATGCATAGTGATAGTATATAGGGGAGCATTGGACCAAATGTCATCAGGTAGGCACTCAATGGTGTGGCCAAGACCTCTGCAATCTGGACGCAAGACTGTAACCGGAACAATGCAGTTGCTCTGTAGATGGGTTAGATTTGCACAGAAAGGCTCGCGACATGACAGTACCTTTCATCTTCGGAAAAAACATCGGTGACTATGACCAAGGAAATGGCTGTGACCACTTGTTCGCCACCGCCAATGATTTTGAAGACAGATGATAACCAGACCATCCGAAGAGGCAGGACATTGGAAAACAGACCTAACAGAGAGGCAATCAGTAAAGCATCCAAGGCAACCCCGGAATAATCCACCCACAAACTATTCTCATCCAAACCTCCGCAAGCAGTATGCCAATGATACAAAGATATAAGATAGGTTTCCGCCCCCACCTATCCGAGAGAATACCGTATGGAAGTGCGAGCAGAAGACCTGCGTTGGCAAAGCATCAGCCTCCACGCATCACTATATCGTATATTGTAGAGTTCCCATACCAGGCAGCACATCAAAAGTCTCGCGGTATCCTATCACGAGGGCCAATTCGCCCTGCACGGCCTCTGATTTACATGGATTGGACCCCGGAGGCCCCAGAGTGCCGTTCCCCGCCTTGTGGAGATCGGCCTGGTAGTTTCGACAGATGATATCTTCAAACACCGCCAGCTGCGGTGCAGCCGACATGTAGAACCCAAAATCGGCAGTGAGCAAGAATATAGCACACACGATAGAGATAAAGAATTTCCTCGGGTGCTGGGCTCGTGGTCTGGCGTGTGAGCCCAATAGGGGCTCTGTTTCGGCAGGCATCGTGTCCGCCGTGAAAGGAGTTGGGCTATTATATTTCAGCGCAGACGGGGGATCCCTCGTGGTTAAGAAGGAGGGTTCCTAGACATCAGGGATGAAATGTAGAGAAAAGGAATTGCCCCGTAAATTGCTGCCTTTGCTTATGCGAATGTCCCAGTCCAATGGCCGTTGGAGACCGTTGGCGTCCTTCGGCCCCCCGCTAATTTCCTTTGTTGAGCAATCGTCTATACATCCTTCCCTTCTTTTCTAAAGACGGATCCTCAATTTCGATTTTACCATTGTTCTCGGTTTCTTATTCCGATTGTTCTTTTTGGAAAATCCTGTCCCATTCTGCTGGTGTTCTGGAGGAAGATGCTCGGCATTCGTTATCTCTAGAGTCGGGGCTCGGAGCTCGGGTTCGGAGTTCGGGGCTCGAACTGACTCTCCAATGGACATGTAAGACGCCTTGATTTTCCTGTCATTTTCAGCCTCACAGGAATTGATCTCATTGCGCAGAGATCCGTGGCACAATATCCTGGAGCAGCGTCAACCTTCAGGTCCTGCCCGAGATCGTGCGAGGGCTGTTGTGCACCCGAATCAGCATGAACACTTGGCCCAAAAACAACCTGGCGTGCAGTGCAACCAGCCACATGACCTGTCTGCGGCTCTCGTTTAAGTCCGAGGTGCATCTGTCCATCCAGAGCACATAGTGAAACAGGCATCTTCCCAACAGGAACACACCCCTTCATGATACTTACCATCGGCCTGATAACGCATGAGCCAGTCTGTCCTTCAATACATTGACTCTTGACATTCATTAGCGCATGCATATTCTCTCTCCGTCATGAACTACCGGTACAGGGAAAATGTTCGATTACAAATTGCGACGCCACCCGAAGCTTCAATCGTCACCTCGCAGGACAAAAGTACCTATCGAGTTTTGTTGATTTGAATACGAAGTCCTCCGTACTCCGTACTCTGTGCATGTGCCCAATCTGCAATTTCCCGTCGCGCCTTCTGCGTGTGCCCGAAACTTCTCCTTGGGATTCCAAAGCCAGCCGCCGTGTTAGAGAGGGACCGAGTCTGCATCAAAATCAGGAGACATATCCAGACCCCGGGGAGTTTCTTCGGGGAATTAACTTTGGTTTCATTTTTTTCACTTTTCTTTATGTTCGCTGTTCTGGTGCATAACCCGAGTGGGCAATGGAGGTCCCTCTGTTCGAACCTAACCACGCAAACCAACCGAAAGGGACATGTACTGGAATTCAATCAGTGTATCTTCGCCGGGTGGGTTTACTGCACGCCGCATTGTACTGATCGAGTGAATTCATTGGAAGTAAACTCTAGGGCTAATGTTTCGTACTCCGTATGACAAACCAAAATCATAGGAAGCTCGCGGAGCTCATTCGACCTGGGACTCTTAACTCAATGCGATCCTACTAACTCAGGAGCGCTCGGTTTGGTTTCAATTCGACTAGGTGTACAGATCAAATGGAATCAACAGTAAACGCGACATAAAAAGTCCATTCTCGTGAAGCTGCCTAGGTGGTTATGGTTGGTGAACGAGCTAATCTTGAATATCCGAGTAGAATGGATAAGCTCCGTTTTACCATCTCATTCCGTCTGAACTCTCCATTTAAAGCTGTTCCTTCGTTCTGAGTTGTCAAAGGTTCCAAATTCCCCCAGATTCTTGAATTATCTTGATATAGAATCAAGAATTTCCTCACCCAGGAGTGGTGCAGGCTACTTGTCGATCTTGTCACTTATCCCTTCTCCGCTGACTTATTCGTCATCCTTCAACAACCATGCCGGGACTTGAATTGGGCTAGCATCGGATCCCAAGGAGTGAATAGATTTCTTGTCAAGGCTGGGGTTGTTTCGCAGGAAAGATTCCAAAGCCTATGCACCGGGTTTCCAGCCACCCGCTTGCCAAATCTTGCTTTGCGGAGTGTAAGTCAATGTTCCTAGCAGTTGCTTTGTGGCTCGAAGTTCACCAGTTAGCGACTCGGTCCAGGTCTTGGTCCATTGGAGGGTTCTAAGGGTTCTCTTAAGGGCTCGGTCCTGTTCGTCTCGAACTGATTCGGGGGAGCATGTGTCTGTTTGGTGTTGCTTCAAATCCTCGGATTCTGTTTTGTTTTACCGAAGCCCATGTGATATGCTAAAACTACATGAACAACCCGAAAGGTCTTTTAGAGCTCTAGCAGTCCTAATTCCACGCACTGAGATATGTCTGCTTTTCTGTTGAATATATCCATATGAAGCGAGGCGTGCTTATTGAGGCCCCGTTGCTCAAATCTCAAGATGGTAGGCGAGCAAGATGGAGCTGGCAGGCTAAGGGGCCTTCGTTTGCGGCTGACCTTTGAACGCGAGCCTCATTGATGTGGGAAAGCATAGGCAAGCAGTAGATCGAGCGTCCAACGAATGCTGGCTTCATTAAGTGAACTTTTGGAACGAGTGGCATCAGCTTTCGTTTAGACCCTCTTAAGCTCGGTCGGGGTCGGAATAGAAGGGACATGCGCAAGCTCATCGTCTTCTTGGGTTGCTCTTAGATGAAGTATCTCCTCGACTTGCTTAGTATCAAGGTCGCCGACGGCGAGGGTTGGCAGCTTCTGAGGTTTCCTTCGTGAGCCATAATACTTTTCTCTAAGTTCGTCTTGAGTCAGGCGACCGTCAAGGAAGTCTTGTGTCATGGTCAACACCTGCTGAAGTTCATTGTGCTGGGCCTTGAAAATGAGAATGAAGACCTTTTGTCGAACGTTGAATCTTGACGGCATGATGGTTTGACTTGGAGGATTAGGTGAATGGGAAATATACCGCCGTTTAAACAGGACACTGTCGCATTCAATAGATCATTGTTTGTAATGGTGAAAATGTGTCCACCCGTGTGACAAACCTCTTTACCCCAGAGCGAGATGTGGATTGTTTCCACCGAGATATGAATGCTTGATTATAGGCATTCGAATCTCTACATGGTGAAACTGGTTGATGTGTCCACAATTACCACGGGGGTGGTAATTGAAGTGTTTTTGGAAGCGTGGTCTTAAGATATCATGCGGAGGCCGGTGGTGGAGTGACAGACAATGACATCGATCTAAATTGAGTCAGTTGATTGTGCTCCCACGGTACTAGGTCTGAGTGTTCACCTTGGGTCATATCAAGTATTTGTGATTCGAGATTTGTAATCGGCAGTCTTCAAAAGTGATGTGAGATTCAACCACATTAGAATGCCACCCGACATCATGTCGTGACTCCCAAGCATATGGGCAATGGGTGAGAAGCAACGGTCACAAAGACCTGCCCGCCTTTTTTGTGCCCAAGCACGTCAAAGAATATTGATGGAAATGAGGAAAGCGAGGTTAACAATGATAGTCGATTGTTGTGGTTGGATGAAGAGAGGAGACCAGTGGGATGAGACAAGCCCGATGGACTTGGTGGCTGGGGGCTGGGGGCTGGGGGCTGAGGGCTGGGGGCCGGAGTCACCGCCCCGACGACCGCCCCGACAAACGTTGACAGACTTCCAAGGCGCTCCATTTCCTCTATACAATTCCTACTTCTGCCATTTATCTAAGGAATACCTAGGCCGTTATCATTAAAGTCTGATGATATATCGTATATACTGAGCACCTTACTTGAACACCCTACTATCGTTTCTGGCTAACAGTGTTTAGACTATCAAAATCCGGACAAGGCCTCATTCTTCATCCGTTGTGCATCTGCCAGGGACATGCTAGCAGAGCCATGATGGTAATAAGAGATTCTACCTCTGTTACCCTCGAATTCAAAGGAATACATCTATCTTTTGAGGTAGAACAGTCCCCATGCAAACCGGGTGTGATTGATCTGGGACTCAACTATCGAAAATCTCGGCCAGTTGGCCCGCTAGCCACCACGTCCTGGATAGGTTCAACCAGTTCCACCGTAAAGTGGACAACTCGAGAGATATTAAGCGAGAATATCACTCCAAAATCATCTTGCGAGCTCGTATTATCTCTGGATAGCGAGCTTGGGTGTGGCATAATCCCCATCGATGAGAATTGACAATCACTTCGACACCTATATCAAACGACATATAACGATCCAAGGCGCGATGTGGTCTTTCGGTCGAGTCTTCTGAGGCGAATAGATCATCAACTCTTGGAGTATAATGGATCTCTGGGCCATTCAGGGTCCAGTGATTTTCCTCGGATCTTATTGAAGATGATCGAAGAGATGTCGAGGCTAGGGCTGGCAGTCTCTGGGATATATTCGATGGACGACGGTGTATTGGTGATGATAGCTGACTCGTTTGTATCCTTCGGACTGGAAGTTGCGGAAACATAGTGGACAGTTGCATTAAGAGCAGGTAGAAATTACTATATTAAAAACGAGGTTCCAACCATGGCATGTCAGAAGATATACCATGTTTGTTGAGGTAGTCACAGCCTATCAGTTGTGTAGTCCTACAGACTCCCTGGTCATTCTCCGTATTGCTGGGGTTTCTTCGATCTCAAATCTTCAGACATTGGTGCCTAGTTATATCAAATGATACCTTGGTCACCAGCAATGAGCTCAACAGACAGTCATGAGTTGGAGCATATTCTTTGACGTCTCTTAATGTCTTGACTGAAGCCACATCCCACGTATTCGTCGGAAGTTCAGGCTTTCGAGGCAGTTTTAGTAGACGCGGCTGATGCCGGCAAAGCAAATGCTGGCCTGCGGGAAATGAACTGAAGCTTGTGCGTTTACCGTTCAAAACTTCTCCTAAAGCTTCGTCCTTGATACCTACGTCGGTCATTTTCGTGTCTGTGGACCGTGAAAACCTATGTATTAAATGAATAATGGTGAAGAGCTGTGTCGAAAAATGTAGACCGAAGATAAAACCTCTGTGTCTACGGGTTATGTGTTTGTGGATCACCGAATATATATCTACGTTCAAGGCTAACATAAGTTCATATATGAAAAGAGAATAGACAAAGACGTTGGTTAACGAGTAATATGAATGTGTCTACTGCTACACATAGATAATCACTCCCTGTGCAAGCGCTATCAAGTCCTGACGAACTAGTTCTGTCGATAGTTCCCAACCCAGTGGATGCCGTAGCAACCGGCACACCACATACACATCTACGGAATCAACAATAAACACCTGTAAGGCCTGAGTCACTCTAGCATTGCCGATAGACTCTCCACCAAGCCCACCAAGTACCACACTGACCCTTACTACCCAACTCAGCTGATACTGATGTCATCGCATTAGAGTTACGCACTATAGCTTCCTCAGGCCAATCTAGCCCAGGCCAACATCTCTGCCTAGAAACCTACACCAACCGCTTACTCCCAAGAACTCTCGTCGGCGACCGTGCCCAGCCCAAAGATACACAGACCGCGATAATCAAGACATGAACAATATAGCGCAACCCTCGCGAGTCAATGATCCGCGTCACAGGGCATTCATCCCAAGCTCGCGTCATGACCCTGTCTCAATTTAACCCGACAATCGCGAATCTAATACGGAGTGCACAGTATGAATACTCAACACGACCCATGCTTCCACGGAGTTCGCGGCTTTGGCAATATGTGGGTTCAAATGAACTGAAACCAAATAACAGCATGTAGGTTTCTCACGGTCGACGAGGTACCTTTGGCCAGGCGCAAGGGCCCAAATATATGATATCATCCAAGATTCCCAGCGATCAGCCCCCTCCCACTACCACCAATCAGAACTCGATCGACCCCCACGGCACCAGGTTAGACATGGTAGGTGCTCTGCAGGGCTGCTGCAAATCACCCATGCCTGACATTCTCCAGATAGTTCGATGTGCAGGGCCGATCCGGTGCTAATTGGAGGCACCTTGAGTCTAGCTCTTGGGAGATCATGGCCCACCATCCTGTATTAGGTGCTTCACTAGTATGGTTACATAAGATTGTGCGAGCGGCGATGCATAGTTCATCTAGAATCCAATTTGGAACCAAGCAGGTCGGTGTAATTGCGCTGGTATGTGATACAGGCAGCATTATTGCACCGCTGCATCTTTGGGACACTGTATGGAGCAAGGCTTTCCTTGTTTTTCCTTGTTTTTTCCTTGGTTTTGTTTTTTGTTTTTTTTTTAGGCTTTGTGAGTTGGATGTTGAATGTGCTCATTTGGTCTCAGTCGCGACTCGCGACTCGCGAGATTGCGGTAATGAGTACCTCGGTACCATCGTGGTACTATCGTGGTACTGCTCCATCACGACTCACATCATGCTGGGAGTAGGCAGGGACAGCCACACGAGGATGCTGGGGAACCCCCTGAAGGGTATCCGGGCTAAAAAAGAAGGTACACGGTCGAGCACCAATCAAAGACCGAAGCCAGGCAGATCGCTGGGAGTTGGTTCCTGGAAACGGGGAACAATCTATGCAAGGCAATGCAATGCAAGTCAGCGAGTATTCACAAATAGGAAAAGTCGAATGTTTTTTTTTTTTCGAATGCCGTCTGGAAGCGCCGTTGAAGAGGACAGCAAAACAAAACAAGCAAGGGATGGACAACGGGGTTCGTCCGAGAGACCCCCGAATGACCTCCGACTGCCGGGCGAGCAAGTACCCTTTTGGGCCTGGTGCATACATCCGGCCAGGCACGTACTATTGATCGCTTTTTGCAGCTTCCGATCTATCATCCTCACTTCCCATAGGCCGCCCCAATTTGGCCCTGCATCCGTTCTGGCCAGACAAATCATTGCCTGCAGTTTGCCAATTTCAGATTCGCTTGTCCACTGGGGCATTAATAGAATCTATGCCAGGGAACCCGGAGTAACGAGTCCCGGGTCGCTTCGCCGCCAAATAATCCTACGTCGTCACATTCTGAGTTCCATTGCTGCACCAGGGGATTACTTTATCTGGAGGGAAAGACATCTGATACCCAGATCCCATTCCAGCACGGTCCTCGATAATATGAGTGCCTCAGCGCTTTGGCACTGAATAACGATACCCTTTATTGGCAAATGGATATCGAACCTAACTTGGAGTATTGGTACGAGATAATAATCACAGCAAAACTATTCTAAAAAAGAAAAAGAAAAAGAAATCCCTCCAAACTATCCAAAGCGTACTCCGTAAACGATTCATGATTCGCGCTCGAAGCCGAACGGCGAACGCCGAGTGATAGACATTCGCAGTGCCATCAGCGGCGTTAAACGGACCTGCAGCACTTGCAGTACGCCGGCATAAACCGGATCTCAGCCTACAGAGCCGAGGGGAAAGCACCATGCATACCGCAGAATGTGAACGTCAATCAATGAGCAGGAAATGGAGGTGCAGACACAATAGTACACCCTACGTGACACAAGAGGGTATGCTGGCCCACAGCCTAGTGACAGCTCCGCATGAACGAGCCGAGGAAAGAAGTTCTTGCCAATAGGACAGTAAGGCAGGATAGGATGAATGGTGGGTGGGGGTGGGGGCTTGCATGTCATGTTCCAAGGTTGATCACCAGGGGTATGTGTCTGGGATGGAGTACTCCGTAATCGTACTTTGTACTTGAGCGGAATGGGTAATCCTCTGCGCTCTTCGAAGAATAAACAAGGATCTGAGAAGCTTGTGCAACTGATAGGTCCATTTTGGCTCCCGAGTACCTGGTTCCTGAGACCTCGGAATCGTGCTAATGCAGCTATTTGGGCGATCCCAGATAGAGTTCGCCAGTTCGGGGTTTGCATTGTGTGGGTTAGTTGGTCTATCATCTTCTTCCGTTTTATGGGAGATGGCAGTAGTTTGGAGTCTCGAACACGCAGTATACCCTGTACATGTGTGTCCCGTTTCGTGCCGGCCTATCTTAGGATCCACGAGGGTACGTAATGTGATCCTATCTTCCATGTCATTCTACGGGAAGGTTGGGAACTTGGCTGCACCTAGGAGAAAATTGTAACATCCCAGTCGGCACAATTGACACACGTCTGAAACCTAGCAATGCGATCAACAGGAGATTGGACATTGTTGAGAGCCATGAGTCGCAGCCGTCTCGAGGATCTACGCGGCCCGTTCAAACCAGCGTGGACGATCAGGAGCGAAAATCCCGCAGTCAGACTTGGTGGCGAGCTGATTGATGTAGATCTCGTTGGCACAGACAAGGCATGTACGAAATCCCGAATCGCCGGCTGATCACCCCAGATAAGCCACATCCCATCGACCGCGCCACTGTTGATCCCCGTGGCGCGACCGGAGGCCTGAATTACGCCTTTGCACGCTAAGGGTAACTGTGCACTATATGAGTCGATGCGAAGCGCAGCTACTATCGAAACCTTCCAGTTTTGGCGCCGCATTGAGAGTGGATTGGATGGAGATTTCGGCAGTGACTTGGGCTCGCGCCCGTATGGATCCTGGTTCCAAATACCGAACGGTCTGCAGATAGATCTGTAGTTCATCATAGTAGTTTCTAGCGTCGATAGGGCTACATATCGACCCAGTGGGTTCGTGGTGAAAGGAAGCCACGTATGTTGGAAGCTATCCGGTCAGACGCAGGGGCTGAGGGATCTGGGGGTTGGTTGGATTTCGGGATTCGGTCGCCCTTACTGCACCTGGATTAGTGCATTAGGGAAATTGGCCAGAAGCTCGGAGTAAGAATTATCAAGGTGGTTCTCCCTGGCTATTGACCGATATTTGCCTCAAAGTTTGTTAGATGGAGAGGTCGGACTCAGATCCAAGGAACCTAAAAAGGACAAAAAAAGAAATGACCAAAAAATCCCCCCAAAAAATCAAAAATTTCGGAGAAGCCGACTGAATAGAAGAATCAGCCAAGTCCTTGGGTATAATTCTCTTTCAAATTCTCGGGATTCGCAAGTACGATAGTTTTGGAATAATTGCAGGAACAAGACGCATCTTATCAATAGGAATGTGAAGAAGCACGTCAAACCGGTTTTCGAGCTCATGGGACGCGGAAAAGTATGCAGGTATATCAATAAAGCATGGCGAAGAAGGGCAGAAATAGCGATGCAAGAAATAGGGTAAATCGAGAAATTGATGTGGGGTGCTTGTCGAAGTGAGATCTGACAGTAGACACAGAACAATATAACTGAATAAGGATCGACCAGAAAACGACAACGATCGACAGAGAGTGCGGGGCCGCGCGAGGAAGAAAAAGGAAAGGAAGAAGCCGACAAAGCCATTATGGCCTAGTTCGAACCTAATTCTCAGGGTTGCATCATTTTCATTGCGGCACAATACGGAGTACCGAGTACCGAGTACCGATCAGTATTCTAAGATTGGGATGCCCACTTATCTTCAAAGCTCATATCAACCTGGGAAGCCCTCGATATACATCAGACAAAGTACCCCGTACTCCGTACAACCTCCTCAAATCCTGTTTCATCCCGACCCGCTAGATGGACCATGCAAGTATGATGTGATACACAGACGAACGACCAAGAAAAAGAAAAGAAAAAAAAACATGGCAGAATTGCAGGATTAACCGAATTCATAAGCCCAGTCGAGCCTGGCCGCCATTTCGCACGCCTGCAGAGACAAACATTCGAGGCCGATCGCTATCTGGACGGTTGAAAGGAAAACCAGCCATGGCATGGCACATCCAAGAATGCGAAACTTTGCCTGTGATTGTTAGCCACGGCAGGTGAACTGAGAAACAGATGCTCTCCAACCAGCACTCCCGTTCAGGTCTCAACTGACGCGTGATGGGTCAGACGCAGGTGCAGCTCAGGCTGATACCATCCGAACCGTTGGGGCGGATGGGCGGTTTGGCGTTTTCTCACGCCCAGCGGGCTGGATATTAGTTGTTCCCCGAGGCTTGCGTTCTTTGTGTTCTTTTGGTGCTTTTTTTTTTTGCTTTTTACTTCTTCTCACATTCCAATGAGGCCTGATGATGACTTGCAAGGTTCGGGATGAAGTAATGATTTGTCACCGGGGGCCCATAGGTAGCCCGTAGCGCCGGCTAAGACCCGATGGGCCGGGGAACTAGACCCGGTTCGGACTAGACTCTATCAGACCAAACAGAAACAAATATAACCAGACCGTCGGATCCAAGGAATTAATGTGAAGAGGGGGAATGCGGAGGTGGAAGCTCTGGAATCTGAGATTGCTACGCCGTACCAGAGTACGGAGTACGGAAGGTCCTGCAGTGTCAACTGGCTTTGCACTGGCAGTGGGCAACGTCTGACCTGTCGCAAAAGTACGGATGAGATCGATCGAAGCCTCCACACTGCACGTCCGAGCGAGCTCATATTTTTAATTTTTAATTTTTCATTCTTTTTTTAAGAAACCCCCATTTTGGTGCTTTCTTTTCTTTCCCAGGCGGAGATTACTCCCACAGAATCCGAACAACCTCATAGAGACGCCAGGGTATCATCCCCCTAGTGATTTTCAAAGTTTGCCTCATCTGAGACTCCGAGTGGAGAGGAAGATCAGGGTCTCAGATGGTTCGTGCTGGATGATCGACACGGCCAGAAAGTCCGGGGACACGATCGACCTGCATGTCCAAATAGACTCTGCTCACATTCCACGGAAGCTCAGAGGTACAGCCCAGACATTCCAATGTAGAGCATGCTTGAGTGCTGGACGGGATTGGCTGTAGGGAGTGGAGAGAAGGTTCGGGATGCATGATCGAAACCAAGGAAATGCGAATGAAAATAATGGACGGCGCAGCAGAGGCGAAAAGCCAAAATATCTCGAAAATGCCCAAAGAGGAATTAATCGAGGAATTAACGAAAGGATAAACCGAATTGGAATTAGAATCCGAATTAGAATTCGAATTAAATAATAAAAAGTAAAAAACCAGTAAAAACCAGAAACCAACAATAGAAATTCAAAAAAGAATTCAGAATTCCAAAAAAAATTCAACCAAATTAAAAAAAGAAAAGGTGAGGGATGGCAATCAATCCGCCGATCCAAGTCTCGCTCTGCCTCACCAGCACCTTCAGCCCAAAAAGGTACCAGGAACAAGCTTCCCACCTCCCCGTGGATCATTGCGTTCCATTGTCTTTTCCCTATAAACCCTTTGAGACACCCTCAACTTCCTCCTTGCCGTGTCCAGTTCATATAATCTCACCTTCTCCCCCTTCTGTCTGAGACCAACCTCCCCTTAGTACTCAACCATAGGTGCGCGTCGAAGGGTTTCTGACACCAATAACGCCTATCTTGTTCCTGGGACTCCATACCAGCCCATCCTATTGTCCCACTTCGGCAATTGTGGTTCATATTGACGCGAAACATCGCGCAAAAAGGCTCCAGCCCTCGAGGAACTCCAGCCGATCCCAGCCCACATCCAGCCGTTCGAGCCTTTGCCGCGGTAACGGAGGATCCCATAGTCTACATTCCTAGCCTTGCTTTACACCTCAAGCACGCGACGCGCCTCTAATTTTGTTCCAAACTTCTCATCCGGGCTTAGACCATGGCATATAGCTGTAAGTCCGATCTCCACCCTTCGGGATTCTATGCTGGACCAATTTGTTTATTTCTGCTCGTTTGTCCTCCATTCCCTTCATCATTTTGACATTCTTTCCTTTCCCAATACTCCGGGAACTAATCCACACTCTCTTGTCTTGTGCCTTGGCTTTCCTTTTTCATATCTCCTTCCATCCCTTGTACTTTCCTTTTTTTCTTCCGTCATATCCTTCCTTCAGTTCTTTCTTTACCTCGCTGTCGACCCTCATTCCACCTACTGCTTGCCTTGGGCTTGTGTTGAACACCGATAAACCAACCAGTTACTAAGACAAGTGCCCTGGACAGGTGATACCATCGACCCAGTTGCACCTCGATCTTTCAAGACAGAGGACTTAGACGACATGAGATCGCACGGACAGCAAATTTCCGATCGTTTGACTGTTGAAGTTGACTGCCACTCTCTGGGCTCCAGTGAATGCCCCTCGATGACTTCGAGCTTTTCTCCTTTGGACTCTCCACCCCCACCCCCACCAGTCTTTACAGTCAGGGCTCAATGGCCTCCCCCGTGTGGCACGAACACGGCCACTATCACAGTATGCCAATGGAGCGCCGTACCTCTGCGACGCCACTGCGGAGTGCATTCAGAATGGCCGATATCACTTCGGGCGAAGGCATGATGAACATGCCCTGCGGCAACATGGATCGACCTGAACAGATGTCTATCCCAGACTATCTTCCTGCGTATGAGGACCATGTCGACCAGCTCTGGATCCCTCAAGATATGCCAAAGACATACCAAGAGCCCCACTTCCCTTACCAGGCATCGGTACCCCAATACAGCCAGATGGCTCGCAACTACTACCATCGCCCGCAGCAAGCTGGATACCTACCCGAATCCGCATCCAATCCTTGCCTGTCACGTCCAATCTTCAACCACCCCAATGAACGGATACCTAACTCGGCCTCGATGTCCAACATGTTCCACTGGATGCCATCCCAGGAGTCAATGGTACCGCAAACCATCACTCCCGCCCAGGTCCAGCCCTTCCCTTCTGTCCCCGTGACGCCTCCTTCATCTTCGTATTCCGATTTCCCCACCAACATCCCAACCTTCAAGTCCCACACTCCTTCTACCCCGCACCGCTCTGTATCTATGGGTACACCCTCAGGGTCCGATACTCCCGTCAGCCGGATGTCTGCACACAACGATTACCAGGAGGAGTTCCAACTTTCTCCGGTCTACCGTGATAGCTTGATGCAACGTCATCGTCAGCCCTCACGCAAACCTTCCAAGAAGCAACTTCTTCGGTCCAACTTGAGCTTGGAAAACCTTCCGTCAATCATTAAGCAAGTGCAATTCAAGTGCAAGGAGCCCGGCTGCAAGGGTCGCTTCAAGCGCCAGGAGCACCTCAAGCGTCACATGAAGAGCCATTCCAAGGAAAAACCTCATGTCTGCTGGGTTCCCGGTTGCCACCGTGCCTTCTCCCGCAGTGACAACCTCAACGCTCATTACACCAAGACCCACAGCAAACGGGGCGGTCGCAACCGATATGTGGCAACCCTCGACGAGACCAGCCAAGATTTCGATCCCGACTTCCGTGGCCAGCTTACTCCTGACGGTCGCCCCATCTATGGCAGCAAACTTGAAGAAACCGTCCCCGATTGCGGTGAGCTGAACGTGGATAGTTGGGATGACTAGTCGCACCGCCGCCTCAACCAGAAAAAAGCAAAAACACCAATCCAAAAACGAAGAAAAAGACTCGAAAAAAAAAACACAACCAAAACCAATTCCATGCGACTTTCCAAAAGAAAATATGGAATTATAGAAACACCGAAATGTGGCCCTCATCGGGCCTGGATCTTGATACCCGCCTCTGGAGGATCGACTGCCCATATGAACATGGCAGAGGCACGGGCCAGACTGGCCGTTCTGGCGTTGTACATGTCTCTTGGAGGATCGGAGACTTTGATTTATTTATTCTCTTTCTATTGCATAATTTGTTTGGAGCCAGTGGGGGTTCTTGAATGGGATTTATCCGGCGTTGCACATGTTTGGGAGAGGATCGCCAAGATAATGAATTTGGGAGGAAGCCCTCAGGGGGTCGGCGGTCGTGTACAATTCGCTCCAACGTGTTGTTTTTATTTCTTATTTCGCATGTACTACCACCTACGATCGCACATTGGCATAATATACTCCAAAATCGAGACCAATTCACACTGCCCCACTCCCTCTGTACACCGTCAGCATCTCACTGGGGATCCTTCGACGTTGATCACAGGTCCTGGTGACGTCTTGGGCTGAATTCGCCTTCGTGATTCAAAACTTCGCCTCACTCAGGGCTCCTGTTTCCCGTCATGTCCGAATGTTACAGATCACACTTGGCCTCCCGATCGTGAGTTCCTGGATCTCTCCAAACCGATCTATCTGGTCGATTTCCGAGTGGATCAATGCGTCCTCAACAAATCGGGCCTCCTGCAGACATGAGCATGGCTGCACTGTGCGTCCTACTCGCCTCTTCCACTCCCACCTCTCCACATCTCACTCCTAACGATCTTCTTAAAGTGACATCGCCTGTTTCAGAAAGGCCATGTCATCACCTCTTCACCGCGGCTCTGAGTTATCCACTTTGTGTTCCCCTTTCCCTTCTGTATGTGGAACACAGCACCCCGAACACGCCGTGCACACGACTCCCAGCAACACACTCCACCTCACGACCCGCACCGCTTCCAATGTAATTCACATCGCTAGTATCATGTATCAAACCGCCATGTGGAGTCATGACCCGTTCTCTGAACTACCTAAACCCACAACCCAGAAACCTTGAATCTCCCATGAGTTCTATGTATAGCCTAAAAAGCAAAGATACGGCAATCAGAGCCTAAATACGGAGGAGGAACGAACCAAATACACGCCCAAACATGCCAGCATGCATGACCAAGGAGCCCACGGTCAAGAGCCGCGCTTCGTGTCTGGGCCTTCGCCACCGTAGGTCGTGCGTCACTCATTCCACATTCCCAATCTCCTCCTCCACGGGGCGTTGTTAGCGTGGGAAAAATCGACCCCAAAAAAAGAAAGGAGGCGATCCACCAATGCCCTATGGCTACGGAATATCGACCCGGTCTTTATACGGCCGAACGGCATCTTTGCTTTTTTGGCTAATGGATTCTTTGCGCATGGAACCCTCTGGTCCCCTTCTAAGCCTATCCCAGGGGTTTGGGTACGTCCTTTTGTTTTGCACATCATTGACTACCGGCATATTCCACTTTGACCTCCCTCATACTCTTCGACATCTATAGACCCTTGACGAGAGATTGTCGATAATAGAGACCAACCTGCCTCACCACCCAGAGTGATCCGATTCCCACTGGAAATCGCAAATCCCATGTCCACCGCTACACCGGTTCTTACATTTTGCGGTGTGGTCTCCAGACCCGACGTCAAATTAGTCCGATGCCCATGCCATGCTGCATGCTGCATGCTGTTACACGACGCTATGTATATGCCATGCCGAACAAATTGGGAAAGGGGGATGAGCGGGACTGAGGTCCGCGGTCTGTCGCATTTTTATAATTGGTGCTTCGACTTTGTATTTCCCCCCTGGGTCTCCTGGTAGGCCATGTATAAGACCCTCAGATTAACGTCCGGAACATGCATTCCCTAGGTTATGGAGCTATTGATCCCAAACCTTCTTCTTTGTGGATTTTCTTTGCTTTTTATCGTCTCGGCTCCTCAATCGTGCTGGACCGATCGGTCGGTGAAGTTCTTGGAGATGCCATGCAGAGAGATCTGACTGCACTCGAATCGAATCGGGAATTGGAGGATTCCTTTTTTTTTCTATTTTTTTTCTGCCTATTGATTTTAGTGACTCTTGTTTGGGAATAAACTAATATGCCCATTATCGATGCAGCATGTCCTTTCCACATTCTTAGGAGAAACATATCCAACCAGTTAGAAGATGCAACTACCACACCGTATCGCTTGGTCTGCGCGAACATCGACATGGATCTCACTGCGTGAAACATTAGTCAAAGTTTGTCAGATAGTCTCTAGCCAGAATGGTTCTCCTATTACAATGCCCAGTACTTGGTGCTAGTTACTCCGTACATCCTATGGAGAACGCGATCTACATCACAACTTCCGTAGTCCTGTGCCGGGATCCATGCCCTGGAATGTGACATTGAGTCTATCCAGCCAGTTCCAGGCATCATGATTGGGGTCTTGGTGGCTATGCGTGATTTCTTTTCTTTCATTTCCAAGCTTCTTGATTGCTGCAATGTAACGCCAGATATCGTCACAGCCGTTTTACGTCGAATCACCCGGGGGTCCCTGCTATTTGCTCGGCGGGGTCTCGGATGATCTACCCTACAGAATACACAACATAGACCTGCGTCGATCACTATCCCTGGTTTCGGGAGTTAGCGGTGACCTTCCTGGTGCCTGGGTCCCGCCTTGCTTGGGGTTCATTTGACATGCGTGACCATTAATCTCGCGTATGCTGACCCGGTTTGATGCACAGCTTGGCTACATATCGTGTGAGTCTAGATGGCATCATGGATTCTGGCTCGTGCGGACTTGGAACTCCTAACGACGCTTGGATGCTCTCATCCTGTATTTCCCTATGTCACTTGACATAGTGTTCCCCTGCCTTAGCACTTTCCGGTGCATCCACGACTCTCTCGCGCTCCGTGAGATGTATACCATACCCACTTACACTTGGTTGACCTAACCGGGAATATCCTTAGTCAGCATGGATCCCGTGCCCATGTGAAAAGGCTGACTCATCTCTTATGTAACCCCCGAGCTATAAAAACTCCGCGCACCCAATTCCCCCGTCTCCTCCCCGTACATTCTACCATATTGTGTCTTCCACATGGCAGGCCAAAGCCATTGCTCAACAGGATTAATGTCATCCATTGACCAAGGGCTTTAGCCTTGCTTCTATACACAAGACACCTCTGGTCTTCCTGTCACGACAGGGACTCAAGCCGTCCCGAGCAAGCACCACCGACCAGAGCCACAGTTTTTTTTTTTTTTTCTCCCCCAACACCAACCGGTCACTACCATATCCCTTCCCCTATACAGTCTCCCGTAGCACGGATGTCAAATTGCGATCCGGCCCTTTCATGGCCGAGGTCGTGCCGAAGAAGTGCTTATATTGAAATGGAGATTCGTCTCCCTAGCCAGTGAGTACTAGATTTTTGTCCTACGGTTCGCCCGAGGTGGCAAACATCCATTGAAGATCTGGGACATCTCGTCGCCGTAGAGTTTATAGCTTGGAATTGAAGTTCTCGTTTGCAATATTTGAATACCTACACGTAGACTTCCCCTGTAGCGATGATTAAGTCCGGGTTTAGGTCGGTTATTCGGTCAATGTTGCATCTGACACCCGCTGGGGAGTCGACATGCAGGTTTGATCGCACCTTATGTATGTTGTAGGTACGGAGTACTCCGTACATGTACGGGGTACCTACACCATAGCTATGATCAAGTGTTCCACTCCGGCACCATAACACCATAACACCGAGTAAGAAGAGAATCCAGTTCTTGCATTTTGTGTGATCAAATTCAGAGTATTTCCACAATTCAAAAGTCGACCCCCAAACCCCATGTTCGCGTCGTGATATCAAGAAAAAAAAAAGGAAAGAAAACTCCTGTACAGAATGGTATCGAGTCTGATAAATCCCAGGTTCCCACCGAAAGCCATGCCCAGATAGTACAATCGAAATAAAAAGAAGAATAAAGGGGGAAAATGACCATGGCAAAAATAACGCCGACCTCTCCGATCTCCACAATGTCTGGTCCCTGTACAAAACCCCGGGATTCAGAAAAAAACGGCAAAGTAAAACGAAGAAAAAAGAAGAGGGAAAAAACTTCAAAAAAAAAAAAACAGTCAGAAGCAGAGTGAGCTGCCCCTAACCAATGACCCACTGCCGTTGCGTAAATGCTCATCGTAAATTGACCTTTGGCCAGAGTTTATACTGGTGAAATGGTAAATGTGGGCAAGAGTGCCTGTCCAAACAGGCTTATCATCGATCTCGTACGTTGTTGGGTTATGTTAGTGTCGGCGAACGAATTCACATCAGTTGTTCATGCCACCCATGCTGTGCATTGAGCCCTGAGCTTGCATTTGCTGTGCTTGTAACGCAGCACGCTGTTGCTGCTGCTGTTGGCCACCATCTCGCTCGCGTCGCATGACCTCGGAGACCCAGGCTTTGGCGGTCTTTTCCAATCCTGGCCCATATTGCTGTGCAATGTTGGAAGGATATTGGTTTGGCGGGCCGTACTGTGCCATATATCGCGCCGACATATCGTGTCGCATGCGAAGCAGTCGTTGTTGGTAGAGCTGTGTGTATCTCTGGGCCTGATTCATGGGCTGCCCATTCGGACCCATTTGGCCACCATTCGCTTGGGCGGCTGCCATAAGCATCTGCTGCTGGGCCGTCAATTGCTGATTGCCTTGGTGAGGCTGATTCTGCTGGCCCTGCATCTGCGGGTGTTGCTGTCCTTGTTGTTGCTGCTTCACAATCTGCATCTGTGCATATTGAGCACGCATAAGCTGAGCCTGATATGCTTGCTGGCCTTGTTGAGGAACCTTTGGAACACCTTGATGACCTTGTTGCTGCTGCTGATGCTGCTGCTGCTGTTGTTGCTGAAGGAGTTGCTGTTGATGGGATTGAATATTCTGCTGAGCATGAACATTGGCCTGCAACTGGGCTAGCTGCTGCGGCGTGAACTGGTTGTGCTGAATTCCTTGCTGAGCCTGAAGAATTGCTTGCTGTCGCTGTTGCAGCATAATCTGCTGCTGGGGCGTGAAAGGCATGCCTCCGTTCATCTGCTGGTTGGTTGCCATGCCCTGGTTCATGACTGGAGTCTGACCCATCGAGTGGTTCGGACTGCCATGACCCATCCGCTGAGTAGGCGTAACGTTGCGCATAATCGGTGTGGCATGCGACATAGCCGGTGTTCCCTGAGTCATCTGCGGAGTACCGTGTCGACTTGGTCCTTGCTGACTCCTCGAAGGCGCCATTGGGTGGCTCATAACATTCGGGTGTGCATGCTGCAAGGCAGATGGAGGTCGCGGCGGACTTCCAGATCCAGATGCGGTCATGGTCATCGGAACCGCCTGCATCGGCATAGTATTACCAACAAGTGGTGATGAAATGGCATGCGGGGTCTGGGTACGTACAACAGGCGAAGACTGTTGGCCCTGGCTAACGCCGTTGGACTGAACCATGACATGACGATTCTGCTGTTGCGCGGCAAGCTGAGCCTGCGCCTGCTGGGCGGCAATTTGCTGTCTCCGAGATTCCTCTTTCGCGTGGTCCTCGGCTTGGCGCTGCTCAATCGCACGGCGGCGTTCTCTCTCCTGTTCCTGCTGCTGTCTCTTGGCCAGCTCTTGTTTCAGCTTCATCTCATGTTCGCGTTTAGCCTTCTCCTCGTGTTGCATGCGAATCGTTTCAAGGGTCTTGAATCGAGAAAATCGGGGTTCGAATGGTACCACACCACCAGATTCGTCCACACCAGCAGCCTTTGCAGCACCGCCAGGACCAGAAGCTGTCGGCTCCAGACGTTCGTCCATGATAAGCATGAACCTCTCCTCTTCGGCCGCCAAGGCTTCATCCGCCGCAAGCTCGGCAACAGTTCTCTTGCGGCGCTTGGGCAAGGGCGGCGGATCGCAATGCAGTGGGCTTTCCAGGTGCTTCAACAATTCCTGGGCAGCTTCGAAACTATGCACAGGATCCAGGAAGAGAGGAGGGGCCAATGCGTGTATCATTTTAGATTCACATTGCAAAAGATTTTCTGGCTCAACCAGCATTTTCTGTCTTTTTGCTGGTTGTCCACGGTCCAGTTGATTGCTTCCAGGGGCAGTTGGGGAACCAGAGGAGCTTGGCTGAGCAGGCGCTTTGTTTGCTCTTGGGTCCGGTGTGGTAACCAACAGTGTCAATTCTGCCTGCAAAGTCCGAGCAGTAGGGTGAAGCACCGTGGTGAATATCCGAGGCTTGACAGGAGCATTCTTTTGGTTTACATCGCTGCTTTGGCCATCTTTCTTTTCGCTCGTCGCCTGTCCATCCGGCTGTTGATTTGCAACCGGTGTCCCATCAGCCTTCGTGCTCTGCGTGGCTGACGTGAGCTGGTTTTGCTTTGGGTATGGAACATGAGCTGAAGGTGTAACATGTTCATTGTAGTTGTGGAGGGAGAATGGTGTATTGTTCTCGTTTGACGACTTTGCGGATGTCTTTCTTGCTTGCGCCGAGGCGGATTTGTGATCGATGACACGGACGATGAGGCAACCTGACTCTGTTAGTCAACAGTTATGGGATTATTTGCGAAATCTGGCACCTACCTTCGTAGAATTGCACACCGCCTCGCAAAAGCTCCTCAATCAGGTCATGCGGAACAGTCCCGGCGCGGATATGCTCGATGATGACTTTCATCTCGGAGTTGTAGGGAAAGCTACCATCTTGCTGCTCGAATCGAAAATGTGTGGGATGTAAATGCACGATGAGGGATGGGGGGCATTTTGCATATTTCTTGAGGATATAGGAGGTAGTTTTCACTGTAGAAACAAGGGAGTCAGTAATCGCGCATTGGCATTGCAAATGCCGCAGGACTCAATACCATATGGTTCTGGTGCCTTTTTCCCAACTCGATGTGCCTGATCCGTCACAGCAGTCCTCGTTACTGGCCGGCCAGAGCGCGAGGACTGATCCATGGGCCTTTGAGACTGGTTCCTCGTCCGATTAAGGGGGCCTTTGGTCATGGGATTTGCCCCATGAGTCACGCCATTTGTGAAATTGGAGCTTGTGTTGTGGGCAGCACTCGTAGGAAGAGGTTTTGTAATGGATGGGGGTGAGGAAGAAAGTTGCTGGCCTTTGGCCCCATTGACCGCGGCCTGGCCGAAAGGCGGGGGCGGCCGCTTCATCTTCTGGGTATGGGAGGCCGGCTTGGAAATTGCGGTCGCCATAATATCTGCGCCGATCGCGCAATCTCGGCGTGGCCAATGAGCTAAAAATGCGACTTAGCGGGATACCGATCTGATGATGTTGAATGAAAGCCGTGCTCGGGAAATGAATGAGATGGCCGATGCGCGAGACATGTGGGGATAGGTAGGGCGGCACCGGTCCCCAGCACAGCTGGAATCAATGCGAAAAATCGGCGGAAGATAGCCGAGGGAGCGTAAAGAATGAAAGAAAGAAAGCGCCCGTCCAATAAATCTACTGGGAAGGGGTGAATCGGGAAGCCGCTGGGCGAGGTCTTGCAGAGGTAGGTCAACTGATGATGCCAAGCCGTGGGTCAGCGTGAGGTAGGTCAGGTGACCATTACTCTTTTAGGACTAGTGTGAGGCCCCGGACAATGGGGATAAGACGACCAGACTGATGGAAAGGTAGCATATAGTAGAGGTAGCTGTTGTCTACCTATTCTATAAGAACGCACAATCTAATTCAATAGAGATATCAGACCTAAGTGACTCAACAATAAGAGTTATTTCTAGGGTTATGTTGTCAATAAGCGCAACGTGCGCCAGAAGGCATTATTCTGTCAACGATAAACTGTATCAAAACAAAGCAGGGACTCAGTAAACAGGGGAATAGGGTCAATCAATCATCATGGGGTAAAAAAAAACAGGTATAGACATGCAAGGAATCAAATATCAACATCAAAATCATCGGGGTCACAGCTTGATGGGGGCTAGTCCATACCACGCACTCGGCGTCGCCAGTCATCTCCGACCCGCACAACGTCAACAACGTCGATGCGCTTGCCGAGTCCAGTGACACCCTCCTTCTGCCACCATTTCTCTCCCTTTTCACCAAGTGCGGACTCGTCATCACTATCGATAAGCCCGCCACGGCCACCCTCGTCACCGACCACGACCATGACCTGGCGAACCCAACCAGCGATATGCTGGACAGCTTCACCTTGCTCCCCAGTCAAAGACTCCTGGACATAGACAAGGTCGGGGGACAGGTGGCGGACGAGGTGTACATAGCTACCAACGGTACTGAAAGGCATGATCATGGTATCCTTCTCGACTAGGGCTTGCGCCTGTGTGTATAACGTTCTGAAGAAGCGAGTTGTGCCCTCCAATTCGTCGTCTTGGCGCGGTTCCACTGCGGACAGATCGCCAGGAGTCAATTCTCCCGGAGAAGTTGCTTCCTCTGTGCCAATGTTTGAATAGGACGAGGCAATCGAAAGCGTAGGGCGAGATGAGCCTCCTTTCTTGATAGCATGCTTCAAGTCGGGGGCATATATCAACACAAAGATTTTAGAGGTTTCCATATCGACGTGTTCTGGGAGGTGAGAGAGAATCGACTGCGATTGTTAGAAAAGCAAGAAGTAAATATCAAAGGGAGGAACTGCCTACTGCATGCTCGGAAGTAAATTCGTCAGAGTCAGCTGATGAAACAGAGGAGACCACAATCGCAACAGTCTTCTTCTTCTTCTTGTCCAAGGAAGACTGGCCTGCATTTGCTGGGCGACCCGGCAATCCACCACTCATAGTCGGTTGCATGGTAGCTTGTTGGCTCCTCTCCTGAGCTCTGTTTTGAGCTTCCTCGGACCATCTCGAGTGGTCTTCGAAGTCACCTTCACCTTTGTTGTCTTCACGGATAGAGGTGAGAGCGCCGCCAACGAAAGCTCCAGCAGCGGTGACGCCGGCCACAACCCTTTTGCTGGCGCCGTCAAAGATCTGTTGAGGGCTAGGTGTGCGGCGCAAAGCACCTTGCATGCGAGCCATCATGCCATGATCATAGGGAGCATCTCCGGGCATAGCTTCTGCGCCTGCGCTTCGGGCATAATCTCCGGTAGCATAGGAAGGTTGAGGGTAGTCACTTCCAGGTCCGACAGGAGGTGGGTAAGTGCCATTACCCCCGTGAGGTTGGTCGTCATCGTCATCGTCATTTCTTTCACTCCAAATCCAAGCAGCAATGCTGATAGTGGCAATTCCAGCGGTCAAGGCCAAGGGGATCCAGTATCCCATGGCAGTTCGTCCACCGGTTGAGCTGAAACCAGTACCGGCTCCGCCGCGACGGCGCCGAGGATCTTGAGGGAAGGACATTGCGATCGCGGGTATTCAATTAAAGGTGGCGCATTTATTACTTATGAATCGCGGTCGCAATGACTCGCAGGTCGCATCTGACTTGTCAATTTGCAAAAGAAGGGGTTGGGAAAAGGGAAAGGAGGGAAAGGAGGCAAGCTGAGTCTCCCCTCGGATCCTAGAAACATGTGGCTGGTGATTGCCGCGGGTGTTTACTTCTGTTTGTCCTGTTTGCGTCTCCTGAATCTGGAGGCGGGTCAATCGATTATCACGTGAAAATGGGTCTCCTTGGTTACCTAAGCAGTTTTTTTGACTCAGGACTGAGGTCCGAAGCCTTATCGGTTTTCTTGTAGAAATAAATATACGACTAGGTGTGACTTGCCAGCATATTGCCAGTTTATACTATGCCTCACTCAGTACCTGTGCCCCCAACAGGCCTACAGGCCCTAATTCTTGTGAGAACATGGCGCCCCAAGACATGTGTCTGGAAAGAAAAGCTAACAAGCAAACAAGTGTGGCCCTGGTGTATCGCTAAATACATTCACTTCGAACCCCGAGGAATACCCCAAATGTCTTATCCCTGTGGCCAATCGGCCGATGCTTTGGTATGCCCTGGACTGGTCGAAAAGGATGGGCATTACCGGTAAGCGCACCTTCACTGTCGAGATAGCATGCGGGGCATTCCATGACGCCATCTGCTATATCGCAACGCATCGGATGGAGGGCTAACTTTCATAGATGTTACATTGGTCACTCCTCCATCTTCGCTCGCTCCCCTCCAGGCCGCGCTACGACAAAACCCGCACCTTACCTCGCTCTCCACACCGTCAGTTATCGCGCCGGCGGAACTTGAAATGACCACCGGCACAGCAGAGCTTCTTCGTCTTCCTGAGGTACAAGCCTGTATCAAATCCGATTTCCTCCTTCTGCCTTGTGATCTCGTTTGCGAACTGCCCGGGGAGTCTCTTCTTGAAGCCTGGATGGTGTCTGGCGGTGAAAAGAACCGCCGCAATGGACTCAGCATGTACTATCAAACCCAGGGCCGAGAGGAGAGTGTCAAGGGCGAAGCAACAGACTTTATTGCAGTTGCACCACTGGAACAAAATGAGGCTCCCGTCGTTTCCCACGCCGCACCTCGTTCATCACTCAGCAAACTCGTCCTCTCTATGCCCATGGACACATTGAAGGAAAAATTAGAAAACGACAAGGGCTTCCTTGTGCGCCACTCCCTGGTGGATGCGCATGCACAAGTGAAATTGCTGACCACCTACCGGGATGCGCACATCTACCTCCTTCCTTACTGGGTCAAGGATATGGCTCGGTTGAATGAACAATTCCAGTCCGTCAGTGAAGATCTGATCGGGTGGTGGGCTAAGTCTGAGTGGCAACAAGGCCTCAGCGATAAGCTGCAAATCAACAAAATCTTCCAGCAGAAGAGCCGCAGTCTAAGCCACAGCCACACACTAGGCGAGAGCGAGAGCCACGACGGCGAATCTCTCGACGGCGAATCGCTTGAGGAGGAGATTGATCTACAAAACATGAGCACCACCAAAGCCACCCCCGCCAAATTCAACACAGCCGCTTCCGAGACCCAATTCGCATCGCGTGTCACGACCCCAAGTTCGCAAACCGTCAAAAGCCCCAAGTCAAATCTGCCACCGATGCTCGCTTACGTGCAGAAAGACACCACGCCTTTCGTTAGGCGGGTGGATTCATCTGCCGTCCTTCTGTCCACCTCGCTCCGTCTTGCGAAGCTGGAGTCCATTGAAGAGGTTGGTCGGGTTGCTTCATCGGCATTCGCCCACACCTCGAAGGTGGCCAACACCGCCAGCATCGCACAACGCTGTACCGTTACAAGGGGCGACTGCCTGGTCGATAGTAACTCGACGGTCGAGGAGAAGTGTGTCATCAAAGAGACCATCATTGGTGCCAACTGCCACATTGCCAGCGGTGCCCGATTGACTCGCTGTTTGATCATGGACGGTGCCGTCGTTGGCGAACGCTGTCAATTGACGGGTACCATCGTTGGACGCCGCAGCAAGATCGGCCGTGAATCGGTGCTGAAGGACTGCGAGGTTCAAGATGGAAACGTCGTTCCTGACGATACGGATGCCAAGAACGAGAAGTTCATGGTCTTCGAGGGTCTTGACGATGAAGATGCTATGGATGCGTCGGAGGATGACCAGGACTATTGATCCAAGTTTGAAAGTATATTTATCCTGGCTAACACGTTTATGAGATAGGATCCATGACCTCACGGACATGAAAAAAATAGAATTTTATACCCCTGCGTCCATCAAGTTGTGAAACATCGGAACTTGCCTACCTAGTCTTTAGTTTCGGAAGGGAGAGTTATATGCCAAACGGGCCTGGTAATTCCTCACAAGTAGTATTCCGTACGGAGTTCCAAGTACAACTTCCAAGCCAATTCGACCAAGATAGACTGAACGATCCCTCAATCCTATAGTCCGTAGCTACCAGTGCAATCGAATGACCAATCTGCTCCACCCTGTGCTTCCCCGGACGCATGGCGGCGAACTAAAAGTTAGTGCTCCTGCCCACGCAAGCACTGATGCAAGTACGGGATCTCTTAGGACGTTAGCTTGGCAGTGGAGATGCGAGTGCATTAGCAGCTTGACCGGCGGACTAGTATCTGCTTTAGTCCATTGGCATATTGCAAGTCACTATACTCCGCACGAATGAAAAGCCCGGATGAACTTTTTCTACCAGTTCGATCAACCCATCCAACATCAGACCACAACATTCGGGATTTGGAACAACTTGATCCCGTGGAGTCTAGGAGGGCGGATACCGAAGAATCAAAAGGGATCATCGAAAGAAGTGACATCTCCGCATTTTCTTTTTTTTTTCCTGGGATGGCCCCTGATCAGCCACCAGACACCGTGCTTATGTCTAGCATTGAGCGTCGCACCGTTGGGATTAGGGGGGGTGCGTCTGAGACGGTCAATCCTCAATTAAGCATCCTATCGCACCCCCGTTTCATTTACCCCAGGGCTCTGTGCGCTGAAAATCGAATTCCTCCTGGGCAATCTAAAATGCACGCTAAATCCGTCCGGGAAAGGTCAGTGCCAGCCCCGTTAAGAGAACGGGGTGTCTCGGGGATTTTCTTTTTCTTTTTCTTTTTTCCATAAGAGAAGCAAGTGTAAGTGCTAGTTGGACGTTCCGAAGGCCATTCACTTCGATCAGGAATCCCATCGACCTGACTCCTGCTCAATTGGCTGCCGATCACGCGGGAACTCCGGTGGATCGACGAATTGGGTGGTTTGCAGCAAGTGGAGGCGCACGAAAGCGGGACAATTTTTGGCGTGGAGCTTTCGGATCCAAGATAAGAATGCCCTGGACTGGAACCAGACAGAAGTACTCCGTACTTCTGGAAACAAAGGGAGAGAGAAACAAAGAGGGGCAAATTCGTATTCTTCAAAGGACCCCCGAAGTGGCGCCGAGCAGGAAGCAGGACTCACGCATATGACAGGAACTCCCACGTCAAAAATGGACTTGAGGGCATCTTAGCGAGGACTTCGTCATTGTACATGACCCTTGGAAGTTAAACCACATAGGTACCTAGGTACTCCGTATGCCGTCCAAGGTGTCGCTTTCGATCGGAATAAATTAAGTCTGGATTCCCAATGGGGTTTGGGACTCGGCCATGAAATAACACGACAGGAGGGGATTCAGCCTCATCAGTGTGACCGTCGTCAAAGATGGAGATCCAACGATACATACGGTACGACAATTCGATTAGGTTCAGTGGAGGACCACCCTCAACCAGGGAACCAGCAACTTCCTTAAAGCTCGGTTACAGCTTGTTCTCTTTTTTCTTTTCCTTGAATCCCCTTGAGATGAGAGCGCAAAGCGTGCTATGTTACCTAGGTAATTGCCAAGGTACGGAATCCTCGGAGATAAATTGGTATACGTTTCCGGAAGCAGGTGAATGGATTATGCATTAAGTACGGAGTATGGAGTACATTAGTATAGTACCGTACATAGCAGAGTTCTGCCGAGTGCATGTGGATTCGTGGACCAGGATGGCGTCGTGACTTGACCGTGCAGTCGCAAATCGCGGGATGTCAGGGCCGATCAGATCCTACCTGAGTCAGGTTCAGATTGGGGGACATTCTGGACAGTCAGGTACCCGACATGGTACAAGAGACCAGAGTACAGGAACATCCACTACGTGTCGAGAGGACGGAGTGCTCCGTATTCCGTATTCCGTACTCCGTACAACGTGACAAGTTCCAGAAGATATCCAAGAAATCTAAAACCTCCCAAAAATATGCGAGGAATATGGAGACTGGTCAACGTTGAGTGGCTATGGCAATGTCTAAGAATATCAAGATGGAGCATTAAGGGGAAGACCCGCAGGTGTATGATTGGCACGTAACGGTGGTGTATGGTCGGGCCCCTTTTTATGAACGGCTTCAGGAGGTGTGGGAAAGCCTCGGATTTCAGATAAAATGAAAGACTGGAATCTCGGAGGGAGATTGAAGGGCCCGTTTAGAGCAGCGTAAATAGTAGAAGAAGTGTACGGCAGATGAAGCTCCAACTTCAGTTACGTACCATCGTGTTCCCTGCAGACGCATAATTCCCCTCAGGAGATTTCGGGTTTTTTTTTCTTTTTTTTTTTTTTTTTTTCCTTCTCAATTTCTCTTTGAATTGTCAATTTCACGGTGATTCCGGATCTCCCCCTAATCGCCTTCCCCGTCTCCTCCGTACAAGCGTGTTTACCGTGTCGTGATCTGCTCCGGAAACCCCTCCTATTTTCCCTTTTCCATCTCCCTCCTCTTCAGTGATCGCATTCACGTGTGCTGTCATTTGAAGGTCCTGGGGTTCTGACTTGTGGACTCTCTCTTTTCTCTCTTTTTTTCCTTCTTGTACATGGCTCTCCTATTCTAGAGGCGTCTATCCTGGAGATCTCTCCCTTCTTTCGTCTTACCTCCTTCGTTTCTTCCCACTCGCCTGGTTTCGAGTTTCATTCTTCTGGCATCGAGCGTGCTTTTTCTTTCTCTTTTTTTTAATCGTTGTACCACTATAGTTTATGTCCACGTTACTTAGAACAGGTATGGTTGCACCCCCTGGCTGACGCGGTCCCTGATCCCCCAACGTGCAAGGAAAAGGAAAAAAAAAGAAAAGCAAAGCACCGCCCCCTTTCCTGGCAAACTCCACCCTCCATACCCCATTGATGACGAGGAAGAATCTTATTTTGATGATGGATGACTGACAGCTCGCCTTGGACAACAGCATCCCGTTTCCTTCCTCGGATCCCTATTTGACGTGAACACACCTTGGGCTCGTATCCGATTGTTTTGCAAGCCTAGATCACGACCTCCCCAGACATTCGTGATTTCCATCCTTTTGACAATTTGCCCCGGAGAGAACAATATGGCTGCGTTGGTCCAAACGATTCCACAACAGAGTGGCACGGTACCTGTGCTTCAGACGCGCCCTTCATCCTCATCGGGCACCTTTTCCTCTCCACCCCAGAATCACGGCTCTCGTGTCCAGACTATGTCTTGGACAACGTTCAATGCTGGCAACTCTGGCAGCTATCGAGCGGGCCACCCGGTTGTGGCTCCCTACGGCTACAATCCGAACGTCGGCCATTCCAACGTCCAGAATCGCCAGTCGTGGACACCACACCTACGCCCCGAGAATCGCACCTTTTCCGCACCTACTACCCCACAGGTGCCGGTGAATCCGACATACACCGGTGCCAGCCCCCGATCCCCCCATCTTGCAGCTGGTTCTGTATCCAATTCTTCATCAAACTCTTCCTCCCGATCATATGTCTCCAAGGACGACAGCGCACTGCCTTCACGGCAACCGAGAAGCGACCAGCCGCTTCGTCCCCTATCCACGGCCAATCTCCCCTCCCCCTCTATTATGAACATCAATTCCCCGAAACCCTCCCCAAATCGGTATCGTCGTACGTCCCAACGAGCAGAAACCACCGCACCATCGCCCGCGGGGGCTTTGGCTCCAATCCCGACCGTGATTGTTGATGATTTAGGTGGCTCCCGACCGGTTCGATCGAACGCTCATAACCGGGTCTCCAGTGTGGATGATTCATCCCATGGTGAAAGGACACAGCCTGAGCGGTATCGACGACGAAGCCTCGGCAATATGGATGCGGCGGCATATCCAAACCTACAACTGGATTTCCCCACTTCCTCTCCTGCTCAATCGGGATCCTACGACTTCATCTCATTTGAGACCAATCCGAATCCCGTTTCGGCGCACTCTCACCGGGACAGCGTGGGAAGCGTTCAGTCAGCACACTCTTCGGCCTCATCGGTACGATCACTCCCCCTCGGACTCATAGAGATACCCCTCGGCTAACAATGTTGAACTCACAGGCACGAGAAGGAACACTACCTGACTCGAACCCTGTCACTGGCAAGACCGGCAAGCCCGAAGAAAAGCGCACGAGCAAACCCTCGCCATTATCCCAACCGGCATCGACGCAACCCGCAGCCCCTGAATCCAAGCCTCGAGCCGAACCCCAGAGCAAGCCCAAACCGCCCCAGCTGGATTCCCCCGCTGCCAAGCGTCTTACTGATTTGAAAAATGACCCACCGCGCCCGGGGAAATCGCGCTTGAGACGAGCTTTCTCTTTCGGCAGTGCCTCGGAGCTCCTGAAGACATCTGGACAGAGCAATGCTGCCAAGCGGGAAGCAATTGCCGCGGAACATGCCCGGCGTGAAGCCTTGAGGGAACAGCTGGGGCCAGAACAGGCTGCCATTGCCGAACAGCAGGAACGAAGCGGGCTGGGTGAAAGCATCTACTCCAACCAAGGCCACTTCTTCACCGGATCTAACGATAATCTGTCAGTATCATCGACGGCCTCCTCGGCATCGATGATGCTTCGCAAGATGGGTAAGGGCATGAAACGCTCTACTCGCTCACTGGTTGGCATGTTCCGTCCTAAATCAGTGGCGAGCATCAATTCCATTGAGGGTGCGGGTGTCGAGGCGTCAGCTCCACAGATCACTGTCGTGAATGTTGAGGCAGAACGGGAAAGCGTTGCTGTCAAACCCGAGCCTTCCGATCTCCCACGTGGTGCCACGGTTTTCCCCAAGGTCGACAATGCTGCGGATATCAGAAGATCCACTTCAATCCGAGAAAGAGCTGCATCGGAGAACTCCCAATCGCGTAAGAGCATTGTGGGAGGAGAACGGGAACGAGCGGAGATTCTCGCGGCGGTCCGGAAGGGCATTCTGAAGAGTATGTATCCCCATGCCACAAATCCTTTCATTCATGGCAACAAGTCACTGACCTTGTTAGAAACCCATCCGGAGCTTGGTATCTCATCGCCTGCAAATGCACTTGCCGGTGGTGACTCCCCTCACTCTAGTGCTCCCCCAACACCTGATGAGTCGTCACGATCTCCAGCTCACCAGAATGACTCGGTCAAGATTGCCGGTGAGGATTACTTCCTTTCGGCCGCAGGACGCTTTTCCTCCTCCGATGCGAAAAGTGCACCCCTTACCCCGTCAACTGTTGGTGGTAGAAATATCGTCTTCAGTCCTCGCATCCAGTTCCACGAAACCTGGCCCAGCGGCGAGTATGATCGGCGAGGAGAGATTGCGACTTGCAACCGTCTCACTCCCCTGCTCGCGCAGCAGATTCGTGAGGAGATTAACAATTTCAAAATGGTGAGTCGCTGCAACTCTCCCACACTTGGCTTGGGCCCCTACTAACAACGATATAGGAGATGGAGGTTCATGAGAATTCTAAGATCTACACACACTTCATTTAATTTTTGGGCGGGAGTATCTTGCATCGCTCAGTGATCTGAACCTGGCCAGCTGTGTCCAGGGCTCAATTCACCCAGCCTGCATTCTTGTCTAGACATGCATCAATTGCGGCGAAATAGGGTGTTTGATGATTTCTTTTTTCCTTTTCATCGCATGAACGGGGGATCTACTGTCCGACCGGTCTTAGTTGATTCACTGGATCAAGGTAGCCCTCTCTTCATGGCGATTTTGACCAATACAATCGTGCTTCTGGCGGTTATCCCCGCCAATTCAAAACTGGTGCGGCTATTATCGAAAATTCTTTGGTGGTCTCTAGACAGGCGCTGCTGGCGCCAGTCCACCAAAAAGCCTGGGATATTTCCCCTCTACCTTAGAGGATCTTGTCATGGGTGTCGATCTAATGAATGTTCCTCCTACCATCTAATCGGGGTGACGGTTCGAGTTCACTGCTTCTTGTTTGCTGCCTTTTGTTTCTAATCCTTCCCTTCTTCTTTTCTGCATCGTGCATCTGAGTCATTGTCATTGAGTACTGGAAGCGTGGGTTACTGGACTGTTCTTTCATTTTATTTCCATTTTCTCCTCTTCATCTTCCTCTTGTCCTTCTAGCACATTGTTTCGTCATGGTCATCACTAGGCCCTTTCATATCTATCACTCCCTAAGCTCCTCTGAATACAATGTCTGAGCCTTTTTTCCATCCTGCCTTGGTCTTTCAATTTGCATTGCTTGTATCTTTTGTGTGTTATATGAATGTGTTAAATGCATGATGTCTGCACATATTCAATACCTGTCATTACTCTATTCTGCTTTGGCTATTTGCTACCTACTTCTAACCAGGTGATATCGTAAGGTAATATTACCCGTAGAGGAAGCTACTTACGTATTGTCCAGCGCCACTAGTAGACCCAGTCTCTAAAAGAATGAGATGGCCGTTGCATTACTACCCGAGACTTGCTTATATGTGCCATATGGTGTCTAGGGCCTTTGATCAAGCCAAAGTGGAAGAAACCGCCTGTAGTGATAGTCCTTACATACAACGTAGAGTCAACCATTGCAATGTAAAAGATGCAATGATGAGATCGCCCTGGTAAATATAGGCAAGTCAACCGCCTATTAGATGATCAATGCCCTCTCTCTTTCAGAGGCTATCTGCAGACGGGGTGTTTGATAGTGCTGAAGGATATGAATTCCCTGATCCCAGAGATACGCATACTTCTTTCTTCTTTCCCCCTTCCATATATTCTCTATAAAACCAAAACTATCTTCCTGATTACTTCAGTAGCATCGCTATATACATACCTCTCTTCCTATTCACCTGCCACGCCCAAAATCCCCACACCGCTTGGTCCATCGCCCAAGATATCGGCGCCGGCTGCGGAATCATCTCCTCCATTGTCGCCCCCTGGCTTCAACAAAGTCCTCGTCCAGTATATACTATGTACACTCCTCAATGCTCATAGCGGAAACAGAGGCGGACGACGGCTGCTTCCATGATGCCGAAGCTACCACAGATACCCTTCGGACTGTCTGCTCTTTGTTATCCTGTGCTTTCTCATGGAGTGCACCTTTTTGGCATCTCTGAAGATGCTGACTTCTCGATGCACAACGAAATCATCGACCCCTACCACCACAAATAAGAAGGTGGTGGACAACCCCGTCCCCACTCGGGGTATTGGTGCTAGCATCCGGATAAACAAAGCAGAAAAAAAGAAAAGAAAAGACCGACGATCACGGAGGGACATGCGATATGAGGTACCGGGCACCGACGAAGCTAGCTCTTCAGCTCCATCCCCACATTTGCTATCCTGTTATGCATTCTACACATCGTTGTTAACGGTTCCTTCCACTTTACTCAACACCCTCCACGTCTATGGTATCTTGGGGGGGGGGGGGGTTCTCTTGGTTCATTCATGCGGGTTGCGTCTGGTGGATGTGTGTTTTCTTTGTCTTCGTCATCTCTTCTTTTTTGCGGTTTTCGGTCGAGTGGCTCCCTTCAAAGCTGCTTTATCTCCGCGAGAAGATACCTATGGAATTGAGTGGTTGTGCTAGAGATTATCTGGGAGGACTTTGGGGGCTGAGAAGATCGGCGTCTGATGGTAGAGCTTGAGGAGACGAGAGGATCAAAACCAGTGACATGTGGATGACTGTGTGTATAAGTAGGGAAGAAACTATCTCTGGAAATCCAATGTATGCAGCCTGTTTGTCTCAGCCCTGAGACTATAAAGATACTGGTTTATATACAGGATTCTGAGTCTGGAGGCATCAACGGATCTTCATATAAGCAATCGTAGAACCCTTTACATGGGCATCCAACCGGTATATATGACAATGCAGGATACACACATATGTAGTTTGGCTGTGATGTCTGTACTTTCTATCCATTGCTTGGCATTCCAGTTCTCTTCACCTATCTTCATCGCTTCGAGATGCCAGAAACGCACCCATGCTCCTGGACTGTTCGAATCCACCCCCACGCTGGCTGGAGGAATCCAAAGACCAGTCATAGCAACCCCCACGCGGGTGATCCTTTCTGCAATGCAACCTCCTGTTGCGGCATTCGCCCGTTCGAATGAGGATGTCCTCGGGCGCAGGTGTCCGTGAATCCGGGGTGATGGACATGATGGATGCCTCTTTGGTCTCGTCCAAGTTGACCCCCCGCATATCCACACCAATGGCTGCTTCTCCATCTCGCCTATCAACCGGGGTTTCTGCGGGGAAGACACGGCTTTATCCCGTCTAATGTGCCGTCTTGGAATCTCACCAAGCCTGGTTTTGGGATCGAAGTGGCATGTACCAGTCCAGTCTCGTGCTCGCAGTGCTCTCGGGCCACTGAGTATCAACGCCACATATTTCTTGTTCTGCAGAAGGGATTTACTTGTACGGAGTAAATGGGCTGTTAGATCCCACTTGCGCGTTTTTTTCTTGTTCTCGTCTCCCCTTCCATATATCCCTTGCTTGTTCGGGGTATCTTACTATCCACTTTGCCATATACTCACATCAGTACTCATATCTTCAGCTGGCTGGTTCGCCGTGTCATCCCAGCTCTCTCTTTGTCTTCTCATTTCTCCGATTGTTATACCCAAAGTCCCCACCAAGATGTCTCCGAGAAATGCAGACATCCAAGTGGAGGACGTTGACAAGTTCCGCACTGACAACGAAACAGTCGCCAACGCCGACAGACCAAATGCCCGGAAAGAAGCACCGGCCTATGTGGCCAACTTGACTCCCGAGGAACGTACAGAAGCTGAGAAAGCTCTTGTTCGCAAAATAGACATACGCCTCCTACCGATGATCATCATCATGTACATCCTCAACTACCTCGACCGAAACAACATCGCCTCAGCCCGACTAGCAGGCCTCGAAGAGGACCTAGGTCTGGAGGGCAACCAGTTCGCAACCTGCGTCAGCATCTTATTCGTCGGATACCTGTTGATGCAGATCCCATCCAATCTACTACTAAACAAATTCGGCAAACCAGCCCTCTACCTCCCCACCGCAATGATCCTGTGGGGAATTATTTCCACCGCGACAGCTGCCGCGAAAAACTACGCCGGTCTCGTCGTCATCCGCTTTTTCCTTGGTTTCGTCGAAGCCGCCTACTTCCCCGGCTGTCTGTATTTCCTGAGCGCCTGGTACACCCGCAAAGAGCTGGGTTTCCGCACAGCAGCGCTGTACTCGGGATCCTTACTCTCGGGCGCGTTCTCCGGTCTCATCGCCGCCGGCATCACCAGCAACATGGACAACGTGCTCGGCCTACGTGCCTGGCGATGGCTATTCATCATCGAAGGCGCCATCACCATCGCCATAGCCTTCATCGCCGTCTTCGTCCTCCCCAACTTCCCGCGCACCACAAGCTGGCTCTCCGAGGAAGAAAAACAACTAGCCGTCTGGCGGCTGGAAGAAGACATCGGCGAAGACGACTGGGTAGACAGCGAACAGCAAACCTTCTTCCACGGAGCCAAGCTCGCCTTCACCGATGTCAAAACCTGGATCCTGATGCTCATGATCCTCTGCATCGTTTCCTCCGCTTCAGTCACCAACTTCTTCCCAACCGTCGTCAAAACCCTCAACTACGGCGACATCGAAACCCTCTGTCTAACCGCCCCGCCCTATTGTCTCGCCGTGATAAGCGCCTTCGCCAACGCCTGGCACGCAGACCGCACAGGGGAACGATACTTCCACATCACCGCCCCGCTGTACATTTCCGTCGTGGCATTCATCATCGCCGCCACGACGACAGCCACCGCACCGCGCTATGTCGCAATGATGCTCATGGTGCCGTCTTTCTACGCCGGCTACGTCGTCGCCCTAGGCTGGATCTCGAATACCCTCCCCCGTCCGGCGGCGAAGCGTGCCGCTGCTCTGGCGGCGATTAACTGCGTCAGTAACGCCAGCAGTATCTACGCTAGCTATATGTATCCGGATTCCCATGCTCCAAGGTTTGGTATGTAGGTCTCGTTGCTGTGGGGGGTTTTCCAAACTGACGACTTTAGTGCCTGCGATGTCTGTGAACTGTGCCACGGCGTTTATCGCTATCGTTTCTGCTACGGTGCTTCGCTTTATGCTTGTGCGGCTTAATAAGAAGCTTGATCGGGGCGAGGAGGTGCTGGGCGCTGTCCCTGGTGAGGGGAGTCGGCGTGGTTTCCGCTTCCTGGTGTAGGATTTTATTACTTCTATTAGGATATATGGTAGGTAAAGAGATGGTAGAGAGAGCATAATATCATTGTAAGAAAATAAGCCCTAAAGAGATGCTGCAATATCTTGATGACTGGACAGGTAACTATGACTACCTTCCGCCTAGGGCAAGTCCTAGCCTAATACATACATGATATCCTGAGTAACTAGGCCCAGTTCCGCTGTACAGAGCCCTGTTACTCGGGTATACTTAAGGATACTTGTGCTAATGCTTGCGAGTTGAGGAGTACACGAACCCATTACAGAGAAAGGCATGTAAAGAAGTTCAACATCAAGATCTTGTATTATAATTCCCTAATCTAAACACAACCAAGAGCATCCCCATGACATCCTCCGAATCCACCTCCATTCCCACAGCTATCCCGGTGTCCAACGACGCAATCTTAGCCCTGAATCTGACTCTGGATCTGACTCACACCAGGATCCGAACCAACCGAATCCAAGCTACTCAAAAGGCCACGCAAGACCCCTTCAGCAATTTAGATCCAGTCGATTCGAGTTCCCAAGTACGAGTCAGATCCGGAGCCGGATCTAGGGCTAACACGGTGTGATTGAAACCAACGGGTCTAACCATAGAATGAGACGTGAGGCTACCAAAGCCACAGCTCAAAGCCACCAGCTCGAAAGCCTCTGGAAGAAAAAGATGAAGAGAGAAAGAAAGAAGAGCCCAAAAAATTCTCTTCTCTCCACTTTATACGCGAGGATCCACTAGCGCGGGCCGACACTGTGCCGTTGGAGATAAGTGTAGGGCCTCTCCGTACGGAGTCTCACGATACTATCAGGGCCCCCCTTTTTGATTGGATTAGGCAAACTTCAACCTCTCCTCCGTCCAGCCGGGTCTTAACCCCTCGGTATTCATAGATGCAACATCCAACGAGCTATCGGCAACGTAGTTAACCCGCCAATCAACCCGGAGACTAGCACCGTCTTCGCTCTGCGCCCAGATAGCTACGCCAATCGTGTTCTCGCCCGTGTAATCTAATATCCCCACCGGGACGGGGTATACAACCTGGTTCCCGATGTACGGGTTATACCGACCGTACTGATACCCATTGACGAACAGCTGTGCCCGGTACTGCGTCGTACCAGAGGTGGATAATACGAAGGAGATAGAGATGTCCGTGTGTGCAGGTAGAGAGAGGGGGATTGTAGTGCGGAAGAAGCGGACAGTCGCGCCCTGGAAGCTGAGCACGGATGTATCGGTATCTGTCCACGTTGAGTCATCGTATCCGGGTAGATGCCACCCGACTCGCTCGGCGAAGAGTCCGTCTTCGTTGTACACGCCGCGCACGGGGTCGAGGTTTGTTTCGCCGCCGGCGGTGCCGGCTAGACGCCAGTGTGTGAAGCCGGCGGAGCCGAGGAGGGTTGCGTCCAGGATGCCGCGCGGGTTTAGGGCGCCGGTGGTTTGGTCGTGGCCTGTGTCGTCGTGGAGGATGAGGAGGATGTTCGGGGTTGTTGTGCTGAGGGTTGCGTTTTCGAAGGAGAGGGTTAGGTTTGCTTGGGAGGTGGAGGCGTCGCCGAGGTGTGAGGCGAGGAAGACTCCGTTGAGCCAGGCGGACCAGCCGCTATGATGATCGTCAGTTTTATGATATTAGGATATTGGGTCGCGCTTACAAGGCGGATCCTCCTTGGACATTGATGAAAGCTCCGGTTGCTGTTCCGTTGAAGTAGCCGCGCCAGAGACGGACGCCGTTGTGGAATCCGTATTCGTCTGCGTATAGCACTGGGAGACTTGTTGGGGTCCGCGGGTTGAGCGTTGTCATGTGGTTGGCATCTATTGAAGATCAGCTGGTTCGTCTCTTGGAATCGGATAGTGGACAAACTTACCAACCCACGCTACACCGGAGTCATCGTACGTCGTGAACCGCTCTGGAAGACTGTCCTTTGATTTCCATGAAGTGAGAGCTGGCAGTTGGATGGCCTTTGGGCCACTGAGCGAGCCTTTGAGACTGCCATATTCAGTCGAATGAGTGTGAACCTTCTTTCCATTCCAAGTGACAGACTGGACTACCCTTGGGGCGAAGATATCTAGCGTTGTTGCATTGACAACATCTCCGGTGATTGCAAGCTTGGAACCGGACAATTTAGCACTACGGACAAGGTACGGGCCATGGACAAGAACTGCGAATGCAAATTAGCTTTCGCATCATCGGCAGAAATTGTGAGCAGCAGACATACCACTTTCTGTTTCCGGTACGAAGGGATCGTTGGTGATGGCTGGAGCCCAGAATTTATATGCAGACGTTCTATCCAACACAATGACTCGAATAGCATCGTCGAATTCGAGAACGGTCGTGCCAGCGAATTGCGTGAATGAGGTCGTTAATCCGCCATGTTCTTTATTGAACTTGACCCGTGCACAACCCTGGCACTTCTTGAGAGAACCTCTCTTGGCATCCTTGATAGCGAACTCGACAGACTCACCAGTCGGGACCCAGAGAACGAGTGTGGGCTTATTATCAAACACAACATAAGTTAAGACCTCGGCTGTGGAATACAGCAGCGTTTTCGAGCCGAAGTTGAAATCCGTCACAATGATCTTGGACTGATGTCCATTCAAGCGAATGGAACTCGCATGTTTGGGAATAGTCAAAGCACCCGCTGAAGTATTTACCTTCAAATGGAACGGCTCATTTGTCGCGATCGAAGTGTTCGTATGGAAGGTAGCATAGAACGCGGCATCCGTTTCAGGATTCCGAAGTTCATAAGCCCTCACAGCCGGGTTATCAGTATACTGCGTCCCATTACCAATCAACTCGGTCATGGTCAAGTCTTTTGCGGAACGAGTAAACAGCGCTAGCAGTTTAGTCTCGTGGTATTTCGACCAGATGGACCGGTCCTCTGAGATCGGCGCCGAGTAATCGTAACTAGTCGCCGTCACTGGCGCAGCCATAGCGCCGGGATTCTGTCCACCGAACATCATGTACAATGACATTGCCGTCACACGCTGTCCGATATTCCATCTGTAGAACAGGTTGGCGAAGTCGTCGCCGATGTCACCCGGACAGCCGCCTTCGGGTCCGCCCCAGGGGTTGTAAGAGCCGCCTTGGAACTCGGGCATGAAGCCGGGCATGTTGGGCTGGGACTCTTGGAAGTAGTCGGAGTAGTCCATGACTTGGAAGGGGACGTAGGCGCCATTCGTGGAGGTGCATTGGCTAAGATCGCAGGTCCAGCACTAAACCAGATCAGTTCTTCCGTGGGTTTTCATCTCTCCCCCAGATAAACGAGACACATACCGAAGGGTATGAATCAACACCAGCGACATCAACATTCCCACCCTCATCTGACCAATCCTTCCCCCACGAGTGGGTATTCATATTCGGATCATTGACAGTAAGCGGCACAGTAATACCATTTGTGCGAGCATTTGCCTCCAAGAGCTCCATATAAGCAATAGCAGTCTCATTCGGCACCCGTAGAGTCGGATCCCCGATCCACTGATTCCCATACTCATTCTCAATCTGATAGCAGATCGAGTTCTGGCCATCAGTCACCTGGTAACGGCTCGTGATCTCAGTCATTTCAGTAAAATACGGCGTCCAAGCATTCGTATAGCGAGTATCATCATTTCGCAACGTTCCATACTCACCCGTTGTGAGCCACAGCGGGAAACCGCCGGCATTGGCTTCGGCATTGACGTATGGACCGGGTCGGACGATGATGTACAGACCCAGTTCCTTGGCGAGCTCGAAAATCGGGGTTATATCGTGTGCGCCGGTGGTGAAGTCCACAGTTGCATTGTTGGGGGCGTGGTAGGCCCAGCTGGAGTAGAAGGCGAAGGCTGTGAAGCCGGCGGCTTTGATTTTCTCGAGGATATCGCGCCATAGGCCTGGGACTGGGATGCGCCAGTAGTGGAATTCACCGGAGAAGATGAAGAGGCGTTGGCCATGTACTTGGAAGCTGTAGTGGTCCCATTGGACGATGGTGTTGAGGCCGTTATCTTGTAGAGGCCATTGTGTGATGGCGTGGTTCTCTGCTTTGATTGAGGGCCCGAGGCAGGCGAGGAGGACTAATAGGCAGTTGAAGATGCGCGTCATCATCGTGGGCCGCGTTTGCAACTGCGGATGCTTTGAGGCATCATCGGGGCGACCAGGATCAATTTATAGCTGGTTAGATGGAGATTCTTTCGTCTGACCTCCGCATTGGCATGTAGAGGGGTACCCTCTGCACAAAAGGAGCCATAGGAGATTCGAGTACGGAGTACTCCGTACATCGGCATCAAACAGGGATCTAAGCTAGACACCGGTGTCTATTTTCCCTTTTCGTGTGCTGGATTTGTCGAATCTCCGGCGTTGAGTCGATGTTTTTCCTCCATTCACATTGCAGGATTCAGATTATTCCGGAGTATAGAGAGCGAAGTAGTAAGAATAATCAGCGTTGGACTTTTCAGCTATAATATAATACACCGAATTCCCCCATTACACAATAAACGGGTAATAAAGATATACAGAAAAAAAAAGAGAGAGATGCTTGTGCAGCAAAAAGCTCCGAATAACATCAAAGCAAGACGCTGGAAAAGCAATCAAAACAAAAGCCGTCGCCCAAGACACCTCCAAGTCTATCTGGAAGAAGACTTTCCCCCCATACAACCATGACTCGAATATGTTCCATCGGGAACTGCAGAAGCCAAAAACTTGCAGGGAAGAGCTGAACGGCGGGGGAAGACACCAAAGCAAAGCCATCAATTTCCACAGCCGAGCATCAAATCATAAATATTTTTTTAAACCCCCCAAAACTCCAAAATCTATGCGGTAGAGGACCATGCCGAGGTTGACGCTCAAGCATTGTTATCCAATACCCCGAAACGGTTCTCGTCCTTGGTGCTTGGGCTGGAGGATGTCTCCTTCTCAGCCTTTGGTTTCTTGGCGCCCTTCTTCACGGGGACCTTAGAAAAGCCCTCTTCAGACACCGATCGGCTGGAAGAAGCAGAAGCAGTCTTCGCCTTTGTAGCAGCAGCCGAGCGAGTGCGGATCGGCGAATCAGGAGCAATGGTCTTGTTCGCGATCTTCTGGACCTGGGCCTTGATGACCTCATCATCGGTGGTCACCTCGCTGTTCTCGCCCTCGATAGCAGCCTTGCGGATCTCGCGGCTCAGGCTCTTCAGAGCATCCATGCCGGCCTTCTCGGCGGCCTCCATGTGGGTGGGCTGCTTCACACCGGGGTCCTTACGGTTCAGGTAGGATCGGACAAAGAAGCGCGCGAAGAGGTAGGTGAGGGGAAGGAGGTAAGAGACGTTCAACCAGACGGCGAAGGCTTGGCCGGTGGTATCCATACAGGTAACCATCTGGTGAGAGTAGCCGGATTGCTGAACGGGAGCGACGTTGAAAGTAGTGCCAACGTTCTCGGCAATTCCTTCAGCGCCCGCAGCCCGGAAGGCCATCTTCTTCAACCAGGCGACGGAACCAGCCTCGGCGGTGGCAGTGGCAGCGATGGAGGCAGCCTTGGACAGCTGGTTGAGGGCTGCGCTGCCGGAGGGGTAGGGGATGGTGTAGTGGACGAACAGGTAAGCAGCAGCCATGTTCGTTCCGAAGACGAACTGGGTGATCTGCATGGTAGTCAAGCTGCGCTTAATGGCATTGGGGACACGAATGCGAAGAGCGGTAAGGGTATAGTAGGTATACTACAGCGAGGCAGGAGTTAGTATCAGCCCCTCGGGGTTCTGGAAGCAATGCGAATTAGCCGACTTACCATCATAGCGTGAATAGCCGAGTTAACCAGACAGAAGATCCAAATGGGAGCAGCCATGTAGCGGATACCAGCCCACATGCACATCATGGCACCTGCGTGGTGGTAGGTCTGCAGAGTCGAGCTCTTCTTGCCCTTGGCCAGAATGATTGCGGTGTCGACAACCTCGTAGAACTTGGACAGATAGAAGAACCAGCCGAAGTAGGCGAGGCCCTGGTTCCAAAGACGGCCGGCATCCGTAGGGTCGGGCATGCCGTTGGTCAACTGGAAGGCGGGGTTGGGAATGGACCATTCGTCGGTGATCGCGTTGTAGGTGGCGGCATTACCGTAACCACGGGGTCCATTGATCTTGCAGAGCGAGTCCACAACTCCAGCCAGGCCATTGGTATCATCGCTATCGGGGAAAGAGCCGCTGAAGGCCTGGAACATACCCACGAAGGTCCATGCGGAGTAAACAGCCAGGAACACATTGTGGAGAACCACGAACAGCTTGAACAGGGGGCTGTGACTGAACCCATAGGGCTTATAGCCGCGACGCTTGTTAATGCGATTGATCAAAACCACGGTGAGCGCATAGACAGTCGCGATGGTGATTGGTACCCGGACGTCCAGCACCTGGTTATAGAGATCGTTCGGGATGTTGAAGGGCTGCTTCCAGGTCGGGGTGTCGACGTGAGGCGCCGGAATGGTCACAGGGAGCTCATTGGGAGGAAAGCTGAGAAGAGAGGCCGGAGGAAAGGCAATGCGAACAACTGCCTGGCCAAACTCGGTGGGCACATTGAAATCGTGCATGATGAGAACGACGCCGAGTCAACGCGTGCACTCGTATAGGAGATAGAAGAGGTCTAAAGAAGATAAGAAAAAAAGTATAGAAGAAAAAAAAAGTAGGTAGAAGAGCAGTGGATCCCATTGATCAAATGGCCTTGAAATTTCTCAACAAGGGCAATGGCCGCCGATCTCGATCGCCCCGGTCTCGAGTTTGTTGGGATTTCCAAGTCTTGGCTCGTCAACGTGCCGAGGCATCTTTTCTCCAGATTTGCATTGCCTTTACATGACAGGTTTCGTTAGGTTTCTCTAGCTTTCTCTAGGATTCTTTCTTTTTTTTTTTTTTTTCTATGAGTTCATCTTGGCCTTGGTAGGTTGAGCTCGGCTCGTACCTACGTAGATATACTCCGAACTGCAGGTATAAATAGGGTGCAGGCAACGCCACTATCTTCCAGGATTGCCCCTCCAAACCGGATATCCCCGGACGACTCAGGAGCCAGTTGCACGGCGTCTAGATGACGCCGCCAGGATCTAACCTCCAGGGATCTGCTGCTGACTCATCGCCAGGTGAACGTCAAAACCAGGACGAGCGATTACGGAGTACATCTTCAGGTCATGGCCTTCAGCTGCTTGTTGGGATTAGCTGGAATCGTCCCAATATGTTGGGAATATGCAAATATACCATCACATGCAGCCTCGGTCATGTTGGGTAGGGCTGTACACCTCCGCTCGAGATAATAAGATGAGTACGGAGTATTCCGTGCCTTTCCGCATACTATTTTTGTACTCCGTATCCTCGATAACATAGGAGGTGGACAGTAACTACAAAGCTACAGGTAGTCGGGAGGCTTGAAAAGGGACCTGAACATCTCTATGGTGACAAAATCGTACAATGATCCATTCGTCCGGTCAACATGGTAAAGAGAATCCACCCAACGCCAGAAATGTACACAGAATATAGCTACAAGTACAGTTCTCAGCGGGGTTTAGTGCTGTGAGGGATAGGAGGAGGTGCTGGAGATGAGGGCGATGGAGCCTCAACGGCAGACGCCCGGAATTCAGCCCGCTTGGGCGGAGGCGGGGGGAGGGGCCTTCTTGCGTTGAACTTGACTCTGGAGATCCGGCTCGGTAAGTGATACCACCGAAGAGTTCGATTGGACGGGAGGTGAGACCGCGGGAGAGGTCGATGGGGCCATAGAGATGGGACGAGCAGGTGGCCGTGGAATGCGTTTATTGGCATTGGCAGAGAACTTGCGGTCCTCGACAAACGTGTTGAAGCGCGATGTGACACCACCCCACTTTTCTTTGCCCATTTCGATCTTGTCAGCATGGCGCTCACGGAAATTTTGCACCGAGGATGTGCCCCGCGCGGGCTCCGCCGGTTCTAAGTTCATACTAGAATGATTCGATGCGGGCCGGGCCGGAGGGCTAGGCGCTGGAGCAGAACCCGTGAACCGCGATGTAACATCACTCAACTTCTGTTTGCCGGAATCGATCGAATCGGCATGGCGTTCGCGGAAGTCACCGTACTTCTGTTTCCCCGAATCAATTTTGTCGGCATGGCGCTCGCGGAAGTTCTGGATAGAAGATGTGCCGCTCGCTGATTGCGGCTCAATGTTCGTCGAGGACCGAGTAGGTGGGGGTGGTGCCGATGGAGAACCCGAGGTATTCATTTGGGAGAAGCGAGACTGCAGCTCATTGATAGGCGTATGGGCAGGTGACTGAGCCTTCTCCTGTCCGATCCCAAAGGCAGGGACCGAGACGCCCGCGTTCGCCAGGCGAGATGTAGCATCTTGGTTGATGTAATCGTGGGAGAGTACCGGTGTAGGGGAATAGGCTGGAGGCGGATCGGAGCTGGGAGACCCGTTGCGGGCGGGAAGACGTGGCGGAGGCTTTGGTGGCTTAGGCTTTGAGATCGAGCTCGTTGAGGCGGGACTTGCGGAGTCCAATCGCCGCGGTGGTGGAGGGAGATTGTTTGTAGACAGGCCGGTTGTGTCCACGCGGTATGGGACGGGAGGCGGAGGGGGCTTACGTGCCTCTTCCTCTTCTGCTTCAACTTCTTCCTGTTGAAGTCTCTCCTGAGCACCGATTTGTTCCTTGCTCAATGGAGCCCCTAGACCGCGGCGGTCGGGTGTTGTTTGATTTGGCACTGCTGCCGCTCCATGGTAATTGATGTGTTTGGGAGGGGGCCCAAACGCCGATGGGTCTTTGAGAGATGACAATGGTTGGGAGACGTGATTAGCGCGATCGGGTTCGGAATTGTCGCCTTTGCCCATCCAGCCAGCCTGATAGCGAGAAAAGTCAACCTCAATGGCCGAGTCGCAAGTCCGAGCGAGGTGAGCTTACTACTTGGCCTCTGATGCCCCCCTGTGACGAGGAAGACTGTCCAGAGCCAGAGCCAGAACCGGTCTCCTTACCCTTTCCCATCCATCCGGCCTTCACGCAAGCATAAGTTAGCGACAAGGGTCGAGTTGGAAATCTGAGAGAGGGGTGAGGATGGGCTTACTACTGTATTGATTCCTTTGAAATCACCGCGCCAGCTCTCCTTGCTACCATCTTTGCCTTCAGGGTGCCAGCCACCCTTCATAGTATTGCGAAAACCACTCATGATGCCACAGAGTGCGGGGATGAGAGTTTCTCGATGGTCGGGAACGGGGAAGCTGTGACGACAATATCCCCACCGGATCACGTGTAATCAAATCGGGTAATTTACACGACACGAGCGCATCTCTCTCGAAGACATCAAAGTTGGAGAAATCCAAGAGTTCAGAGTGGAATGAATTTAAACTGACCGCGGCAGTTGCTAACAATCGATATGAACATTTAATTGTAAATCAAGTAGGCGGTCTGGCCCCATTCTGTTATGTACGGTACCTGGATGATGCAGTTATAAAACCACATGGATTTGTTGATCGATGAGTCAATGGACTTTGATGTACGGAGTATGCTTCTTTTGATACACATCATAGAAGCGATGAGTACGTGCCTTTTGAAGGATCATGCACTTTTCTCGGTTCTGAAAATGTCCTGGCAAGTTATTGCTCTATCTCATGGTACCTAGATGTAGGTAGAATACTCGGCAGTAACGATTCCTATAATCATCTTAACTTGACTTTAATCTAGGAGCTTCAAAGGATAGTTAGCTCGAAGTTATCTAACAGTCAGGGTACTCACTATCAAAATCATCCCTAGACTCGGTGCCCTCAAAATGGTGCATCGGTGTATGTATATTACCCCGTATAGGTCCTGGATCTACATAACTTGCTCTTAAACCGGGTGCATGGCACTATTGATTCGTACAGGTATGTTCTGGCATATGGGGTAGTTGGAATTTCAATCATAATAAAACCCCGGGAGAGAGTCAGCCCAACTACTTACTGGGGACTCCCTATATATCTTTATCACGGTTCTGAGTCCTCTCTCTTATACTTCAATCTGCAATTACCGTACCTCGAGCGGCCTAGGGGCGTTCAACCACCAAGCAAGCGTCAATCTCACACCTTGCCCACATGGGAAACTGGGTCCTGCTCAAGGGTTTTGCCCTCCAGCTCAGCATTCTATTTCTCATTGCCTCGTCCAGTGCTGCCCAACAATGTTACTTCCCCAACGGGGACCCAAGCAACGATGTGCCCTGCTTTCCTGACAGTTCTGCCTCGCATTGTTGCTCATCAAATGCCATATGTCTTACCAACAAACTATGCTTGTCTATGAAGCGGCCATATCACCTTTCGCGTGGGAGCTGCACCGATCAAAATTGGATGAGCGAGAGTTGCCCAAGGGATATCTGCGGTAAGTTTGGAAGCTTCTAACATAGCACCTGGTATATGCTAATCCTTCATTCACAGAGAAAGCTCAACGATCTTCTGGCGCAGCTATTATTCCGATTAACGGCACTGGCACGGACTGGTTATACTGTTGCAACGCCGTGCATGGCAATGGAGATGGCTTGGTTTGCAGTACTACCCAACGCGAGCCGCAAGACCCCTTCGAGGTCTTCAACAGTTACGTTATCCCTGGTGTCGCAGCGCTATCGAACCTAGTGAGGGACCCCGAGCATACGTCTTCTATTGTAGCGAACGGTACCATTACCGGTACTATGAAGAGCAACTGCACCAACGATGAGGCAAACAATGTCACTACTAGCAGCCTGAGTAGCAGCCCGAGTAGCAGCAGCTGCCACGACGTGGCAATCGGTGCAGGTGTTGGCGTCCCTCTGGGTGTCATTGCTCTACTCTCTATCGCCTGGGCGCTTTGGGAAAGGATGAAAAGAAAGAGTATGTCTCTTCAATCAGTCCAGCCAACTCAGTCTGCCAGTAATAAGTGCCGCAACTCGGAGCCGACTGAACTACAAACATTTTCATATGAGCCAAATGAACTGGATGGAAGCTCGCGCGGTGGGTAGCTTATACCACAAACACCAAGACATCAAAAGTGTTTGGTTAGAGGGAGAGGGGATTGAAATGTGATATTTGAATACCCTTCGAATATAGTGTCTATGTGCATCTAGCCTTCAACTTTGAGCGAATTCTATCGGTATCGAGTTTTATTTTTAAGACCTCGCCAAAGAGCGCGATATATTGGATGATAGCGCCTAAAACACCGTCCAGATCAGCAACTGAAATATCAACTGCTCACTCCATATCAGAACAATAAGATATGAAATAACCGACTCTCTCGTTCCAGCCCGGCCCTCGCCGTTAGCATTGCGAGCCACACGAATACCCCAGTGTAATAGATTTAGCGAATAAGAAGCTGGCCAGATGCTCTCTTGCAAATATCTCAAAATATATACATGAGGTTCGAACCCCATCACAACATATGCTGCGCTGAGAATCGACAGATTCCTACGAGCCACATCGCTGCACCTAAGGCAGCCCAATATGCAAGCGCTCTCCACTGGCCTTCATCTATTGGCCTTGGGGGTTAGGGATCGCCGATATCTCTGCCTCTCAAGATATCCGAAAGGAAAGGGAGCCCTGCAAAGTTGAAGGTGTATCTATCATCATTCTGCAAAATCGCTGAAATATCCAAGCTTCTAGCAATTCTCCAGCTTCCTGAATTATCAACCAGTATCGAATTAGCCCTTAATGAATTCCTTGTCCTAAACGACCCTGACAAGGCTAGTCTTCGCTTGCGTACGGCGGAGAAGATATTCCCACTTGTCTTTGGAGAAGATGCCGTAGTACGAAGCGACGTTAACTTCTCCCAGCGGAATGAAACAACTTGGTAAACGAAGCTGCCCGACGTCTCGATCTTGCACGTATTTGACTTGCGTCATATTGAAAGGTCTACCAACTGCCAGCTCAATCCCGGTATTATTCTGACGCCTCAAACACCCCAGGATGTGGGAAAGGGGCTTGCTCTCTGTCGTTTCCTTGACATTAAGTTCTCCATCCGCAGCGGTGGTCACCTGCATAACCCCGGATTTACGAGTAATGATGGGGGCGTGGTGTTCTCGATGAAGAAGTTCAACGCCGTTACGCTCTCTGGGGATCGTTCAACGACACAGATTGGTGTTGGTCAAACCTGGTTCGATGTCTACAAAGCCCTAGAAGAACATGGGCTGACAGTGACCGGGGGACGGCAGCCTACGGTGGGTGTTGCTGGTCTCCTTCTTGGGAGAGGTTTGGCTTTTCAGAACAGTGAGCGGGGATTGGCCTCTCACGGTGTCATTGAATGTGAGGTAAGTATTGAATCACGGGTCTTGATCCTGTGTGATGAGAATGCTGATGATACTGGAGATTGTTTTGGCAGACTCGACTATTGCTAAGGTTAATGCTACCAATAACAAGGATCTCTTTTGGGCCTTGAAGGGCGGGGGTCCTAATTTTGGTGAGACTACAGATCTTTCTGAACAAAATGTACCTAATTCTCATGTTTATATATCAGGTATTGTGACGAACCTCACCATGTCGACCATTTCCAACAAATTCTGGTGTGAAGGCCGAATCTACACACCTAAGGATAATGACAGCCTTTTCAAATCAGTCATGGAGTACCACGAAGCAAACGAGAAAGTCTCTAAGGCAGCTCTCATATGCCACTTCATCGAGGATATGACACTCGTGATTCTCATTTACGCTGACCCAGTCGAAGAGAAGCCCGCTGTCCTCATCGCCTTTGATAAGCTTGAGTGTGTCTCCCAGATGGTGCCACCCAAAGTGTCCACAATCTTTGACATTGTCAATATCTTCGCAAATATCACTGCTTCTGAATCTAAGAGTTATGACTCGTTCCTATCATACTCACAAACATGCCGCCTAATCCTTGCTTAAATAGCCATAATATGCGAACAATGTCAAGTTTTTTTGGCCTGGTTCTACTTTTATCTTTGGCTGACTCTAGCTAGGGGTCGTGATCATGATGGACTGGTCTCATCTCGAAGATGAGAGCACTATGCTGGAAGCATGTCGCAAGATTATCGACTCAGCAGAGGCCGTTGCGAAGAAGAACGGGACTTACCTTGATTTCAAATATTCGAATTATGCTTCGCGAGACCAGGATCCGCTCGCCACGTATGGATCTGAAAACTTGAAAGGCTGTCCCCGATAAAAGCATGTCTCGCAGCATTCCATGAGGCGTACCCAGCTTCCCCATGACGAACGAAATCACGAACTGAAACATCATACTCTTTTCGTTGCGCTTTCGTGGAGAGGAGTCCAGGATAAGACAGAGCAGTCAAACCACGAGAACAGAAAAATCTCTCGTATGCGTTAGCGATATCATACCAAATCGTTAGCGAAGCTCCAAAGTAGACCAACTTTTACACTCTCTTTGCTCCCTGAGGCGGGAAGAACAAATATTGGCAGGGAGTGTCCCCCGCAAGCTTCATACTCGCTGTTCAATCCGGCCGATTCTTGATAGATTGGAGTAGATGGCGGAGGCCACGCGCGCGAGCAATGACTGCTTGTGTCGTGAGCCCACGGCAGCCCCTCCAATGGGGAGACGCTTGAATTGACTCGTTTGTTTGTGATGATGAAACTCTGTCCGAGGCGGGTGACAGAGTCAATCTCTATTGGTGACTTTGAGGGTAAGTTGATGACATATTACACGCCAGAGCTCCGAAGCATAGGGAGTTATTGGGGAAAAACCTCTTGACTGATTGTCCTTGGTGATTGTAATTGGTCGAGCACCACGTGAACCTTCCACAGAACAAAAGCAGATGAAACAGGCCAAGAAAATAAGGACCGACAAGACAGAGAGGATGACAGGCTCCGCACCACGAGGAACGGAGTTTCTGGTCCTGGTGGGACATGGTTGGTGCATAAGCTGAATTTGAGATTTGGAAATCCCAGATGAGCCACAAGTGCGTGGGAAATGAGCTGAATTGGAGATGCCTCACTCGAAGTGAAAGAAACGGAGGTTATCATCCTTCTGAGGCAATCCGAGGCAATCTGAGGCAGCCTCCAGACATTGTGGCCTGTTGCTCGGAGCCTACTCGGACTCGTAACTTCCCCGATGACTGGCTAGAAGGACCGAGCACTCTGGATTTTTGGGTGTGGTCATAGTGGTTTCGGTCATGGCGACAGTGTTAGAGAATAAAAGAGGTAGCCTAGATATCCTAGCATTCCATGGGGTTGGGTTACCCGGGTATGGCAAGGATGCATAGGTAGATGTAAGAGGAAGAAGCAACCTCAGGACGGGAGGTGTGCTTAAGTACAAAGGCTGTCTCCGCCGTAGGAAGGCACGATCTAGGAAAAGGACAGAGCGATGGAGACTGTGAAGTGAGCGAGTATAGCTCCCGCGGGCGTTAGCAACTAATGGGGATAAAATATGATATTGATGAAAATGTGAGAAATATATGTGCCCCTCTAGTTGAAAACAGTATTGATTTACAATTGTCTAATCAAGGTTTTCTTGAAGAAACCGTCGACTGAGATCATTCTCAATCCATTGCTCAATTAGACCAACGCTATCCCCCACGAGATGGTCATAATTTTCACCCTGGGGGATAAACATAGACTGATGAGCCATCACTTCGTCCATATCTTCCATTAATATGGGCTGCCAATGGGAATTGTCATTGTATTTCCAATGATGCGACGGTAAAAGGATGAATTTGCGAAGTTGTTGTTTAGAAAGGTCCGTGGATTCTGATATTGAAATGGAGCCGCTTTCCTCTGAGAGGGAAACGCTTCCTGGGAGGGACGGGCTTTCTATGTGGTCAACTGAAGCTGCAGTAGACGTTGCAATACCTTTCTCTTCAGTTGAAAGGGGTTCATTCTCATCATTGACTTTTGCAGTAGTCAAGGAAGAATGAGAAGTGACGGACTTTAGAGTCTGCTCTTCCATTGACAATTTGCTCATTGAGGAGGTCGTTTCAGTTTCTTCACAAGGATCTAGCGTTTTTGAATATTCTTGTAAGTCGGTTCTCATTGTATCATTGGTCTGATCAATGTCTTCGGCTTCCTTTATGTGCTCTTCATCTTTTTGTGACTTCTTGGATTTCTTCTCTGATTTTTCCTTCGACTTCCGTGGCTTTGGTTTGCGACCAGTGCTCGCGGTATAGTAGTTGATAAAACGCACCCTCTCCGGGCTGGACTCAGCATTTTCCATCTCCATTAGGTGGCGATATCGCTGGCGAAGTTCTGAGTAATTATTAACGCAGCCAGCGAATTTCAAGGGCGACATGAGGCGATCAAAGATAGATCGTGAGAGATTATCCGTGTTCTTGTTCACAAAATGCATGATACCTTTCAGGAAGCCACGCTCAACCAAACGCACATCGTTCATGAACGGAGGGTCGAAATTGGGATTGGGAGGGGGAGGTTTGAAGGCTGGTTGCAAGCCTAAAGATTCTTGTTCTCCGGCGAGCTTCTCTTCAGCTGCTGGGTTTCTCTTTGGCATCGATCCCATGGTCCCAGTGGGTATCACGCGAGGATGGATCCCCAGGAAGGGGACATCAAATCCCACAATCCCTAAAATTCGATGCTTTGGGCGCCCGCTTTGTTGCAGACGTGCAACGTCGGCGGCTAAAATTCCACCAAGACTATGTCCTAGCAGGATGACGTCCAGATCATGCGCCTCATGTGGCGATATCCTAGAATTTCTCGATTAGCATACCTGGTTGCTGAATGTGTCCAGACAGAAGAATGTCGTCTCGTGATCACATACCAGGCGCTGAATTGGTCGACTGCTGTTTGTATCTCGCCCTGGGATTTGTATCGTGGATACATCCGAGTGTATACCACGTGTGATTCGCTCAGCGAGCCCGTTAAAAGGTCATGAACATGGAGGGGAAGGTCATGGAAGCTAGCTTCCGAGCCCATGAAGCCGTGGATGTAGACCAATAATAGCCTGCGCTTTTCTGTAACCTGGGATCCTCCGGGCCGTGATAGCGACAGGCTGGAATGAGAATCGTCGGTGCATAGATGAATATTCCCCTCCATCTCCACAGCTTCAAGCTCCCCAAGTACAAATGAACAGTAAGTATAGACAAACAGACTTCCTTTCCTGGACTTTGAAATGCGGGGGGGTTCCTGAGGAGGAGGTCGCCACCAGGGCTTACTAAGACGTCCAGTTGGCCCCGGGCTCCGGGGCGATCTTCACCACATGGAGATGGCAAAATAGTAAAGCCTGACAATGATCTCAAGCTGGTTTCCGCATTCTGTGTTAAAGCCCTTACTCCCTGGCGACTGAAAGAGAATGAGCCTTACATCATTTGCCTAAGAGTCGATACCAAGGGTCGCGGGCGTCCTGCGACTGCTTCATCATCAGATTCCAGATTCCAGAACTCCCGAGATCTCTCAAAGAATCTAACCCGGCCCATGATCCGTTAACTAAACCTCATCCTTGAGTGTTTTTAAAATCCCCTCTCAACTTTTTGAGATGACTGATTACACTGCATGGCTCTCGCACCGCTCCATGCTGCGAACATTACTCTCTCATAGAGGGGGAGCTGACTACAACATCCTAACGCTGTTAGGCCACCAAGGGAACTATCAAGGAGAGAAGCAAAATTCAAATATCCTTTTCCAAATAGAACTGGTGGCTTTGAAGCCTCCCAAGCGAGGTCTGACCTTCCACTGGGAGGCCTGAGCTGCCAGGCACTATCTCAATACTCCTAACCCCCGAGTCGTCCTTATACTAATACACCTTGATGGACCTGACTGGAGCTGACCTTCAGTTAATTTTGGGGGTGTTTAGGTATGTTGAGTGGATGTTTCTCGGCTTTCAGCAGTCCATATACTACAATAACCCGTGCGATAATGAATTAGGGCCTGTACTATTTGAGATAAGCTAGTTCATAGCCTAAACGCTGGCTTACACGGACTTTAAGGCATCCACTTGTTTCTCTGCACAATTTTATGACGCTAGAATAGAAGGCATGTTAAATAGACAATGAATGCTATGCCCAATTCGAAGGAATCTTTGTCTGCCAAAGATAGCCATCTACGATTGGCCCCCTACCCATTCGTATGCAGGGGGGAAGGACAACAACATTAAAGCAATAATCCAATAATGAAAATCCCCATTGAGGATATCCCTCGTAAGCCCGTCATTCTTCGGACCCCGACTAAACGCAAAGGAGTTAGGGTTCGCGCTGATCCTACGTGGCCCCATATTAGCGCGAACGTCCCGAGGTCGTAAAAATAGCATTCATGAGGCTCGTAGGGATTTGAATTCCAATGTTTCCTGTCTCCAGATAATTGATTCTGTAGTTATGTGGTGTTTGGTTTCTTCTCTCTGAGGAAACATGCTACGTGTGTCAGTTGAAAGAGACCAGATGAATAGGCGAGGGTTATTGACGCCGGATCTAGCGCCGCATATCCAAGCGCTTCTTTGTTGGCCTCATCTCGAGGGCAGTGCTTCACCCCACCATGGAGCTGATAGGCTGTACGTTGCCAGGTGTACATGTTGTCTTCTATTTCTCGGGTTGTAAGAATACTTTTGTATTCTTAACTTATTCATGCATTCGCTGCTTTTCTGACCATTTCTGATGCTTCCAAGCACGAGCATATAACGAATCTTATACAAAGAAATCGGAGGCGTCCTAAACCTGGCACTTAACAGAAGTATTCCTTTTTAGCGCCAGTTGTCTCTTTCGGGTGATCTTTTGTGGCACTTCTTTGTCTTCGCTTTGAAACCTTCGCATAAGACTTGGGTGCCCCGAAAAGCTGCACTCTTCAACTCAACATACCCACGATGGTGATGCTGTTTCCTTTCGCCATGGAGCCTGTGATCGACGAGGCAGGTGCATCAGGGCTTATGCCACCGGAAGAATTCGATACAGTGTCGGTGGACTCAGCGGGCCTTGATGGAGTGGTGTTCACGACGGTCGTCGAGGGACAAAACAAGAACTATGCACCAGCTCCAACAACATATGAAGATCCAACAGTCACGCAAATCCTTCCAACGGATCCATGGCCATCAGTCAGCGAGTTGACTGCATATTCAGCATCAAGCAAGACTCCAGTGGAAGTCGACACTTCGATCTATAACGCAGCAACTTCATATTCTCCACCTGCATCGCCGTCGCCGTCGCCTTCACCGTCACCCTCCAACTCACATCCACCAAAATCATCAACACTTCCATCCCCTACCCCCACATCAGCGTCAACGTCAACATCAACATCAACATCAACATCAACATCAGAATCAAAATCAGCATCAACATCAACCGAAACCCCCGCAGCAGCAACAACCTCATCAATAGACCCAACCACCTTCTCCGGCGGCACATCAACATCCACAAAAATCGCAATCATAGTGCCAGTCGTAATCGTCACCGCACTAATCTGTGCCCTGATATTCTTCCTCATCCGCCGGAGAAGACGCAGGATGGAACGCAACTCACTCCCCCCGCCATACGATATAGCAACGCGCCAGAACCCCGCCCTATCAGCGCAGGAACTGATGATTTCTCCAAAGTCGTCGACCCCAGAACCAAGGGGCTCGCTGTCACTCGCGGCAATGACGTCGCAGCCCATCCCGATTATCAATATCTCGCCGTCGACGGAGGAGCGGGGGCTGACGCCCAGTCCTAGTCCGAGCCATAGTCCGAGTCATCGCTCGGACTCGGGGAATCATGGGTCCCATGGGCCTGGTGGTTCGGAGGCGGAGCTTGGGGTTGCGGTTGCGGTGCCGGTTCCGATGGATCGGGGGCAAAGTACCACGGAGCAGGAGGTGAGGGGGCGAGTTGGATCGGAGACTTCGTCTAGGGCTCCTTCGCGGTTGGCGAGGATGCCATTTGAGGATTTCGAGGATGATGAGGTTGGGATTGGTGTTGCTGTTGGTGGTGAAGATGATGATGCTGTTTCTGATGTTTCGGATTCGGAGATACGTAGGGGAGGACGGAGGGAGTATGATGAGATTTCGATGGTCTCGTCGTTTGATGGAGTGTCGCCGATAAGCCAGCAGGAGAGAGCGCGGTTTCGGTGATTATATCGAGAAGTCTGGGGATTAAAAAGACGATGTGATATAACGAAGCTAATACCGGGACTGGAAGTTTCTTGTCTGTGGTTTTATTTGGGCTCTACGGCGTTTGATTCATTTTAGGGATGTTGTTTTGTTTGTAGGATTTCATGATCTATTTCTTTTCAGCGTATGTACTCGATCATGACTGAAATGACATGCTGACCATGTCGGTACATATCCAGTCAGAGGATTGGGAAGCTCAGTGCGATATAAGATGTAGAGATAACCACAAAGCCTGCTGGTAACCTAGCGAGTCTTGTTTATCTTCCGCTCCCGAAATCAGCCTGGTGAGCCGTGGCCCTTCCATGCGTCAATTCCCGAATGGCCATGGTGGCGTACTGGCTCGATCCCAACTGGAACTTCAGCACAACCGCCAGTTTATCAGGCGTGGCCTCGGTAGCCATAACAGTATCGACATCCTTCTTCTCAGCCTTCAGCTTTTCCAAGTCTGTCTCAACAAACTGCTCCTCATCCTTTGAATAAAGCTTCACGTCGAAAGAGTAATCATCTCCCACCATGCGACTGAAAATCTTGCGGTAGCTGCCGCTAAGACTGCTGTCCTTCCACTTGCGACGCATGTTGAACGCATCAAGGCCACCGCCCTGCTCGCTATTCATGAAGCGGCGATAGAATTCCTTCATTTCGTTCTCGGGGTAGATGATATCATATCCAGGCTGGGGAAGCACCAGGTCAAAGATAGTATATTTGCCGCTGGCTGCCTCTTCGGCAGTCAGGGCACGTGCCCGCATAAACATGTCCTCGGCCGCAACGGCACTGTCTTCGCCCTGAGGAATAACAATGATTTCACCATCGGCATCGACGGTTTCGGCAGCCTCGACGGCAGAGGCAGTTTCCTTCTCGCGATGCTCCTGAATAATGACGAGATCGCCTTCCACGACCCGGTCACCATAAAGGCGCCAACGCTCACTTGCAGCGAAATTCCAGACAAGGGACTGGTATGCGTGCACGTACATCAACCGCAGATTCCGGGGGATAGTCTGCAATGCACCCAAGTAATCATTTCGGCTCCTGCCAAGGTGGCGGATCAGATTGCTTTCGGCAGTGAACTTGCGGGGGATCTTTTGCAGAGCATCCGCGATGCTACCACCAGACTTGAACATGTTGATAGCCATGGCACGATCCTTATCATCAGTGCTAATGTTTGCGGTAGAGGAAGCACCCTCCATTGCGGCCTGAAGAGATGCAGGGTTATATTCCAAAATAGCATCGCACGCGCCCTTGTAATCTTCCTGCAGCATCTTGACACCGATTGTATCCGTTCGAGTGGCGAAGGTTCCAAATCGCTGGAGACCAAAGTAGTTGAAGTATCCCCGCTTGTAGAGGTTCTTCAAGGAGGTACCGACGACCTCGGAGGCCTTGGCAATCGCAGCCTGAGGATCGCTCAGGTCCAAACCGGGAATTTGAGTGTCGCGAAGAGTAATGTGGAACTCATTGCCCTGCAAATCTCCAAGCTCCAGACCGTGCTTGCGATACTCAAAGTCTCCGACGCGAGCGTTGCGAAGAGTCGAGTTCAACCGTGCAAGCCGATCGGCATGGACGCGCAGAGCACAGGCGCGCTGCGCGGTCGCACCTCGCCTATCCTTGGTTCCAGCAAACTGGAAAGACTTTGCGTTCATCTTCAGTGAGCGAGCGATGAAAGCAATAACTTCCATGGTGTCCTTGTTCTCCTTGTAGATGGTGAAATGGAGGTATGGGCCGCCAAGTTCTTCCCAGTTTGTTCGGTTGCCCTGGGTTCGGCCATTGTTGCCTCGTCCTCCGTTGGAGTCGCGCTTGAAACGGTTGTTCGCAGCGGTAATTGCCATCACTCCCTCTGCATCAGTAGTTGACTCCAGCTGAGAGCTGAAGATGCGACGAATGGCCTGGTGGATCTTGGTGCGAAGGTCGCGATCAGACACGCCAACGTTGATTTTTCCGAATTCACTAGGGCGACTCTTCGGCTTGGACATGGCATTTTTGTGGAGCGCGATGATTTCGGTCGCATGCTGAGCGCCAAAGTATTCGACCAAAAGAGCGTGGTCCTCTTCCGAAACCTGGAACTCAACTGGGGCTGCTTCCTGCTTAGCCGGGGTTTCCGCCTCGGGGGCTTTGGGCGCAGCCGCAGGCTCTGTCGCAGCAGGCGCAGGCTTGTTGGAACTGTTGGGCGCATTCGTGTTTCGGAGGTGAACAACTTCGCCGGTAGTCGTGATCTCATTGACCAGGAAATCTGTGTATCTGCGCGTCCGTTCTTAGCGCGATCCCCACAGGTGTATAATTGAATAACTCACCTCTTTTTCAAGATACCCGAGAATCCTTCAGTGTCGTTGCTCACAAACTCCGTGATTCCGACCTCGACTTCCTTCAGAGCTTGAGCATCTGAGACTGCGGCGGTGCTCGGGGTCTCGATTGCGCCATCGCCGACAATGGCGACCTCCGCGGAACCAGCATCCTCGGTCTTCTGTCGCTTGCGCGGAGACTCCATAATCTCTGGCTTCTCCATTTTGTATATCGTAATGGGTGGGGTTGACTGGAGGAGGACGTTGAGCTCCTGGAACTTTTCTTGACCAATTGGGTATAGCGCCAACAGGGCCAATGCGGAGAAGCCCTACTTACTGTATTTGGATGGAAAGTATATACTTCACTTCGAGTTCTACTTTATTGATCGATTGGCTCTTTTAATATGCAATCCTCCCGACCTGGTCTCTTATATAGGTAGCCCTGCTAGAACCTGTGGTTCATCTTCTTCATCAGACTTCCACGGAACTCATAGGCAGTCGATGATTCCTTCCTTTTCTCTCGTTCCTGCCCTCCTTCCTTTGCAACCCCCATTCTTTCCGCCAACCAACACGTACCTAAATAGAGGGAGCGATTAGGGAAATAGCATATATTATATGCACCTTATGTACATACATGTAGATGGCCTACATACATGTATTGGTACCTCCGGTACCATCTTGATCACTTCCCTCTAAGGGGAAGTGCGTTGACCTCTTGCGAATTCCATCGCATAGACCCGGTCTAAGGAAATACATCAGCACTAGATGGCAGGATCAGCTCAATTCTCTTTAGATATTCCGATTTCTGACTCAGTCTTCAATTCACAGTTGTGTCTTTACTCAAAGCCCAAGGACATCCCTAATAATTCTGTCCACTTTCTTGAGAAATCGGCCAAACCCTTACAGCAGTGTGACAATCTATTAATATAGAATACTAAACAGCCTATACACCACATCTACCCAAGTACCAGAGCAAATGATTGCGAGCAATTGTAAAAGCATCCCAGCCAGACACCGCTGATGCAACGACTATCACTTCGATCGAGTCTCAGATGTCAACGTGATACTCAACTAGACCATTGTCATTATGCAACGTTCCGTTGCTCAAATTTACCCATGTCTCACACTATTAGCAAGCGATATCCAGTTAATGAGGAGATTAGCTTTATTCCAGAACTGCAAGTTCTCCAAGCCTAGCCAAGACTAGATATGGGCCCGCTTTGAGCTTCAAAGTATCATACCTAGGTATTGGCCATAATGCAAAATGCTTGATTAAGGATATAACTACTAATTCTCCATCAGCCATCGTATCTCCACCGGTCAAACCGCTATGGACTTGCTCACCTCAGATCGAGAAGCGTAGTTTGCAAAGCAGCCGGACTAATTTGAAAACAAATACTTTATGGGATTCGAGGTGATCTATATTTAATCATTCAGTGATAACTCCGAGTGCGCCAATCCATGCTTGATATAGCCCGGAAAAGAATAAAGCAAGACAGATCTAATACTCGGGATGCATTGTATCCTGCCAGTATAGAATAACGTCCCTATTGCTTCTATACAGTGCCAAATCCTTACATCCAGGATAAATTCCATAGCAACGTGTATCAAAACCAAGACACTCACAAATTCCAAATCCAACGCTCCAGCCGCGCAAATGACTGGATATCACACATGCACCGTCAACTCGACCGAATGGATATGGTCAATCTCCGAACCGAGCTGAGAAGTCTCGTTCTATCGGTCTTGCACTCCGAAGGGAAACCAAAGCCGAACCTCGAGGTATAAAATGGGATATACGTCCTGCTATTCCGGTCAGTTCGACAGCAATCTAAACCATCATCAAAAGCATACTTCCATATTCCTTGTAAGAACCACTGCTCTTTCATGTTTACATATGGAAATCTAGCTAATGATTGACTGTGAGGAATAGCTCAATTCCAACATGAAGTCAAACTTCCTCCTCGTGCTCCTCGGCATGGCTCTTGCTGCTGTCGCTGCTCCTACCAGTAAGAGTCATCCCTACAATCCTGGCTGATGCTTCTTTTATGCTGCAGTATCTCTAATTGAATTCGAACAGGCAAAGACGGTGGTGTTGGTAAGGGCAGCGGTCTTGGCGGCGGTGGTGGTGACGGCTCTGGCCTAGGCGGCGGCGGTGGCGGCGGTGGTTCCATCGGCGGGGGTTTCGGGGGTGGCTTTGGGGGCGGCTTTGGCGCTGGTTCTGGGGCTGGCATTGGTGCTGGGGCTGGGGAGGGTAAGGGTGAAGGCTGGTAGAGTTGATCTAAAAGAAAGTTTGGATCTGGATTGATATGCTCGAGATTGGCTAGTCTGTTGAATACCTCGGGCAGTCGGCAACTAAGATTGGGAAAGAAATGTTTCGGCCTTGCTTGTTGTGTATCCATGATTTGATAGTGTCAGGGTCTACTGAGAGAGACGTCGAAATGCATCATGAAGATGTTGATTGAGGAAGAAGACTAAACTAAGCTATGGAAAGAGGGAGAGATCTGACATAGATGGTCAGAGGATGTGCTAGTATGGGATTACGGGTAGGAAAAGGTCTCTACATGAGAAGAAGACGGAATAAAAGATAATAAAACTGCTAACGCTCAGCCCAAACTCCATTGTAATTCTTTTTTTCTATCTTCCAGCATGTGGTGTGTGCATTGATACATGGGTTGCGTTAGAATGAGATGCTCTGTACGGCTCACGATTGGAAATATGAAAAGGGAAAGCCAGATGCAAAATATGTGGGCAAAAACAAAGGACAACAGGATACTTTACAGCTCATCTTTAGGAAGATCTCCGTTCTCCTTCTTGGGCTTATCCTGGCCCTTGTCTTTCTTCTTCTCGGCCTCGGGCTTCTTATCCTTCGATCCCTTCTTGCCATTGCTGCTCTTCTTCTGTTGTCCAGCGGCGGCAGTCATTCTCTCGTACATGCGGTTGAGGATGCGCTCGAACTCGCGTAGCCGTGAGTCAACCTCCACAACGGTCAGAGCTGGGTCATCAGACTCGGTAAGCTGCTCTTGCAGACCCAACTGGGTTTCCAGCCAGGGCTGGGTGGACTCATAGGCCTGGGTGATGGCTGTGAGATCGGCGGGCGTAAAGAGGGTGTACTTGGGGCCTGTAGGCTTCGCCGTCACAGCACTCTTGGTCGAGGTGGTTGAAGACGAAGAAGTGGAGTAGGGATCTTCGTCGAGATCATTGAGGCCTTCGTCCGAAGCAGACGGGGCCGGGGTCGATGAGCTTGTCTCAGATTCTGTTGAGGTGGAGGAGGCGCTTGAGGCTGAAATGGAAGATGAGTAGATCTGCTCGTCGTTTTCGATCTGGTTCTTGATCAATTCCTTCATTGACTCGGCGTTCTTGAGCATGTCCTGAAGCAGCTGTACACGTGCTGGGCGAGAAGAGCTTTCCTTCATCCGCTTTAGTGCAGGGCTGACGATAGCCTTCAGCTCCTTGAGCTTCGACTGGAAATCGGCAGTCTTAGCGTTGTCGCTTTCGTCAGATAGCCAGTCACCAGCCTCTGAAACCATCTCGGAAAGAACGGTCAGTTGATCCGGCTTGAGCGCCTTAACGAACTCCTCGTTATCTGTGAGGTCTCGGCTACGGTAGATGAAGGACTCTAGTTCATTAAGAGCCTCCTCGCGCAGGAAACGATCACGGTCTGATCTATCAAAGGCCACAAGGCGGGTGTTGATACGGCTGAGTTCTGCGGCTGATGGCGCTGGAGTTCCGAGAGCCACAGACTTCAAGCTAATCGGGATAACTTCCAATTTGACCTGGGGTGTAGCCTTTGCATCCTTGGTAGATGTAGTGGTGGTCTTGGAGCTGGCAGAAGAGGCAGTAGAGGACTCTGTCTCAGGCTCGAGGGTGATCGATTCACGAGGCTCGCCATCTTCGCCCAGCGGCTCCTGCTCATCCTTCTTGCCAAGACCGAAGAAGCCCTTGACATCTTCCACAATCCCCTTCTTCTCAGATTCAACCTCACAGCTGACAGTACCAGCCATGACCTCGGGAAGACCGTTCACAGGGCTAAGGCGGATAGTAAATTTGGTAGTAATGTTCGCATTAGTGCAGCCAAAGGTATCCTTCAGTTTGGCGACAGATGCGGTGAGGTTTTGGGTCTGGACACTAAGGATAGGCTGTTCTTCACTTTGGCCAACCTGCTGAGCGAAGCTAAATTCGAAATCCTCCAGGTTCTTCACAGTGACCTGCTTTTCGGGACCAACCTGGGAAGTGGCGGTGAACAGCTTCTGGTTTCTTTGCTTCCCATCAGAGGTCCACTTCAAGGAGATGGGGTATGAAGCGGCGTCACCAGCGCGAATGTCCTTGACACGGAAGCTGGGGCTCAGGGCAGCTCCCTTGAAGGCAGCACCAAAGACAGCCGCCTCATCGGCGTTGACGTTGGTTCTGATCTTCTTAGAAGAGCCAGCAAGGGTTTCCAATTGCTTTTGAACGAATGGAGTCCGAATGGCGCCACCGTGGAGCACAATGGATTCAATATCGTTCAACTGAAGGCCAGCAGCTGTCAGAGCCTGCTCAACCGGTGTTCCGATGCGAGCGACGTGCTCAGCAGCCATCTTCTCAAAGTTGGCACGGCTCAACTTGTACTTGAAGTTAACATTCTCGTCATACAGTCCCTCAAAGCTTGTCGAAGTTTCGGTGTTAGCGCTCAGAACCTGTCGGAGCTTCTCCGAATCCTTCCAGAGTCTAGACATGGTCTTTCCATGCGCCTTAACTTCAGCAGCGGTCACCTTGCCCTTGAGCTTCTTGTCCTCAACCAAGTGGGCGATCATATCGTTGACAATAAGATCGTTCAGGGAGTCACCTCCGAGTGACTTGTCCCAGCCAGATCCGACGACGTGAACTTCCTGGATAGTCTTGTTGAACTTGCCAATATCCTTGACCTTACGGCTCTGGAACCGCAAAACACTTGCGGTGGTAGATCCGGCACCCATGTCGTAGACAATGTGGTATTCGGGCTTCTCGCCATCGGAAACGCTGGGGAAAGTGCGGCTGGTTGCGTAATTCAAGCCAACAGCTAACCCATCACTGACAAGCGCTTGGATCTTCAGACCCGCCAGCTCAGCCGCCAATTCAAGGCTGCGCTTTTCCTCCGCGGTGTAGAACACAGGGTATGTAATGACCACATCACGGACATCGGATCCTTTTCCGGCCAAAGTATCAGCATTGGCCTTGATCTGCTTCAACTGCATAGCCAGAATCTCCTCCACCAAGAAGGCCTCTTTCTTCTGTGCCTCTCCCAACCGGTTGCTGCGGAGAGCGACAGAGCCACGACCCTCGGGGGCGGTCTCCAATTTCAAAGCAGGGAACCGGTTCCAATAGGTCTTGACTGCCTCATCATCTCCATCGTTAAATGAAACGCCCAAAAGCGTCTTCAAGTTGATGTAGACATCGTCCGGGTACCGAGCCGCAAAGGCGAGCGCATCACCACCATAAAAACGTTCGGGGAAAGACGCATCACTCTCTCTTGTAGGCTTAAATGCGATAGCAGCGGACTCCTTGCGCTTTGAATCTTTTGTGAGGACGATCTCGAGGGGGATGCCGGGTTTCACGAGGGCTGCCTTGAAATATTCGGTGCCGATATCGATGCCCAGAACGGCCGATCCGGCGGCCGAGGCTGGCCCAGCAAAACTGAGGAGAAATATGAGGAAGGGGAGGACCACGAAAGATAGCATTGGAGAGCTAGATAATTGTCGGCGATTTAAGAACGCCATGGTTTATGTTTATGCTCCGGACTGGGAAAGTCAGCCAAATCACCGATTCAGGTCTTAGTGGCAATCCCAACAACGCAAACTGACCCTCGTTCACAGTTATATAGGTAAACTAGAAAATCGATGCCAAATCGCTCCACCGTCTGGCCGAATGGTGTGTTGGGTGGAACCTTGGCTTTGCGCCAGACTGTAAATCGAAGGAAGCTATGGGATAGCTCGATGTTGGCGTTAGTGTAGGGGATGGGGGGTGCAAGAGAATGAAAGGAAAAGAACACTCGGAGATATGACTCAAAATCAAGCCATTTGGAAGCAAAGGGATACTGTGGCCACTTGGCGGTAACTTGAAGCTTGGAAGAGCTGTCGGATGAGGACACGGGTCATCATGCAAACATATAGCATTGTTTGATGTTTGCACTGCTTATCGTTATCGCCCTTATGTCATAGCCCTAGTTGGCTGCTAAAGTTGGAACAGGGCTGAACTATACCAGACGACATAATAACACTACCTAGACAGAATCTTGGGGTTTCGCTATGATAAAGAAAATATACAATCATTGAATATTTCACTAACTTGTATATATATGACTAGAATTAGGGTTCCGTAATCATGGATAAGGAGCGTCAAGTCGTCAAGAAAACCTATTAACAACCAACACCTTGCCTGGATCCAAGGTGTAAATTAAAAGAAAAACCGAGGCATCCTCCAAAACTGGATATTTCGAACGTTTTTTTTAGATATTTTTGTGATGTGTCTTTCGTGACTCAAATCCATCTTCTGGTTTGATATCATACTTTGCCTGACAGATCAATTTCCGGATGGGCCAATTAGAACAGAGCAAACAAAAGAGCGAGGCCAGGAATGAAGGCCGCTGCAGACTTCTGGAGAGTTGGGGCGCTGTTAAAGACAGGCGAGGAGGAAGCAGGAGGAGCGGAGGTTGAAGAAGGGATGGGGTTGGGCTCTTCTGTGGCGGGCTCAGTAGCAGCGGGCTCAGTAGCAGCGGGCTCAGTAGCAGCGGGCTCAGTGGCAGCGGGCTCAGTAGCAGCGGGCTCAGTAGCAGCGGGCTCAGTGGCAGCGGGCTCAGTAGCAGCGGGCTCAGTAGCAGCGGGCTCAGTAGCAGCGGGCTCAGTAGCAGCAGGCTCAGTAGCAGAAGGCTCCACGACAGAAGTTGTGGGAACAACGGGAGTAGAAGTTGGCATAATAGGGAGGATCGTGACCATGCCAGGGGGAACGCAACCCTCAGTACAGGTGGAGATAGACGTCACGGTAATCGTGCTAGTCTGGGTCACCGGGTGGGTGTAGGTTGACGAGCCGCTTGTGACAGTAGTCCAGGTCACTGGTTTTATTAGCATCTACAATTGACAGATCCGTCGGGGTTTTAACATACCTGGGCAAGTGGTGGTGGTGAATGTAGTAGTCACAATAACCGGAGGCGGAGTACTAGTTTCGGTCTCCCAAGGAGTGGTAGGGAGGGGCAAGGTGGGAGGAGGTGGGGTTGTAGTCGCCGGAGGAGGAGTCTCGGTATCAGTCTCGCAAGGGGTAGTGGTCGCCGGAGGAGGAGTCTCGGTATCGGTCTCGCAAGGAGTAGTAGTCGCCGGAGGAGGAGTCTCGGTATCGGTCTCGCAAGGAGTAGTAGTCGCCGGAGGGGGGGTTTCAGTATCGGTCTCGCAAGGAGTAGTAGTCGCCGGAGGGGGGGTTTCAGTATCGGTCTCGCAAGGAGTAGTGGTCGCCGGAGGGGGAGTCTCGGTATCAGTCTCGCAGGGAGTAGTGGACGCCGGGGGAGGAGTGGTGGTCGTATCAGTCTCGCATGGAGTAGTGGTCTCAACAGGCGGGGGGAGGAGTGGTGGTCTCGACAGGCGGGGGAGGAGTAGTGGTCGTATCAGTCTCGCAGGGAGTAGTAGACGCCGGGGGAGGAGTGGTGGTCGTGTCAGTCTCGCATGGAGTAGTGGTCTCAACAGGCGGGGGAGGAGTGGTGGTCTCGACAGGCGGGGGAGGAGTAGTGGTCGTATCAGTCTCGCAGGGAGTAGTGGGCTCGACAGGCGGGTGAGGAGTGGTGGTCTCGACAGGCGGGGGAGGAGTGGTGGTCGTGTCAGTCTCGCATGGAGTAGTGGGCTCGACAGGCGGGTGAGGAGTGGTGGTCTCAACAGGCGGGGGAGGAGTGGTGGTCTCGACAGGCGGGGGAGGAGTGGTAGTTATATCGGTCTCGCAGGGAGTAGTAGACGCCGGGGGAGGAGTGGTGGTCGTGTCAGTCTCGCATGGAGTAGTGGGCTCGACAGGCGGGTGAGTCTCAACAGGAGCCGTTTCAGTCTCGCATGGAGTAGTCTCTCCTGGTGGGCCACCACCATGGCCACCACCTCCGTGACCACCGCCGCCGTGACCACCGCCGCCGCCGCCATGACCACCACCACCGCCGTGACCACCACCGCCGTGGCCGCCGTCAAAGCCATCATGATCTCCGTCGTCTCCATCACCTCCATGATCACCGCCCCACCAAGGGTCACCGCCGTTGTGATCTTCACCACCGCCACGGACGGCAAGATGAGCCTCACCAGGGTTTCTGGGAGCAATGACTATGCCCGACGCCAGGGTCGCGGCGTAGAGCAGAACGATTGGAGCGCCCCTCATATTGGCAATTAATTGGTCGATGTATACTGAGGTAAAGTAATCGCGTTTGCAAATCAAGTAGAATATATTTGAAGCGAAGGACCACGAGGAACCGTAGCGAGAGAGTTCCTAATCGGGAAATATGGATTATCAAAAGTGTTCTAAGATCGGGGCCGGAAGGGAGGGGAAAAGGAGCAGTTTATATATCCCGCAAGCTTCAGGCCTTTTCAGAGCCCCAATTCCTGTTTGCCCGACCTAATGGCTCCGCTCTTGTGGCCATTGTCCTGGTGTGAGCCAATTAGTACAAGATTGGGCACTCAAAAAGACTAGAGTCAGAAAAAGTGGCGCTTTTTCTTCCAAAGCCAACTAGACCCGGCATGGACGATAGGTATCGATCAAGCAGCCGACCCGCATATTTCCAGCAAAGAGGCTGGTCATGATGTTGGATAAACCAGGGTCCGGATGTAGAGGTGACAGTTAGTGCATGTATTTCCGTACACAGACCAGGTACGGGGGGTTGAACCAATGATAATTGGCCAGGGTCTCAGATATTGTGGCGTGGTTCGCTGCGAGAGAGACGAAAGATACCAAAAAAAAAACATCAGCACCCGAGGGTTCATCGGCCAATTGACCCCGATGATGTAGGTTTCTTCTTGGCGTGCGATGCAGGAGATAGCTCTGGGATTGTCGTGGTATCGATGTTTAGGCATCCGTGGTGGGTCTGTGTTTTTTGTCTCTCATTCTCGTCACAGAGTACGGAGTACTCCGTACTCCATACCTCTCTGTCCTCCGTTCGGAGTACTCCCCACGGATTATAGAGTACATGGAGATATCCCAAAGCTATTCCGGTGTCATGAGACGAAGAACTCGTGAAGGTGAAGTCGCATAGCCCATGTGTTAAGATAAGATAAGTGTTTGTGGGGAAACCTCACGAATGGCAGGCGTGGAAATTGGGAATCTGGGCACTCGGGGAACAAGGCTTTGAAATAATACCGTCCCAAAGTGGGAAATTGGTATCGTTGATCAAGGGTCTGGAATCGTGTGTGATCGGAGAAAATTCAAGTTTCCGCCATGATGTTAGTACCTGTCGATTTCAATGCGTGGACAACATGGACATGGAGTGCGTTGGAGGTGCCCCTGAGGCCGCCTGCAGGTGAGGTTACATGCGATGAGAGTCCCCCGTGGGCCCATGTCGACCCTGTCGCCCTGAAATGTTGTTGGGGCGTGGCACTATGGTGATGTCAACGGCTGGCCCTGTTTTCTTCCTCTTTCTCTGTTTCTCTCTTTTTCTCTCTTTTGGTTTATCTTGGATTTCGGGCTGATCACTTTGTTTTTCATCTATTTCGAGATATTTCTATTTATTTCATTTCCCAATCTCCGGCCCTTGATCCATGAACCAATCTCCATTAATATACACATCATGAGACTGCCTCTCCCGCCCTCCATGGTCACCATGCATTGGGAAGTCCATAACATTCAATATATTGCTGTAGCTCCCATGATTGAAATTGCCAATGAGACTAATGACGCCCGGGAAAGAAAAAGAAACAACTCAATGGCGGGGTACTCCGTAGACAGCCCTTTGTAGATCGGAACACAAATCCAGACTACGGACCTCATATGCCCAAGAGCGTTGTACCGGATGCCGAGGATTCCTTCCCTGTTCTTTGTCCCGGTTCTTTGTGTTAGAAGTGATACAGCGAAAAAAAAACACATCAAATCGTTGTCTTCGATCTCAAGGATCACAGAATGCGGAGCTGATGCGGGGCTATTCCCAAGGAAACCCTGAAGTGTCTTATATATTTTGAGGTATGTCTTAAACTCTCCAAGAGCCACACTTCGGGACCTGAGAAAGGCCAGGAAAAGTCGCAGAAGTGCGGTGAAAGTCTCCGGGGGCTGGTCCGCGTGGTCGTATTCCCAGCCATCCAGGTGGCGCACGTATCCAGACCCCGGAAGAGATACTCCGTAATGGTGCTGAATTCGAAATGAGACTTTCAGCTAGAAATGCGCCAAGTGGACCTCGCAGAATCCTTCAGGGCCTTTTGCTCTTTTGCCGGGGCAACAATTACATAGTGCGTTGGAGTACGGAGGACTCTGTACGGAGTATATTCTACTTAATGGGAAGGTGATTATCGGCCGAGGCCGGTTATACCCTGGCATTTTTAGATTGCAATGATATCAACCCTGGTCATTGCAAGGTTTACGCCGGAGAAAGGCCTAACTTCTAATCGTCTTCATCGTCCGAGCCACTGCTCCACCCTGTCTCGTAGAATTCTCGAATCTCCCCGAGTCCATTGACCAGGGCCTCACGCTCGTCAACTGAGACCAGGCGGGCGGCAGTAGCCGAGATAGCCTTGATCTTTTGAGCTGTCCGCGTCGAGGCGGTCAATGCGGTAAACACGTTGACACCAGTACCTGCGTGGGCGGCGGAGAACATGCTGTGCGGGAAACTATCAAGGATAGGCATGCTGAGTGGTGCGTGGAAACTGTGAGGGTGGCATAGTATGTGAGCATCCGGGCTGAGACAATGAAAGCGAAGGCCGAAAATGAGAATCTTACCTTTGGAGCATAGACTCCGAGTTGTAACGCCTGAGTTTGCGAGTGTGTCCAATGTCCCTGTCCTCAACAGACTTGCTGTCCATTCCTCGCTCATCTCCACGGGTTACTTGGACTTGATTGAAAATATGGGCGCCGTTGTTGTACTCGCCGTCATAGGCGAAGTCGATATCAAATTCAGTTTCGGCTTTTGTCGACTCGTCTTCATGGGAGGGCTCCTTAGTGTGACTGTCATCGACTTTATTCTTATTGATTGAAGATTGCAATTCGAAGATGGTGTGCGTGCCATCCTCTCCCGCCAGAGAGGCCTCGAAATGCTGATATGGCCGCAATCGGGAAGGCAGCGTGACCGTTTCGATAGCCGAGGCTATCAGGGCGGTTTTCTGCCATTCTGATTGGCGATCGACATTGAGGTCTCCAGGTAACTTATGGGGAAGGTCAATAATCGGGGCATAGAGCGAGGCCTGTGGTGCAATCGAATAGAGTGACCTCGCCTTGTTCGTGTCCTTCTTGAACTGATGATGCTATACGAAGTTCGGAACTTAGCCAACCGAGCTTTCAACTGTTCAAAATGGCACCACTGTGTCACTTACCCGCTGTGTCCTGGTGCCATCCTCAATCGCCCAGACCCAAATACTTTTCTTTCCAAATTCGTCCCGCAGCCTTTCCATATACTGCGCGGAGAATCCGCCCCAGGCATCGTCTGACCCGGAGAACAGTTGCAGTGCCCGCAAGTGGTCACATTCTTCGATGAGAGGTCTCAAATCACGATCCAGCAAGTCATGCTCCTTATCAAGGTCCTTGAATAGCTCTTCTCCGACATTCCAGTCCTCGAAGGGCATAGTCTGGGAGTTCAATTCATATTCATTTAACTGAACGATAGACTTGGGATGATAGTACACGCGATTGTAGTCTGACCAGTAACGCACAGACTCTGAAGTCAAGCGAGGAGCTGGTGTACCCAAATCCAAGCTTTTCTGATAGTCGCTTTGCTGGATTGGAGTTTGCTTTTGAATTATTTCTCGCCCGTCCCTACTAGAGATTAGTTGAAAGGCTTATTCATTCATTTGAGCCGCATACCATAAGCCTTGGCCTGCGTTGGAGTCTTCAGTCAACTCATAGAGAGCATTATATCTGCGCAATGTTCCAAATCCGCCCTTCAGGTCATAGATTAATGTGCGCGGAGTGTACGTCTCGGAGCCGTCTGCGCCAAACCCTGGCCGGAAATGAACGTCATGATCAACAAGGGACTGTTCCGCATCGTTGTATGTGAAATATGATTCCTGGTTATATATCAGACCAAAACTCGTACGTAATTGATCCTGAAAGTACCTGTAGGTTCCAGAAATGAGTTGCTAGATAGTTAGCCCGTTGGCCAAGTTGAAGTGTAACAATTTCATGCATAATTAAGGATGCAAAGAAACAAGCCCAGTGTAGCCCCTCAGTAAATTTTGATATTGACGATTGGCAATCCTAAAGCGCACAGACACAACCAAAAAAGACGCTAGGCCTCATGTGGTGGAGTATCACACGTGATAATCTAACCATATTTGGAAAGACACATCGTTGTCACCAGGGCAACGGTCACATGATTCTTGCATAGCGGGCAATAAACATGTTTGTGTGGGTGCGTCACCACCACATAACTCCACAACGCCATTTTCCCTTGTGAGATCCCCTATCTTATTCTTGTGATGACTCTCTTGAGCTTGTGATCTTAATCGGCTGGATCCATCACTTGTCACGAAGTCACTGCGATGGAGTCTCCAACGCGTCCCATCCTCAGCCCTTCAAAAGCGCTCCATCCGGTCTCACCGGATCGCATGAATCAACAAAGCATACCTACCTCGCCCTCACTACCGGCTGATCTTCTCACATTACACCATAAGAGCACCCGAGGCGTCTCGGAAGTTCAGGCCAAAGTGGCCTTCCTGAATGGTCTCTCTCGAGGCAGTCCTGCCAGCTCCTCTGCCAACAATGCCGCTCTGCAAAGGGCTCTCATGGGGCGCGAGGAAGCCGAGTCAGCCCTAGCAAACGCTCAAGAAGACTTGTCTGAAGCCCAAACACGAGAGCGCCGAATCAGCGAACGCCTCGAATCATTGATAGAAGAGCTACACGGATCGAAAGAACGCCAGGCCCATGAACGATCGATTTTCGAAAAGGAAATCCGCAAGGCTCGCAAAGAGGCCTTCCGAGCTGGATCGAATGTGGTAAAACTTCAGGAAGAACTGAAACACTCGAAGTCAGAAGTCAAAGCGCTGAAAGAAGAAGTGGGAGCAGAACGTGATGAGAAGGAAAAGGCCAGACAGGAGGCATTCGAACGCGCCTATGCTCTCGCCGGTCTCACAGAAGAACTCGAGGTCCTGAAAGAAAAATTCCGTGCTCTCGAAGCCGAGAACCACTCAAGTACTCTTGAGGTCCGCGCTCATGAGATTCAGAAAGAGGACTTCGGCAGAATCTCATTAGCAGAGGGCGACCTGGCATTCTTGAACACTCCGCGGAGGCCGAAACGCGCCGCTGCAGGATCCATTCTATCTCCCGCTCCAGCCCACGAAGAAGAACACGCAGAAGCCACTCCTCCTAAGCGCCCGCGTTTGTCAGACTGTGGACCAAAGCCGGAGAGCGAACAACCTGAACCCGAACAGGCTCCTGCGGAGGTGGACGAAGACGCATTGGACACATTGGAGGAGATCAAAGAAGAGCTTGACTACGAGCGCCGTCGCAGAGTAGAAGCGGAGGAGATGGTGCATTTCCTGAACATCGAGTGCCAGTTCGAACGCTGTTCTTGCCGGATTGCCGAAAGCCAGGGCCGTCGGTACATCTACGATGCTGATTATTATAACAAAATCCAAAAGCCTCAAATTGAGGCCGAGGAAAGAGCCCGTGCTGAGCAGGCCCGCGTTCAAGAACCTAGTGTGCACCAAGTCCATTCTCATCCAGCTACAACCCCCGAAGCCAGCCCTCCCCCTCCACCACCTCCCGCTCACCGGTCTCCTGTCCACCCATCCCCTGTTCACCAGGATCCAACTCCCACTTCCCGGGTGCCCTCTCCTGAGCCAAGCATCCACCAAGAAGAACCCGAGCCAAGTCGAACCCCTCTGGCTGCGCCGCCTGTGCCTGTCCACCAACGCAACCCATCCAATGTGAAGCCCGAGCCTAAGGATATTCCCAAGATGCAGATGCCAGCAGAGCCTCTGGTTACGTTTTCGCCTGAGACTGGTACATTCACGGCATTCCCATCTCCTCTCCGAGACAACGTCAGGCCTTTGCGTTTGGATTTCTACAACACACCTGATCTCGCCGAACCTCAGCCCAATATGCATGTAGGCTGTACTGATAAGTCTGCATCACCCGATCAGCAGATTGACTCGTTCACCCCTTCTGGAGAGCCCGCTCCCATTAGAATGGCCCGGGCTCCTCCGGCAGATGGCGTCGTCAAACACCAATATGCATCACTATCCGCGGAAGCAAAACCGTCAAGACGCGTCGAGAGAGAACCCCAAGGACATCGTCAGGCCATCAACCCCCCAAAGAGGGCCCCCTCTCGACAAGAGCCACACTCACAACGCACCTCACACCCCGGCGTTCCCGATGTACCGATTGATCGCGAGCAAGCACTCGCTGCGATCAGAGCACGACGAGGTCGCACACACAGCAAGCAAAGATCAGTCAGTGCCAGCGAAGCTGGCCGCGCAGCTCGCATCTCGGCCGGATCCAACCCAGCCTCTTCTCGGGGACCTCGACGCGTTCCGAACCCCAGTCTTCGGGCTGATTCGAAAAGCGAGGGTGAACTTGGTGAACGCCGGGATATGAGTGCTCCTGTTCGGATGTTCCGACGTTAATGAACGCCCTGGGTTTTACAAATCCCAAGACGCGTGTTTATGTCTTTGTTTTCGCATGGTCTGCCGGTGCTTGTCGTTTTACATCTGATACCCCCCGGCGCTGCATCAATTGGTGTTTATTTCGTTTGCATGGTGATTGGAAAGCAATATGTTTTTTATGTTTTTATGTTTGGATCTTTCGGTGTTCGATGTCATGAATCTCAGTATACTTGCCATGGAACAACTTGCCCAACTCTTTTCCCTTCCTTTGACACAATTTCGGCTTAACAGCCTGTCTCTCCTTTAACATTTCCTATGTCTCTCTTTATCTTCTTCTCTATATACATTTTGTGACTAACGGTATTCTCATTCTAATTCTATGAACCATGATCACTGTTTTGATATAAGAATTCCAAATCATACATTCTAGAATCCAAGAAAGATATTATATCAAAATATCAACGTAGTATATTGACATACATTGTACAATATGCCTAATAACAAACAACCACCGATATCTTCAAAAAGACCTCAAATATAGACCAGAGAACCAGCCTCTCTACAAAACAGAGATCCCACAACATCTGATCCTCGCACTATCAACCTTCGCACTACGCCCCCACCACAAAGAAACCAGCTCCTCAACAAAGATCCGGTCGGTAGCACTCCAAACATCAAGCCCCATCTCCGCCATATCCGCCACCGTAATGGTAACAGTATCATCGCCATCGCAGTCCCGATGACCCGCTCTCGAGGCACGATGAGACCCGCTCACACTCGGCCGCTGCCGAAGCAGAGGCGAGGTTCCCTCATCACCATGCATGGAATCCCGGGACATGGAGAGCGACGCGTCCATTTCATCATCCGGATCATCATGGTATCCATCATATGCATCGTCGCTATCATTGCGCGCGATCGCCTCCGCCAGGGTGACGAAGATCTGCGACGTCAGACGACGGAAGTACGCGACCAGCGCGATTTCAGGCGGCTGGTCTTCATTTAGGGTGCCGGATTGCGCGTGCGGGTTGTAGGGGTGGGCGAGACTCTCGACGCTTGCCAGAAGGCGGGAGTCTTGTTCTAGCTGGTGTTCTTCTTCTTCTTCGGAGAGGCCGTCGCGGTTTTCGCCGGCGGAGGCCCACCAGATGAAAGAGGTGTAGGCGAGGCGGGTCCAGGAGAGGGGTTCGACGATCGGGCTGGAGGAGTAGGTTGAGTCTGTGTCTGAGGGGTCGGTTTCTGGGGATGTAGGGCGGTCGGAGGAGAATTGGCGGAGGCCGCGGCGGAGCATTGAGTAGCGGCGGGCGTCGCGTTGGGTTGCTTTTAGCTGGATTTGTTGGGCTTGGTTGGGTTTGCCGCTTGGGTTGTGGATTAGGGAGATCTTGGGGTAGGTTCGTTCGGCAGTTTGTTGGGTGTATGGTGCGGGGAGGGTGATGAGCACGTCGAAGAGGTCGAGTTTCATGGTTAAGACCGTGTCTGTGGAGCAGGCGATCCAGCTCGGGTCGGTTTCGAGGTCTACTATGCTGCGCGATGGGTCGAAGGAGGAGAGGTAGGGGATATCATGGATGCCGACGTTGAAGAGGGGGCGGGGGCGCATTGGGGGGATGCGATCGTCGGGGAGAAGCTGGAGGAGGGAGTTCGGTAATGATGCTAGTAGAGATAGATCATATACTGGAACTGGATTAGCAGTTGATCAAGTGAAATGTGCATGGATGCGTACCAAAGTTGCAAGATGAGTGTACAGGAGCCTCCCCCATGAAGAGAATCCTCTTGCGCAGCAAAGCTGCTCGGTAGAGGGGGAAGATCAAAGGACCAAAGCAGTCCATGAAATCAGGAAGCGATGAGGCAGGATGGAAGGGAGTCAAGGCCGGCCTGAACGTTTCCAATACCATTGCATCGCTGAAGGCGCGGTTGCGACTCGAGCGATCCGCTCGCTCGCCGGGCCGGAAACGAAGACTGAGAGGCGAGTCGAGGGGGGGAATCAGGAGCCGAAGAGTTAGATCCTCCTATCCTATATGAGTCCCAATAATCGCATAGGTTCTGCATGTCTGACATGTCCTCGCCGTATTTCCTATCAAACCAATGTCAGTCGGAACCTTGTCTGTTGCGGGTATCTGGGAATTACGAACAGCGCCAGTTCCTTGATCCTCGGGGCGTGTCGCCAGCTCTTTCCAAGCCTCCCAGTGCTAAGGGGCACCAGAACCCCGATCGCGAACATCCTCGCATTGCGTTCGGCCTCCGCGGCGGGGTGGTTGACAAACGCGCTGATCCCGGCATACTGTTCATGGACAAAGTATCTAGGTAGAAGAAATGCGCGTTAGCAAAATCTGGCGTAGGGCCTCTGAATATCTTGATCCACATACACTAGGTCTTCGTGCACATTGTGCAGCCCAGATGGCAGTGATTTATATTCCACGACTCCTTCAACCTCAACTATCGGGAGTTAGTATCGCGTGCCAGAACGACTATAGCCTCGGATAATTGATTGCTCACCCCCCGGTGCAGTTCGCTTCCATGATACCACATATCTGTTGTCGCAACTAGTTAGCGATGTGTTCCTGAACTTTACAACGGCGAAGGTCAGGGGCAGGAGTAGGCATTACCCGGTCCTTATGTCGAAGCTGATGACGAACAAGGCGACTATTCCCGGTGGCGCTTCCATGGAGGAACGGGATACGTCGATGCCCAAGGGTCTAGAAGGATTAGATACCATCGTCGAGGTATGTCATGGAGTGCGACGCCCTTTACGTAGGGTCGGGGAATCACGGTTAGTTGAGGGGTGAGCTTCGTAAGGCCCCGGGGAGACCTTGGCTATGCGGAGTTGTCGGAGCATGAGATCGGCATACCGGAAGTTTAGTTTATCCTGTCTACGCAGTATTTTTGATATTAGTCAGATAGTCATATTTCCTGCTAGAATAGTGGATACAGAAATACAGAGATTTCAACTCCCTTGATTGGACCCCTACTATACTGAATACCACGTCAGTTGACAGTTATAAGCCCGGTTCGCACGAAATAAGGCCGCTATTCGTAAGATATAGCGCCTATCAGTACCTGAAAACCTCTAAAAGCTATATAGTAGCCCGCTGAGGCTATATAGCACCTAACCCTAATAATGGAAGCATTAATAATTCTCTCCGCTATAAAGGGCGAAAAACTGAAGGATTCGCCCTAATGGCGTACCTAGTTCGCCCGGGTGAAGCTATATACGACACAAAAATAAGTCTGGAAGCACTATAACCTAGATACCCCCCCGATAGAGAGACTAGTTAGGAAAGAAGAGCCTATTAGGCCGGAATACCCCTACGGAGGGACCGAATCGGATAAAAGAGACTAGAGAGATAAAATAGATATCTTTAAAGTAGACTAATCGAAATAGGATAGGGAGATAAAAGGGCTTTCTAATATAAATGACTATATTTATACCTTCCTAGACCTAATCTACTATACCGCTATCACCGACTATTAGACCCCGTATAAGAGACTTATATACCTAAGAGATCGCTTCGCGAGATCGACTATATATAAGGAGGAAGTCCGAATAAAGTGGAAGGTTTTCGCTATTTAAAAGCCGACTAGAGATATCGAATAATAGCTTAAATAATAGAATACCCTAAAGGAGTAAGCTATTAGCCTCGGTATTAATAACGGAGACGTAAATAGGGACTTCCTATATACTATTAAAGAGGTCTTACCTATTTAGTAGTAAGAAAGATATTAAGAGATCGTTATAGATAAGAAAGTCTACTAAACCTATAATCTCCTCGAGTCGTTCCGCGTAATAAATCGAGAAATAGGGGTATAAAAGGTATTATTTACTATACCCCTAAAAGGGGCATTTTTAACCTAGTAGGGACACTAAGAAGTAAAGTCCTAGACCTAGTCCTAAACTAAGGAGCCGATCCTATTTAAAAAGAGGAGGTGCCTATATAGGAACTCCTACTATTTATATAAAATAGTAATATACTAATATCTTAATAAGGAAAACCGCCCCGAAGGGACCTATATTAACCCTAGGAAGCTAGAAAAGATTAAGTAAAAACTCGCTAAAGAGCCTACTTAGAAGAAATAGGTAGAAAAGAAGATAGAAAAGGTATAGTAAACTTAGTAAACTTAGTAACCTTAGAAGGAAGAGTTTATAAATTAAGTAAGCTTCGCTACCACTCTTAAGCCCTACACTATATAGTAGGGGGGCTAGTATATATATAGTAGGGGGGCTAGTATAAAACTATAAATACGCCCTCTCCCTTACTAAAAATAGAGAACCTATCTTAAAAGATAGATAGATCCTTAATATAGGATCTAATACCTATATCTATAATAATAGAGACCTTTTTATCGACTTTATACCCTAGATTTCGGATCTTACGACGGGAGATAGCACTACCTAGGTACTAGGAAAGGGGAAGGTTAGACTAGTAGGTAGATATCCTATAAAAGGCAAAATAGAGATTATACTTAGTAATACCCTCTATTCCCCTAGCTTCTATATAAACCTAGTATCCTATTCTATACTAAAAAAGAAGGGCGGAATATAGTGCTAGCGTATAAACTATATTAGGGACCCTAATAATAGACTAGTTATCTATATAAACCTTTAGGATTAGTTTAACCTTTAGATCTTCGATAGACCTAGGGAAATATAGCCCTAGTAAGCCTATTTCACGGAGAGAAAGTTAGTAAAACCTTAGTAATTAAGGGCCTTATTAGATATCTAGCACCGGAGACTAGCCTATATTAATTAATAAAGCCTAGTAAAACTCGCTACTATAGTAGATAGAGTTAGTTTTAATAATAAAGAAAAAGAGTCTACTAGAAAGGAGACCACGGAAACGTAGGTATTATACTAGATATATTAGCTAGATCGTATACTAAGGTAGATATTAAGACGCGCTATTAGGCGCACTTTCGGACGATTTAGAAGAGTATACTTTAATCTTATTTAGCTACCGCTAGTAGAGAATAAGTACCGCTAGATCTCTTATTTTTACCTAGAAGGTCCTAGATTTTATTAGCTAATAACCTATAAAATAAAGCCTAAGTGTTAGCTAGCGATTAATCGTTTTATAGAACTAGTAAGAAACTAATAGGATCTACTAATTAAAGCTTTCTAATACGATAATAAGTCCTTAGCTAGAAAACCTACGGAATATAGCCTTACTTCTAATAGTATCCTTATATATTATAACCCCCTAGGGTATTCCGAAATAAATAGTTATACCGAAAGATCCGGTAGTATAATTATTACCCGTATATATATACTCGTGCTTAAAGGAAAGCTCCTAAAAGATCTATAGCTAGAGGCCGCTAACGCTACGGTATAGTTACTAAATCGTATACCGACGTATATTACTACCGAAAACCGCTAGGTTATACTATAGGAGGAGGTACGGAAGGAGTTCGTACCGTAGGCGCCGAGGATTAACTTATTAAATATTAAACTATATAGAAGTTTAGTATACTATAGGATCGATAAATAGGTCTAGTCTAATAAAATAAACCTACGAGCTAAGATCGGATTCTTAGTTAGCTATATAGTATCTAATATCTAGAAAATCTGGTTTCTATATAATAGGAAAGTAAAGCCTATTAGGGATATAGTATTTAATAAAACTCGTAAATACACCCCTAATTATAATAGATATTAGCTTATTCTAATACTAATATAGTAAGAACCTTAGGAAATTACTATAGAAGAGTTTAACTAGGTACTCGATCGCGTGATAGCTAGTTAAGAGACTAGCGAAATAGAAGAGAGAGATTATCGAGATCTATAGGAAGCTTAGTCTAATAATCTATAAGAAACTTAGCACTATAATTATTAAGGATCTTATTAAGGATCTTAGTAAGGATCTTAGTAAGGATCTTAGTAAGAAAACTAGTAGAATATATAGTAGAACTCTTTATAGAGGGAGATAGCTAGTAAAGTTAGTTAACGAGATACTACCCTACTTTAGGGGGTAGACTAGTAAGTGGTCCTACCCTCCCTAAAAACTACGATTATATAGTAAATACCTAAAATTATATAGTAAATACCTAAGATCTATAAACCCCGAGCCCCGCTAGGTATATTTCCGGATAAACCCCTTCCTCCGCTCCCTATCACGCCGCCGTAAGATCCCTATACTACCCCTAGTTAGGGGGTGGATATACCGGAGGATCTAGTTAGCGACTAGGTTTAGGATAATAAAGATTTTCCTACTATAGAAGACGAGCTAGAAAGATAACTATAGGCGGAACTTCTCGCCCTAAGTAGATAAATTATAGGAGATATTAATACTAGTAATATTATTAGTGGAAAACGAAGGCGTTAAGCTAGGTAAGATAAAGACTATATCTATATAATAAGATCTACCGATATAGAGGAAGACCCTCCTATACTACTATATACTTTCGCTATAGGACTATATACTAAGAAACCTAAAATTAGACGTTATTAAGATAATCTCCCCCTAGTCCTAAAACACTATAAAGATATTATAAACTATCTATTTTAGGAAGGCTTTCTTATAGTAATAAGAAAGGAGATTAACTCTCTAATAGAAAAGGAAACCTATAAGATTATAGAGAGACTAAAGGATAGAGGTAAGCAAATACTACCTCTTATATAGGTATTCACCTATAAATGCGATTAGGATAGTTATCTAGTTAAATTTAAAGCTCGTATATACGTATAGGGAGACCTAGAGACTATTTTATACGAAGAAAAGAGAGCTACTACACTAGTAGTAAGGACTATAAGGATAATCTTCGCCCTTATTACCGTATTTAACCTCGATCTAAGATAGCGGGATACTATTACTATCTTTTTAAATAGTATACTAGAAAAAGAGGTCTATACCTAGATACCTAATAGGTTTAGACTACCCGGAAAATACTAGAAACTCCGCCGCGTACTATATAGTCTACGGATCTTACCTAGACTTTAGTAATAGGAAGTAGCTAGTGTATTTCGTAAGCTAGGACTATAATAAGCCCTAGAAGACCCTTATATCTTTATCGGAAATAGACTAATAGTCTTTTTCTATATTAATAATATCCTAATTACCTACTATAATAGTAGGGAGGCGCGAGAAAGGGCTATATAGCTAGAACGAGATCTAGAAGTATATTAGGAACTAACCGATTACGGAGAGGTAGTATAGTTTCTTAATATCCGTATTATTAGAGATAGGTAGTAAAAGAAGCTATAGCTTTATTAAGATAGCTATATAGTAAGTATCGCTATATAATATAATCTTATAGATAGACTAGCGGTATATACCCTAATACCTATCGAAGATCTAACCCTATTTTAGGGAGTAGCTATAGTATAAGAGATCCTATTATACTAAAAGAAGGTAGGATCTACTAGATATACTACTATAATTATAAGACTAGATACTATAAAATCGACTACTCGTCTAGTATAATATTTAATAAACCTAGGCCCCTAGTACTATTAAGTAGCTAATAGAGTTATTACCTACCTTAATTCTACCCGCTATCTCGCTATTAAATATAGCGTAGAATTAGGTATAGAAAGGGACTCTATCTAATTCGCTAGTAATACTTTATATAGGGATTACCCCGATAGAAAGAGCTCCGCTAGCTATATCTACTAGATATACGGCAGGCTAGTCGACTAGAAGGCTAGTAAGTAGCCTATAGTTACTACCTCCACTACTAAAGCTAAGCTCCTCGGTCTCTTAGAGACTATAAAATAGCTATAATAGTAGCGTAGACTTCTTAATACCCTCGGTTTTGTCCCTTCCTATTAACTAAGTATCGATTGCGATAATCAGCGCACTATTAGTCTTCTAACTAGCGAGGACATAGCGTTCGAGACGAAATTGCGATATATTAACATTTATCGGCACTAGCTCAGATAGGAAGTTAGGGAAGGAAGAATTAAGGTGAAATGGGTGCCGATAGCTAGCATAGCTATAGACGGACTCACAAAGTTGCTCACTAGGCAAAAGTATGAAGCTTTCCTCAAAATGTTAAGGATGATAGATATAAGCTATCTGATAGTAGGAGCTATTTGACAGCATAGGTCATTTGATCAACAAAGGGAGAGAAATAGTATGCCGACTGGGGTGTAGGAAGCAGCTAGACCATACTGGCCTAGCTGAGGGGGTGTGTCGGAGCATGAGATCGGCATACCGGAAGTTTAGTTTATCCTGTCTACGCAGTATTTTTGATATTAGTCAGATAGTCATATTTCCTGCTAGAATAGTGGATACAGAAATACAGAGATTTCAACTCCCTTGATTGGACCCCTACTATACTGAATACCACGTCAGTTGACAGGAGTTCGGCGCCTGAGGCAGCAGTCCGGGATCTATACTTGGCCATGTCGATGATCACTTTCCACTTGAGGACAATGGAGGCATATAATTAGATGATTATTTGCAATTGTTCCAATATATGGTACATGTCTCGAACTCTGGTTGTCAAGTACATAGATCATAGTCAGCTCACATACTTTAAGGCACCTAGGTACGTGCTTGTACTTCATGCCACTAGAAGAATGACCTATGCAGGACAAGCACAAAGCGCTACTGAGCTGCCCAGGGTTATTCCATGAACAAGTAGTATCATATGTACTCCGTATTGATTAAACGGTTTGATGCGCCCTCTGTTTACCCACTCTATTAAACGAAGCCGTTAAGCTTCAGATATTAAGCTTGTTATTGGCCGAACCCAAATCCACCCTCGGAAAAGCCAACCATTCTGACCTCTGTCCACCTTTCTATACTTCCAACGTTGGACCTTGTGTATGGTATATACTCGTGTGTTTAGGGCCTATTGACGATCTGGACCTTCAATCTCTGCTCCCAATATGCCCAGTCCTCCATCCCACCCCTATTACCCCCTCGATGCCAACATTGTGGGTTATGAGCCCAACCAATCTCCGGTATTGGAGCTTCTCCTCTCTGCAGGTGGAGCATCTACCGTTCTGCTTGGTGTGACTTTTGCCTTGGCCAGCTGGATACGCCCGACACTGCGCATCGGGGATCGAATTGCTATCCTGTGGTTTGTGCTCTGTAAGACGATGAAAGACCCGGTCTTGAAGATGGTCGATATTAACCAAGAGCACAGCTGGTACCTTGCACTGTTTCTTCGAGGGGTACTTCATGATCCACCATGATCATATGGCGTCTGCGCAAGATTTGTTCGGACAACTATGGAAAGAATATGCCCTATCAGACTCCCGGTATATGACATCGGACACTTTGGTGCTATGTATGGAGACCATGACCGTGGTAAGTCCCACTCCATACACAACCAACCTCAGGATACACCGCTGATTCTCACTAAGCTGCTGTGGGGACCATTGTGCTTCGTTGTTGCGTACTTGACCGCAACCAGGCATTCTCTGCGCCACCCAGTTCAAATGATTGTGTGCATGAGCCATCTTTACGGCGACACGCTGTACTATGCGACCAGTCTATTTGAGCACTACGTCCACGGGCGGCCCTTTTCCCGACCGGAGGCGTATTATTTCTGGGTGTATTATTTCTTTATGAATTTCATCTGGATTGTTGTTCCAGCGTGTATGTCATGCAGTCCCCGGACCGTTGCCCGTTAGAAGCTGACTGGTATAAAATAGATTATCTCTACAGCAGCATCTCCACCGTCTCGGCTGCACTGAAACACCAGTCGGAAAAAGAGAAGACTAAGTAACACCTCTTCCGTCATCGCTGGTAGCGTGCGGGTCGAGGCGCACATTGCAGTGGAGCATTGGGCTAGAAGTGAGTTGGCACACACAGTCTTAGGGGACTTTTTGAGTCAAGATGGAGGCTGGGAGCGATGCGAGGGGTAGAGAGGGGGAAATTGGCTTGGAGGTATAGTCTTAGATATGACGGACCTGCACCACCCTTGAGCGAGACTCTATTAATATCATCCATGATTCCAGGTGTATACTGCGTAGTCCGTAAGAAGATAGTCACCAAAGTACCAGGGCTATGACGCTCCTGCACACGGCACCTGACGCGCAACCCAGCACTATTAACAGGCCTGTCTCGCCCCGACTTATTTTCATTGCCAGGTCATCTTGAATATTCCACCGAGTCACCCGATCCAATCATGGGATGCTTCAAGTATTGAGTTCTCACATGTGCTCGATCGGCATCGATCAGGTTGGTTTCCCAGCAACCAACGTTAGTGCGGGAGAGGCTTATCGACCCTGTCAGCGCCCAACTTGACGCATTGTTTATGATCCTTGAAGGATTTTCTTGCGATCGTCACACCAAAAAGCAAATGCTTGAAATCTATTAACTCGATAGATCCTAGGGGGTTTTGGTAAGTAAAAACCCGTCCAGGTCAACCGTGTTCCCTGGATACCTGCTTTGGCAACAAAACCTCGAACCGGCCTCTGATGTTTGCCTCTATGTATTCGCGGTTTTAGGTACCGATGCCATCTCCTGCAACGCCACAACGTCCCTCCAATCGTGGAGGACCCGCAAAACCCACGCCGAAACCACTGGACATTGGGGAACCGCTGGGCGCGCACGACACCAACACGGTTCGCTCCAGAGTGCGAAAATGGCAGCAACAAGGTGGCGGGGTCGTGACAATCGACGACCCATACGCCGATGACGAAAATGATACAAAGCCAGAGCCGAAGGCTGTCAAACCCAAGGAGAAGCCAGAGAAAACCGTCAAGGACATCCCCGTCACGACAAGGAAGCGCAGTCACAGCACACCCCGCAAACGAGTGGTGAGTGACGAGCATTGGAAGCGAACGCGGAACCGAGCCTCGACACAATCTACGTCGCGCAACCTGCCCACACCCAAGCGCATATCGGAATACACTGTGAATGAGGGGCAGGCAAGTCTTGTACGGAACAGACACGACGACGGTGAAGATGACTTTGAGAAAACTCGCGATCTGCCTCGATTCCAGAAAAAGCGGGGTACTGCGACGGGCTCCAGAGGTCCTATTCGAGACACGAAGTCGGCCGGTGCACGAAAGCATATCGATACCATCAACGAGAGCGACTATGAAACGGATCATCCCAAATCCGTCGAACCCTCGGAGCTCCCGGACAGATTGAAGACGCGCTCGCCTCCGCCCGAGGATGCGTGGGCAGCGAGTGAGGCGGACTTCTCGGAGCTTTCGCGGAGACGCAAGCGCGGCCCAACGAAGCCTCCGAAGGGTGGGATATTCGCACACATGATTGATGAATCTCGAAAAATGTTCGGAATACCCGAACCTGAACCGCCGAGGCCGACACCTACGCCAACTACGGGCCGTGGAGCGAAAATCGAGGCGTGGCTTTCTGAGACTCCAGACCCGTTTCTCGATGAAACCGAATCCAAGAGTGACATGCCAGCTCCTCTGGATTTGAAGTCAGGCCGAGCAAGGCGATCGCAAAAAATGGCAGATGGAGAGATACCTGGCACTGAGTCTGAACCATCGACAATCAGCGAGCGGCGAAAGAGCTCCGAGTCTCGCCCAAAGAGCGCTGTGAGTCGGCACTCTAAAGGAAAGGAGACCTCTTCTTCCACCGACAAGCCCACCCACAAGCCATCGAAAACACAAGATGGCGAAGTAGCCAAGGAATCGAAGCGAGCAAGTATAGATGGAACCCCCAAGCCATCGAAACCACGAGATGGCGAAGTAGCCAAAGAATCGAAGCGAGCAAGTATAGATGGAATCCCCAAGCCATCGAAAACACGAGATGGCGAGATAGCCAAAGAATCGAAGCGAGCAAGTATAGATGGAATCCCCAAGCCACCGAAGACACAAGACGGCGAGGTAGCCAAAGAGTCGAAGCGGGCAAGCATAGATGGAATCCCCAAGTCATCCAACAAGAGCAAGGAAGACAAACCTATTCAAAGCAAGCCTTACGAGGATAGTCTCGCGCCCTCGGAGTCTGATTTACAGCCATTATCCGACGGCGAGCTGGAGATCTCGGGACAGAATGCATCTGCACCACTCAACCGCAAGAAGCCATTCTCGTCTACTGGTTACCAGCGTTTATCGACGATACCTTCTGCGGAAACTTTGAGCACTACTCTTACAGATATGCTTGAGCCTCCGCCGAAATCTGGTTTGACTGAAAGGTGCGAACCACAACTTGCTGAAGAAGCAGAAGAAGCAGAAGAGGCAGAGAAAGATGACCAGTTTGATCCGGACTCATTACCTGTGGTCTCCTCACAGCTCAAAAGACGGCTCACCAACCACAGCGACCTCATGTCTGTGCTATCCGTCTCAGCTTCGCGCAGAAGTACCCGATCGAACCGGAGCATCAGAACCAACAAAAGTCGGCTTGCTCACGCCACAGTTGACGATCTGCTCCACGAGCTTTCGGGCGACGAGACGAAATACATGCGCGAGTTGAAAACACTGGTCGGAGGCGTAATTCCAGTTCTGCTGACTTGCGTGCTCTCCCGCTCTGATTCGGCCATCGCCGCAGGCCTGTTTCGACCGTCTCTGGATCCTGAGGATGACTTGAATTTCTCAAAGCCGATCGTCAATATGGGAGTAGCGATCGAGCGTCTGAAGACCTTGCACAAGCGCATTCCCCAGGATGATGCAGATGCATTGCTTACATGGGCACAAGGGGCGCAAAGAGTCTACCGCGAGTACCTGAAGGCCTGGCGCCTTGGATTCAAGGACGTCATTGTCAACCTAGCCCCATTGGAAGAAGGCGAGGCTACAGATGATGCTGATACGAAAAGCCTGGATGAGGGTTTGGAGCGAGACGAAAATGGCGACATCGTCGACAGCGACGGTGAAAAGGTTGATGTTGCCTATCTATTGAAGCGACCATTAGTCCGTCTTAAATATTTGGCAAAGAGTTTCAAGGGTATAAATCTACTGGAACCGTCTCCAAAGGCCGAAGAAACCGCTGCCGCCTATCAAAGTCTTGTTCTCGATGCCCGCAAACGAGTCCGAGATGAAAGAGCGAGGCTGGAAGACGATTGCGCTGCAAGCATCGACCCAACACGCACCAGAGATCCAATGACCTTGGGTGTCCTCCGAGGGATCGGTATCGACCAGAGTCGCCATGTCCGCGCACGGGATTTCTTCAATCTATCTTTGTACCACTCAAGTGGGCAACTTGTAGATTGTCGAGCCGAGCTTTTGTATCGAGACAATCCCTCGAGCAAAGGTCCTGGCGGCGATCTCCTAATTTGTGAAATTGATCATTCTGATCGTTGGCTTCTCTTCCCTCCCATGGACCTTCGATGTGTTTCAGCCCGCAAGGGGGAATCCAAACATGAGATCGTGGTCATGCTGCGTAGCGCTCCCGGAGATCCAACTCGGTACTGGCAAGAATTGATCTCACTACGTATCGACGAAGAAGAAGTTGGAGCTGAGTGGATCTCATTGCTCGGATCAGACCCTATTCCGCCATCAATCTGTCGAAGCCAAAGCTTCATCAGCCGAGCCAAGCAGAACAGGGCTCGTAAGCCCGCTGCTGAGGGTTCTCCTCCTAGGCCAAACCCAAGTGACGTCGACATACCAATTGGAGAGAAGGCCGGTGGTAAGCGACGGTCGCTGACCTCCAAGGAGCCTTTATCTGAGCCAAGCACGATCGGCTCTACTCTGACCGATCCCAGGAGCTCTTTGTCCTCGATTGTTACTCGGGAGACTGATTACACCACTGGAGGATCCGAGCTGTCTGCAAAGCCCACTCGTCCTGATCTACCGCTTCTTCCTTCTACCACTTCTTGGGGTTCGCCAACTAGCGGAGATAGGACTCCCACCGGCTTAAAGCGGTCCAAGGCCAAGAGATTCTCTCGCTATGGAGAAAGCACGGCTTCTGATGCTGCCTCTCAGCTAACTGTGGCAACTGACAACGCATCCGAGCATAGCGCGCCTATAGTTACTTCTCCACAGGCACCAAGTACACCTACGGGAGGTAGATTCTATGGCGAGGAATCCAGGGACCCTGGAAGCAAAGCATCCCCGAAAGAGAAATCGCGCTCAAGGATTCCCCAACCTCAGAAGAAAACGCCTATCAAGGAGCCTGAGCCAGAATCTCCCAGAGTTTCATCTGTGCCCTCGGCCACTCTACCGCTGATTCCCAAAATCCGCACTCCTAGCAGCCAAACTCACCTGTCTACCCCGACAAGCTTCGGTCCTGAAGATGAGGAAGATTACCCCCCGCTTGAGTGCTTGCCCAAGCAAGAAGTTCCAGAGACACCGACAAGATCTAGAAGAAAGAAGTCCCGAAGACGGCGAAAGGATGACGATAGCCCTCCGCCTCCTCCGCCTCATCGCTCACCTAGCCCTGCCAATGGCAAGCACTCACAAACTCCAGTGCTTACACCCACCTGTGGTGGACTCAAGCGACGTGGCTCTTCTCCCCTGAAGCATGAATATGAGCCCTCCACGGCTTCGGATTACTCAGAAACCGACTCCGACGCTTCGACAGTGCGTCACTATTCCTACTCATCGTCTGAGTACTCAAGATCCGCCGACTTGTCCGACTCAGAGGATGATTACTACTCGGCCTCCGAAGACGAAGAACATGATACCCCCAAGCCAAGGGCAACCGACGTAATCACTGACGCCAGCTCTCTGTCGCCTTCAAACTCAGTATCACAAAGTGGATATCGTGCTGTACCGCTGCAGCCCACAAAGACTTCAAAGGCCATTGCCTCCGTTTTCGCCTGGTCAAACAAAGGCAGCTGGGAGACTTTGCTTCCTGGCGAATGTAGCATTGTTGTCAGTCCTGGCCTGATCGAAGCCTTCGCGATGGGCTCTGAACTCGAAGCCAACTCCGATCCCAATTCATCAAACCCCCTCATCTCTCTCGAACTGACGCCACTGGTTCCTATCCGCCGTGGCACGGCTATCGATATTAGCATTCGCTCTCCTCCCACCGAGCGATCTCAGATCACATCCAGCAACAACATTATGTTCCGGTCACGTAACCCTGATGAATGCGACGCCCTATATGGCCTAATCAACCAATCAAGAATCAACAACCCCACTTATATCGCCCTCCAAAATGCTCGCGGTCCATTCAACGGCCATAGTTCTACGTTTGAGCCAGCCGTGAAATCTAGCGGAGGCTTCTTCGGCTGGCCCCGCCGCAGGAAGAGCTATCGCGCATCCAGCTCCCCACGCTCTCTGGCTGAAGGGTCTGAAAGCAGCGTAGGAACCATGAGCAGCGCATTTTCCGCTCTCAAACGCTTCGGTACCAGCAGCAAAATGTTCAACATCTCTCGCTCAACCATCGAATCACGCACTGGCCGCGAAGGCAGCATCTACTCCGGTTCCGGGGATTCAGGCAATGACCCATCCCCCAACTCCGGCATAGGCCGTATTGCCGCAGCAATCAAGGGCGCCGACGGCATTGGTCTTTCAAACGCCAAGATCCGCCTGTACGCACGCGAGTCAGCCTCCAAGTGGAGCGACATGGGCGCCGCCCGCCTGACTATCATGCCTGGCCCATCCAAGAACCCGTCTCGTCCCGGCACTGGCGTCAGTGGCCGCGGCGACGGCACCACTCCGCATGGTGACAACGACAACGCGAGCGGGGCTTCGCCGCCCTCATCAGGCGCTGCCTCTCCTCGCGGCGCCCTTGCGGCTGAGAAGCGCATCGTCATCCGCGGTAAGACGCGCGGTGAGGTTCTTCTCGACGTCTGTCTGGGCGAGAACGCCTTTGAGCGCATTGCCCGCACCGGCATTGCAGTTTCCATCCGCGAGGAGAACGAAGATGCATCCATTGCGCAGAAGGGCGGTGTTGCCACTGGTTCTGGAAAGATATTTATGATTCAAATGAAGAGCGAGGCTGAGGCGGCTTATACCTTTGGGCTTGTTGGCAAGCTCAGATACTGATGTGTGATGTGCTGTGTGGGTTTTGGTCTGGGAGTTGGTGTATGTGTGAATGAATGGATATGGGAGGGGTTTTGTACTTTCCTTTCTCCTTTTCACCCTGATTATCGTCGGTCTTTATTGACTCGTTTCTTTTGTATATTTATATTTTGTTTGAATGATATCCTGACTGAATACTGCAGTCGCTCATATTCCCGTCTCTCATCCTCTCTCTTCATAAATGAAGTATGTCCTTCTAGATTGGCTCTCATATATTTTATTTTTACAGACTCAACTCTGTTTTTATGGTTGAATCATGCAAGTTCCATTATGTATGTCATTCTAGTCATGTATGTAGGTAGTATAGTGCAAGTAAATGAACACCATGTAACGTAAAACACCAATCCAACCACGCCAAATCAAAAAGTAGAGTGGTTCTAGCTCCCAATTTCCGCCCCATTCGTCTTCTTGAACACATACCCAATCAAGTTACATTCATCCTTCAGCATCGAAACAAGCACATCATCATCAATAGCAGCCTCAAGCTCCTCATCAACAGCCTCAGCCCCAGTGTCAGGATCAGCTGCAATCAGAGACGGGTCGATATGCGAGTACTGCGCCAAAGACTGATGCATCTTATCTTTGGGGTTATCTTCCTCGCCATCAGTGTCTTTCTTCCCCTTCCCAGTCATCTTAGCACGATGACTACCATCCCGAATAGACTGTTCCTGTTTCTCCATATCGACCTCAGAAGCCTTGACAAGCAGAGTCTGAGGCAGAGGCAGGGATTCATCCGAATCATAATCTTCGTCAAGGGGATCGGACAATTCACCCTCAGATCCAACAGCAGGCGTCACAGCACCAGAATTATCAGATTCAGGGATAACACCCTTTCCTCCACATTGACATCCTAGCAGTTCATGCGTCTGACAAGCCCGCTCCTCATCAAGTCGGAATAGATCCCTCAGCTCCGCAGCAGAGAATTGAGCTCCGCCGTTACTCTTATCTTGCATGACACTGTCTGCAAGACTAAGCTTGGTAACCTGTCTTTGCCAGATCTTCTCCTCAAGACTGCCCTTCAGCAAGACCCGGTAGATGCGACACGGCCGTTTCTGGCCGTCGCGGTGGATCCGGGCCATGGCTTGGATGTCCGTTGCTGGATTCCAGTCTACGTCGAAGAGGATGAGACGGCTTGCGCCGATGAGATTCAGGCCTGTTCCGCCGGCTTTGGCGGATAGCAGGAAGGCGAAGCACGAGCTTGCTGGGAGGCGGTTGAAGTCGTCGACTAAGCCTTGTCGTTTTTGGGCGGGGGTGCTGCCGTCCAGGCGGAGGTAGGGAAGGCCTAGGGAGGTGAGGAGGGTGGCAAGAAGGGAGAGGGTTGAGGTATAGTTTGAGACGAGGACGATCTTTTCGTCTGTCTTGTTGCGCATTGTATCGAGGAGTTGGTCGAGGACGCGGATCTTTGCACTGGAGGATGGGGATAGGTGGCGGTGCAGGGGTTGGGGAATGGAGGCGATGAGAGACGCCATGGTTTCGTTGGGAGAGTTGTCGTTATTTTTGGCTGTTAGGAGAGAAGGGCTGTTGCTGAGCTTTTTGAGGATTGTGATTAGCTGCAGCGCGCTTTCGGCGTTGCCCATGGCGGATTGGAAGATCGGGGAGGCAAGGACGGCTTTATAGATGTTGGCTTGAGGGCGGGTTGGTTTGCAGAAGAGAACATATTCGGTCTTTGGGGGGAGGTATTTGGCCAGGATATCTGCTGTTCGGCGGAGCATGAATTTGGAAGTGAGTTCGCGTAGTTCCTCGCCTCGGGACTCTCCTTTCTCGATTTCTTTCCTCGTTGCTTCTGGCTGTCTGCTTCGAACGATTGGGGTCTCAAATTCCCGAATGAAGGACTTGAAACTGCCTAGGATTCCTGGGTTGACAAGGTCTACGGCTGCAAAGAACTCTTTGAGATCGTTCTGAATTGGCGTGCCGGAGAGAATGACTCTCTTGGTGGCACTGAGCGACTGAATCGCTTGGCCACTCTTGTTCTGCAGCGTCTTGAGTCTGTGTCCTTCATCTGCGATAATGATATCGACCCCAGAGCTATTGGCCAAAGCTTCCTGGACCGTTCTGAGCTTCTCATATCCAACAATCATAATGCTATAAGCCCGGCCCTTGGTGAAATCAGTGAGACGCTTCCGCTTGTCATCAAAAACGAAAACTCCAATACGTTCATTGCCGAGCCATTTGCGGAACTCCTTCCGCCAATTATTGATGAGAGTGACAGGACACACAATCAATGCCTTCTTGATAACAGGTGGGGCCTCGAAGACGGGATTCTGTTTGAGTAGAGTCCAAAGCAGCGTAATAGTCTGCAAGGTCTTTCCCAAACCCATATCATCAGCAAGAATGGCACCTTCGCCATTGAACGACCGCATGCCCATGACACATTCATACAAGAACTGGACACCCTCGCGCTGATGCGGCCGCAAGTTCTTGGACAGAATAGGATCAACAACAACATCAACGATCTGCTTGCCCTTCGGCACGGACTTCGGCCGCGGCATAACCAACGCGCCAGCCGCCTTGGGATCATGGCGCGGAATGACTTTGCCCGCAACCTTGGGAGTAACCGTATTCACAAGCAACGGCTTTTTATAAGCCGTAAATGTCGCCGGCGCGTTCCCGGGGTTCGCATTGGGGTTGGTCACCAGAGCCAGCGAGCGCTTGAGAGACTCCGTCCGCTCAGCAGCCGTGGGCTTGCGTATCTCGCCCTTTTTGCGGGCAGGAAGAGCTGCTTTCTTTGGCGTGGATACCGTCTCCGGTGTAGATGTAGGTGTTGGCTTCGACTCCCCCAAGAACTTTCTACCAGAGAAATATTCCTTGCGAGATATCTCCGAGTCTATTTCGACCTCTTTGCCGGAGATAGACAGCATAGTTCCTGGCTCGAGGTCAGATTCGTGCATCTTCCGTCCCATCTCCTTCCCGGCAACATCTCGTAGATATACGAATCCTCCACTAAATGAGAGGATACCATCTCCGTCCCATGTTTTGTGCTTTTTGGCGGTTGGTTTGCGCCTGCTTGGGTCAGCTAATCCGATTCACTTGTTCCCACTGCGGTGGTTTATATGGGCCGTACCACAGAACATTGAAATATTTTTCATCCGATGTATCGTCTTTGACCCCCTCGCTTGGTGATAAATGTGTTGTACTGTCCAATCCTCGATTGTTGACCTGTAGAAGTGGCTTTCGACTGGTTATTGCTGATGCTGATTGTGCATCGTCGAGCACTGGTTCGTCTTCGAGACGGGGCTTTTTGGTAGGGCGGATCGGCTCATCGAAGTTCTCAGAAGATGGAGCGGGAGTCCTAATTAAAGGGGACTTGAAGGGCTTGAAGACCATGGCTATGCTGGTCTATTTTTTCCTTTCTTGGTAAGATTGCGTTGGGATGAGGACGCGACGGAGGCGCGGGACGCGTAGTCACGTGCTTTGTTAATAGATCGCCTCCAACTGCACCACAGGATTAGATCAAGAATCAGACTGATAGATTTGACATTATTCTAAGCAGAAGGTACGTAATTCTTACAGCAAGTGTATGGATTTGAAGTGACATGGTAGCGACAGGGGTGGTGGAATTATGCTTTTAACGAGGAGGTATATAAAGAGTTGGCAAAAAGCCCAACACAATAGACAAGTACAAAAGGGTGTATATATAACGTGGAAAGGGGCATCTGACAGTCATGAAAAGATCATCAATGAAGAAACAGTCATGCCAAGCAAAATGGAGTATGTGAAATCATCATCCCAATATCTTACACCAACACAGATTTACCGAGCATCATCGGCCAAGTCCTTGTCGGTCAAGGGAACATGCTTGGGACCTTCGTAGGAACCCTGGTGGATGAACCACCAAATGGTAATGAAGATTGTGAAGCCACCGGTCATCAAACTGGCATAGTTCATCGACGCAGCATCGGTAGGCAGAGCATAGGGGAAGCAGAAAATGATGGCGAAGGCGATGATGTAGACACAGGACAGAGAGTTGACGACATAGCCAACCTTGTTGTTCATGTGGAAGAATCCAGGCACAAAGGACGAACGGCGAGTCAAAATGTGAGGGAAGATGGCCATGAAGTACGACAAACTGGACAACTGCACGAAACATCCCACAAAGGCATTGAAGGCGGTGCTTGAGCCGAGATAGATACAGGCCAAGACGGTGATAAAACCACAGCAGGCCAAGGTGGCGTTGAAGGGGTTCTGGAACCTCGAGTTGATGCGTCCGAGCCACCCTGAGAAGGGAGTGGCGCCATCACGAGAGATGGTCCAGAGGGTACGGCCCGCGGTGATGTAGCAGCCAGAAGCAGTAATAAAGGTGGGCAGGAAAGCGACAACTAGAAGACCCAGAGCGCCACTGTTGCTACCAGTAGCTTGGCGGTAGATCTCAGCCAGGGGCAAAAGGCCCGTGTTTCGCACCGCATCGAGGTCATTAATGGCATAGAAGATGGCAATCATATACAAGAAGCCAGTGATGAAACCGACACCCATCTGGGCAAGCACAGCCTTGGGGACATTTCGGCTGGGCCTGTGATTTGATTAAGTCAGTATTGTTGTTGAAGGAAATGAGGAAGGAAGAATACTGACTTTGGGATCTCCTCAGCCAAGTGGGTTGAGCAATCAGGGGTGCCCACACTGTAGGCACCATTAAGCATACCAGCCACAAAGACAAACCCTTCCTGTTTATAGCCGGTGCCGTTTTCCCAAGTTTCCCACACGAGCTTGTTCGTCGCATATCCAGTTCCGTTCACATGAGGCATCACGGCACACACGATGATGGTGATGAACACACCGGCGAGAATAAAGAACATGCCAAGATTGCCAATGTAAGGCAGCCAGCGATTCATGAAGAGCACAATGGAGCATGTAACCCAGGTGCAAAGGATGAAGCTGAGGAATGTGTTCCATTGCGAGGGCACAAAGTCAGGGTGCATCAGGGCATACATAGCCACGGTCTGCTGGCCCATGATCAGGGACATTGACGCGGCACCGAGAACCCACGCCAGACAATTCCACCATCCGGCAAAGAATCCACACACGCGACCGTACTTCTTTCCCGCCGTGATAGTTGCCCAGTGGTAAACACCACTAGCTGAAGGCATGCCCGATGCCAGTTCGGCAATCGATGCGGCGACTAGCCAGTAACAAAAGGACACAGCGATACTAGACGATGAGTTAGATCGAGCTTATACATAGATGGGGAAGAGCCATACAATTCATAGAGAGCTCCGGCAAGACCGCCGTTACTCAAAGCAATCACGACACTACCTCCTTGGGCAATCCATGTGTTTCCAGTCGTTACAGCCACAGCGCAGATACTGATGAGGCTGAAGTTTCGTTCGAGTTCCTGACGATGGCCCGAGGCATTGACCAACCCTCCCTCCACTGGGCCATCGAAGGCATGATCCGGCGACGGTGTAACTTCCCTCTCAGGAGCACAAGGGGCGCCCTTCTCAGGGTAATCCCCTGTCTCACTCCCAGACATGGTACTGGACATATTGGTGAGATTAATTTCCTCCACAAACGAATCCTCTTTATTCCGGACAATAAACGGAGACTCCGGAGTGCTCCTTTTCCCCTGAAATGGTATGAAGGATGATATGGCAAGGTGCGAGGAGAAACACAAAGGGACGAGAAAAAGGAGCACCACGGGCGTTCTCCGTATAATATGCTCTCTCACGGCAGAGCCGATGGAGAGTCGGCTCGTTGGACGACCTGGGAATCCATGAATTCATCCCGACGATCCCCGCCCCTAAAGTCAATCTCCAGCCAATCATCAGACTTGACGAGCATCATCCGGTGGCTAACTAACTCGGAAGTGGAGGCATTCCGGAGCTCCCATTGGTTACAGTCGGAGGCAAGGAGACCCGTTGTACATTGTACTCCAACGGAAACTCCACTCACAACGCGGAGGCTGTCCAGCCTGCAGGACGCTTTTCCCAGAAGGGGAGCTATAACAGAAAGAATTTTCCCTCTGTTGGTCCGGCTGACTTTAACTTCATCTCTACCCAGGTACGGCTTACCTTTTCCCGTCTCGGGAGATGGACCTGGGGTAGTTGTGCTTTGCGTTTTTGGAATATCGTGCACGAGCTGTTGGATACTCGATGGAGTACGGAGTATCCATCGCCTGTTATGCAGATACATGGTGTATGATGCACGCCGTTGGTTGAACTCTCCGATAATTGCCTAAAACCCTATCCACATGCTTCCAACACTATGTGATGAAGACCTGGACTTGCGCCCCTGAGTTTACAGTGCACATAATATACAACGTACACCGGCGTACGGAGTTCTCCGCACAGTCTAGAATATACAGGCGAGACAGAGCCCAAAGAGATGACAAACCTCATACGCAAGCATAATTAGTCAACTAAAAGTAAGAGCGTGGGCTAACGGCGAATCTATGAAATCCTGAGTGGCCCGGAGATGTAGGTGGCACCATCGGGCGTAGCACCTTCCTATTCATGGAATGAAAGTAATACCAACTAACATTCGATGTGGACACAACAATCTATGTCTCGTAATTTAGCGCGGCCGGGACATCCTCCGTATATTGTTCAGCGTGTATAGGGCTTGGAGGCGGCCCTCTAGATCAGCCTCTATATCCACATGAGATAAAGGCCACAACCTCAACCTCAAACCACCCAATGGAGATTGTATCAATTGGAAACAATCAGAAACAATCCAGGCGCCGGATCTCTTGGCCTGAAACCAGAACGTTCTGTGCGCGCATCATCCAGCTGAGGGTGGATAAGCAGAGGAGGCGATTCCGATTTTAGTCCTAGATCTAGTGGACAGTGCTTGCGATTACGAGGTCCATCTTAATACTTTGCCTCGAGATTAATTAATTGCGACAATAGCGTCGAATAAAATAAAGTATGCCTTATTAAGGAGCCAAACGGGGAGTAATTAATGGTGAGGGGGAAAAAATTAAATTGTGAAGAAACTAATAAGTCCTCATCATGACTCAGTTTAGCGCCAGAGAATTATGCAGCTAGTAGTAGGTGCATGCCGCCAATCCCAATTCAACTATTCCGATCTCCTCATCAACCACGCGATATAAATCGCAGCAACAGTCGAAGTTATTCAAAAAAAGCCCCGTGAGAGTTCGATCCCAACTTGGATTCAGTTCATGCAAGTATACGTGTAGAGCCCCTCACTTAAGAGTCCCTACCCCATCATGATTACGGAGCCCTCCATACCGAGTAAAGATCCCCCCGTGTCCCACTTTTCAAATCCCTCACTGCCACTCGGGCCAACTAGTGTCTCATGTGTCCCCCCTCAACTCCGACGCTTGTGGCTAGTGGCAAACTGGGATGCCTGATCTGGCCGTTGATCCAGTTTTGAAAGTAACTTCGGAAACGACCCACGGATGAGGAAGACTAAATTCCGAGGTTAGGTGGCGCTATCTCTGGTTCGGCAAATGACAGGCACCCGATCTGGACATTATTCTGTACGGAGTACAACTACTCCATACTCCGTGTATGTATATGGAATTAATTGGCCTGTACGGAGTAGACTCCAATATTGGCTGATCTCTCAGCTCCTTCCACTGTGGGTCTCTCTTGCCCAGATAGAAAGTGCCATGACTATCGTCGCTTGAGGATGGTATGCTTTATCTGATTGGGCTCAAGAGTCGGCCGAGGTGGCTATGTCAATTTATGCCTTTACCGGATATCCTCTTTCCTAGTCGAGTAGGTAGGTAATTCTAGGTTTCTTCTAGAGCACGGCTCGGTATACGTTAGAACTCTGATCGTTCCCCGGTGATGTTGGGAATACTCCGTCAGGCGAATGTATAGAAATTAATAGTCGAGAATGGACCTCGGAAGAGGGGGAGGCGTTCATCGACAAGGGACAGGTGGACCACTACTCCGTACATCGGTTGGAATGACTGTCAGGTACGCAGTATGTACTCCGTACTCCATTATACATAAGAAAAACAACCAGATCAATTTCCCAAAATAATCCCAACCAAGGAACTCTCCAATCCTGCAGCCCCACCGTCCTGCAGCCTGCATATGCACCTACAGGCTACAATACCAGGGATAAGCCTTCGAAGTTTATCCTCAGGTGCATCTCACCACGCCCATGTACCTAGGTACCTAGTACCTCACATTGGCGCATTCGATCATTGGCATATGCACCCGGAAACCTTATACCGATCACTCCATCCGGCTACAAAATGTGAGCGTTACGCCTTTTTTTCCCTCGAAAAAAACCCCTCTCTTGCTAATCGTCATTTAGGACAAAACCAATGTCTGGTTTAGGAGGCGGCTTCGCCGAAAATTTCGCCCGTGAAACATGGGCTTTATATGCCGTCGGCGTACTAAGCGCTGCCTTGCGATTGTGGGTGGAATATCCGAATATGCGAACATCTACTAACTATCTTGGATAGCTTCGCTCGTGTCCGACGTCTAGGCATTGGCAATCTCCAAGTCGATGACTATCTCATGCTCTTCGCAACCGTCTGGTACACAATATTATGCGTCTCTTTAAATCAAGTCGCCTCCGGTGGAGGGTCAAACTTGATGACCGCGGAGGATATAGCAAACCTCACGGATGAGACCTCTGACGAACGAGTGCGCGGTAGCAAGTGGGTCTTTGTGTCAGAACATTCATTCATTCTCTGCGTCTGGAGCCTGAAAGCATGCATGCTAGTAATCTATGCTCGCATCACGTATGTTGCCCCTCAACACAAAGCGTTGGCCTGGTCTTTGCACTAACATCAATGACAGGGAAGGATTGAAACAGAAACGCTGGATCAACTATGTCTCTATCTACGTCGGACTCGGCTTTGTCGCAACCGAACTATCACTCTTTTTAATATGTCGCCCATTAACAGATTACTGGGCCGTCCCAACGGACAACCCCCAATGCTCGTCTTACCAGTACTATGAAATCGTGCAAGGCTGCATCTCTATTTCCGCCGACGTATTCATGCTCCTCATCGCCATCCCGATGCTGATGCAAGTCCGCGTCCCACTGAAGCAAAAGCTTATCCTGATGATTCTCTTCGGCATGGGAATCTTCGTCATCGTCGCCGCCGTTCTCAACAAAGTCTACTGTCTCGTCGAGTCTCTAATCTCATACGTCTACATGAACTGGTACTTCCGCGAAGCCACTGTCGCCATCTTGGTCACCAACCTACCACTAGTCTGGTCTCTGCTCCGCGACGTCTTCCCCGTCCTCAGAAGCTGGAGCGGAGGTTCCAAGCGCGGCGGCACTGACCGCTACAAGTCCAACGCCTGGACAAGCAAGGGAGGATCCAATCTGCCTCCCTACGGCCCATCGAGCCATCTTCACTCCGCAGACTTTACGATGCAGGAATTCCAACCCACGGCTACCATCACTCCGCAAAAGGCATCTGCTTCAGATATCAGCATCTCACCCAGCGATGAGCGCAATTCGAGCAGTGATGATGGCTCCGCTCGCGCCTTGCGCATTCGGCAGGATATCACCGTGACTGTACAGCATGACGCACGGCCAGACGATTACAACACGAATTCTTCGCACGTTACCCGCGCCCGAGAAGAAGTCTAATCGGCTTTCCGACCAACTCTCGTTCATACCTTCTTTCCTCTTTTTTTTTCCTTTTCTCCTTTTTTTTCACGAATCGACGAAGTCCCCGAGGATGATACCCCGTCCTATATCCATTTCACTTCTGTATATACTTACTTCGAGACCGCGTTTTTGGTCTTATTTTTTTCCTTTTATCTCTTTTGGGCCATCGGAATTGTTTACACCCCACCGAGGGACTTGAGGAAATTTAGACAAGGGGTTTGTGAAAAAAAACGCCCCAAATGACTATATAATAGAAACCAGATTGTTGTTTCATACATCTTCTCCACCGCCAGCCCAAAAATGCGTCTTTTCCTTAATTATCTGTATCCAAAACCCCCACGATCAGAGACTTAAGCGCTCTTCAAAGCCAACAGACGCTTCACCACACGCCGATCTCCCGGCTTCTTGCGTCATAACCCTGCTGATCTTATCGCTATCGGACAAAAATATTCCATAAAAGGAAAAGATTGACTTAGGGCGTTAAACACGCGAGCTCGGGTTATCGGATCATCCTAACATCCCTGCAAATGGAGGGGTTGCAGAATCGGTGCAGAAATCAATTTGGTGTTGGGGGCGACAACCGTCTTCTAGAAAGTTAACGCAATCTGTTAAGCACCGGTCCTTTGTACCCCTGTCCTACACCCCTGTCACTCGGTTCAGAATACCCGGGTTTCTAGCGACTAAACGGTAGCACTTAGGGCTGCATATGCAATATGTGAGCGGTTGATGCTAGTGGAATCGTCGGCAGTTGATATTATGGTTCATAGCATCCACCATCGTGACCTGCATATGACTATATAGTACCCTGTAACAACCTTAGATCCAGCGCACACATAGGTACTCCGTACATGTATAACATCATGTATGATGTGGGTATTCCCTTAGAACGTGAGATCCGGAAGAATAGGATAAATCGGAAAAATAGAAATTCAAAGTTCCAGGTACGGAGTAGGTACCAAGGTCCCCCCTTTCGCTGATCGGCCCCTCAACCCGGAAACCCTGGTCCAAGCCTCGACCCATGTACCCACCTGTGCGTCCATGGATCCCTAGCCGACATTTGGCGACGGTACCATGGACACGCTCCCTCTGGGCTTGAGGGGGAACCAGGACCAGCCGAACCCAGGATCCTCGCGGGATCGACGCGGAGAAAGCTGACGGGAAAATAGGGGACTGGCGGTGAATTTTCCTGATTTTACTTCCATGTTTATGGAATGATATGAGGCCTAGAACAATTCTGTTATATAACATCGATACTTCCGTACGGATTACTCCGTCCTCCGTACGTATTTCCTTTGAGGAAGAGATCTCATTTGAATGGAAATTTAATCTCTTTTACTCAGATAAGCCGCGCAAGGGCACTTAAACTGAGTTTTCGACCCAAATCCTCAATTCCCAATCAATTTACAATTCCTTTTTTGCCCACTTAGCCTGACTGTGCGTATCTAACTATCTGATCCTTCCAGAATTCGAGCCACGTGTACGGAGTACAGAGTATATTTCATTCTGATTATTGAGCCTCGGTCGATAGTCCCCCTTCGGGAAATAAGATTCGCTTCGTTTTTTTTGACATGTGCTGAAGGACCGAACTGCGCAAATTACTCGGAGAGGCCAAAATGGAATCGAACAATTGCAAGTGGATCTCTGGCAGTGAACTCTCCCAAGTCCGGTCTGCTTAATATTAGGCGCTATGGAGTACTCCGTACATCGCTACCTGATAACCGGGCTCGTTTCTGTTCTCTTCCCTTCTCCCTTTCCTCTCATCCCATACGGAGTACATTTCACAGAGTACTCCGTGACATACCTTACGATATCATATAAATTTCCCAATTTATTGCTATCTCGCTTCGGCCGAGGAGCGACGATCCTCGCCCCCACCGACACATCCGAGAAAACACCTCTCCGATCGCACCGGTGCTCGTGCATGTCTGTTCCTGGCCCACTCTGGGAAGACCGGGAGACTGGTCTGCTTACGGAATGCCGTCCCGAATACGAGGGTTGTACAACGTATACTCCACACTCCGTACGGGAAGCCTATCTTGCGTCAGCTTCAGATACGGAGTATACAGCAGAAGAACGTAGATATATACATCTAGCGTAAAGAGCACAGACTAGTGACAAGTCTTGCTACCGATTGATTTGGGATCGCCGCCATTATTCGGGAATATGGAAGCTGTATGGACGTGCATCGGTGAATTGGATGCATCCATTATGTCCTGCAGCGTCGGTAACGAACATCCGAGTCATATGAGATTTGGACATGGTGGCGTAGCGTGGGCTTTTACGGTCGCCACGAGGGAGATGAGCACTAGGACACAGCTAGGAGTTTAGGACCTCGGGGACGACATTTCATTTGCTGCGTTTTAGGATAAGACATTCGAGAAAGCTCTTTGGTTCGAATGCAGCTACCCCTGTCTGGGAGATTGCATTCCCGGGCTCCCCGGTGGCGCCTTCTAGGTTTCGAGGTTGGAGACTGGAAGGGTGTAAGCGGTAACCCCGGAAGTAGATGTTGCATTCGGGGCCAGGAGTCAGAAAGTACCTGATGTGCCTGTAACCTACCTACATAAGGTACGGAGTATATACCCATGGATCCATAGTAACGGGTACATGACTCAGGAAAAAAGTATCCTGCCGAGGAAAGTCAGTCTTGGTAGCCTGAAGCCTGAGGCTGTCTCATTATAGAGGATACATGTACGGAGTATACGTATATCGATCGCGTAATTCTACCAAACAGGCAGCTGAACACGCTCCAACTATTGAAGCTTAGTCTCGACGCCTCAGTCCCAAACTACTCGCAGTCCCATCCTGTCGGGCTCTTTATAAGCACACTCTGGTACGCTATTGACTTGGTTTGGGTCTAGATTCCACCATATCCAGTGCTCCAACATATTCGCAAGGACGTTGTCAACTCATCTCCGCGGCACCGGGATATGATGTACGGAGTACGTGGAAACTCTTATGTTAGTTTGAGATTCTGGGCATTTGTATTTGAAATATGTTTGTAAGCGAAGTGAGATGGCTGGGAGAGGAAACTAACTTGCATTATACAAAGATGACACACCTACTAGGGCTTCTAGCATGACAAACACTCAACATATCACTTCTTTTGTAATTCCACCCTGAAACCCCGTCTTAACCATTTTGCCTACCTTAACCAACATGTGTTCCTCATACTGGTCAAACAACTGTTCCTCGTAGCACACAGAATCCGACTCAGTCCAATCAGAAAATGATCTCAGAAACCTGGCAACGGCATGGTGCGCATTGTTCTGCGCCAGTTTGATAGCTCTAATATACTCTATCCGGCCAGGTCCCTCAATCAGAACCCCCTCATTCAACAGAAGTTGCAACATATCCAATCGGCCATGTTCAGCAGCACCCTCTAAAGCCGTTCGACCATACCTCTGAGATTTGTTGGCTTGGACGCTAGCACCTGCATCGAGTAGCTTGCGTGCAATTCCTATGTAGCCTTGGATTGCAGCGAACTGCAACGCCGTCGCACCACCGCGAGCCGCCGGGTCCTGATTCACGTTTGCGCCAGCTTGTAGCAGCAAGTCCACAAGTTCCATGTTTCCTTGCTTGGCGGCGCACTGCAGCGGTGTCATGCCGCCATACCCAACAGGGGGCTCGTTGACATCTGCCCCTGCTTTCAAGACAATGTCCACAACCTCTAAATCCTCTGCTTGCACTGCATGCCACAGAGTAGACTTTGGAGCTATGATCATTGATGTGGTTTGAATGTTCGCACCTGCCCTCAGAAGAATCTTCATGAGTTCTATGTTTCCCGCTTCACCGGCAATTTGCAACGCTGTCTTGCCGGGCACAGATATATCCCTTGATTGCTTTTGGATCTCGTTGACATCAGCTCCTGCTTCCAGAAGCAAATGCACAATTTCAATTCTCCCGGCTTTCGCCGCGGTCTGTAAGATCGAGTCTCCGTTAAAGGTTTCTGTGATGCTTTTGGGAGCGGGCTCGGCTCTCAAGAGGATCTTGATTTGTTCAATGCTTCCGTGTTGGATGGCGTATTGCATATATTTATGCCACTTGATGTGGTCAATGATGGGATCGACGCCGAGCAAAGTACGCAGTAGAGAAACATCGTGCTCCATCAATGCGAGACGCACAGGTTCTGAAGGCCGATTGAGGATTTTGTCAATGAGCAAGAAATCTTGATGTATGTCTGCATCGGCATCCAGCAAATCTCGGAAAAATCGTCTTTCCCAAAAGTGTAAGCTGAGCGACAATGCCCGTCCCTTCTCTTCCCTTGTCCATGTTGTTGCTCCCAAAAGAGCTTGTAGAATTGATTGGTTGCCCTGCATCACTGCCCATTCGAGTACGGAATCAAGGGGGTAGCATATTCGCTTCGAAGAGGATGGATTCCACCAGCCCAGTATCTCGTATGTGTGTGGAAAGAGCAATGACTTGGGTTTCAAAATATTCCGACCGCGACTCTTGATCATCATTTCTGGTGTACCACGTGGATCAATTCCATTCCTCAATAAAAGATGAATGAGGGCTTCGTCGTTGGCGCAAATAGCCGCCGCAATTACAGTTGGACAAGAGAGGGTAAATGGCCCGAACATGTCGATGAAAGTCGGCACAATGTACTCATCTTGGGTTGTTCGTGCTCTCCACATAATTGCATTAATATCCGCTTCCCTGATCTTGCCCCCGCGACTTATGATGTATTGTGCTAGCTTTAGGTTGCCACAGCACATTGCTGCTTCTAGTGGAGTTCTGATATTTGTCTCTGGCTTGCTGGGTGCAATTTCAAACGTCGGACCCTGTTGGTCCGCCCTGTGGCTCAGAAGAAGATTGATCAAAGCCTGGTTCTCCGCGATAATTGCAGCAATGAGTATCATTCGTCCATTGGCCGCAAGAAGTGGCGCCAATAGGCTGACCTGCTGCAGAAAGACTGCAGTCTCCACGCTGGCAATGAATGGAATCATATGTCCTACTCCTGTAGCGCCGCCGCGTTGCAGTAGAGATATCATCGTCCAGTTGCCTTGCATGATAGCCAATCCCAGTGCACTGTTAGGAAGACCCTCTCTCAAATCATTTGGTCGGGCTCCAAATCTCAAGAGCTGTGCTACTGCTGCGGTATCACGCTGCTCAGCGTGGTCCCACAGTTGAGAAGAGCAATAATTCTGCATAGACTGCTCTTCTGCCTTGGCTCCGCCAGCCAGTAGTATCTTACACATTTGAAGGTCGTTTGCATCTAAAGCTCGCTCGAAGAGTGTCTTGTGTGTCGTCTCATGTGACGCTCTGAATTCATCCGCAGCATGGAGATTGGCTCCTTTTTTCAGTAAAAGGGCAGTGGCCTCTGGTTTTCTTTCGTTCACGGCCAACACGAGCGGTGGTATATAGTTGCTTGAATCAATGTCTGTTCTATTGACAGTCGCATTTGCTGCAAGAAGTCTCTGCATCATTGGAACATCCCCTCTGCACGCCGCAAATCCTAACGCCGTTGTTTCATAGTTGCGATGAGATCTTGACCGAGTAACTTTTGGCCTTTTCAGATCAGGACTTTGCTCTGCTTTGGAATAAAGACTTTGATTGAATTGTATCGGGTGTAATGTATCGACGTCTGCACCTCGTGAAAGTAGTAGGGTTGCTAAGTCCGCATATCCCTTCTTGACAGCGTAACCAAGTAACGTGCCGTGTGTGTTCCGAGCAGGTCTTTCTTCAATGTCGAGACCAGCATCTAGAAGGACTTGAATGATCCTAGTCGGAGAGACCCATTGATGAAAAAAGCGCAGTGGCCTTGGTGGGAGTTGAACGCCATTGGAGAGAAGCAACTTGAGCAGCTCCTCATTTCCAAAATTGATGGCCAAACCAAGTGCTGATTTTCCAGCCTCTCTGTGGTTGAGATCTGCCTTATGTTTCAAGAGCAAGCGAGTCATCTCACAAGAAATTCTCGTGTTTGTCAGCCTGGCTGCGTGGACCAACGGGCTGAGGCTTGTCCCTTGAGCAGTTGTGATGGGTGAATCTGGACTCATCCCAGCTTCCAGCATGGTTTGAATGACTTCAAGATCCGAAGTTCTGAGGGCACATTCAAACAACTTTTCGGAAATTGCTTCGGCCGTTGCTCCCTTCAGGGATACTAAACGCCTCATGTTTGAGATGTTCAGACCTCCAAAAAGGCGTAGGATATTCATCATGACTTCGCCTTTTTTGTATTCATGCTCAACGTGATAGAAGGAAGAGTTTCCGTAATGTCCGGGAAATTGATTGTTGGACAAAAGAAACATGGCAATCTGCACGAACTCCTGCAGGTGTAACTCGCTGTTGCAGTGGATCTTCTCAGATACCACTTGGTGCTGGTTATCGTATTCTTCGGGCATAGTAGCATTCAATATCTTCTCGAGGGATCTGGCCCTCTTCTGGGCCAGCAAATTGCCCAGGACATGGGTCATCTCATCTCTCAGCTGTGTTTTCACTGATCCAGCGCTTTGAAGAGCAAGGGAATTTGACGGGTGTTCAGACAGCAAGTTTCCTGGGATATGTCAGTGAGATGATGAGTCTGGGAATGACTCTGCGGTCTTTCTCACCCTGCAAAGTCTGGGAAAGAGCGATTCGGGAGAAATAAAACCAGGGAAGATTTGAAGGCCATCGTGGTTGCCATGTCGTCGGTTCGGGAGAACAGACTATCACTCCTTCCGGAGTTTTGGGGGAAGGAACTGGGCGATATCAGATATGCGGTCTTGCTCAGAATGACCAAGTGCTTTCTTACCTGAAGTAAACTTCTCCATGGTGGATTCAAAGGCGTGTCGTCCAATCTCATACCGGACCTTTCTTGGTGGACAGCGGACTCCATTGATATACACCTCACTTTCCTTGCCATTCTCTCTCTTTCTCTTCTCCATGCGATGTTTGATGAACTTCCACTTCTCGGATGTCATTTTGTACTTCTTGAAGCCCCATCGCTCGAACGCTTTTTCGTACTGGGCTTTTCTATACGGTTGTTAGTGATCTGGCTGTTCATCCCCGGCCCACAGGGCAAAAGAAGAGAATCACGATACGTTTTTCGAAATCCGTGAGCTGTTGTCATGATCCGGCCCAGCTCTCTTTGCGTCTTCCCCTCATGGATGTATATCCGCTCGATCGTGGCCTTGTAGGGTTCCCATTCCGAGTAAGGCGCTGTCGACATCGCGAAGAATCAACGTGGAGAAGAATCAACGGGAAATATGGGAGTGAGGGGTTGGGGAAGAAAGTCATCTATCAGGGATGTGTCACATGGTCCCTCTTATACCCAGCACCGAGCAACGACCACATTCATACCACCGTGAGAGTACATACTCTGGTCAACATAGAACATCGATGACGGATAAGAAATCCGGCGCTTGGACCCCAACTGCGAGGCTGCGTCCACGTGCTGTGATTCGTGGAGGTCACTTTCGTCTCTCCACTTGGGCTCATTCATGCGGCACCTCCTACGCCTCTGCCATCCCCATTTCCGGGCTGCCTTCTCAGCTCGTGCGAAGAGATGAGATCATCAAAACGAGGCCTTTGATTGGCAGATATGCTTGACACATCAGATCCACGGGTGACCTGCGCAGGTCAATAAATCAACCGCTCAAGTAGAACACGAATGACCGGTGTGATGGATCCCATGAGAATTGCATATTACAGTGTCCAAAGTACCATTCTAGTGTCATTTTTCTCTTTCTCCTATTGTTGGATTGAAACATTTTCTTCCAGAGGGGCTGACGTTCTCACATAGCTGCTTGACATCCTTCCATTCCGTCTACATGCTTCGTACATGCGCATACCTTGAACGCGAAGCCTGCTACGTTGAAATGGATCAAATCCCTATATAAAAGTACAACGCATCCGACTTATATCTGGTAGCGCACAGAGATACACCCGATCAATCATCTCTATCTTCAGCAGCTTGAACATCCCTGCTACTGATCGTTATCTTATTGTCGCTGTTGTGCCAGTGGTGATATACAACTCCCGATGGCTCGGTCATCTCCCAATCTTTTATTAGACTATCCAAGTCCTTCCAGTCGCCCCGGCTGGAACATCGATCACTGGCCTCGAGGTTCTCCTACGCACACACCCTCAGTCTACTCGGTCGCAGAACCATATACTTCCTCCCCAAACGATCACACGCAACGTTCTCCCGCCCTACTTCATCTTAGATGCGGGATGTCCCCTTCCCCGTCTTCCTTTGACCCCTATGGCCTAAATAGGAAGACCATGCACCATTTTTTGCCCGAGAGCAATGGCACTGCTCAACGCTCCCCTAGGGACGATGTCGACTCAGGGCCTAGGGCTACTGACTGGACCGTCTCTTCCTCCGATTACCCCCTCAGTGAGATCTCTCGGCCAAATGTCAACGGTGATCTATTGTTCCATGCCAAAACACAATCTTACTATCGTAGTATCCGCAAACAAAAACCGATGTAAGTCTTGTTCATTCAGACCACTCTCCGGGGCTGTTTTGAGCCTGGGCCTCGTAAACCTTACTGACAGCGACGCTTTGATCTATGGGGCAGGCAACGTTCTTTCCGCTGCAAGTGGCAAGACTGCAGCTATTCCGGCCTGTTCTCCAGCAAAGGGGCAATGATGCGTCATCTAGAAACGCAGCATGTTGCCCCGCGCTCATTCGATTGTCCCGAGTGCGGCAGAATGTTCAACCGGAAAGACAATATGTGGGACCATTTGCGAGGGATTCATGGGAGACGAATTTGATGCAGGTGCTTTACCGGTCGAAGTTGACGTCTTGGAAGAGTATTGGATCTATAACCATACGATCTTAGCGTTTTGTTGTACAGATTAGGAGCGATGGAATTGGCCGGAGTTAAGGGTGAATGAGGATGGGATATCATACTATCATACTGGGGATTACACTGCATGTTGGGCAGCTCAACCTTCCCAGCGAATACAATTTTCTTATAAGATCATCGAGCTATCGATCTATGTTGTAGATCTCGTAAATCGTACTTTTGTACCGTTCTCTTCCGACAGGGAATATGTAGTCATACCTGTGGATATCTCATATAGCCTAGTGCAGGGATATCCGAGAGAGGACAAGGCTGGGCATTCTGGTAGCATAAATTAATTCGCCAAGAGACAGACAGGGATCTTTGAGAAACATTCTATCAGATATTCCCCCAGTCATCCCTGCTCGCCTAATGCGCTAATGCACCCGGCGCATAAACGAGATTGCCCGGGACGGGATCTTTGGGAGACGCCCGCATTCTTGTTTACGTGAGGGGCACTCAATGCCCAAGTAGGTCTTCTTACTTCCTAAACAGGCTAACAACCCGGAAAAAAGGACGGACAAAAACGGTTTTTTTTTTAGATCTCTCATGTGCCTTGGGTTCGCATAAAGTGGTGAAAGAGCAGCATCGGTATCATCAACTTTTCTGCGGCACTCCGCATAGAGCAACTCCCTACGTAAGCTCGGGAGAAGCCACCTTTAGTGAGGGATCAGGTATCAGAGGCTGCATAATACTGGGTATATGCCGTGATCCCAGTTGGGAGCTTGCTACGGAGTACTCCGTGCGGTTTCAGAGTGGAAGGGAAGAGAAGGAGGAAGATGTGGATGTTCAGAATAACGAGCAATCATAGTGAGATAGCAATATTCAATTCCTCTCTCCATATCTCCATAACACAGATAGTCCGTTGTAGATCCATCACCTAGACTATCGTCAGCGGTCGGGAGATTGCTTCATACTGGGAATACACCGTAGCTACATAAGCTTTTCAATGGCATAAGAATGTTAGGCATTCGATAAGAGAAAGAGAATATGAATCTCCAGGGTCATTCTACTCTGATATATACCTACATGTTTGGAAGAGGCAACAATGCTAAACAGTATTCTGATTTAAGTTCTGAAAATAACTAGGGCAACTCAAGATCTCGTGATAACTGTATGTACCCACTGACAGTAGGTGTTCTACACTGCAAGATTTGGGAAACTAAGTATGTATGAGCAAGTATGTATTGTTCAAGGCTGGAATAGAAAGTAAGAATGTGTATTAACACGATATTGTCGAGGCAAATAAGCCTTCGACCCAAGGACGTATCCACCGAGCGAAGACTACATAAGTACATTGAAAGCAGAATGCGACCAAGATAGAGCAACGCCATGTAAAGGTGAATAAAAGCAGAGGTGACAAGAAAAAAAGAAAAAGAAAGAAAAAGAAAAATCGTGAATCATCTCATCATCGCTCGGTATGTACAACTCCTGTTTTTATGGTCTTTCAAAAGATCAGAGACCGTCTAATCATCGTACAGGTCAGTGTCTTCGTTCATCGTGGAGTCACCATCATCATCCACCATTTCATCATCATCACTGCTCTCGTCAACGGAATGGTTAGGCAAGACCTCGATGCGGCCTTCGGGTGACAAGATGACACGAGCCACCTCTCCATCTTGGATGCTTCCGCGCAGGATGAGAACAGCGAGACGGTTGAGGACCTCACGTTCGATGAGTCGGCCCAAGGGACGGGCGCCATAGGCTGGGGAATAGCCAGCTTCACCGAGGTAGTCCTTGACATCATCTGTGCATTGGATGAGGACACTGCGGCCGTTGTGATCGAGCCGCTTCTGCACTTCACCGAGACGAAGGTCGACGATCTTGCGAATTTCCCTTCGGGTGAGACGGTTGAAGATGACAGTGCTGGAGATACGGTTGAGGAATTCGGGCAGGAAGTAGTCGCGGAGTGCACCCATGACCAATTCCCGGGTCTGGGGGTCAATGCGACCATCCTTGGTGGTGGGACGGGCGAGGAACTCAGCTCCCAAGTTGGAAGTCATGACAACGATGCAGTTCTTTGCGTCGACGATGCGGCCTTGTCCATCGGTAATACGACCGTCGTCCATGAGTTGAAGAAGAACAGTGAGGACTTCCTTCGCAGCTTTCTCGACTTCATCGAACAACAAGATAGAGAATGGGCGGCGACGAAGGCTTTCGGTCAGTTGGCCACCAGCATCATGACCAACATATCCGGGAGGTGCACCAATCATACGGCTCAGTGAATGTCGCTCCTGATACTCGGACATGTCGAATCGGATCATTGCCTTTGGGTCATCGAAGAGGAATTCGGCAAGCGCCTTGGTGAGCAAGGTTTTACCGGTACCGGAGGGACCGCAGAACAAGAAGCTGGGAGGTGCGTTGGGGTTACTGAGCCCTGAGCGCTGCAGGCGAATGGCATTGGAGACCGAGATAACAGCTTCCTTCTGACCAATGACAAGCTTTCCAAGGGACTTCTCCATGTGGAGCAGTTTGTCCTTCTCTGTGGTCTTGAGCCTGGTGACGGGGATACCGGTCCACCGGCCGACGATCTCATTGATTTGATCTGGACCGACTGCATCGGCAAGGAGTGCTTCACCGGCGTCGCCTGATTGAGCGCGACGTTCGGCATCGGCCTTGACGCGGTCGGCCTCCAGACGGTCGATGAGGGTTTTCGTTTCTGGGATAGCATAGTACTCGAGATCAGCAGCGGTTTGGGTGTCGCCCATACGTTCAGCTTCGTCGCGCTTGACTTTGAGGGAGTCAAGTTTGATCTTGGCATCCTGAACTTCACGGCTGCGCTGCTTTTCACTTTCGTACTTCTCGCGCATTGGTCGGAGCTCCTCGCCAACATTGGCAGCTTCCTGTTTGGCAGCCTCAAGACGAGCTTTGGATGCATCGTCCTTTTCGCGCTCGAGAGCGTGAATTTCGATTTGAAGTTGACGAGCCTTTCTCTCCAGAGTATCGAGGGCCTCTGGCTCGGATTCGCGGGTGACGCGGACTGCAGCAGCAGCCTCGTCAATCAGATCGACTGCAGAATCGGGGAGTCGACGGCCTGTCAAGTAGCGGGAGGCAAGAGTGGCGGCAGTGACAATAGCACCATCGAGAATGTTGACACCGTGGTGAACTTCGTACTTTTCCTTCAGACCACGGAGAATAGAAATGGTTTCCGGAACGGTGGGTTCCTTGACAAGGACCTGTTGGAATCGTCGCTCGAAGGCTTGGTCCTTCTCGATATACTTGCGGTATTCGCTGAGAGTGGTGGCACCAATGCAGTGCAGCTGACCACGAGCCAGCATGGGCTTGAGTAGGTTTGCAGCGTCCATGCCCCCTTCGCCGCTAGATCCAGCACCCATGAGCAAGTGGATCTCATCGACGAACAGGACGATGGTCTGCTTGGATTCTTCGATTTCTTTGAGGACACCCTTCATGCGTTCTTCGAATTCACCGCGGTATTTGCTGCCCGCAACCAAAGAACCGACATCGAGAGAAAGAAGGCGGCATTGAGCCAGATTGGCGGGAATATCAGCGTTGACAATGCGGCGAGCCAGACCCTCGACAATAGTAGTCTTACCAACACCGGGCTCACCGATGAGCACGGGGTTGTTCTTTGTGCGTCGGCTGAGAATACGAATAACGCGGCGAATCTCTTCTTCTCGGCCAATGACCGGATCGATCTTGCCCTCCCGAGCCAAAGAAGTCATATCAATGGTGAATTTCTTCAGGTTCTCATCCTCGCTTTCCGCGTCGGCAGTCTTAGAGTCGACCCGCCGTGTACCACGAATTTGCTGGACAGCAGTGTCGATCAACTTTAGGTTGGGAATATTGGCATCGCCCAAAGCGCGCTGGACTTGTGAGTCCTGGCAGACAGACTGAATGAGGTGATCGACCGCAACGAAGCTATCCTTTTGGGTCTTGGATAAGTCGGTGGCGGATCGGATAACTTTTGCGAGTTGAGGAGAGACACTCGGGTTTTCTGGAGGAGGGTCTTGACTCGGTAGGCGGACCAGCAACTTCATTAGCGCTCGGTCAAGAAGCTGAGCATCGCCGTGGGCCTTTTCGATCACCTGGCGGAAGAGAGGTGCAGTGGACGCATCGTGTGAAGAATGGGCACCAGAGGGAGTCTGTTGGTCTTCCGACTCGTCTGGGGAGGGGTTGAGTAATGCAACTGCCAGGTGGAGAGGCAGAATTTGGGAGTGTGCATATTGTTCGCACAGACTGCTCGAGTCGAGCAAGGACTTGTTGGCCCGATCTGTAAACTGAGCGCCGTTCATGTTGAACGGAATAGTGGGGTGATATCAGTAGGTGTAGATAGTGGAATTATGAGGGGTGGGATTCCAGTTGTGTCAGGCGTGGCACAGATGAAGAAGCCAGTATTTTGTATGTGAGCAAGTAAATTGGAGAAAAAAGCAGGCTGAAACACGATGATGCAAGTTCATATAGTCCTGGCGCGTGGGTTGGCCGAAGCTGCCACAAAGAACATGGCGTCACCACTCGTTTCCACCGCCTTCCAGAAACTGCCAGACGTTGCCTGACAGTTCCAGATGACAGGACACGTGATATCTCACCGATAAGCCACGTGTGTGTCACGTGACCTCCCGGTCACTGACATCTGGGCCCTATCTGCTCCGAGATGAGGTCAGCATTATCGGATTAAATCGCGCAAACCAGCAAACCATAACCCTTGGGTCTTCAGGCTCTCCATGTTGAAGAGATGATTCGGCGCTAACCCCTCTACTGGCGGGTTCTACATGAGGCTTGCGTATTGGTGTGCCTTGCAGTGGATCGTTGGAAACAGCCCAAGAGGCCCACAGGCCCTTACCCGCGAAATCCAGATGTGACCATCATCTTACAATATGCCACTGACGACTGCCCAGGCACCGTCGAAGCTCGGGGTTCGGGAAGCCCTTGAGAATATTCTTTTACCTACTCCGTACATAGACATACATATGTGGGTACTTACCTAGGTACCATGCCTTGCTTACATTGTATATCATTTCCCACGATAGCCGACGGAAAATGTCCCACACCCAGTCAATGACGTCAGGCGGGACATCCCCAGAGCAATGAGAATGCAAAGAATTCGATCTCGAACCTTAGCCAGGATCAGACCTCTGCAAGCACTCTAGCTATTCGGCCGTGGGTTATTCGAGGCCTTTTTCGAAACACTTAAGCAACTCTACTTTCACCGGGTCCCATGAAAGGGGAGCATCATTTCAGGAGCGTGGTGGATACTTGTTCCCGGCGCCTCCAGAAATGGATATCGATCCCTGCCGCTGCCCGCAACTTGTTTTCCAATTGGTCTTTCCACCACGGAAGGTGGAAGGCTTTTGCTATTTCATTTCGTGTCTTCTACTCCGTACAACATGAGAAAATAGAAGCGGAAAGGTTCCTGCGGGGCAGAGAGGGGCAAGAGGCTTTATGGCGTCCATGATTAGCTCCTCCGAATCCAAGGCGTGCTGAAGCTAATGTTGGGCACGCGTTCGAGGCTTTTGTTCGATGGCTTCAAGATATGCAATACTACCCGGACTATTGTGCTACTAACATCAACATTGTCCACAAGAGGGGGTCATGCTGCCCTACTATGCCTTATGCGTAACACGCACCCTCGACCTCAATACCCTCCTCTCTAGGCGATAAATGCTAAATAGGAGACAATCCCAATTGTTTCCTTTCTTTTTCCATGGTAGAGCAATAGCCAGCTCTGGATATCTCTCCGCCTCCCGAGGCTCTGAAAAATTAAAATAAATCAAGCCGGTTCTTGACCTGGTACCTTATGTCATTCTTCATATAAAGAGTTTTAGCTCCCCCCTCTCTCCCTGCATCTTCTCCATTATTCTCACGCCATAGTAATTGAATCTGAGACCATCAAGAAGCTCTCGCATTCGCTGCTCTATTGGGGCTCTTTTCTGGAAAAGCTAGCCTCGAGCCGCGCTACCCAAAGCAGAAAATCTTTAACGCGCCGCAGCTTAAACGGCCCGATTTCATTTGAATTATCCTGGCTATAATTGATCAAAGACTTGATCCACTGCAAGTTTATTTACGATTACCTTCAGCTCTTCCCCTAACCCGGACAATCCCCGGAGATTGCAATACTATCCCGGCCAACATTCATCTGTTGATCTTTATACACATTTACAAGGATGTCTGACAAGCCGATTTTTGTGGCCACGCATCCGAGAGCATGCTCCACGGCCTTTGAGCGAGTAAGAGCGAACAATCGATCAAAATAAAGGCAATTTCGAGCATTATCTGACTGGTTACAGGTCTTCATGACTCAGCGAGACACCATTCAGTGTGTCCATGAGCCGTTTGGCGATGCGTTCTACTACGGGCCGGAGCGCCTCTCCAGCCGATTCGCAGACGATGAACAAGCACGTCTGGATAGTGGATTCGCCAATTCGACTTATAGCACTGTGATGGATAGACTGGAGCGTGAAGCTACTCAGGTCCGACCCTTCTTTTTGCGAAATCTCTCGCGTTCTTGCCCACCCTCTTCGTAATGCTCTTCATATTCTCCCTTTGCGGATTGAATATGAGGGAAGACTCCTTCCCCATTTACATTTTCGGTCATTTCCCCTTCAGATGTAGCCCCAAGGCTGTAGCCCCAAGGCAATCTGTCTCCCCTTTCTCTGCACATTGTAAAACCACAGACTTGCCCCGGAGTGCTGAATGATCATGGAGATCCACATAGCGGACTGGAATATTTGCGCTTTTCTGTGAGGAGATACTTACCTTTTCACAGGGAAAGAGGATATTCATCAAGGACATCGACCACTACTTGCTTCCACCGAATGGCATGCCCGCAAGCCCTGCCCCATCTCTACTGCGCCTCAAGCGCGGTGTCGGAACCAATCGTGCCAATGGCTACTTACCCCAGGCCAACGGTGCGAACGGTGTCAACAGTGCCAACGGTACCGCGCACACCAACGGCCATTCCGGCACCCCGAACGGCCACACCAACGAGGTCAACGGGATCTCGAACGGCATGGCCAACGGCACGAACGGTCATCATGAGACCAACGGCTATACCAACGGGCACACCAATGGCTATAGTAATGGTACCACTAACGGTCACACCAACGGAGTCCACAAGGAACCCTACCCGTACGACACAGCCCCAGAGCCCGGCAACCCAACCGTCATGCCTCGCGAGCTGCAAGAGCAGTTCCACTGGGCCTTCCTAATCCGCGACCCGCACTACAGCGTGCCGTCGTACCTGCGGTGCACAATTCCACCTCTGGACGACGTGACCGGGTTCCACAACTACGACCCGCTGGAAGCTGGGTACGACGAGCTGCGTAGGCACTTTGATTTCCTGCGCGAAACCGGTCTTGTCGGCCCGCGTGTAGCGACGCGCCCGGAGCTGGATGCCGGGAACGGTGACCAGGCGACTGCTGACAGCACTGGCGTTGAGGTTTGTGTCATTGACGCGGATGACATGCTGGATGAGCCGGCGAAGACTATTGAGGCTTTCTGTAACAGTGTTGGTCTGCGGTACAACCCGGAAATGCTGACGTGGGATACCGAGGAGGACCATGCGGTTGCGAGGAATGCATTTGAGAAATGGCGCGGGTTCCATAATGATGCTATTGAGTCGAAGGCGCTGGTGCAGAGGCAGCATGTAAGTTGTCATTCTGTTGGTGTGGGAAGGTGAGACCTTGGGCTAATAGTTCTGGTAGAAACGTGCTGTCAAGACTGAGGAAGAATTCGATGCTGAGTGGCGGAAGAAGTATGGCGAGAAGAAGGCTGCTCTGATCCGGCAGACAGTTGATCGCAACATGGCCGACTACTTGTACCTCAAGTCATTCGCCGTGAAGATCTAGATTGAATGAGGGAGCTTGGACTGGGGATGCGCGCAGTCCTCGGGTCTCGGGACATTCCTATGAATGAGAGTGTGAAGTGGAAAGAGCAAGAGGAATATGCCCATGTTCTTCCCAACTGACCGCTCCTTTCGAATGATGAGAACGATTTGATTTGGATGACGCCATCTCCAAGAGGATTGGTTGATGACCGTAACGATGTTTGCTGCAGTTGCATCTATGTTTTATCCTGCTGCTCTTGTCTTTTTCGAGATCAAGCATGTTTGATTCAATCGAATGCTAGCCTAAGATATGCGATTTATTTCTGAGCCGCCGAATTGGGACTTTCAAGGCGAACGATAACATGTATCACTAAGCATCTCGTCCTTCCCTATTGCCAGAGCTTCATGGCGGATCCTCCAACATCAAAGTCTGTATGATCAACGGCAGATGTATCACGCCAATCCCTTCATCTTGTCTGTCAGTTCATAGCAAGCTTGGCATCAGCCCTCTGTTTACCATAAAGAGCTCACTTGCTTGGAAAATTGGTTAGAATCCGTACTGCGAAGAATTTGTCGAACCGTCGGCTCGAGCCATCAAAGAAACCATAATGGGGATAGTATGTCATATTCTATGAGTGTCAAGACATCCCAGCTAGGTGAGAGTGCTTGCATACGATTGGTTGACCGAGGAATAAGAGATGGTAAAGTGTAGGCCAATCAGAAGAATATTGGACCCAACAAGGGTAACAAGGAAGAGAAGATAGAGGAAAAGAGAGATGCTCTCCGACAAAAGTTACATGTACAGATCACGCAACCTAATCTGAGCTCTACACCCGAATGCGAAGCTGGATGTGGCACGCACTGGTACAACTATATGAAGTTGCCGATGGGTGGAAGCTGGTGGCATCTGTTTAACCCCTAGAAGATATACTAATCTCGCAGACCATTTGGAAAGTGCTGAACGAGGCATATTAGGTCTCAGAAATTCAGGAAGCCCAGAGATGATATTGAACATGATCATAAGCAAATATGCCCATCGAGAAAACAGCCTCCGAAGGAGGTATATCATTCGTTATGGCCAAGCATATAAAATCCGCACTCATCTAGCGCCATACAAACTCATTGAAAAACATTTGCAGAAACAGTCTGCAATCAAGGCAATGAAATCCCGGCCAAACCGCCCAGTAGGAACAAAGGATCGTGCATCTTCATCCAAAAGTACAAGTGACTATAAGTCGCAATCTATCCAAGCCAAGCGGCTTCATACCGCACTGTAGCCACCCCGGGAACCCGCTCCTTGAAGGGAATTGATCACACGGCGGATCCAGTCCTGGAAGAGGTATGGGAGCTCGCGGATGGTGTCGCTGTGCGGGAGGAGGTCCCAACCACGGGCGCCGTAGCGGTTGTAGTTGAGCCAGGAACCGAAGATGAGGTAGGCGGCGATGCAGAGGAAGGCACTAGGTGAATTGATCAGCAAAACATTCAACAATGTGAAAGAGGAGGAAGAAGCGGACGAAGTCGCTATAAATCAGGGAAATGCTCACATGATGATCAACCAGGTGAAGAAACCCCAGCTGTTAGAGCTGGGCGCATCACCCTTCTCTTTCTCGTACTCGTCGCAGGCGTACTTTGTGCGCCAGTCCAGTCCCAGGATATAGGTATCATCGTCCGACGGGCCAAAGCTCTTGAACTGCAGACTGCTGCTGTTGCCCGCCGGCACAGCACCATCGCCTTCACCCTCTGCTCTCCGTCGGCGCTCTTTTGTTTCCAGGTCATCGGCGAGCGAGCGCAGACCCTCCAATCCCGATCGCTCGTGGTCGCATTGGAACTCGATGATAGCAGCTGCCTTCTTGGCCTTCTGGTCATTTGTATCTCCCTTGTATGAGCCGCCTTCCAGTCTGATGCGGAGTCCCTCAGTCTCCGGGTCGATTTCCTTCAATCGCTTCATCTCGGGGTTCGTTGATCCTTGGCCCGCGGGATCGAGACCGACGATCGGGAAGCCGAACGTGGAGCGGCCGTTTCCGTCTTTTGCGGATCGGTGTACGAATCCGCAGACTGTAAAATTGCATGTCAATTAGTATGAATAGTTCATGGAGCAGACTATTTCGGCATGGTCGCGACTCCCCAGCCTGGAACGTACCATTTTTGCTAGCTTCGCACGTCGCGTCGCCGAATCGGGCTGCACCATCGAGGATATTACAAATGTTCAATCGGTAGGTTGTATTCGTCACAAAATTGTCTGTCGTCACGCTGTGAGTCACTTCATGGACGCCCTTTAGGGGACTGAGATCGTATTTGTAATTGTTGATCTCGATGTGCGCGCAGTCGAAACTGGATGCGGATGCGACGCTTGATAAAGCAGCAGAAAGGAGGAGTGAGACTCCGCTTAATTGTAATCGCATGATGATCGATGTGAGCCGCGGTCTGGGAGGGAGCGATGGAAGGGCCGATGAAAGCTGAGATGAGGCTTTCGGGTTGGAGCTCGATAGCTCAAGTAGAGACGGTCACGAGGGCAGATGTACACAGGAGTGTGACCGGCTGCACTGGTAACAGAATCGAGGTTGTTGCAGAGAGACAAGGTTGGTCTCTGTTGTGAAGTTGGGGAGATGGCGATGACCGGGGTTCCTGCGGAGGTGTTTTCGTTTCTCCAAGGCGGTGTTTTGGCAACGCTACTCGGTGCAGTGTTGAACGCCCAACTCGATGGGAATGTGCCTTGGACAAGTTATGAACTGAGCGTTCGGGCGCTTTGGTCTATTACTTCTTCTTCTTCTTTTTTTTTTTTTTTTTTCTTTTCTTTATATAGAAAGTTGCAATGATGTCACTCCGGCAAAGTACCCGATAGACTACCTAACCTGACCTACCGCATACAGACAGGCTCAGAAATAATATCTCAGTCAGAATGGGCTCACAAACCCACAGTATCAAGTCTCTCCAAGCGATATTAAGAACATACAGACTGTTCCTAGCCCAGTAGAACCCCAGACCAGGCACACAGGTACAAGGTCCAAAGCCTAAAACGAACACAGATAGTATAACAGAAGAACCGCTTGCGAGCCTCGGAGAGAAAAGCCAGAGAATCAAAGACCCCATACAGCACTTCACCACACAGTCCAAGTGCTTCTAATACCCATACCAACCCCATTGCCTACGTCTAAAACGTTGCTTCTCATCCCATCGCCAATCCGCGCACGGGCCACCCACTCAAACGCGATATCAAAAGCCCGAACCAACCAACTCCCCCCAAATCGAGGCAACAGAGCAATCCCTAAACACAAGAAGAACAGACGATCTCTCTCCACAGAACCACACAATTCTGCTCTCCCTACACAGCCAAAATGGTGCAACCCCGCATGGTAGGCTACCCCTCCAAGCCCACGCGCGACCCCGCCAAATCCCAAGCTCGGAAGCTAACCGGGCCAACGCGCAGCTTACAAAAGCCGACGAGGCGTCAGGCAATGATGAGAATGAAGTCCACCGTGAGGATCAGGAGAAGATTAACCGGTTCAGTCGGTTGCATCAGCGCGAGACTGTGCTCGAGGAGCAACTGAAGGGGAAGCAGGTACGTCTCATTTTCTCTTAAGAATTGAATCACGTTCCCGTTTATGTATAGAATAACTTGCTAACTGGATTACAGAAGGATAAGGAGGATCTGGAAGAGATCTCGATGGAGCTGGAGCTTGCCGATGAAGATGAGCTTGTGCCGTATGCAACACCCTTCTCCTTTTCTTTTTGAGATGATTACCTTTCGTTGTTCTTTGCAATTCTCGTTTTATGCTGTTCGAAGAGCAGAAGAATAATCACTAATGGCCGCTATAGCTACAAAATCGGCGACTCATTCTTTCAACTGCCGCTATCAGACGCCCAGGGGATGCTCTCGACGTCAACAGAGAAGATCGACGCAGATGTTTCGAAGCTGGAAGACTCGCTCGGCGAGCTGCGCGATGAAATGCAGCAGCTGAAGGTTGCGCTGTACGCGCGGTTTGGTCGCAGCATTAACTTGGAGACCTGATTGGGATGAAATAGATGTATTACCACGTTTGTCTTTGTCTCTTCGGATTTCTCTTCCTCGACGTTTCCATTCCCAACCCAAAACATAGGGTGGGGATACAACATTCTTCATTAGTTAAACACCTATAATACGTAGAATGGATGAACCCGATCCAAGATCAGGACCGACGCTTTTGCTTCACTAGTATCCTCGGGCATATGGACATATATATATTTGCAGAAATCAAGTATTATAAGTAAGATGCAGATCTCAATTCATCAATATCATTCAAGCAAAACGTAATAATCAAGAGGTATCTAAGAGGGCGAGAGAAAAAAAGAAGAAAGGAAAAGAAAAAACCAAGAAAGAAGAAAGACAAAAGAAAGGTATCCCGCCGCCAGCACATAATATAGACAACAAATGGGACCACGATTCTGTGGCATATATTTAGGACTGGCACAGGAAACTGGAAGAAGCAACACAGATAACGCCTATGCGCCGATGTAGTGAGAACTGGTCCTCCGATGGAGAGTAAGTTTTTGACCAGTTCATTGACCCAAGAGCGACAGAAAGAAATTCGAATCAACAAAACTCCGAGTTGTGACCAAATTTCTGTTTCCCAATGAGAATGTTCCAGGGCTGATGGATGTGTAGATGTATATACATCCGCATGTTTTTTAGGTTTTTCTTGTATCTCGTTCCTGTCATCACCGGAACTTGGCACGGCAGCGGCCCATGATCTCGTTCTGGCAGACTAGTTCGGCGCTGAATTCGCTGCCGTCTAGCGTGAGATAAATATCGAAGTAGACACGGTAGAAGACGCCCTGGGGTGTGTCCATGCGCTCAAAGTCGGTCTCTAGGTTCTTGCGTGATAGATCGGATGTGAGTGTGACGACTTCCTTGATGCCTAGAGAAAGAGTCAGTGGTTGACACAAGCTATAAGAAGAAAGAGCAAGCTCGAACTTACGTGGATCCTTGGTGTATTCGGGGCATACATCCTCATCACACGCGTATAAAACATCCTCGTACATGAGTGTGGCGCCAGGTGCGACCTGACGGAAGAAGCTGACCTTGACCGGCTCGCCAATTCTGACACGTTCCCCCTTCTGGACGAAGATCTGACGGGTGTACTTGCATCGATCGCGTCCATCCAAACTGGGCACACGGTACTGTTCCGGGTGATATCCCTCCTTGAATGGCTGGAGTGTGGCCATCAGGTAGTGTCGACGGGCCACGCGATGGGTGATAACACGTTCAGTAATACCTGCTGTAACTGCACCCTTGACGATCGCAGCCACAGAGTCCATAGGACGGACCACCTTGGTCTGGTACTGAGGTGGCACGTGGAGTTTGATCTGCTGGAAAAGATATTCTGAAGCACCGAATCCACCGACGACCAAAACATTCTACAAAATTGTTAGGTTTAACGTGAAAGGCTAGGTCGAGTGCCTCTTACCTGAATCGGGCGATTTTGTGCCTGGATAGCGATAATCTGATTGCGAACCAATTCGAGGATACGGTTCACGACAGGCTCGAAGCACTGAAGGATCTCCTCGTTTGTGAAGGTCATATAGCCTTCCACAATACCAGCTTCGGGGAAATCAGCCTCAATACCCACATCCACTGCCCATGTCTGTCCATTGTTACGGAAATCTGCCTTGATACGATTCTCGAAGTCCATGATGCATTTCGCGTAGACCTTGCCCGCGGTCCGCGATGCATCTGGCAGCTTCATCTTCCGAATCTTTGCCCGCAAGATGTTGCTGAAATTCCGGTTCAGTGCCGTGGAGCCGCACGAGTCACCAGAGCCGGCGGTACATTCCATCACACTGAAAGGCTGCTCTTCCTCGACCTCGTATGCAATCAAATCCACGGTACCACCACCGCAATCCACGATCAAGATGGCATCGCCCACCTTCAAATTAAGCAGTCCGCTCTTGGCACAGAACAATGCCGCCGCTTCGGGCTCCGAGACTAGCGTGAGACGGTTATCGTTCTCGTCGCGCAAAAAGCCAGCCTGGATAGCAGCGGTTCGCGTTGCAGCCTTGCCGGCATCGTTCCAAATAGCTGGTACCGTCAGGTAATATCGGATGTTGCGCTCCTCGCGCGTGAACACCTCTCCCAGTGTCTTTTGCAACTGAGCGCGCATGGCTTGTCGTAGCTTGAAAAGGTAATCGGCAGCCACGTCGATTTCGGACTTTCCGGTAGGAAGGGGAGGCAGGTTGATGGGGTCAATGTAGGTATTTCCGGAAAGCATCAGCTGGAGCTTAAACCACTCGACCTTCTGCACGTTGGGTTTGGGGTATCCGGTGGGGGCGAGAGCATCGGCGATGTCGGGGCCCCATCCTACCACCTTTTGGAATTGGTCATAGTAGAGCACGGTAGGGATCTAGTCGGGAAGCCACTGGTCAGATTCTCATTCATGGGAATCACTTGTTAAGCGCGCTCACTTTTTGTTTGGTGTGGGTTCCGGCACCCGGCCATTCTGTGATAATGTCCTCTCTTGCCTCGTTGTTTGTCGCGAACGCGTATGCGACACCAGAGAAGGTCGTGCCGAAGTCAATACCGACAATCAACTGAGCCTTGTTGTTGCGCCCGGCACCCTCGATCTCGACCGCAGGGTTGCGCCCGGGGTACTGGTTATTCGACATAGGGGCTATGCTGGGAGCCATGGGATGCATGCCATAGCCTGGTGGGCCGTTCATAGGAACACTGGACGGGTTGTATGGGAGGTTTGTGGTGAGCGGCGGAGGATGACCGCGCTGCCCTACTGCCGGGCTAGTTGGGCGGTTGTTCATTGAGTAACTCGGCGGTCGGCCTCCTTGTTGTTGGTTGTTCATTGAAAGACTTGTTGACGAACTGTGGCCGGATGGGGGTGGGGAACTGGGGGTTGGAGGAACGATCACCGTGTTCGAGGGAGGATGTGGCGGACTTTTGTCTTTCCTCTTCCACAAGTTGAATCGGGAACTCATGAGGTCTATGTGCGGCGACAAGGGAGAAAAAGGAAAAGGGTAAGAACTGGAAGGGGGAAAGGATGAAAGAGGGGGAAGTGAGGCTGAGGTTTACGAGGGTTTATTGTGGAGATCAAAGAGACCTGAAAGAATCGGGTTCACGAAACAGGAACCATAAGGGAGGTGTTAAATCACAGAATTCAGGAATCACAAAACTATTAGTACCTGTCTAGGTAGATCATAATAATATAGAGGGGAGAGATGCAGTTTCGAACGACAGGACCTCTAACTATACTTAGCAGGTACCATGTACCCCATTTATGGAGCCCCCCAAGCCCCCAACTCATGGTCTCGAACATGAAATGCAGTTAGTATTCATGTTCATATTTATGTCATTTTCAATACTCTGTACATTCCAATCGCGTTTCATGTCTTTTTCTTGGGTTCCCCGGGATGTATTATATATGTTGTGCAATGGATTCTATGTACAGCGACCTCAAGGCATCCGGGGTACTCTGGAGAACGATACAAGATGCAGTATTCCAGCTGCTTCCGTCTATTTACTCTTGGCTGAAGCGTTAGGCTTCTTTGTTCCGTCGATTTTTGGCCCCCAAACCAAGAAAAGGAGGGGCGAACACAGCCTTGTTATGTATGTTATAGGTAACTATGTGTCTCAGTACTTTACCGAGTACGGAGTACAGGGGTTATATTTCCCTGCCACTTTCCGACCAGGCCCTTCAAGCCCCGGCCATTTTTCGCATCACCCAGTGAGAGGGCCGGTACGTATTCTGAAGCATGCTGTTGGGATCCTGAATATAGCCGCAAGCCCGCCGATCCCCACGTTTCTCGAGGCAGAAGCCCATGCGCTCCACAAGGCTCAGCACTTCGTCCTCGGATAGTTCTACATTTCCGGGCTCGCCAATCCCAGCCCCCTCGTGTCCGACATCGCTTGCTCTGCGGGAGTGACCGTCATCAAAGTGCCACAATAGAGGACCAATGTTGATCCAGAGCCCATTAGGTTTGAGGCTGTGCCGAATCGCCTCAATGTATCGAATCAGGTTTGGTGCGGTGTCGATGAAGAATACAGTAGTCACTGCATCAAATGCCTCTTGGTTATTCGGCTGAGTATATAATACGGTGAAGTCCGCGGCGGACATGGACATGGAGCCCAAGCGACGCCCATCATTGGCAGCCTCCTGCATGGCAAATCCGGGGTGTACGTCAGGGATCATGACTTGCCGTAGTTGCTGAGCACGAGATTGGAGGTTGGAGAAATGCAATGCAAAAGGATGAAGTGCATGCTTGGACGGTCCCTCCGTGTGGTTCAGAACCCAGCTACTGGCAAGCAGCTGATGGTAGGAAATCTCATTTCCCTCGGCGTCATAGCCTGCCATGCAGATATCGAAGACTAGACGACCTAGGCCCGCGCCGGGGACCAGAACGCGGATTTCCTCGCCGCTGTCGCGCCGTGTTTGGAACTCATTGTGAAGATCCTGGAGAACGGGGTCATAGCAGACTTCTCTCTCAGGTCGCCCTTCGAGACTCCAATCTCTATAGAACTGGCGTATCGTTGAGTGCGCCTTGTTGACGTCTGATGAAGTTGCTATGTCATGCCAATTTTGAGTCGGGTCGCTTTGGTCCGGGTCTGCAGGAAGGCCAAATGACTCCAGACCTATCGCAAGGATTGCATCGGCAATATCGGCGTTGACATCAATAGCATCGTCCACTTTATTGAAGTTATCAAGGATGGAGAATGGGGGTTCCGAGAGCATCTGCCAGTGCGCCGAGGGCAAAGCGTAGAAAGCTTGCCGCCGACGATGAGTGGTATTCATATGAGCATTCCGTCGATATTGTCTGAAAGAGAGTTAGTCAAACTATTCGAGGTTGTAAACAATCGGGTGCGATATAACAGTTCAGAGGCTGCAAGTCAATGCTTTTTTTTTATTTCGACTGTCTACCTACGTACCTGAAGGAATCTAATGCAGCAAAGAGCACCCTACGCTCTTCGGGGTCCGCAAAAGGGTCAAATTCCCCGCCCCAAGTGCTTTCCTCCCCGGCTTGGGGGTGTTGATGTTCAGATGACATGCGGGAGTTGTTGGACTACTCTACGTCCAATAGTGCAGTGCAAAAATACCAAATCAGACACACTGTGGAACCAATATCAATGAAAAGGGCAAAATTGCTGAAAAGCGACACAGGAAAGACTAGAGAAAGTATATGGAGGGGCAGACCAAGCAAGTGGGCAAATTCCTTCTTAAAGCCACTACTGACTCTAATTGGTCCAATTGAGTCTACCGCCCTTGTTTCCGCCTTTCGTGAATTGTCATTACTTCGACTTGGATGACAGTTAGGAGGGAGGGGGAAAGGCAATTCTGATAGCAAATGCCTGTATCCAAAATGAGCTGTCTGAATAGAGAATTTCCATCTATTTCTCAATCATTGCATGGGCAAGGCAGGTAATCCGGCTCAGTCAATCCTATCTATATTTGATAGGAGGGGGGGGGAACGAATCAATTAAACGGATATCGCATGCATCAAACGGGCTTTCCATAGTTTTGCGTATATTCATTGGATTGCACAGACCCAACTCTACTAAAATACGCAGCATAGAGTTATCTTCAAGATGTAAAGAAGGCATAGATCACAGGGATATTTTCTGCCGGCAATAAAATGTTGTCAGCCAATAGGAGCTGAGTCACGAGGGGCTGTTGTCGTCGATTGTAGAGGCCTCCCAGGGCGGGGATTCGATATCAATATCCCAGCCCTTCAACCATTGTCTGGATTCGATCATCGTCTACATCACACTCTTTCGAACTGGACTTTTCTTCTTGTCCACAGAACTAAAATAACAAGAGCCATGGCGACCGAAGCACTGCCAGCAATTCCTTCAGCAGAGCTAACCGCTCCCAGTGTCAAGCCTCGAGAGGTTTCATTCACGTTGCCCAAAGCTCTGCATACAACGGCACATGTTCACCTGAACTTTTTGGGACATTGTGCCATGGTGTTTTTAGCCACATCCACACCGGGTGACTCGGGTGGCTCCATCAAGCCCATGGGGAGCTTCGTTTACGCCATGCCTGATGTAAGTATCTTTGCTATCAACGTCGAACTCCTTTTGCCATGTTTCAAATGCAGGAAATGCTCTTCGTGTATACTATATAATATGCAATGATCAGTTCACTGTTCGGCTTGGCTCTAAAATGACCCTTCTCTGTTCGGAATGAAGAGGAATCTACTGCAATTTGCGATCTATTACCCACCTTCGAACTCCAATCAGGCAGAAGACTTGCCATATCGAGCAGATATCCCCAAATCCTTTTATCTTCTTTTTGTTGCTTTGAATAGAACTGATTGCATTCGTGGGCATGTTTCTGACTTTAATCCAGCGCACATCACCCAAGTCAACAATATCAACAACACTCTACACATCAGCGTCTAGCATTGAATACACAACCCGCATAGCCAAGATCCTGGCTAGAAGGTTTTCCATCCCGGTCTATGTTGGGTGCAGTATCGACCCACATGCCATGGGTCTCGAAGTCGAGGAGGAAATGGAAGGCCTCGCCAAAATTGTCAACGTGATCATGGAGCAATGGGAAGAGCACAAGCAAGAGAAGGCTGGGAATACCGAATAATTCTTTTTCTATTATATACAAGCACCTGCCAATCAAAATCCATATGTCTCATTGGGTCGCGCTTTCCTCGCTTCGTTCACCATGACTTTCTCGCTCTTATGTGTCCAATATCATACGGAAGAATCCATAGTGTCTATCTCCTGGTTCCCACTGGTCCTGCACTATTTGTTTGCCTATTTTCTTTGTTTTCAGGCTTCCTCTAGCTGTATGACCAGTTCCCCCACTCTTTTCCCAGTCCATGAGGATCTGTCTTCTTCTTCTTCTTCTTCTTCTTCTTCTTCTCCTCCTCCTTCTCCTCCTCCTCCTCCTCCTCCTCTTGTACATCAAGCTATCCTCATCCTGGCCGGGGCAACTATATAACCCAAACACTTATAATCTATCTGAGAGTATCCTTTCTGAGTGAACAGACTGTATTTTACGCTCGGCAACACACTCTACTTTTGGTAGAGAGTGACATACCTAAGTCAACCTTGCTTCCTTGCACCGGTCACGAAAACTTCCCCCTCAATCTACCTCATTTTCATCAACAAATCACGACACCAAATTGAGGAGTCTCAAGCATGATATGCTCCTCGGTCGAGGCGAAGGAGAGCTTCTCGCTAGAGCAACACATATCAATATCAAGATTATTGAGGTGCCTTTAATCATCATATCTCTTCCTTTTTAAGACACTCGTGAGAGTGACTTTGGTTTCAACAGCTGAGAGGGATCAGAAGTGCGGCGATGGTTAGCAGTAATGCGCTGACCATCAAGCATTGCCGCGACAGCCTTTGAGTCCAGGCTGCCACCCAGAGAGTTTATCTACATGGGTACGTGTAGTTACCATTCCTCATTGGATTTCCTCCATCCGCACGTCTCACTAGATATCTTGTTACTTGACAAGTTTTTGTTTGCAAGATGAGCAAGAAACAATCGTCTATCTTGGGTGTTTTGCTGCTGACCACAGTGGTATTTCACCGAGGTAATCATGGTCTCTACTCTTTGTCATGATACTATTATGAACAATAACACAACTACGGTTTGGGAAGGCCTCAACGCTCTGGGACTTTATGCGACATTCGAATACATGCGGTCTTGCTCATGCTGGATCTACTACGGGAGCCCCATACACGAATAATCATTCAGCAGATATGAAGGAAGCCTTCGAGAAGTCATGATGCAACCTGCCCGATGTCGAGCTTGTTTGGGTCTCTGGAGGGTTAACACCAATGAACAATTCCTTTTAGGGCCACCACGACAAGAGGATCAGAAAATTTGGTCCTCGGATTTCGAAAAAGCCCAGTCCTGCAAAGTCTCGGCTTGTTTTGTCTCTGTTGTTGGTGTCCATCGTCTAGAATGATAACGTTAGCCGAAAGGCTTTGCAACAGGAGCTCCCAGGAGAGACATTGAGAAGGATGGGACAGTGGACATCTCGAGATTACATCTGCAAAGAGAGCTAAGACGATGCCGATGAGAAGATAATCCAAAAATATTATACTTCTCTGGTAGTATTCGAGACTTTTGCTATAACCAGGGACAGAAAACAAGACAAGCAAAGAGTCAGGTCTGTTAAGATTTTATCTACGAGTTTTCGTACGAAATAAAAGCATCGATATTTGCGCATTCCCTGGTTTGACATCTCATCTGCATATTCGATTTAATGCATATTGAGAGAAACAGTGTGCCTGTGAACCACAATAGTCCTGCGACGACGTAGCACTTGGCACCTGGCACCTGGAGATGGGGATGTTCTAACGAATCTGCGCTGGAACAGAGTAAGCTTCTTGGAATCCGACCTCAACATAGGTTAGCTCTAGATAAGGGTTGTAATATGAGAGACATATTTCCTCAATTGATACCGCAGCATAATATGTACTATCGATGATGGATATCACCGTTGCATCTACAGTGGACATGCTTACGACTCCACATTAGCAGCGTCAACACCTCACTTGCATTTCAATAACGCCATAATGAAACCCACAAATGATTCAGGATCCTGCAAGCGGAGTCCTCCGCTGAGACATCTCCAAGGGAAAGACAAAAATCAAATGAAAAGTCCACTCGGGTCCTACCCGAAGCCCTTAAGCCAGTGCCTAAGTAAGGCCCCCAAATTGATCTGAGACACATCCGCCGACTAGCCCACGGAAGACATCGGGAGCCTCGGGTGACCACCGTGACAGTTGACTCGCAGAGCAAATCGGAATGACTCGGTTAACGGGTGTTTCATCTCGATCGTTGCTCCCGCTGTGGGGCATTGACCGATGGCTGCACGGAAGAGTTTCCAGGAATGCTCCTTTGAATGCGAGGATGAAAATTTCAGAGGATGACGTTTGTCATTGCCAAGAGGTGGATTTTCACCGTGTATCCCAGACCGATAGCATGGCTACAATATGGGACGTTGGCCGTCTCTCAAAAGTGGACATTGTGGGCTCGATTTCCACATTCGGGGCGCGTATTTAGAGTGTTCTCCATGGGCAGGTTTTGGCCCCCATTTGTCTTTCGTATAGATTGGTCATCTCGCAGTCAATTGCCGTGACGTATGGAGGGATGTATAACGTACCACCTGGTACTCCGTACTGCGTACGGAGTACGGAGTATGTCCCAGGTGCGGCAATTGATAGTCCACGTGTCGACCCCTGACGAGCCCAATAGGAAGGAAGATTGTAGATTAAGTGACTGCACATCTAATGGAAGAACTACACCGCAACTTCCCGAGTCCCAAGGGGGGGAAAAAAGCACCTGTTCGACGCTAGGTGCAAGCTAACAACGGATATTTCTGCAGGGATTGACAGGTATACAGGCAAGGTCAATGCGCGCGAGGCATTCGTACCGACACCCCCTGCATGTTCGATGGATCATAATCCCGGGCGGCATGAACCGAGTGAGCTTCTCTATTATGGTTAAGCGTTAAGCTCGTGCATACGGAGTACTCACAGCCCCTGTTACCCAGACCGGAACATGACTTTTTTTCGTATGATAGTACCTTTGTACAAATTAAGTTCGACGGTAGGGCCCCATAAGTGTGTTAGTCGCAGTTGGCGTCGGAGGGAGTCCAAGTACGGAGTACATACTCCGTACCAAGCCTATCTTCTAACCGAGGGTGTGCGGGGAAAAGAGGCAAGTTTCGATGGCGACATTGAGAATGGTCCCCGCTAGTACGGAGTACAAGTGAATCTGCAAGGGCCGAATGTCATAGAGCGATACGACCCGGTCGGAGGTGTTGGTCCTCTTTCCCCCTTCTTCTCTGATTTACTTGGTGAGCCGATCGGATTGCCAGGCACATCAGTAACCTGGCAAGGTTGGGGCCTAACCAAAGGCGGCTGAGGCTGTCTGTGCTCTCTTTTCTTCTTTTTGGTTGCTTTCCCCCTGCACAGCATTTCACAGTTCAACATGTGTCCTGTGACCAACCCCGGGCTCGTGGGGACAGGGGGCCAGTGGGTTCCCCCTGGATATATTATCCGTTCTGTCTCGGCACCACACCCAGTCCGGTTGCAACCCCGGAGGCCGGGGTTGCCAACAGTACAGAAACGGGGGTCCAGTTAATTTGGACTATATTGGAGGACCAGAAGAAGGCGTAAATCTCTTTCCATGCTAGTCTCGAACCCTGAGTAAGACGTAAAGGCAAAGTTCGGTTAAAGCTCGGGAAACTCATTCAGACTGAACAGGGCTCTGATAGGCGAGCAGATCCTCGGCAGTGGCCTCAGTCAAAAAGGATTGGCTCTTGCCACTGGGTCCCGGGCCAACCATCCGGCCTATTCCATGTGGTCCGGTGCATGACTTCCGAAGTCGATCATCAGGGCTTGTGCAGAAGATGAAACGAAGAGGAGGCGGCACGGCGGGCGCCGAGATCTTCGTGGTCCACGTATTCTCCGTTCCTTTTCCTTGTTTTTTTTTTTTTGGTCTCTTTCGTGTCCGAAGTCATTTTCCTTGGGGTTGTGATGGGGAACCAACGCCCTATCGCTATAAGGGTACTCCATACGGAGTATATTGATCGGGCTCCGTTGAAGCCCGCGGAGGTACTCTTGGATCGTAGCCCATTCCAAGTCTCCAGGTATCTTCTGTCAAACTAAGTGGGACCTGTGATGTATAGGTCAACACTGTGGGAGCCACCTTACACCGGATTGAGCGAAAGAGACAAGGTTCATCAAATACCAGGCGCTTAGTGGACCGCTGGGACATCAGTTTCTTCTGGTCTCCAACACTGCCACTGCCGATCTCGGGCTGGTTTTTTTGGAGGTCTGTTCCCCAATGTGATTGTCGTGATGGACAGAGTACGGAGTACTCCGTGGTCTGTCGACTGTCGACTGTCGACTGTTGACTGTGGACTGTGGTATGATCGAGTAATGAACAAGCAAAGAGGATACAGTCTATTTTGGGCTCGGGCTAGATCCGTCGGCTGCAGATTCCGTAAAACCAATGTTCCCTTGCAATATTCTCCGTGATCTGAAGTTAAATTGGTGTATAGCATGGGATTTTGAATACGGGACCCTGATGGAGTTAGGAAGATCGCAATCCCTCTCTCTCTCTCTGCGTCGATCTGGTTCGCTTTTTTTGCCCTTTTTTTTCGATTTCCCGTTTCCCTTTTTTTTCTTTTTTTCTTCCCCTCGGAGTCTTGTCATCTTTGGACGTCTTTTGCATTCTCGATATCCCCTTTCTTCACAAGATTCCTCGATCTTCACTTCCCAACCTCGGCAGTTGCATACTTCCACAACCCCGAGTGTCTGATTACTTTCTTGTTATTTGCTATCCTTATTTCTCTCACCAATCTTCAATCTCCAACATGGCGCAATCTTTGTGCGAATAGTAGGCTGATACCTTGAATGGCCTTGGGACCTCTGTGGCGATAGCCCTTATCTGAGTTGTCTAGGCCTCTCCACGCTTTCTTTCTTTTGCTTTTCTGTTATATTTGCCCTTTCGCCCATTGTCGTGGGATTACATTTCCCTGCCATGCAGTCTTCTCATTATCGTGGTAACCCGGGCTATGAGCTCCCACCCGTGCAGTCGGTGACGTCGGGCGCATTCCCGACTCCCGCCTTGCTTTCCGCTCCGCCGAGCAGACCTGACAGCGGCATGCGAATGTCTCATCTCTTGCAGCCCATGCCGCAGCAGCTAGCTGCGCCGGCCACATCACCATACCCGCGATTTTACGACTCGGCCTCTGGCTCACCAGCCGAGAGCGGTGCGCTGCCCGATGCGCCGCCACTGGGCTCGGCCCCAGGTCTCTACCAAACCAGCCCTGGACATGGACCACAAACCGCCGCGCAATTACAGCAGAAGCGCGCATACCGTCAGCGTAGAAAAGATCCTAGTTGCGATGCTTGTCGCGAGCGCAAAGTCAAATGCGACGCCTCGGAGTCGTCCAGTTGCACCGAATGTAACAATCGCAGGGTCCACTGTCAGTTCACCAAAGAAACGAATCGCCGCATGTCATCAATCAAACAGGTCCAAGACCTAGAAAAGCAATTACATACCACCAAACAGCAATTAAAGCACCTCCAGACAGGCATGATGCGACCCGATCGTTTGATCGATGATGATGTTCAGCAATCGATGATCAAGTTGCCTGAAATCGAATACCGACCCGTGCGCCGATCCAAGGCGCCCATTCCACAGGACTTTTCTGGTGTGCGCTCTAATCTTCGCCATTACGGCCGTGGGATCATGAAGGTGCCCCACCCTTACTGCCAACAGGGTGCAGAGTCATTGGTGACTAGCAATGCGCCGGAGCTGCCGCCAAAGAATCTAGCAGATCATTTACTGGCACAGTATTTCAACTGCATTCACTCGATACTTCCCGTGCTGCACTGGCCCATATTCATCGCAGAGTACGAAAAGGTTTATCGGTCGGGGTCGTTATTAGGTGTCTCGAACGAATGGGCGGCTGTGCTGTTTGGTGTATTTGCCTGCGGTGTCATCCACACGAACGAGCCGAATCGGGAAGAAGAAGGCAAAAGTTACATACGCACATCCTGTGGGATTATCGATGTTTGGCACGACCATTTCAACCTGGATCGAGCTCGGGCGGCGCTTCTCGCAAGCATCTTTCTTTACGAGGTCAATTCCAAGTCCGCTAGTTGGGTGTGGATTGGTTCGGCGGTGCGCGTGGCCCAAGAGATTGGGCTGCACATCGAATCCGGGCCGTGGCCTGCAGTCGAAGCGGAGATGCGAAAGCGTGTGTGGTGGGGGTTATACGCTTGGGACAGATTACTCGCCCTGGAAATGGGGAAGCCAGTGTTGATCAATGACCAAGACTGCGATATTGATCTCCCCTGTCCTGTAGATGAACAATACATCACAGAAAAGGGCAATGTGCCGGACAGCCAGCAAACTACACCTCTGCTAGCTACGATTCATGTCGTCCGATCCATCGGCCAACTCACGCGCACTCTTCGCTCAGCAACCATCAGCCCCGCCACCCTTGAAACCTTCGAACTACACTTCAATACCTGCCTCGCGACATTCCCCGCCCAATTCCACCCCAAAACCGACCAGGATCTTGACCCGCGCTCTCTCGCTCCGGTAATATACCTTCAAAACGCCCGCCTTCTCCTTCACCGCCACAACATCTCCCCATTCTGTCCAGACATCGTACGCTCGTCAGCAATGGATTACTGTGTCTCCACAGCCCTCGACACAGCCAACATCCTCGCCCGCTGTATGCGCAATTACCCAACTCATCCCGGATCGCCGGGTGTTAATGACCCTCGATCTCTCTTCGCTTCCTGCGCCAGCTCCCTGCTCTGCACGCACATTTGGCGCTGTACGCTCCTCCTTCTTTTCCGCGCAGAGTACGCAGCTGCATTGGCCTGCGTACAAGCACTCGCATCGATTGGCGACGTACGCGCCGTGAACGCAGCCTGCGGCCGCTATCTCGCTTTCTTCCTGCGCCGCCTCGTCCGAAACCGTCTCTCCGATAACCATGCCCCTGATATCGACCGCGACGAGGAAATGATGGCCTACGTTTCGGGCGATATGCAGGGAACTAGCGATGGGAGCTGGGTGTGGCATGGATCCGAGACAGGGTCTCAGCTGGGGTCAATGGGCATATCGACGCCTGCTTCTTCAGGCCGTCAAGCTGAGCTAGATGCCGATGCCGAATGGACGGGATGGGACTGGATCGAGAAGACCGTTCAAGATCTCTTTACCGCACAACATCGGTATCAGCAGCAGCAACATCACATGGCCTACGGGCAAAGAGACGTTCCCGCAGGACAGCTGAAGCAGGAGCCTTCTTCCTCTTCTACTCTTCCGCCAGAACCGGTTTCTGACACAGACAGACGGTCGGGTTCGGCGCATTCACGCATGACGATTGCTAGCATTATTTGAGCGGGTATTTCTATTCGTTGACATGTTGCTTTTATATTCCCCTCTACTTGTCTTCGGGGTTCGTTGCATCGAGACCACGCTGTATTCCACATGCGACATTTAATCCTCGCTCTCTTCACGCGCCTACGTCATACCCGTTCTCCCTCCACCGATCGCATATCATCACCTCGCTCTATCGCGCATCGCTCTTGACCAAGGTCTGGAGCTTGTGCGAATGAGTGTGGGTGGTTTTTCTTTTTGCCACGGTGGCTGTTTCTCATTTGCTGCTTCTGGATTCTTTATATCCCTGCTTGCAAATATTGCATTGCCGATACCCCATGCCCAAGTACTTGTTTATAAGCTTTCTTATCTTTGTTTGTATATATTTAGCAACACGTTATCACATTCCAACGAAGAGTTTCAGTCTTCGCTCTTTCTCTCTATGCGATGATCGAGTTCTCAACTCCCAGCTACAACTGTAATCACAAAACCTGAGCTAATCCCCCAATATTGCGAGAGGGATGGTATTTGAATCAATATCCAGACTCAAACTCCTATTTTCTAAAGAAAACTACATATCAGACACCCAAAGACCAAAAAAGCAGCACTTTATTTTCCCCCTTTTATCCTCTCATTCCTCTATCCCCCTACAGTCCTTCTTTCCTCTCTTTCCCAACCACCTTGATACTCACCATCAACCCCATAAACAAATTTAGATCAAGCCCTTCTCAACAGGGAAAAGCGTACCATTCTGAAGAGCCCCGGCATGGTGACGCGCCACAAGACCGTAAGCAAACTGATACCTGCGCAAGGAAAAAAAAGCGCCAATCGTTAGCAAATTCCACAGAACACTCCCCAACCGAAAAAAAACAAAGAATTGCATACTTATCAAGGAAGGGCAAAACCTCAGTCAGACCAGGAGTCTTACGCCAATCACGCATAAGATCACAGACAATCCCAAACAGACCCATAAGCGTAACACCAGCCTTCTCCATGCGCCGATTCGCATCCTCCGCAAGACGGATATCGAAAGTCCCGCTAGCATCGGTATTGGCGAAGACCTCGTATCCCGCATCAACAAGCGACAGAGCGAGGAAAGAGGTGCCTGAGATGAGGTCTCAGCACTGCATTTCTTTTTTGGGGGATTTGGCTTGACTTACAAACTTCCGTAACGATGCCGGCGATGATCAGCTGCTTCTTGCCGGTTGCTTTGACGGCAGCGCGGAAATCCGCGTTGTCCCAGGCGTTGACTTCGCCCTGGCGACGGACGAGAGTTGCGTTGGGGTGCATGTCCATTATCTCCTTGAGCATTAGGCCGTTGGGGCCGGCGTCGGAGGAGGTGGTTAGCACGGTTGGGAGGTTGAAGACGTTGCCGAGAGCGGCGTGGCCGAGGATGTTGTTGCGGAAGTCGTTTGTGTTGAAGTCGCGCACGACTTGGGCGAGGCCGACTTGGTGGTCGATGACGAGGAGGGCCTGGGGTTGTTAGAGTGCTCGGTATGCTGGGGGAGGTTGGCTTACGGCGTTGTCCTTGTCTAGTCTGTTCCAGGCTTGCGCGGGGATGGAGGCTGCGAGCAGCAGGGCTGCTTTGATTCCAGCGGAGAAGTGCATTTTGGTGGAGATGCTTTTTGGAGGATGTGGGAGGCACTGGGGATCTCTGGGTTGTTTGGATATACTTTTGAGATTTGGATATGAATTTGCTTTTATACCTCGAGATGAGGTCTTTGCGATGCTCCTGGACTCGGCGTCCCCGAGATACAGTCTCTCTCCGGGATCTCATAATCATGACAAAGTCTCTGGTTTTGCTGACTGTTTGATCCTGTGTTGTGGTATCGGCGTTGTTTGATGCCAGTGCGTTGCTGCCAGTGCTTGAGGTATCCGAAAAGGGTAACGGCCATGTCTTGGCTTGCAGAAACGGCTAGACAGGGATCCCGAAGAAACAGTCGTATTACGGGGCTTGGAGCTTACAAGATTGTGACAGGGCGTTGGAGTAGAGAAGTATCTATTCTCCTTTATTTTGAGTCCCTAACCCCGGAGGTAGCATGCTCTAGTTTTGTCCCGGCGGGATGGCATGCATGGAGAGCAGCCATCGTTGGGTTTTCGGGTTTCTGGTTTAAATTACCCCGGTATAGCTCATCGAGATATATTTGTTCTCTTTCTGTTTTCGGTATAGAGGTTTAGTTTTGACTTTGGACGATGGCACATTGTGCAGTTGTTGAGTTGCAGTCGAAATTAGAGGGCATTCCTCAAGAAGGGAGTGGATAAGCCCTCACAGTTGGCTCCTATTGTGGAGTAATCTACATCAATATACATATTTCTTCCAAGTACATCAGGACTAAACTGGGTCTCGATTGACTGTGTAGGTAATGTTTGCACCATCCCGGTATCCTTGATATAAAGCCCTCTGTCACATGCAGGCATCGCTTCATTCCTGGCTTCGTCTGTATAAATACTTTTTCTCCCTGGCAATTTATTTCGCCTTTGAACAATATCTCGGGTGATTTCCGAAACATTATCTCGGACTGTCAAGGACCGGGGAAATCTACAATTCCCGGGAAAGGGTGAGGGCCGAAGCCACCAAATCCCAGAACTGCTTGGTCGTTTTGAGTTTTGATTCAAGCCATATAGAGCATCACAGATTATGAGCCCGATTTGCCGGTTGAAGGTGACTGTTTACAGGGACTGCGAAGGGACTAGTGACCTTGTAAAATCCCATGGTTGGATAACAATGATACATACGTGGCAATACTATGTCTCAGTATGCCTTTCTTGCAGGCCACAAGGCTATTACAGGGGGCCACACAATATCTCTCAACAAACCCGAAAGCCAGGGTGGTTTGAGGGTCCAGCAGATCCACTCGCACTCGATATTAAACGGAAATTGAGTCATGGCTGAACTTCCACCTGTCGGCTGGGCAGGCCCTAAAAAGCCAGATTTGTCTCTCACTTTAGCGTTATTTAGTGCTGTTTAGCTCTGTTTAGCGTTATCAAGTGTCTCACAGCATGGACTATAATCTGTCTGTCAGCATGTATCAGCATCCCGTCACATTAGGCTAAACATGCACTTCTCCAAATGAGCTCAGCTGGCCAATGAGTATATTGTTTTTGGTTTGCTTTTCCTTTTTTTTCTATAAGTTTCGCTTCGTCACTCGACTTCAGTCCCCGGCACCCTGATTCACCCACATCGTCACCAACACAATGCCAAGTTATGCAGACACCAACAAGACATAATCCTGGTAATTTATCCCTTCACATGGGCTATCTTTCTCTTCTTAACGCCAAACTCTCGTATAGCCAGCTGGAGGCTATTAGTCTCTGGCAGCCCCATTTGATAAGGTACTAGCCTCGCCGACATAGCCAATCTGATGCAAACCTAAAGACCTGATCCAAGTTTCCGGGTGTGCTTATGGGATGCTTAGGGTAAGAGTTGGCGATCTCCATAGATGCCATCTACCATATAGGATATCTAGACGAGCCACTTCCTGCGGAGCGAATAAATAACCCGTTTTGGTCATGCTCACGAATCAGGTCCCGAGAATCTAAGACATATGCTTTCCTATATGCCCGTCTTCAATACGGATGGAGTCATGTTTGAGATTCTCGAAATTTCCGACGGAGATGCCAGCTTTCTGTCATTGATTGTGTTTCACTATCCCGCATCTAAGCCAGTGATGATGCTACGCTGTATTTTATGACTACCTACTTGTCTTTATGCAATATAGCGGTGTGAGATTACTTTGTCGTTTTCTCCTTTTTCAGTGGAAATGGCAAGATCACCCGCGCCTTGAACAGAAGTTACTAGAAACTACGCTACTTGAGCTCGCGTTGCTATCTGTTGCCAATCTACTATCCACATCTTGTTTGTTGTGAAACGGCGGAAGCTGGACACCTCCCAACACTAGTAGAATTGGGAGGCTCTCTCCTACAGTCACTGATCCCACGACCCGCTTAGGATCTGTTCGATTCGAGTAGAGTAGGCGATGGCACGTGTTTCGGTTAGCAATACTAGCCTTGAAGGTTGTTCCGACATCGGTGTTGAAGATCAGGTTCTACAGTCATCCATCATTGCACGTTAATGAAAGCATATGAAATTCGCAATCTTGTTAGGAGGTATGTGTGATCCTTCCAATGTGGATTAGTGTTGTTTTAAGTCTAATATACCAGTGGTATATGTATGCTTCCATATGAGCACACTAAATCACAACAATAGCGAAGATTCGATCAGATTTGATGCTCTGGGAAACTACTTAAATAGGACTATAAACATACCATCATATCGAGCTCATTGTGAAGCAGGTGAATAGAAACGACCTAGATAAAAGTATTAAGCACAAATATCGAACATTATCTGCAGGATATCTAGAGGCAAGATGACACATAGAATATTTTCACAATGTTCCTGTGTCTTCATGGGACTTGAGATTCCTCGCAGATGCTCCCCCATCGCGCTGTCAGTGCTACGCTAATTTGGGTTTCGGGTTGGCCTGCGGACTCCGTCGGAATCTCTATAGAAGCTGTATTATAAGGGGCTTGGTTAGTGCATTTTAATTTAGACGGTTGCATGTCCAGTCTGACTGCATTTGTCAATGTGAGACCGGCGCTTACAGTCGCAATAAAATCGAAGACATCCAGTTGAGGGTGTGGGATAGGGACGAAGCAAGGTCTACTCCGTACAAGGATGGACTTAAATTGCAGGTCCAGGAAGATCAAACAAATTTCCAATTCCAGGTTCTCTTTATCTTACATATGCCGACTTCTATCTGTGAAATTACTTCCTCGAGATCAGATACCCCATTTAGATGTCTGCATACATAATGTTGGACAATCATCACCGTATATTGAACTAAACACGGTTGAAACAAAGTTGCGAAAAAAAGATTTATAAGCTTTATAGGTTGAGTGCATAAAAACTGCAAGTAGCAATAACATATACTTTGTAACAGTTGATCCTTTCTGCTGCATTAATCTCATCCGCTATTTCCCTAGCGCCCACTGATTACACGAAGTGGATAGGACATCACTTGCTATAAGATTTCTATAGAAAGGAATATCTAAAGATATGTCCCCTCCACTTTGGACAATCATCAATCAGCCTTTGTACCTATAGTACTACATCTCCTAGCGAACTATAATCAGGCCGCAAAAGGCAGCTAGGCACGGCGTACGGAGTAGATCAACAAGGGATGGTTGCCGGTTACTTGCAGATGAAAGATCAGCACAGATGTTGGCTGAGTCGAATTGTCGATCAGGAGTTTGGACTTGGTTCATATTTAAACTTCAGAATCTGGTGCTCTCGTGTTTAAGAACACAGTGCACAATAGCCATTGACTATCCACTAGCCATGCCTTTCATGTAGTTACCCTGTAGAGATAACCTTCGCCAGAACTAGATTCTCAGGCCATAACGGTTATCACCGTTTATGGGCATTCTTCGCGACTGACGCGTCGTCAGATCGTCGCAGCTAAGAGACTACTGCAGGCCGGTTTGCCTAAATGAGCCTCTTACAACACAGAGGGGTCACGGACCGCAGCTGCAGTTCCTCCAGTTCTGCTTCCAACCTCCCCTCCGCAGGAACTCAGCTCTTTACTCCGTTGCCTCGTTGGGGAGCGTATCCAACTTAACACTTGTTTTTGAGTTTTGCTTCTGCTGCCCGCTTCCTCCATCTCTCTGCCACCATTTGGCGGTCGTCTATGCACGCTTGGCATAAGCGTCAGTATGCGCATTTCCCCATATAAAGCAATATGGACTACCTCCAACCAGACTAAACCCCGGAACGATGCGACCGAGGTATCCTGGCCATGGAAGTTGGCAGCAGCTTCGTTTGCGGCTTTGCAGCTAGTGGGGTCAGTTTGATATCTCGCGCGCTTGACTCCACTGCTAACTATAAACCCCCGTGTAGGTATATGATGCTGGCTGTGATAATCGGGTATCCTCATGAATTGCGAATCGATGCCACGGCTACTAATGTCTGTGCCTTCGTGTTTATCGGGGTATCCCACGCTATGTCAGTCCTGATTGCCTTCGCCCATCAGCACAGACTACGCTTCCTCCTCCAGTCGATCTTCATGTGAGTCCGAAGTGAGGATGTCTCGTATCGGAGACTAACGGTTGCAGCCCGTGTTCGATGGCCGATGTACTCGCGCTCCTGAATATCCTGTTTCATATCCATGGACGGGGCACACAGATGAATACTCTGCCAATTGTGGGAATCTGTCTCCCTACAGCCTTTGCTGTGTGTTATGCGACCGCGGCAATGTTGATATATCGCGAGTGTTGCCGTCACCCAGGGGAGGAAAGCACACTGCTACTTAGTGACGAAGAGCTGCAACGACGCCAGCTGCTTCGTTTATTAGGGGAACAGAATCACAGTGCGCCATCGCCTGAACTGGTACGAAACACTTATCGCTTCGATTTACCACAGGATGAAGCGGCGCAGAAGTACTGGAACTCCCCTGCAACCCCGTTATAACCTGCGAATGTTTGGATTGTATGAGTACGAGCATCTAATTAATCGAGTAATTGAAGTTGGATTATTCATTAATGTTGATTCCCACTGACGAGTAGCATCTCTCGTAGTCCTGATTAGGAGTCATCGCGAGCTGGACCTCGGCTGTTCCCGCGAACACCGAGCGCATTTAAAGTCCACGACACTTCCCTCAACCTCGGCGACCCCGGGATTTTTCATTCAACCTCCTTGTTCTGTGCCTTCTGATCTGCAAAGATGGCCAAACGCGTGACGCTTTTCGATCCCCCCGCGCAGGACCATTCCAAATCTCTTATCGAAAATGTCCTCGACCTGACGCCAGTGGTGGACCTCGGCCCAGTATGACCTCACCTCGAATGTGTATATCGCGGAAACGGACGGCCACATTCTAACAGGCCATTTCTTTTGCTATTTAGGACGTCTTCACCAATACCCGTCCGCTATGGCATCCCCCCGGAGCTCGAGGCATTTACGGTGGCGCTGCGATCGCGCAGTCCCTATCAGCAGCCATGCGGACCGTCCCCGCCGACTACGCCGTCCACAGCATGCACTGCTACTTTGTGCTTGCCGGCGACTCCGAAATCCCAATCCTATACCATGTGGAGCGCGTCCGCGACGGCCGGAGCTTCATCACCCGAACCGTGCAGGCGCGGCAACGGGGCCGGCCGATCTTCACCACCACGTTGAGCTTCAGTCGCGTTGGCAGTGGTGGCGAGAAGACGATCCACCACGCCGTGTCTAAGCCGGAGGTCCCATTGCCCGAGGATGCCGAGCCGGGAAGTTTGAAAGCCCTCAGCAATGCGGGTGGGGGTCCGTTTGAATCAAGGAAGGCGGGCATTGTGAACCGTAGGTGTTTCTCGGCAGCCCTGTATTTTCGCATGTACTAATGGCACTCGCGATGATAGGCACTTCCCCCAATCCAGAAGATAAAAAGATCCGCCGATATATTCGCGCCCGAGGCGCAATCTCCGAGCAGGGTGGAAACCAGGCCCACTTGTCGGCATTGGCCTATATCACCGATAGTTACTTCATCGGCACTGTCGCCGTCGTCCACGATATCCCACGATTCTCTTCCCCTGCTGAGCTTGAGAAGCTTCTGAACGCGCTTAAGAACCCATCTGATCTTGACGATGAGGATATCCATCGGGCTTTGAAGGAGTTGAAAGAAGAGGAAGCTGCAGAGCTGCGTCGTCGTGTAGAAGGTGCCTTGAATAAGGTCGCGAAGAGCAAAACAGATGCAGATCATAAGGAAGTTGGCATGATGGTCAGCTTGGACCACTCTATTTATTTCCACAATCCGCGTGCCTTCCGTGCTGATGAGTGGATGTTGACCGAGATGGAGAGCCCGTGGGCTGGCGAAGGACGAGGCTTGGGAATCCAGAAGATTTGGTCCAAGGATGGACTGCTCATTGCTACTTGTATGCAAGAGGTATGTGTGTCCTGTTTCATTCTGATAAAGCCGAAGCTAACTGATCATAGGGTGTTGTGCGGTTAAAGCAAAACAAGCCGCCGTTGTCGAAGATTTAGAGAGTTCATGCTATACCCCTACTTTGCAGGAGCATGCTTTCTCCTGTCACCGCCACCTTATTCTTCAATTCGTTTCACATATCTTCAATTATAGATTTGGGCGTAGTCCCGGCTTCCGGTGGATTTCTTTTGTACTCGAAGTTAGTTATCTTCAGCTAAAGCTCTACTGCACAAACATTTTCTAATTCAATAGAAAAAATCATTCTGTTTTCGTCATCTCTGCTAGCTTCAATAAACACATTTGTCTCATAATCTCGTCAAATCGAAGAAAGCACATCCCAAGTCCAATTTCCCCCATTGAGCAGTAAACCAAAAAAGACGCAACAGCAAAGGTTTTACACACATAGCCAGACAAGAACAAAAAGAAACACACCTTTTGTTGCGACAGAAAAAAACGATAGCCGACCCATTTTTGATCTTCCAGAGCCAAAATGCGAATAATAACGACAAATATAATACTACAAAGACATGTCAAACCTCGATTTTCAAGTCTTGCTTCTTCTCTGTTTCTCCGCGCTCCTCGCGAACTCGTGTCTGGTAATATTCCAGGACTTTGGCGCCCCAGACGTCTTTTCCTTTATACTCACCCACATAATCAGGCCAAGTGCTCATCTCCTTGGCGAGATTGTCAAACTCGGTCATTGGGAGCTCGTCTAGCGGCGTGAGGTACGTCTTCACGCCGAAGACGATCGCCCCTGTGCGCGGTAGTCGACGGAAGGTTTGCCTTTCCCGGCGAATCAGGATCTCTGATGGGAGTGGATTGGTTAATTCTTTCTCGCAGAGAGCACCGGGTCGGTAAAGGATTTCAGTGAGATTTTCGTTTGGCGCCTTGATTTCGACGAAGTAGTTTGATCGTTCCATTGGGGAGGTTGGGGTGAGACGAGCGAGGAATCTGGGATTGTTAGGATATTTTGCTTGGGGAGGTGTTGATTTCTTTTGAATTTGCAAGTCTACTCACTTGCTGACCGAGTTGGCCACTTGCTGGTGCCATAGTGGCACGGGACCATGCAGTTGAGAGATGGTCCAGCCAATTCTCTGATTTACGGTCCATCCCGTTGGGAAGAGGCTCGCACTCGCTGCTCTGGTTTGATTGTTAGATTTGGGGATCTCTGGGTAGATGGGGGGTGGACCTACAGGTAATATTCTCCTTCCTCGTTCATCATCAGAATACTGAGGTCCTCCATCGTGAGACGGACAGCGGCCTCGAGTGCTTCGGTCAATCCTTCGTTGGAATCTCGCCCGCTGACGGTGAAGGTATCACGAGTCATCTGATTGGTGATGTTTTTTTTCTTGTCTTGCATTGACATGGTGAACATGTTGGGAAACCTTTCGCAGAGGAAGTCCGAAACCTCCTCCAATGCTTCTTGACATGGTTCCATGGACTCTGGCAGACAACGCAGGACGTTTTCTCTTTTCTCGTGCAGTAATTGGGTCCGCACCCGGTGCTCGTCCATATAGTTCTTATCGAGAGTGAGCCAGTTCTGAGCGTCGAGTTTGCGAATGTCCATCATCACGCGGTATCTCTCCCTGCCCTTGATGGGCTGGGCTGGGTACGGTGCCATACGCTGGACATCAGATGGGTTCGACGCCTCTTCAGAGCATTTTTTCCACCCTAACTTTTGTGACAGCCATTGGAGCAGCTGTTTCTGGTGTCTCACTGCTAAAAGAAAGACGCAGATCGGAATGGCCACGAGTGAAAAGACGGTCATAGTTTTCCCAGGATTCTATGTCTTCTCAACCTTCTTTTCTTTGATGGAAACGACAAATCAAGAGCGCTGAAAATTCCACCGAAAAAAGTAAAGAAAGAAAAAGGGCCTGAGCATGGTGGACTAAGACCTAGACCGGTTGGTATAAATATCATTCAAGATGGGGGTATGAAGTCACCTCGGGACCACCGAACTAGCAAGATCACCAGACAAGACCCAGGTCAGCTCGACTAGTGCCAGGCAAAAAATAAAAATGGGTAATTCAACGGTATGGCAGCTGCATTCCACATTCCTGATTTAGCGAACTGGTGCGGAACTGCTGTGATACGCCCAGGGATTCCCCGCAAAACAAAAAAAAGCCTCTGCCGGAGAGTATTGACAGCCACATGATCGGTGTTTTTGGGGGCAATTGGGGATTGCTTTTTGTCCAGCCTTCAGGCGAAGTGACAGGGCTGTGCACTCATAGGGTGGAGATGGCAAGCCCTTCCTATCTCGCTCTAGACCTTACCCAGACCCTACTAACACCCTACTAACACCCTACTAACACCCTACCAGCCATGGCTTGGAAACCAGGGCCCAGCGATGGGCTCGGGATTGCCCCATAGCCCCGGGCCCCACGATCTAGGCACCGGATGCCTTTAGCTTCAAATCGTCAAGCTCTCTTATAATGTCCGTGCGTATGAACAGGGCCGAAAAAAAAAAGATCGGGGCTTTCCCGGATATTGCCGGAGAGACATCTGTCTAGGAGTTGATTCGAGCCGCGTATGGCGGATGCCAGCAATGTCATGTTTGTCTGTACGGAGTACGATGGAGTCAAAGCCGAAATGTTTGATTCTGACTTCAGCTGGGGATCGCCCCCCTTCTCAGGCAATGCCTAGGGGGGGCAAGATATTAGATCTGACTGGCCCGAACCCCGATCTAGCTCACACATCACATCACCCGAACTAGGGCAATGGGCACATGTAATTAGTCCGACGTATCAGAGAGCCTCGTGGGGTGGATAATTGAGGGGCGTTCTTTTGTTCGGAAGAGGTCCTTTCTCCGAATTCCACGATGCGATATATTGTGGCCACGGGATTCACGGTTCTTTCCTGCGATGCTACGTTGAACAATGTCCTTACATCTTTCTTTAACCCGGTCACACTCAGCTCTCCAACTCGAGCTGGAAAGTATCCAAGAGGGAACAAGGCAAAAGGCCACCCAAATGCCTTTTGAGAGGCTCCACAGACTCCATCTGGGGTTCCCGCTGCAACCGCACATCCCCCTTTCGCGAAAAGCGCGTTTGCCGCTATTAATGTACGCCTTGTGCGTTTTTCTTTTTTTCGCTCGGACCCGCACAGTACGCAAGCTCTTTTTCGGTCTGATTTTTAGGGGGGGTTTCCTGCTCTGGGTGTCGCCTCCACCGTCATAGCTCCCACCCCCACGCTGATGCCCCCTGCTCAGGTCATTCACGCAGACCAGAACCAGGATCCAACGGATCGATCTACAAAGCATAACAGGTTGTTGCCACCGGTCTTTGGTCTGCTCATTTGATTCGGAACCAGGCGAAAGGGAGAACCCTGTACGAAGTACGGACTCGGTACTTCGTACTGCCTTATGATGTACCTGCGGCGTATACATCATGTACTCCGTAGCTAACTTCTTTGTATTCACTCATTTTCCAATCGCAGAACCCACACCGGCCAATCAATGCGGAAAGAATAGCTCCAAGGCGTTTGGAGGAGTCTGGACCTCGACCGAAATCCTTGCATCCATCAAACTCTTCATCCTGGACCTGGAGTGCAGTGGTTAGAGTGCAAGCCAATGCAAGTCACCATTCGGGGCTTTGTCAATTGCCCTGTCAGATCCTCCACTGTGCCCCCGATTTGGATTTTGCATTTTGCCTTTTCGTTGGCATTGCCTTTTGCCCTTGCGCACAGACGGTCTCGCATCAGCTGCCTGCACATAATCAATTGCTATGGATCACAACGGGAGCAACGGCATTTTGGTCCGAGATGGTCGTTCTAGCCATGTGGCCTCGTTGAGATGTATATCTTAAGTGTGGTATTCCCCCTCATATCCGACACACGCTATAAATGGGGCTGGATCCTTTGCATTGTTCGCGCCCCAGCCGAGCGCAGCCCCCAAAGTATGTCTTCGCCGCCGCAAATATTACCCCAAAGAAGGCCTGGGTGTTTGCCATCTCCAGAGCTGGGCTTGCGGCGGATGGGTATTGCCGAAGGAACCGCATTCTTGATTATCACATGGCGATTTTATGTGTCAGGGTTGGTCTGTTACTTGGAGTACATAGTCGTAAGACGTGCCCTCCATCTGTCCAGACAGGGGTTGTGGTTTCTTTATTGTTGTAATCATCAGAAAGTGGGTGTGGGAGGTTCGGCTATAATTGGAAGACGTGCATCATGCTCTCCCAATTGAGGTATATTTTGCGATGCAACGGCACTGACATCTGTTGCAGTGCTCGTGATGCTTCTGGGGTGGGCGAGAATGACAGTGCATGCAAGCTCAGAAGTCGAAGAGCATTCTTCCCGAATAGTTTTGGGGATGACAACAGTCCCTTCATAGCTTGAATCCCGGTCTGAGAAGACGTTCACCTACCCGCCAAAGTATCTCTGCGTTTTCTTTCCCACAGGCATGGTCTGTTTGCTGTTTTAACTGGCCATCACTAAGATATGAGACCGGGGATGCTGGATATATGTATATGTTACTTGCACATTCAGATGAAACCACGAACCCGAGACACTTGTCTTCGAGCTCAAGATCCAGAGCCGCAATTGAACTAGTAGCATAACCTTGCTGGAGGGAATTCCTCTCTGCATTCTCAAGATTGGGAACTAGACGTCGAGTAAGTCATGGCAGTCTCTCAAGAGAAGGCGTATGTACCCACTGTTTTGTGGATTTTGATGTAACATCCGAGATCCACCCAAAATCAACGTGGCGCTGGAGATGTGATGCAATACCTAATTCTTACTAGACATCATTCACTGTTAGCCTCTCACGGGACATGCTTCCAGGTTCAACGGAGAAAGCAGCGACTTGTTCACTTGGGATATTCATGGCCCTATACGGTCATTGGGATCAATGCTGTCCTCGACTATCTATATGCTTTGCAGGTACCGTAAACAGCTCCATTCTATCCAGATGACAAGTTCGGGTGTTAACAAGTCCGATCTTAGAACGCTCGCAGCATTGCATTGATGATGCATCTCGGAATCAACGTTGTCGAATTCAATCCCCTCAAATCGATGTGCAGAGCTGCTCACACTGACGATACATGCCCCGGGACCTGCGTCACGAAACCTGGGGAGATACGAAACCAGTAAAGAGAGATGGACCAAAAATATTTGTCCCGAACTGTACCTCCAACCCATCCTTCGTCGCGCTACACGGATAGGACATGACGGCGGCATTGCTGGCGAGAACATCAATATGGTCGATGTATCCGTTGATCTTATTGGCGGCTGCTCGCACAGAGGGAAGATCACTCAAGTCCAAAACAATGGGGACTGTCTTCAGTGCCAGACTGGTATGAGTGATCTTTTCAATAACCAGTTGGATCCTGGTTCGATTGCGACCAGCAAGGATGATAGTGGAGGGGGGTTGGGATGCTAGACAGAGACCTTTTTCTGCGCCAATTCCATCGTCACTGGGCCCGGTGATTAGGAGTTTTTGATGTTGTTGGAGCGGGCTGTAGTTGTGAGGCGTGGAGAGAGGTCTTCTGGAATACTCGTGCACGACTGCGTTTGCTGCCGACGACCACGACCATTTGGACATTTTGAAAATTGAAAGTTGATTCTTGATGATCAGGGGATCCTCTGGGGTCTTTGTTCATTTACATCCTGCTGACAATTCGAAGAATGATCGGAGAGCCCAAGCCTCTCGGACTTGAAGTTCTCAATCTCCTAACTCCGTCACTGTCAATGGAGGCGATCTAGGGAGGTCCTTTTGGTTAATCCTTGCTATGCCATTGTGACTTACAACTCGTACTTGAGATAACAGTCATATTTATCATATTTACCGTCGATACAGCCAGATCTTATGATCGAATTGTAAATCTGGCGTCGACTTGGATGACCCAATTCAGCTTTTAATGCTGCACTCCCAGCTTCATGGATCACTTGGAGCGTCGCTGGCATGACAATCATCAGAAAGACAATCTTGTCTAAAATATTGCCATGAGACTCACTCCGAGAAGTTTTCTCGGGGTAGTGCAGTCATTCTCATCACCGCCCTCAGTGGTATCACTTTTGTGGAGGCATGAGTAATGGTCTACTAACCGTTGGACTACCTACCATCGAGATGGACTTGAAATAGCTGATAATCTACTTCTCTGGTGAGTCGAACAGTTCAATCTGACCCGCAATGACAACGATCGTAATTCTTACACTTTCAATTCACTCCAGGTCGGTATCAGTTTATCATAAGATCTTCATATTTGCTGCCTTCCGACTCAATGCTCGTCTCTCACAGTCTTGCAACAAGATCTATCGGCCCTCGAAGCAGATCTTCGCTTTCAGTCTAACGTCATCATAGGGATAGGTCTCAATCTCGGAACAGGGTTGCTGGCTCCTCGCCGGCACGCAGATCATCTGGTGCTCGTCACCAGATTTCTCAGTGCTGGACACCCAAGACACAGGGCCTCGCAGGTGCGGTCTTCAATACCGTTGCACAATTTGGTACTTCTATCGAGCTCACCAGCCTTGCCATCATCTCCGCTGGTGTCATGCAGGGATCTCGATATTCTAATAAAGACTCGCCCAAAGCATTGATGGCTGGATATCGAGCTGTCTTCTGGACTTGTTTTGCCTTGATGATAGCAGCCTGCGGCGTGGGGACTTGTGGATTACGCAAGGTTGAAAAGGTAGGTTTGAAGCGAGAGTAGATAATGGAAACAGCAAGTTTGATTAAGACTAGACTAAATGCGCTTTTGGGGTGTTCCTGATGGAAACTATGAATAAAAATTTCAGTACGAACGCTCGCCCGATGCAATTTTCGATCCCTGGTAGGAGAATAGTGAGACGCCTCGGAGATGGGAAGAAAGAAACCAGAACGTAAGGGGAAATAGCAGGCACCTGTGCGTTTTTCTTTTCCCCCTGGTAATGGGAGGATGCTTCAATGCAGCTGGTGGAGGTCCTGTTTTGCTTGAACATTAGACAATAATATATGGTCGTGTCATTCGCCTCATGAATAGAAGAAGGAAAAGAAAAATCAAAAACTTTTGGATCGCCAAACCGATAAACCAAATGGACAAGCCATGTGTGACTGCCGCTCACGTAGCTCTTGTGGAAATGAGTCCCTCGTTCATCGGAAAGCTGAGAGATGCTCAGCCGCGAGTACACATTTGCTGGCAAGTTCTTCAACAGATGATGGACGCTCTATCCGTGCGAGCAGTGTCGATTCTCGACATTGAAACTCCAGTATTGCGAGACGGGATGGGCGCAAGGTTATCATCACCATTGGCCATCCGCTCCTCTCGTTCCAACTCCAACCGCTCAGCCTCCTTGATGCGTTTGAGCTCCTGGCAGAACTTGCTGTTAGCTCTGATACGGTCACCATAGCGAATGAACGCAAACGGAATGATAGAGACAGCAAGACTGATGAATGCGAGCAAGCTGCAAGCCCAGGGAACGCCGAGCCGGTTGAACATCGGCTTAGCTGCGAGTGGAAGAACAGCACCCAGAATGCTTCGCGTGCAGCTTGCGGCAGACTGTGCGCTGGCAGAGAGGGTTTCATAGGCGTCTGTTAGGTAGTTCAACATGGCCATAAAAATCAGCAAATAGCCCATGCCGAAGGGGATGCCGGAGAGGAAGGGAACGACCCAGTGGATGTTTGGTGAGGCTGTCCAGCCTACCCAGAAGAGGGAGATGACGTATAGCGGTCCACCGATACAGGCGAGTGGGAGTCGACGGTATTCTTCAATGAAGGTCCAGCTGGCGTTGCGGGCTTTCGCTCGGGCTAGGTAGCCATCATACCACAAAAAGACGAAGCAAGCGAGAACGGCGCCGATGCCGACTATTCAAGGTTAGAGTTCGATTCTCTGGGCTTAGAGGCTGTATTGATCATTGATCTACTCACTGGGTAAAAACATTAAGCCGGATACTCCAGGACTCATGTTATAAATGCCTGTATAGTATTCGTTAGTCTGCTTCTTTGATATAATGTTACATATGCTAGCTGGACAAATCACCAACCTTGGAAGATAATTGGATATGCCTGGAAGTAAAGGTAGAAAATAGCGTATGCGAGAGCGAGATATAACGAACTCAAAGACACGATATACTCATGTATGATCATGCGGAAGGGTCGTGAGATTGTGATCAGGAGCATTTCTCGCAGGTCGCGGCTCTGAACGTCCAATGGCGATACTATGCTGGAGTTCCCTGTCTCTTTGCGTAACTTTTGTGCGCGGCGCTTCAAGATGACTGGTGCATAGGTTTCAGGCATGAAAATAACCAATGGAAGACTCGCTCCCGATAGAATGAGTCCGATCCAGAAGCACCAACGCCAGCTAACAACTGCAACGAAACCAGAAACCCATGGTCCAATGATTGGCCCGAAGGTTGTACACTGTTAAGAGATTAGCTTCTAATGCCCGAGCCTCTCCATCTGGATATCTGCGGTAAACTTACCGCCATGAAGTAAGCCATCAAGCGACCTCGCAATGTCGGGTCGTCGTGAACGTCTGCAAACAGTCCGCCGACGGTAGCGATAGGCGCCGATGCAACCATGCCGTTGAGCAATCGGAACACAAGCAAGGAAGCATATGAGTCTGCCACAGCACACGCCAGCGTGAATACCATGAATAAACAATAGGCGATAAGTAGAGGTTTCTTCCGGCCAAAATACTCGGAGCTAGGACCCCATAGCAATGGTCCTAGAACGTAGCCGATGAGGAAGATGGAGATTGGTAAGACGAGGATTGTTTCGTTGGTGATGTCGAACTCTTCGGCGATCTGGGGGATGGCGCCGCTACAAATCGATGAGCCGATGGTACTGTTCAGGACCTGCATGACACCAGATGTGAGAACGAGGAACTTCCTTCTCTGTTTGAACGAATTAGTTTTCTTTGTTTTCGCTACTCATATCGAGCAATCGACTGTTATTAGACATACCGATCTCCAGTTGACAGGATTTTCAGGGTCATTGGGCCCGAATGTAACAATTGTTTTTGAGGCCACCCGGCGGAATCTGGAGTATGAAGGGTTTCCATAACGTTCTTGGATGGGCTCATGATCAATTTCTGAGACTTGACTCTCAGCTTCATGGGAGTGTTGTGACTTGGAGGAGGCCATTATATTCTCTATGCAGCAATCTTAGTATTTATTTTGAACTTTAAAAGGTACAAGATATCAAGCCTCGGCAATGAAGAGGACGACTAACCTGTTTGGGAAATGACCTTCTCCATATTCTGCTCAGAATTGAAGTGATCCGACATCTTGATGGCCTTGGCTCATTCACAAAAGTGGTGGTTCGGGCGCTAAATGAAGATCCAGGCGGGACACAAGAGTTATAAAGAAATCGAGTTGGAAAAGGATTACCCTCATAGGTCCTAGTGCGTGTTTTGACTCAGGCAAATAGAGGGCATGCTTGACTGTGGATTCGGCTCCACATCTGACAAGCAGTTTTTGTTTATGCGCCCTAAATCTGACAAATGGAGCCTATGTGCTCTGTGCGAAGCCAGCTGGGAAAATGTGACCAGAAAAATTCCAGCCTGTCATGTCACATTGGGTACTCAGAGTTGTTGATCAGTAGACCTCGCTCGGATAAGACGGCTTTTCCCCAACTTTTAGGCGGGAAATTAGAGCCAAGATGATGCAGATTGCTAAAGTGGCGAGGCGAAATATGACCGTACGAAATCACATGGAATCTCGCACAGTAGACCGATTGTCACCACGCCTACATTATGAGCCGGCGTCTCTCACTCGGGAAAATACCAACACAAGCTGCGTCGACTTGGAGCTATGAGAAATTTGAAGCAAATATATCGACCGCATGCATCGAATCATTTGGAAATTTCGATGCGTACGAAGTATTGGGGAATGCAAACCCTGCCGATCAATCGATCGGTCTTGCACTAGCAATTGCGTTAGTTTGTCTCCCTTGTGCTGTTAGTGTGAACCAATGAGGTGAGCTCAAGCACTTGTTCCCATGATGAGCATAATTTGCGCAACGGAACAATTGGCTCAATCAGGCTATAGCCAGTCCTTGGTATAGGGGAACTCCTGGAGCGGGGACCCCAAGGCTGGGGGGCGGTGGGTTTGACTCATTTTCCCCCTCGGGGAGTGGTCCCGAAACTCCACATCTGATGAACAGTCAGCAATCAACAGTGCCCTGAAGCAGCGTTGTGTCCTTAGACCTTGCGCCGTCTGGTGGGTACAGAGGTACACATTGGGCATGTCCCGAGGTCTTTTCGGGTGTCGGGCTGGCGGTCAAGCCAAAACTGCTCGTCGTTTTCGGTCACGCTCGTTGACGAGTTCGGCCTTGTGGCCGATCTGCTCTGATCTCCTTTAGTCACGATAACACCAATCTAGAACGGTCTGCTGCAGCCATAGGTAGGGGAAACAAATATGAAAGATAAAACGAGGCCTAGAAGAGATTATTGCTTGGAATAAGGGCGCTAATTACGTGCAAAAAGCAAAATGAGTCCGAGATGGAGGGGATGAAGTGTGTTTTTCTGCCTAAGGCAGAAACGCTCCGAGAGAGTTGGTGCCTTATTCCTTGCCTCACGAAGTAGAACTGCTATAACAAGGAGGCCGACACGCATTTGAGGTACATATATACATGTAGACAAATTCCATCCTTGAATGCAGTAATGCATACTCATCAGGTTCCAATACATACAGATATCAAAGCTCAATATCGAGGACTATCTATCATTAGACGACCATATGGACATTCTCTCGCCTGCATTTCTAGAGACTGTAGATGTCATGGTTGCTGATTTAATATCACCAGTTAGTATCAATACATAATAAAAATCATTTTATGCATCATGAGAGAGACAATGGAACTTACAAAGACCGATTTATGTCACTTCTTCCCTCGGCTCGAGAATCGACCCAAACACTGACACTCATGGCAGCAACTGGAAACACGCCGTAGCCGCGGTTATTAATATGGACTGTCTCCTTTCGCCACCCCAGGATGTCCGTCCATATTTTCCCGGCGTGGTTGTGACCAACAAACATGCGTTTATACGATGAGCCACCGTTACTTAAGATGCAGGCGAGACCGAAGGGGTATTTGTGGTTCCCATAACGCACGAATCCTGCATAATTCATAAGAACTGCTATTTCATATTCAAGGGAATTATACTAACCAATGCAGTTCCGTCTATTGAAGTACTCCCGCTGTTCTCCGTGTGCATACAGCTTGCGGGCACGCGTGAGTAAGGGAAGCTTTCCGCTGCATGATGCTTCATGTTGAGGATCGGGTCCACCGTTAATCCCATAGAGATCTCCGTAAAAGATGCACGGCTGGCCTTGGGCTCGAAGAAGGATTAAAGCATATGCTAAAGGTTTAAAGAACGGTGCAATGATAGTCTGAGGAGACCCTAAGGCATCAGATACCAAGCCCGTACAATGGTTCAGAGGTCGATTAGGGCTCACCTCTAATGACTGTCCAGGTTGCTATAGAATTGTCAGCTCGACTGAATCTATGTGTAGGGAGCTGGACATACCGTATCATGATTGCCAACAAAAGTCTACCGACGATGGTCTTTATAAGCGATAATTCCTTCTTTCCACAAGATAATTGGGTCTTACTACTGCATGCAACGGCGCCTTTTCCACCAAGGTGCCTTTGAAGATCTTCCGTAAATCCCCACCTGCAATTTTGGAGACAGCTGCAAAACGGCCCAAGAGCGGCACATCGAACAAGGAGACTTCGTAATCCATTAGTTCGAGGTATCTCAAAAGGAACCTGACTTCTCCTCTCCAATACTCTGCAACGAAGAAGTAATCAGCGCCAACTGTATTGCGTAGATGCTTCACAAACATATTCTGGAAACCGGCTGAATAATGCTTTGCTGCATCAATTCGCATGCCACTGATGGGCATTTCGGTGCCAATCCACTCCCCCCATTTTAAGATGTCAGCTTGAACTTCTGGGTGTGAATGATCGAGATCGGCGAACATCAGGTAGTCATAGTTCCCGTGCTCATCGCTCACGTCACTAGCCAAGTCTTTGTTTTGTCCCACAATCTTGTATATTGCGTGTTGTTGGCTTGCATCGTCCCAGTCCACACCGGTAAAGTGTTTCCAGTGGTATTTCATCATGCTGTACTTCCCACCACGGCCCGAAAAGTCGAACCCGACCCAACCAGCGATTGTCTCGGGTTGGGATATCTCAGTGTTCCGATCTGTGGATTCGTTAACAACTATCAACGTTTGTCTCCGTGGCAGAGGAAAACTTGCCTTCGGGGTCCATTCTGATGACCTTGAAGTCTTCGGTCAAATCAGCCCCGGCCTTATGGTTCAAGACTGTATCCCAGTAGATCCCAACGTTCATATTTCGTGCCGCCCATACCAGATTCTGGAGTTCTTCCTTCGAGCCCCATCGCGTGGCTCGGGCGCCCTTTTGATCAAATTCCCCGAGATCATACAGATCGTAGATGTCATACCCACTTCCAGACGGATTCATCCCCTTGCAACCAGGAGGAATCCAGATATTATCGACTCCGATATCTTTGAGGTCAGGGAGTGCCTGGTGCAGGCGCCGCCAATGACATTGATCAGTCGGCACGTGCCATTCGAAGCCCTGCATCATAAGTGTGTTTTCGGAGGGAGACCATGACGACGGTTTCTCATCGAGTCTCACGGCATCTAGACAGTAACGGATGGGTTAGTTCATGGGATAGAAGGACTAGAGTTGAAGGAGGCAGTGACCCTCAGATTCTTTCGTGGTCCCTCGGCAGATCTTAAAGCAATCGTTTAGGAATGACAACATTTGACTGGTATCTCTTTTGCAGACATGAAAGTATCTATGTAAGTTTGGAGAAATGTGCTCCGTAGGTAGGTCACAGTGGTAGTGAATGAAAAAAAAGATCATAGTATATCGCAACTCTCTAATATATGACAGATTCCAGCAATCAGGACCTAATGGAACTGACAAGTGACACTGAGGCACCCTGTTGTGCGAGATACATTGACTCTTGGAGAATGGAGATTTAGTAGGTTGGACTTAGGGTGGGCGTAGCAAAGTTTGGCCAGTTTCAGAAGATCAAATAAATGCTCAAAGAATATTTTCTGACATTCAGAGATACTTGGGCTTCCTATTTTTGCTTGTTCTCATAGAAATCGGGTGTTTGTGTAGGCTGTCGCAGCTGCACTGTGTTAACGACTCTCAGGTATGTTCAGTTATGTTCAGTCCCTAGTGAGCTTTGTACAGAGGGCCAATGCAATGAATCAGTGTCACAAGTATTTGACGCGTTGACTTGGATCTACTTGGGCACAATAGATAGGAGTACTAGAGAATGGCAGTTCCGTAGTACCTCCAACTTCCTACTCCTTACTCCGTACAGCGAGTACAAACACCCGTGGACCTCGGATCGTGGGAATGAAAGTCAAATTCAGCCAATCGGGTGACCGCTGAAGGTGGCCAAGCAAAACCGAGCGGTTTTATTCGTCGAGAAGAAACGATCTGCTCGAGAGTAAGATGGCTCTTGAATTGCCTCAACAGCCTTAGCAGAACAAGTTAACAACAGGCGGTAGCAAATAACAACGTGTCCACTGTGTTGTGGGGACATGGCCTGTGCTTGTCTACAGCGTGCTTTTGCGGCCACTCGACCCTTTCACTATTTTATCCATGTTTCCCCAAAGAGACAAATCACTTGGTCAACGAGAGCTATCTAGGATTCAATCGCGATTACATGCTCTTCGCCCGGCTGTCCCATCCCTCAATGCCGTACATCGTCCGCTCTGTCTCTCTTGCTGATGCTCTTACTGCATCTCCAATCTCAGCCTCCATACCAGCCACCTCCCCGAACCTCTCTCGCCAAAGCTGCCACCTCTCTTGACAGAAGCCATGTTTCCCTTTCCAGAGTGGGCCTCCTTTCCCCAAAGCCCCGCCGGAGTCGCCATCAAAATCCTCATCCCATGAATAGAGCTCTGCGCCGAGAATATCGATCCATGCAGCGGCCGCAGGGATCAGCGCTTCTAGATTCTCTGGAGACAACTGGTCTGTTGGTGTTTCAAGTGCGCTGCGCAGTGTGATTAACGCGAACCATGAGTATGCGAATACAGGTTCTTTCGTTGACATCAAACTTGCAGCGAATTTGTCCCGGTTGATGATTTTCGCTATCGCCGTTTTTCGACTGTCCGGGGGTCCAGCGGGTACAGTTGCATTCCACTCGTCGCGGAATTGCCAGCCAAGCATTGGCAAGTCTTTCCAAACCCGCATTTCGTAAAGCAGAATGGGATCTCCATTTGAGTCTTTCTCGTCCGGCAATTTCGAGAGTTCGACGAGAAATGCGACGAGCTTGTAACGGTGCTCAGGAAACTCGTATGCACATTTCAGTATCAAGCTCCACAGGCTAGTAATGCCCGCTTCAACGTCTGAGCTGTCTGCTACTGAGATCGACGCCACTTGCTCGGCGGCTTTCTGTGTAGATATACTGTCGCTGAAGAGGTCTTGCAGGACAGCAAATCGAGAAGCAAAAACATCATCGGTGAGAGCGACCATTTTGGAGGATGTGTGGATTATATTTAGGACTGCATACAGGCTGATTTGGAATAATTGACCGATGTAGGGAGGTTGTCAAATGCTCACACGAAAGTCGCGGGGTTTGATAGTCTCTTATCACGAAGCGGGGGTCTTGGGCATGTTATTGTTGAAGGCTAGTAGTACTACCTGGTAGGTAGCTCCGTGGCCTTTATCTGCCAATGTAATTGGTTCTGAGTTAGTTGCATCTGTGATTTTAGTGATGTGACCTCGGAATATCGTTCGAAGGCGCTAAGCAGAAGCGCTCTAGTCTTTGCTATCTCATTTTGCCCTATCACCTCGAAATAATCAAGGCCAGATGTCATTCCTGTGCCTTGGATGAGGAAATAAGGAAGAACTTCGGAATTTTCTCGGTCTGCGCCAAAGGTCTCAGAGTTTGTCCCTTGGCAAGTCAGGATTCCAATCCTTGAACTACAACGTACCTATGTCTCTCGCCGAATGTACGTAACTACCCCAAATGACCTTTCATATTAGTCAAGAAGTCTCGCTTCTGATCAAATGACCAGGAAAACTCTTCACTCGTAGAATGTCGGCTCTTAAAGCCAAAGTCACAGATGACTCCGGACTGATCTCCCTAGAAATGCCTAGGTTGGTATGTATAAATATGTAATAGGCATTCTGGCCGCAAATATCCACTTTGTCATGTCAGACTACTACGTGTCCACCTGTGACGTAGGGAGAAGTGTGGCTGGTGAGAGCCCTTTTCCTATTGTTCCACGCAACGTGGGTCTGATATTGCATAGGGGTGTTCTGCTCTGGTCGCCCTGGCTACTCCGGACTCCGTATACAAAATATACCAACTGTACCGCAAACACCGCCAATTCCACCTCTCTGAATCTCGGATCAAATCTAGGCACGCCCTGAATCTAGTCCAGCCTAAAATACAGTCCTATCAAATTCTTGTTTTTGCGGTCCGTCCTCCCGCTTATTTCCGGCGCGACACGGGTCAGCTCCAACTATGTAGCAACGTCCTCAATTGAGCTCGATAGTCAATTCAACCTCCAGTGCTAAATGAGACCATCGCGGTAATAAATAATAATCCCCTCGACCTGTAAAAGATCTGCGAACGAGACGCTGTTCTGTTGACCGGGCGATCGGAGTTTAGTGGCTTATGCTGCCGAGCGGCTCCTGCATTGGCGAAAAGTTTTCGGGTTCGGCGGCCCCATCCCTTTCAAATCCTTTCTTCTTTTCTTTCTCTCCCAAAGGCTTCAATTGACCTTCACTTTCACCCTCTCCTCTCTTAACGTTTTTTTCTTTTCGTTAATTTACCCTCTATCACAATGGCCGCCCCTACCGCCCCCAAGGAGGAGATGAGCGCTCTCAACCTCGTATGCTATTGACCCTGAATCTTGCTCATGCCTCCAACTGACTCTGTGCTTTTAGTACGCTCGTTTCTCTTTCGCCGGTGCCATGTGCTGCGCTATCACCCACGGTGCCGCCACTCCCCTCGATGTGTAAGTTCTGTCCAGCAATCGCACGCGCAAAGAATTCCCGCTCATCTCCGGTCCACAGCGTCAAGACCCGTATTCAGCTTGACCCCGTCACCTACAACCGCGGTATGCTCGGTGGTTTCCGCCAGGTCATCCAGAACGAGGGTGCTGGCGCTCTCCTGACTGGTTTCGGTCCTACCGCCGCCGGTTACTTCCTCCAGGGTGCCTTCAAGTTCGGTGGATACGAGTTCTTCAAGCAGCAGTCCATCAACGTTCTTGGCTACGAGACTGCCAAGAACAACCGCACCGCTGTCTACCTCGCCTCCGCCGGTGCCGCTGAGTTCATTGCTGATATCGCCCTGTGCCCCCTTGAGGCCACCCGTATCCGTCTTGTCTCCCAGCCCACCTTCGCCAACGGTCTCCTCCCTGCCATGAGCCGCATCCTGAAGGAGGAGGGCATTGGTGCCTTCTACTCCGGATTCGGACCCATCCTGTTCAAGCAGTAAGTTTTGTTTTCCCCGGTTTATATCTCGCATCTTCCCTCTAACCTGATTCCCCATAGGGTTCCCTACACCATGGCCAAGTTCGTCGTGTTCGAGAAGGTCTCCGAGGCCATCCTCGCCACCGTCAACAAGGAGACTCTCTCCGACGCCGGCAAGACCGGTATCAACCTCGGTTCCGGTCTCGTCGCCGGTCTCGCCGCCGCCATCATCTCCCAGCCCGCCGACACCATGCTCTCCAAGATCAACAAGACCCCCGGTGCTCCTGGTGAGGGTACCGTCACCCGTCTCATCAAGATCGCCAAGGAGCTCGGTATCCGTGGCTCTTACGGTGGTATTGGTGCCCGTCTCTTCATGGTCGGCTCCATCACTGCTGGTCAGTTCGCCATCTACGGTGACATCAAGCGCATGCTCGGTGCCACTGGTGGTGTTGAGATCGGTAAATAGAGAACTCGAGTCTAATATACTTGGGAGGATTATAGAGACTACCCTTAGAATTCTGTTTGTTTTACGCCTTGTCCATCCCCCACACACGATGTACAATATTTTGTCTCAGTTTCCTTTCAAAAACAAGCTCGTCTTTTTGTCACCTTTACAATCATCCTTCATCCCCTTCGTAATGTAACTGTTGGAATTCACACTAGATGGGAATGGACAGGTATGTCCAATGTCCGTGTCTTTGTTGCACCGAAGTGCTTCTCAAGTTGGATGCTGGAGGACGGGCAGTCTTGTCAGCTCTCTTTTTTTAATTTAGCTCTCGGTTCTCAGGGCTATGTAAACAGGTTTGTAGCAGTAGGTATTCCTCGATTTATATCACATCTCTTCTGTCCCCTTGGCTACATGTAGACCATTCCGCGTACATCATTCATCCATCTAGATCTCAGAAAAGAATCTAAATTCCAAGCAGGAGTCTTGGGAAGCATGGCAGTGCTATAATCATCCATGATACTGAAGACGAGCTAGTCGTGTGGATATAAGAAGTAAGTTTTGATGGCAAAGTGGTGGTAGAAAAGATCATCAATGACTGGAAGCAGGTAAGTCATCTAGACAGCAGGCAGGACACCAACAGTAACTGGCACCGCTAGCTATGGTGGCTGGTTTGTTGTTATCTTGTCAATTTTAGTGTGAATAAGAGGCATATTCAAAGGCGGCCTTTGGCAAACAGTGACAGGAAGTCTGAGTCGAAGAAGTAAATTCAAACTAAAAACATAGCCAGAAGCGAACGATGAACCAAAAAAAAGATGCAGTACTCATACATAGGGAGGGCCAGTGGCTAAGCAGCGCCTTGTCGCTGTCGAAGCGCCATGTCGCCCGCTAAGCCATAGGCCCAGTCCCCAAAACGTTGCCATATACGGTTCAATATAAGCTCAATTGGAACAAACGAACGTTCAAACGAAGCAAACAGATCGGTGACCATGTGACAGGCTATCTCAAAGAGGTCCTATGAAGCAATGTCCCTGACAGAGAATCCATCAACCCCCAGGCCGTCCTCCTTTTCCACTATGAAAGAATGATACCCGATATAATAAGCGTGCCCCTCCACACAGACTCGTACGCTCTGCTCCTTTCCACTTGTACTAGCATCTTGAAGGACAGATCCGACAAAGCCAGAGAGACCCCTATATGCACGGGTCACAAGCGAATTATAGACTCTCTTCTCGCCTCTAGCCAAGGACCCTTTGGCATATGCCAGAGCCACCCTCGCAGCGACACAGCTTCCAGTCGGAGACCGGTCAATTGCCTGGTTCGCAAAGAAGCAAAGACCTGTCTCCTCACTCCTAGCATCCAGCTGCGCATGGGCAGCCGCCGTGCCCTCCGAGGCACTGACATGTCCGAGTCGTGTATCTGTGATCATGATCCCGTACAAGAACCCTTCCCCAGCAGTCCGGGCATCCTGAGTCAAATATTGCAGGTCTGGGTTGTTAACCACCGCCTCTTTCAGCAACTTCGACGCATGATCCATATCCTGCAGTTGGACCTCACCGAGCCCACCAGAGAACCCCAATTCCTCCGCACTAACCATACAATAATACGCACCCCCATAAGCAAAGTCCACCGTAACAGCAGTCCTACCACGAAGCTCAGCCCAACGATACTTCTCAGGCAGAGACACCTGCAACGATATAGCAGTAGCAAACGACGGCACAGACACAAAAGAAACCGGCCGCGACGCATCCGACTTCCCAGACTCCAATGTGGGGACCGTAACCTCAACAACCCCGCACGGCGCATGCAGCTTGAGTCTCGTCGTCTGAGAAACAGAATCATATTCCAACTGTTTTCGACGAGGGAAGATCTTCTCGTCAACATCAACAAGGAACCGACCCAGCGCGATCGTCGCATGTCCGCACATAGTCGAGAACCCCTCGTTGTGCATGAACAAAACGCCGATATCGGCTTCTCCCGAGCTGACCAGCTCGGTCTCTGGACGTAAGATTGCGCCGTACATGTCGTAGTGGCCGCGCGGCTCGAGCATGAGGAGTCGACGGAATTCGTCGAATTGGGATTTTGCTTGCGCTCGTTGTTCCAACAGAGTGCCAGTTAGAGGTGGGATTCCGTTCCAGATTATTCGTGTTGGCTCGCCTGCTGTGTGCATTTCGACGCATGTTATTGGTCTGATGGGGCTTAGCACGCCGAGGGACTGTGGGAACTCCATGTTATAATGTTTGAGGTGGAAGCTTCGAAGTTTGCTCGACGTGAGATGGTTGGCTATAGACAAGTATGCCTCATTCATGGGGATCGGCGATGGTTTTATAGCCCCTCTGACGTCGGAATGGGGCCCCGATAGTTCTAGATACTGCTTATTTATTGGCTATAAGAGGCAGGCGGGCACTTGTCAACTGAAGGGCGTGGGCATCAATCGTTTCTCGAATATACTTTCATTCTTACTTGTATGTACTTCATTCCAGTAATTGTTATCGATTTTCTTGTTTTCACGGTTTTTCTGGATTATTCAAGGTGATGTTGCATACCCTTGGGGTATACCTCCAACTAGCCCACCTGAGCTGGTTGCTCGACAAAGGACAAAGTTCAGGGAAATCTGCACGATAACCATTATTAAGTACGAGGGCAATAAATCCAACCCCAGGTTTTGACTTCACTAAGTGGTTTTAATGTGACATCAAATGGTGGCTTAGACCACCCACCAGTATAGCCTTACAACGCCTAAGAGGCCAAACCCCAACCACAGACAAATCTACATGAAGTATAATTGGCTGCGTATTAAGAGAAATATATTGGCCACGTCCGTTTCTGTATCCTACATTAATGCCTGGAGAGTTATTGGCTCGCAATCATGTACCGGATTACACATGTGTACTACTGCAGGTACGTGATCTAGACACATTGAACAACACATAGCAAGAGTTTCTGGACAATTTCAAAGCTGTTCCCTCATCTACCTGATTGAAATTGACCAGAGTCCTAAGCGCAAAGAGCATGTATGTCTTATCCTCCAAATTTTCTGTTTAGTATCTTTGCTTCCTCTAGTTGTTCGGCTATCACTTAACATTGTTCTCGGTACGGAGTATAGTGTGTCCTTCTCCTAAACCACCGTTCTCCGTGGAGCTGGCTCTTAATGGTTCTATCACGATAGATCTGTCAGCACATCCCAAGTCTTGGTATTAGTGTTAGTCTCACAGTAGGTTTGGTGGCATCCTAACTCACACTACTGGTGTTCGATATAGATCTACATCGTGAACAATTCCACAAGCGCTCGCTTTACTCCAGCCGTGTTAGTTATTCCTGATCCAAGACAAAAAAAAGAAAGTAGATAAGAGCGCTATTTTCCAATGCAACCGATAAGACATGTTAAGATCGGGCATTCTAGTTGAAGACTGGCAAAAGCAAAAAGGAAATGCTCACACTCGGAGTCGAACCGAGGATCTCATCATTACTAGTGATGCGCTTTACCACTAAGCCATGCGAGCTGTTGATTGGTTGCTGCTGCTATCCGAGGCATCTTATAAGATATTGAGACCGGGCACTCTAGAAAGAGAGACAAAAGCAAAAAGGAAATGCTCACACTCGGAGTCGAACCGAGGATCTCATCATTACTAGTGATGCGCTTTACCACTAAGCCATGCGAGCTGCTGATTGGTTGATGTTGCATTCATTGACCCTATACAGGTAATCACATTAGACAATACAGCCAGGAAGTATATCGGCTCATGTGCGATGAGCATATACCGTCGTGGTTTCCAACCTGAGGAGGCTCACCATGAAGGCCATGGGGGGAAAGGTGTGGGCAAACAGCCGAGCTAATCGAAGCGAGGCTAGTGGGGTTGGTATTACTCCACTCGATGCTTTCGGCGAAAAACGTGTCGCAACATGAAGCTAAGTATGAAGCAAGTCACATTTCTCACGAGATATATGTCCCTCCCTGTCGGAGGGATAGTTCAGTCTCCGAATAATTCAGAATTAGCCAATTGAGGACTAGAGGACAGCATTGGACCTACATCGGCAAAAATGACGGTGGACTCGGTATCAAACCTTCAGGGCTATGTATAGATGCCTTGCGATGGATGAGATTTCATAGGTACACGCTGCGTTCCCTCGCTGGGATGATTACTGCCCGTTATTGGATACTTGCGATATCGTGGCTGTATTGGATGATCTGGATTGTTACTTTGTTCTGGATGATGTAGCGAGTGTGGTGTCTGGACTAGGTAATCTCGCTGAAGGCAGTGACCCTAGTCGAATAAGTTCATTCATGGGCATTGAGAGGGGCCGATGTACCACCTCCCATATTGAATCCTCGGTCTGGCTGAGTGACCCTATGAGGGGAAAAGATGGTCTAGGAAGCTGAAGTACGATCCTTGCTAACTCTCCATATAGATTCCCTAGTTCGCGCTCATCAATGTTCAGATCAAGAATTCCCCGTGATGCTCTTGGGTAGCCTGGTGTGTTAAGGACATCGTACATATTTGTATGATGGTCTACATATTCTATAATCACAGAGGGACCTAGTGCTAGATTGCTGTCCTTTTTAGTGCTCCAGTAGAGGATCAAAGAAACCGGGATAGAAGTGTGATCATGGATATATCGTATTACAGTAACCTCGTTGCGGACTTTTTCCTTAGGAGACATGGTGGCCCCAGGCTGTGGGAGGCGCGTGACTGCCGAGATATTATTCTTGTATGACATCTTAAATGATATATTGAATGTTCCCCTGTCTAGTAGCCTGGATGAATCGGGTTTGTCTGGGTTGTGGTGTCTGATAGGGAAGTTTCCGAGCGGTCTCAATATTTCCGGTCCAAGAAACTTGGGTTCCCAAGCTTCAGATATTTCCTCACTTTTCCCGAGCAACATCATCATAGCACATTCTTGGTTGCATATCTAAGATATTTACGGAGTAGAGGTGATTGAATAGTGCCGCGGGGTTGTGTGGTTGTACTGGGGGATAGGAGCGAGGGGAGATTATAGGAAAGTAAGTGGAGTTGGGGTTTAATAACAGGGTTATTGTCATCTTATGATCACTCACACGTGCATCTACTAGGCTAACTAGTACGGGGTACTCCATACTCCGTATATTTATCCGGGTAAGAAATTATGACAGGTCCTTCAAGTGTTGGGTGTGATTCTGCTAAATATATATCTGGCTCTGATCCTACACCGAGAAAAAAGAGGTACATCACAGGACAGGCCAGGATGAACCCACCGAGTTATCAATATGATCTCCAAAAGTCCTAAAAATCCAAACCAAGCCTTTCCCCCTCACCGCAAAGCCAACAGGCATGACATGACTTTACATTGAGCGGTGTGCAGAGACCGCATTCCCGTACGGAGTACGGAGTACAATGCAGAGAATTGGCATCGGTGAGTATACAGCTCGAGCGCCACTATAATCTCAGCACATGTAGGCGTCCAACGCCATACCTATCCCTATGAGCTCCGAAAAAAAAAGCCCTGCGATTCGCATGGCTTGTCCTATAAGCCCAAAAATGGCCCATGCAAAGCGCCGCGATTGGAACTCAAGGCTTGATGCTCACCATCTGCTTCTGCAAACTGCGTCAGGCCATGGGTGATCCACGAAACTCTGCAGAGTATCCTCCCATCAGCCATTGGCTCTGCAGTATATATTTCCATTCCATGCAGTCATCGAGATTAGAACCGAATGAGCACCCACGCTCTATACGTATATTTTTAAAGTATCGTCTTGTTCCATAAATCCACCCTGAAATATGTCACATTTGCAGGTTGCATGTCATCAGATGCACGATGTAGATCCTACAACATAGAGTGCATCATACCCGCTGTTGTAGTCGTACTAGCTTATGTATCACATAGATGGCAGCTATCTCAACCAATCAGCTCGCATGGCTTAGTGGTAAAGCGCATCACTAGTAATGATGAGATCCTCGGTTCGACTCCGAGTGTGAGCATTTCTTTTTTTGATTTTGTTCGTGGAAAATCCCCTCATGTGGGCCACGGTGGGTTGCCAGTGGCGGCATCTGTCGGAGGCATTCCCACTGACGAATTGGGTGTTGCATACATATCTAATTCCGAGACTGAGTGGGAAGATATGCAAGCTCAACTCTCGAAGTCTGGAATTTACCTATTTTTTGTATTGCCAAACGATATTCATAAAGTAAGTACCTATGTGCGTTCGGGCCTGTCTGTAATTGAATCAAATGCTAAAATCGAGAAAGCCCGATATCAACCAGCTCGCATAGCTCAGTTGGTAGAGCGCGTGACTAGTAATCACGAGGTCTGTCGTTCAAATCGGCATGTGAGCATTTCTTTTTGCATTTCTTTTTTTCTTCCGAATTTTGGTTCTCATACCTGAGTGCCTCTAGGTAGTTATTTGTTAAAATCGGTATGAGTGAAGTATCTAGAACGGTACAGAGTAGACTGGGATCACTAAATTAGTCGCAGCGTGGGGAGGGCTGGAGTTGTTATCCTGGGTCTTCTAGATGGTCAAGGTAAGCCTTGAGGCTGGGAGGAGAGGTACCTGACGAGCTTGTTTATTCCAAGATTGCCCTATAGCCCTTCCCTGAAGGTTTCTAATGCCATCGATATGACAGTCTTTGTTCCAAGCATCCCCACAACCAGTGGAAATGCGATACACTACGAAGTAGAATATTTGGATTATATTTAGCCCACATACTGTGAGACACGTCCTTGCATTCAACTATTTGAACTACCTGCAAGAGGGCAAAGGAATAGGTCCAGCGTGACTGAGTGGCCACCTGCTGCACCGAGAACGATAAACTACACCAATCAGATATGCGAAATAAACCCGGCCCATAGAGAAATGCCGTAAGGAATAGGCCCCATAGGAGGCGAATTGCAGAAAGGAAAGGAAAACGAAAGGCGTCTAGTCTAGCTGCTGGACAAGCAACACAAAAGACAAGAGACAAGGAGAAGAACGAACCCACCTTGTGCTTCGAGGGCACGGGACGTTCGCTGTAGAGAACCCTCATACACGGCGAGAAGTTAGAAGTTCGGTTTGTGGGAATAGATGGAGCTGCAAACTGCAATGTTAGGTCAGAGACCACGGGCAATTTGAGGACGATTTTTTTTCTGTCATCAATTGGATATTGGGGACCAGCCCCGGCGGGATGGAGGGAGCGAAGATTAGACGAGGTCATTCAAGCAGGGGTCGCGGAGGTAAATTGGCGTTTGGCGGCGCCTTCAGATGAACCCTGGGAATCGAGGTTGGTATTAGTTATTCTTACTTGTCGACATCCTGGGGACTTCGTTTTATCGCAGGGCGTTTCATAGCGAATTCCAGGGTTGATGATTTGCCAGATTAGGCTGATCTTGCTCTTTTCTGTACACTTACGTCCAACTCGCCAATGCTGCGTTTCTGACCGGCTGTCTCCGATCGTTTGACAACCCTCTTCTTCGGACGGGACGGCCGAGTCTCACCAGGCTGGAAGACATCATCGGGCAGATCGAAGCTGGGGAGAGTTAAATCGGAATGGCAACATGAGATCGGAAGATGGAGAACCTACTTGCGAACATGGGTGACGGCCAATTCCATAACTTCATCCTGGTATCCTGGCCAGGAGGTGCAGGTTGATTTGAAGATCTGTGAGTCGGTCGATATATCCAGGGATCGCGATTGGCCTGTAAAGAAGAAGAAAAAAAAAATTAGATAAGTCATGCAGGGGGAGCGGTGTGATTGATTACCTGGCTCCAGAGGTTTCAACTCCAGGCCGATATAATAAGTCGTTGTATAGACGGTTTGACCATCAATTTTCTCCTCGATCTCAACCTTCGCCGGCTCTGGAACTTCTGCGTTTTCCAGGGTGTTCTGGATCGCGGCTTGGTGAGCAGCATCCTTGGTCTCATCAGTCATTTCAGTCTTGGTGCCTTTGGCCTGGTGCTGCGTAGACCCATTTTTGACTGCTTCCATATCTTGCTCGCTGTGGATGGTATGGATTCTTTCGAATCCCTTTGGGAATGGGTGAGCCACTGCAACAATCGGCTTGCGATCTAGTGCACCAACGAGGTGACGAAGCTTGGACTCAACAAGACCCGACCACACAGACTCGGCCTCTTTCGTCTTGCTAGAAGCAGTGATGCTAAGATAATACTTGTAGTCCTGGGTAAAGAAGGTATGGCGGGCGAATAGGTCCTCCCATGAGAGCTGCTTCATGAAAATCTTGTCAACCATATCACCACCTCGCTGTAATTCCCTGAGAATCACGGCCTTGGTGGACAAACTGATGTTGTGGGTTGCGCACATAGAGGGGTATGCAGGAGTGATGATGGGCATAAGATGGAATCGATCACCGTGGTAAATCTGATGGTTCTTAGCCGAGATAACCAACGAAAGTATTCAGTCCTTCATGCTTACCTTGGGGTTCCAGACCTTGATCTGGAGCGGTCCATCCTCGATCTGTTTCAACAAGACAGGCTGCGGCCAGTTCCACTTGTTCATAATTCGGAAAAACTTCCCCACAATGACGGAGCCAGTTGCTTGCGGGTATAATTGACAAACTCGTGCCACCAGCATCGCCCACGCGACACCACCCGGAAACCCGACAATGTTCGAGTAAATCGCTCGCCCTAAACAGATATATGAGCGTGTTTGTACCGTGACGAACATATCAAGTACCACTTACGTTGGGCCCAGAGTTTGATTGCACGCAATGCAAGACGGAATGTCTTTTGTTGGGGGACAAGCTCCAAAATCTCATCTGTCACACGAGTTCCATTGAGCGACCGCACCTCTCTTTCGTCCAGTCCCCTGAGATAATCGTTGTTCTTCAGATCCAAGTTCATAGGGATCGCAGGAACTACCAAACGAGCAAAAATCAAATCGATACTAATTCCGCACAGCTCGAGCTTGATAATTGGAACGAACGCATCCGGCACAGGGGTCATTTTCTCAATAGCTCCCTCGGAGGCCATTCGCTGCAGGATGGGAGGAAATTCGGCGAAGAAATCATCGATCACAACATGCTTGGGTCCGACGACCAACGTATCAATATCGGAGCCTGCAAGCAACCATCGTCAGTGAGGACAAATTAAAGTGGATCCATACATATCCAACAACTTACCTGGTCCATATACACCCAATCTATAACTTCCATAGGTGAAAATTTTACCGCCGGAGGCTTCGACAGCAGCCGGAGACAGTCCCTTCTTGCGACTGACAACTTGAACGAATTCCACTGTAACACGCTGAAGCAACTGGAGCACTTGTTTTCTACGCAGCACTTGTTAGTTCCGCAGCGCTTGCGCCTCCGTGAAATGCGAACACACCTCCGTTCCGTTTCAGTCGGCAGCTCAAAGTTGTTCTGAGCCTTGAGTTCGGCGATAAGATCGTCATTCGCGGAGATTTCATCTTTGGTTGGCAGGACAGTCGAGATCGGGGGTGTAACACCCCATTGTCGGACAGGCGGCGTAGCCATCGTGGAAAGAACCCGGGCTCGTGAGGGTCAGGAGCTAGTCTCACAGGTCGTGAGAAGATAGGGATTAGATAACAAGAGAAGAGTTGTCGACAAGCTTCCAAGGCAATCAGCCTAGCAAAACACTTGAGGCCGCGGTTGTAATTAAGGTAGAGCAAATGGAGAAAAATACAAAACCGTGCGACAACAGAAGACAGCAACAAGGAAAGAAATGGATTTGGAGAAGCCGTGCAGGGTTCATTGGCACTTCCAGGGCACCAGTCCGGGAGGCGCTTATTCATCCCACGTGACATGGCCGTTCCTTCCATTCCAACGGATTGGGTTTTATAGAATTATCTTTCTATCACATACCAGAACAACATCTTATGGCCCTATTGCACACCTAGATAACTGTAACATCTCCATGTATTTGGCTAATGGCTACTATAGTCAACTCAGCGTGCTTTGAAGCTTTTTGGTCAAAGATTCGACATCGTCACCTTTGTTGTCCGCAAAGAATTGGGTAAGCTTGTTATCAAGCCACTCAACGTCCTCCTTGCTGTCACCGGGGCCCCCTGCCCAGTCTTTTATCAAGTTAGCTTCATACTCGTCCGAATGTCAAGCATTGGTAGACTCACGACCCCAGATTGATGGGTAAATATCCAGTGTTCCAACACCTGGCTTCATGCAAGCAACCTCATACTCGGAGTCTTCTGGTCTAGCATTCATCAAATTTCAGCTTTTCTCTTTCTCTCTTTCCTTTTTTTTTCTGTTCAAGTTGAGAATATGTGATTTGGACTTACGGGAAGTAGAGATCGGTGTTTGAGGGTAAAACGAGCGCCTTGGCTTTGATGGATGCCATCGCTCTTTCAAAGTTGCCGTTGTGTGGCTCTTGTTGCGAGACATCGCCATTTTGCCAAGTCTGTAGCATAACTAGCAGATTTTCGGGTTCTTCAAAAGCAGTTGTTAACCATGAGATACAATTCAGTCGTGGCAGGCAAAGAATACCTTTGGAACAAGCCCATTTTTCCCAGAAGTTGACCATGAAGTCCTCAAGATCCTTGAACCCTAGGACGGTTTCATATAACCTTTGTCGATAAAACGCCTGGCTGAATCCCCTGTTGCTGACGTGTCAGATATGGCATAAAGACAATGGTCCAACACGGAGTTTCATACCATCCAGCATACACACGCCCCATCGCCTTGAGGCCAACATCCTTCTCTTCAGCTGTCCATGCATGCGCCTCTGTGGTTTCTCTATTGATGCCGATCTTTCCCGTCCCCGCAGAACAGCTCTTCTTCACTGCAATCAGGGAGGCTTTGACGCCCTCCAGGAATACCTGGTTGTGAAGAGAAGTTTTCGCGGAGGAACAAAACGGAACTACAATGTCCATGAAGTCGGGATACTGCGTTGCCCACTGAAAGGTCTGGGCTCCTCCCATAGACCAACCGATAACAGCGCGCAAATGCGCAATGGCGAAATGCTTGGTAACTAGCTCATGCTGCGCCCGCACATTGTCGTAGAACGATACCTTTGGGAACGGCCCCGGGTTCGGCTGGTTCGAGGGTGAGGAGGACTGGCCATTTCCAAAGAGCGCAGGAATGATGATAAAGAATCTCTCCGGATTCAGGAATTTGTGCTCTCCGATTAACCAGAAATTGTCAGAGATCCCTAGAGATAGGGTTGAATTAGTACCGCAGAGAATGCAGGATCAGATGGAGGCATACTTCCGGAGAACCAGGTTGGATAGACGATTGCCGGAGACTTGGGATCGCCGAATGTTTTATATGCGATATGGGCATTTTCGATCTTCTCCCCGCTTTGGAGCTGCCAGTCTCCAAGCTTGAAAGTCTCGTATTGTTCCTGTGACATGATAATAATCCTTTGATCTGAAGTTGAAGGAGGATGAACTGATACTAAATACAGTAAATCTGGATGTTTCTGATTTATAATTCCCCCAAACCCCGCTTTGCCCTCCATATGAGACACCGTTGGAGTCAGAGCTGCTTATCCTCCGTCAATTTGTCATGAATAGGTACAGGTAAATGTGGAGTCTCTAGCGACCTGGATGTAGGAGGGTATCATCGTCACATCCAATACTCAGCGAGGTTTGTTAGCGCAAAGACTCCCCAGCTCAAATGTATCGCCATTTACGGCCCCGCACATGATGGTGCTCTGTCGCCATCTTTGCCGTCTCGCTTCGGCAATACAATGACTACATACATATGTACTTCCAAGTATGAATGAGATCTTTGTATAACGGAGAAGTGCGTATATGAAGTCAGTACAATCATCCCAAAATTCGTATTTACAGGGAAATCGTGCTAGAAAATAGGCGCAGAATCTCTATACTCCTGTCTACCCCAAGACCCATAAATAGTTGAATCAAGAGCTCTCGAACTGAGGCCTAGGAATTTCAATGGCCTCGGTTGTTCGACCATATGAGATACCACCCAAGCGACTGATAGGCTTAAGAACCTTCAAATCCACGACATTCCTTTCTTCGTTGATAGCATCATCGCGAACCCAGAATCGGACGCCCTCAATAATAGCCAGGACTCCAGTTTTCTTCCCCGGGGTGACCCGGCTCTCAAACTCCTTCGTCTCAACAAGCTTCCCTTCAATAGACAGAATGGACTCCTTGACACGGGCGGGCTTCACAACCGAAGTAGGCGCCTGGTGTAATCCCGAAGTCTCCCACTCGGACACGCCGTACGGAGCATTGATAGAAGTAGAGTTGGCTGCTTCGATGAAATGCTCTGAGATAATATTGATGACACACTCTCCAGTCTCGTTCAGGTTCTTCAAGGAATCCTTGGCTCTCTCCATCGACCCAGAGAAGCCAACTGTGAACATCGGCGGGTCATGGTTGATCACTTGTGCGTAGCTGAACGGGGCGAGATTCGTGGATTTGCCATCCGCAGACTGGGTGCTGATGAGTGCGATTGGGCGTGGAACCATTCCTGAGATCAAGAGTTTGTAGTTCGACACCACGGGGCGGCCTTCCTCGTGAGGATCGATCTCGACATGGTCTTTCTTCAAGCACTCGCCGCTGTCATTCGCGCCATCGCCCTGCTTCCATGCGGGGTTCGGGGACTTGGTGAATGTGACTTCAGCGTCGTGGCGGAAGTCTGGCCGCGAGGCTTGGATTTGCTCGAACTCCGGTCCGACTCTCAGCATCGTGGAGGTGTAGCTGAAGGATCGACTTGAGTGGTTGAGTCGAATTGGTGCGAGAAGTGCTGTAAGAGGAGTAGGGCTTAAGATTATAAATCAGCTGTGCTGTCCACTGTTGACGTAGGCTGCCCCACGGAGCTGCATGGTGACTCTCTCCGAGAGCGCGAGGGCTAGAGACCATCATTTCGGTCTCGCTAGAATTGGGTTGGGATAATTACCGGAATCGCAACATTGAGACGCTTGGAGCAGTTTGGAGACAATTTTCCAGTAAACAGCTTAGGACGAATTATTCCGATGAACTCTTATCGCGTTATCACCGAACTGCTTAGCGCCACGGGTCTATGACAGGGATATTGCCACGCTCAGTGCGCGGACACGTCTCTCTACCGAGTCTCGGGCCGATTGCATCTCCCGGGAGACAAACACGCCGTTTTCAAATCGAACGTACGGAGTACGTGGACACCGTACGGGAACATATGGGATTCCTAACAGAACGGGTTCGGTTATAGCTTTTCGTAGATCGACTTTGTCAAGCTATTGGCATTTCTCAAACCATCTCTCAAAATTCGGATTCTTCGCATATCATACAAAAAAGATCATAGTCTTCGCAATTCCATATGTAACCGGGGCCGTTGGATTCGGTTATTAAGGGCTTCAATGAGGGCCGTGGAACTTCGAACGTAGATGTTCTAGAAACTGCTTCCGTGGCATGAGTTCCAAGGTTGTGTAAATTTCGCATTCTAGAAGCCTTCCACTAAGATCTTCGTTGGACAAACAACAATAATGCGAATGACTCCTACTTTCGTGACCTTATATAACTACATGTACCTAGGTATATATATGGTACTCCGTAGTCAGGCCCGATCACAAATTGGAAACGCGGGGGGAGACACGGGCGCAAACCCACTCTCCCCAGACTCCATTTGCCCCGGAGTCTGGATTGGAGATCGGCTCATTCTCCCAGTGTGATTGTGCGCCTTTTCCCCAACCGACTCGCATACCCTTTGGTATCGTATAAAATACACTGCCCCACCATGATATCCCATGACCATCAGATCTCTTGTCCCTGAAGGCCCGAACGGGAATGGTGTGGCTCTGTTTGCGGCGTAGCGGTCAAGGGGGAAGGGGCAAGGACGCCGATGGTTTCAATCAGCCTGCGAGATAATTACCCATTACCTTACACATACATCGTGAGTTTTCCACGCTGAATTGTCAATGTGCATTTTGTTAGAGTGGCGTAGGACAAGCGAGGGAAATCACGAGGCCTTACTCCCCTCTTCCCCAACTTTTCTTCCTCGACACTTCACACATACCATCTGCGTCTTGATCCCTTATTGGCTTCAGAACAGTGCTCCTCCCGTCTCTTTCCCTCCTAATGAAGTTTTCACTCATATCCTCTCGCGATATTCTCTACTTCACCTGTCCGATCACCCTCCCTGAAGCTTAGAAGTTGAGCTACTCGCGCCCCGGAAACCGCTCACCGCGTATAAGTTGGGAGTGTGGAGGTACCCAAATGGGTCGTAATCACGGATAATTTTCGGCTCGCTATGAGTCCCCCTTCTCCCAAGAAGAAGAACGGCGGCAATCCTTCTGCCCCGAGACAAATCCGTTTTGTCGCAACCGACGGCCAGCCGCAAACCAAGCGCCGCCGCGTTAATGCCGCGTAGGTGGACCGTCTGGAATATGATCAGTCAAAATAGACGCTGACGTCACTCTCGTTTTGATATAGTTGTTTAACATGTCGCCGGCGTAAGATTCGATGTTCTGGGGAACAACCAGGTAGGATTCGCCGGATGTTTCGCTTACCGATACGTTGCTAATGGACCTATGAGGGAAGTGTGCAAGACTTGCTCCGACTATAAGCATGTCTGCCTTGGATATACCGATTCGACTGCCCACCTGCGGACGCAGTCCGACTCCGCATCTCGGGCCCCGCCGCGCTTCTCCGCGTCAGATGAACCGACAGCCCAGCACGCTGCTCGGGTAGTCGAAAGCAGCTCCCCTGAGCCAGCACTGGCGGCAATAGCGATGACCACGGCCACCGTGGATAGCTCTATTAGGACGAAAGTGCCCGACTCGAAGGACACACCTTCGTTGAAGGATGTATCCTCACGTACAACCAAGCAATTGGAGACCCAAGCCGTTGGGGATAGTCCGGAGAGTGGCCGTACCTCAATCAGCTCGGCAAGCCGCACGCATGTGCCGTATTTTCGATACTTTGGCCCTACCGCGATTGTACCCGGGTTCAAGCAGATGGTTGTGCAGGTGCGAGGCTCTCGCAGGAGCAACCCGTCCATGTCATCAGATTCTCCCTCCCCACTTCGTAGTCCTCGATATTCTGATCTCCACACGAGACTCATGATCTCTGCCGCGGATACTCGCGACAGTCGTGATGCGAATATCCCATTTTATGACCGTGATGATATGTGTCCAGTTTCAAATCTTGTATCGCATTTATGTGAACTCTTCTTTGCCCACCTAGGGTGCAGCTTTCCTTTTCTACAACGCGACAGGTTCCTCCAAGATCTCAAAGAGAAAAAGGTTGATACCATGTTGGTAGATGCAGTGTGTTCGTTAGCTGCGAGGTTCTCATTGCATCCGCTACTTGGTCCTCCACAGGCGCAGCCCATCGATCGCTCACAGCCACCACTCGAAGCCAGAAAGTGGGATCGAGGTCTACCATTTGGTCATCGTGCGATGAGCGCGCTCGTGGATGTATTGCCATGCCCGACTCTTTCTGCCGTTCAGGCCTGCCTGTTACTTGCCTACGAGCAGTTTGGCTCGAATCATGACAGTGGGCTTTGGATGTACCTCGGAATATCAATTCGTATGGCTCAAGACCTTGGGCTGCAGAAGTTTCAAGGCCTCAAACATAATTATGGACAGAGCGGCGTCACTCCAAGTGAAGTCATGACAGGCCACGCTGGGAAGTTGAGGGAGGAGCAGTACGATGACGTTGATGTGCATCTAACACCTAAGGCGACCCCACAGCCCTTGATTGCGGAGCGTGCCAGGGAACGCGAGCGTGTAGACTCTTTCTGGAGCATCTTCTTCCTCGACCGAGTCATCTCTTCCGGTACCGGGAGACCAGTGACACTACGTGATGAGGATATTGAACTTTGTTTTCCTCTTCAATCTGAATCACAATTGCCGAATGGGTGGCCCGCGCCTTTCCCCCCGCTTATTCGGATTATCCATCTGTATGGCAGAGTCACCGATCTTATCAATGGCATTCAGGATGTCAAACATGTCACACCGGATACATTGAAGATGTTGGCTGGAATGGAAAGCGATTTGACTGGGATCTATCAACGCTTATCTCCAAGGCTTCATTTCAATGCGGCCAATTTTCAGGCTTACGTGAAAGCCAAGGAGGGAACCAATTTCATTCTTCTGCATTTTTGGTTTCATACTCTCATCGTTCTCCTACACCAACCGACTTTGTTGAACTCATTTGGTGGATCAATCCAACACCTCTATCCGAATAGCCGCGAGCTGTCCATGTCCTCTGCCAAAACTATCGCGGATATCCTTTCCTTCTCGGAATTGGTCGATGGGAAAAGCTTTATCGGAAACCCTTTCACAAGTCAGCCGATGTACATTGCGGCCTGCGCGTTCCTCATGGAGAGTGCTTACTATGCGACCCCTTCCTCGGGCACTGACTCGACTCAACCTCAGCCATTATTAGCGAATCAATCCAGTGGATTCGTGATGCCCACAATGGAATCTTCTAATGGAACAGAACGGAAGTCTACCGCGAAGCATATTTTGCTTGCTTCTGCCGCCAAAGAGAATTACCAGCGTTGTTATAAGGCTTTGCAAGCACTCAATGCATATTGGGAAGGCACTGGGTATATTTTGACAGTACTGGATCAGAAGGCCAAGGGAATTGTGGATCCTCTTCTTTACACCGTGGAGGATATGGAAAACACCGAAGGCATTAATACTGGGCAACAATCCCTTGGGCCTGGGGCTTGGCGTGCGAGTAAAACACTAGCAGAGTCTGAATCCGATGTAGAAAGACCAGCTGGCGTCGCGGATATTCCATTGGATGGCAAGTGGTCACCACATATTGATCCAAGTCAAGGTTTGTTGAACCCTCCAATGTCCACAATCGACATCTTACTGACAGATCGTGTTTTGACAGCTATTGGCTGGGCACTTACCGGGGCGACGAACTCTTCACAGCCCAACTTGAGTCTGCTTTATCAGATGCCCACAACCGACACCGAGTCCACACCGGACAGACCAGCATACTCGTCGCAGTACAGCCACAGCTATCCAATACTACCATCGAATGGCAGCGAAGGCCCAAGCTCCTCATACCCCCAAGCCATTCCGTCGGCCACCTCTCACGGAGAAAGAAAATCCTCGCTCACAGCCCAAAATTCAAAATACACCCATATTCCATCCAGAACCATTACTACCGAGCCCCCTTATTATATGGGTCTGCATTCGCCATACCCCGAATCAAATACACGAACGACACGCCCCATACAGACAGTATCGCATTCATTTTCCGGTGTAACATCTGCTCTTCCATCCTCGCAGATCGATGCCCAGCCTTCCGCGTATGGTTATTCAATGCCTCCAGCGACGGCCGAACACCCAAGCAGAAATCAAATGGTATCTGGCGGCCCAGGCGCCGATCTTCAACCCACAATGAACGATACCAACGGGATGATAATCGGAAGTCACGACGTCGATATGAACTCACTCCACAATCAGGATTCGTTCCCGTTCGTCAACGGCGAGATCCTTCCGTGGCTGGAATATCTCCCTCAAGATGTTCTTAGTTTCTTCGGCGACCATCAAAATTACCCGCTTATGAGTCCTGACGATGTATCACGGCCTCCTTAATATTCTACATTCCGTTCCTCTTCTCGCACATATGTATATAGCTTTTTCGAGCGGGTTTGTGTTTGGCTGGGGATCCGCGGCTGGCTTCTGCTTTTGGTTATCAACTCAGGACACTCTCGTTAGATATGGCGAGAGCTGTGCTTTTTTGGCGTTTTTTCCCGGATGATATCCTTGGCTCGCGTTAGATTTCCTGGGGTATGGCTTGTATCTGTGCAAACTAGCCTCGCCATGGTTGGCCTGGTGCTCAAAACATTCTGCACGATGATTATGTGTATTTATAGCATCTATGGATGCAGTATTGTTGAGATTTCAAACAGGAGTTTCCGAGCAGCATTGATTCCTTTGAGATCTCACCGTTGCGGCGTCCTCTTTTCCATCCCGCTCGCCCAAGCCCCTGCTCAAGCATAATAAGGAGAATCGAGAATAGATCTCGAGAGCCAATCCTATAAATTCAATAGGATTTTCAAGCTGAGATATTAAGATTGCTCCCAGATGGAATGTTGTCCAAATTCATCGTCAACTATTGATCTTTCCAAGACTAGGTATAGCACCGAGCGATTTCCTGATCTTACGAGTCAGAATCTTGCCATTTCTGTTTCGAGGCGGAAATGAAGCATTGATTAGGTATCTTGACTCTAATATCCCATGACCTGCTAAGAACGGCTGTCGCAGTAACTTGATCTAGGCAAGTAGAGGATCAAGGCATTCCTACCTGTGGCAGAGAGGCACCTATGACAGGAGATTCGGCCGGGGCTAAACCAGAAGCAGCCCTATTCAGTGAAATATGAGCCAGATATGTATACAATTCCAGAGCTTGCATATTGCAGGACATAGGTGGAGGCGCTTCCATTTATGTCGGACGTTGGTGTACGTGTGACGTACATGTACATAGTCGTTGCCAAGCGCCATTGAGGTATACATCAGTCATGGTACTGATTCAGTCGATTAGTCTCGACTTGTTTTCACCTTTTCCAGGTTTTGTTTCAGCGCGAGTCAAGCTGCACGCTATCACTGGCCCTAGGAGCAAGTATGTTTCCCAACTAATATGTCCACTACCTATTCACCAGGGGATTCTGTGGCGCGATGATCGGCGCGTCAGGTGTCGGTTGCCCGGCACAACGGGCGGTGAACGAGCTGTCAACAAGCCGATTGCAGGTGGCTTGAAGATTCCACGTTCCCACAAAGGGGGAGGCATGTGAGATCTAACTTAGATCTTCTTGAATACCATCGGACGTGTCAGAAATCTCCCCTCTACCGTTGCATAAAAATCCCATGGCGCGATTAACTGACGACGGTCAAGACGCGGCCAGCGACCCTGCAGAGATTCTAAGTCCACAGCCATTTGTTCCTCCTGGCAAGGGCTTTCTCGTATCCTCTCTCGAGTCCAGCAATGAGACCTATCACCAGGAGAATGCCCAGATGACCCCCGCCCAGATGACCCCCGCCCAGATGACCCCCGCCCAAGACTACGAATACAACTCCTCACCGTCCTCCGCGCGCCACTCCACAAGCGAGGTCTTTGGCCATGAAATGGATGATGAACTAGAACAGCTAAAATCCAGAGCATCCAGCCGCTCATCACTATCCTCAATCCCAGCCTCCGTCCTCATCCACCCAGTCGACCACATGAAACAAATGCCCGACATGGACATACACGAAAAGATAGCCGGTTACAGAATCGAGGCGTCCGAAGCAAGTTTCGGCGATTTCAATGACATACCCGCAAATATTCGCACGATTCGCCAGCGCGAAGCAGCTTTTCGCAAACCAAGCTCGGTCAGAGCGATGCAGATGCATACAGAGGACGAAGCCGATGACGACGATTATCTGACACCTCCACGCCGACGGCAAGGTCTCCGATCGCCTGGCTCATCGCCGCTGAAACGCTCACAATATTACTCGTCAAATGCATCGAAACAACCAAAGCCGAAGAAGGAGGCGCCGCTTGTGCTGTTGCACTGCACTTTGCTCCCGCCATCTCTTCCAGTCCCTGGAGCATCTGATCCCAGGAATCAGGATATCCTGGAAGACGAGTTGCCGGCAGCGTACTGGAGACGCTGGCGGCGTCTTCAAGACCGGGTTGGATCGGGGGTACTTCGGGATCGCGGCGTGTTGATCTCGCATCCGGAGGATCTCTACGACATGCTTGAGGAGCGGCTTCTGGAAAGCTTGGAGCTGCAGCGGCCACGTCTACAAAATGGGCACTTCTTGGGTCATGACGACCACAGCTCTGGCTCTGGATCCGAGGGAGATTTCTCGGACATAGGCGAGAGCGAAACGGACGGGGAGCAGGGTGAGGAGTGTCCCGATTGTGGAACTCATGTGCGTCATGGCGACAGTAACCGCAAGTGGGAAATTCGCGTCTTCGCTGCCAACGGATTGATGCGCGCCGGGGCGTGGTCCGCTGCTTGGCACGATATGGAGAAGGTGGATGTCGAGGTTGGGCTTTGGTTGCCTTCTGATGTCCGCCGTGGGTTGGAGAGGAGGCTCGCGGAAGCGCAGATGGCCGTTACCGAGCGCGCCCAGGACCAGACGTCGCAGATGCACATGCACATGCAGATCTCGTCGTTGGTGAATCAAGACAATCAGGTTCCTCAGGATATTTTGGAGTCGCCCAGGCCAAGCCATGCCCGTATGATCAGCGATGGGGGCTCTCTCCGGTCTGACGGTATGTCGTTTAGACAGGCTTTCCCTGAAGCTCAACCTCAAGCTCGGATTGAACATGTGCCGGAGTTTAAACACGAGAGGAAAGAACATGAAGTTGCTCTTTCAACTCTCCTTGTTAATTATATCCGTGTTCTTGCTGCTGACAGGCGCAATATTGCGTTGGTGATTCTCAGCGTCCTCGTAGCTTTTCTAGCTTTTGGGTCTTGTGAGCAGCCAGCGCTATTTTACCCTGATCTCGGTTCTTTCTCGCAGAGCATGTCTCATGATATCCCGAGCTCCCCAGCTATGAGCTTGAGCGTGACTTCGTCTTTGTCGGATTCAGCTCGCTCCGTGATCTCAGTCGAGGAGACCAATGCACCAGTCTTGAGCTCAAATGATTTATTGCCAAGCTCCAAATCCATGCATGCTGCTCAAAGCGAGACACCTCCCATGTCTACTGAGACAGTTGAGTCTAGTTACATGTCTGATGGCTCTTCTGAGCCTCAAATCGTGTCTACAGAGTCTGTGGAGCCTACTGAGACAACACCGTCCCCACTCATAGAGGCTACTCAGTCACAAACAGAAGAGACAGCATATGTTTCATCTTCCTCTGCTTCTGCTGTTGAATTCTCAAGTATACCAGAAGAGGCTTTGGAGTCTACAGCGACTATAGAACCCCAGTCTGAAGGCCCAGCGGAGGCTTCTTTAGCTGACACTGTAGACTCTCCTACTGTGTCTATAGAGTCCGCTCCTTCCTCCGCTGACTATGACGAAGTTCCAACTCTGTCGGATGTCTACGTGGAGACTGAAACATCGCAATCTGAGAGTGCAACAGATTATCCTTTGGAGATTGAGACCTCTCCTGCAGTATCTTCGGAATCTCCTTTCTCCTCTATCGATGCTACCATTGTGTCTGAGGAGACTGAGGTGTTTACAGAGACTACCCAGTCTCCGGCTGAGGCCACAATAGAGACACCTTGGATTGATGCTGTGGAGACTCTTGCTGCACCTGCAGAGCTCACACTATCGTCCATTGATACTGCCATTGTGCCTGAGAATAATGTGGAATCTACGGAGGCCACCCCGTATCAGGTTGAAGCCACGATAGAGACCCCTTCGGATGACGCCGAGAAGATTCTCGCTGCGACTGCAGAGTTCACACCCTCATCCATTGATACTGCCATTGTGCCTGAGAATAATGTGGAATCTACGGAGATCATCCCGTACCATACTGAGGCCACAATAGAGACCCCTTTGGTTGACGCCGTGGAGAGTCTTGCTGCACCTGCAGAGTCCACGCCCTCCACCGAGGATATTGATTCTCCCACTCCTTCGGATGTGGCTACCGAGACTGACCTACTTCAGTCTAACACCCATGAAGAAGACGAGGAAAGAAATGAAGAGCAAGCATATTGATTTTAGGAAAGAAGACGTCCCCTTTCCCAACCTTACGACCACGACTGGAATGATATCAGGTGAAATGTTCGAAGTTATACGATATTTACAATGTGATTTTTGATTTTGACGCTTATTTAGCCATAGTTCCTCCCATTTTATGTTCACATTAGCGAGCTCTGCTCATTCCTGTCTTGAAATGGATGCCAAGACGCCATATGTGATGTCTCCACCCCCGGGTCCCGCTCTCGCTTAGTGATCGTCCTTTCCCACATGGCGAATGAGTAGATTAGATGCTGTCTGGGATATCAGATCCGGAGAAGTATCTATACCAGGTACTTTCGATCTGCGGAAATAGACAACAGAGACGACTGGGGCCCATATGTGCTGGCCTACGTAGGCACTACATCTTATGCGACCCGTGCCCCAGACAATGCGGGGCAAGCTAATGCTACGATGTACATCCCGCACAATGCAGGTCAGAAAGCACAGCGGACAAAAAATGATTCAGGCTCGATTATGGATTATCGATTAGCGGTAATTGGCTTGTTGAACGAGTTCGATTCTGTAATGGGGAGTGTTCAAAGGAATCGGTTTGTGAGATCTCACTGGCCCAGCGAAATTTCCTCAACGCAGCATAAATCACAACCTCGGAATAGTGCAAATCACCCTCAGACCTTCATGAACTTCGTAACCGTGAAAAAAAGGGCATTTAGTAACCACCGTTGTATCCACCCTGGCCGCCGCCGTAGCCACCTTGACCACCACCGTAGCCCTGGCCGCCGCCGTAGCCGCCCTGACCACCGTAGCCACCGCCGCCGTAGCCACCACGGTAACCGCCGCCGCCGAAGCCGCCGCGACCACCACCGGCAGCGCGCTCAGTAGCCTTGTCAACACGGATTTGGCGACCGTCGAATCTGCAAAGAGATGACCGTTAACAGATGTCGACTCGATGCCGCCACGTCGCGTCCGAAGTCACGACACACCATGATGCGCGCTCGTTCAAACGCGAGATTTGGGATCGCTCAGAGTTAGGAGTTAGCTTGCTTACTCCTGGTTGTTCATGGCGTTCATAGCAGCAGTAGCCTCATCTTCGTTGGAGTAGCGGACGAAACCGAAACCGCGGCTGCGGCCAGTATCACGGTCCTTGACAACAGTCTAAAAAAAAAAACAAAGAAAAAACGTCTTAGATTTTGCCAGGTGTCAGGTTAGGAGATTAAATGGCGACTCACAGCATCCTCAACAACGCCGAATTCCTCGAAGCGCTGGCGCAGACTGTTGTCGTCTGTGTTCCAGGAAAGACCGCTAGAGATGATCAGCAAGCGCGCCAGGGAGTTTGGGGAGCGCTCTTACCCAATGAAAAGCTTCGACATTTTGATGAAAATACGTGGAGAGAAGCAGAAGAGAAGGGGGGAGAAGAGAGGTGTAAAGAGGGGCACAGCCGAGCCTGGTCTTAAATACAACCCGGGACGGAACAACATCACCCCACAGACTCCTCGTTTTTCAGGCGCCGCATTTGATTTGGGTGATTTGGTTTTGAACGGTTGAGAGCGCTGCTTGGCTTTAAAAGAGGGTGTTCTTTGTGTATAACCTCTGCCTCGAATATGAAGTCGGCCCCGGTGCCCCATCGCCAGGTGGATCCCCCATCCCCACGCTGTCGACGGTGGCGCCCTAAGACTCGCACCTGTGCCTGGTTGTTTTGCCATTGTAGTCCAATGTACCTCCGATCCATGCATGTGTACATCCATGGGGTAGTATGATAGACTAAATATAGAAAGACCAGAGTCGCCCTGTCGGCGTCATCATTATCCGATTTGCATCACCCCACCTTCATCAGAAGTATAAAGTCCCTCCAACACAACCTTCCATTTCCCACTTCCCATCCAACTTCTCTCGATCAAAATGCCCGTCACTGAAATTACCAGGTCCGTATCCCCCACAGTCTCGAGCCGGAAAAACTGACCCCTCCTCTAGCAAAGCCGACTTCATGGACAAGATCCTCGGCTCCGAGGATCCTGCTATCCTCGACTGCTACGCCGAATGGTGTGGTCCCTGCAAGATCGTCGCGCCCAAGCTTGATGCATGGAGCGAGGTCTACCCCCAAGTCAAATTCTACAAGGTGGATGTCGAGAAGGTTGAGGATGTTGCACAGGAGCTCGGTGTGAGGGCGATGCCTACATTCATGCTCTTCAAGGGAGGACAGAAGGTCACCGAGGTCGTTGGCGCAGTTTTGCCAGCCATTGAGGAAGGCATCAAGTCTCTGCTTTGAAAAACGTGAAAAAAGACTTGGTCGACTGGTCGCTTTTTTCTTCTCATCTCTGCCATCGACCAAAAATTGTTCAGCGTGTGACTCGATCCGGTTATTGATCAGTTATCATCCTCTTCACTACTTTTTAATGAACATTCTTATGGGGATTTCTCGCAAATCTGGCTAGTATGATATCTGTAGGGTCTCGTTATTGCTTGAGCATTGGGCTTCGGTGTATACGACACTGGACCTTCACCGTGCAACCCTGAGAGAAAATCTCAAACATCAGCCCATCAATGATTCGCCTCCAAAATACCATTCATGTACTCTCCCATATTCTAGTCCGCCATACACATCGACTGCCGCGTCTCCTATATACTCCGGGCAATCAAAACCCGGAATCATTCAAATAAGTCGGCGGGATGGTCGGCCAAGCATCAACTCCATCCAACATAGCCAAGACCATCCCTCCACTCTGATGAACCTGGATATGGCAATGCATCAAGAAAGCACCTGGATTAACAACATGATATCGTAAGGCCAGCCAAGTCGGCCCCGTAATCGATATCGGCGTGTTATAAGTATCCCGATACTGCGGTGTCTGCAAATTGAAGCTCCCAGGAATCACCTGTACCGCCTCCGCCACCGAAGACCAATCAAAAGTGCCATTCCCTTGGCCAATGATGAAATGTTTGTTTGAGTGCTTGTGAATCGGGTGCGCAGGCTGCAGAATCGTATCGACTTGGATGATCAGGTCTACCCAGGTATTGTTGTTTGTTCTGATGATCAGGTCGCTGGGGATGGAGGACTGGTTGAAAAGCAAGGGCTGGGATTCTTCGAGCGCGAGCCCGTAGCTGGAGTTGCCGAGTCTCCAGCGGTAGGCGGTGCCGACTTGGCTGACGTGGAGGAAGAATGTTTGGGCTATGTTGTTGGATGGGGCCATTGCGGGGAATGGGACGACTAGTGACTCGTTGAGGAAGACGGTGTCTGTGGTGGCAGGCTGGTTGTTGACTTGGACCCAGGGGTTGGAGGGTCTGTTCAGCTCGGGCTGCCCCTGGTAACGCATGATTGCGGTTGTGTTGAGGATCTGGTTGACGCTGGCGCTGACCATGCGTATGGTGTAATCGCCTCCTGGTTGATCCAGGGGGACTAACACAGAGTAGCGGTTTGAGTTCGGGATACTGACTGCATTGACCTTTCTGGGTTCGATATACCGTCCGTCAATGGCATAAACCCACATGAAGTGCTCGTCAATTGAGAAGGTGAGTTGCAGCAAGCCGGCCGTGCTGATGAGATCCCAGCTCACGTACTGCTGGCTTGCGTTGACAGTGAAGATCTCACGGGGCCCTTGAGACGGCACACAGCCCTCGAACATGGTTGGGAGTACAGCACTGTAGTTTTTCGGAAAGTCAAATACTCCATCGGTGATGTTTGGTGGGAAACACCTAGTGGGAATGTCAGTCAACTCATGTATTCACCATGATCCATACTTTTCGAGATATTCTTGAATAAGACTATAAGAGATCCATGTACCCACCCCAAATCCGTTAAGCTCCCATTACCAATCATCCCCCTCTGGGCGGGTGTTGTCAATGCGTCAATCTCAGCGCGCGGCAGACAAGTGATTGACCCTTTCCCATTGATGAGCAAAGCGTTGGCGCAGAATGCGTCTGTACCAGAGGCTACCTCGGCAGCCCAGATCTGCTCCGATTTAAGCACACGCCATTCCGAAAGCAAGACAGGGCGTGTCCCACGCTCTGCGTTGACCATAGCATTCAACTGGGCGGGATTGGTTGTGATAAGGCTGAAAGGTTTTTCCACCGCAGGAGCCGGAGTGATATAGATAGGTCCAAATAGTCCATCTTCAAGGGAACCACGGTGATGCGCATGATACCAGTAGGCGCCGTACTCGGTTGCTGTCCATCTATACAAAAACGAAGTGTTTGGTTTGATAGATCTTTGGGAGACTCCTGGGACTCCATCAGACCAAGGCGTTCCCAGTTGTTCAATGCCTATGATATGATCAGTCCATGAATGTGCAAAATTGTCAATTGAACCAAATTCTTACCATGGAAATGGATAGTGGTATTGAATGGGCATCGGTTGTCGACTAAAAACCGAACATCGTCACCCTGATTGATCTGCAGAGGTGGACCAGGAAACTGGCCATTCGTTGAGATTACTGGCCTAGTTACTCCTGCGACAGTTCTGTTCGACCAAGTCAACGTAACTGGGAAGAATACCGTAGCCGCAGATGCCCATTGAATGAGGCATAGAAGCCGAAGAAAGAAACCTCCCAGCGAAATCTCCATTGCTGAATATGAAACACGACAGGTAATCTACACCAAATTGAATGTGCTGTTGCGAATAGTCCCTACTTTCCATGAAACTGCTGTGCCCTTATATGGGGCCAGGGAGAGCCATAGGACGTTGCATGAGAACATGCGTCTCAATTCCGTCTGGAAGCATAGTATGTGGGTCTATCACATCAGATACAAGACCCTCCATGGCAGCTGCTTGCTTGAGATCCCGTAATAGCGCAGAGCAAAGGGATAGTCTATGTCCATGGTGTCATCGGGGACCACCCTCTCGGGGGCTATGCGTAGGGAAACTCCGACCGATTATTGATATATTGGTGATGGGTCTTAGATCGAGTTTTGGAGCTAATCCAATAGCAAGTAGTGATAAAAATGATACAATATACTTGAATCTGCGCTAGCGAAGCTGATTGATCATAGCATGCTGCGAATGAAGAACTCAAAGGTTTGGGGGGGGATTCAGATCCCAAAGAGCCGGTAATTTCGAACAGTAATGTGGAAATACTGCAAGGGTTAGCCTGGGACTAAATTTGTCGCGTGTAAGCCAGAAGCTCTAAGGTCGGTCCGAAACAGGAAAATTTGAGCCTCGGCACGTTGCGATGGCGTATCCGAGACGAATCGCGCGTGGTAAACACAAAGCTTCCATAGCTATGAGGGAGAAGCCTGACTAGATCAAAGTTTCGGCAGCCTGCATGTCAGATAAATACAAGTCAATATCGCGGCTTTGGAAGATGAAGTCTCGGTCTCGATCATCATCAGGCCAGGGGTCAACCAGTCATAGCGAGGTGGAATCGCAAAAGGATCAGGCAAACGCTCAATCCTGGACAGAACATGGACGCCACGTGCTTCGAAATGTATCAAAATCAAAGTATGCGTTTCTCAAGGATGAATCAAAAGCTTTGGTTGTAGGATTGAGTGCAGGGTATTTGGAACGAGTTGGATTCCAAATTGACCCATTCACAAGAATCGGTTGAAGCTGCCTGGATGGAGCTGTGTTCTAAAACGAAGAGAAAGTAAAAAATGTAATAGATTTTATTCATTGTCGTCCGTATAGTTTAAGATGCGAATTATATGCCATTGAACAAAATGAAATCAAAGAATTCCGTAAATAACTTTTTTTCGTGCGATGCAAGCATCGGCATCGAGAAAGATAATGACCATCACGAGCATCAAAAGTTGCCAGGATTGCCAAAAAATCCAGCTAGGCCATGTTGGGTACCATCTGATACAGGCAGGTGGCCCTCTTTGAAATTCTGAATGACCATTGGGTCTGGAACAGAAACCTCACTCTTAGGAGGCTGGGAAATAGCCTGACTGAGTAAGCTGGTGTTTTGCCATCCTTGTTGTCCGGCACATTTTTGACCATCAGCGCCAGCTATATGCAAGCCTTCCAAATCATCGGAGTTAATTTCGCCATAGCTGTCATTCAGTCGTTGCAGAAATTCGGGATCGAAGCCCATTTGTACCAAAGGGTCAGTTGCCATTTCTCCTGGCACAGATGCAGTGGTCGGAAGACTACTAGCCCAATCCGTAGAAAATGACGGATCTGCGCCAGCTGAAATCATCCCTGCACTACCAGCATAGCTGCCTGAAAAGCTCCCCGGTCGACTGGGTCCGGCGGAGGAAAATCCAGTTCCAGGAAAAGCGTGGCTTCGAACACTGGGGCTGGAGACTGCAGGGCTATAAATGGCAGCACCTTGGCATAGTGTTCGAGCTAACATATTCATCTCCCGGGGTGCAGCGCGAAGGCCACCATTGACAGCAAATGGGGGTTGCATCCCCAGATCAGCAAACTGGAGGTTCTCATTTTGCACGGCAGTTTGCAATCCGCAATCACGCTTTAAGACGTTCAGCCAAACAATATTGTCTGCGCAGGTCTGGTTCCAAGGATCGTCACACCCATAGATGACAGTGCGAGCTTCTGCTTGTATCATCTGATCTGTTGGAATAATGCCTTGGGCTTGTTGGTTTTGTATATAGACAGTGAGTTCACGAGAAAGACGATGGTAGCAATTGACATCGGTAGGGACAGGAAGCTTGAGTGCCGAAGCATCCCAATCATCTCCCTTAGCTTGCTCAGTGACCCAGGGATTAGGGGATCGCCACTCATAGTCAATCATATATGGAGGAATGGCGTTTTCGACACGAGCTTGAATGGAAGGGTCAAAGCCCCAGTCCCCTTGCCATTGAGCCATGCTGGCTCCATTTTTGAAATGGCCAGCCAAATGGTCCACCCGGTCTTTCCAAGTTTGGAAAATAGTGCCGCAGAATCCACAGCGGGATTTAATCTGTGTGATACTACTTTGCCATTTCTCCATGCACGGTTGGAACTTGGCGTCGTGCATCAGGCGGAGGTGTTGGTTGAGATGATCCTTACGGTAAAATGTTCTCTCTTGCACTGGTTTCTCCTGACAGCTGATGAAGTTATGTTCTTCGAGATGTTCGGCGTCTGGATTAGCTGCCAAGCAGAAGACACAAAGCGGTATACCGTTCTCGTCAACTGAACCACCATGGGGAGAACAGGTCCATTTGTCCAAGATGAGATGGATAGATTTCTCGTGCCGCTGCCAGTCATACTTAGCATGGAATGAGTCGGTACAGAAGGTACATTGGAAAGGACGAGCAGATTTAGCTTTTGAGTGGGCCAATGTGTTGGCAGGTACTGAAGTCTTGCGGCGACGGCGACGTTCCTTGCGGTCCATCGAGCCAAATGATAGAGATGATCGGTGAGAGAAGGCAGAAGCAAAAGAAAGGTCGGATATAGATGACCGACTGGTATCCAAACTACTGGCAGAGGCGGTGCACAGTATATGTTCGGAGCTAGCATCCAGGCTTGACTCATTGTTACTAGACCCAGGACGCCGGGGCCTCACGTGACTCGATGGGGCCCGGCGTGGACGCGAGGGATCGAATGGCGGATTGGCCAAAGCACGGTTAATATCACTGATCGTGGCGGCTTCGTTTTCGGGAGGTGAGTATTTCCAACGCTCGAGAGGTGTCATGAGAGATACGTCGACAGACTGCTTCTTGGGGATGTCCACCGCTCCTGGGACGGGAGAACTGCTTCCAGATGAGGAGCGAACTTTCCCGCGCCGCCTAGCATTGGCGAGCCAGTTGGCAATTTGAGTTCGCGTCAGACCGGTGTCTTGCTTGAGGTCGTCCTTCTCTTGCTCGGTGGGATAAGGGTTCTCGTTGTGGTCTCGCAGCCAGCCCTTCAAAATGCTGATTGCCTTGCGTGAGAATCGAGCGCCGCTTTTCTGAGATCTGGCATCTTGGTCATTTGAATATGCGTTGTATGAGAGTGATTTGAGGGCTTTCCTTCCCGTCAGGCTGCCCATGGGAACGTGGGCATTCTCTGACACACTATGTAATGTCTGGAGGAACTTTCCAGAGGTTTTGGCATGGGTAAAACTGCATTCACGATAGAGTGAGATACAGCAGGTGCAACCATAGTTAAGGGCACCGCGCTTTGCAACAAAGCAGTCCAGTCCCATTCGCCCGCAAAAGTCGCACGGTTCCTGGGCCCGGAACATGGGATAAACTCCATCGGAATCGATGGCTTGTCCGACATGCATTTTGGACTGGTTCAGTACCAGGTCATTGGGTAACTCAGATACCTGATCCTGCATCAAGTCATTGAGGTCGGCTTCTTGTTCTTCGGCGTCGCCGAGTTCAATATCAATTGAAGCGACGTCTTCATCTTGCTGGTAAGAGCCGTGCGCAGACGAGGCGCCCTCGAAATCAAAGTACTCCATGTTGCAAACAATCCCAGAGAGAAATGTTGCACAGCGAGCAGTGTTTCAGGGTCAATCTGGGGTTTGAAGAGAAGGAGGACACGGTGGAAAGAGGAAAAGAGTCGGTCAAATAGAAACTGGCCGAAGCTGCCTTGGTCCGGGGTAAGAAAATGCCCACGCTAGATGGCTATGTAATCAGGTTGGGTGGGGCTTCGTGAGCTTGGAACCACCTGGACCACTCATCCGCAAAGACAAAGTGGTCTTATCAGTAAATCGGCATGGGCCACACCAAGGCAACCTCTCCTGTCCGCAGCAAGCATTGCGGTCACAAGGAAGGGCGAAACAACACATCGTATGTTATTGCCGAGCTCGGGGTTTGCAACTATCTCATCCGACGTGGGAGGGCCAAAATGCAGAAGGAGTTCCGAGTGGATGACCAGGATCAAAACGGTTCGTGCATCTGCGCGCCCTTCGAATGACAACGCCAAGCCTAATCGGGATAAGCGCAACCAATACGGGGGTCGCCAAGAACTCCGGTGGGCTTCAGGGAGAAATGATTCATCTCTCCCCGCGATATCGGACGTGGTCTGCTTTTTGAGACCACACTTTTAACCCTTATGTTTCCATTGAATTTATTTGAGTTCTCAATGTGGCGCACACCGTCCTTGGTATGTTCCATGATTGTGGAGTCGATTCCCGAATGAATATCATACGAAAAGGCGGCGCCGAACACGAGATATATATCTGTCGGTAATGTGAATACTCCGTACTCCCACCGAGTTTGAGTGATTCGAGCCTCCACGTCAACGGATACGAGACCACACGAGTCAAAACGAGCCTCTACAAGGATTCACCATCACTATAGGTGTTGGCCTTACACTTGGACCACCCTTCTGCCCTTGGCTATAATCCACAAATCATGCAACATAGCCCGACATACCTCATTCACTAGGATGAAAGCAATGTAAGTTCCCAACCGTGGCCATTCCCCGTACTTCAAGATTGGATTTCTACAAACAAGAAATCGATACCTGGTGTTACCGAGTCGAGGTTACATTTGACTGCCTACATGTGGGCATCAGGGATGCGAGATATCTCGGCAGCATCTCGCAACATGGCACCGTCTTTGCATGTCGGTCCGTACGAAGTACATAAGCACAGGATCCTGACATAAGAGTCCCAAACCGACTGTGATCTCCAAAGAATATGTCAAATCACTATTGCAAGAGGTTTGCCGTGGCCACTGGAGGCTCCACTCCATCCCCACCCCACAGAGGCCGATACATAATATTATTTTCGGCCCGAGTCTTCAACAAAATCCGATATGGTGTAGTGGCTAACATCGCCGTCTCTCACACGGCAGCCGGGGGTTCGATTCCCCCTATCGGAGGCTGAAGCAGCGTTTCAACATTATCCGATATGGTGTAGTGGCTAACATCGCCGTCTCTCACACGGCAGCCGGGGGTTCGATTCCCCCTATCGGAGACAGAAGAAGCACCTGTTTCATATACTTTTTTGAAGCATATTTTTGTGCTATGGCGGCAACGTGTAAAAATTGGCGGGCAGCCACACAGAAAACAAGCACCTGGCTCATTTCCTCAAACTTCTTTCTTTTCTTTTCTTTTCTTTTCTTTTTTTTTTGGCTCTGACTTCATCTAATGGAATAATTAGTCTATAAATCAGGCAGAAAGCAATTGCTTAAAGCCACAAAATACCTAAAAAATACCTAAAAAAGTTCGATATTCAGAGTCTTTAAGATCAACTAATTGCTCCCATATGCCCCTCTCTTTATCAAAATTTACACATAGAAAAAGCCCTTGCCATGAATTAAGGTTTTCTCCAGGGACCAGCACTTCCCTGCTGCCAAGCTATAGATCCCACGAAAGGGGACAACATACCCGTTAAATGGACCTCTCAAAGACACCACAAGGCCTTAAACGCGGCCGATTATACGAAAGATCCAGTCTGCGAGCCTGCTTTCCAGGTGGTTATTCCAAAGTTAGGTACGTTACTTATTAAGGTCCATGTCATCATAATTATAGTTCAGACGCCGAGAATTTCTACCGGCTCGAAAATACATGACGTACAACATAGGCAGTCAATTCGATTTCGCTTGGAACGAGCTCCTAAGCGCTATCTACACACATTCGCATACATTCTTCTTTCCCTGTTATAAACTACAGGTACTCTAGGAATTCGGGGATGAAGAATCTAAGTGTCGAGAAACCTTTCATTGATATAAGCTAAAAAGGCATATATATACATGCCTGGCAAATCTTGGGCACAACGACGTTCTTTCCATATACCAAAGAAAGCAAATCGACTCGGCGGATCATTGCATATATACTCCGTACGTGTATGCAAAAAAATAAAAAAAATTCAACTCCGATAGGGGGAATCGAACCCCCGGCTGCCGTGTGAGAGACGGCGATGTTAGCCACTACACCATATCGGATTGTTACATTGAAGAATTAGTCTGATTCAGTTCAGACCCTTCTGGTTTAGCGCTGACAGTCCCTGTGCGTGCCCGCGCCTGGTTCTATAAAGACCCCTCCATCGCCCCAGCTGACTTCTATTTATTTTTCGCCCGCCCGCTTCTCAGCTCGCCCGTCTTCGTCCCGTGCTCTGCTGATGAGGCATTTCTGCTATTGATCCGGATCGCCGAACTCCGTAACTTCTGGTGTCCCTTGCTCGACCCCTCAACTGCAAACTGCGCTGCTTTCGCTCATCTGGCCCCATTCTCTCAGCTCCCACCATTACAATCGACATGAGGCAATTTCGCTCTTGGTCTGCTGTGCCGACCTGTGGATCCGTCGCCTCACACGCCCATCGGCTAGCCAATCGTTGACCTTCCGTGCATCTACGTACACGCCCGACGCCCCTTTTAGATAATCGCCTTTGCGAAGCGGGGCTCCAAATCTGCCTTGCGGATGCGAAGGCCGCGCGGGACACTTGTCAGCCTGGTCTGATAGCGTTCGCATCATTTCGGGATTCAAGGAAGGACTGATGGGAACGACTGGCGAGCAGAGCTCAATCAATCTAGTGATGATGACATTGGGCGATGATGCGCAGACTTGCAGTTCTCTAGGAATAGCAGCATCATTGTGGTATGATCTCGGGAATGCGGCCGTCCAAATCCCGGGGATCTACGCAGTCCCGACCCGTGTCACCAAATGCGCTCTGTGACCGAAATCCGTCGGTTGCTCTAGAGCTTGTGAAGGAGGGCAGTCCCACCCCGGTCTTCCTCAGTTTGAAACGACACAAATGCCATCAGCCAAGGTTGATAAGGCCCTTACTCGACCTTTACATCCCCAAGGCAGGTTTAGAGCCCCGCTATATAAAGGCGATTGTCCATAAATGGCGCAGGGTAGATACATCGCTGCCCTTAGGCCACTTGACCTGTCCAACAGATCCAGCCGAGTGATGATGAGATAGTTCAAGTGCTGAAGGGAATGACAGCCTGAACGCAGATCGGACCTTACCCTTCACCTCCAGGGCCCAGGACAGAAGACGGAACGCGCAGGACGGACGAACACGGAGACAAACGGGCCGCCCATCATCTCCAGTCCACGCGACGCTATTGCTACAGGAGTAAGCCATGTTTCCTCATCCGTCTATCTCGTCCTCTATACCAATCAATCGAGAGTGCGTGCTGGCAAAGCGGCTAGCTTTGTAAGTTGGCGGGTTGTCATTGCTGCTAAGGTAACATGTAATCTCGGTCTGGTCAAAGACGACACTACTGCATGAAGCGGAGGCATAGCAGAGATCTATGCAGTTTTCAAGGGTTGAAACCGACTCGATGTTGAGATAAGGCGTGTAGTGGCGCATTCTATAGCACATGTAGAAAGTCTGGTTATCTTGTAAGCGGCTGACTCGATGCTGACTCGATAGAAAGATATTAGAGATACCGTATAGGCTGACATAGATTTGACCATTGGCCTCGGGACAGGTCATGCTGCAGCGGCTAGTTGTTATACTGGGCTGCTTGGTGGCGGGAGGGATAGTCGAGAAGGCATAAAACTGGCTTCCGTAGGAGGTTGGTTGGAAATATCCGTAGTCGAGGAGATTACAGTAGAGGGTGGAGGGCTCGAACGAGACACCAGAAACCGTCAAACAAACAGTACACATAGCTGAAAGAAAAAAGGTTTGCCGCAGAACCGGAGAAATTAAACTTTCTTGGTCAACATGCGATCACTATCAAGTTACTCTTCTACCCTCACATTTCTTTTACCCTTTGTCCCCATCTCCAAGCTACCTGCCATGGATTCATCAATGGAATATCTCACCGATCTTGAAGGAACACAGGTCACGTTTGATGCCGTTGCGGAACCACCGTTCAACTTCCCCGCCCAGAAATGGATAATACTTGAGAAGCTCGGGGAAGAGTCGAATCGCCTGACAAAGGAAGACATCACCGCGGAGCTCGGACCCTCAGACACCACCGGGAAGTTCCTATGCCGACCTGCCAGTGAGGTAGACGACAACAGGCGCGCATTTTTACGCATTTACCAACAAGTTCCTATAGCTGGAACTGAAACGAAGAAGGCCGCCGTACGGGCTAGCCAGGCCGTCGACACCCCTCCTGACCATCCAGAACTGATCGCTTTCCGGACATTCATAAAGCTAGACTGTGACGTTGTTCCTCGACTACTAGGCTATCAACAGCGCCAGCAAGACCACGACGAGGGTGTTCCCGGGGGATATATCACATACATTCTATGGGAAAAAGTCGCCGGCGAGTCTCTTAATTTGACCGAATTCTGGAGGCTCCCCTTTGCCGATCGCCAGGCCATCCGCGATCAGTTTCGCCAAGTCTATACGTATGATTATCTAGTGACCACAGCAAAACATTGGGCTAACAGAGAGCAGAAGGTTTTTACTATGCGGTTACATGCCATGCATGGCTGGTCCATCGAAGATCATTTATGACAAGTCTAGTGGTCAAATGTGTGTCTATGCGAGATTATCCATGTGGAATATTATAATCTAACTATCTCTAGGCACATCTGCGGTTTCAAACTCGCATCTCCGTTTGACGAACCTCAACAGTGGGGTGATATTAACTACTTCCAATACGGACTCATCCAACCCTCCGATAGCCGATTCGACTGGGAAGGAACACCACCCGAAACGGCGGATTGGATCGAAGATGTCAACGGCTGGACGTGGTGAATATGGAAACAACCACAGCGGGATACAGTGCGAAGTATGATCCGCCATCTTGTTCCTTCCTGGCTGGCTTAGTAGAAAAATATGAACCAAGGGATTGCTGCAGGTGCAATAAAGGCGTACTATGTCAGATGTTACTTGCAATTTATTGAAATCTGTCTTCATTGTCTCAGGTTCTTGCTTGCATGACTGTATTTGCTATACACGAAAGTATTTGGGCAGCACACTATGATTAACGCCGTCTGATCCATTGACTGCGAGGAGTGGGATTGGAAATCGGCCCCTGGGCTTCAGCAATGGTAGCAAGATACAGAAGACATTGATTGAAGGACAACACAGGTCCGGTAGACTGATTTTCGGGGTCTAGAGGCGCATATCTGACGGATGATTTGATCACGGGGGAATGCTCAATTCTCCAAGTTGATCCGACCTGACTTTGTCGTAAGAATATGGTCTGGCGGTAATTGGTGATGAAGCCATACACACAACCAAGGTCTAACATGTATGAAATAGGTTGCGCAAGGACCTCTCGCAACAAAGTTGAATTTGTAGCACACAAGTCAAGTCGATGCTCCATCAACCACGGTACCTTGACTTCGCCGACAACTCTTAGTTGCTGCGCATTGGCGTTTTGCAGATCGGGTAAAGAGAGCATGACCACGTCGGGGGTCTTGCTGTATGCAAGTCCAGTGGACTTGAAGTCCCCTAGTGCTATATTGATTGATTGAGCCTCGAATACTGCACCAAGGACCTGTCCAGCAGCTTGCTGGAATCGAGCATAAACCCCGGCCTCATCTCCGACGAAAACTTTCTCATTGGTGAGATTTCTGGCTTGGATGCTGATCTGAATCACCCGGTTACTTCACTGCTGTGTATCGTAGACATTTTTGACAGAAGTAGTGAATCCTGTCCATGGCAGAAGTGGGCCAACGAATCGTATTTTATGAAGCGCGCTTGACGTCGTCCGGTTATCACTGACGAGGAGATCGGGGAGAGGTGAGACGATAATGTCACGGGGGCGTTTCACAGAGGGCATCGTCTAGAACTTGTTTGCTTGAGAGGCTGTCAGTATGAATTTCAAATGCTAGCGACGCGCATAATTTCATACAGTCACAGTGTTCAAGATCGAGTGATGCAGTGGTGCAAGGATCGGGACTTGAGCTAGGTGGTGAATCGATCTGGTCGTAGAGGGGACTGTCTGAGTCGCTCAACGTGGTTCATCATCCACCTCTTTCCAATTTCACCACCATCTCCGCAACCATTCTCCCATGCAACCCGTCAGACCAGCTCCACCCTATCTACTATTGATAACGGTGGGCTTGGTAACTAGGAGGCCATCGATAGCACGACACAAACATCCATTTCAGACACATAGATGAGGGTAAAATTGAAGCTCTACACTAAAACTTTTGTATTCTATAAAATTGTCACGCTTTTTAGTGGGTGGGGCAAAGCCACGACTTTCACATCCTATGTACGTATTTTACCGATAAAGCCTTCCAATCCCTGGAAAATTTCTAACATTCTCTCATACGGTAAGAATGGAGCCAAAAGAAAATAGCAACCGCCCTCCGCATAATTGTGTATCCGTGTTTTCAAGGTCAAAAATGGCGATACACGTCTTAAGAGGCCTACGGCTGATCTAAAATCAGCCGTCTCAAAAGGCCCCCAAGGCCCAAAGATAGTTGGGCAAGAATTAGTCTTGCAAGAAGAAGGCAATACACTGTTTTTAGACTCTCTCACGATCGGAATCATTGTAACTTACCTGGTTGACAGGCCATACACCTGCATACTGTATAACTTAACATTATTGTAGAATATAAAGGTAAGTATGTCCTAAATAACATAAAGACTAAGGCTGTTATTCCGCTCGGTATGTATGTAGGTAGGGCTAAGTCGAATCAGAAGATGTATCTATATCTATCTGATATATTAATTTACTTATAGTACTCCTTTATTCCGCTATACTTTTACTAGCCTATACCTCACTCTTAATAGAAGCTTAAGGCGACCTAGATCTTTAGGATATTTTACTATATAAAGTGCCACGTCTTTCTATTTTAGGGCGTCCCCGATATTTTTATATGCATTTGACTTAATTAAAGTACTAGGTTGGGCTGTTAAAGAGTATATCATTTTGTGTATACTATTTAACTAAAGAAGAGTCCGAAAGTGTCACGGAGTCCCCCAGGCGTTAAGGCTCGCTCCCAGGCCTCCAGGGTTGATCATCAGGTATCAGTGAGGCGCTGTCGAACCGATGGCGTATCAATGACGAAGCCTCTGTGGGAACACGTTAGTTTGGGTCCGCAACCCCTGACCCTCATGTTAAATACTTGTTCGTAGGAGAACCTCTTCAGTTCTCCAAGAATCAGTCTCTGTATTCAATCCCACATCTTGTCGTCCAAGACATCTTCATCTTACCTAGTTGACAGGCTCTATCCTGTAAACACTAGACCTCTTATTCTTACAGAAAGGTAGGAAAAGATAGATCGCATATAATAAATAAATGCTAGGTAGTGAATAGAAGGTCGTTAATATTAATAAAGGGTTGTTCTTTCGCCTCCTTATTAAGGCCTTATTCTTTAGTAAAGGTGTTAGTAGTTAGTTATAAAAGTCAATTAAATCTTTAGTTGTCTAATAAATAGGGAAGTTAAACTCAGAACCTACATAAGTCACCTTCCGCGATAATTCTAAAGGTAGTGAGTGTAACGGGCCAAGGCCACATTGAGGCCCGGGCTATGCCCGTACAGGCGTCGAAACGCATGAGTTTCGATGGCCCATAGAAGATCTGCCGCCAAGGCAATATAGCCTCACCGCCTCGAAACACGACCGCACCATGACGATCCGCCCCTTTGTTGACAGATCCTTAAGATCTATGTAAACAGCATGCAGACACCGTCCAATTAAAAATCGATTCGACTGTAGCCCTTCACAGTGAGCGTTCTGTTTCTTCGCGAACCTATATTCTCCAGAAACGAACTAGAGTAAGGAAGCCTAACTAATACTCTAAGTTATGGTTTTTATAATAGTAGCCTTTAATAACTCTTAATATAAGATTTTCTGGTAGGAGCCAATAAGTGGGATCTGGAGGATTGAGATTGCTTGTAAATCTGCCATAGTGTTAGCTAGAGAGCTATGTGTAAGAGAAAAGGATGTGTAGCAACTTTTGAAAGTTATGTTTTGCTTCTCTTAACTTTTCTTTTGTGGGAAGCTCAAGATCTGCGTTGACTTGCAGATCAGACTCTCGAACGAACGAATTCCAGTCCATACTGAGTAGGTGGCCTCAATGCAGAGAATGATTCAAGGTTAAAAACTAGACCAGGTACACTTGGCCTTTTGTACTATATTTCTATCTATCATACAAGCGCTGCCACGACTCTACAGGCAGTATATCGAGATGCCACGCCCAATCACATTTTCCGATGTTCGCGCTGTTGTTCCTGAATTAGTCTTGTGTCGACGCTAGTGACACGCTAAGTTGACCACGATGCCTAGGTGAAAACACCACGATTTTTCGATTTCGGACCACGCTATATCGTGGCTATTCCACCGTCACTGCCTCTAACACCATATCGGACGGGCACTACGCAATACCCTCTTAGGTTTAGTCTTAAGTCTTCCAATTTAGCGCCTTCGGTCCTTGTGCGTTTCTTGTAGCATGTGTATGTTTGTCGTATTCTTGTGGATTTGTGCGGGTCACATTCCAGTAATATAGATACAGGTCTAACCCTAATGCATGAGTAGTGTGTATCAGGATGACAGAACAATACCATCAAAAGAACAGGTGCTCCAACAGCGTTCCCGTGCGTGGTTTTATGAAGGGCACAAAAGACACATAAGCTAGAGTCACAACACACAGCAAAGATAAATCAGAAGGTTGGTCATAATTCGGTCTGCCTGGCGAGGACCAAGACCTGATGGTCGGTGAACACAATATCGTGTTCAATGGGGGGGTTCGGCGGGCGCCTCATTAGCAGGCCGAAGTCTAGACGCAAAGGTCCACCATGAACAATATTGCCCTCAACATAGAGATGTTGAGAAAGCTCCAGCTGGGAGGGAGGGGGGTTTATTGTGTTGTGGCCGCTTTGGCGTCGCGTCTCCTTCCAGACTTCTATATCCACTCTATAGACGGGGCTCTTCTTGACGTAAATAAGCATAACGAGACCGGGTCTGGTGGGAGGGTTTGCGTTCCACCAATGTGCATCTTGGACAAGCTGGGCATACGATTCCGACACACCGACCTCCAGGACGAGGGACGGAGCCGGTGTATCTCCAGGGACCAAGCGAGAGATCGGGCAAAAGCAATAATCGGGTTCCTTCGACGTCGAGTTTCCATGAATTCGACTCGACCCAAACCCGCAAAAGTCTTCATTACAGACGCTGAGATTCATTTCGAGCATGAGGCGTACGAGAATCATCCCGAAGGTGGCGCAGATCCCCTCGTGCTGAGGGTTTGGCATGATGCGGTATAATACACACCGCTGCGTAGCCCAGAGCGTTGCGGTTACTCCGGAAAAGAGATCAGCGTCTTCACACAACCGAGAGAAGGTTTTGTCGTCCAATTGTTTGGCTAAGAGGTATGACTTTCTCGGCGCATGAGAGTCTCGGTGTCCGCAATGTTGGTCTTTCACCCTATCAATCGATTGTGACAACTGGTTCAGCGACGGGTTTACGAGCGTTACCGTGAGCGCTGGGTTGACTCGGGGGTGTCGGTTTGAGGTGCCCTTCACGGGCATCTGAGAAGATGTGAAAGAGGTGCCGGTGGAGTGAGGCTCTGGCAGGGTTGACGAAGTCGACTGTCCTGGCACGTTGACTGTCTTGTCCGGGTTGACTGAGCGGGGTGGGTTTGAGGTGCCCGTGGAGGGCACCTGAAGGATTGTGGGAGTAGCGTTGGTCGACCTTAGTTCTGGTGAGATCGAAGCACAAGGCATGACTGACGCGTTGTTAGAGTGGGAAAGGTGACCGAGAAAGGAAAACAAACCGGGTGGGCTTTGGGGGTTTCCCTGGGCTTCCACGACAGGAACATCCTCTCCTTCCATCGTGAGGTTTTCATATGTTGGGAAAGCGCGACTTCGAGCTCTGAAATCCCTGGATTCTGATTACTGCTTCGTCCTTCAGGGTAGACTGGAACTGTTAATTTCAGCTGGTGATGATAGTTGAAAAACAAAGATCTTGAGTGTGGGGGAAGAAGAGAAAACGCACCGAGGGATCGCGGGGATCAACCTGTCATAGCTACGAGAGATCACATTTTCAGCAGGACTACAACTTACACTCGCTGATATGCATTAATGACTGACGCTAATCGCCGCTGATGTGTAATATCCGTTGACTTAGTTTAGTGTTCCTACTGTAAATCAAGATAGGTCATTTTAGATCAAAGGATGACCATCATTATCATCTACTATTGGCACTCGTAAAGTCCCGAACAGCGCAAATTTATACTCGGAAATTAGGCAGGGCCATCATTCCTGATTTCTGAAGTCATATGGTCAAACCTTGGAATTCCTACTGAGCTGGGGAATTGACCTGAAGATATCAGCCATCTCTAGATCACTCACCAGTCCAACAGAGCGAATGAAGCTCCATACGCTCAAGGTTTGGAAGAATCGGACGCGGTGCCGCTGCCTTTTGGACTCGCTTCCCAAGCCTTTTCGCCCAAAATCCTTTCTCATTCACCCAATGATCGCAAGTTTCACAATTCTGCCTATACCACGGTACTCCCTGGACTCTACCGTATATCAACGGCGAATAGTAAGTCAGCAATGGATGCAGATGAGCGAGTGCAAAGTTGTAAGCCTGCTGACAACGTCGCAGCAATGGCAACACGCAGCGATCCCGAATTCGCCGCCTTCGTCGCACCCGAGCAGGGGAAAGAATAAACAGAAGAAGGGTGAGGGCAGTGAACGCTAATATCGCAGACCGAGCGCTAACATCAAAAGTACCTATAGTAGACGATAAATGATTCCTTAATATAAGAGCCCAACGTCATAATTCTATAATAGCATACGATTCTTAATAACTAGCAAATAAGCAATTCGAACCGATAGACTTCGTATAAAAACCACCGTTACCTCCGTCGACGAAGGGAGGCTTGCATCAAATTTCTCAAAGCTTAGAGATGGGAATTATGGCTTATTGGGCCCATCGTCGTGATCCTCTTGTTCAAGATAAGAGGATCCTTCAGATACGGTGTCCTTCGCTCCTTTGTCATCACGACGGTGCAATGCGGAAAACATTTTCTTCAAGCCATCCTTTGTCGACCTTTTCTCATTTGGTTTTCGCGTTGCTGGTGTTTCAACCTTCTTTTCTCGGTTGACATAGCTCCAGGGTCCTATTGTGACTCGGTCGCTTCTTTCCAATCTGCCCAAGGGTGTTGATGGGAGTGTGAAAGGTTTGCAAGAGGACTTCTTGCAGGAGATCGGACTTGGAGAACTTGGCAATCGCGGGTTAGATCGTATTGGAGGCGTGAATGGAGAGGTATGTGAATCCAGTTTCAAGTCACAACGCTCAGTGGCAGCCCACAGGAAAAAGAAAAACTGACTGGGTATTTCTAGACGGACCGTCACTTGAAGGTAGGTGAATTCGCTGGGGGGCTATGTGAAGAGGCCGCCAAATCGTTAGGGCTCAACCCCGAAACTGCGGTTGGAAGTGCTGTGATCGATGCGTACGCCGGATAGATAGGCCCCGTTACGCACCTTTTCCCATGCAACGACGCTTGTGCCCAAAGCCTTGGAATCATCCTTCAACATTTCCAGAGCCTCCTTTACCCAGGAAACACAATTCCAACCTGGTTGGCCTTGCCTGATAGGCGTATTTCGCAGAATTTTGACTAAGCGATTTCCATCTGCTACCTTCCCAACCATAGTAATGGACCCCTATACCATCCTCTGCTTCAACTTTTAGCCCCACGATCAAGGCCTAGTGATATCTATCTCAGAGAAGACATCGGTCTTATAATCATTATTCGCCGAAGAAGGTTTTGCATAAGAAACTCACGTGTCTTTCTTGCCTGCCATAGTAGGATTGCCTCCGCGTGCATAGAGAGCAACATATAGACGATCTTTATTAGATGGCATTGTGCGAGCGATTGTGGAGAATATAGCTAGAGTTGGCGCCAAGTGAACCGGATAATGTTCAAAGGATGCTTGGAAGTAATAAATAATTCTTTAAAACTAGTTTACAAGTGACTCTCTAAAGGGCTTTATATCTATGTATCTCCCTAGTTGCCCAATTAATTACTAGAAGTCGTAGCCGCTGTCCGTGTGATGAAAAGTGATGAATGTTGACTTAAAGCTTATATCCCAATCAACATTTCTAACAATACATACAAGCGAATGGGCATTTAATATATGACAATGTAACATGCTCAGAACATACGTTCGAGACAGAGCAAACATAATATTTCTATAGAGATAGAGCTACTCTGCTTATATTTGTATTTGTGGTGAAGAAGTGAAAGCTTGCTTCAAACTGCCGTGTAATGGGGTTTGCCCATAACAAAGGAGTTACTGGAAGACGAAAGATGAGGCTGAATCGGTATAGAATCGGCGTCGAGCAGTCTTGGGACATGTAGATACTACTAAGCCTCGCGGGGTATTACACCTCACTCGATCCCAGACCCAACCTGGTTCTGACAAGAATCAGTCTTGTTCATCAGACAATACTATTGATCCTCCCCGTCTCTATACCGCTGCCTTGTCGTATACGTGTCCTTACCGAGTTGACAGGCCTTACACCTGACAACCGTAAGCTTTTACATGCCGCCTCGTTTGTTGCCTCCCCCCTTGTCTATACACGCTCTGTTCTGATTGCTGATCTCCTTTTGTGTTTCTTCAGTTAGCCTAGATAGTTTGAATGAACTCGTTCTATTCATTGGCTACTTACTCAACTCATTCAAGCAAGGCTCAGAACATGCAAAGGCTCACAACATGCAAAGCGCGCGTTACCAGTGTTGCTATTCTGGGAGCAAGGATAGGAACTGCACCATATGGTTCATCTGCTGCTTCCACCTTTCTCTGCCTTAGAGCTGCATAGACCGCCAGAAGCCTTCACGTGACACGTATCCATCTCTGGCTTTGGTTGAAGATGAGTGCCGTCGGCGTGATGCCCACACTGTTGGCGTTTCGCCTAGTATGCCGCAATTGGGGTACTAGCAAGCCAGGAAGGTCGCGTTGAACTGTATTAAATAAGGTCAATCTGTTCCCAAAACGTGACGTTAGGCGGGTAGTTGGGGCTAGACAGAAAACCCACGCATCTGCCACAAATATTGTAGATTTAGCCCGCTAAATCTTCATTCTATAAAATTCCGAGGTGCAAGGGGCTTCGAGAGGTAGTGTATCGATCGTATGATTATTGTCAATTCAGTCAATTCAGTCAATTTGGGCAGTCAATTTAGGGGGTAATCTGAACATGTACTAGAAACACTAGAAAGATCTGCATTACTTATGTATCTGCCAAGCATTAGCATGTTTGTATTGCTTGAAGCCCATTGCGCCCCCATAAAAGCCCAGCCCATTTGCGGGTTGGGGCGGGTTGGGCTTTAGGCTTTGCGGGCTAGTGCGGAGGTCTAGTGATAGGTATCTTTCTACTAAGAAGTTTTAAAGCCTCATTCCTCCAGTCTCACGAAACATTATTGGTCCAAAAGGGGCTTAGGACCGTTTAACTCAAAGCCGATATGCGGCTACATGGAGTATGTAGGCTTCAAAAGAGGACTCTAGCCATCGCAGTAACAACGTACGAGAGGGGCACAGTCCCTACTTTCTTAGCGCTTAGCCGACGTGTTTGACCCGACGACTATGTCAATGGATAAGGGCTTCAGAACATTAAAACAGATTCACTCACTATCAGGTCCAATCGCTGCAGTAAGTCGCTTTTTGATATTTATTATCTATTGAATGATAATCAACTTTTATTTTCTCTACATGCGAAGATAACGTGGATCTATAAACAGGGGTCAACTATGTGAAATCAATAAGAAGTTTGTTAATAGCTGCATAAAACGAGGCTTGATACTTTTGTGTTACGCTTAAATTGTTGAGACTAATTGTTCTCTAAGCACTACCGATCTGCAAGTAGGGTATTTACGGCGGTCTCTAGGGCTCAAACGGCCAACGACCCGACAAGCGATAATTTTGGATAGCAGAATAGAATTCAGACCCACAACTACCAACACAAACATGATTCAACGGTCAAAAAGCTCGGCGAGGGAGAATGAGAAGAGGGCTGCTAAAGATTCCTAGGTGGTAATACCAGAGAGGATGAGGTCTCATTGCAGCGGGGATTTTTGATAAGTCTTGATCTCCTTTTGGAGAAGAATAAGAAAAACAAAACGTACATATTTGATGCCTCAGCGGGGTTTTGCATATTGTGTTATATTGATTCCAAAAGCAATTTTATACTCCACTTCCAGAGCGGATACAGACTAGCGAATTCGTTTCAAGGTACTCATGCTGTAAAGCAAGCTTAGCATTAAGATACTCGACTAGGTACTAGGGAAGGTTTGAAACCTATATCGCCGTACTGTTCAGTAGAGTTCTCAATAATTGCGTGGCGTCATAATGAGGCGTACGTTAAGCTGGCTATGGGTCCCCGTTAAAGACGACTCGCCATTTCGCCTATTCTTTGGAATCTTACAGAGTATTTACGCTTGTCGGCGAGAATTCAAGGCTCTTGAAAATTTCTAATTCGAACCGTCGGACGTCCTTGCGCTGCCATGGGCTCTTCTGATTATACGCATACCCTTTCCAGCTCTGAAAAGGGCGACGAGCTATCGGATCCCAAGATGCTATCTTTACCGGGGGACAAAACACCAGAAGAGGCTCGTCTAGAGCGAGAAGGATGTATCAGGAATCTCCAAGTGTTTCGATACAATCTCTACCAAAAAGAGCCAAAGGTCCATGATTATGACAACTTTGCCCACCTACTCCACCACGAAGAGGCGCTGCGAAGGAATTGTCAAACGGAGATTAGTTTACGACACAATGTGAAGAATAGTCCGAGTTTCTGGGGCACTGGCTCTCCAAGCTTTGAGGATGAGATGAGCACACTCTACCAAGACAATTGGATGCAGACACGATTCTGGTGGTCTGCCCGTGGTTGGATAATTGGTACTTCTGGGCCCTTACAACGAGCATTTGAGTTATGGAGATCCAATTCTTTGTGGTACATGCATCCAATTCTTGTTGAAGACTGCAAGTCTAGAGGCGGGTGTTGTGGTCGTGATTGTGGATGTTGTCTTGATGCTCAACGTGCAAATACTTCAGCCGGGGTGCTTGGTGTGGGACACTGCACTCTAGAATGCGGATGTTGTATAAGATCGCGTGGCTTTGAACTGAGTAAGGAAAGGGAAGAATACCTTGTTGATTGCTTCTCATTTGATAATCAGCTGGATACTATGGATCATGAGGTCGATCCTTATCGGCGCCGAATTTTTCTTGCCTCTATTTGGGGATTGAGTGTGGACGATAGCTAGGCCATCCATGATGGGATTCAATTTCAAAATGTTGCTGCTATGGGACTTCCTGTTGATGCATCACATCTTGGTGTCGGCCCTTTCAGGCAGTTTGGTTTGACAGACTAAGCTCCTTTGACAGATGGACTCTTTCAGTTGCTAGTTTGCTACCTTCTTAGTCTTGATGGACTATATAGTCCCTAGTTTTTGCTAGCTTCAGAGAATCATTGCTTCTTCCTTTTCCCTTCTCTCACTCTCTTAGTAGCCCTATCACTTCTAAATAAGGGAAGTGAAATTTGAAAGAAAATAGAAACTAACAATAAAAAAAAAGAAGTACTACCCCACGACTGCTATGGTTTGCTCTCGTTTCATGTACATTAACTATAGGGTCTGATATCGGTCAAATGAAACCACCACAAACAAACCTCCTGGGAGTCATGTCCAATGATAAAAGACTTCTACCCGGGGTTTTTACTAGGTCTGTGGGGATATACATTCTCTCGAGTTTGAAGTGGTGCTCCCGTGGCAGCAGTCGATTTAGTGTGTCTGCAATGGAGGCGGACCGTCTCGACAGCTGGTTATACCTGTAGACTTACATGGGACCTCTTATATAAATCAGAAACAGAGCCTAGCAGTACCCAAGGTAGCCCTGGATTACTATGAAAAGGACCTGAGGTTAGGAACTGTCAGATCTCTCCCTCTTTCCATAGCTTAGCTAGTCTTCTACCTCAATCAACCATCTTCATGATGCATCTCGACGTCTCTCTCAGTAGACTCTGACAGGAACCTTAGTAGCCAGTTACCAGCAAGCGTATTCGGCGTACAAGGGAAGATTTGAAAACCGAATGGATATTCCGAAGAGATGTGTGCTGAGACAGCGGTTATCTAGATCAAATGACATTTGCTTACAATTATTTATTAGTAGCACTACTGAGCCAGTTGCCGCTGGCGCTGTAGATCTTAGTATAGCCTAGGGTTCCACCGCCAACAAAACCGAGGCTAATAAAGCCGACATCCCTCTCGCATTCATGATCCCATGCTCTTTGTGTCTTGATAATTTCGCTTTGTCTTCTTCTTCACTACCTACTACATATTTTCATCCATATCCGAGTCCCGGAGTCTACCTCCTCCCTCCATCAGATCTACCCCGCCTTCTCATCACAGAGCAACGCTCCGCAGAGGCCAGCCAGAGGCCCACAGCTGCACGGTTCGGTAACACCGTCATTCACAAGATGTGATGGTTTTATACTGCCCCCACGCGATTTCGCTGACCACCTCCTTGAATGCTTTTGGGAAAGGATATATTGCATATATCCTTTCTTTGATAGGCCGACATTCCAAGAAGCGTATGAGAATATCTGGGCGCCCACAATTCGTCCACTGCATCAAGCCACGGAACTGAACGTCGGGCTAGGGGATCGTATGAATTCGGGACCCACATCGATTGTGTTCAACTGCGCACTTAATACCATGTTTGCCCTCGGGTGTCACTTGTCTGATTCCCCAATCCAAGATCGCGAGACACTGGTAACCCGGTTTTTCCGGCGGGCCAAACAGCATATCGGAATAGACATGCTCGACATACAATCTATCGGCGTTGTCCAAACATTGTTAATTGTTGCTTTGTTCCTCCAGAGCACTCCTTACCCTCATAGGTGTTGGAACTCAATCGGGACAGCATGTCGTTTAGGCTTGGGTCTAGGATTACACGACGTCCAATTAGAGAAGTTCAAAGCTCCACTGGAACAAGAAATCCACCGGCGAACTTGGCATGGCTGTGTTATGATGGATATGTATTAAAGCCCTTTGTTTGGTCTCTTACCGATTGAAGTAACTAACTATTCAACACAGGACTGTCAGCATGACATACGGACGCCCTAGTATGACTACCCATCTTGAGACTATCCCATTGCCCGGGATGCTTGATTTAGAAACTCGGCAGGATACAGAAGGACCCTCGCTGGTCTCTTTCTATATATCTACGATCGAGCTTTATTCTATTCTAGATAGGATTCTATCCGACGTATATAAAGCCTGGCGGGGTAGAACTAAGGAGCCCACACAAGAGCTGAAGCAGCCCGGCCCCGGGCTTGACTTAGTTATCCAAATTGAGGACCAGTTGCTAAGATACCAAGTTGGAGTACCGCCTCACTTGAACTGGTCGACTTCCTATGCTTTGAGATCGGAGTTTTCAAATCACTCGACTATTCAAAGACAGCGCAACGTTCTCCATCTACGGCACGTAAAACATTCTCTTACAATGGAGGGTTGATCCTTGTTGACAATTGAGCAGATTTTTGCATCTTCAGATCCTCCTATATCGACCAATATTCACACAGCTCTGTTTTGGTCAACAGCCCGATGAGCTCCTTTATACCAACCCTGATTCGCTGCATTCGTTCATGCTCTTAAAATGCGCTTCCGGATGCATTCAAGCGGCAATCAACCTTATCTCGCTTGTCCACAAAACACACAAGACATCGACAGCGGATACATGGTGGTACAATGGCTTTTGTGAGTACCAAGTGTTACACTTACTCCCGCAGTTTCTAACTTCCATGCAGATACTTCTACTGCTGCGATGGTTCTCATTATGTCTTACAAGTGTCGGGTACTAAGGGATCTCAAAGATACCGATATTGATCTTACATGGCAAAAGGCCGAAGCCATCTTACAAGATATGGTCTCGTTTAGCAAGTCAGCCCGGAATACACTAGGGTTCCTCCAGACCATTCGGACCCAGGTTTGTCCTGAACTGGATAGTGCAAACCCTCCACTAAATAGCAACCACGTGTCCCGGAACCTTTTCTCGGACAGGCAGAGACAGAGACGTCGGCTCCGTTCGACTCGGGACAAACATTCAGTATGGAGGGGGGAATTTCGGTGGGAGAATTAGGATTCCTGGGATCTTTCGAATTTCACGAAATCCAAGACTGGCTTCCACAGGCTACATGATAGGGTTCGACGCGTGTGGCGGTTTCTGTGGTTTTCTATCTTTATACAATTCTCTGGCCAGAATATGAACCTAATGAACATAACAAATCATCACAAGCATAGATCAAATCCAAGCGATGGGTAGCAATGGGTTTCATATTGACTACTGAACCCCAAACATCACTGCCTCACATACTCCAGGAGCTGCGGCGAAATCGGACGGAAGGAAACGAGCTATATAGTTAGGCTATCTGCGCAATAATCCATTCCGTGATGAACTTTGTCGTTTTGCCGGGCGGGCGCTTTGCCATGAAATCCATAAGGGGCACATCATGGGCTTCCTTTGCTGCCATGCAACCGGTTACTTGTGCCTTGCCCTTCCGTCTCAGCACATCCAGTAACTGAACATTATGGTCCCAGAAAACCTCCTCATCACCAGCAGTGATAAGAATGTTGCTCACAGAGTCCAAATCATTCCACCATTCCTCGGGAACATCCAGCGCCATTCCCCAACCATAGCCTTTTGAACGCTCCTCGTACCAGGATGAACCTCGAACGAGCAGATCTCCCCATTTGGCAACAACTTCCTTTCCAAGAACATCCACGCTGAGTGTCTTCTGGTAAGAACCCGCTTCGACATCGAAGGACGCGAGAGGGGATACCAAAAAGCAGCCTTTAATCTTCTCCGTGGGCTTGATCAGAGTGCTCAAGTCTGCCCCGCCAGGACGGGGATGATGAAGATGTGACAACAGAGATAATGCAAGATGGCCACCTGCGGAGTCGCCGCCGAAAATGATCTAATTCTTATTTAGACAGGGCTTGGATTGGATAGCTGAGAACTTACATTTCCGGGAGCATATCCAGATGCAAGCAAATGCTTCAAGGATACAATGGCTTGGTTCATTTGACGAGGGTAGGGACTGTCAGGAATCAAATCTAGGCAAAGTTAGCTGCTTGTCAATGACCAAAGAAAAGAGGACTTCGGAACCGTATTCAAGTACGCAGATATCTAATTCAATGCCTGCCTTTGTAGTTTCATCTAGGATATGTGCCATCCAATCCAGATGACCCGGTGAGAGAGGCATAACGTATCCGCCACCTAAATATTGTTATTTGGTGTGTTCAATATGAGAATTGAGGAGAGGTTTACCATGGAAGAAAAGAAGAACATTTTTCCCTTTCTTCTGTCGCAGCCACAAGATTCGCGTTTCTCCGTCTGCTACAGTCTCGATGATGGGCTCAGATGTGTGTGGATCAACCTTAGACCATGCTAGATATGTATCCCTTGTTCCTGGGAAGATTGCTTGGATTTGATATGGTGGTACGTTGGCCATCAGCGGACGTGCAAAAGCATTCGTGAGCGCTGGACCGAAGGGAAGCTTATGATACCATGCTCGCACGGCTGCTTTGGCGATATTGAAAAGTCCTGTTGGCAACAAGCAGAATAAAAATTTGAGAAGCAGTCCCACCTTAGCTGGAGCGGAGAGCTTGTTGGGTGCCATAGTTGCTGTAGTTGCTGAGAGGGTCAACAGACGTGTACCTTGACCACTTCGGAACAATCTCTCAAATCAGAGCAGTTCAAGTGAAACAGCATCTGGGATATGAGCTTACGCCTCGTAGGTCATGGGACTGGGGAAAATGAGGGGGTGCGCCACTAGTCTGGAGGCACCGGAGCGTTCCGACGATGCGGTCCATAGCCGACAGGGGCGTGTCGTGAAGCCTCGGTATCGCAAGGCAACAAATTGAGCGTATATAGCCACGGTGTTTGCTCTTTGAAATCAATCACTGGGTATCGTCAAACAGAAAGCCATGGCAGACGAACAGCAGACGATAGTCCCAACCTACAGCCAGTTCGGCTGTATTGGCACCGGGCTCAGCGCAATTGCTCTTGGCGCTACACTCAAGCGATGGTACCAGCTGGACGACATCAAATTCTTCGAGCGACATGGCGATTGCGGTGGAACATGGTATATCAGTTCCTATCCTGGTAATTTCAGGTTTCCAATTCTTCGCGGATAATACTAACAGCTCACAGGATGCGGATGCGACGTTCCAAGCGCGCTCTACAGTTTATCATTTGCCCAGAACCCTGGATGGACCAGAGTTATGCCTTCCTACAAGGAAATCAAGGCTTACCAGGATGAAGTTATCAAAACATACGGGCTTCTTGAGAAAATGACCTTCCGTACCGAGGTACAGCAATGTATCTGGCGCGACGACGCCTCGCGGTGGCTGATGATCATGCGCAATCTGGACACAGGAAAGGTTTCTCATCATGAATGCCAGATTCTGTTCTCTGCAACTGGGCAATTGGTGGAGCCTCGTCCATGCGATATTCCTGGTGCTTCTTCTTTCGAAGGCAGTCTTTTCCACTCAGCGCGATGGAATCATGATGTGAAACTGGAAGGCAAGAACGTCGTTGTCATTGGAAATGGATGTAAGTTGATCCACTGCTTGTAACGATTTAATTACGCTGACAGCCAAAACGCAGGCACTGCTGCTCAGATTGTTCCATCCATTGTGGACCAAACTAAATCCCTAACCCAAATAGTCCGCACCAAGCATTGGATATTTCCAGCACTCAACTTTGAATATCCAGCTGCCCTAAAGTGGATTTTCCGCTGGGTTCCCTTAGCCATGAGACTGCATCGTTTGCATATTTTCTTGCTTGCGGAGAGTGATTTCCGTCTGTTCCCCATGACCAAGGCGGCAGCCAGACTCCGTGCAAAGCGTCGACAAGGCGTGGAAAAATACATGAGGGAGACAGCCCCAGAGAAGTATCACGACCTTCTAATCCCCGATTTTGATGTCGGCTGCAAGGTGAGTCTCCAGCGGCCTGCATACAACAAATCATAACTCACATCACCAGCGCCGAATCTTCGATCCCGGCTACCTAAAGTCATTGCACAATGAGAAGCTGCTATTGACTGATGCCAAGATTCTCGAAATCACACCCACCGGGATTAAAACCAGCGATGGATTTGTCCCCGCCGATGTTATCGTCCTCGCCACTGGATTCCAAACAAACAAGTTCCTCCCATACACAGAGATCCGCGGTCGCAATGGTACAGTTGAAGAGCATTGGGAAAGATATGATGGGCCGGGGGCATATAACTGCTCTGTTCTCAGTGGATTCCCGAACTTCTTCATGTTACTGGGCCCGAATGCAGCTACGGGACACACCTCGGCTTTGATGGCCTCGGAGAAGTACGTGTCTTACCTTCAAGTAATTCGTGTTGCGCTAACCTTTTCAGCTCGGTGAACTACGCCCTTCGTGTGCTCAAGCCTGTGCTAGATGGAAATGCAGCGTCTATTGATCTCAAGCAAGAAGCGGAGGAAGGATACATAGAGTGGATGCAGAGTGCTTTGCGGAAGAGGGTGTGGAATGCGGGATGCGCTTCGGTAGGTGGATCTCATGCGCATCGGAGTGTTTATTTCCGCTGACAAGAACAAGTGGTATGTCACCGAGAAGCAATGGAACGCAATGGCGTATCCATGGACCCAGGCACATTATTGGTATCGGAGCTTGTTCCCTGTGTGGTCCCACTGGACACAAAAGGTATGTTATGCTTAACTTTCAATGGTCGGCATGTACTAACTCCTTTTCAGAAAATCCAAAAACCTGCTAAAAAAAGAGGTGGACTCATCTGGACAATGGCTGTTCTGGTTGCGCTAGGAGCAGCGTTCATCCGCCCAGAGGATATAATTCCTCTTTGGACCTGGGCTAGTACGGAAGTGAGAAGCATGATAAAGCTGTAGAGTTTCTTTCTTTCTAAAGTAGACTTGCATGCGTTGCAGGCTACTTCCGTGTTGTTTTCAAAGAATGTTTTATAGTTTGGGCGATTTGGATTTCAGTTGACAATGTGAATTTATCTTCTCTCACTTATATACTCCCTTTGAATGTGGCGATGTAGCCTAAAACTTCAGGCTGACACCTCAGGTTTCTAGAGATGGCTTCTTCTTCCATTGATATGGACATAAGTAGTCAAGACATATCACTAAATTCCCCCCTTACCTACGTTCATGCCCAAGATAATACGCGATAATAGACAGCCCATACAATCCCTCAAGCCATAGCTTCAAGACTACTACATGACTCTATGCAAGCTTGCAAAATACGTAATTACGTGAGCTAATAACCGGAAACTACCATAAGTACGCGTGCTGCCTCGGTCCTGGCTGTCTTAAACGGATGAGTAGCGCTTGTACCGTACGAACAGTGCGTTCTTCGGGATGACCCCGAGCGGCGGAAGCAACCCGTCACGGTCATCTTTACAATTGTCAAGCACATTGATGTCTATAAGTAATGAGTTGATTTGCCCTTCTTGGGGTATTGAAGAAAGTATACAGCATCATTGGTCACACACATAACGCGATGGGATCTCACCGCGGCATCCTTCCAAGGGAGGGGCTCTACATCGACCCGATTGTCATTTTGGCGAAGAAGACAATCCTCCACCCAATATTTGCTCTGTGTGTGTTTGCGTTCTGTAAGCTGAATGCTTCAGAATGGCCTGCTTTTCAAACACCGGTTCTATATGGGACTATATTAAGTCTTGCTCTGTGGATCAATGACTTTCTCAGTCACAAAGCCAGAAACAACTGGACCACTGACTCTAATTGGGAATGGTCTAAAGAGATCGTCGTTGTGACGGGGGGTAGCAGTGGTATTGGAGAAAGCGTTGTTCGGCGGCTCGTAGCGGATGGCGTACGCGTGGTTATTCTGGATGTAGTTCCAGCGAATTTTACTTCCGGTGAGTGCTGTGGTCTTTGATCTCGGCTTCGATATGCTGATGATACCACAGGTAGCAAGCTTATAACACACTACCGGTGCGATTTGAGTGACGAATCCGAGATTCGTGATGTATGCAATCGTATTCGAAAGGAAGTCGGTCATCCAACAGTCCTCAGTACGTAAAAATACAAAAGAAGCTCCGAATACCCTGGGTAGCGTGATTAACTGCCGCAGTTAACAATGCTGGTCTATCTCGTGGCCGCACTGTGTCCGAAGGGACATACCATGATAACAGCATCACGATCCGAACAAATTTATTGGCACCGTTTCTTTTAACGAAAGAATTTTTGCCCAATATGATCCAGCATAACCATGGCCACATCTTCAACATCTCATCCATGAGTGCTTTTGTCCCCCCGGCAGGCCTCGCAGATTACGGTGCCTCTAAGGCCGGTCTGGTAGCCCTTCACGAGGTGAGCATAATCCCTGAACCCTTTACCTATACAAAGAATCCTTGCTCAAGCGAACCATATAGGCCCTTGGTCTGGAGATCAAGTATCGCTACGGGGCACCCAAAATCCGCACATCGATAGCCGTTCTAAGCTTTACCAAAACGCCACTTTTCAAGGGGGAGACCAATCAATCGGGCTTCTTGTCTCCTCTGATGCATGTGGATACAGTGGGCGATGCGATCGTTGATACACTGTATAGCGGCTACGGCCGGGATATATTTTTACCAGGAATATGCGGGTATCTTACTGGCCTTGTAAGTATTGTTCATCTCGAGATCACAACCTTGGAAGTGGCCTTTGCTGATTTCTCATAGCGACAAGCGCCCCACTGGTTGCAAGAACTGATACGTGGTGGGTCAGAGTCCCTGAAAGTGGATTTCAAAGGGCGGCAAAAGATCAATCCAACAACAGGGAAATTGATGTAGATATTGTCTAGTGGTTTGATTCTGTCTTTCTTCTGCCTTGAATCTGGGAAAACCGTGGAACTGCCCATAGAGGAGTTGAGCCACCGATACCAGTAGTTTACTCCTATATTAGGTTTAGTCCAAAAAATTGAGATGGTGCGTTGAGACTGATTAAAGCTGCAATGTAGGTGCCTTTTACCGAAATATGTAGCTGTGAGACTAATCCTATAATGATGTTAAGTCGACCCAGACGGATAATCTTGATACCTGGGATGGTTGACATATATTGGACTTCTGAAAGCTCATATGAGTACTTCCAAACTATTTCCAAGGGATAATAGTAAATCCTAAGATAAAGATAGTTGTATTAAAGCCACATGTATCTACAACATACATGCGCGGTCAGGTGTACATTGAGTCTGAGGGTGGGCAGCCTGAGGCATCAGGGCAACAACCCATTGAGCCGATCTCTCCAACGGCTGTAGGAATCTGTCTCGTAGTAACGAGAGTGGACACTGGCGGGCAACGCTCGGACCGTTTAGTTTCTTTGATGCTTCGCTGATGCCTAATCCAGCGTAGCAGATCGCCATCCAGATGGAGACTTCGGACCTATACGGCAGGGCTTCCCGGGAAGACAATTCGACGAATGGATGTAGAAACAGGTATTTGTACTATTTGTACTCCATACGGAGTACTCCGTAGCGAGTACTCCGTATGGAGTCCAAGACATGGAGAAATGACGTGACTCTCATTCCTCAGGTCCAGCCAGCCCTAGATGGTGGCTAGATCCGGATCCGGATCCGGGGAAAAGTGCGAATAACTTCCAAGTTTTAACACCAGCGGTCAAGCCCTACAAGTTCCGGTCACTGCCGGCCGACCTAATATAGTGGTCCCGGGCCCAAAAATTGGAGGATGATCTTCCCAATTGCCTGTGAAGTTAACGTTTGCGGTGAAAAAGGCAAAAAGGACGCAAGGGCTCATTTTGAAGTCACGGGATTCAAGGCGTCGAATCCCTTCCCTCCCAGGGCTGAAAATATAAGCACTGTTGACATATCTTCGGTTGTCGCGATCCGACGATGGCGACCGAGGGACACCCCTGCTATTCACGCCTTCCTCACACCTCCGCTGAGACGCGGCAGTGCATGAGCTCACTAGTAAGTCATGGACCCTGCAACCGACATCGCTATACTGACAGGACCAGCGTCGCAACCCTTGTTGGCGCCTCGTCGACCGCGTCCGACTGGAGTACTATCGCTACGAGGTCACTTTCGGATTGTACGTAATGACCCCTCGTGAAAAGTTCGTGGTCAACAGCGTTGTCTCCGTCTGCATCGCTCTCCTCCTCTGGGCTCTCCTCCAATATTTCCCATCCCTCCTGCACCGAAAAGTCGTCAGCGCCCTCCTGATCGTCGAGGGATAACAACATTGAAGTATGGGATGCGGTGTTGCGAATACTTGATGAGCAATAATGATTTCAGCTTATATGAGTTGTGGAGCATGGTGTGGTCTTTCATAACCCACCCCCGAAAGCCACCTGCGACACTCCCACACTCCTATAACCTACTCGCTCGCTCTCCACGAACCGGATGTTTCGTGTTGACACATAATATAATGTCTTAATGCTATGGGTGCTCTTCAGCAAGTTGGATTTAGCTAGATATCGTCGCATTAGCGTTGCAAAGCCAATTGAAAAAAACCATCCCCCCTCTGTTGCGGCCTAGAACGTATCCAGAGTCGGTCCATACTCCCTAAGGGACCAACTGACGTAAGTTACTAGCGCCGATCTTTTCGCATCGCAAACCTTGTTCAATTCAAGCGCGAGGTTCTGCAGTGAGCCAGTAATCATTCGGGTGAGGCCTATAAAGCAGTATAACGGCATATGCCGCGGCGGAGGTCACGATATATCTGTCTATGCCTACAACAAGGATATGGAATAGAATGTACTAACCTGGCTTTCGCTACGGAGTACTCCATACATAAGCCCTGTAGCAAGATCGTTGGGTTTTCAGCCCGAAGAGTGGACCTCATCCCATCGGCAAAATCGGAACCGTCGCCTGATGCCATTTCCTTGCTTTCCGACGTATGTGCCGAGTTCCGTGTTAGTGGCTACATCGAATTTTTTCTTCTCGACTGGCCCTGTTTGTTGCGAAGAGGCTATCCAATGTATGTACCTTGAATTGACGTCACAGGAGTGCAACCTTATTGACCTGAACAATATGTACCCACAACATAGGTACCCGAACCACAGGGCTCGAGAACCACTACGACTTAGGTTTCCTAGCAGTTAAAACGACAAAGCCAATGAAGTCCAAATCTGATACGATAGCCGAAGGGGTCTTGGGAAACCCCCGCAATGCAATTGAGTTGTCCTTATCATGACTAACTTTGAGCAGTCCGCCGTCAGCGTCAACAAGGGTCTCTCTACTCGTCATTCAGGCTCTTTGCAACTTCCAAAACACCTTCTCGGGTTGCCTCTTCGATAATGAGTTTGGCGTGCTCTTCACTCCTCACCGTCACCTTCACTGGGAAGGGCTCGTCCGTACGATGATGGTTGAGTCGATGTGAGTCAAATGGACCATCCTATTGCAAGTGTCAGTTTTGACCACCGAAACCGGAACGTAATTATCATAAACTTACCGCTGCGTAGTCATAACACATTGCCAGTCGAGCGATGTTGATAAAGAGCCCTCTTTGAGCAAGACGGTATCCTACACAAATACGTCGACCACCTCCAAACTGCCAAAGCCCATGCGCAGCATCGGTCTCATGTCCATCTAGCCATCTCTCGGGTTTAAAGGCTTCTGGTTCTTCGCATTCATTGGCCACTGGAATTCCATTAATCACAAAACCAACACCGGCTGGGAAGTGATATCCCTCGAATTCCAAATCCGTTGTCAGCACATGGTCTGGCGTGAACGGAAAAATCGGTCTCCAGCGCAGAATCTCTTTGATTATGGCACAGATGTAAGGCAATTGCTCCATATCTGCGATTCCAGGTAGCCGTAAGTTACTTGGATCGGCTGCACAGATCCGGTCCACCTCTGCGCGTGCCTTTTGGAACACATCTGGGTGGCACAATGCGGACATGACGAAGATATTCAGAGCTTCACGAGTGGTATCGCTACCTGCCTCGATGAGCTGCATCGCCACATACATAGCCTCTTGGTCATCGCCGGTAAACTTGGTATCTTCGTGCAGGAGAACATCCCGGACGAATGACGGCGGCGCAATACCCGCGTCGATCTGCTCGCGCGCCGGTACCCACCACGAGCGAAATACCTCGTAGTTCCACTGGCCCTGCTTTTCCCAGTGTTTGCGCCAAAATTGCAGGGGCTTTGGTAGTGCATCTAACTCGGGGAACCAGTCAATCAGACTGGACCCAATACTCCCCACGAAGTATGTGACCGAATCTTGCAAGGCAGCTAGCTCTTTGCCGGTCTTGACCAGACGCTCGCCTAGTGCAATGCGATGCACCACTGAATTGGCATACCGATAGTGATGGGAATACCACCTCTTCGGCTTGTAAAGATACTCGGCCAGGAGCTGGGTACTTTCCAACTCCTGCCACGAGCCATATTGCTTCAAAGCTGTGCCGCTGAGCAGAGAGTGCATGACACGACGTTTTTCTGTCCATCCTGAAGGCGGGAGTAACAAGGAACGGCCATTACGACTGACGATACCACTCGCGACGGGCATGGGCGATCGACCATTTGTGATTGTTCCTCTTTTTGCGATAATCTCCGCCACGACGCGTTTGCTGTTTAACATAACCCACGTCTTAGATCCCATATGCAGCGTGGTCATCTCACCAAAGCGAGCGAGGTCTGTGTGCTATATGGACAGTCAGTCTGAGTAGCATAAAAAATAAGATATTATCGCTCACTACTGTGGAGTTTGGATCGTCCCGTGCAGCCCTCATCACACTAAGACTCCCAAATATAGGGACCCCTCTGGGTCCTGGGGGAAGCCGCCACGTTTTTCCCGGCGGTGCTCGACGCTTCCCAGTTGGCGTGAAGATTTCCCGTATGATCAGAAATGTAGTACCCAGACATACTGCGATGGCCACCAACGTCGCGACGAAGGGGTGACTGGCAGCATAACTCGCGATTCGAGCGTGAATGGATGGAGCCATTGGCAGTCAATGCAGGCAGTCGTGTTTTGACAAAAATAGCATGTTATTGAATTACAAGTTTATATTCTTGTTGACACTCAAGCCCGGGTGCGTTCCGGTTTGTGGGGAAGCGGAGGAAGCGGAGGTTCGGATCATTCCGTGCCAGTGACGCACTTGCTCCTCTTCTACACGCGTACCTTAATATGGAGTCTACCCCGGCATGGGCCCATGTGGAAATCCCCAAGAGCTCTCACTGGCATCATGGTGCGCCCACTTCTTTCGGCTGTTCTGGCCCTTTTGCTGGTCGTGTACTTCCAAAAAGAGGCAATCAACAACATGACCGACGAGGCAACCGACTGGCTACAGGACAAGGTCCTGGAATGGATGGACCCGCCCCCTATAAACAAGATTGATACGCACCATCATTATGTGCCCTCATTCTATAGCAAGGGTATGCCAACTCTAAAGCCCCACAATGTGCACAATCTAACCACTACTTCCACAGCAATTGCGAAGGCAGGAGGTAAATACTTTCCAGCTATACTTCCCCAATAAGCCAACTGACGATATCTCAGGGGATCCCAGCGGATGGCCCACTCCATCCTGGAGGCCTCTACAGTCAAAGTTGCTTATGAAACGGCTCGGCGTACAAACATCGATTCTCTCTGTGACAGCTCCTGGGGCTTGTATCCTCCAAGGACAAGAATCTTTCGACTTAGCACGGAAACTCAATATATATGGCGCTGAGATGCGAGACAAAGATCCCCAAGCCTTTGGTTTTCTTGCGTCACTCCCGAGCCTTCTAGATACGGAGGCCGCACTTGCGGAACTGACCTACGCTCTTGATACGCTGCACGCAGACGGCGTCACCTTGTTTACACGCTATGGCCCAGGGAACGTATATCTGGGACATCCTTCTCTAGAACCAATCTGGGCTGAGCTCAATCGCCGGAAAGCTGTTGTTTTTATTCATCCTACACACCCGGCTGACACGACACCTATAAATAAAGTGCTCCCGCAGCCTGCCGTTGACTACCCACATGAGACAACCCGCACTGCCATGGATATGATCACCCAGGGTACACTGCGCAAGTTCCCGGACTGCAAGGTTATCCTCTCACATGCAGGTGGTGCCTTACCCTATCTTGTAACGCGCGTGGCTACCCCGATGCGCAAGGCACCCGATTTTGCAGTTAACTTGCGCATGGGAACCACGCATTCCCAGGTGATGGAAGACTTCCGTAGCTTTTACTTTGATTTGGCGCTGTCGACAGCGCCATCTGTGCTGGATATGGTCTTGAAAATGATCCCGCATGATCATCTTTTGTTTGGGGTGAGTTACTTTTCATGGGACTAGTCGTTTTGTGGGCTGTCGCTGACCTCCCGATCAAGAGCGACTTCCCATATGCTCCAACCTCAGCATATCCGGCATTTTTAGAAGATTTGGAAGGGTATGAGATGGATGCAGATCTGAGGGAAAAGATCAACTTCAGAAATGCCCTCGATCTGATCCCAAGATTACGAACTGAGTAACTGTGCCTAGCGGGCTGGGGACAGGCTATGTACGTCTTTGTGGTTGTTCGGAAGGAAAAGGTACCACGAGGATACTGCGGAAGCCAGTAGTGTTTGAGGGCAATGAAATAAGATATTTTTGACTAACAACCAGGTCAATGGGCGAAGAATCACTCGCGTATTAGCCGTTCAGTATAAATTCAGTGGGCATTTTCGTTCAAGCTTTGCGATACATTCTATTATTTCTTCACATTTATTAACAACGCTATAAAAAATCAAGTCCATGAAGGATCTAGTTTTGTACACATGCATGTACGCTGGTGAATGGCGGGCGAAGGATGAATATTCACATTTCTACCCACTCACAAGAGCATCCGGCGTCAGCTTGGTAGCAGTAACGGCAGCGCTTTCGCCTGGTGTAACAGTGACCTCGGCAGCAAGAGTGTCCAAGTTTTCGGCCTCCTTAGTCTCTTCGTTCTTATTCTTGGGTAGGGGCTTTGTGCCCTTCTCACGCATAGCTCCACTCTCAAATGCTTCCTCGGGCAAAGGACGGACGTAGGGCTGACAGATCCACCAAGGCCTTCCATATTCCGCGATAACTGCTTTAGAGCCCTTCAAGGACTCGTCGGGTTGGCTCTCAAACTTCTCGGGGGAAGCTTCGTACTCCTGGAGCCCACCTTTGACGGCCTTCTCGAGGAGGGTCAGGGTGTGTTCGAAAGCGGCCATGTCTCCTGGTATCGATTTTGCAAGAGCATCTCGAACGTTGGTATGCGTTGCGACCATTGGTCGCAGAACTTGGAAGAGGTGGCCTTGCATGAAACCCAGGCTGGGAGAATTGGACTTCTTGCTCTTCTCTGCTTTGCTGCGCTTTTGTTTCTTCTTCTGGGGGCCGTCTTCGTGATCGTTTTCTTCGGCATCATCTGTTTCTGCAAACTCATCGACTGGGTCAGACGGTAGATAAAGCGGCTTCCTTTCTGGCGCAGGTTGGTCGAGAATATATTTATAGATAATATCAAGGTATCGTCGCATGATGGCATCGACTCGGTAACCGCCCTTTCCATCTCGTCCACGCCAGTATTCTCTCCCTTCGGTTCCAACAGGGGGCGGCTTGCTGAAGATGGATGGATCGGATAGGTTTCCCTCCGCACTCATCACGGCGTCGGCACCTGTTGCCTCGAGACAGGTTTCGATGTCATCGTAGTTAAGAATGTTTCCATTGGCAAAAATCACAGTGTCCGGGGGTAGATTGTCGCGCAAATAGCGGATGTAGCTCCAATCTGCAACTCCGGTGTTGTGGCCCTTTTGCTCCCGTCTGCGGCCATGCACGGTGATGATACTAGCACCGGCGGAGAGAATCATTTTGGCGTACTTCAAAGTCTGTTCCTTGTCCTCCTGGATCCGGAATTTAACGGTGACAGGGATTGAAAGTTCGGTGTGCAGCCGGTGTACAAGGTTATAGATCAAATCCCAATCTTCTTGAAGGAAAGCTCCATAGTGTCCCCTTTTTGCGATACCCTGCGGGCAGCCGAGGTTTAGATCCACAGCATCACAGTGAGGGGCGACATGGCGGGCGGCTTCGAGGAACTCATCGGGATTGTTTGTGCAGAATTGAACGAAAAGTGGCCGATCAATTGCAGGGTTTCCATCAAGGAATAAATCATCTTGACTTCCTCCGATTGCTTTGCGTGTAGGCTGGAAATGCTGGTGGCGCACGCGCTCTTGTTCGCCAAACATGCGTGCATGGAACATTGGGGAGTATGCGAGTAAGGGTTTCGGGTCATTAGGAGGCATGAAGGAGCGTGTGAGCATGCGCCACGCCTAGATGAACCATTAGCATTGACCTGCAGAGGTGGTAAGTACCTTGAGCGAAAGACTTACAAACTCGGATCTGTCAACCATTGGGGCAACGACATATTTTGGGCTACCGATGCTCTCATAGAACTTTCTTCCGAAGAGCTTTTCTTTAGTCTGAGGCGCAGCCGCGGAGGTCTGCTCGACGGTCTTCGGCGGGGTTGTTGTGGATGCCATTTTTGAGAGGTAGGACCGTGGGAGGTGTCGGGAAAATCGGCCCAGCGAAGGGCTGAAGGGCTTCAAGATACCTATATTGACTGCTGAAATGAAACGCCTGAAATTGGTCAATGATTGCCTCTGGTCGCAAAGCAACGGAGAAGCAACTTTTGCGAAAAGTACAGTTATCTCGGTCGGAATTATAATATCCCGGCTTATCTTATCGCGATTAGAACGCAGGAAGCTGCGATCAGGAAGCCTGGGAAGATCGGGATTGATCCTGGAGACGAAACATATTTGGATGCAATAAGATAATCTGTCATAAGAAAATGAGACTATAAAGGCTATATGTCAACATTTTGGAAACACAACTCATTTTTTCTTTCTTAATCGCTGACTACCATCGTCTTTCTACTACCAACAATGAACGCGTCTTTAGGCCCTGGAGGTAAGTCTACCTAAGGATATAATCTTGCGATGGAACATTTCTCACGATGTGATAGGTCCATTAAATGTCTTCTTCTCCGAGGATGGGTTATACGCTGCCCATGTGAGCGGAAAATCTTTGATTGTGCACTCCAACGTAACTTCAGAGAACCCAGAAGTGCAGATCTCGCGCACCAAGGAGAGTGCACTTAAATCACTCAGATATTTCAACTCCAGAGATTCCATCGGTTCGTCATTTGACGAAAGCGCCTCTTGGCGGCGAATTTTGACTGCCAACGATAACCGCATTTCGGTCTGGCAGCTCACTCCGCTTGAAATAGTTGCTGAGATCGGAACCCTTGAACCAGGAGCATTGGCTTTTGACTTCGGCGCCGACGAGAATGAAGTACTTGTTTTTCATGCGTGGAACACGAAGTTGAGCATCCACTCATTAGAAACTGGCCGTAGCTCAGTCATTAAAACACCGAAACTGGCCCATCATCTTGGGTTTGGCTATCGGCCGGAAACCAGAGAACTGGCCATTCTTCTGAAACCGGAGACCTCAGACCTACTGACTGTACATGAGCCCAAGTCTTATAACATCATCAACAGAACTGTGCTTCCAACAATTGATGCACAAGGATTGAAATGGAGCCCCGATGGGAAATGGATTGCCGTCTGGGATACTGCTAGTGCAGGCACAAAGGTGCTGATATTCACAGCGGACGGTCAACTCTACAGGACCAATGACGGACCATCTGGGGTGGACGATTCCTTCGACCTAGGAGTGAAACAGATTGAATGGAGCCCTGCTCCTCGCCAAGGAATTTCAGAAATATTGGCAGTGGGGAAAGTCAACGGCAACATTGATTTACTCCGAACCCGCACTGTGAGTTATCATCCCAAAGGTCTCCCCCATCATTTGCTAATCCTGCTCGTCGCAGTTCTCTTCCGCAACGACTCTTTCACATATCTTCCACTCAGACCAGCAATGTCACGATATTTGGCGCGAGAGATACACTAGTGCCACAGGGGACGCTGAATATGCTGAAGCATCTTGCTCCTCGGCATTCAGCATGAGCCCGGAGTCGGCAGGACCTCCACGAGGTGTTTTGACTATGACCTTCAGCCCGGACGGTCATCTTCTTGCCACTGTTGACACTACAAGGCAGAATGTTGTTTGGATTTGGTCATTAGATGGCACCCCGAAACTTATGTCAGCTTTGGTTCACGAGCAACCGGTGCGGCAGGTTGTTTGGCATCCCTCGATGCCACAACTCTTGATCAACACCATCACTAATGCATTACCTGCTATTCGTTGGTGGTCACCACATGATCGTCCACTGATTGCCCGCGTTCCTGTCCAAAGGAGTGAGAGTGGGAAATATGACGTGCGATGGGCTGCAAGTTCAGATTCAGACTCATCATTTTGGTTTGGGTCCACAGAAGCACATGTTATCGGATATTTGTCCGCTCAAGAGGGCGCCGTTGAGTTTGAAGTGTTGAATACGGTGGGCAGTAAACTCGGCGAGGGCCATGGAGGCAGTTTGAGCCGATAGTTCTAGGTGATAATGATAATGTATATTGTACCACAATGCGCTAGAAACAAGCTCGCCCAGTTTTGATATAGACAACTATCACCAAAATAGGTCTACTTACTCCCCACATCCTCTGCGCTAGATGCCTTTGAAGATCACTGGTCTAGGGGTATACATAGTGCGACATATGTACTCAGTCATGAATGTGTGGGATACCTGTTTCTTTCTCTTCGTCGATACATATCTTAAGCCTTGGGGCGCTCTGGGATGCCCTGCTCCTTATTAGCTCCAGGGAAGCGGGAACCTCTGTCCTTGACCTTCTTTTCCTTCTTTTGTACAACCGGAGGTGGGTAAGCCTTGAGGGTGATTTCCTGCCATTCGGGTGACTCTTCGTAGGCTTTGCGAATGGGTGCCATGAGACTGTTCAGAGCTGCTGCTGCTGCAGGCTTCAGAAGTTGGGGAGTTAACTGTTGTAGATGATCGTTAGTAAGTTTTTGGGAGTGAACCAAAAGCCTAAACATACAATGTCGTTGGTATAATCATCCTTAAGTTGTTGGATATCAGTGTAAACAAGGGGTTCGTCATCCCGGCGTTCCACGCGGAAGTCTTTGCCAGCGAGAGCAGCTGCGGGTAGTAAGACAAATTCCACCATAGCAATTATGCCATTGTTCTCGACGACTCGGGGGGCCGCTTCCGATTTACGGATCTTTTTAGAGACAGCCTCAGGTGGGTCGAGGAGGTCGATCTTGCTATCTAGCTAGGAGTTAGCGTGGAATCTTCAAGAAAAGGCGAGATTTTCATATACCTTCGATACTAGAGCTCATTTTGCCACCGCTTAGGCCTGCAACCATTGGAGTGATAAGATGGGCACGCTAAGAGTTTGAAATCATTAGCAATATTCGGTGACCTTGACATAGATATATCCCCTACCTTGCGGTATCCGAGTTTAGGTAGCCATTCTGTGGCCGCTGTAAAAAGCTTTCTCTGATCAAGACCTATTTCCCTTTGTTAGAAATAGTATGGATATATAAGTAGAGTTGGACATACCGCCTAATTCAGCATCGACCTTAAGGTACTCCTCATCGAGGACTTGAAGGATCGGGTAGAGAAGGCCGCTCATTGGGGCATTAGTAGATTGTTTCACAATCTCTGCACCGGCCTTCCTGCAATCATGCTCAGAGGTCATGGCAGCAAGCCGGTAGACGTCCATAACATACTCGGAACTCCGCTGGTAGGAACTTCCGAGTACGAACTCGAGCTTCTCCGTCGACACGCCCACAGCCTCCAGAATTCCCCTGATAATCTTCTCGTAGTATTTGACACGGTTTTCGACCAGTTCGAGGGGCGCCTTCATTGAATCCAGGAACGCGTGCACGTCAGCAAGGAGAATTACTACCTCACATTCTGCCGCTAGTAGCTGGGCGATCTTGAGTGCGGCGACAAAATATCCGGAATGGGGTCTGCCAGTGGTAGCAGTGCCTAAGAAAGGATTAAAAAATCCACGTCAGTTCGCTATATTAGATGCTAGAAGGTAGGAAAGAAGTCATTACCCCAGTACACACGGGGATTACGCCCCTCAGCAAGGATATTCTCGATCAGCTCCGGATTGAGAATCTCGCCGAGATTGGCGCGAATGAGATCGAATCTTGACTCCGCGGATAACGCCATTGTTAGATTGATTGAAGAAGGGGCAACGTTTGAGGGGATTGATTCAAAAGAAAACTCTCAATCACCCCGCAATAAAATCTGCACCTACTTACAACATGGGTAGGCGGTCAGGCGAGGGTGAGTCACCATCACGTGACTATATTAATTATGTGGCTAAAGCTTGAGCACCCTTCATGCTACCGCCTTCCTAACTAGTCATACCGCCTACTAGATGTGCTACTTACCGCCCGCTGTGACTAGCCTTGTGTTTGATTGGTGAGGATTTGTCCAGCAGAATAAGGAGGGGTATTACTATCTACATACTTCTGCCGACTGACTGCAGCAGCCTTGAGATCTGCAGCTATTGAGACAGTGGTTAGTGCCTCAGATATCGACACCCATAGATAGTAGCATACCTAAACCAGGAGCTCTTTCTCCTTTCCAAATATAACTCTATCCCTCCTTCTATAGGACTGACTGATATACTGAGGGGATAGAGTTTTACCTCACATTTCTTTTCGGCGGCAAACATTCGGCCAATCATTTTCATTGTTTTTATTAAGAACATACCCCAAGTATCTTTATCTCACATACATACCAGGGCCATACGGAAGTCATGGAGGACTGAATGAGCCGCCATGGCAATTGGCTTTTTTGAACTGGCAGAAAAATTAGTCATCTGCCGTGTTTAGTGGACCCGGGACTTTGTATAGTCTTACATGACTCGAACTATGACGTAATATTAAAGGCACTGAATCAAAATGAGCACTCGGGTAAAGTGTACTAGATTAGTTGGTATAATTGATCGAATTATATACTTGATAAATCGGTGTATAAAGGATAGAGCTGTGCACTAGATCAAACTGCGTACTGGATAAAGCTATGCGCTGGGCGAAGCTGCGTGCTAGACTAAACTACGTACGGGCAGAACCCGGTATACTACGGAGTACAGTGCTCAATAAGAAGGTTCAATGGACAGCTTATTCAAATAGCTCATAATGCCTTCTATTCTATGGCAGAACCCATGAAGTTAAGAAATAATTACCCGGCCTCGGCGAAAAAATGACTCCAGGAGTCAGGTGGCAATGGTATACGAAGCTGAACCCGGGAAAGAATGGAAGACCTATCTTGATTCGTCTGCCAAGGGTTCGAAGAATATTGTCTGCGCAGCTAAGCAGTCCACCCGAGATCAACCAAATTGCCGTTACAACCTAGTATCTTCCCGTGAGATTTAGGACAGAACTCGAAAGTTGCAGAGCCGACTGGAATGACGAGGGCTAGAATCATCGACACAAAAACGATGTTAGTTGGGGCAAACAGAATGCACCAATGATAATATTTGCCGAGCAGGGAGACACGCCAGAAATTACGAATGCGACTAGCACCATCGTGGCGATCACAGGAAGAATTTAAAAGCAAGAATACCAGACGGGCTTTATCATACCACCTTGCACGGAATATGATCGCTATCGATATACTCAGGTGTTGAAGAAATACTTCGGGAAAAACATCCATGTCATTACACAAGGCCAGGTTCCACAGCCATATGATGACGATAAGCCCGCGGAGGTGGGTTTCAACTGTTGTTTCCTGTAAAAAAGAAGTCATCGGATGAAGATGAAGATAATGAGGAATAATAGATGTATCATGATCAATGATAAGAGCGAAGCAGAAATTTGGGAGACTGATTAGTGTCACCAGTTATTATATCCAGATCAATTTGCATGTGGATCAAATGCTATGAGTAGCGATCAGGAGAGATAAGTAGAGTTAAAAGATTCAATAGCACTCGGAAACTCACTATATTTGAATTCGAGGTAAGTCTGCATAGCCAGAATATAAATGAAGGGTTCTGGTATCGATTGGCATGAGGAAAGTCTAAGCGTAGCGTTGCAAACTTCTATAGAAACTTTCGATCGGGAGATATACGATTTTCGGTCCAGAGTCCATTAGAAAGCTCGTCAGAAACAATCTGGAAGTGAATCCCTTCCTGGTCACAGGCAGCCCGCGCAGCTTTTGCTAGCGGTACCGTTTCAGTATCTTCAAAAAAAGGTTCCCATCTTCGTATCCACACTCGCTCCAGACGAGGCATGTGTGCTTTTAGCTTTCGCGCGTTATACGTGACTAGCTGTGTGATTTCTCCGGCGTGCCAGGAGTCATAATCAACCGGGGCATAATCTGACCTGAGACATAATTGCTCGACGCCTTCGGGTAACCCCGATACTAGATCACTCGAGGGCTCCATCGACCATCCTGCGAGTATATTTACTGGTACTTCAACAGAACGAAGATTTGGAAAATCCTTCAGTAAACCAAAGAATGAGGTACTGAGCCCGTGCTCTTCTCGTTTAAGGTAAAAATCCCACTTGCCTTGCGGATAATATTCTATACCAAAAGAGAGACTCCTGAGGGATTCTTTGGCATACTTCAGGCCTTCAATTATTGCTGGTCCATCCTTTAGAGCTGTCTCCTTGCCCCATCTGTATGCCAGTCCCAGGTGGAGGGTCTTCAAGGAAGGAGCAAGAGAAAGGATATTGGGAACCTGAGCCTCTTGAATGGTTGCTCGTGCAAGGATAAGACGTTCAAGGCGAGAAAGATTGGGCCGTCTATCAGGCAGTTTTATGCCCTGTTTAGTACGAAGCTATATTTTAAGAGACCGGAGAGCCGGCAGGTAGAACCAAGCAGAGAATTGCTCGGGGTTGCACTCAGGATAACCGGGTTCTTCCCAAATCAAAGGTTCATCGAAGTTCATTTCGTCGTGGCGAATATTCGCTCCGTAATCCACATTCGTGAGTAAATCAAAGCGTGAAAATTGCTTTGAAGGCGAAGAGAGCGCATGGCGTAGCATCAGTCCGGGAAACCCAGATTGCCACACAAATGAATAATCAAGAGACAGTGATTGAAGATTGTGAAGTTTGGAGAGAAAAATGGACACAATGGCATAAGGGTTTCCATTCTCGAGAGCATAGGCCCAAGTATTAGCATCTGGGAACTCGGTGGTCTTCACGACATCCTGGGCGTGCGCCAACACATCCTGAAAATGCGCGATCTCCGCTTTGCAATCTGTCACGCAGCTTGGAGGCGTCCATGACTCAATCGATGAATCGAAACTCTTTTGTGTCACAAGACTAAAATGCCGAATATCATATGCACGCTCTGGCTTCCATAGTATAGTGCGAAACAATAGAAGGATTCTTCTGAAAGGGATTGGATCCCATTCCCAGGCGATCCTTTTAAAGAGCAAGGGCTCGGCAAAGCGGCTCATGCTCTGAGAAACGAAAAGAAGCGACCAATGATCTTCTGGGGAGAGGCACTCCAAAATTTCGAGCCAGCAATCGCTGGGTAACGAAGGCGCGGGGCTTCATAGATGTTAGTGGGGTTTCGGTAATTGGAATTAGGTTATCTATTAGGCAGAACTGACCATATCATGGAACTGCCAGCCATATTTGAGTCGTGAGGATGTCAAAGGTCAGAGGTACCTAGGTACTAGTGGTCAGGGACAGGGGACAGAAGCTGTAATCAAGTGCAGGTTGTTGCGGCCTCTTCTGGCCCCCAACCCCTGGGCCCCACGGTGACATTTTGAGTCATTTCAAAGACATGCCATAGCCGCAATTGGTCCAGGAACTTTTTAATTGCTCAGAGGTTTGATCAATGTGCTTTTATATTTCTTGGTGTTCTGTCCATTATAACGTCAAATAACACCTATAAAAGTGCATGTAAAAGTCTGTAAGAGCTTTCGCATGCTGGAAAGGATGATCAAGATGTTCATATGATGATAGCTTAAGGGGAAAAAAAACTTCATAACCTGATGAGGGTACCGAGAGAGAGGGAGGAAGAAGAAGGAAGCTTCGCTTCTCAGAAGCTAGCAAAGGCTAGAGACTATATAGTCCATGAAAACTAACAAACCAACAAACTAGCAACTGAAAAGTGAGTCTGTCAAACCAGTCTCTGCCTGAAAGGTCAGGCATCAGGAGATATCTCGACATATTATGTTCTGGCTTGAGGCCGATTGTAGACCAAAATCAAGGGTAATAGCTATACAAGTGCTGCAAATGTGGGCAGCGCTCAGGTGTCGGTTTCAATCAAATTCGAATCTGCTGGCTGGGAGTGCTTCGTCTCAAGCTGGCAGCAAACTAGAATACCTGAATTACCATAGCAGAGATCTTAATAAATGCCCAGCCAAGACATCGAGGCCCAACCTTGGAAAGCTGGTTGGTCAAATAAAGCTTTTTAGATAGTCTGCCGCGCTTAGGGCGTCGCGATGGCGTTTTCGTAATCTTTCTAGTGGTCTTTGTGGTTGTGTGCTGAAAGGACTCTTCAGAAGTCGTTTGTACAGATATCTTCCAAGGTTCTTGACTTCTCAAGAATTCTATGGTAGGAATAGCTTCAATTAGTGGTTACGATCTAAAATACAATAATGAGTGATTATTGCGTCGGAGCCTTGGGATGGTCATGCATCGGGGTCTGGTAGATCAAACTTTGACTTCAGCGAAAAGATTGTCAAAGAATCAACCGGGTCTCATATCGAAAAAATATATGTGGATTTGTGAGTAGGTGATTTTTATGAGATTATTCTCAGCTGCTGTGACATTCCTCGCCAGGGGGCCTGCCTCAACGAGTTTGAGGTCCTGTCACCTGTTAGGGGCTGGTTGAGTATTGGCTATAACACGAAGAGAAACTATATCCAGACTATTGTCATCTCATAAGGTGACAAGAGATCTGATTTTTATGAGTTCATCCTATTTAGTTAATCTCTGAGAATTTACTCGCTAGATTTTCTAACGACACTGCCCTCTTGCTTCTTCGCATATCAGCCCTCCCAGGTCACTTCCACAATGGAGAGATATGACTTGGATGGCTGGTATATTCTCACAATGTTAAATCGCAAGTCTACATCTCTAAAAAGAGATTTCCAATCATCTAGTGTGCGCTCTTGAGCATTCTGCAAAGCAAGCATGTACATATCGTAATCCCTGGTTCTTTCTATTAGCACATAGTCCCATAATGCCAATCAATATAAGGTTCGTACCGTGCCTCGCGCTCTTTCAAGTAATGTGATTCTCCATAGCCGGGAATGATGCGATCATTCAGTATTACCTTGGCCCCGGGCTTCAGGGCCGGTATCAAAGCCTGCAAAATTTTCCGCGCATATTTATTGGACCAGTCATGCAGTACATGACGCAATAAATAAACATCAGCGCCGTGTACCGGTTGGCTTTGGAAAAAGTCATGAGTTTGGAAGCGAATACGATCCTGGAGGTGAACCGGCAAAGCTTGTGCCGCCTGAGAGATAACCTCGGGGCGATCTTGTACAATGCACTGAACTGTAGGGCAGTGATCCGCGAGTGCACGGGCGATGTGGCCGATGCCACCGCCTACATCGACGACCGTGATATCTCCAGATCCGAACGGAAAGTGATCTACTAGGTACTGCGTGGAGTAGCCAGGTAGCTGAGCGAGCCAACTCATGGCTGTAGCAAAGGTCTTTGCACGTTCGGGCATGTTGGCAAGGGCTTGGAAGACTGGGAGGTCAGTGCCATTTTGTATACTCCATCCCTGCTGCTATTAGCGAACTTGCATGAAAGAGTTACTGGAATTATTACGCTATGTTGTGGCTCTTCAGAGTCATTGTTTTCCGATACAGCTTCGGCAATCTGGGATATCAGCTTGGTATCAACAGAAGCTTGGTATACTTGTGGCATACCTTAAGGGCACCAGGCATGGTCTCGCCAAGTCCGACAAGCATCCAAGAACGCATACCCTCATTTTCTGTCAGAATACGAGAGCCAGCTGTGTGGATGAAAAAGTCAGGCTTGTCTTGGAAGAAGACATGATAGGTGGCGGCATGAGACACCAATCGGCGAACAATATTTTCACTGCGATTAACGCGGTGTGCTAGATCCTTGATGGTTGCTCCCTCACTCGGAAAGTTCTCAAAGACCTTCAGGCGAATCAAAGCCAATATACTCAAGGAAGGGTTACGCTAAAGAGGTTAGTCTGGTTGAAAAGTGGAATGTCTTTGGACTCACCAATTCAGGACTACCCAAGAGTGCTGGGTCGGTTAAGAGATCACGTAGCTCATCTAGTAAGCCCAGGAGCTTCATGCGTGCGGCCAGGACATTTGAATCCGGCGCATCGGTCTGCAGCACAGCGGGCAATCCATGCTCAAAAGAAGGCTCGGGAATTCCCTGAGAAGAAAGATCGCCTGCTAGGCTGCGAACAACATCAGCAATCTCAGTAGCGCGGCTGTTGAGGCTTGCACGGTCCATTGAGGGTAATGGTGAGGTATGGGTGTGTTGAAATTGATTTTGCGAATGGCACTTTCACTGAAAGGGAACCACCACTTCTTAAGGGACGGAGCTTGCGGATGGGCACGGAATACTCCGTACTTTGGCCGGAAACTAAACCAAATCCTCAGCTGCTCGCTTATACAGGTATGGCATGGTTCTTGCGGAACAACGGGAGCAAGCCCCGGGAGTATCTGACCCCTCTTGGTTTTTGGGGCCGTCGCCCGGTCCTCTATTCAAAACGCGCTACCGTAGTCTGTAAGCCACCTGAAACGTGATAAAAGGACACTAGGGCCATTCTCCGCCTTTGGAGCGAGTCATGCTTCAAAGCAGGGAACTTGAAGGCTCATATTCTCTTTTCAAGGCCTTCAACCTTCGAGTCGATTGCAAAATGTGAATAAATCGTTAAGACCCGTTTCGCATGATAATTGTTGGGGGTATCACCGGAATATGGCGTAGCCGGGCAGACCAACGCTGGTTCTAACGACTGTCTTTAGTTGTTGAAAATTGCAGAAGCGAGCGTGTTGATGACATGCTCGATTGTCTTGGGCTAGCTTTCCCCACTCAAGTGTACGTATTTCCACTCTACTCCTCATCGCAAAAAAGGGGGCTGATTCAGCCGTGAAACGGGCCTATCAATGGTCAGTTCTGTGCCATCGCAGAGAAGAAGGATGCTGAGAATAATTGGATTCTTCTGGTGAACATGCTCGTGCAAGATACAGATAGACCATACATGCATGACCTTATCGATGTATACATCCCAACGACGAACATTACGAGAGAATGGCAAAGGTCTCATTTGAAAGCGTCCAGGAAGAAAGAGAGAAGATAGCAACACAGTATGGTGTTGGTTGACTCCTGCCAGATGATGGATGCAGGGGGAAAGAAGAAGGAAAGATGCTGTGCTGGAGAGACTGGGAGTCATGGTCATCTGATCTCCCAACATAGCGTATGGGAAGCGAAGGCATAGATTGACTGTACGAGATCTAAGTCATGCCGCGTAGCCCCCCGATATAGGTATCTATTTCAAAATATAGGATCCCTTGGATGGTGTGACCCGCGTCTGGCCCGGGACCTACTCTCAACTCTGAACTTTGTGATCATAGACATGGCACCTAGCTAACTCAAGTAGGCTCTTAGATAGACATGTAAGTTTATATCTAACCTCTAACCAATGAATCATCCCCGGGTTTTTTCGGTCGCGTGTTAGACCTCTGTAATGATGACGCGTTGGATTACCTAGATATTCAGCTTCTTACCAAAGGACCCCCAGTTATACCTAGATCATACACCTTTTAAGGCAAGGTAGTTTAACAATATTGTTCCTGAGTTGGATTATTCTCGCGAGGATCCTCTTACGTTTCACGCATAAGAGAAATAAGTAGTTTTCGCGCTTCGGCAACGAATCTTGCGAATCAGGATGAACTATTCGCGTATGATATTGAACTCCTCAAAACTGGTGATAGGAGGCAGACGGTTTCCCACTAGAAAAATCAAAAGATCTTTCTCTCCGTCTTTCCTTGCACCATCGTCGTCACCACTTTTGCAAACTAGAAACAGGCAGCGCAGCTATCTCGACTAGCGAACCCAGAATTCGGGCAAATGTCTCTCCAGCTAACGTTCGATGGAGATCCTTCCTTGCTCTATATGCCTCAGTTGCCTTCGGTATGGTCATATACTTTCGACGTCAGGGTTCAATGCGGATGGACACAGCCAAGAGTGAGGAAGTAAGAGGGCCAGACCCAACGCTGGTGCCTCAGGCGAATGAATCAGCGCAGTTACATTCGAGATCTTGCAGCGACCCCAATGGAGGATCGAATACCGGTGTTGACCTCCCAATAGAGGAGGCTGTCTTGACAGGAGCACCGAATGTACCTCCACCTAGAGCTCGCAATTACCCTGTTCTCTTGCGAGTGCCGTTGACAACTGGGACCAAGACAAGACAACTGACAAGTCAGTACAAATACGAACAATGGAATTTCAATGGCATTGTCCCAGGTCCGTTCATCCGAGCTCGCGTCAGGGATGTTGTGGAGCTGTCATTGACGAACCGCGACGAGACAATTCGCACAATATTGACTGCCATTCATTCCTGGGCCCGGGAGGAGGTTCTGCGCTGACAACAGCAGAAGAAGGTCAGACTGAGACAGTGAGATTCCGCCTTCAGCGTCCGGGCCTTTATTTATACCATTGTGCCGCGGCACCTGTGCCAGTACATATTGCTAATGGATGTATGGACTCATGTATGTGGAGCCCGCCGAAAGTGATCTCACTCCCGTAGATCGGGAGTACTATGTGATGCAGAGCGAATTCTATCATGAACCTCCGGAAATTGAGGATGATGGGAACCCCTCATCCACGGTAGAGTTCTCGTATCCAAATGCTCTGCGAGAGGAACCAACTGTCGTTGTCTTCAACGAACGCGAGGCCGCGCTGACGAGAGACCAGCCGCTTAAAGCTTCCGTGGGTGAGAGCGTTCGAATATTTTTTCGGAAACGCGAGGCCAAACCTTACAAGTTCGTTTCATATTATTGGGAGCAACTTTGCAAAGGTCTACCGTGATGGCGATGTTCTTAGTCCTCCTGGACAGTTTGTGCAGACTGTTAGTGTCCCCCCAGGCGGTTTCCCAGTGGTCGATATGACAATGCTGTTTCCGGGGACATACACGCTCGTGGACCATGCCATATCTCGCCTCGAAAAGGATGCTGTGGGGTATTTGAATGTAACCGGGGAATCGCGAGATGACATATACCATAGTGAGGAGCCGCCTGCTTGCATCGGCTGTAAATTACATCCTTGATGGCGAAACTGCATGTGTGTTTTTGAACCCACGGTTGCTATTCGTACCCGTGTATGGTCGAGGAAAGTGCTTCTTGTGATGGGCCGTTGATGGCCAGCTTCATTACTCGCATGATATAAGTTACTGTTACATAATGTTACTCATACCAGGAGAATCGTCGTGACTGTCCTCGAGGAGTCCACGAGGCCGCGAGGACGGATCTACAGGATGAATTTGTATGGGGAACCGCATTATCGATAACTTAGACCTTTGTCATTGAGTCCCGGAGTACGGAGCGCAGAGTATGGAGTAGGTACCTGGCAGATGCTTTGCATTTATGCACTGCCCTGAGCCTTGGATGAGGTGGTCTATATATTACACTTAGTCCATCTTACTGTTGATGAACCAGCAAGTGTCGGCTAGGGTGAAAATTAGGTTCTCCGTTTAGAAACTAGGTACTTTGTTTTTGCTTGAATAGGTGCACCACATGATATCCCAGCTGCCCAGGCGCCCGAAACTCTATGTTGTATAAGCGCCCAGGGGAGGCCCGGGTGAGACATGCAAATCATAAGCGGCCCGAATGTGGGGAAGCCCGGAACGAGCGCTTACCCAGTATCGGCTTAGATCGAACCTTCACTTTCTGGGGTACATGCCAAGCTCTCTGGACGTCCTCGTCTACGAGAACGATAGAGGGCTCTGTTGATCGGGTCTGGAGACACTGATACCTGTACCTAGGCCCTTGGATACCCTATAGTATCTGCTACTGTACATTCTGTATACATGTACCCATGGCCCGGTCCAACGGAGATCGGGAGATAGTTCTTCCGGGGGGCAAAAGCGGCGAAAAACTCTGCTCCCCCACACGAGGAGACTATCCACATGTTTGCCCCAGAAGCGAATGCCCCGGTGTTCACACGTTGCATTGTTTCGAGATCTTGCAACCTTAGGTGTTTCATCCTGTTTGTATAGATGGAGCTACCTCGGTATCCTAGTAGGCAGGATCAATAGACTCCCGAGGTCAGTCAATATGGTCAGACGTCGGACATCGGAGGTCGAGGGCCCACATAGAGACCCTCACCCGCGTTATCATCGGGGAAGTTACATGATTCCATCAGTCAAAAAAAAAAAAAAAAAAAATTCTCTGCCACCGCCTCCACCGGCTGGTTCTTTGCCTCGAAAATAGTTTCACCTTTGGACTTCTTTTGGATTTTTACATGGTAGTATCCTCAAGATAGTATCATCATGGGTTTGCAGCCGTATTTTGGTCTTCGGGGCAATGCCCTTCTTCGCGCCGCAGTCTGGCTGGTCGTGTGTCCAACATTTGCTTGCTATGGATACAACATGAGTGTCGCCGGCGGCCTGTTGACCCTCGAGACTTTCAACAATCAGTTCCCCAGAATCGATACAATCCATACCACCGGCGCTGAGAACAGCGACAATTCTCAAATTCAAGGTCCGTCAATCATTCTCAGATCGTTGGGCTTTGACTGATCAGGAACAGGCACTGTCATTGCCCTCTATAGTGTCGGTGGTATCTTCGGTTCCCTGTCATGCATTTACCTCGGTGATCTCTGGGGCCGACGCAAGGTTATTTTTATTACCAACCTCATTGCGATTATCGGTGCTATTCTCATGGCCACATCGTTCCAATTCGCCCAGTTCATTGTCGCGCGATTGGTGCTCGGCTTGGGTATTGGTGGATGTATCGCGACTGTCCCCGTCTGGCAGTCTGAGATCTCACCCCCAGATAAGCGAGGATCCAGCGTCGTCACGGATGGTATCTTCCTTGGCGCGGGTGTCACTGTAGCCCTCTGGATCGAGTTGGGTTTCTTCTTCGTCAAGGATAACTCCGTCTCATGGCGATTCCCTCTTGCCTTCCAAATCCTCATGTCCGCCACTGCGCTTATTTTCATTACTGTGCTGCCCGAATCTCCTCGCTGGCTCATCAAGACCGGCCAGGTGGAAGAAGGACGCAAAGTGCTCGCGGTGTTACTCGATACCGACGAGAATTCGGACACCGTCAATGAAAGTGTCGAGAGCATCCAGAATTCGCTTTCCGGTACCTCGGGCTCGTGGACGAGATTGTTCAAAAACGGCAAAAAGCGAATCTTTCACCGCGCATACCTGGCTGCTACGGGCCAGATGTTCCAGCAGATGTGCGGTGTGAATCTGATCACCTACTACGCAACGGTCATCTTCGAGGAGTACCTTGGAATGACCCCTGTGAAATCTCGCATTCTCTCCGCTGCGATGACTCTCATGCAATGTCTTGGTGGCTACCTCGCATATTACACCATCGACCGTCTCGGTCGCCGGCCTCTGATGCTGTGGAGTGCTGGAGCCATGACGATCTGTATGGCAGGTCTTGCTGGCACGACCTCCCCTGCCGCAGCCGACAACACAGGTGCTCTTGTCATGGCTGTTATCTTCCTATACTTCTTCCAATTTATCTTCACTGTCGGCTTCTCTGGTTTGACATTCCTCTACGCCGCGGAAATGGCCCCTCTCGAGGTCCGCGCTGCAGTGAACGCAATCTCCACCGCCACTGTCTGGAGTTTCACCTTTTTGATTGCGCAGGTGACGCCTGTCGGCTTCGCAAGCATTGGAAACCGTTACTATATTGTTTTCGCCGTCATCAACGCCGTCATCGTGCCCAGTGTGTATTTCTTCTTCCCCGAGACCAAAGGTCGGTCCTTGGAGGAAATCGACGAGATTTTCGCGCAATCGAAGACCATCTTCGATCCCCCTCGTGTGGCTCGAGCCATGCAAAGGCGCGGTGCGAATCACTCGGGCTCCTATGGCGGTAGCAATACTGGCTCTGATGAAGAAGTTGTCCAAGAAGTCAAGGTATAATTGACCTTTGCCTCCTTGGATGATCTTTGAGATCCAAGGGACCGGATTCTTGCGATCAAGCGAGTCCCAACCAAAATTGCGAACATGATTTTATTGTACAACATAAATATCCACTAGCTTCAAATGTTGCTTTTGGGTTTCATCACTGGATGCTTCAAAAGCCCTACCTCTTTTATAGACTTACCAAAATAATTTTTTTTGCTCTACCCTACTAGAGTCTTTAATTTTTAAATATAATGAAAAATATAATGAATTGGTTTATCTTGTTCTGTCTTGGAACTCATCTTTCATGGTTTATTTAGCTCTACGTAAACGGCGTATATATTTTTGCTATCCATGAAATCATATAACATTATATGATATCTAGGTAAAGCACTGGCGATTTAGAAGAGGAATGGTCCTCCCGACATTTTATATGCCTGAAGTGCGGCCTGTTCCACCTGAAGTAGCTTGATTATACCTACACATGCACCTTAAGACCACCCATACTTGTGGGAAACAAAGTGTATAATATAATAGGTATACCTTGGTAAATATCACCCACTAATCAAGCATTAGCTTAAGAGCAATGGCTGAAACAAGAACTCACGAAGTGCAAATTTGTAATTTGTTGTGGACTGTCTGGGGCAGACGCTACATACCCATGTGCTTGGTATGTAGATTTAATGCTCCCGTGGAAGCTCTTTTCAAGCATCTCACATATTGTATTGATCGCATGTACCTATTTTGCGAATACTGGAGTTACTATCTCATGTAGGTATCCACACATAGCTACCTACCTAGGCACAGGTAGAAAGGGCGTCAGTAGCGCTATTGCTAGATTGAGCCTCTCTCCCCCCTTAATCCTACATGTTCGCCTGGGAAATTGTCTGGATTCTGATGTTGTATAAACTGGTTTATACCAAAGCATTGAACACTACGTACACGCATAGGTGGGCGCTTTGGTTTTCTAATCATCGAACACTGCTGGCACAACCCTATGTAAAGACCGCTTTCATGTTAAAATATCAAAATCTAGATAGTCATCTTCTCATTACTCTTCGGAAGGTTTCACATCATACTCTACATCAGTCCGAATGATATATTTCGCGCCCTTCCTCACCCCCGTCCCTTCATGTAACAAGGCCCCATTCGACTCTCCGTGCGGGAATATAGCAACAGCTCCCATCACAGGTCGAACGGGGTATCCATTGAGTGTTCCTTCCCGGGCAGCTGGGAGGAAGAACGTCGTCTCTCCACCTTCAAACTCATCGTTGAGATAAAGCAGGAAGGTGTACATGGAGCTCTGCTTTTTGTCTTCCGGAGACGAGTCGTACACGTACGTGTCATCGGGGAGGATGCCGGATGGTGGCCATGCACCGTCAATGTGGCAACGATATTCCGCGCCCGGAACGTACCTGTATACGCGGAAGCGACGATTGATGCCTCGGACCAGACGACCATTGATCGAGGGTGGTACGAAGGGGGATATTCGTGCCCAGAGCATATCGTGGAATGTGGTATCGATGATCCAGTAGAAGTTGTGGGCAAGGATGCTCACATCCCCATCTTCACGGAGGGGTGCATCGGGCAAGAAATTGACAGATTCACCGGCAGCGATGATTGCCTGGCACTCATCGGCGGATAGAACATTGAGGGCAAGGCCAAGACCAGGCACAGCGGGGTGAGGGTGGTATGTGATGGAGGGACCGATGGGGGCGAGTGGGACGGCGTTTGGTGCAGTGGTGTATAGGATAGCGGGGTGATGATTCGGAGGTTTGCGGAGTGGGCCGGGGGTTTGTTCGATTATGCGGAGGGCGGATGGATCCTTGGGTGCCAGGTTTAGGATAGAATTGTCGAGGACTGAAGCGTAGATCGGGAGTGATTCTGTGGAGGGACGGAGGTCCCAGATGGATTGGAAAGCGATAGGAGTGTTTGCGTCGACAGCGTGCGTATGAGTATCAATCGGTGTGCTGACGCGCAGAATGGCATCGAGGACGCCTAAGATTTCCAATTCCTTCGAAGTGCGCTCAACGGGGACATGATCGTGGGCTTTAGGTTGCGTCGAGAGGCCACTGACAACGTCCAGATCTCGCACCCAGCGACACAAGGCTCCGATCTTGGGTTGCTCCCCTCTGATCCTCATCTCGGCAAGCAAGATCCTGGCTTCAATATATTTTTCATCCACCAACGCACCCGTTATCCGCGCGGTCAAGTTTGCGCCCTCTATTGGATAGTTAGCCTTGGGTGGTTTTTTTTCGAGCAAGAATAACGCAGTAGCATACCGGCAGTGTTGACTCCCGTGGTACATGTCTGACGGAACTCATAGATTGCAACTCGGAGGTCCTTGCATGCCTTTGATTTAGTTAGGCCGGGGTATTCTGCAAGTGCCGTGAGCGTTTCGATAGTGATATCAAGATCCTCGTCTGAGACGACCGCATTGAGATGTGTGGGCTCTAGAGTTTCGCCATCAGGAGGCGGTGTTATGATCGAGGCTGGTTTGGGGAGCTTCTGTGGAAGATCGGCTTGCGCAGCACGCTTGCGCTTAGCGGCCTTGGACTTGGCCATGTCTATATAAGATGTAGATGTGATTCGATAATGGTTTGGCTCTTTGGTTTGAAAGCCCAGGTGGACTCCGGGGAAATTTTGCCCTTATGTAATCATTGCCACTGCAGGTGCCGGACTCGAGCTCCGAACTCCTATGGCACAGTCCTTGTTGAGTACAAATGAGATCTTCATTGAGCATTGCTAAATTCTGGCAAATCGTACACATTGTCTGGTAGATCTACTCCCTCCTGTGCTGTCAAAATGCCGAACTCGTGTGTGAACCCGGATCCCGTGTCACTCTGCCCGTAGAAGCCCACAATAGCCTCACCATCTCCAGGCTCAAGCGTGATGACGGGTTCGTCCTCTTCTTCGCCATCGCCGTGGTAATTATAATCGTTGAGATGACCCCACTCGTCTCCATTGCTCAGGCTCATGCGGATACCCGCCAAACTCCCCCACCCGGAGTCATCCTTGCGGATCCTGACTCGAGTAACCGTCTGATTGACGGGAAGGTCGCGTCTTTCTGACTCGCCTCCGCCAAATACATGCGGTTGACCGGTGTGCCTGTCAAGCATAGGGCCACAGTTGGCAAAATTACCGTCGGCGTAATATACGACCGCACCGTCCATCGTCGCTCCAACCCGGAGATCAATTGATGTCGCACGATGAAGCTGGTTATCTCGGCCGCGGCGGCGGAGAAGCATAGCCCATCGGACAAACTCCCTGGAGTCTTGTGCAGCTTCAACATGCTGAGATCGGACAGATTGTTTGTGAATAATCATGTTGCTGCCCGGGATCGTGATGAATGGCCTCTCCTTGAGCATGGTCCATAAGTCTGCGATTATGTGCTGGTTTCCATTCATTCCAAGAGCGGTAACCGTCAAAGGTTTGCTTTGGTCGAACTTTCCACGAATATCATCCACCCGCAGAGTTTTCTGGTTCTTGTACTCAGGAGAATGCATGAAATCATGGATTATAGGATCGTCCGTGCCGCTCTGCAGTTTTACCTGTGCAAGGCCTGCTTCGGAGGACACATGAAGACCCTCGTTGCGAGAATCGTCGTTCTGAATTGTGTCATCGCGATCGGTTCCAAAATCAATCTGAATTTTCACTCTCGCACACTGGATGGCAGTTGGTATGTGTTCATCTCCAGGAAGCGCGAAGTGCGGCATGAGCCTGAATTTGAGCGCTTCTTGTAGATCCCATTTCGCATCATTTTCAATGTCGTTGTTTGTCTCATGGGCGACAAAGTTGATTCCCCAGGCTTTGCTGTATCCTCTTGCCATAATCCCAGTTGTGTGTTGAGCGCCGAAGGCATGGCCGACCTCGTGCAAAAAGGCTCCCTGGCCGACAAAACATGCGCCACGCATTGTTTCACATTCACCATTGTCGTTTCCGACCGTGCTGCCCGTGAGGGACATATCTGTCAGACAAGCAGGGACTTCTTCCAAGAACCGTGGCCAAGAGTAGGTGAGGTGACTCCCAAAGATGCCTAGCGATATACCATCTGGCTTGTGGCAACCCAATGCTGCATGTCCCAGGATCATGGATTTGGCCGTTGAGTAATGCGTATCTAAAATCATGCCGGCCACCACCGGGCGGCACTTTGCTTCAAAGGGAGGACCGAACTTGGCGAGTGCGGCTTCAAAATACCGGTGCAAGCCATCCCGATCCCGACCGTGGGGATTTTGTTGCGCCACGTCAGCGTGTCTGAGCTGGGCAACGGTCTTCTCCGACGGGATAATATGAACTTTTGCAACGGTACCCATGTCCCGACTGTTGCGGGAATGTGCTCGGTGAGATGCTTGCACAGTCATATTAGGAGACCACTCTTCTTCCAGGCGAAATGAACGTCTCCCCAGCCCCTTTTGGCGAAAGTCTTCTGCCGTAAGAGCCTGCCACATGTACGCTGACATGCGGAGCTTGGCTATTGCTGCGTCGATGCTACTGTGTGCAGTCGAGATGGCCCCATATTTAGCTGGAGGGCAATCCGTGAGGAGAGGCGAATCCTTTGCGACAAGGATCGCAAGATGTAGGGGTGGCAATTGCAGGAGGGGGATGTAATTCACTGTCACGCGCAGTGTACTTGAGATTTCGCCCGCGTGGTGAAGATCGAAAGTAATCACATTGGTTCCTGGTGCAAGGAGTGCAAGTGCTCTCCACTGGCCATTGTTCAATGGCCAGTGATGGGCAGTCTGCGCTCGGTGAAGCATGTCCGCAGACGTGACAGAAACGAAATTAGTTTCGGCAGAGTCAAAAGCCTGACATTCGCCATGGATTAGGATGCAGGTTTGATTTACGGTCTCGCCGTCATTCAAGTTGAGGATCTTGAATGGGCTTGGTTGAATAGGTGTCGGCTTGACACGACCGTTGGGCTCGAAGGCAGGGGAGGCTGAGCGTTTTGTCATTGTCAATATCTTTGTGCATGAGAGAAACACAAAATGAGAAAGCTTCCAAGCGTGGGTTATATAGCTTTCCGGTACAGAGCTGGACTCCACAATGTCCGTTCCTTTCTTCAGGCAACCGCCTGCTGCCTGGGGCCGGGGCCTCAGGCAGCTCTTTTGGAGACAAAATTGCCGACGATTTGTCCCTGCCCTGTTTGTCTAAAAAGGATCGAAAGTCCAATTATAGCTGGATCATATCAGAAATAGAATCAACATTCATAGGTGCCACGTTATGTGGGTGAATATTCAATGTGGTTTAGAGAAACTGAAACTTTTGTACCTTAGATATCATGTTTGTACGTTTTCACATCCCAAAGACGCTCGATATGTTTTGCTTTCTCTCAGGCTAAATGCGCCTTTTTCACATCAAACCTCCTGTGGTACGTATTTGAATTCGATTCAATTCTTGGTCCTTGGATCCATGAAAACCGCACCCAGCTGCATCAGCGAGCATCTCAAGCACGATAACGTTGCCTTTAAGATCCATAGACTGAGGGCGAAACCACTGCGGGCATATTTTATCGACACTGATTCCGGCTCCGGATGTTCGGTCTATGAGAACTTCCACATTGGAAGACTATGAGAGGCCATCGAAGTCGAAACGAGCGAGAATTTGGTTGAAAGGCTAGATATCTAACACTCACTATGCTCGGCAATGATTGGAGGTATCGTGTTTGGCTTGCGGCCCGGGGGGCCGCCTTCATGGGCCTGGGGCTGTCCGTGAACCGCTGGATGTTGGACAGTATGAAAAAGCCCGTAATGGGTATCACTCTTCCGATGTATGCAAGTTGGTCTTGGATTTTTCGAACCTTTCATGGATCGCATGCATCTTGCGTTTTGTTTTACTGTATCCTTGAATTCCAGCAAGCATGATATAAGACTTGCTCATGGAAACATGGGACATATCGACACCTTGCTGCTGTAGGGCGTGGTGGAATGCCCGAAAATTAGCGGCTGGAGGCCGATAATGACCGCTAAGAAGCTTAGCATGAGTATGATCAATTCCGAAACCCGAATTTTTGAATTTCGACATTGAGCTTACCTTAATGGCGCCAAGCTTCGAACTTGACCGTTTTCGAACTTGATTATTCCAGCCGCTGCGATTCGAGCACCACGAAGGAAAGATGAATGCTGAAAGGCACCTGATTTCTTGATGCCAATGTATAAGCGAAAAGAGGTATCTGCAACCTAGAAATGGGTTAGTTCATATTTCACAGCCCCAAGTCTCCATTGTACTCACGAACAGCCATGTGTCTTCTTTCTTAGAGGACTTGCCTAAAAGTCGTTTGAATGCAACGGCCGGATTGGCATGCACAACTTTCTTCATCAGCTTCGCGGCCTTATACTCCTCATCAGTAAAAGGTTTTGGGTCTTGATCTGAAAGTACACTGTTAAGGCTCTCCGTTGTGGATGACGACGAACATGATGACGAAGAGCACGATGGTGGATTTGAGGTGGATTCCGGTTGTAGCGTTGTCGAGTTTCCACTGAATTGAGGAACATCTTCTTCGATGCCGACAATGCCCTGAAGACTATCTTTGAAACGTGCAGTACTTGTCCACACCAGCTCATTATTTTTCGCCCACCTGAAAAGCCCCCCTCTCGTCGACCGTCACCAGGTAATCCCTACGCTCGTCGCGGGTGAGGTAGCGGACTTGGTCTTTCTCCAACTTTTCTCGTGGACACTGGGGGATTTGCACGTTTTTGCCGTCACCCATATCTAGCCAGAAAAAAAGTTTTCGTTCGACGATGAATTGCGCCAATAGCTGTGGTACCATCGCAGATTGCTTCCATGTCGGTGTTTGAGATCAACCATCTCTAGGAAATATTGTAAATCCATCATCTTTGCGGTTGCTCCCGAGGTCATTTCCGTGCTACGTTCGGACCCAGTCCCCGGAGAATGCGAAACTGTTGAAATGCGATCGTCGCCGCCGGCGCGCCTCGCGACACTAACCGCCCGTTGCCAGTTTCGACGAGCTTGGTTGAAGCCATCTTCACCAGGAGCCACATGAGGCCCAGTGGGTTGATAGAGTTGATGCCATTGCGCTTCTCTGAAAGCCTAGGGGGTGGGAACAACAAATGAGACTGGATTCCATCCGAGAAAATATTGCTCATACCTCAACCCAACGTGTGGAAGAAGCCAACCCAAGCCCCCGCAGCTCGCGTCGCGTCCGATGACCACGATAGGTCCTCTAACCGATCAGCCTGAATCCGCACTCCAGGGCCATGATTACTGTGTACCTGAATCGTTCGCGCGGCCCATTCTTCGGTGACGTCACCCGGACGGGTCGTCACAACGTCGGGAATTTTGGTCATGCAGAAGAGGTAAGATGTAGGTGAGAGGGAAAAGAAGAAGATATGATTCAGAGGATTAAGTGGAGGCCGAAGGGTCCACCGCCAAAATCAATTCAGGGGAGATCAAAGCACCTGAAGCAATCGAAACAACAGAATGTGAGATGGAGCTACGTTTTTCCGCTCTCCTCCTTTCTTGCTCTCTTGCGCATTGTCAACATTGTCAACATCGTCAACATCGTCAACATCATCACAGAATATATGACAGATCATTTCCATCCTGTTCGCCGTAATGACAGGACATTTCCAGCTCAATTCCACCTTATTCCAGTATGTTCCCGGGTTCTTCTCTTTGCATACGGTGTGAATTGGAGACACCCCAGGTATGTATTGACAGACCCCTCACAATATTCTCTCGGTAACGATGCCGAGTCCTTGACAACGGGGAAATTATTTCCACATTCAGCGTTGATCCCCGAAATAGCATCATATCCACCTATAGTGTCTCCGTTCCACCTTGCCCGGGATGAATTGATCCGATCACGCTTTGAACTGATACCCCTCATGAGGAGAACCTGAGTGAGGGGATCGCGCTATACATATGGCCTCCTCATATAAATTGCGCGCTTACATCTTGATTCCCATTTTGATTCTTTTATCTGCTCTGACTATACCAATCCGTTATTATTCTGCACATATCTTGCCATGGCCCCCTCTCTCCACCCTCTCATCGACAGCGGCATTACGCTAGGCTCTAGCACCTTCGCCGGTGGAAAGCTCCACTGCCATTGTGCGTCCAACCAGGTGGAGATTACCCTGAAAAGCAACGTCGCCCACAATCACGCATGTGGCTGCTCTAAGTGCTGGAAGCCAGCCGGTTCTCTATTCTCTGTTGTTGGCGTGGTTCCCCGTGATGCCGTCTCGGTAACGGCAAACGCATCAAAGCTTTTCATTGTGGACAAAGAAGCCATAATTCAACGATATGCTTGCAAGGACTGCGGGGTTCACCTCTTCGGTCGTATCGAGAAGGACCATCCTTTCAAGGGACTCGACTTTGTGCATGTGGAATTGTCCGATGAGAAGGGCTGGCAGGAGCCCCAGTTCGCTGGGTTCGTCTCCTCCATCATCGAGCAGGGGTCGCACCCCAAGGAAATGGACGAAGTGAGAGCCAAATTCAAGGATGTGGGATTGCAGACGTACGATGTTCTTTCGCCCGCTCTGATGGATCTGATTTCCACTTTCACTGCGCAGAAGTCGGGCGTCAGGTTTGCCAATCTGTAATTGAAGTGTTATGGCGTTGGCGATATTGTATTTTACGATGGTAGCTGAGCGAGATAGTTTGTAACTTTCTGTTCTGGGACAATGATGAAAAGGAGTGGTGCGCTAGGATGTTGTCAGGAATGTCCTTGGGTGAGATCACGAATCAACAATGATTTCTTACTTCAATTGCAATGTGCCAGTGAATATCAGATTGTTGAGTAGGTGCATTGATAGATCACAAGAAGCACAGGTCTGTTTCTGTTCTTATTGATATGAAGTAACTGGAACGGCCTTAGGCTCCAGTTCATGTCTATGGCTCTCGCATGTCTATTTCGCTGTACCTAAAGGGAAAGCCGCGAAGAAGACAGGGGAGGATCATACAAGCTACGGTCCTCGTAGAACAATTACTCAAAATGATGGCTGTGAATTCATCCCTAGCCGATGCTTTCAATCAAAGATGAGAGCTATGTCCTGATCGAATTCATCACATTTCACCCAAAACTTCAAATGCCAGGTTATTTACATAATAACCGATCCTATTCACAATTTAACTCGTCATATGATGCTATGAACAGCCTGCCCTGGTCCTTGCATGTCTCGGGTCATATGCGGGCTTTGAGCTTCGCTACCGTTTCTTGTAGCGGGTAATCGTGCTTCGTCTTGCTACGGACGCGTTCACCATCCTGGGGTGTGATGTATCGAGCTTCCACTGCCGGGTTGTACCCAAGACCGGAAATCTTCTTCACGTCTTCATCTGGAACAGCACGACTGACTTGCCCATCGGCTCGCTTATAAACAGTGACGACAACTGCTCCTCCCAATCCAAGATTGTGCTGCAAAGCGACATCGGTCCCCGGAACGAGACGATTGTTGGCCCAACCACGGAGCTGCCAGGTAAGCTCCGCGCACTGAGCCAGCCCTGTGGCACCAAGAGGATGACCTTTGGAGATCAGCCCGCCGGATGGATTGACGACCAGCCCGCGACCCCCATACGTAATATCTCCTCGACGAACCATTTCATGCGCTTTTCCCGGCTCTGAAAATTCAAGTGCATCGAGGAGCAGAAGTTCGTTGGTGGAAAAGCAATCGTGGAGTTCGCAGACCTTGATATCTTTTGCTCCCACCCCGGCCTCCTTCATTGCTAGTTGGGCGGCTTGACGCGACATATTGAACCCGACAAGGTCTATGGCGCTCCGAGAATATACTTGCGGGCCATCAGTCAATATTTGTTGACCGGCCATGAGGATAGCTTGGGATTTGAGGTGAGGACGGGCATCCAAAAACCGCTGCGATACAATAACTGCCGCGGCAGCTCCGTCACTCGTTGGGGAGCACTGCAATTTGGTCAGGGGTCCATGGATTTGTGTTTTCGGGTCCATAATCTGGTCCAGGGAGTATGCAGTTCGGAATTGGGCGTATGGATTCCGCTGCGAATGTTCATGCGACACTCGAGCGATTTCAGCAAAATCCTCGGCTTTGGCGCCATATCTATTCACGTGGTCAGTAACAAGCTATTCGCTATGGGCTGGGCTACCCTACTTGTCCATATACTCTTGTCCGGCATTACCAAAGTACTGCGCGTTTCGGGGACTTGGGTGTTTCCCAAAAGTGTCCTCCATCATTTTGGTTGATGGCCCTAGTGGACTGGGCCGATCGTCCCATACACTCTTGATGGATCCCGGGCGCATCTGTTCAAAGCCGACGACAAGTACACAGTCGGCCTGGCCTCCTTTGACCAAAGTACGTGCTAGGTGAAGGCCCGTCGATCCAGTAGCACAGGCATTGGTGGTGTTGTAAATTGGGATACCGGTCATTCCTAGCTGGTACATAATCCGTTGACCAGAGCATGTATCGCCATAGCAATAACATGCAACCGCTGCTTGTACATCGTCGTAGGTGATGTGTGCGTCGATGAGAGCTTTGACTGCTGCCTCATAGCCGAGTTCTGGATCTAGGAGGAAAAGACCCGGTCAGCCTAGGTTTCTATATGTACTTGGTACACGTTATTGAAGAACTTACATTCCCGTGTGCGACGTGGCTTGAGGAACTGGGTCATGCCCACCCCTAAAACATATGATTGAGAAGCCATGGTCGGAAAGATGCGTGTTAAACCCAAGTGGGAAATGTTCGTTTGTGTGCATATATACAGGCATGCGACTTAGCCGAGCCTCCGAGGCATCTTTGCTTCCCCTCATTGTCTTTAGAGGTTATAAAACCGACTGTCTTTTATACTATGTACCCACTTAGCACAACATAGTCTCTGGGTATTCATCCTGTTCCCCGAGACTAAATTCCAACGTTGTCCATATAGCCGATCTAACTTTCCCCGCATTCTCCCCACATAGCGTGCCGCCTATACAGCACCTCATTTGGAGTGCAACGCCATGTCGGATTTTCTTCAACCACCGCCGCCAACAAATGTGTTCCAATTGTCCTTCCCCAGACCGAAAATATTACTAGTGACGATCAATCGTGAGAAACAACGAAATTCACTACCTGCCGAGGCTCATTGGGAAGGCCATGCTATATTCTCTTGGTTTGACGATGAGCCCGGTTTGCTAGTGGCTGTAGTCACTGGAGCTGGCGACAAAGCATTCTGTGCCGGGCAGGATTTGGCAGAACAGGCTTCTTCCCAGGGGCCTAAGACGGCGGCCCAGATCGCGGTGATGAACCACCCGCCGACGGGGTTCATGGGCCTTAGTCAACGCAGAGGCAAGAAGCCCGTGATCGCTGCGGTAAATGGCTTTGCGCTAGGGGGTGGCTTTGAGATATGCCTCAATTGGTACGTTCGGGATCCAACCGTGGTTGCTATGTCTTTGGAGCTCACCTTTGGTCCAGTGACATGGTAGTTGCATCGCCTCAGGCTCTATTCGGCCTGCCTGAAGTTGCAGTGGGGCTCTATGCTGCAGCTGGAGGCTTGCCCAGGTTAATGCGGATTGTTGGTCTTCAGCTCGCCTCTGAGATTGCGATGACCGGTCGCAAATTGACGGCCAGAGAGGCGCTGGAATATCGGCTTATCAATCGAGTCTCCCAAAGCTCTCAGTCGGTTGTTGACGAATGTCTTGATCTAGCGAGCCAGATTACCAATTTCTCTCCAGATGGCATCATTGTAACGCGTCAGGGACTACGCGAGGCGTGGGATAATGCAAGTGTCGAGCATGCTACTTCGCGGACCAGGCATGAATACATAAACCGCTTGGTTGCGGGCGAGAACTTTAAGATCGGAGTCCAGGCGTTCGCAAATAAAACAAAGCCGAAATGGGCTCCATCGCGTCTATGAGATTGCCACTTTGATCAAAGGAGCGTTCCAGCCAGAGATCGGCCGGCGATATTGATATATGGACCATCTTTTAATGCATCCTAGTGTTCTCAATCCTTATCATAGTCAATGAACAGATTTCGTACTGCCACATGTGACCTTTTACACTACTACTAGGCCGGTACTTGTGTATGAATCGACGCCAATAGTAGTGTGCCTTACTCGTTATAACCCCGCAGATATAAACCGATCTATGATCATCATGTGTTGCTCGGGCCGAGGGATGTTGACAATTGACTCTCCACCCCTCTCTATAGTATTTCTGTATATTCCTGCAATTCCAAAGTAATGGGGTGGATTTCTCTTTTCAATTTTACAATATGCAGCCTGTCATTATTGGTGTCGCTGACATCAAAAACCGATCTCTCGCGGTTGAAGATGCCAAGGAGCCTGCATCCTTGATGCTAGAGGCTATTGAAGCTGCTATCAATGATGCAACCACCTCAGATGAGGCCGCCCAGCTACTTCAAAAAAGCATCGATAGCCTCAGTGTTGTGAGGACTTGGACCTGGGATTATCAGGACTTACCCGGATTGTTGGCTAGAAAGCTCGGGGTCAATCCAAAACACCAAACATATAGTGAACATGGGGGAAACATGCCAGCAAGATTCCTGGACGAAGCTGCTCGTCGAATTGCGATGGGAGAAATAACTGTAGCAGTACTTACTGGTGGTGAAGCCCTGGCCTCTTGTGAGTGCAGATGTTTCTTGGGGGCCTCGCGCCTTGCTGATGAGTGAACAGTGGCCTCATGCGTCAAACATGGCAAAATGCCACCTCCAGGCTGGACTCTCCCAGCTCAAAGTGTAACTGACGTTTTCTCCCCTACCAACATGGAGCTTAGCAAAGGTTCGTGTCCAATTTTCAGGGTGCGAACTTCTACTGATATTCTATATCACTAGATATTGCAGGACTTCACTCTGTGGGATCTCCGATCCATGTATATCCACTTTATGAAAATGCGTTCCGAGCCCACCGTGAACAGTCACTCCAAGAAAACCACAACGAGTCAGCAGCACTTTACGCTTCATTCAGTCAGATTGCGTCGCAAAATCCATACGCCTGGAATTACGGTGCTAGAGTCGAGAGCGCTGTGTCCATTGGCACTGTTTCTAAAAGGAACCGCTTAATCTGCTCTCCATGTATGTCTCATCGGCCATTCCAAGCTATTAAGGCTTACCCATCTCAGATCCGCTCTTGATGAATGCTTTCAACGCTGTGAATCTATCATCGGCTTGCATATTGACGACATCGAAGTTCGCAACCCAGCTTCAGATTCCACAGGACAAATGGATCTACCCGCTGGGTGGTGCTGGGTTCACAGAGCGTGATCATTGTAGGTTTGTATAAATCTAGATCCAAGACCAAAATCTCTAATTCGAATCTTCTCTTTTGCTCAGTCTGGGAGAGGCCGAACTTTTTTGAAAGCACAGCAATCTCGAAGTCTCTAGATGCATGTCTCGGTGCAAGTCAACTCACGCCGAAAGACATTGATCTCTATGATTTTTACTCGTATGCAGCTTAGCTAGAGATTCCAAAACTCCGATGCTTCTTGGCTGACGCTTTACTACCTAGATGCTTCCCGATTGTACCGAAACTTGCGTGTCATCACCTAGGAATGTCTATTACAGACCCCCCAAAGCCTATCACCCTGCTCGGCGGCCTTACTTCCTTCGGGGGAGCTGGGAATAACTACTCTATGCATGTAGGTACACCTTCCTCTTGTCACTATTAAGAACTACTTTTCTCACCTTCCGATTTTATGTAGGCTATCACTGAAATGACTCGCCGGCTGCGCCAAGGCCCCAGTCGCAACGGACTCATCCTTGCCAATGGTGGTGTGTTATCATATCAGCATGCTATTTGTATCTCTTCTTCGCCCCCGGAAAAGGGGAGCCTTTATCCCGAGATCAAAGCTTTGCCATCCACCGAACTAGATCCGATTCCCTTCTTCGACTACGAGGCAGAAGGACCGGCAACCATTGAGGTCAGTCTCTCACATTCATATCTACCTGCTATGCCCAAGGCTTGCTATTCAAGGTGCTGACTGTGGCTAGACATATACCGTTGAATTTAATCGAGATGGCACTCCACTACGGGCTTATATCGTGGGCAGATTGAGTGATACTAATCATCGATTCCTGGCTAACGAGGGAGATCAGTCGACTCTCTTACGCCTGTGTTCGGGGAATGAGGAACCCATCGGGGAACTTGGTGTTGTTCTTCCTGATCCCCTGGGACAAGATGGTCGGAGAAGAAACCTTTTCTCTTTACATAGCACATCTAAGCTGTAAGACGAATCATAGATGAATGAGACCACGAATTCGATTCCCAGTGGAGCTTAGACTTGTGCTGCAAACCCGCTATTTTATATAGATCTCCCTCGGACTCCCGATCAGGGTGTCCAGTTCCACGCACAGACTGGGATATCCCAACCCCTCTTTATGACCTCGCTCATTCTCGGCGTTCTCTACTTCCTCGGTACAATCAGAACTCTGGGGCCATAGGGTTGTGGCATACGGCTATTTGGGAGATTTCCCTACTTAGGTATGTTGTATCATCTCACTCTCTCATCATGATTCTGCCACGTGTAAGGAGCTAGATCAGATTGACGTGCTTAGATATATGTATCTAACCTCAAGTAGATTGGAGCAATCCCCCGGATGTTCTCCTTGAAAGCCAGTGCATCATACCGCATTCGATCACGACCGCTACACGCGCGTGCGACCGAGTTTCTCCAAAGCCATGACCCTGATCTATCCGAATCTCAACGGACAGTGCGGGAAGCAATTGCCAAAATATGTTCGGATTTCCCAGACAGTTACTGGGCCACAGTAGACGAGTCGCATCGATTTCCGACCGAGCTCTACGACGCATTGGCACGCCAGGGCTGGTTGGGCATTTGTCTGCCACAGCGATACGGAGGCTCTGAGCTCGGGATTTCCGAGGCAGCAGTGATGATGCAAACCGTTGCAGAGTCAGGGGGTGGAATGACAGGTGCCTCTTCTATCCATATGAATATCTTTGGTCTGGAGCCAGTTGCCAGGTTTGGGACAGAAGAGCAGAAAGAACGGTGGCTCACTCCACTCATTGCGGGTCAGCAGAGGGCTTGTTTTGGAGTCACGGAGCCAAACACGGGCTTAGATACCTTACAACTACAGGCGACAGCACGCCGATCTGGGGATGGGTATATACTGTCGGGACAAAAGGTCTGGATTTCCACTGCCCAGAGGGCTGACAAGATTCTCATTCTTGTGCGCACGACACCCCGCGACCGAGTGAAAAAGCCCTCCCAAGGCCTATCCCTGTTTTACACCGATCTGCAAGTGCCTCAGGTCCAGATCACGGAGATCGCGAAGATGGGCCGCGCTGCTGTTGACACCAACTCTCTTTTCTTCGATGACTGGCATGTCCCGGCGGCGGACCGTGTAGGAGAAGAAGATGAAGGCTTTCGAATGATTCTTCATGGGATGAACGCAGAAAGGATTTTGATCGGTGCAGAGGCTCTCGGTCTCGGTTTTGCGGCTTTGCGTCGTGCGGCTTTATATTCCAATGAGCGCTCTGTGTTCGGGCGACCGATCGGTCAGAACCAGGGAGTCCAACACCCTCTGGCAGACAGCTGGATGAAACTGGAAGCAGCGCGTCTGATGATCTACCAGGCTGCCCGTCTGTATGATCAAGGCTATGTAGACGGTGAGTATGCCAACGCAGGAAAATACTTGGCTGCCGAAGCCGCATTTGAAGCCTGTGAGCGCGCGATCTTAACGCATGGAGGGATGGGATATGCGAAGGATTACCACGTTGAGCGGTATCTTCGAGAAGTTCTCATTCCCCGGATTGCGCCTGTTAGCCGGGAAATGATTCTCAACTACATAGGAGAGCGTGTGCTTGGTCTCCCAAAGTCGTACTGAGATGTTTCCCAACTGGGCCAACTACTGTGATCTTCGAGGTCTGGGAGATTGAAAAGTCACGATATGAGCGCTAGATCGAATATCGGTGAATTTCGGCCCTTTTCTAGATCTAATTCATACTTCGGCTGCCTTGGGCTGTCTATTTACCGCGGTCCATCCCAATATGCGGGGAAGCTGTTTATAGATCAACATGGGGAAGTTGTTTGAGAGGAGATTCCTTTTTTACTCCGTGACTCAATATCCGAATCTCAAAACTTGACTACCTACCTGAATAGACTATGTCATTGATCAGAATTGTTTTGAAAGGCTGTCGCTCAATGGGCGCCACACAGATAATGAGGTATCACAGAACGCATTTCGATTCATTCTTGTTGAAGAATCAATCGCAGTCCCGCTACACTCACACTGCAAATCATTCCAAAGGGCCCTTGGCAGGAATTCGGATCCTAGATCTGACGCGTATCCTCGCAGTAGGTGAATCATTGTGTCAATGATGCACAACTGACACCGTCCAGGGACCGTTTTGTACACAAATCCTGGCAGATTATGGGGCGGAGGTGCTCAAAGTTGAAAATCCAAAGGGAGGCGTATGTACTCACTTCTTGAGACAGTCACTATGTTTCTTTCAAAACCAACTATCTCTAGGATGACACTCGCTTGTGGCGAACGGCAAAAGAGGACCCTATTTGGAAAACCACCGACAAAGATATGTCTGCATACTTTTGTGCGATTAATCGAAACAAGCGGTCAATCACATTGAATCTCAAACAAGGAAAAGGGCGCGATATCCTATTCGAGCTTGTCAAAACGGCTGATGTAATGTCAGTGGTTCTCGGCCTCAAAATCACCACTGCGCTACTAATTTGATACAGCGTGGATAACTTTCTCCCAGGAAAGATGGATAGCATGGGGATTGGGTACGATAGACTGCGAGAGATAAATCCATTGATCATCCATGCAAGTGTCTCTGGTTAGTCTTTCATCGCGATGGCATATGAACATTGGTCTTAAGTTGGATATAGGATACGGTGCAAGTGGTCCATACTCCCATCGTGCCGGCTACGACGCCATTGCTGCAGCTGAGGCTGGTATGCTACACATCACCGGCGAGCGTGATGGACCCCCAACACGACCTGGCCTTGGTCTCACTGATATGAGCACCGGTCTGTACCTGCACGGGACTATCCTTGCCGCTCTCTACTCCCGTAGAGATACCGGCCGCGGGCAGAAAATCGACGCATCCCTATTCGAAAGCCAAGTGTCTCTGCTATCTAACGTGGCAATGTCATGGCTGAACGCGGGCGAACATGCGGAACGATGGGGGACGGAACATCCAAGTATCGCCCCATATCAAGCTTTCAAGACAAAGGACGGCCACTTGGTTCTCGGTGCTACGAACAATAATCAGTTTCAAATACTTTGTCGGTTGGTGCAGCGACTGGATATGGTGACAGACCCACGGTTTGTTGACAACAGCTCTCGCGTCCAAAATCGGACCAAACTCAAAGAAATACTTGAGCCGATCATCAGTGCAAATTCGACGAACGACTGGCTCGCTCGATTGGAGGGCAGTGGCTTGCCATATGGCCCTATCAACAAAATCGAAGGAGTATTCTCGCACCCACAAACCGCTGCCAGGGACATGGTGCATAGTATTCCCCACGGAGCCTCAGTGTCGGGGCATATCAGAGTACTGGGTTTGTTCCTCGCCGGAGACTTTTGCCATGTCACTGAATGCTGATCATTGTGTAGGATTCCCTGTCAAATTCAGTGAAACCAAACCTGCAATCCGACGGTCGCCGCCGAGTCTTGGGGAGCATACCGATTCCACATTGAAGGAAATGGGATTTTCGCCAAGTGAGATCGCAGTGATGCGCGCACAGGGTATTGTGTGATCCATACTGCGTATTTGGTTTTGGAATGCCCCGGGCTCTTTTCTTTATGCATCTCCAGATCCAGTATTGCCATTATACGGAGTACGGCGTATATGATTGGATTTTGCCTCCCAGGTACGAAGGATTGTTGCTGATCTTCCAAGTGATCTAGGCCTGCAGAAGCCAATCGAGGTCTTCTGCTTCTCCTTTGCCAGTTTGTCTTTGTGTTTGATTCCGTTTTCTTCGGCTTTTTGAAAGGTTTAGCGGCTTCTCTATCTAGTCCTTGACTACTGCACTGTCGATATATGACCAGGGCGTTCCTTTGACCTCAAGGTGCTTCATCGCCTCATATACGATGCAGCTGCAATGTGAAGTGCCAGAAGCAAACAATGCGATACCAGAGCTGACCGTATCTAACCAGAACCGCTGCTGGCTTAAAAGCATCTGGGCGCAGCTGAAGTGATAAAGTTATTCCCATTTTGGAAATTCATATGCATTCACGTCGGAGATCCTACCTACCCCGTCCTTCGGACTAGTTCGTGGCGAGCTGGGACCCCCAGTTCGCGCCAACTGCCAAGTACGCGGCCCAAATGAGAATCCCGTACAACGAATGGTGATGTCCGAGACTGGCGAAGTCTTTTTCTCGGATTATCAATGTGATCGCGACATCCAGCTAGTAGAGGAAATTTTGAAGTCGACTGCATCGATGGGTGTTACGCAGGAGCGAATCCTAGTGTTATTCGCTCGCCATTTGTTTCCTCGCGCTACACCATGAGTAGTGACATGCACTTCTGTTCGTAGAGCTGAAAGGTACTCGCTGACACGAGGCTTGCATTGAATGTGACAAGAGGACGACTGCACCAATGTGGCCCAAACCCGCATTCAATGTCGATCAATATCTGCCTATGCTGTCCCACCTCAGTAGAGTGGATTGGAAATTCTATAAAAAGGCCAGCTCGAACCGGAGCAGTGGACTTGTCCTGCTTATAACTTCGAATGCACCTCTTCGGCCGTCTGAGAAAAAGATCCTCGAAACGAAGTATTGCTAGTATTGCTTCAACCGTTCAGCCAGATAAAATGGCATCCGAATCTACTGCGCACGACTATTACCAGATCAAAGCTCGGTTTCCAGCCAAAGATTCCAATCCTGATGACGGTGTCAACCGGAAGGTCTTTGTCCGTCAGGACATCGATGAATGGAGCGGCAAGAAATCTAACAAAAGGCAAGTCGATCTGTTCATCCTGGCTTTGGACAAGTTCCAGAAATTAGATCCTGGGGAGAAACTCTCCTACTTTCAGATCGCCGGTGAGTTCTAATCTCTGCACTTGGCATCGCATATATTAATTTGGATCGGACCAGGTATCCATGGACAACCCTTTGTACGATGGGATGACCAGAGCCCAGAGCCCATGAAGAATGGTTACTGCTTCCACTCCCATGTGATATTTCCTATCTGGCACCGCCCATACGTGTTTCTGTTTGAGGTAAGTCTTCATCTCTGAGGGACGTCCGACGTTACTGATTCCGCCATAGCAAGTCGTGTATGACATCATGGTGAAGGACATTATCCCCCAATTCCCCGAAGCCCATCAGGCTGTGTGGCGTCAACAAGCTGAGTCCTGGCGTCTTCCCTTCTGGGATTGGGCTCGGAACGGCCGCGTCCCTGACCTGGCGAAATATCCTACCATCACTGTTCCTAAGCCCGAAGGGGGTTCGGTACGAATTAACAATCCCCTGTTTCAGTTTCGCATGCCCACAGACAAGCCCATGCGCAGTGAGGGCGTCGGAACTGAGAACACATGGGAGAACGACACGGAACAGGAACAGTATAAGAATGTAGGTGAGATCAGGAATTTTATGTGAGGGAATGAGCTAACAGAATCAGTTTGGCAATGCAATCGGAACTAGCCGTTGGCCCGATGAAGAGGATCAAAATCCCACCAGTGAGGGTTGGCGACATGGCGTAGTCAACAATCGCAAGGTGGCAGATGCCTTCAATGCGCATGAAGGCTACAATGACAAGAATCATGGTCCTGCAGCTGAAATGGTGTATCGACTGCTGACCGTCCCCATGGAGTACACGACCTTTGCAAGTACAAATCCAGCCTCGAAAGACCAAAGTGTCGAGCAGGATCTGAATATTGAATATGTGAGTGCTCTTTAGCATCATCCGAGCTTCAAAGCTGATGTGAACGTTAGATCCACAACAACATGTAAGCCACGAACTCGAGTTCCCTCGAAATGTGTCTGTATATACATATATGCACTTGATCGATCACTTCAAAGACTGACAACGCTTACTCGGTTTCTCACAGCCACGGTTGGACAGGTGATGCAGGGCATATGGGAAATGTGCCGGTTGCCTCGTTTGATCCATTGTTTTTCTTGCATCACTGGTAAGTTCAACCGATCTGATTATCTGGAGACATATCACTTATTCCAGGACTCTCCCAGCAATATCGATCGGCTTTTTGCAATCTGGCAAGCACTCAACCCCGATAAATGGCTGACCAACATTCCTGCCGATAACGCGACGATCCGTGATTCACATGGCAAAGAACATGCCGTGAATGGTAACACCCCACTTCAGCCATTCAGGCAAGATGCCGAGGGTAATTATTGGACTCCCGATGGGGTAAGATATCCCCCGAATCTGGGATATTCCTATCCGGAGCTGCCGCGGTGGGAAAGCAAATACCGCCAGGAGGATGGAACACTCAATCAAGCCCTGTTCCGAGAGGACATCACCACCATAATCAATCGCCTCTATGGTGTGTCGCGTGATTTAGCATTGGACCCCAAAGTCCCACCTCCGAAGGGTGTGGACGCTATTGAGGGTGGGCTCCGAGTTACCGATTTTGCCTTCAGCGTCCGGTTCTTGAAGTATGTTGTCTTTAAGATTCGAGTTTGATATCTGGGTCCCCCTCGCGATGTACCATAATAACTAACTATGGATGATCTAGATATGCATTTGGAGGGCAGCCCTTCTGGGTCAAATTGTATCTTGCCCAGGAGGATGGTGTTCAAACTCCACTCACAGACTTGATCGCCGAAGTATATAACTTCAGCCAAAAGCCCGAATTGGATGGCTCATCGGTCTGTGGAAATTGCACAAAGGGACAAAAGTCGGGTGTCAAGTCAACCGCGTATATCCCAATCACCCCCGTTCTCTACAAACTTGTGAGAAGTGGACGAAAACTGCAATCGTTAACACGCGAGGAGGTTCTAGCGTATGTTCGAAAGCGAGCATACTGGCGCGTATTCAAGGCAAGAGAACCGAGTCATTAGCTCACGTTTTCGAGTGTAATTTACTAATCCATCACAGCATGGAAAAGAACTTCCCCGCTATGAAGTTGAGAAACTGGAATTGGAGATCATTGGCAGTAGCAATGACACCAAACACTTCGAAAATCCCGCTATCCTACCATCCTTCGAGAACTTCAAACAAGAGCCGACCATCAGCGGTGGTGCGGATGGAGCGCTCGATCCGGAACTGAAACAGCCAAAGATTGACCCGCCGGCTCCTCGGTAAGTGCTACATACAGAGATTGAGCGACAAGTGCTGATTCTAGTCAGCCCCAAACGACCACGAGCGAATCTCTCGCTTCATGGCAGTCTTCGTTTCCAGCAGACCCTCAAGGCCGACAGTGTCATTCTCCTGGAATCGTCCAGCATGGACCCCGTCAAGCCGAGCGAGGGTATAGACATGACTCAAATCTCCATCACTGATTCAGAGAAGGATACCATCTTCCACATCTCTATTCGACGAGGCCAAGGCCAAATTGTATTCAATTCCAAGATCGGTGGATCGTGGGGCGAGGAGCAACGCATCGACATTGACCGACGATTCGACAGCGAGGATGGTGCGACAATTCTGATACACGACCAGGGCGATGGCTTCGAGGTTTCTATCGATTGGGTCCACGCAATTTGGTTTGCTAAACGTGTCAAGGATAGGACTCCACAAACGATTTGGTATGACCTTGGCGACAAAAATGGCACTTCCATTTTGTCCGAGGATCTTGAAGTGCGCACCTATCCTTCGATGAAGGCCCTTTTCCTTCAGAAGTATTCTCACGAGGAGGAAAATTAAAATGGCTTCGATCTGATCCAGAGGCTAGAATTTAGGGGGACGTTGAGAGCTTTGGGGTATCTAGATATGTGTGTATTCTTTGGCAGCAATAATGAGAAGATCAACAAGGATTGCTTGACTTATTTGGTAAACACAACCACAATATATCTTCATTTCGGGATGTAGGAGTCTGTACGAAAACTTCCAGATTGATCGATCTTCCCGATGGAGTAGCAATGTTTAGCTGGGTTAAGCCTGATAGAAGATTCTTTCGTAAAATCCATGTTCACCCGGAGATATTTGGACGTTGAAAGATTCTCAAGCTTATGACCGTGAGGCTATATGGAATGCTATACAATTGGCAACTTCCAAAGGAATTGAATAGCTTCGTGTAGCGCGGGTCGTGCGAGCCAGTACTCCCGTGAAAGCTGGACATCTTGGTTGTAAATGTTGCTATCATATATTATCATGTACTCCTCTAGATCCAGACGTCAAGTAGATAACAACGGTCACATCCTTTCAGCCTCCATGGCCTATATATAAGGGATCCATATTTCGATGTAAATACCATTCAAGGTTGATATCATCTCATCAGGTCAGGCCTCTTCTAACGCAGCTAGCTCGGTCCATTGGCGCTGTAGCTCCTCCATTATCCATGAAGTACGCCAGCCTAGCACCTTTTCAACTCGAATCAAGAAGTCCAATGATCCTTGCTGCTGAAGCTTTTGTCGAAGACAGTAGCCGACTAAAACGAGATCAGTTGTCAAAACGCCATCAGAAATATCAAGGGAAAACGCACAGCGGTGTAACAAATGCGACGCCATAAAATATGCATTCTCAACGCTTTCGTTCGATATCGAAAGACCAATAACCACGACAAGATAATCAGCGATCGTTTTCTGTGATGCGTGAACGTTAGCCTGTAGATCCAAGAAGTCAAGCCTTTGGCACGCCTACTTCCTTCAGTCGTCTTGAACGGGCCATCTCATAATCGCTCATGTGAGGTGATGAAGCCTCGGATAAAGCAAGGAAAATACACGCTGAGTAGTAATATTGCATTCCGATCACTATAGTGAGACTGAATACACGCAGGTCATTTAATTGTTGAGACTAGGGACTCACCTGCAGGCGGCGATATCATCCAGAGCTCAGGAAAAGGCCGGCGAGCCGCCACACTCGATGCTTGGTACCAAATTGGCTGCCAAGTTGGTGGTTTAGTTTCATTCCACTCGTTCACGCAGTTTGATATGCGATACCAATCCTCTCGGTTGACAACATTCCCAGGCGCATCAAAGTATAGCTGCAGTATGCGTGCGCAATGATAGATGATCATACTCGCGCATGCGGCATCATCTCGGCGGTCAAAAATTGACGAGCGCTCATAGTTTTGCATGTCTAGCTGCAAAGGCTGATGCTGTACCACCGATGCGTAAATAGCTTGTCGCAAGAACTGCCAACTCACTGCCTCTGCAACTCCGCCAGAGGATGCAGAGCGGGCCATGAGATTCACCAGACGATTGGATCCAAGCAAATGGAACTTCTGGTCAGTATTGTTCTCCAGCTCTTCGTATATCCGAAGAATCACAACGGTGATAAGCATATTCTCGTCGTAGTTTGTCTCGGCTTGGTCCAGTGCCGCAATCAATAACTCTAAGCATTGTCCATGATAAGCCGAAGCCTCCCAGTCATTGTCGTTCGTTACAATCGCATCGTGTCGTGCAGATAATGCCAAAATAGCTTTCAATACCATTTTATTCTTCAACGCGCGTTTCGGAACTTCGGTGCTGAAGTGTGAGTGGACATCACAAATATCGGCCTAAAACAATCAGGAATGTGAGCACAACATGAAGCTCGCATGCAACTCACCCATGGTGCTAATTTCTGAATGAAATGGCGCACCAAGAATGCCTCTCTCAGAGACAGTGCAGATTTATCATCTGGATCTTGGCCAGGAGAACTATTTTGGCGGCCGTGATGAGGGTGATCTCCATAAAGCTGGCCGTGGGGATGATTTTGGTTCGTGGTATGTGCGTGAAGACCTTGAGTTTTTCTACGAGTACTAGGGCTCTGCTCTGACTCTAGGCCATTTTCTTCTTCCCATTCACTCGGCAAATCTGCAACTAATCCATCAGTCGCGTCAAGGACGAATGTCACTAGGGCTCATCAGTATGGAAGCAAACCCAGGTGTTAAAAATTCCTACCAGGTTGTGATACGTCCACCCAGACTTGGTCATCCTTCCAGTCAAGCTTAAACAGAGCAAGCGCTCCATTGATTCTCTGATGAACGTGATGCACAGACTTGAACTGGAAGCGGGGATCGAGATGACACACCCGACCAAGTCGTGAACATGGAGTGCAAGATGATGCGCCGGTAGGAATCACACAGCGTATATGGCGATGGCGGCACCTTGCACAGCCCTTACCTACTCTCATGGGGATATCTAATTAAGATGGCTACCTCTTAAGGTTTATAGAGCAGAACGGGTACCTGGCTACATGTATACGTTGTATGGAGCTTCCAAACACACCTTCGGACCGCAGGACTCACCCGTGGATCCGTGCTCGGATGCCCCCGCAGCTGCTGAGTCATTATGAGGGGAACCTTGGAACGCTTTACCCAAAATCTTGGGCTTTTGGCTTGACGTGCCGAATCCAGAAGGCGGTCTAGTAAGGTACATTCTTCAATACGTGGCAATACATACCCTTACCATTGCAAGTCTCCAATACAACCTGGGCAGGTACATGGACCATGCTTAGATGAGGTACCGGGTACCTGACATACAGGTACCATCATTCTTGTCCGAAAACCTGAACACCAGGGATCGACCCGGTTCACTTAGGGCATCTGTGCAGCAAGGCGGGAGGGTTCCAGATACTTATCTCCATGGCATCCATTGTCTGCCAGTCGTGATATTCAGAGGAACAATACCAGCGCCAATTAATACCTGGGTATTCTTCGATGGTCTCAGTGATGTCAGTGGGGATGATGAACGGAGTTCAATTCTGTTGCCTACTGCCCTTATTCCACGCGATTGGAAATAGGACCGGGGACTTTGTGCCACACAGATATATCTCATGTGCCAAGACCGATGATCAAACCATCCAGCGTAGATTTTAATCTTGGACCGGCACCTCATAGGTAGATGACGAAGAGGAAGCGTCGAGGAATACCATTGGCATCACCCCGGAGAACCTAGACCCTGATGCTCCCGAAGAGACGACATCGAAACTCATCGCCGAGATTTTGACTGCGCCTCACTCCATATTATCCTTAAAACGTCACTGCCTTCGCGCGTTGAAAGTTGCTCCTGTAAATAATTGCAGCTTTGCGCATCACACCCGTACGGATGATTGTCCTCTACCTTCTCGTGCTTGCCAGTGCATGGCAAAGGGTGATCGCTGAATCCAGCTCCTGTAAATGACGCTAGTGTCTATTTTTATCCGCAATGCATGGCTAATTCCTCTTAGGTTCAGGCAGTGTAACCATCTCAAGCCAAAGCGATGCCAATAATCTGACCAGTTGCGAGACATTCGAGGGAAGCATTACAATATCATCGGTCGCCAGCGGAGTGATCAATATCAAAAATGTTGAGGAAATCAAAGGCGCATTCATCGCAGAAGATGCATCGGAGCTCACGGAAATTCTCGCTCCTGATTTGGAGAGTGTACAGGGCGCGATCACTCTAAGTAACCTCGGATCACTCACAACCATCACGATGGGCGAACTATCGAAAGTCTCTAGCATGACGATCACGGGGAGCCCGAAGTTGAAAAATCTTGCGTTTCAGGAGTTGGAGGATATCGAAGGGCAATTGGAATTGGTCGGATCGTTCGAGAGGTATGATTGTTTGCAACAGTTTGCGTCGTCTTCGAGATCTGCGGATGCTGATTGATATATCAGCGTGTCATTACCCTCACTGAACCAAGTCAAAGGACGGACAAAGATCACAGGCAGTAGTTCGATGTCATGCAGTGCATTCGACAGTTTGAAATCCAACGGCGTCTTCAAGGGCGACTATTCCTGCTCGGAGAGCTCGTCCGGCCTGAGTGCAGGAGCTAAGGGCGGCATTGCAGCAGGTGTAATATCGGGTGTAATTTTGATCGTGGCGATTATCTGGTTTGTGCTTCGACGGCGGCGCCAGAAAAAGAGGGTTGAGAGTGTCCAATCCATTGTTGCATCTTCATCTACCTCATCGCCTGTCATGGTGCATGACGAAAAGACGCCCATTTCGACTCGCAACGTCTCGCCCCAAGACAGTATATCGCTTCCAAGCGAGCCACAGACTCTGTTGCCTAGAAAGCCAGTGGGATCTGCTGTATTTTTGGACAGTCGCTCTCTTTACGAGGCCCCAGGCGCATCCCTTCCAGTCCAAGAGTATCACGAATTGGACGCGGGACCAGTCTCGAGTTCACATCAGCGACCTATCAATGCAAACTAAAACGATGCATGCACATGACTCGTGAAAGGAGTATAATCTGGAAGATGAATGGGAGAGCCGGGAGATGGCATGAGTGGCACCTCATGCAGTTTGCACGCACCTTGAACTATACCCGCTATTGCAAGCGGCATTTACCAATGATATCCCGATATATGTTTGTATATCAACGCAATGAATCTTTTACCTTGCGCATTCCTTTCAAATCCTGACTGATCAGCATACTGCCCCGGATCAAAAATCTACTCTGATGGCTGGGGTTCCGGGTACCTGTCGCAAGCTCTTCGACACCCCGCAACACAGTGGCTCCGCTTGGTGTATTCACTGCTTTCGTGTCTCTCTTCGTGATTGGGATGGTGTAGATTCGTGGGATCAGCCTTTCAAAGTCGAGTGTTATCGAGACGCTCATATGTCGCGCCGTTGCGCACGATGTAACACGGCTCGAGGCAAATGTGAACTGGTATGTATCCAGCAGGCCTTATCAATGACGCTTCAGTGTTGTATCGGGACTGTGTCAAATAACTTCTGCAGCTTTACGAAGGTATTCGTGGTCATGGATATGAGTTCCACGCGGCTGTCGCATGGGTTCTTCGCTTTTGGGAGAATGACGAAGGCACATTCGGGATGACTGAGACGGCCGCATTGCACTTAGATCCGGAGGATATCCAGAAGATCGCCGTCGCGATCCGTGACCTAGGCGCTGGACTCGATTCTTTGATCAAGGCCCATGCTAGTGAGCATGGTATAACTAAGCGAAGCGCTTCGGCCGTGCGTCTTCCCTGATTCTATTTTGATTTGGTACCCTTCTGTTGACCTTTCGATATTTTCCTAGCAGTCCAAGAAGGAGTACCAGCAATATTGTGCATCTCGTACCCGTCTGATGGCTGTGCCCACTTCTCTTCCTGCCCTTAGTGGGAGTGCTTCGCACCCGCTTTCAGTCATCTTTGCTCAGAAAGCGACTACATACCTTCGTCAGGATATCCATACTGATTATGGTCTTCCTTGGTATGTGTCTTTGATGGCATTCCGGAACTCGATTCTGAGTATGGCGCCGGACTTTGAGAGTGTCACTGTGAATATGTCTCAGTTGACCAACGACTGGCCTCTTCAGATCGAGTTGGTGTAAGTGTTAATGCAGTATTGCAGCTACATCCAAAAGGAAACCTCTATTAGAGACCAGCCAGTTGTCATACGTTGGCCTTTGCACCCCCATCCACATAGACTAATAAGCGAGCCTCAATGTTTAGCTTGGAAATGATGGATATTAACTGATCATTTATACCGGATTCATTATATGTACGCGTACGGATCCAATTCATATAAGATTTTCGGCCGCCCACGGGCGTCCTCTTATCTTTTCACGATGCTTCATAGCTTAAACACATAAGTCATAATAGAATAGAGAAACATAGAGTGCCGCATGAATCAAGCTCCAGTAAAAGCAATGTCCCGTACCCCATTTCCTTAAGAGCGAAATGTCGCTCCATCAACAAAAAAGGAGAGGCCCTATGTTTTCCTCGTCACCTAAGCCTAGTTATATAAAACGTATATTAACGTAGCTAGTTGTCTACGTATCGAAGTAATATGTTTAGAATACCTATCTCCGTATCTTATAAACCTATATATTACCGTTAACTAAACTAATAAGTACGCCTATTACTTACGCTTATTACGCTTCCTCGTACTATTATCTTACTCTACGTTATCTATAGAATTATTAGTATTATAGTCGGATTTAAAAGCCTTACGGGGATCACCCCCTCTACCGCGAGAAGAAGCCTTACGCGTAGCTTTAGAACCCGACTTAGATATTAAGTTATCCGACTAATTAGAGGAAGAAGTATCCGACTTATTAGAGGAAGAGATATCCGACTTATTAGAGGAAGAGGTATCCGACTTATTAGAGGAAGAAGTATCCGACTTATCTATAGATATAGATCTAGTATCGGATAACTTATAGTCTAAGTAGGAGCTAGCGTGTATATATATAATAGACGTATTAACCGGTATAGACGGAGATACGTTAAGAACTAAGATAGGGGATAAGGAAATATACTTACCGGTTAGGCTTATACTATTAGTAGAGGGAGCTTAAGTAGTTAAAGGTTATATCCCCGAGATAGTACTAGGTACGCTCTCGTCGTTATAGTTATTAACCGGAATAGCTATCTTCCTCTTTCGCTTACCTAGGATACTTTAAGGAGTGTTAGTAGTTCCGGGGCTAGTATTATAGGTATTATTATTTACTAACTTAGTAATAACTACTATAGGAGATATCTAGTATCGATATATATAGGATCCGATAAAATCGCTAGCGATCTAGAGAGTTCGACCTAGTACTAGAACTACTTTCTAAGATTTAAACTTACCGATACTAGGTAGAATATATACTATAGTAAATATAATAATATTAGGCGTACCCTTATCTATCTTATCTAAAGCCTTAGCCTAGTTATATACTAATAATTAAATAAAGAAGATACGTTAACTTATAGTATTATCGTAATTAGTAAGTATAACCCTAATAAAGACTATACTAGGGTAAACTATATTTAGTATATAGACGTTAAACGTTAGATCTTTAGGATCACCTATTATCTTTTAAAAATATTAGTTATAGGGTAATAAGATAATAATTTTATTTTAATATACGGTAATAGCTAATCGGCTCTTACGGTAAGCTTCGGAGGCCCGTCGACTTATATTATAATAGAGAGATAGCCTATATAGAAAGCGATTATATCCTTCTAGAAGTCGAACCGGTAACAGTTATAGTAAAGAATACCGAAGGTAGGATCGTTATCCTAAAGTAGGCTAAGGATATCGGTAATCTAATAACCCTTAGTTCGACCCTAAATATAGGTTTTAACCGTAGAGGAGATAGTAGGGGCTCTATTAATAGTAATAACGCCGGCGAAGAAGTAGATAGATTACTAAAGAGAAGATATAACGATTGACTATCTAAAATAGTAATTAATGCTATATATAGTAAACGATAAAGTAAATATAAATAAAGAGTGAAAATAGAGTTAAGATAGAGTGAATAAAGAGCGAATAAAAAGCGAATAAAGAGCGAACAAAAGCGAAAGGAAAGACTTAGGTTAAGATATATACCCCTTTTAAAGCGAAAAAAGAGAATATATTACTTATTATTGTTCTCGACGCGTGCCCGTATACGTCTTTTAGTATCTATAACCTACTCCGCGCGCCGACGCCGACGTAATAGCTATAACGGACGCGATAGCTATCTTAAAAGCGCTTTAGTAGTATTATTATCGACGCTCGAATTATTAGTAGTTATATAAGGTCTCTAGAAACTCCTTAAGATCTTAGGATATACTACGTTTTATATAGTACGCTCCTTATTCTCGGGATAGAGTAAAACCCGTAGGTTTTATATAAACGTAGTCCTTAAGAAGGCGACGTAAAGCTATCTATAGGAAAAAATAGGAACCCTAAGATTAACGCCTATATAATCTAAAGATTACCCCTATAACTTATTAATAATTATAAAGAATAAGAGTCGTATAGGAAATTATTACCGCTAAAGTATAAAAGGGAATTCTCCTAGGTTCGACGGTAGAAGTAACTAGGGGATTAGGCGATACTTACCCCGGTATTAGCCCGTAGAAATTAAAACCTCTAGATAGCGCGATTAAATACGCGTAATAATAAGACGTATTCTATTATAGAGCCTATTTAGAGGATCGAAGTTCCGTAAAAGCGTAATAGGTATACTAACCTTTAAGCGAAAGTAACCTAGCGGAAGACCTAGCGTTCTCTAGCGGCGGAGATACTTAATAGGGTATTAAATATTATTAGCTATATTTATATTATAGGTATCCGTAGAGGGAAGCTACTATTCTTAGCTAGATAGCCGATCTAGTAATATATTATTAAATATATTAATATTAGTATTCTAGGCTATTAAAATAGCGCGACCGGTAAAGAAATCTACTATCCTAAGGGGATTTCGTAGAGATAAACGTTATAGATCGGTAAGAAGGTAGATTTATTAAATAAAATACTCTATATCGATATTATATTAGATATAAGGCGGTATCTTAATTATTCTATATTAAGATCGGTCTTATAATATTACGTTTAACTAATCTACTAGAGTTTTATTATTACTAGATAAGCCTTAGAGCTATATATTCCTTCGGAGGGAAAGAATTTTTAACGACGACTATACTTTAGTATACTAAAGGGTAATACTAAGAATTATAGCGCGGTTACTACCTAGTACTATAGGTAGGTACTATTAGAAGTCTCTACTAAAAAGTATAGGGACTCCTCCGAATAGTTATTCGGCGCTAGATATACTATACTAGATATCGGTAAGTATTTCGTCGACTATATTAAAGATATAGGAATATAATATTAGGGTTTTATCCTAAATAATTAAAGAAACTTCTTATATAAGCTTAGCGAGCTTACTACTATAGGAAACCGCGTAAGTAGATACCTCTATAGTTAATATAGGAATTTTAAATATCTTATACGTAGTACGGCTACCGGGGAGTAGGATAGTAGCGACTCCTATAGAAGTAATATATAGAACGATCTTTCCTTAGGAGCGATAGTAAGCTATAAGCGTACTATATAAAAACGTTTTCCTAGATCCTCCTAGACTATAAAGGAAAAAGCGAGCTTTTATAGGATTAGAGTTAATCTTAGCCCTAATTTCCTCGAAATACGTAAGCTATTCCGGGTTATCCTATAAACTAAGATACTATTATTTAAACTCCTATCGCTATTAGCTAGTATTATAATTACGGGCCTTATTAAGAGCGCTATTATTATAATCGAGAAAAGACTAATCCTTTCCGATCTTTAGAAGATTATAGTCTATAAGTATTTTCCTATTCGGATTAAGAGTATTTTAAATATAGTATAGAGCTAAAGAACGGTATGAATCGTTATTTAGAGGATTAAAATAGTAACCTTGCTCTCGATAACTAAGCTAGTGATCTAGCGTAGTTAACTATCGTATTAGATTATCGGAAAGAGACTTAGAAAAGCGATCCTAAATATCGCGAGCTACTATAAGACTTAGCGGTACGTAAAAAAGAGTAGCGGAAAATATTATACGTAATTCCTAGCTAGTCTTAAACTATATAGTATCGTTAAATATTTTTACCTATTTATTACTCCGTATAATAATATTACGTGTATATATAGCCTCCTAAAAAGTAGGGTATATAATACCCTTAATAGTACGTAAGTTAAGGAAAGACTTAGCTCCGCGCGTAGCTATTAATAATATATAAAGGTAGAATATATTACTACTCTATTACGTTAATAAGTTTATACGCCCGATCTAAAACCCTTTTTAATATAGCTTCTATTAGTATTTAGCCTAGACGAAGTGTTCTAGAAACTCCTTATATAAATACTAAGAGGTATTAAGGTTATTATAGTACTATTTAAAGTATTTAAGTAAAGAGAAGATACGTATATTAACCTACTTAGCTAATTTAGTATTAGTAAGCTCCTTACTAAATATAACGCTATACTTATTTTCTAGATAGATAACTAATAATATAACTCTAGGTCTAAGGCGATTAATAAGAAACTCTAAAAGACGCTAGGCTACCTCGGAAACGCTAATATAGCGGCTATTAATATATTTCTTCGATTTATTAAACTCGACCTCTATAGTTATACGATTAGGGCCTTTATAAAGATACTTATAGAGGTATCGAATAGCCTTAATTATATTATAAATCTCGATATTAATATAGGCACTATACTTATACGTAAGAAATAGGTTATATAGTACTACCTATTAGTTTACCTTAAGCGTAAGGGTCTATCCTTTACGTAGAGGGTCCTTAATAGTAAGAGTAGTACCTAGGCGGCGGCGGTACTCCGGATATCTATCCTCTAAGATTATTATCTATTCCCGTAAAAGTTTTAGATAGCGTTTAGAATATATCCTTCTACGGCCGCCGAGATCCTTTATATATAGAGCCTTTAGGTTTAGCTCGCTATATAGGTTATAAATTATACTACTCGCGATAATATTATATAATCTTTCACTACTATAATCGGTATAGTTAGATAATTCTATACTAACTACCTTATCGATTATAGTAGGATTAAGGAACCGGCTATTATATT